AATTTCTATTCTAGATTATAAATATTAATATTTTTAATAATTTTAATTTAACACTTATAAGAAGCTAAAATTTTAATTAATTAATATATTTTTATATAAACACTAATATTATAAATATTTATTATTAATTTATTTACTAATAATTTAATTATTATTAATATTAAATACTATTACTTATCTAATAACTTCTAAATCTTTATTATAAAGATATTTTATTATCAAAATATATTACAATAATTCATTTAAGATTAAAGAAAGTTATTTAGAATATTCTATTAATATAATGAAGAAGTTTATAAACAATATTAATTAAAACTATTTTATTATAAAATAAGAATAATAAAATAAATTATTAAGATACTAATAATAATATATTATTTAAATATAAATATAAAATATAATTAATTAAATATATAATAATAAATAAGTATTTATATATACTATAATAAATATATCTATAAATATAATCTTTTAAAGCTCTTAATATAAAATATTATATTAAAAGATATATCTATTTATATTCTAATTTTAAAAAGTCACATGCTATAGTATATATTATTAGAATAAGATATTAATTTATAATATCAATAATTATTATTATATTAATAATAATTATAACTAAGTAAAAGTATAGCTACTTTCAGCCTTATTTTTACAATATCTAATTATATTTAATAATAATCCTATTCACTATTACTCACTAAGCAGTCCTTACTTGATATCTATCTTTCATATATATTATATATATATATAGTATCTATATACTTTTCATTAGCTGCTTATATAATAGCGTCTGCTATAACATTCATTGGTCGTGGTTTATCGATTCTTATGACAGTTAGATGGTCTATTATTAGTAAATAATATCTATATATATAACTTTTAAAAAAGGATTTAGAACTTTATTAGCCTTGAAAATATCTCTAAATTGCTCTTATATAAATAAGTAGCTTGAGATGATGAAAAAATTAGATTAGCTATAATATTTAAAACTAATTAAAGGTAATAATATAAAAGATTAAAGATTTAGATCTCTAATAGATTCTTAGAAGTTTTAATGACATATAGTCTTCATAGCTTATAGCTGGGTAAGGTCGTATAAAATAAATAAAATAAATAAAATAAATAAAATAAATAAAATAAATAAAATAAATAAAATAAATAAAATAAATAAAATAAATAAAATAAATAAAATAAATAAAATAAATAAAATAAATAAAATAAATAAAATAAATAAAATAAATAAAATAAATAAAATAAATAAAATAAATAAAATAAATAAAATAAATAAAATAAATAAAATAAATAAAATAAATAAAATAAATAAAATAAATAAAATAAATAAAATAAATAAAATAAATAAAATAAATAAAATAAATAAAATAAATAAAATAAATAAAATAAATAAAATAAATAAAATAAATAAAATAAATAAAATAAATAAAATAAATAAAATAAATAAAATAAATAAAATAAATAAAATAAATAAAATAAATAAAATAAATAAAATAAATAAAATAAATAAAATAAATAAAATAAATAAAATAAATAAAATAAATAAAATAAATAAAATAAATAAAATAAATAAAATAAATAAAATAAATAAAATAAATAAAATAAATAAAATAAATAAAATAAATAAAATAAATAAAATAAATAAAATAAATAAAATAAATAAAATAAATAAAATAAATAAATAATATAGACTATAATAAGATATAGAAAATATTTAAGTATAGAAGCAACGTGAAGTAAGGCCTAGTAGAAGACAGTTTAAAGAGATGCATGAACATAGGTCTAAGCTGGGCAGATCAAGCTGGAGTAAGATATAGTAGTAGTAGTAGTAGTAGTAGTAGTAGTAGTTCTCATTGACCTGTTCTAGCTAGCTTCCATACTATCACTGCAATGCAGGGTTAGACCCTAGCCTATAGAGTCTTAAAGACCAAGTATAGTGCTTGTACTACATTATAGCGTGTTTAGAGAACACACTACAAGAAGAGAATTAAACCAGTCTATAAGTGGTTAGTATATACTAAAAATCAATAATATAAACAACATGACCCTCCACCACTCTCTCTATCTTCCTTGTATATTGCATTCTCTTTCACATTTTCTTATAATCTTATTATTCATTAGTCTGCTACTGCCTATCTTACTCTCTCACTCTATCAAGCAATCGTGATCCCTCAGATGCTCTATGAAGTGGCTACCTGGTTCCAACCAGAGACGCTTACCAAGAAATAAATCAATGAAATAACATAAGGCTTCGCCTCTATTCAAAAACGCATAGCATATCTGATTAGTAGTGCCTTCCACATAACAGTAACCAAAACATTAAATATTAAACTATATTTATTTTCTATTAAGCTCTAAATAGAGCAACTTATTAAGAAGACCATTTTGCAGCTATACACTGGTTTAACCCATACTATACTAGAAAGCCTAATTCAATAACATCCTGAAAGTAAGATCAAGCTGGAAGATTATACTTCTATAAAGATGTATATCTAAAAAAAAGATAAATACTTATTAACTCTCTTAGACTCCATAACAGGACAATAGAAGAGCTAATAAATATTCATCTGAACGCTATAGCAAGCACCCTTTAGTATAATCATTAAAAAAAACCAGCAGAAAGCAATTAACATATATAATATTATTTAATATATACAAGACTCCTTCCTATTGATTTATTCAGATAACAGTAACTATAAAGACTAAATTAGATCAATAATAATATGTCCCTAGATTAAAAAATAATATTTAGTATGTTTCAACATTAAAAGTACTTTAATTATATATACCACTAAAGTATATAACATTAAATTCAATCTATAAATAACTTTATATTATAATAAGATGCCTGATTAGAAAGTATATATTAAAAAAGAAATAGTAATCTTTTCAAATAATTAAACTACTCTCAAAATACTCATTAGCCTAAGTATAATCTTAGAATAAGTCTTTATACAAAACTACTAAGACCTACTTAATAAATACATATATAAAGATATCCCAATCACACTTTAATAGATTTCTAAATATAAAGACATCTAAGATAATAAAATAATAGATTAAATAGTTAAATATATTATATAAAAAATCATTAAATAATCTATTTAATCTACTTATATTAATACTAATATTAATCCTATATTAAAGTAATACTGGTTAACATTAGCTATTAAGCACTAAATTTAATAATTAATAAAGAATATATAGAAACGAAAGTAAAAAAAAAATAAAATAAGAATTTTAATATATAAGCTACTTAATATCTTAATCAAGAAAATACTAAGATATTAAGACAGTCTACATAAGATAATCATATCAATATTAATCTAACTACATATAGAACGAGTCAGTTTAAATTATTATTTATAATAAATTAAATACTAAAACTTATCCTTATATCTATATAGCCTTAGCAATCAGTCTTTAAGATATATTATTATACTTTATCCTTAATATATACACAAATGCATAGTAATATGATGCTAGATCTAAAATAACCATTTAATTAACAAATTTAACAAAATAATTAGCAAAAAAGAGACAGCGATTACTATTATACAATTTATAATCAATATAGACATACTAAATCAATTCAGAATGATTAATCTTAAAACACTCAGCATATAATCTGACAAAGCTAAAGCAATAGCTGAGGCCTTTAATTAAAAATATTGATATAGCTTATATAAAATATAGAACACATAAACACTAACATATTAGGTCAGTCTATAGCTAGTAAAAACCAACAATAATATTAATATCCTATTTAAGATAGAAGCAATGTGAAATAAAATCTAATAAAAGATAATTTAAAAAAATACATAAACATAGATCTAAGCTGAGCAGACTAAGCCAGAATAAGATATTCAGTTAGTATTATATAAACTAAACATACATAACATGCTAATTAAATATAATAAAGATAAATATTATAAATATTATTAACTATCTATATTATTTATACTTTACATTATTTAGATTTTTACATATTCTATTTATTTGTATTATTTATATTAATTAGCTTATTTTATTTTTCTATAGTATATTTCTTTAGACTGTATCACTATGTGACTACGCCATGCTTACTCTCTCTATTGATTAGGGCATAACCCTGTATAACAGCGATAGTATGGAAGCCAGCTACATCAGGTCAATGAAATCTACTACTACTACTACTACTACTACTACTCTCTCACTCTCTTACTATCTATTAACCCATTACTACTAATCTCTCTCTCTTACTATTTGCCTAACTAGGTCTCTGTTACCTTCAATTCAGTAGCTAATATGCTAATATATTCTCTAAAGTATCTCTATAACACTCTATTTCTCTGTTCTATTCTCTCAATTCCCACTTATAAATAAGATGTTTACGCTATAATTAGTTTTTATTAGCCCTAAACAGAATCTATACATTAGTGCCTGTCTTATTCATTTCTACAAATAGAATTACGCTCAATATCCTCTTTAGAGACTTTAGATTGTATATTCTAAGCTGTTTTATATATTGCTTATATGTCTAATGCTTCAGAGTCCACAGTCTAGAATTGGTCTAGGACCCCTATATCAATTATGAACTATGCTACAGCGGCTGCGGTTTCTTTACTGCCGAGAAGCATGTCGAATTCGGACCGGGTTGATACCCGGATCTGGAGTAAGATATCAGAGATCAGTATCATATGAACTGGACGTACGCAGCATGCTAATCAGATATAATAAAGATGAATATTATAAGCACTCTTAACTATTTATATTATTCATATTTTTGTATATTCTATTTATTTATAGGATTTACACTAGTTAGCTTATTTTACCTTCTTATAACATACCCCTCTAGGCTGCATCATTGCATGGCTATATCATACTTTCTCTCCCTACAGATTAGAACACAACCCTGTATAGCAGCGATAGTATGGAAGCTAGCTACATCAGATCAATGAAATCTACTACTACTACTACTACTACTACTACTACTACTACTACTAGTGGTCTAGCCGTTGAACCAAGTTCTCACGACATCCTCATTTAGTCTAGATTTTCTTTCCATACTTAGTTTTCTCGATAGTTGATACCAATAATATTAGTTATTGCCTGATCCTTCTCATTGAGCACTCTCAGATCAATCAAAATGTTTTCACTACAACCGCCCGAGCCCCGCCATCGTAGTCATTAGCCATCTCACTCTCATTGTAAATATCAACTGATACCCTCCTTTCTGCTGTCTCGCTGATGATAAATATAGCCCGTGCCATCTTTACTACTCGCTGGGCCTGTGCCGCATCACCGCACTCGAGGACCACGAGCTTCACATCCAACTTTAATGCCAACAATAACAGATGGGGATAAAATGTGTCCTCCTGGCATATGGCTCCAAGACCTGACCATTCACATGCCAGGGGGTTGCCTGGAGGCGGCACCAGTGCCTGTATTGGTTCATACTTACGCACACTGCGAGATGTTGTGCCGTCAATCATGTTAGATGGAGAGATGTAAGGAGGATTGGATATAAGAACATCCCAGGTAGAGCGGCAACTATCTGAATCCGTATTTGCGGACCGTCTTGTCGCAAGGATATTCTTTAGGTTATCCACCAGTGGAGGAATATGACCTTTCTGGTTATCAAGGATATCAAATTGCTCGAATATAACATCCCTCCCAGCCCGAGAAGTCAATATACCGCGGCTGAGATTATGTTTCTTATTTCTGACAGCGAGGTTTATAGCTTGTGGACTGATATCAACACCAATTATTGTCAAGTGTTCGACATGAGGAGCAAGAAGAGAGTGTAGCAAAAGCGAAATACAACCACTTCCGCTGCATATATCTAGAACATGAATGCAATTGCGTTCGAATTCTCCTACACGCAACCCTTTGAGTACCAAATCTTTGGTATGGAAAGTATACAGTTCTGTTTCTGTCCTAAGTCAAGAAATCTTTTAGCTGGGTTCCGCATTCAAAGATTCCGGGGCGTCAAGCTGCAGACGAACCGTGGTATGAGAACACCCTTCTCGCAAAGGATCTCTAAATCGCCGAAGGGTTGGTTGCCTAGAATGTATTGAAGCGGTTTCCCCTTGCCTCGATGTGCACACATCTGTTTGAGCTTTCGCCGCCATATGCTGCTGTCATGTCCCCGATTTAAAGTAAAGGGACGCTTTTGGAGGCCGCATCTTGCAATGGCACTTTCACGAAGCCATCGGAGTTCGTTCCGAGCATATTGGAGCGTTCGGCATTCCTTTAAAAGGATTGGTAGTAGAGGGTTTTCTCGATAAGCCTGGAGTACTAGAGATGTGGGTAGCCTTGGCATCCCAGCTCGGGAAATCCAATATACTGTGTCTTCTACCGCGATAGCTGAGTTGACAAGGATCAGAGGCTACTGAGCTGTCATTGGAGGTTGATTAGGGATGTAAAAAGAAAGTTTGCTGCTTGAAAGGCCGAAAAAGCCCTGGTCACATATCGGCAATCAACGCGAGCGCTTGGCATGGCGCAAGCCCCACTGTCTTAACTTTATTTCGGTCTATATTTATAGCCAAAGGAACATGAATAATAAATAGCTGGCATTCGTTACTTTATATATTCTTATATACATGCAAGAATACGTATCATGTGTACTAATAATGTACCGTGTATTCAACCTAGTAACACCGATAACCTCAATATTCACAGGCGAATCAAAGTCTAAAGTGTCAAAAAAAAGCCAGTTGTTATCACCATCGCACCAAGGCATCCTAGATCACCTGTCAAGCTTCTGCTCGCCGCGTTGCTACTTGTAGCCACGGTAGTTTCTGGTGACCCAGTCATAGTGGCTGTACCAGCTCCAGCAACCGTTATAACTGGATTGGAGACAGCAGTTGCCCCGGGTACAGCAGTTGTTCCACTTCCAATTTCCACAACATTCTCCTCGGCAGAATTGAATTTAGTTTGTGCCAGGGATATTTCGTTATTCGCAAGGTCATACACAACGTAGGCACTCCGAAGAAATGTGTCTCCAAGGACAGCGGTGGTGCTTCCGGCAGGCGCGATACCAAACACGCATGCAGGGGTGCCATCAGAAAAGGTTGATCCCGTACCGGCCGCAAGGACCATCTCATTGATGGCAATGGTAATGGAGGGGCTTGAGAAGGTGAACGTAATGTTAAGATCCTTATTCATCAATGTGCACGGGACATAGCCCGTTCCACTAGACGAATCATAAGTCACCCCGAAATCATTATAAATATCTTCAACTATGGTGTCAGGAAGGTAAGTCAAACTGCTTCCCGAATCCAGAAGAACTGCTGCGGGAAGTTCATCGGAGCTGTAAGATTTATTGATAGAGCCATTATTGTACGAGACCCCGGTTAAGACTATGAGAAACTCTGCGTATGAGCCATCTATGGCTAGAATTGGTAATGTTTGCAGGCTACCATCGTATTTGCCATTATCGACCCCTCCGAAAAGAATGGATCCGGTATTTGCGTCCAAATCGTTGAGCCACAAGCTGTAAGCATTTCGATTGATGAGACCGCCATCAACCATGGCCTGAGGGAGATTTGGATATGAAGATTTTCGGTCTCTGTTGACTTGTACCTCGTTTTTAGTATAACCTATACCGAGCACGCCCTCTTCCAGTTATAACGTGATTAGTTATGCGATATTGCTATATGATAGTGGGAGCACAGAATACTAACCTATTGAATCTGAAGTGTATCCAATTCCGAATTGGAAAGATGTAAGTGATACGCCGCCAATTGACAGTGTGTCAGTGACGTAGTCACCCGAAGCGCCCGAGCCATCTACGTATGAGATGTTGAAATCAGACGATAGATATTTGTATGTTGACGAGGAGTTGGCGTCATATGTTCCAGAGATAGAACATTCGCTATTCTTCTTGCTGCAAAAACTAGAACTGGCAGTATTGCACCATAAGTCACTACTGCCAGTATCTAATGTCAATCGCAGCTTCTGGGCAGGCGTTCCCAGAGTGATATTGCTGAAATATAGCGTTTCCTATCCATTTTAGCCGCCATGAAAAAGGAAAACTAATATATCCGGCACGTCTTTGTACTTACTTCGTTATCAAGTGTTTCATTTACCGTCATGCTTCTCCGCCTCTTAAGATCTCTGACTGCTGGATCTAGAACATGATTGCGTGAGATTTCTAGGGCTACCACTGTTGGGACATCTTTTTTATAGAGAGAAAATGCCTTTACAGCATCGAAAGCCGTCACAGTCACAAGGATCGCAAGAATACTCTGCATTATTCTTGTTTGTCATATAGCCAGCTCTCAACAATAGTAGTATTGGAGCAAGGAGCAATTCTTGCCGCCGGCCTTTATGGGAAATAACATACGGAAAATAGCATAAGGTCGTTAAATGCTTTTACGACGCGTCGTATAGAAGAAAAATTCGCCATTGGGCCTATACAGCTGGAGACGTACACAAGTTCTTTCGTGATTGAGTTTGAACCCGTCATCGAGACAATTGACATAGCCCGTCGCTCTTCGGATGTGACTCCACACGACGTCAAACTACCGTTGAGCGACAAATAGGACGTTGTTGCGCCTTTGGCCTATCCAATTTCGTCAGTACTCCAGCAGACGCCGCGTATGATCGCCATAAGTGGAACTAACAGTAGGCAGATTCAAAACCACATTGCTGGTTTGATGCTGGCGACGCGGGCTGTAAAAAGGGGTCCATAATTCCCTATTGCACAGCCAACTAATACGCGATATCAAAGCTCAGCAGCCGGTTAGTGTTGACTGATTTGGTTGCTATTTTAGTCAGCTGTGTCCACGATGACGTGGATGCTGACGAGGAGCTCAAGAGGTGACGAGCGTGCATGACGACTTCTGTTTGATGCCTAGCCATTTTCGGGAATAGCTGTCCGCCAGTGAGTATCAGACGTTCTTCTTGCTCTGTTTTAGATTCATCACAACTATGAGAATACAGCAGCGTTTACGGCTAGTCAAAGCCCGAAACTCTTTTCCCGCTTGTCCCGATCCAATTTCATTTTGGGCAGCGGCAATTGATACGAATGAGGAATGCAGCTGATTTCTGAATCTTGCTAGGTGCATCTGAAGTATACTAGGAACATCTAAGATGCCTGTATACTCTATCTAATATACAGATACATAATGTACAGAGTGGACTGGCGCGTATCTATCCTCAAACCCGTGGCGTACACGGATGTGACCGTATTATAGTACTATAAACCTAGAGCAGACCGAACTGCTTCCATGGTTACGCTCGCATTTGCGCGAGCTTGTTGGGCTCCTTCTTCAGCAACACTGTCGAGGTAAGCGGTTTTTTGGTTAATGATTTCGCGATAGCTATCGCGAATTTCTTGGAGATGGGTGTCAACTGTTGACACGACAAGCGATTTCAAGGAGCTTATATGAGTTGATTTCAACTCTAGAGCCAGCTCTTCACACGTTTTCCCATTTGAATCAAAATGGCTGAGTATCTCGATTAAATTGGAAATGCCAGGTCGACCAGACGGATCGTATGTAATACTAGGTTCCGAATCTGTCAACGCCATTTTAATCTTCTTCTCAATCAGTTCGCGTGAATCTGTTAAGAGAATTCGAGATCTGTCATCAACGTCTGATTTGGACATCTTGCGACTCGGGTTTTTCAGCGACATAACGCGCCTCGCAGGTGCTGACAGAGAGTAAACATTAGCAAGATGACTCTATAAAAATTGGGAGCATTCACACACAGATTAAACTCTCCGGCGCCGGGAAGATGGAGCCAAATAGGTGATTGAAGCTGTTTGCTGTGTGTCGTGTGAACTCGATGTGTTGTTTTTGGTCTTCTCCAACAGGAACATGGGTGGCCCTGTAGGGTTAGAAATATCGTTTTGAAGTATTCTTAGAATATACCTACCTGTGAACTAGAATATCTGCTGCCTGGAGGACTGGGTAGGAGAAAAGCCCTAATCTCAGCTTGGATTTCGCGTCGGAGTCATCTAAGCTGACATCGTCTGGTAACTGTAGTTTACTCTATGCAAATTATTAACGAGATTTGCGGCTTAACAGAACTCGTTTTCAAAACACACTTTCCATTGAGTCATGCGGGAGAGATATCCCATAGAAGCTACTGTGCTCAAAATCCACATCAGCTCAGTATGTGCTGGAACCTAAATCAGTGTTAATCAAACGCCGGAGACATGAGCACGGAATACATCAGGATATAGATGCTAACAAGACGCGTACAGCAGATTGGAAAAATATCGCGGAGCGTTTGTAATCTAACCCAATGGCTAGAAGCATCGCAAATATTTCCCTTCTCCATTGACGAAGTTGAGAAGCTTCTTGAGGCACTGTCAGGGCATGTAAATCAACCACCGAAAATAATAATGTGCTATTTTCTGAGCTTTCATTCTGTAACCGAACCCATTCTCGCAAAGCCCCTAGATAATTGCCTAAATGTGGAATCCCTGTAGGCTGTATTCCAGAAAAAACGACTTTTCGTGAGGGAGCTGTATTTGAAGCGTGAATATTTCGCCGGGTTTGAAGATGAGGGGATAGATTCGATAACGGCGAAATTTTATTGAAACTTCGATTTTGTAAGCGCCATCCAGCTTTTGCAGATGAAAAACAACGCATTATGGCTGTTAAATGTACATAATTATTGGTGGGTTCATTTAATGTCCGGAAGAGAGGCGGGATTGCGGACTATATACGTCACGTGAGCCTTTCAGCAGGTCAATAGATTAGAATGGAGCTGCATAATTGATCCAATACATGCTTATCTAACTATTTTGAAGCTTCAAGATCTAGTCTTTAGATACCCGGATCGTAATATACCTCTTAATTGGCATAGTTCAAAATTAAACCTAGAATACAATTATGTACAAATATAACGACGTAGATGTTGTTCACAATGAAATCCCGTCAACCTAGCCTTTACGGACTTCATTCAATGGGCTGCGAAGGTTTAAAAATCGTTCACTGTTCAAAAGACTTTCCACCGGCAAATTTTCTTTGGAATTTTCGCGTTGACCAAACTGTGCGAAATATGGCTCGAGAGTCTTGTTCACATCCTCGGCTGCAGCGTCTAGACCCCCTGCAACATCTGTCATGCGTAAAGTATTAGCAAATATGACTTGTACGGTCCTACAAAGATTGAAAGGATTACCGAGATCGTCAAAGTCCCAAACGTTGGCTTTCATGCCGACACCGTAGAACGCATGTTTCCTCAGAAATGCCAGCCATAGCTGTACAGTTTCAGGATTACCGTCCTTAATCTGTATTAAACGACGCAGTGTAATCCTTTCAAAATTCTCTTGACTTTTCTTGTGTACAAAGTTACTTCGAGGGACGGTCCACCGTTCAACGATACGTGGGAGAGGAACAGGCCCGGACACAGGGAGTTTCAGATAGTACGCGGAACGGATTGCGAAATCGGCGAAGAAATCCACATTACGAACACTGTAAGATCGAAGCTGTAGATCGCAAACAGGAAGTCCGTATTGCGCCTTCCTTCTCAGCGGCCGTAGGTATAAAGCTTGGACACTTCGGGGAAGACGAAATTTCTGACCAGCATCATCTAATCGTTGGGGCCTTCAATTGCATATTAGCAGGCCACTCAGAAGAAATATTGAGCACAAGAGTAGCGATTTACCATGACTTGACACGGTCTTTTTCAGTCTCCTCAACAGGTTCTTCGGCTGGTCTGTGGTAACAATTAGCTTGACTTTAACTCCCACACAAAAAGAATCGAGAGCTTACGGAATATTTGGTTCTTGGGGATTCTCCTGGGAGTTTATTTGTGTCTTTGTCGGTTCTTCTGGGGCACCTCTGGGCACTGTTTGTTCTCCGGGAATTGTGATTGTTCGTGTAAACAGTGAGGTCTACAGTCGTCAGGTATGGTGTCCTCGTATTTTTCCCAATGGAAGTCATAGTCTCACCTGCAATGTCCTACTGGACGGTCGTAATAGCTTTGTGATCAACATCCTGAATGACAAAACTCTGTATGACCACAATCTAGATGTGGCCAGGATAGGATAGATATGTGAAGCATCTCAAACAGTCCACAGCTTTTTTTGGGGACGCCAAGAACGCTTTCCGCACACCGCCCTAGAGAGGTTCTCGATTTCTGCCACCTCTCCCAACAAGAGCCCCTCTTTGATTCATGAAGCCATTGGACTTATTGGATGCACAATTGAGAGGCGATTTAAAAAAAAAATAGGACCGCCGACAATCACCACGGTGACTGAAAGCTATACGCAATTGTGCGATAGGATCTATTTTTGATTTGGTTGGAGCCGAATTGAATTAGCACAAAAACCTTCGTTAATTGACTAGCATTGATACTAAACCTAATGGTTTGAGAACTTTTTTGGACTTTGATTGAGATTAATCTAGGAGTTTTGACTAGATACTTTCAAAAAGCCTGTTGAAGACAGACGTATCGGGAGCACTCCCGATCTCTCTGTGCAACTCTGAACCCTGAAAGTTTATTGCATTCCGAGACCATGGCACCATCCACAACATTCTCCAAAGCCAAGGACGCTGCCAATTATTTGCAACACACCTTGGACCCTAAGCTGCAGAAGCCAAGGGTAGCTATCGTTTGTGGATCTGGTCTAGGAACCCTTGCAGATGCGGTTCACGAGCAGGCAAAGACCGCTATCGACTACTCCTCAATCCCCCATTTCCCACTACCTACGGGTATGTTTTCATAATAGAATTTGCAAAACTTGTTCGTTGAAACTGAAGGTTAATCATGATATGATACAGTCCAAGGACATGCCGGAAAACTGGTTTTTGGATTCCTTGGAAGCGAAACACCGGTTGTTTTGATGGTTGGTCGCATACAGTCAGCGTTCCGTTGTGAACTCCTTTTAACTGGTCGCGCCTAACTATTTTTCTAGCTATTACGAGGGCCATTCCGTGGAAGATGTCACCTTTTATGTGCGGGTCCTCAAATTACTAGGCGTGGAAACCATAATATGCAAGTGTGAACAATCCATTTATGTGAATTATCTTCTAACAGTCATAGTGACAAATGCCGCTGGAGGCTTAAACCCCGAGCATGCAGTCGGAGATATAACTCTTCTGAACGATGTATGATGTTTCCCAGTCAGAGTTGCCTTCTGAGTCTAATCTCAGTCAGCATATATTTCTCGCTGGGTTTGCCGGTCTCCATCCACTACGAGGCCCCAATGCAGACGAATTTGGCGTGCGTTTCCCATCTCTATCAGATGCATATGATTTAAACTTGCGTCGCCAAGTACATGCAGCATGGCAGAAGATTGAGAAAGCAGATAAAAGACGACTGCATGAAGGCGTCTATGCGTTTGTATCAGGGCCAAGGTTTGAGCTTTCAGCCATGTTTAGCACATACTAGAGCGGAGACAAGCTAACATGCGTCTAGTTACGAAACTCGTGCTGAATGCCGCATGCTCCGACAACTCGGCGCGGATGTGGTGGGAATGTCGACAGTGCCTGAGATTATCGTAGCAAGACACTCAGGCATGCGTGTGCTTGCATTTAGCCTTGTAACAAACAACGCAGTTCTTACCCCGGTACCCCGCGGCGATGATCACCTCCTGCAGTCATCAACTACTAGTGATCTTGATGCAATACTTGAGGAGGGCAAGGCTAATCATGAAGAAGTCCTCGAAGCGGGACGACTAGCTGCACAAGACATGCAGGTGAGTCAGACGAGAAGGTAGATGAGAATGCCAGTGTAACTGACTAGAAACGCAGCGGTTGGTGGTCCAAATCATTACCGACGTATTTGAGAATAGAGAAAGTGCCCACCAATAAAAGGGTGGTGGTACTCTGGTTGGGAAAATGATGAGTTTTTGCAACCAAGAATCAGATATGTTCAACGTCGCCTTTTTGCCCGTAGGCTATTATAGTAGGACTTTTTCCCACTCTTCTTGGATTCTTGGATTTGGTTATATTTGGCCTTAAAACGTCCAGACTCGTTCTCTGTAGCAATGGCCTCTTCGGCAAAAGTCTTCTTACGGTCCTTCTTCACGACACGGGACTTGAAGAACTCAGTGGGTCCTTCAATGATAGTTCCCACCTGAGAATACTGTGGTGTATTTGCCTTGCCGTTTTCCTTCTTATAGTGTCTTTTCGGATCTAGGACATTGCGCATTCGAAGGAGTTGGAATTCTCTCTTAAGCTCTGGTGTTATTTGGGTTTTTGGCAAGTTAAACCAATCGCCGCCGGCGTCATCCTGTTTCTGTTGGAATACCTGTCAGTGCATCAAGGCAATAAACCAAACTCCAAATCATAAATGGTATAAAGATCACTCAGAGTAACTATGAAAAAATATAGCTCTCATAAATGCAGGACAGCCCAAAACGGACTGCAAATTCTGCATCAAGTGCGTGAAGCAAATAAAAGTTTACATCATAGCGAAAAGTTGATGGGAAATATCGAGATAGAAATACCTCTTTTTTGGCGGGTTGATTAAGTGCAAGAGAATAGGAGCCTTCGGATGGAATAGATATCAGCGTAGGGTACATAGCAGAGATCTCGCCATCTCGGTGTACATAAGACGTCAGAGAACCGCCTGAAGCAAGTTCAGGCAGTCTTTCAGACCAATTAGCCACGTGTAAAAGTAAATGATGAGGAATATCACCTTGCATTTGCATGGTTTTCAACATGCTGTGATGCTGCCGAAGTCAAAGATTTTTCGACTGGGGAAGCTGACTGAAGACGAGCCTCGGCTTCGTTGAGAAGCTGTTGAATCAAGGAGTCATCATTGAGATCATCCTTTGAAGAAGTATGTGGCATGGTTGTTCATAGCACCATGAAATGATGAAGCTGTGGGTGAAGGTATGGGCTTGAGGGAAGGAAGAAAAAATCGCTGGTATTATTTAAATAATATTAGCGAAGCTGTGGAGTCATGTAATTACGATACGAGACATTGACAACTATTGAGGTGGCCCTTTTAATACCGGTAATCTAGATTTCACCAAGATGTTAACGGATTGTATTTAAGTAATAGCACGAGATTAAAACGTGTAGAGTATTATTAAATGGTAGATAATAGTAGTGTGTAGTAAAAAGATACTATGCGAAATAAAGTTAACAAGTCACCAAGATCTGAAGCCTCACACTGCTTATAGATCCTTTGCATGTATTGATCGGTAGTTTCTTGTAAGTAACGAAAGGGCTGGAATTGGCGTAATTTATCGCTGTCAGCTCTCCCCACTCCTGAAAACGGTTAGCCGTGACTCCATCACATCACATTGCAGGTCGCGCGCCTCAACAGCTGCTGTTATGCCCAAAGGCCAGAGCCAAGGCATTACCAACATCGCAGAGTTCGTTTGTCATCGCTTCCGCGAACTATCCAACATAAACACAATTTCCGTTCTCGTATTTGCAGAATTTCTGAGTGTCAACCGATAAAGTTAGCCTTCAAAGAGGGTTCGCTCGCACAATGGAGCAATCTACCCAGCCCACTGGGCAACAGCAGAATAGACAGCAGCCCGTCTATGACATCCGGAACGGCGGTCACTATGGTTTGTCCTCATCGGAAATCTATACTGATATGTGCTAATGTTGTTGTAGGTGCTAGCGCAGCTGTATGTTGATTCCGCCTCGCAGTGACCTAAATTTAAATCAGAGTCAGCGTCCGCTAACTACATCTACTCAATAGCTCTCAGCACAAGGTTACGCGCCTGTCGCGGAGTTGTACACGGGGACTTGGTCAAATGTAAGTTCCAGAGGATTTGCTCTATCTGCGTATCATCTTTCGGTTGTACTCTAATGGCGTATAATTCTAGGTGAACCAAGGACTCCAGGGCAATTCTCGCGATATCTTGACTACATACTGGCAGCATATCATTAATCATCTAGAAACCGACAACCATGACTACAAAATTCACCAACTACCCCTTGCACGTATCAAGAAAGTCATGAAGGCTGACCCTGAAGTCAAGATGATATCTGCAGAAGCCCCGATATTGTTTGCCAAAGGATGTGATATATTCATCACAGAACTAACCATGCGCGCTTGGATCCACGCTGAAGACAACAAGCGCAGGACCTTACAACGCTCCGATATTGCGGCTGCTCTCGCAAAGTCGGATATGTTTGACTTCCTTATCGACATTGTGCCTCGAGAGGAGGCTACTTCTCATGCCAAGAGGTCTGGCCAAGCTCCCGGTGCTGCCGGTGCTGCAGGAACAGCCCCTACAGCACCTGCTGGACACATTCCTCCCACTCAGGGTGGAGTTCAGCACCCTCAACATCACATGGGTGCTCCTGAATATGCTCTTGGACAACACACACTTCCCCAGGATCAGGATTACCGAAACCAACCTGGCATGTACCCTGGCACTGTACAGAATGACCCCGGAGCGTATGGCCAACCCCAGCCTCAGATGTTTGATGGCATGTATACAGCATACTCGCATTTGCCCACCCAACAGGTAAGGCCACGTTGAATTACACTATTCTAGGTTACACAGCGTTAATGATGATTACCTTTAGTGAGCTCAAATAGCTAGTATGCTGGTAAAGTAGTTGCGGAAATGTATTTAAATACAGAGGGTCAATGATTACTAGTGATGAAATGGGTGAACTTATGTTCAACAATGTTGTTTTTAAGGGTGTTGAATTATTGGGCGTTTTTTCATGTTACTATCTCTAAGGAATACAATAGTGTGTATTTGGTTGGCGTAAAACTAAGTATCATGAATAGTCGAGCAGATTGGGCAGCTACTTCATTCCAAACCTTGACGATAGAGCTGCAAATTTATCGGATTTCAGTGGGCTCTGCACTGTTCGTGTGAGCCTGCAAACGACGCGTTAGTGGGGTAAACAAATACAATGAGGAGAAGAAACTTGCTTTTCAAGCAGAATTGGCCCATTCATAGCATCGACTCTGCCGTATTTTTTGTTTCTTGTCGAGATATCGTAGAATTCATCACTGTTCTCTGACTGTAACAAGTTCACTGTCTGTTGCAATTCGTCCAGGTTTTCTCTCAAAATAGGCACCTCAAGGCTATCAACAAATGCTGCCAAGTACTCGATATCTTGGGCCAACGCGGCAACACCGTTAGGGTTAATTTTTTTCACTTCAGGTGACAAGGGTAACGCCTGGTATACTGTAATTAATATTTGTCTCAAAAGTGAAAAGGGTTGGATGGCACATACTAGGATTCTATTCGCTGCGTGACTCAAAGCGTCGAAATAAATAAGCTCCTTAATTTCAGTCGGAAGACCGAGTAGTGTGGAGTTCATGATATTAGACAGGAACCGAGTCAATGTCTGCATGTAATTACTGGGCTCAGACGGCTCGGTGATCGACACCCAGTCATATTCAGCTGTTTCAATGAGATCGTCTATTTTAGAATTAACAACCTCGAAAATGCGTTTTTCGGCCGCCTTTTTGTTGTTTCTAAATTTTTCTGTTGCGTTAAGAGAAACCGGTGCGGCAGAGGATGCCTGCGAGCGGGCTGCCACTAAGAGGGTCTCTAGTTCTTGACAGGCCATTTCAAAGTGTTCAAGGTTGATGAGGATCTGAACAATTTGTCCAAGATATTGTGAGCCAAGACGCTCAACAAGCGTTTCGCAGACTTGATTCGATAGAAGATCGTCCAAGGCCTATAACCAATAATGCAAATCAGTATATATAGCAGCCGGAAGCAAGGCAACCGAGATTACCGTCTTCAGAGTCTCGTCAATAATATCCAAATGAGGGAAATCATCATTTGAGAAGAAGTAGAACTGGTTCAGGAAGTTTCGAATGTCGATACAACAAAGGGGATACATCTGCGAAAATGGTAATACACAAGGAAACCTATACAACTATCAGCTTGTTTCTGCTTTTGATACGACCAACTTACACTTGTTCATGTCGCGGTTTTTCTGGGGTATACCAGCTAACATTAATAACTTTGTCAAATTCTTCGAGATTTTGGATCGGCATAGGCATGTAGTCATCGGTCGAAACGATCTAAATCTAGTTAACATTTTTGCTTTGGGTTCTCGGGAAGATCAAGGTTTTTAACCTCCTGAAAGTCATCGCTGAATCGTTTCTTTAATAGATCCGCATATTTCCCAAAGAGTGTCAAGAGCAATTTGTCAAATACACCAACCGAGAAGTTCCAGCTCTGCGATATCATGAGTATTCTTTTTGTGTTCATAATATCAACCCATGGTGTCAAATGACTTACATCCATTGCTTGCATGAAAAGTGCCACTAGATTTTTGATCTTGACCAGGTTTTCGGCGTTATCAACCTCATCAAGAGCTGCTGTGATCAAGCCAACCGCAGTGTGACACATTGAATCCCACAATTCCTCAACCTTCCGAGCAATACCGAGGTCAGTGAAACTTTTAGGAACATATGGAAAACAGAGTACAGAAGTAACGTACTTCAATAAGAGATCGTAGATCTGGCACTTTTTTCATCGTTGACCTTTCTACGATTGCAAAACCAGTCATTTCCTCTAGGAGGGTATGCAAACTAGCCCCATCTTCGTCAACCAAAGTTATGGAGTTTGGAAGTAAAAGCTCCTTTTGCCGACGCCGTGTCATCGCATATTCGGTTCTGAACTTGTCCATCTGCCCCAGGGAACGGTGAATGTGCAAACATTCAAATAATGGTGTAAAGTCGACTTGTAAGTCATCATTATTAAGTAGGTCGTATTCTTCGTGTTCATCGGCTACTAATTCGATAGCCGAATTGAGCTTAAATTGTTCCATAAATGTCAGTTTCTGGGCCCTTTCTTTCAATCGCGTCTTGCGGAGATCGGTGTGATAGAGCGCAAGCTCCCCTAAGTACTGTGACATTTCCCTTATTCGATACAACCACGTGTTTAGGTCTGACATAACAGCTTCGGCAATAGCTTTCTGGGTGGCTGGAACTGATCGCTGGATCAGCTCCGAAATTTTGTATTGTGTGATCTCTTTGAGATGAACATTTTGTAGCTCATCGAGTGCTCGGAGGGCCCCATAATGATTCTTCTTGCCCAAAAGGTCGTGCACTTGATTTGAAAGCCGAAGAACTTCCAGGCAATCTTGTAGCGCGCGATAACTTTCCACGATATTTTGGCGGTGACTCCTTGACTCCACCAATGCTTTCTTTTGTTCCGCGAGTTTCTCGGTACTAGTTTGAATCGACTGGTTGAGGTCTAGGATTTCCGAGGTGAGGCTGACTGTACCCTCGCGAATGCGGAGAAGTTGATTGACAGAGGTCACAAAATCTTGGTGGTTTGTATTGCAAATGTCTTCGATCTGTTCTTCTTTTTCGTTGGCAAAGCGCGACAAAGACCGGAGAAGCTGGTTTGTCTTATTTCCATAACTATACTCGCGAATCGAAGGAATGAGCTGATCTAGATAGTCGGAATCAGACGGGGACATAACAATCTATTGCATGGCATGTCAGATTAATCACTTGTATAACCATGTCGAGTCAAACTAGACTGATGGTGATTGTACCTGATTGAGGATGCTTGAGGAGTCATTTCGCGAGGTTGCGGACGGCATTGCGGCGGAATCAATGGATGCTGGGTAGAACAGAAGAGGTGATCATTTCCGGCAGTCGATAGCGACTGCGACGCGTAACAGTTGTTGCGACAAGGCGGAGGCAGACATATCAGTATTATCTTGAGACAGTAAGTAGTGATAGATCGTCGAAGTAGAGATAGCCCTGCTGGTCAATGCAGCCGTCATTCCCGTGTGGGGCCCGCCTTACAGTAGGGTGACAGTAGTTTGACTTTAACACCACAAAAAAATGGATGAGGTATAAGAGCCCTCCTTATATCATCAATACTGGTAATATTTGAACTTTTTGCATTATCCTCGGCGACCGCCCTCGAAACTCTTAATACTATATTCAAACTTTTGACATATTATTGTAGCTTAAGCTTCTGCGTCTGCTCTATATACAATAATATACAAATCCAGGATCAACCGCCCGCGATTCTGGACCGAAGCCCCAGTTCTTTTATTGGTATGGCCTTTAGTGCAGCCTATGTGAATTGCAAGCCCATTACCTCATGACTTGATACGTGGCTTTGAAGCCACTTTTGGCCTTGTTTAATAAAGCATGTTTTGTATCACGGCCTTTGTGCAGAGAGCATAAGCTGACCTCCGGATGAAAGATCACATTCACCAGGTGTATTCATCTCTTAAGGCCCGATATTCTATTATGTTTCTTGTCCACTCTATTACATCTTCTAGCTACTAGTCACTCACTGATATTGGTAAACCCTCACAAAACAATGACTAGCACCTTAAAATGCACAGAAAAAGTCCCCAAAGAGTTCTACTTAGTGTTTGTAGCCCTACCTTTCAACTCCGGGATAACCTTCTGTCCTATCAAAACCCTCTTTGAGACTCTTGACATGTCCTATATCGTAAAGCCTTCTTATCGCTATCTATAAACTGCTGCTGGTTGTCACAAACATAACACTATGAAGTAGCAGCTGCTTTGACATCCCCTATACCCTATAAGATACCCTCTTTACCTAGGTGCCCCGTTCAGTATCCCGGTTCACATATCCACGATGCATCAAGTGATCATGAGATGGTCCTCCCGGAAATCGATATCCTATCAAATATCATATGCCCCGTATTGCTCTGCCCTAGTGATAACTTCACATCCCTGTAGATGGCCTATGAAAGTCCACACATTGGTCCATGTCAAACACAGGCTATATCCGTTGCCTCGATAGAGGAGCCATTCTCCTATCAGAAGCCCTAAGCAAGCCTACCTCACCACTCACACTTGTCAAAACCGCCTTTTTCATTTTAGGTCCTGGAGAACAGCACTGTTTGAAATTCCTTGAGAAGCCGGCCACCAGCTTGGCTTCGTCCTGTCCTTCTTACTACCCTCATCCTCTACCTACACCCATCAACCTTCTCCCGAGTTGATTCCAAAAGTCTTGTTGCTTTCCTACATTTCCAATCTCTCGTCTCTGCGTAAAACCAGGCCTCGTGTTAAATCCACTAATTGAATCCACCTCAAGCCTCCTAAACTGATCTATTTGACACCGTATCTCAACCCCTCTTGAGCATTACCTTTTCGAGATGTTGTCTGATCGCAAAGTCATTGCTAATAGCCCTCACTCGTCCGAAGGCGCTGCAAATAATCTCGATTCCCCCGAGACAAAGTTGACTGTGTACTCACCCGAGAATTTACGGGAATCACTCAATTCTCATCTCAAGAGAAATGTTGGCCGTCCTGTTGAAGGCTTCAACACTTTCTCCATCGCGTAAGTTAGGGAGTGCAACTCATTTTCAGAAAGTTAACGTTCCGTCTTAGACCTGGGATGGATCCATTCACTGGACCAAAGTATTCTGTTCAGCCTGCTCAGCTCTCGCCTAGTGCATTGAGCTTTCCACCTTTTGGGGTCAGCGAGAGCCAGGCAAGCATAACTAAGGAAAGCCCCGTCGAAACGACTCACTATGCTGGTCTTCCCACTCCAAACACAGATTCACACCCCATCAGGCTTCTCCAAGGCCAAGGCACGGCTCCAGAAAGCCCATTTTCAGGAGCAGTTACAGGTCAGAGCCTTAGTAGAGGTAATGTTGGACAGGTATATCCTGCTCCTAAAAGCCGCGCTTTTGCCGTCGAATGTGTTTCCCCAATGCTGTCCCACCTGGCTTTGGCTAGTCTCTTCAGTGTAAGTTCTTCTTCACAAGCTTTACTCAAAGAAGGAGTGTTGAGAAAAATAACTAATATTTGTAGCGCCGGGAGTTCGAGAGTGTTAAAGGGCCCTGCCTATCGCATCTTAGCTCCATGGGTAAGTTTGTAGTGGGTTTCACTGATTTCCGTGATACCCACAAAGCTCTTGAAAAGATCCAAACCATGCATCCAGAGTGGAGAGTGATGCCCCTGACTGCTCGTGAGTATGCACAAGAGACCAAGGACACCGTTGAGAATGCTTCGGACTTTGAGGGTCATGTTATCATCATTATTCACCCCGAAAACACCCCCATTGGTATTGACCTAGCATCTATCTATCCAGCGATGCACGGCCTTGTGAAAGGCTTTGGGGCGGTCAGCAGATTCAAGGTAGTTTCGTTGCAAAATCGGGCATACGAATTTTTTGTCGAGTTTTGTGATACTAGGGATGCCGTGAACGCTGTGGCAGCTTTAAATGGTGCCTTTTTCGAGGTAAGTTCCGATTTCGTACTCTGTAATGTTTTCCAGACCTTGATTGACAATGTTCGAAGAACTTCGTTTTACAAGTCCAGCATATTCATCCAGACACTCAACTTTCTCAGGATAGTCTTTTGAAGGACGCAATCCATGACATCTCTCCCATCATGAGTTCTCGAATTCAGCTCGGAGCTCCTCTTCGTGGACGTGGGGTTGTCTTGAGTCCAACTGGACGATCTACCGTTCCAATGGAGGATATCTCTGAGCTAATGGACTTGCTTTCTCCGACGCCCAAGAGCGTAGGGTATGACCAGCACCATGACGGAAATCGGTTCGGCGACCAGCGGTGCAAACATCCCCAGAACATTGTGGACGTTGATCGTATCCGGCTTGGCCTTGACGTCCGCACAACCGTAGGATCATGACCCTTTCGCTTGCCGTATTAAGAAGTTTCGTACTGACTCTTTAACAGATCATGCTTCGCAATATCCCCAACAAAGTTGACTTGGTAAGTGCAAGACTCCATCAAGAAGATCCGCCATGTTAATTGATAATAGCCTCTATTGAAAGAGATCATTGATGAAACCAGCTTTGGGAAGTACGATTTCATGTACTTGAGAATCGGTATATCTCCCTTTTTGCTTTACCACTGACCATAATGAACAGAGCAGCAACTGACTTTTTACAGACTTTGCCAACAACTGCAAGTTCGTATATCTTGCCTAATATGAAAGTTCAATTGACCCAACTCTGTCACAGTGTCGGCTATGCTTTTATCAACTTTGAAGATGTAAGTTCTGAAAGATCGACATCAGGCAACTGTTACTAATCTCGCTGTAGCCCATTGACATCATTGATGTGAGCAATCGCCCATTTTGACTCTCGGGCCCGGCTGATCAAATGTAGTTTGTCCAAGCTCGAGCCGGACGCACTTGGTATTGACACCTTAATGACTTAGCCTTTTACATATTTCTTATGAACATGAATCAGGAACTGTTTCAACAGCGACAAAGTTGCTGAGGTTTCATATGCTAGTTCGTATCCCCTTACATTGTAGCATCATTCCTCTTGTATTGACAAGGTCGATCGTATAGCAATTCAGGGACGAGATTGCTTGGTGCAGAAGTTCAGAAACAGCTCCGTTATGCTGGAGGACCCATCATTCCGGCCCAAGGTGATAACATTTACCTCTGTCCAGGAATATGTCCAGGACTGACAACATCTAGCTATTCCACACTGGAAAAGGTTCCTTGGCAGGAACCGAAGAACCATTCCCTGGTCCTAACAACATCTCCAAGATGCGTCGCAGTGTTGAAAACGCGGAACAAGTCGGTGAGTAGCCTTGCTCGAAGGATACCGAAATTATTGATGCTAACCCATTTCCTCAGGCCTCTTCGCACCTCGTGTCACCCGCGATGTTCGACGGGGACATGGAGGACGCTCTGACCAGCCCTTGCAACTTCGACACAGCCTCTCCCAGCGCCAGCTGATGTTGACCGGCACACCGGAGACTTCTCCTATTCTAAGCCGTAACTTCTGAGTGTTGGCTTGTGGTTTCCCCACTGGTCTATTCTACACTGCTTGAAGCCGATTCACCAGTACGTTGATGATCGATTGGTGGCACGCTTCAGAGCACACATACAAGAGTGGTTATTAGGATTTGGTCGAAAAGGTTTCTCATCATTGTGGGTCCACGCTACTTGTTACGTAGATGGTTGGTTGTGGTTGAAAGTATCGCACACATGGAAGTGATTTGTCCGTCTATTCATGTTGAGGAAGTTTTTGCTCTGTTCAAGGAAACGAGTAGGAAAAGTGAAAAAAAAAAGGTGTTGAAGCATCGAAATGCAGTGTATCTAGTCTCTCGCCGACTAGTCAATCATGCCTGTATCCTATAGTATGAATGGAAGGAAGCATGGCGTGGGGCTTCGATATCATTCTCATTGCTAGCGGATGACTAAGAATCTTTAATGGAAAGCTTATTCCGACATGGCCATTAACACCTTCCACAGTTTGCCAGGACCAGCACATTCCATTCTCTCTCGCCATGGATCTGCTTCGAGTCGAGGAGGTGTCCTCGAAATTACACCTGGTATACCACCGTAACAAAAATCAGCACGGCCGGTCGGCGTGGTGGAGATGGCTCTCGATGCTCCGACGGACACTACTAAAACTACTCTCAACCACCCAATATGAAGGGCAAGAGTGCATCTCAGAATATTTGCATGCTTACATTATTCCAAGGTGCTATGTGTACGTTTAATTAAAAGCACTCCCCGGAAATTCACATAGATTCTGCAGTGTGATTGATGGTCATACTGCATCGACATACGATATATATGTATTATTCTGACGGCTCAAAATTTAGTGCGTTCTCTACTGTTGTTGCCGATGGGCAGTTTTCTACACTTGGTTCAGTACTTATGGCTGCTCTTGGTCAAATATGGAACGTCACGTCTTTGGGAGGGAAATCTCGACATTATACGGTTAAGAATAACTTGAAAACCACAGCAAACGAGGCGTACGCAGACGATATAGGAGTACGCATCACTCGCCTGACCGAGAAGCCTGACATGCTACAGCAGCCAAAATCTAGCAAAAAGGAGGCTTTGTTCTTGTCTGGTCACCAGTCGACAGTTAGGTGCAAGAAAGCCAAAAATAAGGAGAAGAAAAGCAAGGCTGCAAATGCTATCGATGATATTTTCAACGCTATTAAATAAGAGGGCCAACTTCATGATTGGCAGCATCCAAACCGAGCAAAGATGATATGAGTGTGGCGGTAAATACCTCAAACAAGCCATCTCGATAAGCCATTGGCCACCAATAGATTTAGTCCAATATGGTTTGCCAATGCCCATGCCACACTATACAAAAATTTGGGTGAAAAAACTGTCCACACAAAAAGGTGGGTTCTGAGCATGGTGCAAGCTGCCATCACTGACAGCAGATTAAAGGTAGTGTTGAACGATAGCAATGCTATGCGATCCGTTGCCTTTGCAGATGGAGAGTGATCTTGGACAAGTGTTGCTGAAATCCACCAAATTGGGCCTGCCCAATTGCTTATGAATGTAAGAAGGCCGACGATGAGAACATTATAGTCACTGACACCATTATAAGCATTAGATAAGTCGACCGAAGATATTGCATTTGAACCACCAAAGGCAAAGAAAGCCGTGTGCTGCATCAAGATGAAATTTACTGTAGCTTCAATGCTGGCTATGTGAACTGAATTGATAATCGATGCTTGAGCTCTGAACATTAAAAAAAGTGGGATGTTGGTCGCTCTAGATTGTGTCATCAGATATAATGTCAAAGCCTCGTGGAAGAGTTGTCTGCTTGCTCCTATCGGTTGAGTTAGAAACATAAACCATAACAGAGGAAATTGCCAGGCATTCATACCACTTTTCCGAAAACTGACGGCGGAATTCGAATACACGAGAATAGCCAAAAGCAGAGAAATACCCAAGAATACAATTCGGGCTTGTAAGACCAACGAGACTAGAATGTTCGATCGTACTATTTCAAGCATCCAGTGATGCAATATTTCCGGGGCATCAGCCGCGGTAAACGAGAGTTTGAAGGAAAAGGCGGCCATTGTTAAAGCAGCACATAACGGAATCCAAATCGACATCCATTTTTTACCTATGATCGGCGATGACTGAACCAAGCCACGGAAACTTTGCACATACGTCAAAAGGATCAGGGCCCAAAGTAATACTGGTTGAAGAGAGAGGAAATTCTGTACAATATCTGGTTCACCAGCGAATTTTTGACCAGTCTGATTCCATCGCCGCACAAGTCGATTGAGAATCGCAAGAAATGCCGTGCTCAAGGCACGAGAGTATAATATCGAGGAGGAGTCACGTTGAAGTCTAAGATAATTAGCAATATCAAAGTAGTCGAGGTGTTGTCCTTACGATCTAATATGAATATAAGTTGTCCACGCAGTAACAATCCAGTACCAGAATTGTTGCTCCTCTTCCACATAACTGCTGGCAAACATTATTCCTCCACTGAGCACTGCTGTCCCAATCAAGAAAATACCAGGAAATCCAGACCTTCGTAGGGGCCCAAGGGAGACAAAAAAAGACAATATACAGGCAGCACTGACTGCAATGCTGCCACAAAGTAACATTGAAACTTTATAACTGCTAGCAGCACTGCTCATAATACTCTGCGCTTTATATAAGAAGCGATATAGGGCCTCTTGAATGATATCTGGGGAAACACTGTTGTTTTTCAAGAGTTCAATTATTGAAAGCCATTCGCATTCGAGTTCTTCGATGGTGGATTGTGCCTGTAAACAGTTTGTATTAGAAGTTTCGGGGTTGAATGAGTATTTTGGATATGCCATTTTGATAATTCCCAGGATTTGCTTGGCGTTCTCAAGAGTAATGCTAAGCTTATCTGAGTCTACTCAGATATATGTTAGCAAAATAAAGCTGTCCAGTTTTCAGCCTGTTCTTACTTACCTGCTTCCCATATGTCAAGGAAATGTGGAATAAAAACACCCAAATTATTTAACGGTATAGGTACCCCTAAAAGCCCTGCCAATGTTGGTGTAATATCTGACTGCTCCACTGTGTTGAAGTACTGAAATTCATCCGAAATTTCAGTGGGAAATTGAACACTGGCGGCGCGCTGTCGTAGCTTTGGAGATATGAACGTCAATGCGGGAGAAGTCTCTCCAGCAGATGATCCTCCATGATTGCCAGCTTCGTTCATTCCATGATCTCCACATAGGACAAGAAGAGTATTGTGAAGATGTTCCTCTTCCACCATCGCAGTAAATATTTCTTCAACTACAGCATCCATCTCCTTTTGCTTAGGAAGCATGTGTGAGCTTGATGGTGTCAGCTCCGTGGATCTAATTCCGAGTGGTATACATTTCATACCTCCTAGGACCAGCTTTATGACCTATATGATCTAATCCAAGGTAATGGAGTATTATCACAGACCAATCATCTCTCACGAGTTCATCAGGGATATGGCGCGTAACATTGTTGTCTACTTCGATAAAGTCCTGAGATTAGTTAATCTCATTGTATGGTTCTGTTTTCCAACGGGGCCGAAAACCCACTGAAACAAAGAAACTAGTAGTTCCATCAAATCTGTCGAAGGTGTCCGGGAATAGATTTAGCCAGGTATCATCCCCATACATAACTAGTTGCCCAGGCAGTCCTTTCTTGAATTGTGCGAGGATTGTATCTTGGTGAGTAAGCGTCGACATACTCTCAGACTGGGCAATATTAAGGATGACATCGGAGAAAGATGGAACTGAACCCGTTGTTATGGCCTTTATTCGAGGCATCGTGACCGTCGGAGAGCTTGCGTGTGCTGTGAAAGGCAATGCATTTCCTGTACGGATCAAACTACGGGAATTAGCCTTTAATGTCCTAAGGGGGGAAAGGATTGAAATCTATGACTTACTTCTGAGTGAAGTAGAAACCGGAATTATTCGAATATACAAAATCACTGAATCTGAATGAGCGCCATTTATATGCAAACCATAGATGTAGCTACCTGCGCAATGCGTCAACGACCATGATAACTACCTTATCAAAGATAGCAGGAGCTTTCCCAGAGTCCAAATTCGAGGCTATACCCGGTATAACAGGCTTATAGGGAAAATAGCCGAAGGAGAAGAGTAACACAGCAATAGGAATCAACGCATTGGCGATGACAAGCATCGCTTTTGACGCGCTGACTGCCATCTTGTGCGCAATTGCGAGGAATCCCCTAGAAATGGTGACAGGTGGCAGTTTATCATAGAACCAGCGCTTCCTGGAACCATTGGCAAGAATAATTTCCCATATGAGCTAATCCATTCGTTGTTGTAAACACCTCCTTTCTCCGATGATGCTTATTATTTTGCCATCTCATGAAGCTTGGCTTGTTCACCGCTTTCCATATCGGGAACGCAATCACTTTTGAGTCTAGATTTTCTGGAAAGAACAAGATGATTTAGAATCTACACAGCTAATTCAAAAGGAAGTTCGGTACTATTATGTATAACTAATACGGATCTGACTCTATACATGACTCCTTCGGAAATTTCAATGTAGGGGAAGTATGAAGAATCAGAACAGTAACACTTAGGTACTGGAATCTCCTGATGAATAATTGGAGAGAAAAAAGCGGAATTTAAATATGAAAGTGCGCTAAGTCTCCGTGTTTCGACACGAAAACAGATTACTGGCGTTGGGATTATCAATCTTGCTTTTTTGAAGCTTCTATCAAGACGCCGGTTTTGAACCACAGTCCTCGCATTGAGACGGAACTTTTGGAAAAGTAGGCTCCTCATGCGGGATGAATATACTTTCGAGTTTGCAAGTTGCAATTGCGAAGTTCTAACATCGACTTATTCGATGGCCTAGCTGAGAATCCAGTCGCATTTCAATGGCAACAGTGGCACCTCTTGATACATCGATGGCGGTTTGTCTTCCCACAGAGATGGTATAAATTGATGGAATTGTAGCGTTAATACCTGTATTTGAGCGAGCTTCTAGGTCAAAGCCTAGTTCTTTTTATTTCGTCGTGGCTTGGAAAACGCGATTGAATTGCGGGGTTTCTTGGTGTGTTTTTTCACACGATTCAAGTGTTTCTTTGAGGATTTTGGTTTGTCGTTTGCTTCATCGTCAATAGCCATTTCTATGAAACAATGGTAAGCCATTTGGACCTTTGTTAAAAATAATCAATTTCGTATTGGCAACTTACTAGAGCCCACATCTTCTGGTAGTCCCTCATCTTCTTGAATCTTATCGCCTTGGGAATAGAGTTAGATAAATGCTAATCTATGAAGCGAAGTGTAATTACCAGAAGAAATACTAGAAGGATCGACTGGGAGGGGTTTTGCAGCCAATTCTTGTAACTTCGCCGACAATCTTGCTGTTCTCGCGTCGGCGGCAGGGCCGAAGATTGTGCTTCGAAGTTTTGCGCTATTGCGCTTCCGAGTGCTGGAACGAACGCTTTTGGCCATATTCAAAGGGAATTTTCTGAGGTACCAGTAAGTCAAGAAATATATATTTCTGGGGAAAGTCGGAAGTGGAAGTTCTGGGCGGCGGAAATAATTAAAATTGCGGCAAGCATTTTTGGGTCTGGTTTTGGATTATGTCATCACAGAATATAGTCAAGAGTCTCGATAGTCAACGGTGGAAGTCATTCGGGATATACTGCGCCGTATAGCTCTCGTACGGGATGTGTCCATCCCTGTGAAATCTTGATATGCCTTACTACGTGCTACGATAATGAAAGGGCCGTTTCCAAGCAATTACCTTAAAAGAGTTGGAACTATTCGCCATCACCGCTGACAAGAAGCTTGAAGATGTCTTCTGCAGGGCAGGCGCCTGAACTCCTGGGCATGATTGCCCTGGTGAAAACGTTGACAAACGTTCAAATGAAAGAGATTCTGAGGAGTCAAAACCTCACAGTATCTGGGGTCAAATCAACTCTACAGTTGCGCATTATCGCATGTCAGTGAGAACCTATGGTTTTATAACCACTAACATTTTTTGTCAAGTTCTTCGTTTGTTGCAAACCAACTAACATCACCGCTTCCTTGAGTAGGTCTTGAAAGATTTTATCAGAATGGACAAATGGATCACTACGATCGCCTCAAACGATTTATCTACTCCCTAACCCATCGCTCACGCACGCCTTCCTCCCCCGCCACTTTATCCCATCAGCCCCAGAGCAATTCCTCTCGAACATCGCAAGCGAAAGATAATTTGGGATCTACAATGTCACCTCAGCCTTTTTCAAATGGTCCGTTTCCCTGGACCCGCTGAACAAGCGAACCATAATTAACGGATGTGTAGGACGTTTGTCGTTTAAGGAAAGTCCATTCTACTCGATACTCGAACCATTGTCCTCGACGGTCGAATGTAAAGGTATGATTTGTTGTGTATGGTTGAGACTTTTCCTGATAAAAATGTTAGTTCGCGAACAAACGCGAGACACTGTAGAGCTGAAATTCGCTCTCAGCTCTTCAGTTGTTTCGAGGTTACAAAACGACCCAAATCTACGGATAATGGTCTTCTGTGCCGCTGATACTGGGCTCAACCAGTTCTCAAAATCTGATGTTGCTTTTCCTCACCAGGTTGAATTAAGGGCTAATCTTGATGAGGTGAAAGCCAATTTGAGAGGGCTGAAAAACAAACCTGGTACTACTAGGCCAGCTGATGTCACCAATTACATTCGAAAGAAGGTTGGGTATTCAAATAATGTTTCAATGACATTTGCGTTAACTCAGAAGGTATGCTTTGTCGTACTACACCACGTTAATCTGCTAACTAGGGAGTAGAAATTTTATGTTGTTGTCAATCTTGTGAAGCGACGCCCAGTTGAGGATTTGGTAGAAGAGCTAAAAGCAAGGAAAACAATTTCGAAAGAACAGGTTTTGCGTGAAAGTAATGTTTACCGAGAGTCAAAAAAAGTGTTGCATGGAGCTGACATTGGGTAGTGCGGAGTCGGGCCGATGATGCAGATATAGTGGCGACATCAAGCGTCATGTCATTGAAATGCCCTTTGTCTACTCTCAGAATTGAGGTTCCTTGTCGGTCTGTGCTATGCACTCATCACCAATGCTTCGATGCTTCGTCTTTTCTACAATTACAGGAACAAGCTCCGACCTGGACGTGTCCTGTGTGCAATAAGTCTACCAGTTTTGAGTCGTTGCAAATCGATCAGTAAGTACTTTACCTTACATGTTGAATTCGCTAGCTAATTATGCAGATACGTGGATGAAATACTTCAGTCCACTTCATCGGATGTTGAACAGGTGACTATCGAGCCGACAGGTGCTTGGTACAACACAAGATCGGACGATCAGACGCAAGATGACGAAGTCGCTACTGGCCTCGACGATGATTTCATCGAGATTGGCCCTTTCTTATCACCAAGATTGAAGCGAGAAGAAGCATCGGAGTCCACAGATTTGTTTGGCACACCATCAACTCAAGATGGACTAAGAACGCCTAATATTCCAAAGTCAAGCCAGAAACGGTCGGCGCCCGTAGTCATAGACCTTACGGGCAGCGATGAGGATGAGACGCCATCTCGGCCAACCAAACGGCAAGCACTTGATACCATAGATCGTGGATCTCGTGGCTCTCGGAACATATATCAGAATGGGTTCACCAGCAATGGCGGCCATGAAGCTTCCTCTAGTAACGGATCTCGGTCATCAGAGCATACAACTCTTTATATTGACGTGTGATTTCTTTGGAATGCTTGCCCTGACGCATAGCCTTGGTAGCATGTGGTGGGAGCGATAGGGAGTTCTCGTACATTACTGCATTGGAGCGAATTTTATGTTTATTGGCGAAAAGGATCTCATAGTTCTACGGATTAGAGCATTTCTGACTGGGCTCTTTCTTGTTCTTGTTCTTTTTTTCCTTTTTTCGCACCATGTTACATAAACTGTTGAAATGGACAATATCAGTGCTATTTGAGCAAAGAGTACATTATGACAACCATTCGAGAACTGGGGTGGACTCCCAGAAGCAATTAAATGTATTTATAAACTCGATGCACAAGTCTAAATAACATATGGATTGCTTAAGCGGGCACTCAAAGGAGACCCACCTATGCCGTTGTGGCCCAGCCCCGACCAACGTCAAGCTCAACAGGTACTATTACTAACTATGATTATTACGATCATTACTCCTCCTTTTGCGGGATAATATATCAAAGACCCTGGCTTGACGACTTCTACAGGTCACTAGTAATTCTGCATATCTCAACCCCCGTCCATACTCACCAATAAGATCGCATAAGCCGAGCATGTCGTTCGACACACAAACTCCGCCTTTCAATGCCTCCGATCCTTACGCGCGTTTCCTCGGCGCATCATGCCTCGATTTGCTTTTAATAGAGATTGTGCCTATGGCGGAAAGGCTAGCGTCAGAGTTTACGCTCACAGAAGAAAAGGAGAAATCAGAAGAAGATGAATTACGGGAGGCTACCTTTTATCGGTTGGATTCGTTGGGTTATCGAGTGGGACAAGGTCTTGCTGAAAGGTAGTCCTGATAATGGCCACAGTTATTGTTCAAAGACTAAGTTTGATACAGATTCTCACGAGATCGACCTCGGTTTGCAGACAATCTGGACGTGATTAAATTTGTGTGCAAGGACCTGTGGACAATTTTGTTTAGGAAACAAATTGATAACCTAAAGACAAATCATAGAGTGCGTTCCTGGAACCATCCGGAACCATTTTTAAGTTACTTGGCTTGTCATAGCTTACAGTTATTCTAGGGCGTCTATGTCTTGACAGATAATGCGTTTCGACCACTGGCGAAAATGAGCATGTCAGTCAGAAGCGAAGCAGTATCTCGAGCGGAAGCGGTATGCGGCTTTCCATAGCACAAGAGATAATACAGCTGATATCTATAGTTTCTTTGGTTTCCTTGTGGGCTTATTAGGGGATGCCTGGCGAATCTTGGTATCAATGCCACTGTGCAGGCGGAGACATCAGAGCTTCCAGGGGCTACGTTTCAAATCAAAGCTACGCAGGTGAAGACATGAGGTCGGGTATTCATTTCTGGTAAACAATATGCAGTATTGGGCGCTCCATCAGAAATGCAGCCGACCTCTCGTACGCCCAGGGCTCCCCAGACTAGCAGTGCTGACTTGTTCCAACAACAAAGAAGCTGTGGAGGTAATGATGCCCTAACCGACCTCGAAAACGTTTCTAAAGATGCACACAGTCAAATCAAGCCGAAACCTTTTAATTCCTTCAGAAGCCCATCTTTATCCAGTCATCACGTATCAAAGCCTATCTTCCAAGACAACTGAATTAGCAGTGCCCTCCTAGCTATATTTATCGGGTAAAATTCTATGTTTAAGCAGCTCGGTAAACAGTTTTGTTGAAGAACAAAAACGTTAATTGAGGTGATTTGGAAAGGCCAGAAAAGGGAGCAGATAGAGTGGGTTTTACTTTGGCGGGGGTTCTTGACGAAGTCAATGCCCTTGTCAATATTCGTTTTGAGGCCTTTGACGGCAACTTCGAGCAATTTCTTTTCTTCCGTGGTGGCGGCTTCAAGGATATTGATGGCACGCTTGGCACCGTCAGGCTGTATCGTGAGTTAGCAATTGCACAATATAAGAAACATATTCGAAACACTATACCCCAAGTTCCACAGGCACGGAGAAAAAGTCCACGCCAGTCACTTTAGCAACGGCATCACCGCCTGGCACACCGGGGAGATAAACAAATGTGGGCTCTGCGACGCTCTCGGTGCCCTTCAAAGCCTTGATGACATTCTCGGCAAATCTATACATGAGAGTCAGCTTACTCCGTTGCAATGACACCACATTGAGCCCACCTGTATCCAGCGTATGCCATCGAGAGGGTAGCTGAGCCAGCACCGTCCTTGGCCTTGACCACCTCGTCACCGCCGAATTGAACACCTATAGGATGGATGAGCTATTGCTTGTTTAAATGCCTCAAGGAGGAGAAGACTTACGGTTCACCAAGGCGTCGTATTTGTCGGCAGGGATGTTCAGAGACGGCTTTGCTTGGCTGAAAAGAGGCACAATTGTGTCTCCAGAGTGACCTCCAACGACAGGAACAGTGGCCTTGGAGGGATCCTTCTCTCCACTATACTCTTGAACAAATGTCTCGGCACGCACAACATCCAAAGTAGTAACACCGAAGAGGCGCTTGGGGTCGAAAACACCGGCCGCCTTCAAGACTTCGGCAGCAATTGGGACGGTGGAGTTGACCGGGTTGGAAATGATGAGCACGAAGGCCTTAGGGCTAAACTCTGCTATACCTTTGACCAAAGTCTGGACGATACCAGCGTTGACCTTGAAAAGGTCGTCACGGGTCATTCCAGGTTTACCTACCCAAGGTTGAGTCAGTTTTCGACGCACAAAAATTTAGACAGAGAGCTCACGGGGAATTCCAGCAGGAATGACAATGATATCAGCACCAGTGAGTGCCTTTTTGAGACCATCATCCGCTGGCAAGTATCCCTCTATTTTCTATAGAAAGTGTAAGCCGCCTTTTACATAGCGATAGATGAAAGAACACTGATGGATATGAGCACGTACAGCGGGGCTCGAGATGTGCGAGAGATCAGTAGCCACACCAGGGGTGTTGACTACATCGTAGAGAGCGAGCTCGTCGACGAGAGGGCTGGCTTTGAGGAGAAGAGAGAGAGGCTGTATGAGCGAAGTTATTAGAATATGGATATCTGTATATACAAGCTGGATGAGCGTACTTGGCCGATGCCACCGGAGGCGCCGAGGACAACTACACAAGAGCCAATTAGTACCATCATAAACAACTCCAAGGGAAACGAAAACTTGACACACCTGCTTTAACCATTTTGTTGATTGTATCTGTTGTGAGAGAGAATACGTCAGTTTAATGCAGAGATAGGTAAATTGACACTGCTAGTCTCGGCTAGAAAGGTGGAAGCTGGAAGCTGATGAGTGATGCTGACTAGGAGGGTTGATTATATGGAGGGTGTGGGGTAGGTATATGAGGGGTTGACGAGGAAGGGCTCACCGAGGGATAATTCTGAGGAGGTCCCCTGGTGAGACAATATTACGGATGAATTCGCACTCAATCGCTTGACGCCCGGTCTGCCGTGTTACTTTAAATACAACCACGTTCCCGATCATGGATCCCGGATAATTTCATATCGTGAAATCATCTCGAGAGCACTGGTCCGAACCTCGGGAAAAGGCGGGTGCATGAGAACATCGTCAGACAGCTCGGCTTAATACATCGGTTACCCGAAAGAATTGCATAATACTAGACAATTTACAGACAAGAAAGTGGATGTAATTCCGTTGTTTGTGTAGCTCATGTATATTCTGCCAGCCGGGCAGCGTATGAAATTATCTAGAAAGGAAGAATGATGCCATCTTGTCACCCACTTCCAAGTCTAAGTGCCATCAAATTGACCAAGGCCGTGCTTTCATGATGCCTCCATCCAAGCTGGACTTCGCAACTACGGTCATTTCCATGTGACTGCGCTGCAAAAAAAGCCCGCATAATCTTGGTATATCGATCACAGTGTCTCCTCCCCACCTTATTTTCAAATTGATGTAGTTTACTCGGACTCGGCAGCCTTCTTAGCCTTAGCACCTCGGAGCTTAGGCGCAGGAGTCTCTTTCTTGGGCTTCTGGGAGCGGCGGATGGCGCTGACACGAGCAACGGCGGCTTCGCGCAAATCAGCACGGTACCCGTTCTTTGCGGTGCTGCTGGCGACACTCTTGTAGATCCTACACAGGTTGACCAATAAGTAACTGCGGTGAAAAGGCGCAAGACCAATACAGTCTTCTGGGGTATAATTAAAGGCAATGCTTACTTGCGATTCGATGTGTTAGGGCCGTATGAAGTAGTGCGGATGTTCTTGGCAGGGTTCTGGGTGTTGCTTGCGTTCTTTGCGATCAAAACGACGCCGCCGGTCTCACCGGGTTGGAGACTAAGAGCCTGATCGTTCTTGTAAGCTGACATCTAGAAAGCGACATGACTTGTAGTTGGTACCTTCTCGTTGGCATATCCAGCGTACTATACAGAATCAAAATTAGCCTCATTAATCGGGACAGGCTCGAATTACACATATGTACCTTGCGGGAGTGGTAGTTGGTAGGGTTCAAGGGGTCGCGGGAGAATTGAACACCTCCAGCGCTGCTGCGCTTGACCAGAAAGGCGTTCTGGTTGCCTGTATAGAATATTAGCAGGTGGCTATATACAAGCCGTCTGCGATTCGCAAATGCATCATTAGGAAAGCCACATACGGGTGAGCTGCCAGACGAGATCGCTAGAAACGTTGGCCATTTTGTGGGTTATGCTGATATTCGACTATGGTGTTGAATATCTCAATATCAGCTCCAGCCAGATCTGTATAATCGGTCGATGCTGAGATCAGTAAACTTGTGGGCGGCACTCGCTAATGAGTCTCGATTGGGTAAGGCGCCGCTGTTCTTGGCAGAGTCTCCTGCGTGCGAGACTAGCCCCGATTGGCAATAGTCGAGAAGGGCGTCGCGGCCTTCTGTCTCAGGCAGAAACGGGACTGTCGGAAGGGACGGCGCAGGAGATCTAAAGCGGCCTTGAGCTGACACAGGACAACTCCAACTACATACGACCGCTTCATCCATAGGGAGTGTAATGAGCATAGCGATGTAGTGGCGATAACTGTCGTTATAATCTTCACTACTTTCCTGGATCATACAGCTATTATTGCCGCTCATTCACGCACGCTTGACGGTCGCAGCCACTTACAATGGCCTATATTCTGTATAGCGTCACTTTCCTTGTCCTTGTCATTGGCACTGGTACGTCTAGGTCCTTTCGACTTATACCTAGTCAGTACTAACATGAGGTTCATCTCCAGTTCTATATCTGACTAGATCGCGATGGCTTCACCATGTTCCTATGCCGGACTACCTGTATGACCGACTGCCTACAAGCTTCACCGATGACATAGAAGCTGGTTTTACATCATCCGACTTTGATCTTACGAACAACGTTGCTGAGGGCGATTCGAGGTCTGGGCTAGATAAAAAGGCGAAACGAGAAATCAGAAGGATAATGAGAAAGCGACGGGTCAACTTCGATGAGGCACGTCGATTATATACAGAACAACGCTTCGCAAATAATAATATTGGGCCTGATGGTCGGCCGAGGGATCCTAAATTTGTTTCCTTCTCGTGACATGAGCTTTCTGTGCTTCTTGACTTGATTATTCCTTCATTTACCCATTCAATGAGCTGTGCTTTTCTCATATTACCTCATTCATTTGCTGTGAAGTCCGTTGATCAATCTCTCAGCCTTTATCACTCATTTTGTCGTCTCTTCGTTTCATAGCAACTTCCTCCTATCAAATTTGATTGTCATAAACTGGAGAGTTCTCCAAAATTTCCTTATCCGTTGTCTTAATGCTTGCTCGGGTTTTATCCACGTATCGTCAGCTGTATTGTTATTATCAGGAATATTCATTCCTAGCTGGAAGCCGGATCATATAGCAACTTTGTCTGCCTTCGAACTAGCTTGCCTTCGAAACCCAACATGTGTATAAAGTGTGGTCTTTGATGGAATTCAAGTTCTCGACATGTTTTATTTTCACTTTCATCGGGCCCTTCCATAGCCAGGTGGTTGGAAGCCCGGAGGTAGTGGTGGAGGTGTTGCTTGTGAAGGCACACCTCCGAAACTAGGAGCTGGAGCGAATCCAGGTGGTGCCGGAGCCTGATTGAAATTCGACTGTGGTGCCGCATTGTTGAAGCCCGGAGGCATGAACCCTTGTGGACCACCGTATCCTGCTTGAGAAGGAGGTGGTCGCGCTGGCAAACCTGGTGGCGGTGCGGCTAATGGCTGTGCAGGAGGCCCAGGTCGTGCTTGTTGGGGAACTTGCATAGGCACGGCGCCTCTGCCGGTACCGAAGTCGGTAGGTGTAGAAGGGGGCAAAGGACGCGCCGCATCTCCATTGACCATGCCCCCGGCGACAATTGGAGCTCCTGAACCCATAAGGTGCGGCTGTAGTGGTTGAGTTTGAGGCTGAACATTGTGCTTGCGAGCTTGGGCAGCCAGCATTCGCTCTGCTTCATCACCATGTCGCTCGCCTTTTCCATCCTTTTTATAAGCATACTGAACTGATATTTCCTTATTCATAAGATACTGGCCGTGCATATTAGTGATCGCTGTATCGGAGGATTCGAAATCGGAGAATGACACAAAGCCATAGCCTTTTGATAAATTCGCATCGTCTCTGGCGACCTTTTTGAATAAAAATTTAGCTTTATTTCCATCAATGTTCTAGACACACATGTAGCACGCACCTTAGGTAGAGAGAGCAAAGAGCCAAACCTGCTGAACGTGTCATATAGCACTTGTTCAGTGACCATCGGATCTAAATTGCCCACAAACAGTTCTGCACCGACTTCCACAGTCTTCTGCTTATCTGCAGACGCCTTGTTCACGCGGATCGGCTTTCCATAGAGGCGCACTTGATTCATAATTCGAGCCGCATATTCAGCATCTTCTTCGCTAATGAACTCCACGAACCCATAGCCCTGGTGTGCTTGAGTAACTCGATCTTTGGGTAAGTGAACATTGACAATCCGACCGGCTTGGAGCATCAACTCCCAGACCAGGCTATCTGTTACGCGCTCATCGAGGTTGCCAATATAGACCGTTGCCTCTTTGTCTTGTTCCCTAGGGTAGTTTTCAGCAGGCGCAAAATATCATTCAAGGTCAAGAAGGTCTGCCTACCAATGTCTTGCGCCCGACATGGCGCAACAAGTTGCGAAGGAACTTACGCAAAAGGGAAGATTCAACTATGTTTTAATGACTTGTCTATTGCAAAGACAGCTGGGGTTTCCTGGCAGAGAATTGATGGGTGGTGAAAAAGCTTTTGGTTGCGGCAAGCTGCTGTATCAAAGCCAGGAAGGTGGCCGGGAGGCTAGGGAGGCTAGTCTCCGTTCTTGCGGGCTCCGGAGCACACCCGAAAATGTCGAGTGTCAACCTCTGCTGTTCTTTTTCAACGACATCACCGACGTGAAAACAACGAAATACCAAGCACTCAACTAAGGCATAATTCAACCCTCTTTATTAAACATTGAAAGGGCTCTGTGACACTTCTTCAAGCTGTGCATCGCATCAACACATCCAGCATGGTCCAATTCTCAGAAGAAACCAAGGTTTGTCAAGTTATCAGAATCGCCTTATTCAAATCCATTCTCACAAGAACCGTCTTTAGGAGCGTATCTCCAAGGTTATCGACATCTCCAGAGTTGCCATCCACTAGTGAGCCGGCCATACTCTACCTCTTAAACTCACTCTAATAAGTTTTCTCAGTGGATATCTTCCTTTAATAGTCTACCTTGGTATGTTCTTCAGAGTGTCATCAACAAAGATAAGCTCATAAAGATTGATCAGGTTACACTTATACCGAACCAAGACCCAGTTTGTTCAAGTGCGCGCCCCTGCCTTAGTTCTATGGCCGCTCGTGACTAAATCTCATCCTAGACTTTTCTCGCCGCTCGCATAATATGGTTTAATGAATCTCCCTGATATTGAAAATTTTGGTATGATTGGTATTGCGAAGGAGGGAAAGACGACAGTATCTGGACAGATTCATTGACTGTGTGTGGTTCTTGACACCGCCGATTTGTTTGGGTATGGATGGGTGCCAGCTTTGTATATTAGATTGGAGTATGATTGATGGTTTATTGGGCCATAATATTTATGTAATTCACCGATCTTCATTACTGCTTTGAAATCGATTACGCGTACCGTCGGTTTTATAGAGTGTTACTTTGCTAAGTCTCTAGATATGCCAACAATATAAACATATCCTCTGAATGCTTATTATTAATCTCATAGAAGCTTTGCATAAACGAGGGGAAAATCAAGGAAGAATTCATGAATTCTATAGTACCTATTATATAGTGGTTTTAACCAGTGAGCAAATACTTTTTAGTACTATTCCTACATCTGACTGTATTTCATCACGGGAGCTCAGACATCGGCGCGCACCAATCACGTCTACATCGGCTATCATTTATCCATTAATTTCTAGCTCCTCGAAAACCATCACCAATTCTTCAACTCCCCCAAACCCACCGTACTGACTGCCATCGACACCAAAGTCTTAGGTCATCGCCTGGGACCATTGAGTCAGTAAATGCGCGAGAGAAATGCCTCGTCGGTATCCTATGTTGAAACGGTAGCTGGTTTCACCGCTGGAACCGTGTCGACACTATGTCTGCATCCGTTGGATCTCGTCAAGACGCGACTACAGAGTAAGCTATTCTTTTCGGGAGATTGTGTAGTCTGCTAACTTATGTGTGCTAGTCGATTCCATATCCCGGTCTCGTGTCGGTGGCTCGATCCGCCTCATTCGCAATGTCTATAAAACTGAAGGCGGCATCGCCGCGTTCTACCGAGGACTGTCACCAAATATAATCGGGAATTCGACGAGCTGGGCTGCGTACTTTTTGTTTTATGGGAATATCAAAGACTTCTTGAGACATGAGAAAGGGGTCGATAGCGAGGATGGACTGGGAGCGTCGGGATATTTCCTGGCTTCAGGCGCAGCAGGTAAGCGATCCTATAAACACAACTGTAGTTGAACCTACTCACATGTCAATTACTTTCAGGCGTATTGACATCCATCCTCACGAATCCAGTATGGGTCATCAAAACCCGTATGCTGTCGACCGGGTCGAGTGCCCCCGGCGCCTACCCATCCTTCATAGCAGGCGCTCGCCAAATCCTAGCATCCGAAGGTCTCGCTGGATTCTATCGCGGTCTCGTCCCATCTCTATTTGGCGTCAGCCACGGCGCATTCCAGTTCATGGCTTACGAAAAACTGAAATCACATCGATTGAAGACCGTGCGAGAGCTGGGTAATTTGGATTTTCTCTTTATATCCGGATTATCCAAGATCTTTGCTGGGTGTATTACCTACCCGTATCAGGTGCTGAGGACTCGACTGCAGGCGTATCATGCATCTCTTGTATACCGAGGCGGTGTCTGGGATGTGATGCGGCAGATTTGGAGACAGGAAGGTATCACGGGGTTTTACAAGGGATTGGGGCCTAATTTAGTCCGTGTGCTGCCGAGCACTTGGGTGACGTTCCTGGTGTATGAGAACACAAAAGGCCTTCTACTGTGAACTGACAGCCGTCAGTGTAATATATGAATGATGTATGTAATATATAATAATGGATCAAGAACGGATTCTTGAATGTATAATCTCATCTTCTCTATTATTTATATATAATACTCTCTCGTGATAAGGTATTTTTGAATGATTGTAAACTCCGAAAATCGCTCACAAGTTTGCTATCGCTGTTAATGCTCCTTTTTGGTATAGAATGGCTCATGATGCTGTAAATGGTGGTGTACAAGGTTCGAAGAATTCCCACCGTGATGATGGTTAGGATGATGGAGATGAGTATGGTGGGGATTGTGTTGGTGGTAGTGATGCATGTAGCGCTGCTTATGAAGCAGCTCTTCGTCATCCTCTCCGTCGTCATAGCTGCTAATCGACCCTTCATCGCTGGGTGGTGGCAGTTCTTTGGTCTCAAGATCTTTGTTTTCTGTATGGTGGTGAAGCAGAGTTGAGTAGGATATTTTGCGGTCTTTGCCCCGTCCCTTGATCCCCTTGTTGCTATTTTTGTAGAGACTAGAAAAGTATTCCCATAGATTGCGGTCATCAGGCGACATGGAATCCGGATCGTTCAGGTGCGCGAACCGAAGAGTCAGGTTTCTGAGCGTCGTAGCATGGAATTTGTTTTGGTGGGACTGAAAGGGGACTCGTTAGCTGTGATGCCTGGTGGTATTCTAGTTGTAGAGACCACTGACCTTGAGATTTCCCAGTTGAGTGAATTGTTTCCAGCAGTTGTCGAGCTGACATGTATATGGTTTGGCCTGCTCATGTGTGATCTTATGGGCCCGAACATTGCCTCGCTGGGCAAATTTCTTGTGGCAGATATCGCAGGAATAGGGCTTCTCGCCGGTGTGTCTGCGTTCATGTGTCTGAAGAGTAAAGTCAGAAGTGGCACCCAAAAGGGGCTAAATAAAACCTACTCTCAAGTTGCCCAGTTGCGAAAAACGTTGCCCGCATGATGGCTCGTTGCATTTCTGATATGAATTAGTATGTTTATTCTCTCTAAAAGAATCCCATGAGCTTCGCTGGAGGTATTGGTCGCCTTACAAATGGTTTAGCGCCCGTATGAGCTCGCATGTGGATGTCTAGATGGGTTTTCTGAGTGAACAGTTTCCCACAGCCAGGTAACGTGCATTGATGCTTGCGCTTTTGCTTTGTAGTCTTTTCTGGGCTACTTGCTGTAAATCGAGCGGGTTCAGGGTTTGGGGTTGGAAACTGGTATGTTGCTACACCAACTTGATAAGGGTTTGGTGGTACATGAGCCATATGCTGCTGGATTGGCGATATCTGGGGCGCAGGGGTGGTAGAACCTTCGTGAGACTGGATTGTTTTCATGAGAATGTCAATTTCCGTGGAAAATTCCACATCGGTTGGAAGCGCGGAAGCGTCATGTTCCTTTTTGATATTAGGAGAAGGCGGTTGAGGAGCAACAACGAGCGTCTGACCGGGATGATGATAGTTGCTAGGGATGCGTGGCTGACTGTCTTGAGGTAATCTGGCGTGTGGTATTTTCGACGGTTGATGCTCCGGAGAGGAAGATGGCAGAGACACGGATTCAGTGGAGATTCGCGTAGGCTGATGGTGGTGAGACGGAGGCGCCGAAGCAACAGGCTGAGGCGGAGGACAGAAGAACGGCTGCTGCTGATAGGAATTTTGGAAGCTTCCCAGAACTTCATAAGGAGCGGAGGCTAGATGAGGCGCATATGCCATGGAAGTGGTCGAGAAGTAGGGTAGACTGGGGTGATCGACATGAGAGCCTAGATAGCGAGGCGGCTCCATGGCCCTCAGTTCATTGTTCGGGATCCTATACGACACGGGCACAGTTGCTTCCATGGTGCTGCTCTCTGGAGGGTGGGCGGGCGAGAGCAGGAGGGCAACGGAGCCTGTTTTGTCTGAGTCACTGTGCTAGGCGAGAGTTGAAAGCAAACTTATAATGGCGTCGGGTGGAAACGTCACTATCCGGAACGAAGTGGCTGTAAGTCCGAAATGCAATGTCCGAACCACTTCTAATATAGCTGATTGGAGCTGGTCTGCGGCAGTGAGTAGACTCAGAAGGGAGCTAAATGCAGAAGAGCAGAGAAGCAGGTAGTAGGATTCTCAGAGCTAGCTAGCTGCAGTGACGAGCCGAAGTACATGTAATAGGGACAAGGCCAAGTCAAGAGTGACTGAGCAGCAACGAGGCAGATGCCGTGAAGAAATCAATAGGTATTATACATCCTGGCTCCACGAATATGGATTGGGAGCGGGGAGACAGACTGATACGTCCTGCGTTGGTCGCAGGTTGCTAGTTGCTAGTGCTGCAGGACCCCGATCTGACTCCCCAAACCAATCCTATCCATAGCAATCCAAACCAACGCAAGCCAATCCCATGGCAAGCCCCAGCCAGGCTAATCCCAAGCCGAACCCAGGGCTAAGGATGGGATCCCCAACCCCGGGTCCCGAGATGGGGGTCGGTCGCAGTCGCGGTCGTGGTAGGCGGTTGGCGGTAGACGGCTAGGCTGGGTATCTGCACGTATTGGCATTGTTATTGGCCTTGGTATTGTCATTATTATTGTGGTTTTTCGTGTGGCGGCAGCCGATCTCACCGACGGAGTTTGGGGATGGGATGGGCCGAAACAGGAGGAGCTTGCGGCGGCCCTAGCGAGCGGGTAAGCCGCTGGAGAGGTCGCATCTTTTGCTGGGCTTGTCATCAAGCCGGCCGATCTGGCGCTAGGAAGGGGGCCGGCCCAATCGCGGATGCGCAGGCCAGCTTCCGTCTGGACATGACCAGTCGCTCGGAGAGCTGATCTTGGGTTATTTGATAGTAGCAATACGTCCTCTGTATTGCGCGTGTTTAATAACATTGGGGGCGCGTATTGCCTTTGTACGTGCTAGCCGTCGAGTCGCCAGTCGTGCTATCTGCGAGCGACGATGATCGTTGGGGGTGCTGCCTATTGTCCTCTAGATATCCTCCACCAGCAGCTCTTCATCTCTTCGCCTGAGCAGGATTGTTTCCCACGCTCTAATGACTAACGCGCACACAAGTCGTCGTCGACCTGTGGCATGGTCCTCTTGTCTAGCAAGATCGCGCCAAGGTGGATCGGCGAATCACACAAGGATGTGGCGCAGCTAGCACACGAGCAAGCAGCCGTGACTCCGTGAGATTGGGCGGTATCCGCGGCCCATCCCATAATCCCACCCGATACAAGGATGATGGTACGGACAACATGCTGGCCCTGGGCGGGCGGCGCGGATTGGATGCCTTTCACCTGGAAAGCGCGGGCATTGGCCGTGGCTGTCGGTGAGTATTACCTGCCGTCATTATTGTCGTTAGTCGTTGTTACGCAGAGAGCCCGGCCACAGCACAGCAGTCGTCACAATTTCACAAATCATGTCTCAGGGTCCCAGAGGCAACACGCGTAATTACCGCTAGCAGCAGACGACAGGGATTTGTGCAGCGCGGACTCTGCCGAGCGCCGTGGAGACCAGGCGCAAGCTCAGGCTCAGAGTCAGAGTCAGGACTAGCGATGGCAGTGGTGGTGCCATTGAACATTGATGGTGATATGTCGGATGGAGTGCATGCGGCGTGGGAGGCAGAGGGCAAGCGCGGCAATTTCATAGGACAGCGAGAATAGCGCAGGTCACAAGGTGCGCGGCGAGGAAGGAACCCATGACGGAGGGCGGCTACAGTGTTTGATGGGACGGACCGCACTTAGCGACGCACGCCCTCCGCAGCCGGGTCTAGGCCTCTGTTATTATACAGCCCATTATTATTGACTATCATATTACTATAATTATATAGCGTTATTACTCATATTCGCGTGTATTATCGATGTAATACATATAATAATAATTACACGGAAATAGCGTGAACTGGGTCTGCACTGCTGCAGGCTTCCCCTGAACCTTATGCTAGACTAGAGCCCCTGGCTATTCATAATCAGTGCTAAGTGACAATACCTACCTATTTAGTCTTACCCTGGGCGGCGGCTTGGGGCTTGAGGCTTGAGCTAATGGAAATAACGTCGCCGTGTCAAAGACCAGCACTGGTGTTGGCGTTGGGGCAAAGCGAGACTAAGACTTACTGCAGAGTGCGCACTAAACCAACTAGCTTACCAAGTGACGAGAGGAGAGAATGGTGTGGGATGTCCTCATTAGGAGTTCGTATTCTCAATCCTGTTTGTATCTCCTGCCAACTTGAAGTAACTGGCTGTTGATATTATTATTATTATAATAGTAATAACTATCATTATCATCACTTCTTTTCTGTAGCAATATCCGCTGCTGGAACCCATGATCACTAATTATTGATTAATTCTTTTGATTAATATTAATAACGTAGGACTATGATCCCGAGAGAATGGCCTGGCGGGGCGGTGGAGCCAGCTGAAAAGCCTGTCTCACGATGAGACGGGCAGCCAATCCATGTCTATTTAGCACTTGAACTGTCCAGACTCCAGCGAGCAGGGCTGTTAACTTAATTCTTTACTTTAATTATTATTTGTGTGGCATTATACTTTCCGTTTTCTCTAATCGGTCTTAATCGGACTTTTGAGTTTACTCGCCACCTGCTGACCCCATTCATTACAAACTGGACCGGTTGGCACTCCAAATTGAAGCCTCAGGATGCTGACATGACATCATGTTTCTTCATTCATATACATTCTGCGATGGACAGCGTCGAGGAGCACAGACATTTTGGTGAAAATACTAACAATTCATTCGTGAACATCCACATAAACATGTATGGCTACATTAATCTCAATGCCGAAATTGTCTCACTCAAATGCTCAATTTCCTTCCGTATCCCCCCTCCCAACTTCGTAACGGCAAACGGTAAACGCTGACTTGTCGATCGAGTAGAGATGAAGAAAGGTTGTCGGATTTCCGTCCTGGCCGGTGCCAAAATTGGAAATAGGAGAAATATTTCGATGAGAAGATGAATAATAAGCAATCCCCGGATAACCACCGCAAAAAGAATCAAAAGTAAATGTAAACAGGTACAAGTTGTGCCAAACGGATCTTCACTTTGCGCCAGAGCCTTTTGTTGCCTCGTAAATTACCGCCCAGTGTAGCTGGAGTATCTATTTTCCTTGTTAGAGGCTAGTCCTTGTCTCATCTCGACTTTTCTTTGCTTTTCTTCGTTCCTCAACAGATGGTGCAATGACGCTTCGAGGACGGCCGGAAGAAACATGCCTTCCAGCCCGAATTCCCCTCCAATCATTACACCAGGAATTCCACATACCTCCAAATCCTCGCCCGCATGTCACCGCTCCCTGTGGCGAACAAGTTGTTGGTCGGACTAGGAGCAACCGAAATCACTATTCATATGTAAGCGTCCGAGATCATAGTACACATCACATCACCGTAAACCTACCAGAGTTTTTGTGACCCTGCAACATCATCTGCGCGTTTCCAGTGTTAGGATCCCAAAATTGAACGCCACGGTCCTTAGAACCGCTCATCACCCAGTGTCCGTCAGGTGTCAAACAAACGCTCAGCACGAAATCCTGTTTGCAAAGGTCAGCTAATTCCCCATTCTCATCCCAAAGAAGCAAATACCTTGTGGCCTTCAAATGTCCGCACACACTTGCCCCCCTTCACGCCTGTTCCGGGTAACATACCGCGCGGGGCTGTCAATTCCCACATCTTAATAGTCTTATCTAAGCTACCGCTGACAAGATCGCGCCCGTTAGGCGCAAAGGCAACCGAGTACACACTGTCCTTGTGGCCATCGGGATTCTCCAATCGCTCAACAAGATACCCAGTAGTAGTATCCCAAACGCGAACGCTCTTATCAAGCGAACCAGCAGCCACATAATGGCCATCGGGAGACATCGCAACGGTGGTGACGCCATCTTCGATACTGAGTGTGTACACAAGCTTTCCTTCCAAAACGTCCCAGAGACGTACTGTCTTGTCACCACTGCCTGATGCAATATATCGGCCGTTTCCAGCGAAGTCCAGCGAGTAAATATCTTGCTCGTGGCCAGAAAAGACATGCTTAATAGTACGAGAGGCAATATCCCAAACCTACACACAAACACAAAAATGTTAGCATACCGTCGATCATTCAAACGATAGACGAAAGGGAGTTCTCACTCTGATCTGTTTGTCCTCGGCACCAGTGGCCAGGAATTTTCCGTCGGGACTAAAGCAGACACTGCGGATGTAGAGATCTCCGTCCTTGTCTACACTGTCGTCCTGGAGAGTGGCTACATTCTGCCCAGTAGCAACGTCGAAGATTTGAGCCGATCGGTTGCAGCCTGTAGCAACATATTTACCATCTCGACTAAATCGTACACAGCAGACAACACTGTCGTGCACTAGGTGATGCACCAACTCGACGTCCAAAACTCTCTGAACCTCGGGGTTAAAGACAGCATACCAATCGGGCCCCTCACGCTTCTGCGTAGCGGGAAGATCGTCAGGGTTCCAGTTGGCTAATGTGTTGCCAGGTCGTTCGCGGACAAGAGCTTGTCCAGGAGGGGTTGGGCGGGCAATTTGTGGAGATGCGCCAGGCGCGGGATACGCAAGCTGGTGAGTTTGTTGGGGAGTAGCAGGTCCAGGTGGAGGCCGACCACGACCCTTTCCGGGACCGGGAGAGGCAGTAGGAGGTGGTGGGGGAGGCCCGTAACCTAGAAAATTCCTTATAAGTATGATCTTGAAACGACGACAAAATGTGGCAATTGTTCAACAGAGCCTACCGTTTACAGCAGCAGCCGGCTGATACCCTCCGTAGGAGCTTTGGGGAGGTTGTGGCGGTCCTTGTTGGGCCGCTGGAGCCGGCTGTTGAAGGCCATGCTGCGGCGGCTGTTGATCCTGTGGAGGTGGAGGTGCAAGCCCGGGGCCGCTACCTCCTTGGTTGGCCATGATGCCGCCGAAGAGGTTATTCGTACCGTGTCCTAGAGCTGGGGGGGCCTGGGAAGGCCCTGCATGGGGTGGGCCGCCGACATGCGAGGTAACAGTTTGAACGCCGCGCGATTCAAGCTCATGCCGCAAAACCCGGATTTCATTTTCATAACTGTAATTGAGAGTCAATAAGTGCAAAAAAGCTTTGTCGAAGGCGAAAAAGGGTCAGGCATACTCGGTCTTCATCTTGATCTGTGTTTGTTCGAGCTGGTAGACCTTTTGTCTGATCATTTCCATTTCCTGAAGCTGGCCGGTCACTAGACGAGGTGTCAGTTCATCGCGTAGAATTCGCCACGCCGGCTCACAATATGCATGGCATGTAGATAAACACAATCAACGAAAAGAGAGGACCGGCACGAACGCTGATGCTCAAATTCGCCAGTGCTTCGAGACTGGTTATCAAATTCTTGGCGCAGCTGCTCCAACAACTCCGTCAATCGGGAGTTGGGAGCAGGGACCATTCCACGATGCGCGTTATACATGGTGACGTCGCTGTAGTCGATGCTAGAATGGATTGATGCTTCGACAATTATAGCTCCTGAGGATTTCAAGGCAAGACAGCTCGGCTGAATGAAGGACACGCAGATGGGAGGGGGAGCTGCACGAAAGATCGTTAGGACTGTCGCATCAGAGCTAGGTTGAGCCCGCGGAGCCTAGAGGGACGAAATTATACCTATAAGTAATTGGAATAGTGCTCCCTTGATATCGGATGACGAGAACGGCGCCTTGGTGGGCTGTGGGCAGGCGGCAGCTGTTTTGGCGCGAATCGGCGGAAGGCGATCGTCAGCGGCAGCGACAGATACTGCACAGCACTCGCGCGGCGACTCAGGAGAAGGACAGCCGTAGAGAGAGGGATCGGCTTCAGAGGCCTTCCCTGAGGTGATTCGGGGCAGCGGACACGAACGATGATAGTGCCACAAACGGATGGAGAGACGGGAAGGAGGGAACAGAGGGCGTCAAGAGGCTGGTAGCGAAGAGGAGATGGAAAAAGGCGAGTTGGGAGTAACAGCGAGTGCAGAATGGGCCAAACCGCCCAAATGCAGGCGGCGGCAGGAGCCCAGCAGGGCCCGCCGGGGCCGCTTTCGGCTAGCCTGAGTGGGGCCCGGGGAGACGCCTGTCTGTACTGAGCTACACACATGCACACAGTCTGCGGTACTTGATGCTCCATAGTGACTAGTATGTGCTGCCATGTACTCTGTACCTCCCTCCTGTCCTAGTGTTTATGCTCACGCCGGCTGCGCGCTTGGACCACCAGCGGCTGATTCATGCATGTCGTGCAGTCGCGTCCAGCATGAGTCTGTTCTTTTATTATTTACTCCGTACATAGCATCCTTTTCGATTCTGTATGCACCCTCGATAATTTCAAGAGCTTGCTAGTGACTGAATGCCGCCGACAAAGCTGGCGGCCCTTTCGAAATTTATTTTTATCATCCAAAGGTCGCGCAGCAAAGTCCGGATTTTGTGCCCGACTGGTACCAGCTGGACTGTATCTAGATAGCAGCAGTATGCATGATGAACACTGTCTCAGCCGTCATGTATTACATAAACCAGCACACCACCACGGCCACTGCCACCATGCGGTTGTCAGTCAGTGTCTCTGATTGGCTTTTCTCTAATGCAAAGCAGCGCTTGACGTGATTGGCTAGACAAGAGTATTGTGTCACAATTCACAATGTTATTCGTTGCGGGTGAGTTATGCATCGACATAATCACGTCCCGCAGTCCCATTGGCCAGGCCCAATTGCACCCCCTGTTGCCTGCCTGTGGAGTGGACGGCTCATGGGTTTCCGCCCTGGTGTGATATTAATCTCCCGGATTTTCTGTTTTTCCCGTGCTCCCTAAAAAATAACCCCTACGATTAATCAATCAACCTTCGCTTTACTATTGTGATTCCGTGACTATACAATTGGCAGGCCTTCTTTGCTACACCCAGCGCCCACCGCTGCTGCTACGACCTGACGCCAAATCATGGATGTCATTCTCGAGCTGTTCGACCTGTTGGTCGGGGATCGCCTGTATGCCGCCACCCTTCCGGCAACCCTCAAGTCGTCGCCCTCTTTGTCCACCTTCCTAGAAGATGCAAACAATACCCTGTCGCTCTTTGGCGACTCACAATCCTATGTCTATCAGCCAGCCACCTCTTATTTGTACCTCGAACCCTCCAAATATGCGTACATGAGCATGTGGCCCCGCGACAATGCATATAGACAGGGACTCAGCTTGTTTTTGATTACGTGGTGCGGCTCCCTCTAATTGTCTGTGAAATGCTCTTGCGACTGATAACTGATACTGTGCAGGATCTTTGGTCTTCTCATTTATTTCTTCTTCTCGACCTTGTCATATATCTTTGTTTTCGACAAGAGTACCGTTCACCATCCCAAGTATCTTCGCAACCAGATGAAATTGGAAATCGCTCAGACCACGAGATCGATGCCAATCATGTCGATTCTCACAGCGCCTTTCTTCTTGGCCGAAGTCCGCGGCTATGGCAAGATGTACGACACCTTCGCCGAGGAACCGTTTCCCTACTACAGTGTCTTGCAATTCCCACTCTTCGTTCTCTTCACTGATTTCTGTATCTACTGGATTCACCGAGGTCTTCACCATCCTTTGATTTACAAGACTCTGCATAAACCACACCACAAATGGATTATGCCGACACCATATGCGTCGCACGCCTTTCACCCACTTGACGGCTGGTCTCAAAGCGTTCCGTACCACGTCTTCCCCTTCATCTTTCCCCTTCAGAAGTGGGCGTACGTTGTTCTGTTCGTCTTCATTAATTTCTGGACCATCTTGATACACGACGGTGAATATGTTGCCAACAGCCCTGTCGTCAATGGTGCCGCCTGCCACACTATGCATCATCTGTACTTCAACTACAACTACGGCCAATTCACTACACTGTGGGACCGCATCGGTGGCAGCTACCGCAAACCTAACGAGGAACTCTTCCGCCGCGAAACCAAGATGGGAAAGAAGGAATGGGAAAGGCAGTCCAAAGAAATGGAAACAATTCTCAAGACTGTTGAAGGTGACGACGATCGCCAGTATCTCGGCAAAGAAGCTGCCAAGAAAAAATTATAAGCAGTGTCAACACCTGCTTTTTATAGTAGCAGCATTTAATCCTGGCTCTTGATGCTCTTTTAATATTGTTTTGCAGGATTAGCGTGACATACAGCCGTTTGAGTTCTGTCGACTCGTTATGAAATTATGCCGATGCTCCTGCCGTCAGGTGTATCCCTATCATATATATTTATTAATTTTGGGCTTTTGTTATCACAGCCCCTTCAAAATTCTGCAGTCAATCAGGGAATTACGGTTGCTGGACTAGTTAATTATACCGTTTTTCCAGGGTATTATTTTACCACTACATTCGCATGTAAATATGACATTGGCACATGCTTGCAACTTGTAACTTGTTATTGTAAACTGCTATGGACATTCATGAGAGTGCACTATGACAACCACATTATCGTGTTAGGACATATACTACAAACTGTTAGTCTATTCTAAGAATGATACATCTTAAATCTACAGTACCCTCTTGTATCTTTCCCTAAAGCATTTCATATTGTTAACTTGGTCTTTCGGATTTTCTTCCAGCTGTTTGTTTACTAATACTCACTACATTTGAAAAATCACATACTCAAAGAACCCATTACAGAGGAGGAGCTGGTCAAAATCGGGTGACGCACCTTTTTCTCGATGATAATGATAGCACCCTGGCTTACCAACACTCAGTCACCATCTAGGTACAGCAGCGATGATACTCAAGTGCAATGATCCCTTATTGAATAGCCATTTTCTCGTTAACAAGATTTGTGATAACGTCATATGTTGCTGGGTCGGTGGTGATGTTATTCAAAGAATTGAAGACTGCTGTCAGGCTTTTTAGCCAGGCTGAAAAAGGCAACCCTTGGAGGTTGGATTTTTCTTTCCATCTATTCCATTATTTTGGTTGGTCATTTGCTTTGTCCAAGTTTCGAGAAAACGTAAATGCTCGAGATGACTTACTTCATATCTGCTACAGAGAAACCTGGCAAAGATTTAGCTGGCTCTTAAAGGTGTTGATACCTGTTCTGCCATTCGAGATTTTGAGATCTAGGTATGGTCGCTATTGTATAGCTGGTGCATGTCTGGTTACGTCCGCGTACTCCTTATCTCTTCTTGCACTACTGCCAGCTACAGAAATCAGTTATCAATGACGCTGTAAAAGGGATTTTGACGATTTTAATACTTACAATACAAACTGCACTGGACACCTCGAGGCCCGAAATGACAGTTCGCAAGAATCAACAAACCTGCGATTGGCTTTTTGGACCAGTGAGTTAAATCGTAACTTGCTAGCTATACTAAAAGATTCTGAGGAGATAAAAAGTAAGGGTCGCCCTTGAATACTAAAAAGAGAAGCGGAAGGCAGGAGCGGCCATGTGCCCTTCCACCATGTTTTTGTAAAAGCCAAATCCTTCCGATCAGTTAATTCTAGGATACATATATATTCTTCGAAACTACCAAAAAGCGTAGTTATGTTATGATCTACTAAGTCACCTTTCTCCGCCCCGCCTGGAGAATATTATGGGTCGGGTCATCAACGCGAATCTTTTCCCGAAATCCCCGTCTCGTCTTCCCCGGATTTTTTGCTACCAGCAGGAAAAGGAAAAGATAGCATCACCAACCAGTCAACCAAGCCGTGCCCACGTAGTCGCACGGGTGTTGCATTGGCGCCATTCCAAAATAACTGTTGGTATTATTCTGCTCGGCAACTATGCCGCCCCCACTACAGCCATCATCGCCTTATACAAACAGTCGACACGCCTCGCGCACTCTCACGCCTACGGGACACAACGATGGACCCAACCCATCAGCCAGTAGTCCAAATCATGATGGACAGAGCCAGGGTCCGCCAAACAAGCGGCGACGTATTACTTTGGCCTGTGGAACATGTCGAACCCGCAAGTCTAGAGTAAGCATGCCATGGAACATATTCCAATCTACCATTATATATTACTATATCACATCATTTCGAATATTTCGGAGCTCTGCTGACTTTCCTAGTGTGATGGCTCTCGTCCCAAATGCTCTATGTGCCGAGACTTGGGCACTGATTGTGTTTACCAGCAAGTCGGGAGCTCCCCGAATCTTACTGTAGGCAAGGAGTAAATATGCCCCCAATCATATAATCCAAGTACAAGCCTCTGATGCGGAATATGCTTATGCTTTTTCAGTTATGTTGCGCAGCTAGAGCACAGAATCGAACAGATTGAGGAATTTATACGTCCTTTGCGCGAAGGTCGTGCCGAGATCATTGCTGTCAAGCCGTACCATGTGCAAGAAGATACTGATAGTTATCGACGTCATGGATCAACAGCAGACAGTGAGAAGTCTAGCCATGCAAAGCTATCATCTCATGTCGTCAACCCGAATGAAAACGAAATGGGCGAGGTGGACAATTCAGAGGGCTCTATTGATGGAATGGCTGCCATCAGCTTTCAGGATGAGCCAGATTCTGGATTTTTTGGTAAAAATACCCTTTAAATAGCCTAGCATTTTATTTCGATACAGACCGTTCCCCAAAAAATTCATTGAAGAAACAAAGCTGACTTGCTTCCAAGGACCTTCGTCCAACATTGCGTTCATGCGGCATATTTCACAAGCAATCACTCGTGCAACTCACCGCAATCCATCGTTACTCCCTGTCTCTCCCATCAACCGACAAGGAAACGCTATGATGAGCACTTCTCGATCACACCCACCTCCAGACAGTGCAAACAAAACAGGAAACCGCGGTATAAATATATACGCCTTACCATCTGAACACCAGTCCTGGGAACTTATTGAAAATTACTTTTCAAAGACAGGGCAGCTTCTTCCATTTATCCACGAGCAATCTTTCTGTGAAACTTATTTTCAAATGAAAAGAAATGATTTCACAAAAGTGCGGAGGACATGGTTAGGCCTGCTCAATATAGTATTCGCTATCGCCATGAGTCTTTATAACGACAGCGATATACCAGCGCAGAAGCGAATTGATCAGTCTGATATCTTTTACCAGCGCGCGAATGCCTTGTGCGATAGAGAATCGAGACGTAATACAAGTCTTGAGATGGGTAAGTGTTTATATTTAGCTTATATTTGTTGAGCGTGCGTAGATGCTGACACTCTTGTAGTCCAATATCTGCTGATTCTCGGCCAGTATCTCCAAGGCACACAAAAGTCCGTTCAGGCTTGGACTACCCACGGCCTTGCCATCACTGCTGCATTTCAGCTCGGTATTCATTCTCCCGAGGCGAACAAAGGGTTCCCGCCTTTGGAATACGAAATTCGTAAACGGACGTGGTTTGGATGCGTGCTGTTGGATAGGTATGATTCTACTGTTATTCTTTGTCGGATACAGTTGACTGAGAAAGCAGGACGCTGAGTATGACTTTCGGTCGACCGTGTATCGTACCGCAGTCATATGTTAGACTGGAGATGCCTCTTCATGGAATGCAGATGCTAGGTCGGACTACTCAACCCGAGATTCGGGCTCATCGAGATGCTTGTTTCTTTACAGCTGCAATGTAAGCTTATCACTGCCTAAGGATAACACAGTCTCTGACTTGATAGTCAACTTTATGTTGTCATGTATAATGTCATCGACACCTGCTATGGCCAGAATCTCGGCCTAGACACGGGTCAGACAACCTACGATATTGTATCAAAAGTCTTTGAGGGTAGTCGCCAACTGGAAGAATGGCAGCACCGACTCGTCCCCTCATTAGGCCTCCACGTTCTTCAAAAGCCTTTGACAGCCCCAGATATTGAAATTATGAAAGTCGACAGTGTGATCTTTCAGAGATTCAACATTGTCCTTTCCCTACGCTTTCACAACCTTCGTATTCTCCTCCATCGCAAGTTCTTGGAGCAATTCTTGGATACAGGCAGAAATGGCCCCGGCGGGGAGCTCCCGAACCCAATGGGCATAAATAGTGTTCAAAATTGTGTCGAATCAGCCATTATCATCATATCAACAGTACATACCATTGCAACCACAACAGGATGGCATCGTGGACTTCTGGGTGCCTGGAATTATTCATTGTATTATGGCGAGTCTCCCATTATCTATCTTCGTAACTCGTCACCTAACTCGCCGCCTAGCCTTCAATGCCGGACTGGTAATCTTCGGCGCTCTTCTAGTTTCGTCTAGAGAAAGCCCCAAAAACCCTACTCTCTGGGAACCTGTCGAACGAGCCAGACCTTACCTAGGACTAGCAGTAGACGCGCTTCGTCGCTTAGACAGCGGCAATCGTGTGATTGAACGATGTGTTGAGTATTTGTCCCAAATTACCATGGCGTTGACAGCTCTGAGTAGTCCTCCCCTTGCTTCACTACGCATACATTCAGCATATTAACAATACCGCAGCATCAAACCCACCCTCAACGGACATACCCACCCTCAACTCATTAAACAACCCTAACACCACATATCCCTCAGAAATGCTACCCAGCTCGACAACAATATCCCAAGCACCAGGAGGCCCTCTGGCACCATTCACCGACCGCAGTGCCCAGTTCCCACTCAGCCAATCGCCCGTTGGCGTCGACCTGGGCGAGTTCATGATTGACAGTGATCTGGACTTTCTCGGAAAGCTGTTTTATGATATTAATCAAAGCGCTGGTAATATCAACAGCGCCACTCCTACTGATACTACCACTGCTACGAACGGCAGTCATGGCCACGGTAATTATAACAGTAATCATAACGGCAATAATAACAATCATCGCCCGCCGCAGGCATCCACTCCAATGCATCCCATTCACCACCATTCACCAATCCCCGGGCCCACGCAGTCATCGGTCCCTCTTAACAACACGTTGAATCCACACAGAGGTTAATCGGACTGGAGAGAATGGCGGAGTGTATGTATATATATGTATAGTATGAGTAATAGTCAATATCTAATCAAGTGATATCAAAACGGTACACACATTTAATTATCTACGATACCTGTATTCCTATTAGAGATCACTTGTGAGCCACTGAGAAGAACCCCATCTGTCGAATTTTCTCATCGATGAATAGACCAATAAAGATGATAAAACTTCTCCTTTTTCATTTTCAGATCCAAATAATTCACATATGCCAAAATTCTGACTTGGAATAGACTCGCAATTATTAATACAATAAAACTATTGCTGAATCAATGAGAAAACAGAAAAAGATTTGAGCAAAAAGCATCAAAACTATAGGAAGTGAACAACAACATATATATTATTTTTCCAGGATCGGTTGTATCTCACGAGATATCCGCAAGATCCAAATCCACATTTGCCTCTACTACCACCGGTGCCGCATCAGCGCCGTCCCGGTCAACTTCGATTTCAGTTGGTGCTGGAGCCGGTGGTGCTACGGTACCCAATGGTGTAGCAGTGGCCATGGCGTCTGTGATGAAGGCTGCCTCGACGTCAGCTTTCCGTTGGAATACCCTAAGCCATCGTTGCGCCCATTGGCGGATGATCTCGTTTTCTTCCTGTGTACTCGGGTCGTCGCCGCGTTCCATGAGTTCGTCGTTGTTGCCGCGAGCGACCGGTACGAGACAGTCTTTGATCAGAGTGAAGAGGGACTGCATATCAATTCGTTCGCGGTTGAGGGTTTCGTCTAGAACGCTGAGCTGAGGCTCGTAGAGACCAGGTTGGGTACGGGCAGCGACGATTTGGCGTATGCGGTTGGTCACCTTGCCGACTGTTGCAGAGACCATCTCGTAGATATGTGTTTGGGCGAGGATCTTGCCGGCATTAATGCGGTCGAGAAGGGCCCATTCAATTACAGAGAGTGGGGTCAGGATTGTGTAGTTTAGGAGCTTGTCGATGATGTTGATGGCGATGCCAGGTTGCTCGGCCCAGTACTCAATGACGGAGGTGAGGATCTGTCGTCGAGCAGAGGCAGAGCGAGGTCCAATGGCGAGAAGTCGTTCCTTGTTCCTCTCAATGCATGATAGCACGTGCGAGAGAGATTTCGACCCGACATAGCAGACGGAAGTCACGAAGGCGTCGGTTGAAGGAATCATGGGGTCCTCAAGACCGTGCTCCTTGGCTTGTTGCTCGATCTCGGCGATTATAGGCTCGATTTCTTCGTCCGATGCCTTTTTGCGGACAAGTTGCATCAATTCCGAACCTTGTTTGGCATACGGTGTGGCTTTGAACAGTTAGCTTGATTTAGACATGTATGAGAAAGGGGAATTTACTGTCAGAAGCGTATTTGAAATCCGGCATGTCCTTCTCCTTGTCTTCCGCAATCAAGCCCTGATACGGATCAGGAAGAGTTCCTTTGATGCGTTGAGCAAAGCTGAGACGGATCTCCTTATCGAGTGCGCCTGTAATGAAGGCCATCTTTGGATGTATGGGAGGTAGTTGTAAATCCTCAATCCTGATTTGATTCAGTAAGATACTTCAGACAATTGCAATACTGGGGCTTACCATTCAGTCCATTTCCAAGTGAAACCGAAATTGCTTAGATGGTGAGAGAACCAATCCAAAAACCGATGAGACAGATCAACATCAAAATGTTCTAAATTCCGATATAAAAATCGAATGGCACGTCCAAGACTGGGAGCAATAGCAGCAGGTGCCAGCTTGCAGCACTCCGTGAGAACTGAATGATAATAGACGAGTTTATGCTCAGGATTGGGTAGTTGGAAAAGTTGCGAAAAGACAGCGTCAACAGCCACGTCTTCGGGTTTCCAGGTAGGCCGGTCAGCCGGTAGATCACGTAGTTTGTCGAAGGGCGTCGCGCGTTTCACGAACAGTTCAGGTGCGAAATAGCAATCAACATCGATAAGGAATTTTGCTGCCGCCATCCGGTTAAAGTCAAGAATGTTGATGGTATCGACAAGAGCATCCCGTAGCAATGACGATGTCATATCATCAGTTCCTGGAACAGTTTCTATTTCTTGGTTGTAGTAGACGGAGAGGTAGACTTCAGGATATATAGCTCGCGGTCCATTCTTGGCTGGATTCGGCACGGTAATTGCAGGTAACGGGTGCTTTACGCCATTTTCTAGAGAAATTGCATACTCGCCTTCTTGACTGAACGCCTTCCAAGGGCGAGGAAGGCACCTGAATTCCCAACCTTGGCCTATTTCTTTCTGTAACTGGGTTTGTAATAATCCAATGAAGCTTTGCACCGGTTCACACTCGTCTTGGTTAAGTGCGAAATAATTGACAAGTGCTTCCAAGGCATGTGGAGTGGAAGCGATAATCTCGGTCTTCTCGAGTAGGGCCATTGCTTGACTTTCAAAACCAGAGGCGGAAGAAGTCATGATGTAGGGAATTGTGAGTAGAATGATCTTGACGATTTCGAGACCTATGGACTGATATTTTTTCAGCATTGCCAATGTCAACTGCAGATTGAGAGATACTCACGTCCTCTGAAGATGCTGTCTGCAGATCGACTGCTCGAGAAAACAATTCTTCCAATATCGTAAACACCCCGTCACCTTCCAGAATACCTTGCAGACAGCCCAGAAGACGCAGTAGGAGTTTGACATCACGCCATATACCAGAATTCAGAGCCTCATTCACAGTCGATCCAATTTTTTTCAACATTTCGAGAACGACTTCGGGCTTCTGAGCATTCACGGCCAAAATGACTGCAGCCACAAAAGGAATTTTAAACGGTTGTTCAAGGGTTCTGAAATCACGTTTTGTCAACTTTTGTCCAGCGGGGTATATCAGCAAAATTAAAATCTCACAGCTGAATAATGGTTTCAAAAAAGGCATCTCGAATTTCGTCGTCTTCGTTGTTCTCGGAGACAATCTTCGCAATGTTTATAGCGTCATCTTCAATTTTGCGAGCAGCCTGATTATTCCCATGAGCTAAACATTCCCATACAAAGGTAAAGATCAAAAACTAACCGATTCCGCAATTAACAATAGTTGCCTTCGTACTTTCGCATTGAGGGGTTCTTCGTACCGGCGCCTCTGCGAACGGCGATCAAAGTCTTCGTCGTCTAAAGAATTGAAATGAATTAGCCCAGTAAACTTGAATAGTACGATGATCGTCTAGGCCTTTCATACCCCTATATCTCCGTTTGCGCCCTCCACCGCGGTGGCCATTGTTTCGGCGATCAAAGTCAGCCATCGTAGGCGACGATAATAGAAGCAAGGTCCTAAATTCGGCAGTAGGGAGGTTATTCTCGACTCGTTATGTTGTGGCCGGCGATTTCAAAGCTTGTAAGCGAATGGGACCTCGAATTAAGAGCTCACTGCTATGTAAGACTGGCGCTGGCAGCGCAATGTTGCTTGATTATGAGCTGAGAGAACTTCGGAGCTTCTGGATACACTGTAGCAAGCACGCTGCACGAAATGTCGCGGCTCAAGGGGCGCTATTCCCAATATGGCCGAATGCGACCCGCAAAGGCCGAAGAGCACAGATTTACTACATTTACATTGAATAGATTCAGTATATTCGCGAGAATCATTAGTAACTAGGTGTCAATTTAATTGAGTTGGGGTTTATTTAGTGGGAGAAAAAGGCTACATCTCAGTTGATATCTGCTGGTCTCTACATGCACAAGACCTGATCTAAATACAGCCTCTGCCTAGGACTGGCTTGACATTCGCCAAGTGTATCCAATGGACATGTCAATGCGCACTGTGTTACATGGGCTTTGGACTCTGGACTCTCCTTATGCGAGGCAAAATATGAATTTTAAGAGGTTGGCCATGGTTATACAAGTGTAGTCTTCGAAGAAAGCAATGCAGCCAGGCAAAACAAGCATCTCTTGAGAGTCTCTATACTGAAAACATGGATGAGTTAGATCTGTTTCGGGATATTACAAAGACATGCCGCTTCATGTTTAGCAAAGGCGAAAGAAAAAGATAAAAAGTAGAGGAAAAGAAAGGAACTGAAAAGAAAAAGAGAAAGCAGATATTGACGTAGTCAACGATTCACAACCAACAAAGGTGGGATTTGTGCGATGAAGATGAATTCGAGGACAAAAGAGGACTAGAGAAGAAAAACAGAAGCGGCAAAAGGGATCGCAAAAAATAAGGATATTAGGCACAAAGAGAATCATGGCCATCCTCCACAGAGTGAGCAGGAATAGCATGCAGCTCTAACCAACATAATCATGACGAAAAGATGTTGGTTGATGCATTTATCTCTCAAGTGCACCATCAACACAATGTTCACGATTTCTGCTTATCAATCCAGACCACACATGAAGCTCAGCTTTGTTCCTCGATAGATTCCCGCAGATAGACTCGCACACAAGGGGTATCATTCTAACTTCCTCTCCAGAGAGGCTCGACAGATCCTGAAGTTCATGGTCACCGTTCGCCATCCCTCTTAAGAGACTATCGTCGCAACCTGCCGTTTCTCAACCGTTTCCCGCCTGACATGGCATTGCGGACCCTCAACTTTTAATACCACAGAGACACAGTTTCCCTGGCATTGCCCGACTTGCAAAATTGTAACATGTTCGAAACTTTTTCTTTCACTATGCAAGACCGCTCAATGCATACATAATGGGCAGGCGTGTCTGTGGCGTCAAACAAGCAAGCTCGCAGTTCCTATGAAAGATTTTTTTTGGCATTACTCAGCATCCTAATTGGAGGTTCATTCGTTCCGCATGAAAAAGCAAGGTAAAATCAATCGAGATTGGCTCGCATCTCTTCTTGAGGAATTGGCTTGAAATTGTCAATATCCAGACCCTGAGCTTCCAACGCAGCCCGGGCATGAGCAGGAACCAGTCGGCTGTTCAACTCGGGGGCCATTGAGAGTTCTGTATTAAATCGTTAGCGAATACTGTGCGGACTGAATATGGCATGTACATACCATGACGTGAAAAGTCGAAAAGACTAGGAAGGTCACGAGACGGGTTGTTTGGGTGGCGAGAGTCTGGCAGGCGAGTGTTGGGATCGCGCAGTTCATCGAAGAAGGGATGGCACATCGCCTCGACAGCGCGAAGTCGCTGGGTTGGAGTGTACTCTAACAGGGCGGAAATAAGGTCAATGGCTTCGTGCGGGGCCCGTCGGAAAACCTAGCGGTGTTTAGCATCTTGGAGAAGCTGTGGCTCGAGAACATTCCTACCTTGTTAAATGGATGAGGTTTGATTTGGGGAAATTTGTGTTCCATGTAGTTTGGATTCATCGTACGGATCTGTTCCCTAGTGGGTGTACCCAGCACCTTGATGATCTCCACTAACTGGTCAATTCCAGATTCACCAGGGAACAAAGGTTGCCCAAGCATCAACTCAGCCATCACACAACCAGTAGACCACACATCTACTCTTAGTTAGCATTGTTACGTCAAACAGCGAAGAGGAATTACCGATTTTTGTTGTGTAGTTGGTAGCGCCAAAAATCAGTTCGGGAGCTCGGTAGTAGCGTGAACAGATGTAGGAAACGTTTGGTTCGTTTTCCACTAAGATCTTGGCTGAACCAAAATCGCAGAGCTTGAGAATGCCAGTGTTGGGATCAAGAAGCAAGTTCTGGGGTTTGATATCTCGATGGCAGATTCCTCGAGAATGGATGTAGGCAAGAGAGCGGAAGAGTTGATAAATGTATAGCTTGACTTCGAGCATGGGCATAGTCGTTTTCAGCTTGTTGAAGTATCGGGAAGCACGGTACACCGTTTCTGGCACGTATTCAAGCACCAAGTTAAGATAGACTTCATCTTTCTGCAGGAAATTAGCATCGCGTGACACAAGCATGATAGTCACAAGTATTTCAGGACATACCCTCTCTCCATTGGAATAGTAGAATGCTTTTAGTTCGACAATGTTTGGGTGGCGCACAATCCTCATGATTTGCAACTCACGATTCTAGACCGATGTTAGACACAATCTACTAGTGTTGCGTAACAACCCACCTTGAAACGCTTGTCTTGAAGAACCCGCTTAATGGCAGCATCTTCACCGCTAGGGGACATTTTGGTCTGGAACACAACACCAAAGGAGCCATTTCCCACTATCTTGCATTGGGTATATTGCATTTCCTTGGTTTCTCCTGTGAGTCCATCCTGGACCTTTTCACGGACGACTTCTAATCAAGGGCGAATATATATTAGCGGGACATGGTTGAACGACACGGTTTGGGCGCGGGACAAACTCACCACCCATGCGCAAGCTGGAAAATACTGAGGGACCTTTTTGTGACATCACGGATAATCTTGCCCGACGAGGGTTAGTAGAGCAACAGGAGCACTATCGAGAATATGGAGGACTGCACTTAAGCAGTGAATGGCGAAGAGGGATCGGTAAAAGGATGTGGACGTCCGTCTTGGGCAGTTGGAGTAGAGGACAATGACAATGCAGTCGTCCTAAATTGCGGGAAATGTAGGTGGAGTCTCGTAGCGACAATTGCTGGCTGTCCAGTGGAGATAACGCTCGAGTGGAAATTAAGAGGTCTCTGGATGGATCAGTCCAGGCACTAAGAGGTAGGACAAGCGGCGAGTATGTAACAGTGCGTGGAATCCTCGATCGGAGACAGGAATGTCGAGCGCGTAGGATGCGAGAAAACACGCTTGAGGATTGACAGCGATTTCCTTTCTTTTTGTCTTGAATTTGGGGGTTTTTTTTCGCTCTCGATCTTGATTAACTTGCCCCTCCACTCACAACGGATGGCGAAGGTTTGATGACGAAAGTATTTGGATAGTCGACGAAGGGTGCGAGACAGCGAGGATGTTGAGGACAGCCAGCGGGCAGATACTATAGGAACGCGGGCGGAGCAGCCAGGTCAGTCACGGGAGATGGTCGCAACAGAAGATGAGACAGCGAGGAAGGAGGGTGGACGAGAGGAGCGAGAGAGAAAGAGAGGGCGGTCAGGGGGGGGAGAGATGACAGCCCGATGGGATCAAAGTAACAAGAGGGAAGAGGAATCAAAAGGAGAGAGGAAAATGGTGTACCAAGCCGGGAATTTAGGAGAGGCTTCTAGAGATGGCAGTTAGTCGACTGGGGGCAGGATATACACGCCGTTGTTGAAGGGCAGGCAGGGCAGGTTGAAGTGGGCGGCGGGTAGGCGAATGAAGTGAAGCGGGAAGAGAGCCAGTGTGGTGGAGATGGGGTCATGCTAACCAACTAATGAACTTGCTGGAGAGAATCCGCAAGAAAGACTAGAGGCGCTTGCTCTTTACAGCTTCAAGCAGCACGACAGACCAGCACCGATAATGAGGAGGAGGATGTCGACAGCTGCAGACAGACGGCGGGCATTGGCGACACGCAGACAGAGAGAGAGGGTGGCTGGGCGGATAACAATATGATATGCTCTGGTGGATGGCGACTTTGCTGGACACAAGCAGTCACGATAGTAATTCCTCAAAGCATAAACGGCATCGTCACCACAGGCACAGCAAACAGTAGTAATAATAGCAGAGCAGAACAGAACCGACAGAGCAGAATACTAGAGTGAACTGACCAAGTCGTTACTTACTAGTTGAATGGAGGTGGTGCTGGTTTCTCTCACTATTGACTGCTTTCTCTTACTTGCTAGACAAGCGACTGGCGGGCAAGGAGGGGCTGGCGCTGGTACGGATACGGTACGGGCGGTACGTGACGGGTCGATTTCGCATGAATATTACGCATTACCGCTGACGGCCCAAGGGCAAACCAGAAGAGGCCGTCAAAGAGGGGCGGCAAATGGTCTCGTGAGAGCTTAGCTAATGGGCTCTCTTCGTAGTATGTTACGATGTCAAGATGTTAATATGTGACTAATAATACTATATTTGGTCTTGATGCTATAGTTATGGATTAACAATATCCGTCATATTAACCAGTGTCTTATTCGGGGATATCTATATACACCCCGGCAGCCTGGATCCTACCAGCCCCAGCCTTTGAATCTCGCGCGCCTCTGTCGTAGGTGTGGCTGTAGCATGACGCAACGACCTGGATAGCGATTGATATATGCAATTATCAATCGTTCCATTCAGTCCTGCTAATAGCACCACTTTCTTTTGAACTGCTGGTCGTCGAGTACGTACTTGCTATTAAGAGTCCAAAGATGAAGAGGAGAAGAGCAAGGCAGGTGCAGCCGTGATTGGCGGGCGGTGTCGGGTCAGGTGCCGTGCTCAGCGTCCCTTTTCGGCTCGCCAAGGCCGTCCGTGCTCGCTGAAAGCTCACTGACTAATGGTCGTGGCCCCTCCAGTTCAGCAGGCCAAACAGAACTAACAATGGCTTTGTCGAGGACAAGAAGCGGCACGTCGAAGAGTGAAAGATCAATATAGACGCCGATGTAAATAAACGAGAATAAAGCAGACCGGATAATACAGCAGCCACGGCCAGCAAGGAACCGCAAGGAAGGCAAAAAATGCGGCCCACGTGATTGGGTGCAACAGGGAGAACGTCACCCGAGCTGCCGACTTTTTTCACGGGTCCGGTGACCAATCGTCATTTTCACCTCCGCCCGCGGTAATACCGTGACGCTGCCTGTGGCTCTGACACCAATAAATTACATTAGTATTAGAATTACTGGGATAGGATAGGACACGAGAGTTTAGGAGCTTGGGCATTATTTTATTTTCAGTCTAGACTAATAGTAGACTCCATGGTTGGAGTTGATTCTGGAATGTTGATGTTAAGCAGTAATCGACCCACAGATATTTAAAATTAATATGGATCGAGATCGTCTTGCCGGGACAGAAGCAAACAACCGAGCATAAAGAAATTAGATAATAAAAAATTCATATTCAGATTATTTCAAGAACAAGACCAGAAAGGTCGGTCGACCTTGGTCACAACGTCATCGGTAATTACAAGCCCCGTTCCATACCCCAACTAGTATACCACTAGTAGCCACTCGCTAAGCGCTTGCTTGAGTCTTGACTAGCTTTTAGGCGCTGTAAATGACCGTGTATTACCGTAACCGTACGCGTACTAGTACGCCACTACCCATATCATGAGACATTTGCTGGAATGCTCCACCTGCACGCCTGGGAATGATCTCATGCCATCAATTATTATCTAAATTATCAATATAGTTAACCCCATGTCCCATGTCCCATTTGTTGTTTTACTAGTGCAGTATGCAAATAATAATAGGAACAATCTCGAGAAATTGTGCAGGCTTACTTTACTATTATTGACGATTGACTATGTCAGGGCACCCAATCAGCCAGCCGGCACTGAGAATATCAAGATCTCGAACAATAGCAATAGCACGAACAATAACAAAACAATCCATTCTTAGCAGCTAATAGCCTACAAATCAAATATTACGAGCGTCGAAGTGTCTGGGCAGATTATGAATGATTGTTGAATCATCGAAGATGATAATAATGGAGAGCTCATGTGACCGCAGCAGCTGTGGAGGAGAACCGTGTTTGCTTCGATAGCGCCTGACGACGACTAGCCCAGCGACTAATGCAGTGCTCCGCCAGCTGAGTGGGCGGTGGGAGGCTGACGGTGGGGCCTGCTTCTCCTCTTTCGTCTTCCCCGTCATCAGCAGCTGCCAGGTCAAAGCATTCATCCTGTTGATGTTCCTGTTATGCACTTATTGATCGTCAAGTCCAATTACATACTATGGTCAATGATGCTCCAGCTGCCATGAAGCAAGTTGACAAGCGAGGCAACATACTGGCTGGCCAATTCTCGGAATTCAGACCCGATTATGTACAGGTGCACGAAATTTAATACGATTGACTACCCAATGACAGCCTAGCCCCACCTGCAATCCTCTGTCGTTGATGATAATCCACCAGATGCAACAGAGTAGTGAGAGCAGTATATATTACTATATAGCTATGTATGGCGGCCGTTTACTATTATGATTGCTATCGATCTACTGCTACTAACCCACAGTTCGTCTCCAACCGATCCAACCCGGGCACGCTTGTCAACACCATGGGCATCTAGGCCGCACGAAAAGAATTCACAACGACAGATATAATGAGAGGCACATCAGTGGTGGATGGTGATGTGCTGACCGACTTCGGAGTTTGCGTACAGGTCCCCGAGTGAGCGCTTTTATTTATTTGCCCAAACACCCCTTCTTCAAATCGACTTGGAATGCAATGCATATGCACGAAACGAAAACTTTTCGCTGCTAGAGATGTAGCTACACCCAAACTGCGTGGCTCGGTGTGATTGCTGGAATTAAGATTTTTTTTAATTATGCATGCACGTAGCTAGCTAGCTGACGACTAAACCAAAAGTGCCCAACGTGCCAATCGTAATTTCGTCATATTTGAATCCGGGTTGGATGTTATTTAATTAATAAATAGTTGCGGTATATTTAATTCGCCACCTCTTTTTCGTATATAAAAATTGAATATCGAGTTGGGATTGGTGGAAAAGGATAGGCATATCTATATGAGTGATGCCTACCCGAAGCCCTAACTAACTTTCCCAACACATCGGGCTGGTAATACTAAGGAGAGGAAGGAATTCTAGGCCACTGTAATAATTGGAATAAGATGGTTACAATAATGTAGTTAATGTTAACTCTCTTGGCTGATACACTATTTACTGTTGCGTTAACAGTTGAGATGGATCGCTAATGTCTAATATTAATCTCGTTTACATGCTTAAAAACTGACTAATCAAATTGTCAATTCATCACATTACTAATTTACATCCCTCCTCTCTATGCAGGGAACTCCTATGCTGGAACTCCTATCGATCTGCGCTCTTCCCTTCCGACTGACTTGAAAAGACGTCACATTAAACACGAGTAACGAGCTGGGCCATCCGTTGAGTAACCAAATATGACGAGTAACCGGCATGTAGGAGAAGAAACAAAAAGGAAAGAAAGAAAAGAAAAAGAAAAATGCCAACTCTATACAAACATGTTCCCACGGCGCCGGAATATCCGTCACAAGTGTTCGGCTCCAATCAACGTAGAACGAGTTACAATGCAGGCTTTTGCTGTCAAGAGTGAAGAACTAGTAAAACATTAGCAAGAATGGGGAGGTCGGCCGGTCGATGGTCGAGAAGTCCGATTTAGAACGGAGGAGGGATGGTGCCCTGGCTTTCCGCCTTCTCTTGCTGCTCCATGAGCTCCTCACCAGCGATCTCGAGCGACACAGCGAGACCGACCTTGGCTTGTTGCTACACGCAGACATATTAGTATAGTATAAAGCAGGATTAGAAGGACTCAACGTACCTTGACTTGGTCGATTTCTCCGGCAAAGGTGAGCGAGATGGGCATAGCTATCCGCTTCTCAAGGAGGCAGCTGACCTTTCCGGCGCTGTCGACTTGGGCACGGAACGTGGACGCGCGGAAATCATATTTGGCACCAATGGTGGCAGTTCCTTCCCTGCTTGGTCCGCCCATCATGAGTGCAGCAGCACTTGGAGCGAATTGAAGGTTCAAATCAACACCAGCTTCGACTCGCTCAGAAAGTTTCCTCCAGTACGAGGCGGCGATGGCTCCTTGAGCTTGTAGTTGCGCGCTCGCAATCCAGTCCGCACCTCGATATTTCGCGCAGTAGGAAAGGGTTGACTCGGGACGCGCGTTGAGTGCTTGTCGCTGCCAGATTGCCTCGAATCCAAGGGCCAGGGCGGGTGTCACGGATTGAAGGTAGCTTCCGACAAAGATACCGGTCAGACCGCCCTCAAAGGGATACGGGTTGAAAGCCTTAATAGAAGCAGAGAAGTCCGAGCCAGTGTAATCATGGTCAATCTGCAGAATTCCTTGTGCACCACCGGACATGATCTGGGCATTCGTCTTGGTCACCAATGATTCGTTCCAGCGGTAGTTGCCAACGGCATTGAGACCACCATCACTGCCGACGTTTCCTTGCAGAAAGACCTATAAAGAAGAGATAAATGTTAGGTAGTGAACGCTGTTATACAATTGAGATTGATCTTACCTTTGGTGTTCCATACATGGCACTGAAGTTATATGGAGGCATGTTGCCAGCTGAACCCATGGCGAAGGCGTGGGACATTCTGAAAAGAGGCGTCATGCCAAAGACCTTGGTAAGGTCTGCACGAAGTCCTGTAAACATGAAATTCGATAGCAAAACCTCTTTTTGTACCTCCCTGGCGATGTTGTCGACTGTCCCGGGGTTTGGCAAGCCCAGGGCCGCTCTTCGCTCAGAAAATAACCCGTATGCATCTTTAATAGCAGCAGCAACAGAGTTGTCCGTCAGAGCGGAAAGGGGTGATGAGAGATTAGCCATGATTGTGAAGAGGTCTTTGCCGGATTAATCAGGTTTCGTTCAAGTTGATCAATAGCTCACGCGGGTGTCCAATGTGTACCACGAAAGCCGACAAGATTATCCCAAAGGGCAATTGAGCCAAGGGGAAAAAAAGCTCGTAAAAGTGCGAAGCAGATATAATGAGCGTCCGGGAGCCGGAAATCGCCTTGTCAAATATACGACTCCGATAGCTTGGGTGAGGTTTTCCTGTAGAGAGTATCTTCCGGCTGATGAAAAATGGTCGTTCGGGATGTTTGGGTTTGCACTGTTTGCACTCCGGTCGGCGCCAGGACTCCGCTAGGCTGTTTTGGGCCGGACCAAGCCATAGTGACGATTTATCGATGAATGGCTGCTCCCTCGTTGCTTTTTGTGCCCTGTATGTCTGGGACTGAGCATTGCGCACATATACAAAGGCATCACTGCCTCGACATTGGAACCCCTCTAGTGTTGTCGATAGAGTTTATATATTAATCTTGTCGTCTCTTCCGGATCTTTGAAAGGTCGCTTCCACCCCTCGTCTATATATAGTTCTGTATTATTCTGGGCCCCGAACGAGGTTTTCTCGAGCTCACGGTTTGTCGACTACAAGTGTTTGAGTTGATTCCATTTGTTGGAAACCATGGATACTCTCCTGTACGTCATAACTTGTCGCTACGTCGCTTTATGGCCGCGGTGTGTCATTGCATGTCTAAATTATCTGCAGCACGGCGGATGTGGTCGCCAACTCTCCTCGATTTCGGAGAAAGTCGAGTACTTTCGTGGATGCTATCCATGATCTTCCAGCAAAAGCAGACCTGGCACCCGCGCAACTCTACAGTACTGAATCTGGAAGACTGTTTCACTCGGGTCGAATTGTCATCATTACTGTAGGCTTGCCTGCTAGGGGGAAAACGTACGTCTGCTGATATCGTGTTTAAGAATCTTCACTGACTGATTCAAGCCACATTTCCGTAGCTTTGGCACGCTACCTCCGATGGTTAGTAATGAGAGCATTTCTTGACAGAGGAAAACCCTAATGATTTGCAGGCTCGGTGTGAAAACTCGCATCTTTCATTTGGGTGACTATAGACGGGCTACCATCGGGCCGGGGCAAGATATGCCTGACGATTATTTCTTTGTCAATGGTAGGCTGGGCCTTTATTCATTGTGTCCATAAGACAAGATGTTAAACGCTTATATACGAACAGCCTCTGCCTCATCTGTTCTCCTCCGGCAAAAGATTGTAAAGAAATGCCGAGATGACATCGCGCACTTTTTGACCCACGAGAATGGTCAAATAGCAATATACGATGCGGTCAATCCAATTGCTGCGGGCCGACGCTCACTTGCTAAGGAATTTTCTAAACAGAATATAGAGGTACACCACTAGTCACCTCCTCCTTTATTGACACTGATTGAGATGCAGACGCTATTCATTGAGTCAATGTGCGATGATCCGCGGATTATCGAAGAGAATGTTCGAAGTGTCAAGATCTCCTCGCCTGATGTAAGCTTCGCTATCCTTGATCAAGTGAACATAGTCGCTAACGTAGATAAGTATGTCAATTGGGACGCAAACGAAGCGGTTAAGCATTATCTGGGTCGTATATCGGCCAGAATACCGCACTTTGAAACGATGGAGGAAAAAGACATCAATTACATAAAGGTAATCTGATATTCTCAAGTTCCAGGTGTTTATGCTAACTGTCATGTAGATGATAAATGCAGGTGAACAACTCATTGTCAACAACTGCAGCTTTGGATATCTCTCGCATCGAATTGTGTTCTACCTACTTAATCTTCATATTAAATCGAGACACACTTATTTTGTTAGGGTATGTTAATATTGTCAACAGTTTCCCCAAACGTAGACTAACTCCAAGTTCTTAGGCTGGTGTGTCGTTGGACGCAAATTCCTACAAAGCAGACTCATCATTATCAGAGAGAGGTGAGGATTATGCGAAGAAAATGACTGATGTTTTACTTCAACATCGTGAGTCGGAACGACAAGCCCTTCTCGATCAAGGAGAATCCGCGACTGCTTTGAAACCCTTGACTGTATGGACATCAACAAGACGCAGGACGGTTGAGACTGCGAAATATTTGCATGACAAGGGATACACAGTTCGCCAGAGGTCGCAATTGAGCCAGTTGAATCCTGGAGTGTGCGAGAAGATGTCAGAACATCGCATCAGGCAAGAATTTCCTGATGAAGTGACCAAACATGAAATCGATCCTTATCATCATCGCTATCCCCGTGCAGAGGTATTTTAGGCCCCACCTTCTACTCATATAACATCATGCTAAACGTGATGTCAGTCCTACCATGATTTAGCAGTACGATTAGAGCCAATTATTCTTGAATTAGAACGAGAACACAACGACCTCCTTATTATTGCCCATGAAAGCGTGCTGAGGGTTCTTTACGGATATTTAATGGCCTGCAATGCTGCAGATATTCCATTTTTGTCATTTCCTCGTGATGAAATCATTGAGGTAAGTTTGGCTTCTTGTTGCTATTTCCTAGATACTAACGCATGCGCCTAGGTCATCCCAGCCAGTTATCAAAATGAAGCGAAACGAATCGCGATCCCGGATTTACCAGAGGAAATCATTCCTCCATCTCCAGAAGACATCAAGATACCTGTACCTCCAAGCGGGGTTACGTCACCAATATCAGGCTTGGGAAGCCCGGCGACGGGGATGTCAACGCCTCAGAGCGGATTGCGCACTCCTAGAGAGCCCGAAAGGCTCACCCAACAGCACGTGGAAGACGTGGTGTAGTCTTATGATCAGATTCATATTCATTCACGAAGCGCATATTGTTGGTTAGATTATCATTTGGGTTCCTCCTTAGAAAATACATCGTTCCATAAGTTTACCCTCCATGTAGTGTCGACACAAATAGAATATTGTCTCCCGGCTGTATTTCGTAAGCCTCTTCGCCTTCGAGTTCCCAGTCTGCGTCGTTGATCAAGACAAGTATGCCTGGTCGTCTGTTGTTCCCTAAGTCGCCTATCTTTTCAATTGTTTCTTGGAGCAACTCACACATGGTCTTCGAGAACGAAGAGTTCTTTTCTTTTGTCTCTCATTTCGTGTTCGACAAGATAGTGAATCAACCATGAAATGTTCGTTGGCGTTCCATCTTCTCGTTTAGCTGGGATTGAAAGTTGGAGTTTGCGTTTGTTCTCGAATAGAATCTCTAGCCCGCCTCTGTAGAATAGAAAATTCATCAGATAATCAGCTTGGTCGACGGCAAATACAGAGCTTACGTGAACTCAATAGCAATTGAAATTGCTTCCACAGGCTGGCTAGCATTCTCAGCCTCTGGGTTCGCAGACATGGTTGCAGTTAGGATAGTCTATGAGGGGTACGGTGGTTGCTGCAAAGAGTATGGCGGGCATCCTGCTTATCGATAAGCTTAAAATTTCTAGCCGCTAAGAATCAACGTCACCATCCCACATTCACCAGGCGCCGCCACCGCTGAGATCTACGGGTTGATCTTGAAATCACTAATTCTCGAAACTATACCCGTCTTCATGGTTAGTGTTGCGACAGACTTTATCAGCGTCGGCGGCAACCGTCACCCCGGTGCCGCCGATTGGGACACCCAGTCCGGAGTACTGGCATATGGAGCGGACAACAACGTTGCATTGTGGAAGCCAGAAGTAAGTCGCTCCATGATTGTAGCGTTTGCATTCAACTAACAATATTGGCTCCTCAGGATAAATCGAATCGAGGCGTCTTTTCACTGCTAGTTGGCCACGAAGATAAAGTCAGCGCTGTCCGCTTTCTCACATTCCCCGAGACTGGGACTCGGTTGTTGCTTACCGGGTCTGTCGATCGCACAATTCGGATATGGAAACCTAACTCCTCAGATGGATACTATTGCGCGTGTACGCTAATTGGGCATACTGGGACTATCAATGCGATTGCAGTTGGGAATGGGTCAAACATTGTTGCCTCCGGAGGGGCTGACGGTACAGCAAGAATCTGGAGATTAGATATTGCGGAGGACACAATTTCGGCCCAATGCTTGCAAACAATATCAATGAAACCTCGGTTCTTTCCATTAGCCCTAGCCCTGCTACCTTTGGATCTCGAAGACCCGAAGCGGCCAATGCTGCTCTCCGTAGGAGGAACCACCAATCACGTTCACATCTACGCAACACAGAACACTGCACAGGACGTTGAATTTGTATGGGGCGCGAAACTATCCGGCCACGAAGCCTGGATTAGATCTCTCGCCTTCAAAGAGAATACAGTGGGCACTCAGAAGGATTTTATTCTCGCGTCAGCAAGTCAGGATAAATACATTCGTCTATGGCGGATTCATCGGGGCGAAGTAGCGCCTATAGAATCGAAAGATGAGGATGAGATGGTTCTAGGGGGAGATACCCCGACGCTATCCAACAAAGCTTATATTTTCAATGCTTCCGGCTCGACTTATTCAGTGACCTTTGAAGCTCTGCTATTGGGGCACGAAGATTGGATATACACTGCTAACTGGAACCCGAATGCCGAAAAGACACAGCTTCTTTCTGCATCTGCAGATAATTCCTTAACAATATGGGAACCAGACCCAACAACCGGTGTTTGGGTTACGACAGATAGAATGGGAGAAATTAGTTCACAGAAAGGTTCTACTTCTGCAACAGGGAGCACTGGAGGCTTTTGGATCGGTCTGTGGTCTCCAGATGGGAAGCAGGTTGTCAGTCTTGCCCGGACCGGTAGCTGGAGAGCATGGTATTATGACGAGGAATCCGACTTTTGGCAACAGAAACTAGGCGTTACTGGCCATGTGAGATCTGTCAATGACATTCAATGGGAAGCAAGAGGAGCGTATCTCCTATCTACAAGCTCTGACCAAACATCTCGACTCTATGCCGAATGGCTACGAGATGGATCGTCATCATGGCATGAATTTTCAAGACCCCAAATTCATGGCTATGACCTGAATTGTTTAGATACCCTGGGTCCTGCCAGGTTTGTCTCAGGAGCCGATGAGAAACTTTTGCGGGTATTCAATGAGCCTAAGCAAATTGCCCAATTGTTGGAGAAGCTTTGTGATATCACGCCTTCAACAAATGACGAACTCCCCGAGACGGCAAATATACCAGTGCTTGGACTTTCAAACAAAGCTGCAGGGGAAGATGTCACGATAGCAGATAATGAGATGGCCAATCGTGGTAAAAATGAATCAGAAGCGGCTCCTCCAATTGCTCTGCCAATGCACCAACCACCTCTAGAAGATTATCTAGCTCGACACACACTATGGCCTGAGCACGAGAAGTTATATGGACACGGATACGAGATCTCAGCGGTTGCTGTTAGTCATGACCGCTCGCTGATTGCTACTGCCTGCAAAGCAAGCTCTATTGATCACGCTGTTATACGACTCTATGACACAAGAGATTGGCACGAGATTAAACCCTCCCTTACAGCCCATTCTCTTACTATAACATCCCTTTGCTTCTCAGAGACGGACAACTACTTGCTAAGTGTTGGTCGTGACAGGCAGTTTGCGGTGTTCAAGCGCGATGAGGCTGACCCTTTGAAGTTTACCACACTAACATCAAACCCTAAAGCCCACTCGAGAATGATCCTCGGAGCGGCATGGGCTCCTATTCCCGAGCCATTAGTATTTGCGACTGCAGGACGAGACAAGTCTGTGAAGCTGTGGCAAATGAAGTCAGACACTTTTGAATGTGTATCAACAATATCCCTGAAAAGCGCTGTAACAAGCTTGTCATTCTGTTCATCAAAACGCACAGATATCCTGTACTTGGCTGCTGGAGAGGAAACAGGACAGATATCTATTCATGAGGTGTCAATCCCAAATTCGGAGACTCGGGAGCTGGCGACTCTTGACAAGGCAATTTCTCCATCCAAAGCAATCACACAGCTTGCATGGCGGCCGGATTCTGCATCAGCTGTCAAGGCGAGCGTCGGTAATGGCGATTTAAGGACTAAAACCCTTGCTACTGCAAGTGAGGATTCATCAGTTCGAATATATAGACTAGCAGATTTACCCACATAAAAACTAAATCTAAGTCTTTAAGCCAACAATTTCTTAACAGAGCACATCCTCACAAACGTGCTGCTAAATGTTCATTCATGTTAATCAATATTGATAGAAAGAAGTATAAATAAATCCACAAATAAATGCCTAAATATGCAAGATGTAAGTATTCGCGTTGAAGCCCCCTGGCGGGTTGAACATCACCAGGATATGCAAAAGGTCCAATATTTATCCCCATACTCCCACAATGCAAGTAGTTGAAACATCTTCGTTATTCGTTGAGAAAGGCTTCAAGACACCGCCCGTTTTCGTTTATTAATCAAAAGAGAGAAAAGAAAAGAAAGGAGAAGAAGAAGGAGAAAGAAGAGATATTATTTCTCTGGACGTTTCTCAAGGCCGTAGCCCCCGATGGCTTCGCTGGTGGGGTACGTTTTACCCTGGCCAGATTTTTTGCCTCGCGGTCCGCGTGCATCAAGATCTTGTTTTAGCCAGTGAAGAACCAAGTCTCCAAGCAAACTGTTCTCAGCCGACCTGTTCGGAACCTCTTGGTCGAACTTCTGCATTGTCCCAGCCTGTTTAACTTGGCCCATATGCATATGCACTAAATGCGTCGGCCACTGTGAAAGATTGTCCAGGATGTGAGTTGCATAGACAATTGTGCAAGCTCTTGTCTCTGTCTCTCGTTTCAAGAAATAAAGAAAGTTGCTTCGCGACAATAAATCGAGATCAACGGTGATTTCATCTAGTAGCAAGACTTGCCACGGCCGAAGCAAGCCCATGGCAAGCTGCACACGTCTTCGCTCGCCATCAGAGACAGCGTGCATTCTCCACTCAAGATCAATGTCAAGGATGTCGATGAGTTCGTCCCGACGTTCAGGGAAGGCATCACCACCAACCGAGGCGAGAAGCGTGGGGACATCGATATCCGTTCGCACAATGCTATTCAGAACCCATTCTACTCCGAGATATGTGACACCTTCTAGGCCCTCTTTAAACGGATCCACGCCGCCGACTTCGATTGTATTTGTCGGAGCTAGCCTCTTTCCAGATAGCAATCGAAGCAAGGTTGTCTTGCCAGCACCATTTGCTATAGCACGTCAGCAATGGCGACCTTTTTTAATTATGTTATCATCAGTACATCTATACCTCCAATAAGTAAAGTTCGGCTTCCAGGAGGCAAGCTGAGGTCTACATCCTTCAGGCCATTGGAGCCATCCGGAAATTTGTAGGAAAGCTTGCGCACCTCAATTGATGGAGCCATGATGTAACGATTCTTGCGCTTTACAGTGTCTGCTCAGAGACTAAAAAGGGTTCGCCTAGAACAATCAGACGAGAAAATAGTCACCTCTATGGCGTGACTTGTAAATACACGAGACTGTAAAAAGCAAAGAAAAGAAACGTCAGTGTGAAAGTGTTGGACGGCGGGGTGCTAGTCATGCCGGGCAGTAGTGCATTAATAATAATTAATGTAAATTCCCTTTAGGTGCCACTGCAACGGGAAATCGCTATTTGCGGATAAGTGCCTGGCTGGCGTAGGGACTCAGTCTGCGCGACTACAAAAGCCATTGTCTCTTGCCATTTTAATGATTACTACTTCTTCCGCCATCTCTTCTCCTCTTCTTACTTCTCTTGTTGTTTGTCCAGCTAGCTTGCCTATGCTGTGGTTCCTTCTCCTTATTTGGCTTTCAGGTTCCTCACGACGCGATCACTGTATTTGCAGTCATTCATCCATGCTCTATTTTTTGCCATTACCCATAGCTCACCCCCTTAGATCTGGATGCACATCAGATTTTACCCATCCCCCAAGCTCTTTATTATTATGCCCTTGCAAAAGCTTTAATAAGCACAGAAGCAAGAGCTCGAGCAAGAGTCCTAGTAAAGGTAGCAAAAGATCTAGTAAACATATGAGTAAGAGCCTTCCTAAGGCTCCTTTGCACGTAATCATATAAGGCTAATATATTACAGACCTACCCCATAGTAACCAATCAAATCAATTTGCATTAAGTAAACTTACAATTAAAGATTTTTCGTGTTTTAGATTACACTAGTACAAGTATCTGGCCAATCAGAAAGCTACGTGTCATCCGTGTCAAAAAGTAAGATTCGTAAAAAACGAATTTTGTCCTCGATGTACCAATGTATAGAGAGAGGTCGGGTGGGTATTTTGATGTGATACCAGACGAGAGCTCGGGCGCGCAGGATCGACCGCAATTATTTGAGGAGCCGGAATCTATTGAGGAACCAGTAGCAACTCAAGGGGGCGATGAGAAGAGGAAATTCGAAAAGAATGCGCCCAAAAGCAATCGATGCTCATGTCGAGTCTCCAGGAGAAGGCGCGCGTTATCTCACGATTCGGGGTATGGAATAAATCCGAGGAAACTTTTATCGGACTTCAGCTTGATGCCGAGTCGACAGAGTTCGTCATCTACAAAGTTCGTCATCTACAAAGTTCAATTCTGAGGATTCAAACGCTGCAATCGAAGTCGTCTAGTACTCCGCAGGGAAGCCTACGTGGACAGGGAGACGAGAGTGAAGATACACAGGCCAATGTAGCCTCCATATCCTCAAGTACAATCCACTCAAACAACGACGACGGTCTAGCGGCATTAGACGCATTGCAGAATACCAGAACACATTCTTATCAGCAATATCCAGTAAAGAAGACGCGACCACCGTTGAGTGTGCGACACTCGTTGTCGGATGAAAGTTCATACGTGAGGAGCCTTTCGCAGGTTTCCACGCTAGAACATCGACCGCATTATGAAAAATGTTCACTCGCAGGTGAATAGTCGATACAAAGCCATCAAAGATAGTCTACAAGACTATAGCAGCAGAATTTTCAGCATGCCGAGTTTCAATCTTCCAGATTTCAGAAGTGAGTGTCATCCGGGCCGTTTTCTCGGAGATTACCAACGGAAAGACAGCGTGCCAGCGGGAGATGCTAGGATCAATGGCGCCGCAGAAGGCAGTGACGAGTTGTAATGGCAGAAAACCCAATATTAGACCGAACACAATCTATCCATTCGTCGATCAAGCAGCCTCCCTTATAACTAGAGATGTCGCCGTCATGGGCGGTTATCGAGTGTGTGTGTGTGGAAAGAGGTATGGCAGAAACATGGCCCCGGTATTCCGGCACTATGACCACATGTTAGCGATGTTGTTCAAGGTTATGGGCATGCTCAAAAAGAACTCACCGAAGTTGTTCGATGACTCTCATTCTGAGATACGTCCCCTTCTCATCTTAACATTTCATACCCCACCATAAAGTCGGTCTTACAGTTCCCAGATGGAGTTGTGAAGCCAGGGTTTACGGTAGGTACCAGAGGCAACGATGTTGACAAATGTCGTTGGCCCGAAGATCAAGACCGAGGTGATTACATAGAGCTTCTCCAAGGGAATGAGCTGCTTTTGGTTTGGCAATGCGTTTGCACAAAGTGTTCCGCTTGGATCAATCTATTTCGGAAATATTAGAGAGAAAAAAGACTTGAGAAATTGTATTCATTCTATACTGTGACTTGCTTCACTTCTCCCGACTATCTTCTGAATCCTTGAACAGCGGATGTGGCGTATAACCACCAGTATATTTAATACAACAACCACATTCAGCAGTGCAATGCCCGTACAGTTCAATCTTTGTTCTTTCTTTCGAAAGATAACCAGACAGAATATAGTAATCCTTCAAAGGCTTCTCACAACACCCACACTCTCTACCACAGCAACCCCTGCTCCGAGCACAAGCGTCTCTCGTTTTCCGCCAACTGTATGGCTTATCATGTCCTAGGATAAAAGCATACTGGACCTTACGAGCCATCAATACGTCCCTATAATAGGCATGGCTTGTTTTGCTCAGCAATAGTTGATGCATCTTTTGCTTGTGAGCTTGATACAAATTTCGCGTTTGAAGCAATGCCTCATCGACACTGTAAAGTTCCTGGGAGTATTTAGCGTGCCACAGTTCGTCGTCACCCCAACAGCCATGCAGCTTTGTCTTCAGAATCGCTGCCCTTTCATCTGTTAGACGCTTCTCGCGTTGCATTATTGCAAATCCATTTTGTTCTTCCTTTTCATAATCCTGCTTCCAAAGGTATTCCAAACAGAAAGCTTTATTGACTGCGCGTACAGCTCTTGCTAAGGGGTAAAGTTTACAAAAGTCAAGAATTTCCTCGAACATCTTTCCTTTGTTCTTTTGCAGTGACGAAGTATGAGAAACAGCCGAGGAGGCAGTAGAAGGACGAGTGAGTTATGTGTTTAGGTGCGCAGGCTTAATCAACTGTTGATTCAGGCTGCACTTTGGATCGTAGTTGCCTATAAGTATCTTAGACTTGTCATTGTCAAGTTTTATAACGACTATGACTAAGACACATTGTTGCCTGTTGTAAAATCCAAGTTGGAATTATCGGACTCTAGCATCATCGGAAACCATAATAGACCCTAGATAGAGATAATACAATACTATGGGGGCATAGTTCGGCTGCTTCTGCTATAAAATAGATTGCCTTTATTGGTAAATTAATATATAAATTAATTTTTATTCTTAAATTATTATTTCATAGTTAGCCTTTTATGTCAAGCTTAATATATTTATTATATTCTCTTCAAAACTTTGAATTAATTTTTAATATATTATATTTTACAAATAATCTTATATGATTTAATCAAGGTCAATTGATGAATTGCCATACAATCCTACCAGCACGGGAATAGTATCGTTCTCTGTTAGAAATATCACAAACACTGCTGGTGAACGTTTCAGAAATAACGAGACTTCATCTAAGCCTCAGTGTTTTTCAGCTTTTCCCAGTCTAGAGCGATTCCTAGCACAGCATCACCCTTCTTCGCCAAAGAATTGTAAACTTCATCTGCATCCAACGGCGAGCAACGGTGGGTCAACAACCCCTTGACGTTCATCCTTTTCCTTTGCACGTAGTCGAAGAATAAGCTGGTCATGTTCTCGGCGGTCCACATGTTGAATGGGGTTTCCGTTTCAGGGAACATGAACCCATGAATACCTAAAATCGAAATGGAATTTCCAACAATTCTTGGTCCGAGACTTTGTTTAGAAGGTGTGGGACTGTCACCTAGGAGAACTAGTCTGCCCAATTTTCTCAAGAACTTCGATGCACTGGCCAGAACCGATGGAAAGCCTGTGATATCAAACACAACGTCTACCATTTTCCCATCAGTGGTTTTTTCAACCTCTGCAATCGCATCCTCAGCCGGCAAACAGATGGCGTGTGTTGCTCCGTATTTTATAGCTAGATCAAGCCGAGATTGTGATGTATCGATGACGATCAAATGCCTTACTCCACAAAGTGCGAGATATTGAGTGACAAGCTGACCTAGAATTCCCAATCCCACCACACATGCGCTCTCGCCCATGGCCAGCTCTGCCCGCCTCACGCCTAGTTGCGTTGTTCTTGCCAGCGTTGCCCATATTGCCTCCTCATCCTCGATTCCCTCTGGCACAATAACCAAATGATCTTGGTTTGCGATAAAATACTGAGCGTGAGGTGCCCATGTCGTAACACGGTCCCCAACCTTAAATTTCGTGACTCCAGGACCTAGTTGAACAACAACAGCAGCCATACTGTAGCCTGGGGCGAAGGGGTATTGGATATATTCTTCCCAGTATGTACCTGGATCATAGATACCGCGCAAGCAATGTGTTTCAGTGCCTATGCTGACCAAAGACACGTTTGCTTTGCAGAGGATCTCGCGATCCTGAGGGGGAGGTACATCTTGGAGCTCGACATGAACCTTGCCTTGGCTTGGAAAAATTATATTTTGAGACTTCATGTTGGAGATGCCGGATAATGCAATCAATGCTGTCGTAGTTCGAGGTCTGGCAAAACGAAAAGTCTTTGTTATATAGGTCCTAGAAAAGGGCGGATACCAAAAGATAAGTGCCTAATGTACCGGCTGCTACCAATCCAGCCAAAGTTACTGAGAGACATTCGGCGCGACATTGAATGTAACAGTGAGGGCTATCGACAAGGGTTTGACAAGCACAGAATCTAACGAACAGGGCTGCGAGCGATATGTTGGTTTAGATGGAAGCGGGGAAGGGAAAAACACGTCAAACTACTTTGTGCAATTAATAATATGTGTTGTTGTCACGCAGAGCCTAAATGCTAAAGGCCTAGGCCCACGTAGACAAATGCTACGGTACTTAAGTTCTTCTAGAGTAGTGATAATGTCACCTCATCGTGCTTGATAATATTAAATGCATCTAGGGTAGGCTCATTACAACCCTCCCAGTGCGTCATATAAAACTGTCCAAATTTATGCAAACTGAATCAAAGATGGGCCGTAACAACGAGGCAAAACAGTACTGCATCAGGTTGCTGCTCTAATGGATCTCGCAATTACACTGCACAATGTAACGTTTGAATCGACAAACCTAAGTACATAGCTGAATGATTGTTAACGTAGATCGGATTAAAAACTTTAATTGAACCCATATTTGATGAAATGTATTTCTTGCGTCATTATTTGATTCGAGATTCAAAGATTACATTGTTGGAATTCAACTTGACCACCATGTCTGGAGTCAACATTGCTCTGTTCAGAGCCGTGAGGTATGATCGAATGAGCTGGCTTATCACCTGACTGTCTACATGAAATTTAGGAACCAATAATAGTACCGCATTGAGTGGACGGGGCCTGTCGAGTTATTAACATGGAGTAACTAGCCATCAGATAATTCGTTTTATATGTACTGGGTATAGGAGTCTAGTTAGTCTGGTAGATTGTCTTAGATTTCTCCTCTAGACTGAAAACCACCTACCTACTTCCTACTCCTTTAATTGAGGATAAAATGTAGAATCTAACAGGTCGTGGGGCATGTGCCTACAATTAAGGATCGTTTTACTTTTCACGGCGAATTGCCCTGTATACTAACTACAAGTCTCATGTACTAGCTTTCCCTGGACGGTGGATCAATGACAGAAGTGAGGATTCGGTTTTGTGAAATTGGTACCTCACCGGTTTCATAGATTGATGTTGCCTTATGCTGGCAACAATTTCCTCCGAAATTGCTTCTTATTCATTGGTTCACGGGTGCAAGGGTATCAATGGGTTAAATGGCCCATTTTATTTTACTTCTTCTTTGCCTTTAGTACTAGGCAAAAAGAAGCAAAATTCAAAACGAATAACAACAGTTGTAGCCGGCCATTTTCTGTCTGTTGGGGGCAGTGTTCCTTGAACGCGAGGCAAAGCACCAGTATCCGCCCTCAGTAGACAAATCACGGAGCTCTGTGTTTCTGAGACTCAAAATGTGTTGTACACGATTATTCGGGCTGTTTACTATTTGGATTGTAGGTTTGTGATGAGTATTAGATGGGTTGATCTGTTTTATCTAGGGTTATCTGCGCGGTCCGACTGTTATTCCAGATTTTTATTTTGACCTCCGCACACCTACTACTCATTCAATTATTTAAATATTAAAGTAATTTTAATTTTTTATATCCGAAATACAATCTAATAATATATAATGTTGTAACATTTATATAAATAATTTATAACAATAAAATAGCCGAAAAAAATCAAGTTTGGATATACAAGATATACATGTCCATCGTCATAGTGGCCCGGATGAGAAAATGACTTCCCCAGATTTTTTCGCGTCTTTTGTTCTTGCTTCCGCCACACAGCCAGCCACTTGATATGGTGGTTTCAAAAACACGATGCGGTGATACCAGGCCATTAGGGAGCTCCTATTCAGCCGACAACTAAAAATCATGGATTTAGAGAAAGGTCTCTTAATATGCTCGGCTTTCTTCGACATTTCATCCAACCGCGATTTACGATCATGAACCCTCTCATAACCGTCGTCGGAGCCACAGGGACTGGAAAGTCCAAGGTATGGAAAGCACTTATTTATTTTGAAGCGTCTTAGAACAGAAGCTAAACTGTTAAAGCTTGCAGTAGACTTGGCCAAACGTTTCAACGGCGAAATAATCAATGGCGATGCGATGCAGCTGTACCGTGGCCTACCTATAATTACAAACAAAATTCCAGAAGAAGAGAGAGAAGATATAAAGCACCATTTAATTGATTTTATTGGTCTAGAAGAGGAGACATGGCGCATCGGCACATTCAGGGACGAATGTCTTCGAGTCATACAAGATATACACTCTCGCGGAAAAATTCCAATCCTCGTTGGAGGAACGTCTTACTATGTACAGTCTGTTCTGTTCAATGATGGTCTGGTTGACAGTGGAAAGGAGGATTCTAAGCAGGCGCCGGATGAAGATTACAATGTTCGTCAGGAAGGCCAATCCGAGTCGAAAGACTGGCCCATTCTCGATGCGCCTGTCGAGACTATGCTTGATAAACTTCGGGAAGTTGATCCTATCATGGCCGACCGTTGGCATATTAAAGAAGTACGAAAAATTCGAAGGTCATTGGAGATATATTTGAAGACTGGACGACCTGCATCCGAAATCTATGCGGAGCAGCAGCGGCAACGCCAAGCAGCTATCAACAATGTCGAAGGCGAAACAACAGGTCAGTTGAGATACGAAACACTGGTTTTTTGGATGCACGCAGAAAGAGAGACGCTTTACAAGAGACTAGATACTCGGGTGGAAAAAATGATAGAGCAGGGTCTGGTTGCAGAGGCCCGGTCGTTGTTCGAGTACAAGGAGTCGCAAGATACTCAATTAGACGAAACCCGTGGAATTTGGGTTTCTATTGGACTTAAAGAGCTAGAGCCTTACTTCAAAGCTTTGCGTGCAGGTGGTTCTAGCGAAGGACAAATAGAAGCGCTGAAGCAAACTTGTGTAGAGTCGGTAAAGACTTCTACCAGACAGTATTCCTCCAGACAGACACGATGGATTCGGACCAAAATATGGACGGCGCTTGCAAGCTTGAGCGCGACAGACCGGTTATATGTTCTTGATGCCACAGACCCGGATGCCTGGGACCGGTGTATAAGGGAACCAGCAGAACGCGTTGCGCAAGGATTCTTGGGAAACAGTGAAATTCCAGAACCTGAGTCGCTCTCGGAGCTAGCTCGAATGACTCTCGAAGATGCCAAGAAATCGCATGAAAAGCAAAACCAACCTGCAACTTTCTCGAAGCAGATGACATGCGAGGTATGCCACAAAACGATGATGGGCGAAGAACAATGGGATATTCATGTTCGAGGTTCTGCACATCGACGTGTAATGAAAAGTGCTGCTAAAAGAGCGAAGCGCCAAGAATATTTGCGTAATCGAGAAATGGCTGAAGGCACTGTAGACAAGGTCTCAACTGATGGAAATTGAGAACCGTTTAACCGATCGACACCTTCTCGTTGACCACGCTAGGAGTCCACCCCGGATTGCAATCAATCTGATGTGCTAAATCGGCATCGTTGGCAGAAGATTTCCCCCTCGTTCTCCACGTGGTAAATTTGGACGAAAGTATGTCGCCGTGACCGCTTTCCTCTAGCTTATATACCTCTATTACGGGCGATTTATCCCGTTTTCGAATTCGCCAAATCCCGTCTGTATTCACAACTGACTTGAGCCCTAGCATCAGAGTTAGATAAAGCCGCCTTCATAGTCAATTGATTAAATCCCTTACATTCGAGAAATGCTGCTGTAAAGTTGATGCAGACATTACCATCCCAGCTTCCTTTACCATCTCTCTTGACCTTTCCAGGTATGGTATGTGTCTCAAGTTCTTCTAGCCGCAGAAGAATTCCTGCTTTGTCACGAAAGCCTACGATAATTTTCGGAACCCCAAGGAGGAAAGACTGAGCCCAAAATTTGAGCAGTTTCCTCTCAAACTTCATCTTCTCTTTATCATTGAACAGCTCTGAAGTTGTCTTTAACTCAACCCAGTTGATGGGGTCTTCTTTGCGAATAGGTTTGCTATCCCAAACTAAAGGGAGGATTAGGACTATCTTTGAATGAGAGATTAGTGGACTCACTAGCATCAACCTCACCACCAATCACGAGCTTTGTCTTTCCAATGCCGGTTCGGACAACGGAGCAATATTGTGCTTTGTTGTTAACGACTTCGTGGACTCGGCCTTCGATCTTATCTCGAGATGTGGCGCCCCAAGTATCCGAGATGACAGAAAGGGTTTCAAATTTGTATCCTGCATAGGATAAGGTTATTCTTCACTCGTATAGAAAAATCATGGTGTATATGTACCCCAATATGCCATCACATCTTGCGAAGGCATCCCGGGCAACGGCCGCTGATTCCTTTGTATTTCCTTCTGCTTGTTTTTGTACGTATTGTTCTCTTCGATGAATCTACCATCAAGAGTGAGCTGTGATTCTCTGTTGTATTGTTGGACTATAGTGTTCGTACATTGATCCCTAAATGAGATATCGAGTGAGAATCTGTCCATTTCATCAGAGTTAAAGGGCTCTTACCTGAAAATAAGTCGCGTTCATTTCGAACCTAGTGCTTTGTAAGCAAAGAGAGTGCCAACCTAGACCAGAGCACAACACACCCATTCAACATATCAAAAGGAGCTGTCATTATCTATTGCTGTTAACAACTCGTCTTCAATCTCCACCTTGAAGGGTTGCCGCGCACCTTTGTCATCATCCCTCGCCAGGTGATAATATCGGCCTCGCATTTTGAGCCTGTATTTTCCTCAAATGCAGCAATCGTATCTAAAAGGGCATCTAAATGTTCATCTTTGGCGTCATTGAGCTTTTGAAATGACTCGAAGCCCTCATTCAGGTCGGCAGGCATTTGCGCCGGTTGCGGTGGATAGTAGTATTTCATGGATGAATCGTCGAGCCGAAGATTATGCTCTTCATCGTAAGAGAAACAGGCGATTTCCTGCAGATTTATTGTATAAGTGTTAGGTCTCAATGCAAAAGGACTTGCAGAGCTCAAAACTCACTCTAGGGCGCCGAATGGCCGTGGAGCCATTGAAGCGATGGAGCGGTTGGACATGGAAGGCGTGCGAATTCATCCTGCGTCACGTAGGGGCATGCCTCGTCGGAAAGAAAATCAAACAGCAAAGCAACCTCTTGTGTGCCTACATCAGCGCAGAAGTTTTCGTCCGTGGTCGTTGTCGACGTGCAAGGAACAATCGAAGGGGAAAAAAGAATAAGAGCCTCGCTGGATCGCAACAGGCAAGAAGCTCCCCAGAAGCCGCTGATTGGTCACGGCGGCACTCCGCACGGCTTAAGCATGAAAGTAGGAACAGCTGCGGCTGCCCCGCCAGAATAACAGTTCGACTGTCAACACCAAGAACAAAAACCAATTCCTTCAGTGCCAGCATCATCTGCCTTGACAGTGGCATCAGGAGCTCATCATGACATCCAACATTGCGAAGACGATTGCTCGCCAGCAAGAAAAGTACGAGATGGCAATGCCTCGCCTTTCTGACCGTGAAGACGACTAACAGTACTCTGCTGATAGAATCGCCGCCGGGTCCTTCTACGAAGCTCACCAACACCTACGTGTGATCGCTGCGCGGTATTTGGGAAAGTCGAATTATGACGCTGCGGCTGAGATATTGACGGGTGGCGCGACAGCTCTGCTCAGAGCTGGGTCCCAGCAAGGCGCTTCGGCCAGTGGTGGAGATCTGGCTATTATGCTGGTCAGCGAGGTATACACCAAGGCTGAGTGGGAGATTGGCACAGAAGAAGACGCCTCATCAAGAGCACGCAAGAGTACGTCTGATTAAAAGGTTATCTTCATTGTGAGGAGTCTGACAGTTTCCGTCTTTTATAGAACGCCTCATTGAATTGTTGCGCGAGTTTCCTTCTGACGAACCGTCACGAAAGAGATATATCAATGAAATTATAAATTGGAGTTCAAAGTTTGGACCTTTGGAGCGAGGCGATCCGGAGCTCCACCATGCCGTCGGGTCTGTTTACGCTGAGGGTATGGCAGAAGTTTCCATATACGAATAATTTCTAACAAATTTCACCTCTTCTAGAAAACGAACCGTATGAAGCAGAAAAGCATCTTATCATCGGGACCACAGATTCGGCAGAAACTCTGGCGAAGCTGGAATTTGAGTGGTATACAGGCGACGAGCCACACACAGCAGCTCTTTATGCCTCCAGGGCAGTTCTCCCTTTCCTTCTCATTGGCAATCTTCGTAGTGCCAACAAAGCCCTCATCATTTTCAAATCACGCCTTTCTAGCTTAAACCCGTCTCTTGTATCGCAACAAGTCAGCAGTGCGAGCGCCGATGTTCACATCTACCCATCTCTGCCGCTGCTCAACTTCCTGAGCTTGCTCTTGATTGCTGTACAGCGTGGAAGCGCGGACCTATTCCGTGACCTGACAAGACATTATGCTCCCCATATTCAGGAAATTGCAACCTGGGACGACGCGTTGGCGCGAATTGGGGAGATGTACTTCAACATCAAGGTACCTAGGCAGGGTAACCCGCTTTTGGACATGATGGGCAACATGTTCTTCGGAGGCGGGCAGAACACTGGAAATCAGAAACCTGGGGCTTCAAGCCGAGCATCCTCCAAACGAGTCGAAGCGGCTCCGTCCAGCGCCGAGCTGGACTAGTGTCTGAATGTATATTGCCAGTTTCATAGAATAGCGCACAATGAGAGATCCTGCATAGCTGTCTTCATATTACTCGTTAGGTATTTTATTCCACTTTGTGGTCGACTCAGACAGGTGATTCGTCCTCAATTTCAAACATCCAATTATCTTCATCTAGCGCAGCGACTCTATTGCGCAAACTTTGCTGGATCAGATTGAGAATTTCTAAAAACCAATGAGTTTGCAACCAGAAACTTGTCGAGGAGAAAATGAGACAACCCACCTGGCTCACTATTCAAGTGTCTATTACGATTCCGCTGCATCAATTCGACAAGATTCGCTTCAAGTTCTAACAAACCCATGTGTTAGCTGTACCTCCCAACGTAACAGCTCCATTGCTTACTATCTTTATCCCGACCAACAAGCTCTGAATCAACCGTTGAGCCGCCGTTTGCGACTGAACTTCCAGAACCACCACTAGGCCGACCTTCCTCAATCCCCTCCATAGCTTCTTCGTCTGCTTCTTCATCCAGCAAAACGGGCGGTAAGACCGGAATGTCTAACTGGAAATTCCCATTCTTATCTCTTGCGATAATGTCGCTGCCAGTGTCTGAGGGCGCGGGTATGAGTGCAGAGCTGGCGCTCGATGAGGTCGTATTTGAGATTGTAACTTTGGGGTTGTCGGGTATATGATTGTTTGGGCCCAGTGCTGAAGCTTGGTGGCTGTTGTTTGAGGATACTGAGGTCGAAGTTGACGCTGAAGCTGTTGCAGATGGAGGTCGACGGTTAAGATGACCCTGAAATAAATTTCGACGCGTCGGAGGCATGGTGAGAGATTATTTATCACTCTCGTATGGGGTTGATTTGTCGTTTCTGTCCTCTTGTGAATGCAATTGCCATGCAATGCTCATAAGACGTATTGCAGGCTGAATATTAGGATCCTGAGTGTATTTATTGGTGCAGTAGAGTGATCGGGCGAGCCTGCGATCAATATTGAATATAAATGGAGACGAGGATGAATATAGGAGAGGAATAAATAATGATCAACGACGGAAAGTCGACGCGGTCAGTAGCTTGTTCTGTTCCCCGCACCGCCTCGGCCCTCATGTTCTCCGCACATCAACAAACACTAAAAACATCAATAAACACTATGCTTGGCTTCTCCATCACGACTACTTGTTTTTAATGTTTTAAAGACGGTCTATCACATTGGAATGCCTATCTACAACACAACAATCAAAAGAAAAAAATACCGCTAGTCAATCTTTCCCCCTGGCGTTGGTTCTTGAATAACGCTTTCAACACTTCCTTCAGATGCTCAACTGCCTCGTCACATATCTCTGCATTTGATCAGCAAAACATCTCCTCAACTTAAATGGACTGTTAACAGAAAGAAAAACTCACGATAATGCACAACCAGCCTGGGCCTTGAAACCAAAACTCCCCTCTTAGCTGCCTCGTCAACAAGGTCCTGTAAAGAAAATGACAACCCTTCAAAGTCCAGCCAAATCATATTCGTCTCCGTCGGATATCTCAGCTTCCCGCCACTCTCTTGCCAGAATGTGGCAATATCTCTCGCGACTTCATGCGTTCTCCTAAGGAGACCCCCGCAGAATGTCCTTTCCACAGCCACACGCGCTGCACCACATAAGGGGCCGGGTTGCCGTATACCCCCTCCAATACTCTGCTTAATCCAGCGTGCACGACGGATGACATCTTCATTTCCAACAATGACAGCGCCGGCGGATGCTCCCAAACCCTTGGCGAAGCACAGCGTGATGGTATCAAACAACGCTCCATACTCGGACAACAAACCCCCTGCTTCTCCCGATGTAACCGCTTCCCAGAGCCGGGCCCCATCCAAATGAACTAATATACTATGTTTATGCGCGTACTCACAGATTCGCCGGGTTTCTTGCAACGGCATTACCATGCCATTCAGTGTATTCTCGAGAGATATTACTCGCGTAGCAGCCGAGTGTATCTGTTTACCATCGTCAATTTTGATGTGTGGTATAATGTCTTCCAAGGTAAGATATTTCCCATTTGTGGCCTGCACTGCTTGAGGGATAGCTCCGGTAAACACAAATGCTCCTCCCGATTCACTGTTCAGAATATGGGCGCGGGAGTCGCAGAGGACCGCATACGGTGGCTGAGAGAGAAGACTGCGAAGAGAGACAATGTTGCCCATGGTTCCAGATAAAACAAATAGGCCAGCGGGCTTGCCAGTTAGCTGGGCTATGAATGTTTGAAGTTCGTTTGTAGTTGTATCAGTGCCTGAGACGTCATCCTCGAGGCTGGCACGGGACAGTGCCTGCAGCATTTCTGCGGTCGGTCTTGTTCTAACATCCCCTAAAAGCTCGTCAATTGCGTCTTAGCATTTATAGAAAAGGAAAGGGATTGTTCCAATTATACCACGGAAATCAAATGCTGCAGTATTAGGATGCAGCCATGTATTTTGTTGGTCGTGGCTATTATTTGACGTGTCTTCACTAGTAATAGGTCCCATTTTTGACATTTTTTCTAGATATTTAATGAAGTCAGTATTCCTGCTAGTATGCTTGGTGCAAGGTTGTAGAAAGATCCCTGCCTTTATGCAGTCTGACTTGATGTTGTATCTACACCGATTTGACAAACAGCCAGTAAAAACTTTTATAAAATTGGTCACAATTTACAAGAAGAATATCTAGTGATAGTGACGACCAACACATCGTTTGTTATTGGTGAGACGTCAATTCCGATTCCTCTAGTAGCGGAGTTTATATTCCGAGAAGTCCGTAGCGTGAGAAATTTCACATACGTTGTTGCATAGCACGGAGCAGATATGAGAGGATCTATACAGGTATTTATGATCGAGATCGAATTAATAAGGGTAATTTTCTTACGGATAGATATGCGTATTCAATGGATATAAGCCTAGTCCCTACCATTGCTGCATTGCCCAAATACACAAAAGTTCAATAATATTTAATATCAATTTATATTCCTGGTTACTAGACTAATGAATATTTGGCGGTCTTCAAAAGTTATATTTCAATTACTCCCACCAAGAACTTGGTTGCTCCATAGAATCTCATAGGTTCGCGTACTCGTCACAAACCTCAATCAATTTACTCTGCGTACCCGGTTCCTTCACAAATAATAGTTAGATAATAGCTGATAAACACACTTTAAGAAATAACCAAAATATACTTGTGCCGACTCACCTTTGCACTATGTCCTGCATCTGCAATCCAAATCAATCTTGACTCAGGCCATGCATTATGTAGTTCCCAAGCCGTCTGCGGTGCACAGATTATATCATAACGTCCTTGAACTAGGGTTGCTATCAATATGTTAGATATACAATACCACGATTGATCAAAGCCATGTCGCAATGCTCTTACTGGGTATATGTCTGATTTTGTCCACATTCTGTTTAAACAGAATCTGTTCGTCTGTCAGCCATGCCGCATGTGAGAAATAATGAGCTTCCAGAAGCGCATGCGAAAGCAACCATTTTTCATCATTCAGCTTCTCGAATGTATGCTCGTCAGTTGTCAGAGAACCAATAGTCATATCCCATCGATTCCATTCCTTGGCTGCAGCAAGTCTCGTGCTTTTGTCATCCGAAAGCAGATACTTGTAATAACCTTTGAAAGGATCCTGTCTCTCAGATTCTGGTAAAAAACTGAGAAATTTATGGTACTCCTCTGGATAGATCCGCGCTGCGCCAGAATCGCCTCGTGACCATTCGCGTTCTATCTTACGACATGCCAGAATTCCACGGAGAATGAGAGATCCAACCATTTCCGGGTGATTTTGGGCGTAGAGCAAGGCAAGAGCAGAGCCCCAGGACCCTCCAAATACGAGATGCCATTTGGATATCTTGAGATGAATACGAAGAGTCTCGATGTCGTTAATGAGATGGTCTGTTGTATTCTCTTTGATTTCGGCAGAAGGAGTGGATTTACCGGCACCTCTTTGATCAAAGAGAACAACACGGTAGATATCGGGGTTGAAATACAGTGTGTTGGACAGAGAAGTGCTTCCTCCGGGGCCACCGTGCAGGAAAATTACTAGACTATGTTAAACAATGTTTTCAGAATGTAGGCCATGAAGAAATGCACACCTGGTTTCCCATCCGTCTTACCATATTGCTCATAGTGGAGCCTGTGGATAGTACTCACTTGTAGGAATCCTTCATCAAATGAAGAAGAGTGAGCGTATGGTGATTTGATGTCAACTGAAGCCATCTTCAGAGGTGGCATAGACAAGAGGAATGAGGAATAGAGTTGAAGGGTCAAGCAGAGGTGAGTACTTGATTCTTAAGAAGACAGTTTGGATGGTAAAAATAAAAAATTCATGACATATCTTTCATTAGTAGAAATATATAGGTTAGTTGTTTGGTGTGCATAATTGAATCCGGCTTTCGGAGTAGGAACTCCGATGCTAACTGTTTTAATTGGTCAGCTGCTATACAGAACGAAAGTGAGAAGCAGCAATTTATGTACACTTTCCAAAGTAAACCGTCAAGCGAGATAATTTGCAGCCTAAAATCTAAACACGTAGTTTGGTATCCATTGTTAAGAAAAGGAAAAGAGGATAAGCAGGTAACATTTGAATACAAGGCTAAATAATTCAGCCTGGTAATCAATCCCCTCCCGCTCTGAGTCTTTGGCAATTCAATGTCGTAGGGAAAAAAAAATAAAGGTGAGAAAGAAACCCCCTAATTTAATCCTTCATAAGAATTTTCCATAGTAATGTTCAGCGGAGTTGAAATATCAACTCGGCCGAAATCACTTGGGTCGATAGTCAGGCCTCAGGCCGGTCAGATTGACCATGCCAATCTGCTGCCTTAGACATACATGACGATTACTAGATAATTTATGGAGTATCTATCACAGGCTGAGATTGTCGGTAATTTGTATATAAATGGACTAGCTGACTAGATAATCGAACTTTCAGACTTCTATGCTAAATTGACCCTAGGAGCACTTTAAAATTACACTGAAAATTCCTTGCACCAACAGTCATATATTCAAACAAATGTCCAGGTGCTGTATAATCAAAAATTTTGTGATATGACGCTGGTATAATTTATCGATTGATTTATACAAATAGTAAAAAAGGTGTATATGGGATTCTGAGGCTGATCTTCCGTCCTGTGTAACCCGCGCGCATGGCATGTTAGGGGATCAATATGCTCGCTTAATTATTATCTTTGTCAGAACAATGCCATCAAGGGTTAATAAGACCTAGGAGCCTTGGACAATTTTTCTAGGCCTATCTATTGTAGGAATAGTGTCCATTGGAGGTTATCATCTTGTTTTATTATGGTAATTGCAATGTAGCTTAGTTAGTAGGTAGATGTATAGTAGTTCCTCGCTCTATTTTGGGGCCCTCTCTAGTCAACCCCTGCATTAGTTCAGCCTCTCTCCAGGGCTCCGAGACTGTTGTGGAATACTGAAGCGAAAATAGATGCTATTCGCCCGAGATTCTGGGTTAAACTTTCTTCTCGGCGCTTACAGAGAACGCCTCTTTAGACGCTTGCCTTTACTGGTAATATTAATCGATCCTAGGCCCTATCACGGTAAGTGGAAATTAGTCCGTAATCCTTTCCTCTTCAAGTCCGAATTGGTGCTGTAGCCATGTAGGTTGAGCCTGAATAAATCTGGGCAGAAAGACGTTGGAGTAAATTATTGTTATCCTCGTTTCCATCCGCGTCCTCATCATCGTCAGATATCTCAAAATCATTCCACCTGAAAGGAAATCTGCAAATCATCAAACAAACAACGCGTTATGGATTTACGTGTCTTATCAGTATTTCTCGCGGGCCTGTCCTACCATCTAGTTCTGGCTGTGGACAACTCCCAGTACTTCTCACAATTCGTCGGCGCTGCAACCGCCACCTTTTCAGGTCCCTCTTCTCAATCAGTTTATTTCCCAATCTGCACGAACTACATCCATGGCCTCATTGACCCGAACACCCTACCGACCACTGCCTCCGTCCAGATCTTTCAAGAACAGGTTGATGGGGTGTGTCAGATCTGTAGCAAATTGGACATGACCCGCATCGACTCGTGCTGTGCACAAGCTACTTCGAGTGCATGCTTTCAGAATTTCGATGCTGCTGCTGCTACGACTACTGCTGATGGACACAGTGCTGCTTCAACTGGAAGCGCTGGTTCTGGCACTAGTACTGCAGCTGCCACTGGTACTGCAGTCGCTGCTGGTCCGACCAAGTCTTCAAACGCAAACAAAATCGACATGGTAGGTTATCGTTGTCGTTTGGACTGCTTGCTCGTTGCTAACAGACACATTGCAGATAAATTTCCCCGGGTCCCTTTCTCTTGCACTGCTTGGCATGTTTCTATAGTGGGCACCATTCGCCTATACCTGCAGTCTACTCCATCCGGGTAGTGAGATCGGTTGCTATTTGAAATACGAGTTGCATCAGTTCGTTTAGTTCATCTTAAGTTCTGCCTTGTGACAACATATAATCATATTGAAATAGAAGGCTTCAGTAGCAATACCAAGAAGTACGATTCGATTGTGAGGTCGCTGTCCTAAAAGAGAAAATGAATAGCCGCCAACTTGTCGGCTACAAGACTGAAGTGCGTTCCTGTAATCGAAAAGGATGATACAATGTATCTTAAGCGTTGGTGTTCTTGACGTGATTTCACCTATTTCGTAATGTTATTGTACATAGTTCGTCAACATGCCAAAAAGCTATTCAATTCTGTTCGTGGCCGTGTCTGCATTCGAAGGCTTCTATATCATCATAGAGAGCATGACTTAATTGTGAGAGGGTGACCACGAGAAATAGAAATAAACCCTTTGGTCGAAGACAGAGGGATAATAGTAGGGGGCAGGAACCCTACTCACGTGCATTTTGTTTGCCCAGCACGGAAGGCATGACCATCGCCGTTGCAAGTCAATGAACTCATTATGCAGATGCAAATGTATAGGCATTGGCTGTCAGATCTGGGCTCATGTTGTCTGCTACCACAAGTTAAACAAAATCTCAATTTATCGAGGCGGTGGATCTGACTACGAGCACATCTTTTAGCATTTCTCGATCAAAATAAGGGTTTGAAATAAGACGCACGGTAAAGCATGAAGAGAAGTTGTAGTATAGCATAAGTGACAATAAACCACAGATGAGACAGTGGCCTCTCAAATTCTGAAATTGCAACCCTGTGATATTTGAGTTTTGAGTGCTAGAGATAATCGATATTTCTGATGGAATTGATGTCAGGCGAGAACAAACTACGACAAAGACGCTGTGAATTATCCAATTAACTTGAAATAAGACTGATACTATCGGTATCCGTGCACTGTTACACGTTTATAAGGTATAGGAAAAATACGTTCGAATATGTGTTCATACAGGCAAAAAATCATCAGGGAAAGCCTGGATAGCGGCGATAGTCAGATAGCAGGTCAATAAATACTGCAACTACTACTACAACAACAGCAGTTGTGCAAGGCCAGGTATGAATGATGTTGAATATCAATGCAAATGGTGTTGCAAAATCGATTAACCATATAGAGGAAAGCTAGTACGCTTATCAATGGAATAGTTGCATATTTCAACATGCCTGTTTTAACTTTTCCGACACTTTTGATGACACTAGTGTTTTTTTGCTGGAACAACTTCCTTTCTGCAACATATTCGTGCTTGGTTTGTTACTGTGTCTATATGTTTCATCATTTGAACTTCGCTGCTTATATCGCTGAGCATTGCGACGACTGCTGAAGCATCAATTCATTCTGCTGTCCTGATGCGCTTCCAGTTGTCGTCATAGTGATCTTTTGAGTGTAGCCTGGTGATTCCCTACACTCAGTCTATCAACTCCTTGTTCTGTCAATATCTCAACCACCAAGTTCTCTATTGACCGTCAAGTTGTTAGTACATTATACAATAGTGTCCTTTGTCTACAAGGTGGGTATCGGGATCTCCTGACAAGACATTTTGGTTGTGAGACCAGACAGCCTGAGCTTTTTATACTCACTTTTAGGTCTGCCCAAGTACGTTTTTACCCAGGGACTTGATACTTCTGCCTCCAGATAAGTCAACAGCATCGGCAATATAAGTACATTTTAGTACAACGTCGCTTTCAGCAGAAACCGAAATGACTAGCTCATTCTCTCGTCTTCCACTAGAAGTGTTAATTATCGTTCTTCAACATGCACCAGATCTTCCAACAATCTACAAATTCATCTGTGCATCTGCGAGCGCTAACGCGGCATTTGAAATCAGTCCATCTCATATTTTGGATAATGTGATAGAACGCTCAATCCCAGAATTTAAGCATCTAGCTCGGATGGTTGCTATTCTAGGCTCATTTTCAGCGTCATCATTACATCTCACCTTTAAGAATTTGGTTGACAAGTACAAAAATTTACCAAAAGACATGCTTACTACAGCTCCAGCATCTTTTGCGTTTGAAGCTGGTACACCAGGTCCTCGCTATCTAGTTCTCACAGGATATCGCATAGAGATCCTTCAACATATATGCTTCGTCTCTCTTCTTCAGAATATCCATGAGGTGATATGGGCTATCACACCCATAGATAAAAAAGAGACTTGTTTTTATCCTATAAAAAAGTCTAAAGCTGATTTTTTTTTCAGGCAGCTGCTTGGTGGCCTCCATCATGGGCCGAAAAAGTACGGATTACGCGGGCATTCTGGAAACTGATAATTTACTGGAATATTCAGGTGATCTATCCCGACCTCAAAACAGATGATTATAGATTTTCTCAATATAGTGCGGTAATCCAGCATATCAACCCATGCATTGGACCGGATTTGAGAAGCTATAAAAATGTGTGTCATGAAGTTGAAGAAATGAAGTGTGTACTGGCAGCTACTTATGACTTCTTGAGTTACACGGATGACCTATATCATCTATTTACACCATTCACAAGCACAAGTCGAGACCCTCATAACTTCCATATTAAAAAATGGACATCTTCTACTATTTCTGAAGAGACTTCGCACTGGAGATTTGAAGAGCCAAAGCCAATGAACGGAGTTAAGGATCTACATAACGGTCAGCATAGTTTTTGTGTGAACAGCATAAATAATGGTTTCAGGCTATGGTATTGGAGTTGCTGGTTTAAAGACTTATATGAACGTCCTGCATCAAAGCCACACAGCTATAATCCTCAATTTCCGGATTATCTTGGTCTCTGCATCTGGGACTACAAACGGCAAGGTTATCTTGGACTTGCATATATGTATGATGGGTTCCTGGATCCATGCTTGGGTCCCCTAAGGAGCCCTAATAACCGCTTCTTTACTTCGACTCGTATATCGACTCGATGGCGGGATGTATTCATGCGAGAGGTGGTCAGATTACCAGGAGGACAGTTGCGGTGGCTTTCAAAGGACTTGGAGATTCACATACGAGAATGGGACATTCCAGAACGTCTGAAAGATATCATAGATCGGTGGCGTCTGGATTATGACTGGGGTTTGTTCGAGTTGCGCGGCTAAGTTTTATGATGCTTAGGACATGATAGAAGCAAATGGGAGGAGCAGTATAAGGCTTTTCGCCAGTCTCTCTGGGGATTCCCTCCAGGGGGACACTATATGCCAGTATACCTTATGGGGGAGCGGATCTGATCCTTCAACAGCGTTGAGGACTCTCTTTGGTTGGGGCCGATTGTTCATTGCTATGTGACCCCAGGTTGTTAAGTTATTCAGTCCATTTTGTTGTCATGCCCGGTTAAAATGGCATTTTCCGCTCCGGTGCAATCAAGTCGTTGGCAGATGATGGATGGTGATTACGGTGAGAATGTACATAACCAGTTGATTGATAGCGAGAAAAAAAGGTGAAGATATTATTCTAAATATTAAAATAACCAACTGTTTACAGCATTTTATTAGATCATGATCATTCTTCAGTCAACATCTGACATATCCCCCTAACATCCCTTCCTTTAGGACCAACCAGAGAATCGAAATACGCCAAAACACTCTCCGCCTTAATCAGCCCCGTGCCCTGAAGCTCTGGATTCGAGCTCTGCAGCACCTGGCCTCCCCAGAGAATACGAACAAAGAATCCATCACTGCCCTGCTCAACTTGTCCCTTCTCCCGATACAGCTCAAACACCAACTCCGCACCCATTCCCGGCCATACCATCTGCCTAACCTGCAGAATTGAAAGTAAACGGGAGAGACTCCCGTCATGGGCAACATTGTGTCTATACATCACCCTATCCTGACTCCCACTGTTCGCCATAAGAGCGGAGATTTGTTCGCGAAGCCGTTCAGCTAATTCCGCAACAAACAATCCGTATAGTGCCGCACTAGCGGTTAGTGAAGACGGGGCGTCGCGGTACAGATACGAATATTCCCATTGACCAAGACGGAATACGGCGTTGGCTTGGGAATGTGTAATGCATTGTGATGAGTCGTTGGCGGTACAGGGGAGCGGCTTAGAGTGGCAGAGCCGCGAGGAGAGGTTGTCGAAGTAGTGGTCGTAGCTGGCATGCCAGGCCTCTGAGTCTGAGGGGATGCCAGAAATGAGATCGAGGGAGTTAGAAAGGGGTTTTGACTTTTCAAGATGAACTGTCCATGGGGTGGAACCGGTGTCTGGGTTCAGGATAGTGTCGAATATGGATTTGCCACCTGAGCAGGGGTATTGAGGTTCCAGTGAGTCTGCTCCTGGTTTCTATACAATTTTTAGCATTGCTGCACCATTTCCTTATCAAAACGATAATTAGAAAAAGGCTCGGGAACACAAACCTGCACATGCAATGGCACATCAACCCGTTCACCATACATCCCCGCAATCACCATTCCAATGACCTGACTCGTAATAATATTATTCGTGACTCTAAAACTCATCTTCCCCAAATCAAGAGTGTCCGGGAGAAACCCCAATAGATCATGATACACCTCGAAAATGTCACGGCCATGCTGCCATGAATCATGGAGACCGCCGCTGGTAATCTGAGGAAAGACACAAGATCCTGGAAATCCTTCAACCGGAAAAAAACTAAACGGGTTATTCTCTACTACCCAGAATGTAGAGGAACTATTATTATTCCCTGCAGGCTGGCCGTAGTGATATAGTTGCGTGTCAGTGCAATTCCATTCATAATTCTCAGTAGGAAATGTATTGGATAGATAAGGTGTTCTTTTATGATGTCGATGTATCTGTTTATCCGATTGAGCAGATTTCTTTGACAAAAAAGGGTGAGATAAGGCCAGCCTACTATTTCAACATACATAAGCTCATACTCTTCGGCGACCCTCTGATACTCCCGCCTCCTGACGTGCGGCATATTACAATAATTGTACTGCCCATACCGGTCATCTGGAGTATCGGAAGAATTAAAGATAAAGTCAAACACGCCATCGCTGTCAAGGATGGTGTCGAGGTTGTTGATGGCGCTAATGTCGGGAGGATGCCAGCTATTGTCTGCTGCGGCGGTAGTTGTGATGCATAGGAACAGCGCGACAGCATGGCATACCGGGGAGATCATGGTTATTAGCTCATTCTTTAAAGTATAAGTAGATTAGTTTTTGTATGTCATGTTTAATCGTTTATGCGCAGTGGGATGTTGGTGTTATCATTTATTTATTGGAATTGACAGAGGTTGAAATTAGCTCTGGCGACACGCGACACGTGGGTCAGGATTAAATATTTAGTATCACCATCATTGCCTGTTTACTACTTACTATCCATTGTTATCCTAGCCTGCTTGTCACATGCACGTAATGCAATTAGTCCCGCAACCACTATAAAGAGTATTTAAACTATTTGTAGGACAGAATATTGTGTAGAGATTTTAAGGTTTCCATTATTCATATCTCAAGACAGGATATGCAACGCCTGATATTTTAAAGCTAGAACCACAACGCCAACAAATGCATACGTATGAATATGAATCATCGCGTTGTGCTGGAGCCAGCCACAAAGAGTTCTGGCTTCATATTTATTTTACACAGCTTCGCCACACAACCACTAAGTTGTAAAAGTGTCTGCACGCCATCGAGAATGCGCATGTGCGTGAAGCCAATCTCCTTGATGAACTCCAGCTTCGAGTGCTCTGACAACGTCGGTATTGTCTTGGTGACACGGAACATAGTGCTAATGATATCATGTGAAGAGTAACCCAGGCCCCTAGCCAGCAAATTAGCATATCAACCGCCTACCGGCTCGTATAGAGTACTTACCACAGCTCATTCAGAATCTCCAACGCCGAGTCTACTTTCCCTTCCCAGCACGCTTTGATCATAGCCTGCACTTTGATCGGATGCGGACTGTCCACGACACGAAAGACATTGTCACCACTCACGAACCCGAACCCAGCCCAGGTGCTCTGCAGATTATTGATCGCCTGCCGCATATCGCCCTCTGCGCTAAACACCAGCGCCGCGATGCCGTCTTCCGAGAACTTGACATCTTCTGCCTCGCAGATCTGCGTCACGCGCTTGACAACCTGTGCGTCTGTGAGCCGCGCATAACGCAGAATGGCGCAGCGGGACTGTAGCGGTTCGATGATTTTGTTGGACTGGTTGCAGGCAAAGGCGAAACGGGTAGTGGTCGAGTATATTTCCATTGTGCGACGCAACGCTTGTTGGGCGCCGGGGGTCATGCTAATACAATACCAGTCAGCCAGCACATCTACATACAACCAGGTGACAAGTACCTATCCGCTTCATCGAGAATAACCAGCTTATGCCGCCCTGGTGGCAGCGTAACCTTTTTCTGCGCGAAGCCCTTGATTCGGTTTCGCACCACGTCGATACCTATCACAGCTATCAACACCAATCCGCAGCGAGTGGCACGCGAACTTACCTCTTTCGTCACTTGCGTTTAGTTCTAGCACTGCCTCTTTGTACGTATCTCCGAGCAATTGTCTGGCAAGGCAGAGAATCGATGTTGTTTTGCCGATACCCGGCATGCCTGAAATAATAACATGGGGCATGTTGCCATCCTTTGCGATGATCTTCAGGCGTTCAACCGTCTCTGTGTTTCCGACAATGTCGTCGAGGAATATAGGTCGGTACTTTTCGACCCTACAAATAAATCAAGATTAGCGCAATGGTGTGTAAGTAAATTGTAAGATAGAGACGAACCAGGGTAGCTCGTAGTCTGGGGGGGCTCCGGTTGTGGAAGCTTGTAGGCCGTTGCGGGCAGCAGCGGCTGACGACTCGGCTTGCACCATGATGGGATAAGCCAGGCCAAATTGTCTAGAGCGGTGGTTGAGCTTGCAGTTCTTAATTTCAAGACTGCGACAGAGAGTTGCACAGTGACTTGGTGTGTGAATTATTGTGGAATATCAATAATCCATGATAGCTGCGGACACGAAGAGCTGCAAAGACGCGTCGGGCGCGAACAGATTAATGGATGGTCCGTGCACGTCTACTTTATCCGCTCAACATTTATGGAGCGCCTGTATCTTTAATAAATTATTATCACCGAGTCTATGAAGGCTAATTCGTATGCATCAATCGTTGTACGCTAACTATACACAGCTTTCATCTAGCTCCAGTCTCCAGTCCATGCTGTCGCCAAAATCTCAAATAAACCCAACACGCTGGGTATGCAATATCGTCATCGTCACTGCCTCCAGCACCCAGAAATGCAAGCAAGCGCAGGTAATAACAACTGCTAGGTGGCCATTAAATATTACTATTGTATAATCTCTCCTCCATATTATTGATAGTGTTGACGCGTTGCGAGGGTGCAGCAGCTCAGCGTCTGCGCCAGAATTTCCAGCTTGGCAGATTCAAACTGCCATCTCGCTGGTATATGCGCCAGAAATACGCAGGAACTCCAGCAGCAACAAAGGCAACAACAATCAACGACTGGAGGGGTTCGGCAATGATGGCTCTGCTCAGAAGAAACAGGCTGACGCAGCAGAATATAATGGGCGTCGTGATCCACGTCTTGTACGGCCGTTCCAAATGCGGCTCCCGGATTCTCAATACAATCAGGCCGAGAACAGTAAGAAAGTAGAATGTATATCCAGCGACTCCGTAGAAGGTGATAAGAGTGCCGAATTCCCCCACGGCGACGTATGCGGAGGTGAGGATGGCGTTGAAGAGCATGGCATTGATGGGAGTGTATCCAATTCCTGCGGCGTCGCCGAACAGGCGGACAAGCGTTCGCTGAAGTCGTGAGCGGCGCTGTAATCGACCCCCCGTGATGCCACTGCCGGACTTTCCGAAGCCTATGTTTCCAAACATCGCAGGAAGGTAGCCTTCTTTTCCAGCAGCATAGACCAGGCGGCCACTCGTGAAGACTGTCGCGTTGAGGGCGCCCAAGCAGCTGCCAGAAACGACCAAGGCCAAGATGAGCGCTCCGGCGGGGCCGAAGACCTTGGATCCGAATTGAACGGCAACTGTGTTGCTCTTGGCTATCGTTGATATAGGGAGGACAAAGATATATGCAACGTTGGCCATCAAGTAGCAAACGATCACAACAGGCATCGCTGTGTGGATGGCACGGGGCAAGTCTCGGCGTGGGTTCTTGAATTCACCGGTTACATAGTTCGTCTAGGAATTGTTAGAAAAAGTCTCGTTGTAGAACCATTTTAAACCTACGTTATCCCATCCATCAAATGCCCATAGCCCGGCATATAGCGCAATCGCCCACCCAGAAATGTCTGTGCTTGTTCCTTCAAACCAACTGATATTCTTCCAGTCCTGGTTTGCTTGGCCCTTGGACGACACGCCGGTGATGGCGACGACAATGCCAATGACGGTGACAGCGATCAATGCGATAAACTTGAAAAACATAGAGATGTCACCGACAAAAGTCCCCAACTTTGTTGAAGCACAGTTCAGAAGAGTCACCGCGAAGACTCCAACAAGCCCAACCCCTTTATTGATCCACGGGCTGATACTTTCAACTTCAGCACCGATAAACGCTCTCACCATATACTCGCCGAAAATAATGGCAATGATTGCGGCGGATCCTGGCTTCAAAACAAACACTGCACACCAGGCGAAGAGAAACCCAATGATCTCCCCAAAAATTTTGGACAAGTAAACCTGTGGCCCTCCATTCAAAGGAATCGCTCCCCCGAGTTCTGCATAGCTCGCCGCTCCAGTCCATGCCAATAATCCCGCTACAGCCCATACGATCAGAGCTGCGCCTGGTGACCCAGCATTGGTGTTAACCTGGCTCGGGGACGAAAAGATGCCAGAGCCAATAATAAGCCCGACGATCAGCGAGAGCCCATTCAAATACGTAAGCGACTTGTGCTTCTCCAATGACCCGTCTCGAAGGCCTGTATACCTGTCCAACGATGTCACGGATGGTGCGCCGAGCGGCGCATAACCGCCAGCGGTTTGTGAGAGCGGGAACAGATTACTCCCAAAATCGAATACCGAAGAAACTGAGTAGGAGCGAGCATTTCGCGGGCGACTCGCGTCTAGCCCATTGATTTCGGATAGAGGATCATCTGCTTCGAGCGATAGTTTGCGTGACGACGATATCCCCGATCGAGACGAGTCTATTGACAACCGCCCAGCCGAGTCAGGGGACGAGGACGACGCTAGCGAGGCCAGCTCCAGCGAGTCCCGCGGCGGATGGCTGCTTGAAGCGTGCCTGTCTGCGGAGAACGTCACTCGAGACATTGTACTAAGCTCTAGGATTGTGCGTGGGTGTGTGCGCAAACCGTAACCGCCATGCCAGTCGGAAAAGGGAGCAGGCCACTGATGTCACGGCTCGCAGAAGACCTCTCAGAGAGTCGGAGCGAGTGAGGGAAGATAATGCTGGTCCGTAGGTTGCTCCTTGCGAATGGCCAAGCAAGGGCGTTGCATGGAAGAAATCAGGAGGGAGTAATAAGGAGGGAGAATAAGGTACGATCGACGAGCGGCTCCGCATCGCTGCGGCTAGTGCGGCGGTCAACACGCAAGTTGGCCACACGACTGCCTGCTTATACCAAACACACCCAGCTCCAGCAATGCAATCCCTCACAGTGCTGTCTCCCAGCCGCGCACTGCGGTGCCAGTACTGCCGCGTTAAAATCCCTCGACAGCGCTCACGACTGTCTACTGCCACCACCGCACCCGGTACTTCCTCCGCGCCGAAAAAGCGGACATGGCTTCGCTTAACCGTGGTCACGTTGACGGCTGCCGGAATTGGTGCGTACCTCAGAACACAACAGGATGCCGGCAACAGCCAGCTCAACCCGGCCGTATTCGCACATTATAGACTGGTATCGAGAGAGCCGGTCTCTTCGACGAACAGCATCTTCACGCTCGAACCGTCCCGGCCCGCAGACAACCGAGAGACGTACGAACTGGCATGGCAGATGGGTGTTTGGAGTGTGATGTTCAAGCAACCACAACTTCAAATAGGGCGCGATTATACACCGCTTCCACCGCGAGACAATAATGCTGAGGGCGACGAGATTGAAGAGTCGCTGCGTTTCCTCATTCGCCGAGACCCCCATGGAGAGGTCTCCCGCTATCTGCATAATCTGCAAGTAGGCGCAGATGTCGAGATCAGAGGGCCGCAGGTCGAATGCGAGATTTCCCCGGATGTGCGTGACGTGTTGTTTATTGCAGGGGGGACAGGAATAGCCCCGGCTCTACAAGCTATCTATATATTGCTAAGGCACGCAAAGCCTGAAGAAAAGCGAAGAATCCATATTCTTTGGGCAAACAGGAAGAGAGAAGACTGTCTAGGAGGTATAAGCGACACTCCAGCAGGGGGGCATGCAAAAACATCGTGGTGGACGTTTGGACGACAAACAGCGAGTTCAACGTCAACACCTGAGCCTCCTGCTGCGACCAGCCAAGGTGCTATAGTCAGCGAGCTACAGAAATTGAAGGTGCGATATCCTGAGCAGATTACGGTTGACTACTTTGTCGACGAAGAAAGTTCGTTTATCAGCACAAAAGATATCACAGCCTTCACAGACTCCGTGCAAGCGGCGGCTGGGAAGCAAATGCTGATAGTTTCTGGGCCAGAAGGGTTTATCAACTACATGGCCGGCTCCAAGATGTGGGCACGGGGATATCAGCTGCAGGGATCGGTTGGCGGAATTATTAAGGACCTAGATTTGAAAGATTGGACGATTTGGAAATTATGAAGCAGCATGGTTTTTTTTTTCCTTTCTATTTTCAGTCACTGCATAGCCCTGGAGTTGGCGAAGCCTGTTCATGTATATATTCATTACACACATATATTTACAGGTGTTCTACGTAGTAAGATGCACATGTGATCGTTCACATACTTCATTGGACAGCAGGACGAAAAGGACACCGACAGGCCATCCTGGATTCCCCGTGAACACGTGGAGATTTATTCTGCGACGCTGATCGCATCAACATGACGGCATCTATCCGGCATACACATATCAGGACAACGCGGGTCTCAGTCGACGGCGAAAGGGTGCACGTCAATCACGACCCGACAATATTAATCTCGACATTCTGATTCTCGCATCAAGTGGCAGCTCGAGAGGCAGCTCGGCGCAAGAGACTGACAATTCGCAACCGATCGATTCTACTGGTCAAACACTATCGACCGTGTCGGCAACAGTTCTCTCACAGCGCGTTCATCTGCTCGAGATGGCTCGTCTGATCGGGGCTTTGCGAGAGTTTCGGTCGGAAGGCAAAGCCAGGTGTGGATGCTTACCTGGAACGTGCACTGCAGCCAGATCAAGGAAGAATTATTAATATTAGTCCTGGATGCATCTCGTCTAACTGCAGATATTGCCGGGGTGTATATACTAGGGACAAATTGATGTGACTGTGATTATTATATTATTAGGATGTGAGAGTGAGTGAATATTAATAATCGATATGGTACCATCAGTTTACTTTCTTCATGGCCCATGAATAATCAAATAATCAAGTAACCAACAAATAAGCAATCTCTCCATGTTATGGCGCCAACCCAAGTGATCCTGGCCCCAACACCCTGGCATGTCCGCGCGGCGCAATCGCTGCTTGTAGCAACGGGTCTCGCTTACATGCATGATCCATCCAGTAATAATAGCGAGTAAACAGTAGTAAGTTACAAAGTGAGTATTCCACAGATCGTGTGACAGTCGGCCAAGACCGATCGATCCATCAATGGTATAATATAATCATTATCAATATCATTATCATTATCACTTTCAGTCTAATTATATTCATCTCATAATCAGCCATAATCAGCCGCAGCGTGCGCAACAGACTGACTAATACAATACCGCCCACCGTGCAACTCCCTTGCAAGAACCCAGAAGGCGTCGCAGCGAGCAGGATTCACAGTATGGCCGGGCGAGTCGTACAGGAGAGAGAAACACCGCCACTCGAGTACATGTAGCGATTGGAGACCCGATGCGCTGGGAGATCTGAACCCTCGCTTTGGCTTGCCATCACATTACACTATTCCTACGCTAAGGTAGTTATATAGTTACTGTATACGATAAGGAGTATGGTACAGTGCAGATCAGACGCAGCGCCCCGCGAGACAAATTAACCTTAATTTGGAATGTTGGCACCATACCATTAATTCGTTAATTGAAGAATTCTCAGTACGTACAGCCCACAGCCCGGCCTGGAATCGAATAAAAAATAACGTGGCAATAGTATGAGAATGACTGCGATAAGTCGTGATTGGCCGCTGGCAGAGTGTGACACAGCGCCACACTCAGCTGAATCGACAGATCTTCTTCTGTTATACTCGGCAAAAGAATTCCCCGTAGACTATCCCATTGAACTGAACACAAAGCATCCTGGTAGGGACCGAAGTGTTTGCTGCAATGAACACAACTGTGCGATGGTGAGTCTAGAAGCAAGTGCCACTAGGATCGCTCGTCGTTACGTTATCATCGATACGATGAGATACAGTAATTGAATACGAAGCTTAAGCTTTGCTCGCTAATAATCACCGCTTCAGCGCTACCTTTGCACCAGCTCACATCGTCGGGTCGCGCAGACTCCAGAAGCGGCTGACATCCTGGTGCAGAGCCGTCTATCTGCAGCTGTCACTGGCTCGCTGCATTCTCCAGCATCCTCCGAGTGTTCCAGCCTCGTTTCTCACCCTCTCAGCCTTATTCTCCGCGCCCCTGATTCGCGGTCCTGTTGCAGGAAAAAGAAAGCTGCCGATAGTGAAGAAAAAAAAAAAAGAAAAAACGGACAAAAGCGAAAAAAGGTGATGACAGCCACGCGCTCTCCGCTGCCGGCCCCCATGCCGCTGAATCTGTCTGGACCCTTCAAGCAGTGAAGCACAAAGCCCGACAGAACGCCTCTCCAATCATGCCTGCTGCTGCTGTTAGCTTTGACCACGCATCATCCAACCTGGCGGGTCCGTCGATCGGCTCTCCATCCCAAAGAGGTCCGACGTGCTGTCAGGCTGGGCGCTAAACCAGACCTTGATCTGACAGGCTGAGGAAAATTATCACGGCGGTGCACATAAATAAACACGCTCTGCCATCCCCGCTCCTCTTCCCCACTACATATCGTGTCATATCATTACCACAATTCACAATTGTTGCTTGGAGATCTCTTGTTGAGCCATTGTTCCATCATGGAGCCGAGCAGTAGCAGTCGATCTCGCAATTTGTGGAGTGCCGAAGAGGATGGCATTCTCCGAGGACTAGTTGAAGCTTATGGTATTTCTCACCGATCATTCTCCTTCCTTTGACGTGTATTGACCCGTGCAGAAAAAGACAAGGTCGACTGGCGTGTGATCGCCTCTTACCTCCCTGGCCGCAACAACAAGGACTGCCGCAAGCGATGGCACTACCGCGTGTCTGCGAGCATGAATCTCGGCCCGTGGTCTCAGGCTGAAGACGAGCTGCTGAAGCTGGGCATTCAGCGCTATGGCACACAGTAAGTCGAGTGCGCGTTGCGTCATACATCTAAACTGACAATGTCCAGCTGGTCCCGAGTGGCACAGGTAGTGGGCACCAGGAATGGCGATCGTAAGCTATTGTGACCAAGAAGGTGGCACGGCCAGCTAACAACTGCATAGAATGCTTCAAACGATGGAATGATGTCCTTGACCCGGCCATAGACCGTAGCCCCTGGACACGCGAGGAGGACCGCCTCCTTTTGCTTGCAATTAACAAATACGGACGTGCATGGAAGCAGATTGTCGACGCCTACTTTCCTGGCCGAACTGGTTTGGATGCAAAGAATCGGTATATCAACAGTCTTCAGATGAAAGTATCATACTAACAACCCTTACAGACACAGGCAATTGACTCGAAAACGTAAGAGAGAAGAGAAAGGTGACAACAACGCAAAGAGTCAAGAAGCTTCACTCTCGATTCCGCCTGTTCTACCCAAAGCCCAAGCCCAGGCGCAGGCGCAGGCGCAGCTGCCCGAGACACCAAACAATTTACCCACATCAAAGCTCAGTTCTGCTGTCTCCCCGGTGGGAATGAGCGCAAACACAGCCAACTGGCTTAGTCCACGATCACAGCAGCCTGAGGAGCGTCCTCTATCAGTGCCTCCATATTTCGATTGGAATTTGTCCATGGATACAATGCTCAGCCCCGCCCTGCCAACTACTCCTTATAGCACCTGCAGCAACTCGTCCATAAGTAATGCTGGCGGGAGCCTATCCGAGTTGGATGAATACTTTACGCAGCAGTTAGCAACCTCGCATGTTGATCACAGCCATGGCTTGGTGGCTGGGATAGGTACGTCTCCATCACATATGATGCGACAATCAATGTTTGCTCGTATTTGTGCTGACATTCGCAGCTAATTACCCATATTCTGGGCCTACGCCTGACGGCAATATCACCGATGTTCGATATCCGCATTACATGGCCGAGCATGCTGTTCTTGATATGCGGTCGAACCCGACCCCGATTCGACCCATGTCAGCACACCAGCCGTTCTGGGGCCCCGGATGGGATGTGACGACTTGATGGGTATGGATTGGCTTATGGCCGGCATAGATATTTAATTACTTAGGAGTAGGGTTCATTTCATACATTGACTATTCAGTATTTATATATACTCAATTTAGGCTACAATACAGCCATATGAATATATCCACGCAAATAAATTTGTACAATAACGAACCAAATATCTACATGTACGAACTTAAACCAAACACCCAATGCCAACGCCGAGCCAACGCCGAACAGTGCCTGACCACAACTACATATGTACTCTTAACATCACCTCCTATGATCTGTCCCCTCTTCCTCACTATCATCCATAAACCCCTCTTCCAAATCCCTACTCAGCCGCATCTGCGCCTCGCTCGCACTCCTCCTCGCCTCCAACGCCTCTCTGCGCGCTGCATCAATATCCATAGCTGCCATATGCTCCCCTTCCTCATCGAAAATGCTAATCGCATCATTATTATCCTCTCCGCCGCCCCTACGGAGTCGCAACCGCCATGTTGACGGCAGAAAAAAGTGCATTAGGGAATCCGCTATTCGTTCGCGGAGCGTGCTCGTGTGTGCCGATATGCTGTTGAGCGGCAGATATTGGGCGTATCGTTGGTGGTAACGTCGGAAGAATGGGATGATGAGGTAGCCGAAGAGGAGGTACAGGCTGAGAGAGATGACGGCGGGGATGGCGAGGGTCTAGAAGCAGATTAGATATTACATTGGTTGGGTTGGTTTGGGGTAGGGAGAGTTGAGGTCGTACCTTGACCAGATCGAGTGAGCGACCCATGATTGAAGGCGAGATAGTTACAGATTCGCACGGGGTGCAGGTCCCGGGTTGTTGAGATGTGGTAGATGTATAGTTTGGCTGTATTATTGCATTTTGGAAAGGTTACCAAGTCGATATCTCGCCGTTGTTCTGTTCTGTTTGGCTATGGGGTGTTAATCCGAGTGTGTGAGTGTCTAAGTCAGCTACGAGAGAACACGCGGTTCGTCAGCCTTGGGAAACTGGTATTATTGGCTGCGGCATGGTGTGTCTCAACGGCGTGTAATTTTAGTATTGGCTCGTATCAGACACTCTCGTCACTGGAAATCCATCATATTCTGCGTATGAGATATAAAAATAATATAGCTAGCTGGTCCAAACTTGTTACATCTCTTCTGACTATAAGAGTGAATCGTCAATCATAACCAATGGTGCGTATTATATACCCCTTACGAGTAGGCCAGGCTAGGCCAAACACGGGACGACCAACTAGGCCCCCTTCAGGGTCACACTGAAGCCTCCTTCACGCACCGCATCGACACCTCGAATCTGCATTTATCAAAAACCACAAACCAGCCGGTCGCCTGGCCGCTGTTGATTGTTAGCGACTTTTGAGTGCGCCGTCAGGGACAGAGTTCAGGAACGCAGACGTCCCGCAGGCTAACCTACACTTAGCTAGTAGCAAGAACTACTATTAACTCCTCCCGATCGACAAAGCCACTCTTCAGTCGTCTTCACTTCCATCCTGGTCCAGGAGAGGAACCCGAATCCGTCACTGCGCGCCATACAGCTTGCTTCATTATCGAGCTGATATCATCTACGCTATCTATTGACTCGTGATCAGGTTTGGGCTACGGCGGACGCCCATGCTACCCTAACCAGCCGCCAAAAATGCCCACCACAGCATCCGCCGCCGATAAACAGAGACAAAGTACGGCCAGCAAGTCATTCTTTGGGCGAAAGCTGTACAAAGAGAGGCAAGGCGATGAGCGCTTCGATCCATACAATGGTGGCAGCAGCGCTGCTGCAGACACGCAGTCCTTGTCCGGCAACACGGTTGGCTCGCGCAACTCACGATATTCAAAACGAGGCTCCGTAGGCTCCTTTGACGCTGACGACAACTACACGGGCCTCACCACCAACGCCGGCATGATCACCTCCATCCCCTTTGACAGCATGCCGTCCGACTCCAAGTCTCCAATCCCCGTCAACTATCTGCCCAAGCAAGATAATAATCCTGGCGCCCGCCAAGAGCCTTCTCCTGGCCATCTCGCCAAAAGCACAAGTGACTTCCATCAGTATCCCGTCTGGGATCCCAAGGCAATCCCGAGCAATCAATCGCAGCCCAGCGGGCCTCGTCCTCCGCCGCATTCCTCGAATTTGACCATGTCGAGCAGTACCTCCGGGGACCGCGGGACGAGATATCAACAGTGGGGAAGGCCCGGTAGCTCCGCTGCCAACACGGGCTTTAGTTATACTTCATCCTCAACCGGCGATTCCTCAGCCAATTCGAGAACCTCGCTCGACCAGACGAGCATCCACTCTTCCCATTCCTCCGCAACGCGAACCTCTTTTTTCTCCGATAGCAATTCGTCGCGAACCCTCACAACGTCATATCCTGCTGGTGACCGGAATCCGAATTTCTCAGGGGGCTCAAATATGAGTCGCAATGCCAATCCGCAAACATATCAGCAGACTCCCTCGCATATGACACCTTCCTCGTCGCACTCCTCGTTGACTGGTCCGGAATACTTGATGCGCCCGAAAGATGATCGAATGGTCGACCAGCTTTTTATCGAGTTGATGCAGAAACGTGGCTGGCAGAATCTGCCCGACCAGGCGAAGCGGCAGATGCTCGCTTATCCGGCATCGAAGAAATGGACGCTTGTTCACCAGGATCGGTTGACGGAACTCCAGGGCGAGCAGAAACGTCGTCACAATGCTAGATTGACCCATGGTTATGATAATACCACCAGTCTTATAGGTCGAGCAGATGAAGAGGGTAGTCCGGAGTGGTACGTCAAAAAGGTTATGGATGACACGATAACGTCGAAACAATTGGCGAGTTTAAGTGTTAGTTTGCGAACACAACCCATCGGGTAAGTTATACAGTCATGCACGGAAGTTTACAATATGGAATTATACTAATGTATAATAGCTGGGTGAAAGCTTTCGTTGAAGCTCAGGGCCAGGTCGCCCTTACCAATGTGCTATTAAAAATTAATCGTCGAAAAGCATCTGGGCCAACGCCATCTGCTTCGTCTGCCGAAAAGGATCTCGAACGTGAATATGATATTGCAAAATGCCTCAAGGCTTTAATGAATAATAAATTCGGTGCCGATGATGCCCTCACACACCAGCAGGTTATTGTGGCACTGGTCAGTTCGTTGTTATCACCTCGACTGCAGACTCGAAGAATGGTCAGTGAAGTGTTGACCTTTCTTTGTCATTGGGCGGACGGGCAAGGTCACCAAAAGGTATTACAAGCTCTTGACCATGTCAAAAACCACCAAGGAGAAACTGGCCGATTTGATGCCTGGATGCGTATTGTCGAAGTCACCATCGATGGCCGCGGAAAAATGGGCAGTCTTGTGGGTGCAAGCGAAGAATATCGTAGCGGTGGTGTCGGTATGGAAAACTTGCTGATGGAATACGCTGTTGCGACGATGCTTCTCATCAACATGCTTGTTGATGCACCACAAGACGATCTACAGCTACGTTGCCATATTCGTGCTCAATTTATATCATGTGGTATCAAGCGTCTGTTGACGAAGATGGAAGGCTTCCAATACGAAGTCATTGATAAACAGATCGAGCGTTTCAGGGACAACGAAGCCATTGACTATGAAGATCTTCTACAACGCGAAGCTAGCAGCTCGAAAGATAGCATTGAGGGAGAAGTTAAGGATATGAGTGATCCGCTGCAAATTACCGATGCTATTAGTACAAAAATCAACAATACTCGAGCAGGAGATTATTTCCTTTCTGCGATGCAACATATGCTTCTTATTCGGGAGAACTCCGGCGAAGATGTGCTACGCATGTTTCAATTAGTCGACGCAATGCTTAGCTACGTTGCTATGGACCGCCGTCTGCCGGATTTGGATCTTCGTCAGGGCTTGACTTTTACAGTGCAGAATCTGTTGGATAAGCTGCATACGGATGCAGAAGCTCGACATGCATACGATGAATCTCTGGAGGCTCGCCAGGTGGCGGAAGCAGCGATTGCTGAGCGTGATGAGATGAAGGCACAGATAGAACTCGGTGCGGATGGACTGGTTAAGAAATTACAGAAGCAGGTCGAGGAGCAGGTTAGCGTCCTTGAATTACAACGTCGTCAAAATGAGTCTTTGAAATCCGAGCTCAATGATGTTCACCGTCTTCGCGCTCAAGAACTTCAACGGAATGAATTGGAGACTCGAGAACTGTATCTCATGCTGCGAGATGCACAAGATATTGCCGCGTCTAATGCGAAGAAGCCGGTGGAAGCTAAACTCGCCGAGAGTGATCCGACTCAAATGCCAGGTATTCTCGACCGTGAAAGACTGCTGGAAAGACTTGAACGCCAATTGGAGAGAACCAAGACTCAATTCAAGCTCGAGGGTAAGGTTTGGAACCAAGATGGGCCGTCGGATCGTTTACGAGAACTCCGCGAGCAAATGGAGGGTACAGGGGTGGTAGAAGAAGAGTTTGAAAAACAAACTCGCCGAACTTTAACCAGCAGCACATTGGGATCTGTTACACGCAAGAAGGTCCCCGGAAGGGAGTCCGAGGAGCGTCTGCCCGAAGTCAGCGAGAAGGATGAAGAAGCCGCCGCAAAGGAAGAAGAAAAAGTGAAATCAGCGGCAGAACTTGAGAAACCACGTATGAATCCTCTACAAGCTACTGGTCTACTAGGAGAGATTGCGAGAAAGGTTCGCAAGTACGACGACGAGGACGAGGAAGAGAAACAAAAAGCCGAAGAAGACGCTGCCGCTGAAGCTGAGAAGGAGCCTGAACAAAAGGACGAGGCCCCCGAGCCTGCTGCTGCTGTACCACCACCGCCGCCGCCGCCACCTCCTCCCCCGCCTCCAATGCCTTTCTCTGGTGGTGCCATTCCGCCGCCACCGCCGCCGCCGCCTCCTCCTCCTCCTCCTCCAGGTTCTGCTGGTGGAATTCCACCTCCTCCTCCCCCTCCCCCCCCTCCACCACCTCCAGGCTTTGCCGGCGGCATTCCTCCTCCCCCTCCGCCGCCGCCTATGTCCCCTGGTATCCCACCTCCACCGCCCCCACCAGGCCTTCCAGGCCCGCCTGTGCCTGGCGCTTGGAGAGCAAACTATATGGCTGCGCAAAATCCATCATACGACACAACAATTTCTATGCCATCTATTAGACCGAAGAAGAAGATGAAGGCTCTCCATTGGGACAAGATCGATACGCCTCAAGTCACAGTTTGGGCTAGCCATACTCCAACGACTGAGGATAAGGAACAGAAATATACCGAACTGGCAAAGAAAGGTATCCTCGACGAGGTGGAGCGCTTGTTTATGGCCAAGGAGACTAAGATCTTGGGCGGCGGACCATCTGCTAAGATCCGGAAAGATAAAAAACAGATCATCTCCAATGATCTCTCCAAGACGTTCCAGGTCGCCCTGGCTAAGCTTTCTCAAACACCTGTGGATGAGTTGGTGCGCATGATCATCCACTGTGACAAGGAGATTTTGGAAAATGATGTCGTTATGGACTTTTTACAACGCGACGATCTCTGCACCATTCCTGACAGCACGACCAAGCTCATGGCGCCGTACAGCAAAGATTGGACAGTGCCCGATGCCGCGTCTTCAGAAAGAGAGCAGGATATTACCGAACTTACTCGAGAAGACCAGATTTACTTGCAGACTGCGTACGAGCTCAATCACTACTGGAAATCTAGAATGCGCGCTTTGACATTGACGCGGTCATACGAATCCGATTATGATCATATCTCGTCAAAGATCCAGCAAGTCCTCAAAGTGTGCGACTCTCTCCGCGACTCAGTGCGTCTGATGAATGTTCTTGGCTTGATCCTGGATATTGGCAATTTCATGAATGATGCCAATAAGCAGGCACAGGGTTTCAAACTCAGCTCCCTCGCCCGTCTTGGTATGGTCAAGGATGACAAGAATGAGACGACCTTTGCAGATCTAGTAGAACGCATTGTTCGTATCCAATATCCCGAATGGGAGGGTTTCCTCGATGAAATTGGTGGTGTGATTAGCATTCACAAAGTGAATATTGACCATCTCCGACAAGATGCGAATAAATACATTACTACGATCAAGAATGTCCAGATGAGCCTGGACTCTGGCAATCTCAGTGATCCGAAGAAATTCCATCCTCAAGATCGTGTCGGCCAGGTGGTGCAGCGGAGTATGAAGGAGGCAAGACGCAAGGCAGAACAGATGCAGATATTGCTTGATGACCTAGCCAAGACATTTGACGATATCATGACCTTCTATGGCGAGGATAATACAGATGAAAACGGTCGTCGGGACTTCTTCAGCAAGCTCGCGTCTTTCTTACAAGAGTGGAAAGTAAGTATCTGTTTCTCGCTTTATGTGACTACCTAGACTAATCAAATGTAGAAATCCAAAGATAAGAATGTTGCGCTGGAAGAAAGTCGAAGGAGGATGGAATCTTCTCTGGCACGGAAACGGGTCAATCCCGCGTTGTCCAATGGTGCCAGCAGCGAAGCCCCGGTTTCGCCTACAACAAGCGGTGCTATGGACTCGTTACTTGAGAAGTTACGCGCTGCTGCTCCTCAAGCGCGGGATCAGCGCGACCGTCGTCGTCGTGCCCGTCTCAAGGAGCGTCATCAAGTCAGGGTTGCCTCGGGACAAAATATCCCGAATATGCAAGATACAGGCGAAGACGCAGATGGCGAATCGATAATTGGCGGAGGCGATGGTACCTCCCATCTTAACCCCCAGGATGACGAAAATAGTGTCAGTCAAGAATCGCAGGTATCAGAGGGAGAAGACATCGCCGACCGCGCTGCCAACTTGCTACAAGGCCTGCGCAACAATCCGGAGGGAGATGAAGAACGGGCGCGGAGAAGAAGAGAGAATGCAGAGGACGAGCGACGGGCCCGACGAATGAGAATGAGGTCACGAAACATGACCAACGGCAGCAAGGACAGCGCCGACGGGTCTCTCCCCTCGATCAAGGAGCCACCACCACCCGATGAGGCCGATGAACAAAACTCGTCTCACACCGTACTAACTCCGTCTATCGTGGTTTCTGATTCCACAGGCCATCCCGAAGATGAAGAGGTTATAGAAGGATCTACGCCGGACAAACCTGTTGAAATTTCCGATTGATACGATACAAATTAAACTTCGCTGCAGCGCTACCTCCACCGAGCGTATGGGTCATAACGACGATAATTTTTTTGTTTGATTCTTCCCCTTTCTTCAACTGTACATCACTTGGCGTCATTGTTTATTGTATTTGAGCCACATGATATCATGTTATGTTTTGCATTTGGAGCCTATTCTGAGCGTGTCTACCTATCGGCCGAACTCTTGTCTCTTATCTTGTCTCTTTGACATGTTTGTTACTGGCTTCGTTTCGGTCACTGGATGGCTAGGAAGAGGCCTCGGCATTATACATTGCACTTCTTTCGTGTACCTTCTTTCTTGTGTTTGAATACTAGTCGGATTAATGGAGTAACCGGCGGTGTTGTTGTGTTTCTCCTTTGGTCGTCTGGTTTCATTTATATGACAGGTATTGCACCACGCTGTACATAGTCTTAATGTCTGATCTGGATAGGACAGAGCTATCCTCAATTGATCAGCAGTCCTTCATTCACTATTCCAATTTTCATAATCATTAATCAATCACGTGACGTATAAACTCCGATGTTTCTCCGCATTGCGGCATGTCAACCACTTTGCACACTACTTATCACTCGAACGCATCGCATTTATGCCAACCCCTTTCTTGCGCATGAGAAGATTTCTATTTCCTTCTCAACGCAGGGGGCTTTCCCTTGCCCGTAATAGCTACTATGGATCAATTTCTATTACTCAGATAACTCCTCAACACCTTTCATTACCAAAGCATCAAATAGCTAAACCAGAGACACACTCCTCTCTGCGAAGATTCCACAGCAGCTCTCGCTCAAGCTTAAGCGCTTCTCCTCCTCATTTTTTCAATGGCGACTCCACCATTTATGCGCTCTCGACGGCGCCGGGACGGGCTGCTATTGCTGTGATACGAATCTCGGGCCCGGCGTGTTTGCAGGTGGGCGCTACATATCCACCCCGTATCAAAAAAAAAAGTTGCTGACAACCATTATCTAGATATATCGATCATTATGTCCACGATCCCGCGATCCCAAGCCCCGCGTGGCAACCGTACGCGCGCTATACGACCCGTCGACAGAAGCCTCGCGAAACACGGTGCTCGACGCAGCAGCCTTAGTGCTGTACTTCCCCAGTCCCCGCACCGTCACTGGCGAGGACATACTCGAGCTACACGTCCACGGCGGCCCGGCAATCATCAAAGCGGTGCTATCCGCAATCGACAAATGCAGCAACGGCACAATCCGATACGCCGAACCGGGGGAATTCACTCGACGCGCTTTCATGAACAATCGCCTCGATCTCCCGCAAATCGAAGCACTAGGCGACACGCTGCACGCGGACACAGAGCAGCAGAGACGCCTGGCGGTGCGCGGTGCGGATAATGCGCTATCGAAGCGGTACGAGCTCTGGCGTCATGAGTTGCTCTACGCGCGGGGGGAGTTGGAGGCGCTGATTGATTTTTCCGAGGATCAGCATTTTGACGAGTCGCCGCAGGAGCTGGTGGACTCGGTTGCGGGGCAGATACGTTTACTGTGTAGGCAGATTCGCGCTCATATTGAGAATGCGTCGAAGGGGGAGATGCTGCGGAGTGGGATTAAAGTGGCTCTTCTTGGTGCGCCGAATGCCGGGAAGAGCTCGTTGCTCAATCGCATTGTTGGGCGGGAAGCGGCTATAGTTAGCACTGAAGAAGGCACGACAAGGGATATCGTGGATGTTGGGATTGATTTGGGTGGTTGGTATTGTAAATTCGGGGATATGGCTGGGTTGCGGTCATCGGGGAGGAATGGCGGCAGAGGTGTTATTGGGGCGGTTGAGCAGGAGGGTATTCGTCGAGCAAAAGCGCGCGCTCTCGAGTCGGATGTTGTCGTAGTGGTGCTATCTGTTCAGGAAAATGGCTTGCTGCTCGCTATTGACCCGGAACTTCTTGAGGCAGTCCACTCCTGTCAGGAGCATGGGAAATGTCTCGTGGTTGCTATAAATAAAACCGACATGCTGCCCGTGAACACGTGGGACGAAACAGTTAGCAGCCTCATCACCCATGTCAGAACTTTGTTCACGGGCCTAGTTCCAGAGACCCGGGTTTTTGCCATCTCCTGCAAAGATTCCGAGAACGAGCTGGGGCTGGCAAGTGATCCCGGCAACATACAGAGCTTTCTGCGAGGATTAATTGCAACGTTTGAGGACATTACCCGGCCAGAGGGAGTGGAAGGAGTGAATGGAGGTGAATCAAGTGATATTTCGTACTGGCAAGACTCGCTAGGAGTCACACATCGACAACGTTCTAATTTACAAACATGCTTGCATCATCTGGAAGACTTTCTATATGATACCGAAACCACAGCCCAGCCTGCTGACCAAACCCTCGCTGATGCTAGAATACAAACAAAGGAGACACCGAAAACACAAGAAAACAAATCAAGGACGCCGTTTAATGCCGTTCATCATGAACACAATCAGTACAATGCAAATAATGATACAGTCGTCAATTCGGAGGCGGATGTGGACATCGTGACGGCCGCAGAACATCTGCGGTTTGCAGCGGAGAGCCTAGCGAAGATCACCGGACGGGGAGATGGCGGAGACGTGGAGGATGTATTGGGAGTGGTGTTTGAAAAGTAGGTCCCAGAACAGCCATCCATCCTTGAAAGTACCGCTCACAGCTATGAACAGATTCTGCGTCGGCAAGTAGCTGTGCAAGAGAAAAAGCGTGATCATTTCGCCGGCGTGTCACGGTGTCACGCCTTCTCGTCTTCCACGGCGTTGTATCCGCCGCGGCCTTTCATTGGGAAGCGGTAGCTAGATGAAGGCGGAGGTGTTGAGGGCGGGGGACTGGATGGAACGTTGTAACCGCCGCGACCCATTGTAGATTCTTCTTCTGGATGACTTTGGGTGACGATGAGGTTAAATTGGAGAGTTGAATGTTGTACGAAAATTGTAGGATAGAGATATTTAGTTGTATCCGCCTCGGCCCATGAAGATGTTGTATAAGTGTTTGCTATGACTGGTGTTGATATTGTACAGTGGGAAGTTGTTGTTGTTGTTGTTGTTATTGTTATGTCTGATACAAAGAAACTCAATTAAACGGGGATCGACACGATATATTTATACTGGGAGTCTGTGCTGCTGAGAAACAGACACTAGGCATCTCTCTGTGCTCAGCCTGTATATAAGAATATCAACCAGGCATCAACCAGCAGCCCCACAGGTCTCACCCAGCCAGCAGCATTATTACAATGATTACACTCATTACAGGCGTATGCCAATTACCCGCAGCCTCAGTCAGGCACATGATGTGAAGGCACCTATTATTTAATTGATATTATTCCTTGGATTCTAGTCGCATGCAGGTCAACAGTACGTTAGAACGGCCAGCGTTCGGAGAGATAGGGGGTTTTAGTATGGGATTAGTAACTGATCAGCCCGGCCCACGCGACAGAAAACGGGCCCGGATGCTTGGCTGGAAATGGATCTGATCGAACCGGATTCGTGGGATACAGCCAAGACTTCTAGAAGAGTTCTATTCTTGACACTATCGAACATCCCTGTGGCGGCTGTTTACGCCCCTACATACACTAGGTAGTACAGACGTCACAGGTGCAGGCAGCGCGTGGCACAGGGTTGCCTAAGGCCCTTCCTATTAATAATCCCATAATATTATTCTCGTGTTATGCGTTAACCATCGTATTGACGCCGACGACAGCGAGTGCGTGTACGAGGTGGAAGCAGCCACATGTAGCTGATGCTCCAAAGCCACTATCCTAGTATTCTGAGCAGATACGCAGATAACCGCCGCGATTGGCCCGCCATCGAATGAAGGGAGTCCCCAGTCTCAGTCAATCAGCGCCGAGAGTCGCGGGTGACTGAAAATATCAAATTAGTCTCTACTACATATGTACGAGCCAGGATTAAGAACCCTGTACGTCAAGACTCACGACTACCATTGGTAGTGGCCTGGGTGAGCCGCGCGACGGGGTTGGTGCCATGGAGCCGGAAACTAGTTACTTATTATTAAGTCATTCTTTTATTACTATTCCTATTCTATGCGTATTCCGTGGCAACGAGGCGGAATCGATAGTATTACTGTTATACCAGCCTCGTGGAAGCCACATCTTCTCCATGCAGCAGCTGTACGTCTACCTTTCCAAGTGGCAGTTTTAGTAATGGTTGGCAGGTTGATAATCATCCCAATCAGCGAGAGACGACAGACACACCGGGCAATAATAATGCCTATGAGTCAATTGCACAGCCGCATGCTTAGATATATCATGCTTAGATATATTTTCGTTCGGTGATAATACGTAATAGGCAGGTAAACAGGCTGAACGATCCATAATCCTAGTAATACAACAGCCATTGTGCATGCTCACTTCTCTAGTGATTATTACTTTACGTGCTGTGCTGTGCGATATGCGATATTACCGTGTTGGTATTTAATATGTTTACGTCGTTGCGGAACTCTCGGCAACGTCCGGTGACGCTGAATACGACGAAGATGCAGGCAGCTCTTATGACTCAATCAATATCTGAGTCACTCGGTCCGAAACCATTTCGTCCGACTTCAGTCTCCTTAATTTATTTTATTTTTTAGTCTATTATTTTCCATCGTAATATGCCGATTCTTGGCTGCCTTACACACTGCTGACACAGCTGCTGTACAACACACATCAACATTTTGGAACATCACACTCGTTGGCGAAGTACATATGTGGTCGACCAAGGAAATAGTATATACTTGATACCGCACATATCGATTCTGACTGGCTACGCTCTACGAAACAAATTCTTGCTCTGGCCCCATCTCAGCCCTATGAGTTTCCTGAGAACGAACATTGTGCATATGCAGAGCGGCACAATAACCCGTTCTGGTCGCCGTGCCGATGGGGCGGTGCAGACTCGAAAAAAAAAAAAAAAAAAAGAAAGAGAATAGGTGCAGTTGAATGGCACAGTGATTACCATGCATATACGAATCAAATGCCCGGGTTTCTAAATCGGGACCGACGGAGGGACGGCGTTCGGGTCTGGTGCTTGGAGTAGGATACTGGTAAGTAGTGGTTTACTCCACGGAGTGGTTGTACAGTTGCAACTTGTAGCTTATGTTTAGAAGTTTATCCAGCGTGGGGTCCGAATATGTCAGCTGACAAATGTAGGACTGCTGTGCAGTGGATTCACTAACTATGAAATGGCTGTTGAAGCTGAGTCAGACCTAGGGATTTACTTTGCATTGCATAATCACTAACACCTGTCAACCCCTCCAAGCCATGTGTTTTCAGCTCGTTCCTGCATATTCTAGAATCTCTAGAAGCATTGGTTTTATTAATTACATTCATTATTCATTATTCGTCATTCAATATTCGATATTCGATATTTCTTATCTACAATGTTGGAAGAGGAAAACGAGAACAGTGCTAATTATAGACAGTGTGATGTGGTGAAGATCGGGTCCCGCTCGGGAACGGGCCGAGGGCCAAAAATAGCATCCTTAAACATCTTCCTTGGTACTGGATGCACTTACTAGTATTAGTAACTAACTAGTTAAGCAGTTACTAACTACTGTTAAACTGTTTTGGAAGCAGAGACGGTGCTTTAGGCTTTAGGCTTGTTACATAATAGACTTCCGGCATTAGTCATGATGATGCTTAAGTTATTTAGTAAAGGACTCTAAAGTTATAAACTACTCACTGTGAATAATAATTATAATCAAGACTTACGATAAGTAAACAAATAATAATATTTTTTAATAAACCCTCACATTGTCTAAACGGGGCTAGTACTGTGACTGTCTGGTTTATCTACGACAAACAGACATGCTGAGATAGAACTGAAATTATACTGATCCCTCTGTAGTGATTAGGGCAACGCTGATTAATTAGTTTTGGTAAATTAGTTCTTTGAGTGAGCAACCACTTCAAATGCGCTATTGTACAAACACCCTCATAGTCATGACGAAAATCTAATTCCGGCGAAGAATCCTTTTCAGAACCTTCAAATCAACCTGTCCATGCGTGCGGCCCATCAGATCATTATCCTCCAGCTCATCCCCCTTCTTGTCATTTGGCGAGGGTTTGACGACCAAATAATCAAAGATGAAATTCGGCAGATCTGCATCCCGCTCACTCTGCAGCACCAACTCACTCAACGAAACCCACCTGGCATCGCGCGCGAGCCGAAACACCACGTTATCATAATCCGGCACGTCGAACGGCGTAGTCAGGAAATAGGTATCGATGAGGAAGGTATGGAACTTGGTATTCGGAGGAAAGGCTTCGCTGAAGAAGTAGTTGATGGTGAACTCGCTCAGTGGATACGGCTCTTGGCGGCGTTTCTCGATGCATTGCAGTATCAAGGCGTCTTGGAATTGGCGTGCCTCGATCCGATCACCGAAGAACCACAGGTCGCCGAGTTCGCTCCATTTCGTCTGCTGGTCGACCGGAATGCCGTTGCCTGCGGTCCAGCTTAGGTAGGTGACAAGATGGCTGGGGTCTTCTTCGTCGTCTAGGCATTCGGTTGTCTTGGATTGGAGGAGGTTGGACGACGCGCGCACCAAGGGTCGTGAGACGTTGAAGTATTGCTGTCCGACGAAGATGTGACCGCGGAAGTCGGTAGTCTGGGGAATGGTATTGGGGGAGTGGTCAGAGGGAGCCTCTTGAGGCTTCTTCTCTGGAGGCTTTTTCTCAGGCTCCGTCATTCTGATCACAGAGTGAAAGGAGAGGCTGGGATATCAATAAAGGCTAGATTATCTGTTAATATCGAAGCCTTTGTGTGGAGATAGAGATGCTCACTAAAGTTTCACAAAGACAAAATTATGAGACAAAGCTGCCAGTTGGCTTAAGGATAATTCTTATGACAGTGAAAATGTGTGAAGAAACAGATATGTGAAACATGAAGAAAAAAAATACCAACAAACATGTTGTTGGCCACCGACATGTGGCATTGTCTTGCCTGCGCCGAGCAATCCACGGGAGTTTTCACTAAATTCACCAGCTGGCATTGTTGTGGGTTCCTTTCTTGCAATTTAGAAAGATCAGATGAAAGATATGGTAAGAGTAGCTGTTCACATACCTTAATAGAATGTATCAGTAATCATTCTATAAAAAAAACGTATACTTACATAGCATGTTTAATTTAACTGGACCGGAAAAATAGAAAGATAGAAATCATGCATTCATTCGTTTTGGGTATATACAAGACACTCTACGAGCAAAACAATAGCAGGACTATGTTTACTTGCGCTGACCATAAGCCTTGGTAGCATAGTCGCCCTTGTAGACGATCAAATCCTCGGGACGGTAGTCGTGGCGACCAGAGAAATAGCTGTCAAGAATATTCTTGACACCATTGGCATAACGCACCTGGGCATCGATGGATGTTCCAGACATGTGAGGAACCATGGCGTTACCGCCACCCCATGGGTGCTCGGCATAACGCAGAGGGTGGTCCTTGGGAGCAGGCTGAGGGAACCAGACATCACCACCGTAGCCGCGCAGGTGGCCGCTCTTGAGCGCCTCGGCAACGTCTTCCTTGACAACAATGGCGCCACGGGCAGTGTTAACGAGCCATGAGCCCTTCTTCATCTTGGAAATGAGTTCTTTGTTGAACAGGCCACGGGTCTTCTCGTGGAGAGGGCAGTTGATGGTGACAACATCACATTGGGAGACCAACTCCTCAAGGGTGTCGACACGGCGGGCACCAATCTCCTTCTCAACTTCGGGCTTAAGGGGTTGGTAGTCGTAGTAGAGGAGCTCCTTGCAGTCGAATGGCTTGAGACGACGCAGGACACGCTCGCCGATACGGCCAACAGCGACAGTACCGACAACCTTGCCTTCCAAGTCGAACTCGTTCTTGGCGACGGCAGCAACGTTCCAGTCGCCGTTACGGATTTGGTCGTGGGCAGGGACAAAGTTGCGGACGAGGGTGAGGATGGTCATCACGACGTGCTCGGCGACAGAGACGACGTTGGAGCCGGTGACTTCGGCAACGGTGATACCGCCATTGGTCTTGTTGGCAGCGTTAAGATCAACGTGATCGGAACCGATACCTGCAGTGATGGCGATCTTCAGGTTCTTGGCCTTGGCGAGACGCTCAGCAGTGAGGTAGCCAGGGTGGAAGCTGGTCTTAATTAGCTGGAGTCTACGCTAGTTGGTGACTATTGAGTCCTTACGGAGTGGTGATGATGACTTCGGCGTCGACCAACTCCTGGTCAAATTTGGAGTTTTCACCCTCCTTGTCGGAAGTGGTCACCAGAGTATGGCCCTGGTCCTCGAGCCACTTACGAATACCGAGTTCGTTCTCGGTGGTTCCTAGAAGGCCGGGCTGGTCCTTGGAGTGCTCTCCACCCTGTCGTCGTTGTGCGTGAGCCACGATGGTACGAAAACATATCGACTAGGAGAGCTTACATCATAAAGAACTAGCAAAACTTTACCCTGTCGGGTAGCAGTAGCTGTCAGCGTACGAATTCCAGAATAGATAGGCGTCTGCCGCAGGCCTGTAGCCCGCAGTGGACGGGGTGAGAACAAGGAGGCAGCAGGACGCTGCAATTGACGACATATAGAGCGGGATAGTACCATTGTGAAGCAAGTAAATCTGGTAGAAGATTAAAATTTAGGGTGGGTAATGTCACTGTAAAGATAGTATGTTAGAGCCGTGTTGAAAGATTCGCAGCGAAGTAGTCGAAGCATGACAAGATGTACAACCCCCCTACTTCGCCATGTATTGCGACGTACCTCTAATTGGAGCAATGAGGAATTATTAGAAGAGTGCCGGGTACTAGATGAAAATAGTGAGACAGAAAAAAGCGACCAGGCGGCGCAGCCTTTTATATAGGCATGACATAGGTACCCCTCCACCAGGCGCGATCATCCCACCGTGGGTGAATTCGTCCTACCCCATCTCGAAAAGGCCCAGACCCACAGAGAATTGCGAGAGATTACGAGAAACAGCAGGGATGTGCGACTCCGCACAGACAGCTGCGAGCTGGTTTCTGGCACCAGTCTAGGGAAAACGATCCCCGTCCGCGCCTTGCTGCAGGACGACGAGAACACGATTGCGGGGGATGCAGGCGCCTCCAATCGCAGCGACTGTCTCCCCACCTCCAGTTGCGGTTGCAGATGAAGCCCTACTTGATTCGGCCGTGCCCAAATTGTGCCCTTCCCCGAAGAGGAAGAAACAAATCTGATTTGCTGGTTGTTATTAATGGGAATCAAAGCATGTTGCTTGCGTGCAGGTGGTGTTCCCCGCACGCTAGCCCTGATATGGAAGGCCCCTCGTGAGGGGAAGCACCGCATGTGAGGGGTCACTTCCGCTCCGTTGCCGACAATGCGAGCGCCTTTTTTCTTATATTATTATTGTTATTCGCTGAGTCCACTCGACCGTTGTCGGCGATGATATGCCGATATCCAAGCCGACAGAAACCCGCGGCTTCCGCTATCTGTCCTCTTTGTTCGAAGAAGTTCATGAGCTTCGGCTTTCCGCTTTCCGCGCTCGACTATTCTACTCAGTTAGCCAACTGCCCGATCACAATAACCATGGGATCCCCGCACCCACTAAAGAAATGCCGAACTTGCCCTCTAGGTTGATATGTGCCATTTCCGGTGATTATCATCTTCGCCAGTCTTGAAATGTGCCTGAGCAGACATCAAACTGCAGCGGATCTCCTAATTCCCAACCTCGAGATCCTGCCATCACTCAAATTCCAAAAGCTTGTCAAACCTGATAAACCATCTTTGCTCAACTCTCAATCGGGCAAACAGCCTGATCAACTCGGTGCCTTTCTACCCACGAAGACACATCGAGTCCTTTAATCTCGTGGTAAAATGAGTTACTTTGCCCAGAATAACCCACAGCGGAAATGAGAGATTTAAAGTATTGCGCGTTTACTGATATTCGTGTCGCTGATAATCTGCTTTGGCTAGCTAGCTCTCCTCCCTGCAAAAAAATTTCTCTCTCTCAGTCACTCGGGACGTCTGTCGTACTTCACTCTACTCCATTCCAATCTCTTATTTTAGATGCTACGTCCCACGTGACTTCTACTCTCAAACTTAATATCCGACCTAATTTTTCCGTATTCATCAATATGAAATGCGCTAAAAGGGGCCGACAGCAGTCCTCCAATCAGCCTTGGCATCAAACACTCAAATCGGGTTGGAGAATGGAGAGCAACGAAAGAAGAAAAGGAAAAAAAGTCAGAATAAAAATGGGCAAGGAAGGTATATGATAAAAAAACCGGATTCGAGATAGTAAAACTGTGATGCGTACTGCTCAAACCGTTGTGGTTTCGCCGTGCCCTTATTGCCAGCCCTAGCCCTAACCCCTGGCCCCTAACCGTTTCAGGTCGAAAAAGCCTTCCTTTTCGGGGAATCCCTTGTGTCAGGCTGTTGCTCGACGATCTTCCCGTTCTCGATCTGGCCTTTCGTAGATGTTGCTTTAGAGTTTATCTCCCAACTGATGTTGGGACCATCTTCACAAGTTCTCGTTGCAAATCCAGCTTGATTGGCGTGTCCCGGAATCTTGGACCAACTGATCTACTACCTCTTGATAATTGCTCGTATCATTGGTTTTGACTCGTCATAAGCCTCAAACTAAATTTCTGGAACACTAGGGCCTTGCCTTTATCTTCGGAGATTTAAGCCATCAAATTTGCGACTGATCTGATACCTTTGCGGCAAGAGCTAGTATCTCAACACCCAAACCTGGATTTAGCCACCTCCTAGGAGGTATTCATCAATTTGGCATTTCATAATGTCCTTTTTTCCTTTATTCCTAATTTTCATTTCTTTTTATCGCTGGCATTGTTCGTGCCATTCGTTTTCGATCCGGTGGCCGCAAACCGCTTCGGTCTTGCAGCTGGCCTCACAATCACCAATTTTTGTTCATCTTTTAAGATACAATTATTCTTTTGTCAATTGAATTACACTTGGCGCATTCAATGCAACCTTATGCAGTTTGATCAGGGCGTCGTCCCGTTACACTGGCATCGCCATGAATAAATTCTTTATTTTACGACGGACGCTTAACGAACAGAATGATATGCAGACACGAAGCGTACAAGCTGCGTCTGGAAATGGATACAAGGAACAGATGATAGCGTTGTTTCTCATTATTTTCGACATGGTTTCCGCAGGGCTGTTGATGGCAATCGTTTTCTACGACGTGTGGAGGCTACGAAGAAAAAGTGCATCAATTCGAATACAGTATGTGGGCGCCTGTACCAGTCTTGATCTAAGCTAAATATTTCCAGTAATAGAAGCCCACCAAATTTTTTTCAATGTATTCAGCCTGGCGAGGTGGTGTCGCTGGCATTTGCCACCGCAGTCCTTGCACAAGGCGTATTATTTCTCGTTGTTCAATGCATGGACCTACAATCACCGGTTTCTCAAAATTGCCGAGCAGTCAGTCAGATCGTATTCCCTGGTACGTAACTTCAATTTTCTAGACCTAGCGTTATCTAACTGTTACTAGCAATGTGGCTAGTAGGCCTCGTTGTCCTCGTCTTCGGATTCGAAACGCTGTATAGAGCCTTCCAAAGACGGAGATTCGCGTCCCGAGGTAGATGGAATGTTTGTATTTGCTGGACATCCATCTTGATACTGCTCGTTTTGTTATGGATACCAACTAGGGTTCGATCGTCTATGACCGATACCTGCCCGTCAGCATTACTTTTCTTTGTTATGCCTTGGGCCGATATCGCCTTTGGAATTACAATTGGGATTGTGGTCTTGAGTGTTCTAATTGCTCTTGCCCTTACAACGCAACTTCTCCGCACCCCAGTTGTGAACCGTGCAGAGAGACTTGCCGCAAGTCAAATGGTTTATTATCTCGGAATCACGGCAGTCATCTTCGTAAGTGTATCGAAGATCTTCTCTGGAACAGCCATCACTAACATCAAGCAGGTGCTCATTCTACCTCTGTGGGCAAGAATTTCCTTCAATAGCCCACCGGGGTTTACTTTCATGATGGCTTTGGTATCGATGAATATAATAGGAATGACCGTGTCCCTTTTCCAGCTTGTCTTCCGTTCGGATGGAGAGGAAATGTCGATTCGACCTCCAAAATCATGGCAGTGCTGCAAGTCATTCAGATTGAGCACTTTTAACTTAAATAACCACATTTCATCACGAGGAGTGGTGGACGAAGACTTGGTGTCGCACATCTTGAATAACCCTTTAGAAATAAGTGAATACGACCCGGTATACGATAATGCCAGAAGCCCCGAAACACCGAACCTTAAGAAACCTGTGACACCAACACCAATCATAACTAGCTCCAGTGATAACGCGCCAGCTCCCAGAAGGACCCGCTACTCTCCATTTCCCACCAAAGTCAGTATTAATCAATCACAATATCTTCGCCCGAGTCTCGATGAAGAGCCACTTCCACTTCCCCCACGACTACCCACTTCAATATATCGAGATTCATTCGACACAAACCATACCACTGTCCAGATTGGCCTTCGATTGAGTAACAGGGTATTAACTTCTGGAATCCGCTCGTCAAATTCAGGACCAGCATTACCACTAAGTCCTCAGGATATCCCCCCAGAACCGCATTACGGAAAAGCCATTGGTCATTTATCTGCCACTTCACTGGAGGTCCCCGTTACACTTCGATCGTCAGCTACCGAAAATATAAACCAGAACGGATTCTCTTACCCAATAAAGCCACTCAGACTGAAAAAAAACATTTTGTCTCCACGAACAGCACAATCTGAGCAACTATCGCCGGTGATGAATTTCTCCAGACTTCCGTCGTCGGTCTATCAAGAGCAAACCCCACCCAAGAAATCGCTCAATCTTGATACCAACGGTGAAGAACTGCCGACCGGCAGTGGTAGTTCCAGCCCCTGGCCTCTTCGAGACTCGCAAACCATTCTCTTGTCAAGCAAGGTTTACGATCCCGAGAAGGACAATTGGATCTGAACACAGATCTAGATGTTTTATATTGTTTGCTACATGTACAACACATACACCGATGGACATTTTCAACATTTCATTTCTCGAAACTGCACTTGTATACGCATACATGTATGAATCGTGGAGTATCAGCTTACATATTTGACCAATCAGCTTCTGTTTCAAATTTTACTTTGAGAAAGAGTTTTCTAACTATCTTACAACATACATACATACATACATACATACATATACACCTCCTTCTGATCTAGAAAATACGTACAGCTAGTTTCCCCATGCTAAGCATATGGGTACGTGTCTATCAGAAGACAATATTCACAAGCCTCCCGTCCTTGACAATAACAATCCTCTTCCTCTTCTCCCAGTCATTCTTCACTCGCAACCAGGTGTTCCCTTCCTCCGTCTCTAGAATTCGGTCCACAATCCATTTCTGATTATCTGTCGCCGAGCTCGTCGAAGACATAAAGTGGGGGATTGTCACGTTGAAGCGCAGTTTACCGTTGATTTGGACGGCGACAGTCTGGCCGCCCCGTAAGGACAGAGCCTGTGCTTGGGTGTTGCTGAGGAGAGGTGTTGGCCATGACGCAGTGGCGATTGTGAAGGTTATATCATTCTTATTATCAGGAGACGGTGATGATGCGCTATTAGAGTGGAGAAGCTCCCACGCCTCCGAGGTAAATGCTGGAGCGACGGGAGAAAGCAGACGGAGGAGAGCAGATAGACATGTGTATAGAATTATCGGGTCTTTAGGCGTTGAGGACGAAAGCGTGTTTGTCAGTTTCGTCAGATCTGATATCACCGTGTTCAATCCGTATGGATTATTTTCTAGGCAGTCGGACACGGACACGATGGTTTGATGGGTAGCCAATACCGCATCAGCATCGGCGTCCGGCAGATTAATCAGATTCGGTAGTTCAAAAGCATGTGCGTTTTGCATTACAGCATCGTTTGAGAACTGCACAGCCTCCGTGTGAGAAAGTATTTCTTGTGCGTCAGTGAGCAGTTTCCATAGTCGCCCAAACCATCTCTCGATGCCTATGATCTTGGTTTCATCCCATTCTAGGACTTCCCCAGCTGGCGCGGAGAAGAGAACATGTGCACGCGTGGTATCTGCCCCGTATTTGTTGACACAGGTCGTCGGGTCAACGCCGTTGTGTTTGCTTTTCGACATTTTCTCAAATGAGATGGTGGGGGTGACCTGGGTCCCCTTGATAAGCGGTTTATCTTTGTTTGTAAAGTCCAGCTCGGAGGGGAGTAAGAAGCGGCCTGTGGATGGTTCAGAGTAGGTTTTTCCATGGACCATTCCTTGGGATAATAAAGTCCGGAAAGGTTCTGCTGGTGAAGAGGTAGAGCTAGACTGGGCAACTTCAGGAAATAATTCGGATTGAGAGAGGAATTTGTAGATAAATCGGGCGTAAAGGAGATGAAGAATGGCATGTTCGACACCTCCGATATAAATGTCGACCGGCCGAGCGACAGAAGGCGAGAATGGCTTGTTTTCATTTTTCGGATCGAGATATCGCAGATAGTACCAGGAGGAGTCTACGAAAGTGTCCATGGTGTCGGTGTCACGCTTTGCAGGCCCCCCGCAACTGGGACACTCGGTATTTAGCCACTCATGCGCAGACTCGAGCGGATTCCCTTTTTTCCCCTTGAGCCAGTCGCCTTCTATCTTTGGCAATTTAACAGGCAGCTGTTCCATTGGGACTGCCACCGGACCGCAACTGTCACAATGGATGATGGGGATTGGTGCGCCCCAGTATCGTTGTCGGCTAATCAGCCAGTCCCGGAGTCGCCATGTCTCTGTGGCTTCTCCACGGCCTATTTGTTGTAGATCAAGGACGATCTGTTTTGCTGCCTCCTTGGAGGTAAGCCCCTGGTATTTCCAACATCTCGCTGTCAAATAGCCTTCCTGTGTGTATGCTTTTGCGTCGTGTGCTGGAATCATGCTCGATGACTCGTCCTGGATTGTTGAATCTGGTTGAATAACCATTGAAATAAATTCTGGTTGCATGTTTTCCTTGAAAAAAGCCAGGTCTCTCGTATCATGGGCCGGAACTCCCATGACGGCGCCTTCTCCGTAGCCACTCAGAACGTAAGAAGCCACAAAGACAGGTAGCTTTCTAGATACATGAGGACTCTCTTTATCTATTATGTGCAGCGGATGAGAAGCATATACACCATTCAGGCGATATCCTGCCTTGGAATCCGACGGAAAAGAAACAGCTTCGTTGAGAAATTTTCGAAGACTAGGCTCCGACTTTGCTGCTTCTTGCACAAGAGGGTGGTCTAGAGATAATGCAATATACTCGACTCCGTAGAGAGTATCAGGCCGTGTTGTGAAGACCTGAATGTCCTGCTTCTGGCCGCCAGCTGTCACTCCAAATGTGATTTTCGCGCCTGAAGACTTCCCCAGCCAGTGCTTTTGCATGGACAAGACGCGTTCTGGCCAACCTTCTGACAGAGAGTCAAGGTCTTTTAGCAAAGCTTCCTTGAAATCTGTTATTCGAAAGAACCATTGCTTTAGATTAAGCTGTTCGACCTTGGCACCAGATCTCCAAGAAAATCCATTAGCATCAACCTAGACAATATTAGTAATACTGAAATATCAAGTCTCTTCCACAACACACCTGTTCGTTTGCCAAAACCGTTTTATCTACAGGATCATAGTTGACCAACGCTTCTGCCTGATATGCCAACCCCTTCTCATAAAGCATCAAGAATATGCGCTGTGTATGCTTGTAGAATTCTGGCGAGCATGTCATCAATTCCTAGGCCGATTAGAGACACTCAACCATCATATTAAGGAGAATACATACTCTATCCCAGTCGAAACCTGCCCCTATACTCCTAAGTTGTGTCCTCATGCGTTCTATATTAGCCGCCGTCCACTCCGCTGGTTCTATCCCTCGTTCAATAGCAGCATTCTCCGCTGGTAACCCGAAAGCATCCCAACCAATTGGGTGTAAGACATCATGTCCCCGCATGCGATAAAACCGAGATAGCACATCCGATATAGTATATACTCGCAGGTGACCCATATGTAAAGTTCCCGACGGGTACGGAAACATGGAAAGAATATATGATTTCGGTCGTTGGTTATCCCTCGCTCCGACTCCTGAGCACTTTTCGTTTTCCTTTCGCGACTCGGCTTCTAGCCATCTTGCCTGCCATTTTTGATCAATGGCTCGAAGGTCGAGCAGTGGTGGTGTGGATATCGTCGATGCGAATCTGAGATTTGAAGTCTTGATAGAGGATGTGAGACGGTGAATGCATATAGGATATGTTGCGGTTATGGTTCTGCTGGTGGTTCGTCTAATCAATGAGCAGGTTATAATATCATTGCGGGCCAAATATATTCGTGCCATGGTGTAGAGCAAGTCAGCCTTGCTGTTCCAATGCGATTACGACGCGCAAATTTGAGGTATGAGCATCACGCCGTCCAACGCAGGTCGCCCAGATTGAAAGGCAACAGCTCCGAATTAAAGTAGAAAATACATGTGAACTAAGAAAGGATATATTTTTGAAGAAATGCAAGAAATATGATCAAGTGTGGAGCCAGAATGAGGACAATTACTTGCCGACGTTCAATGCGAGAGTTTACGGAGCTGCGGCGAGTTTTGACTTCCGGCCCGAAATGGTTAGCGTCGAGGATATACGATTACTGTGATATCGCCGATTCACCAATACTATTCGATGCGATTTGACGTGAAAAATGCTTCTTTCGTGTTGTCGAGTAGCGAGAGGGATATCCATTTAAATATGATACAATCTATCGGAGCTGTGGGCTTGTATACTACAGTCTATAAATTTCCCCGTCCATGCCAATGCCACCACGAAAATGATCTTCCACCACGTTACCCTTGAAGATGGTCTCTTCTACAATACCCTCGACATGCTTCGGCTCAACACGGCCGTACCATATTCCTGTACCAGCCAGCGGACTCGGAATAACCTCTACAGTGGACTTCGATGAGGCGGCCGTGGTCATAAATCCAGGAGGGATATAGATTATCACATTCCCTGCATATTTGTGTCCGCCGATATGACTGATGGCAGCAAGATTGGCGTGCGTTGGTCCATCCACCACGGATTTCTGACCGTCTTCGTCGCCGTTCGTAGTGAATCCTTTTCTTCGCAAGACACGCTCAAACTCTGCTTGTAAAACGGGCCGCATAACCCCACAACGCATATCTCGCCCACCATGTCCGCAGATTAATATTGTTGGTGATTGTTTGATTTCGAGGACCTCGGGGAAGTGTGATGATAGCTCCGGCGAACGAGTCATGGTGCTTCTTTGAGCATCGGGGATGCTAGCGTGTGCAGAATGGAGTTTATGCGGGAGCAGAAACGCGCGTGCGAATGTTTCAAGATCGGGAGTCTCATTATTAGCAGCTTGTAATGCAGCGACCGGAATCCTAGGCACGTATTTAAAAGCAGGAAAGAGAAAGGCAGACGCGAATCCTGACGAAGCGAGCGGCGAAGGGGCAAAGGAAGAGGTCGTTATGGACAGATTATTATAAGGCTGATATCATAGCAATGTTAATATAACCAGCCCGGTAAATTAGATTGGAAAGACACAAACATCGGCATATTTCCCCCCTCGGCCAAACAGACCCTTCAGTCCTCGAATTAAAGACCCCCAATTCTCTCCAACACCGTCATCTTCGATACGACTGGACCAGTCTGTTTGAGCCGTCGATATTAATATCTGCTGCGTATATGGAGCCATGGTGGCGTTTAGTTGTCGTCGATGATCGATAGGTAGCCATCGCGGCATGGGAGGGGTCGGCGCGCATTCGCAGGTGGGTTCGGGACATGTTGGGGTGGTCGGAAGGGGAAAGGATGAAGATGCAAAAGGTCTATATAGTATTTTCGATCCTGTTATTGCTGTGCGAGAGCTATTTTTGCTGAGTACAACGCCTGTGTTCCAACTGTGCCGAGCTGGCCAACGTAAGTAGTAGATCATGGCTCGGGTGTGAGGAACGGAATATCGGATTATCACGTCGATGGCATGTCTTCTTTGAATTGCATCGTCAAATAAGATTCTGCTACATGCAAAAATCGATAGTAAAAATTTAAAAAACGAATTATTAAGACGAGTAAGAAAAAGATTGTAGTAGAAGTTGTGCGGTCGGAAATAGTCGATGTTGTCGGAGTTCGCGTCGGAGATACGATAGTTGTCGGCTTTATTGATAAGGTTGAAGTCATCAACGTATGAGAAATATCCTACAAAGGATTGTTTTAATCATACCTCACGTATGGAAACAAATTCATAAAGAGCGTAAGATCAATTAACGTCGCACAATTTCTTCCAAAAACTAATTATGGGTGATTCAAATCTAGCCAAAAAAAAATTAATTTAGACGCCTGGCCATTTCCAAGAATTTAGCAACAGTTTTTTGAACAGCTCAGTGAGCTGTCAAGCCATGCTTCTCGACAATCGTCCAGTATGACTTTGCAATAGATTTTCGGGCAGACTTTCCAACCCCAATCCACAGGAAACAGGCAGACCAGAAAACAATGCCGAGCACCGCAATCAGAATAAAAGTGTTTTGTAGACCCATGTTAGAAATCATGGGATTTACAGCGTAAGCGAAAGCAAATCCTAAGACGTCGAAATATCAGAGAAAAAAAAACGAAAGAAGGTACGGAAGGAACTTATTTTCGGAGATGAGAAAAACAACTTACCAATAGTGTTACGAATCAAAATGATGGTTACGATAGATTCAGCAGCCAGCTCCTTCTGACAGTCGATAATGTACGTGATGGCTAGGCCCGAACCCATGGGCAGGGTAAGACACATGAAGGCGATGCCAATAACAACACCAATCCAAGGGATGTGATGACTGGCACCTACACCGTAAAGAATACACCCCAGCGGGTGGGCGATGATCGCAATAATTGCCATCCACAGGCGATCCTCGGGTTCTTTGATGCCTTGTCGTCTTCGGGCGAGTCTGATGGCGAGGATATCACTTAGCCAGCCACTGCAGTAGCACCCAACGGATACACCAATAACACTTGCGAAATATGTTAGGCCGATCTGGTCGGCTGTGAAGTTGTAAGGCGCGCCTCCAAGAACCTCGGCGAGAGAGCCTCCCAACACGTTATACCAAGCCAAAATACTGCCAACAAGCAACCCGGAGAAGATCTGTGTGGGGAAGAGAAGCAATCGAAAGGAGAGATAGATCGACTGCCAGAAGGTATAGGGTTGTTTGGGGTTATGGAGTCCCCACATCTTAAGCTTCTGCAGATATGTTTTGACAGGAAATATTTCTCCTGATTCCGAGGAGATGGGGGGGTTTGAGCTGTCTATTTGACTGGATGGGCCCTTTTCGGCTTCGGCGGACAGGGCTGGGAGAAATTCTGTGGGAATAACTGTTTCCTGGTTGCGGTCAAATTTGCGGAAGAACATGGTGTCTTCAAAACCGAGGAAAATGCCGAGGGTGATACAGAGACAGATAATAGCTAGAAGATACTGAATCCATCGCCAGCCCATGCTGTCAGCAACGAAGCCACCTGCAATGGGAGCCAGGAAAGCACCACACCACAATGTCCAGTTATAAATGCCCATATGCAACCCACGGTTGTGGGTGAAATGGACATCAGCGATGCAGAGCTCAATCAAGGCCTCTTGTGGGGAGATGAAGAGACCAATCAGCACGCGGTTGGCGTACCATTCACCAACACTCTTGACATACGTGGACCAGATTGTCATTAGTGAAGCACCTAACATGCCGACGACAAGCACAGGACGCCGACCCCAGTTTTGTGCCAAGTTTTGGGTCAGTAGGGTGCCCCAGCCCATGAATAAGTACATAATACCATTGCCAGTACTGAGATCAGCTACAGAAATTCCAGTGTCTTCGGAGATCAATAGATAGGCTGGGGAGAGACCACTAATGAGAGCAGCTGCAAAAAAGCACCATGCCATCTGACAACAACTATTTAGCATCTTGCGCCTGTAGGACCAATTCAGGGGATCGTCGGGATGTTGACTGGGTTGAGGAATCAAAACGATATCGTCCTGGCCGGTGCCATGGCGCAAGTGCAGGCTGTGGTTGACGTCCACTTGCTGGACCGTTCCAGGGATAGGGAGATCCTCTTTCATGATGCTATAAGCCTCCAAAAAGAAAAGAGCCAGAAAAACTAGAGAAGAATGAATGCAGGGCAACACGAGGGAACCACGTAGGCGGCATCTCACTACCTGAGGAGTATCTAGGCCTTATATCAACACGCATTTTGTCCATACATCGGACTCTCATTACGCATTATGAGATCCGTGCCACAATATACACATCCAAATACACTTGGGAGTAAAGATAAGAGCATCGAAAGAAGCTTTGGCCGAGCTCAATTCTGGAGCTCGAAGCAGCCATCCGAGTGGACGTTCGGATATCCACGGATCCACACACACGGCTGGCGATATACCGGAAATCAACAAAGAATTGCCAAACCTAATGATAAGAGGGGAATTCTTTTTATGTAAAATTCGTTGGTTGGTATACAATATCGCACATCTCATTCGACTGTCTATGCTTCTGGCCTCGGCAATATGGGGGTTGCTGCCGAACAGCTCAAAGCAGATTAAAAATCCGTCAAGTTGTATGTACATGTAGTTAAAGCCCAAGTATCTATCTAGAAACCACGAATCAATATGGTCTGTACAAAAAACGTTAAAGCTGACAATCTATGACTACATTACTTCCCTGTAAACAATACCCATATTGGTATGTAGTAAACATGCGTGGAAAGGTCATCAAATGCCCCCAAAGAATTAAAACTTGCAATAAAATAGATCATTGATCACGGATTTTACTTTTAATGATAAAAATAAATCAGAGCTATGCACCAGGAAAGTAAGACTTATTAAAAGCATCTACGGCCGCTCGAGTAGCCTTGACGACTTCCACGCAACCTGGGACATCTGAGTGACAACAAATCGAAACTGGGTGGTTTTTTACCGGAATGGTACAAGTTGACCCATCGACTGCAGGGGCAGTGCTTGTCTGGAGCTGTTGGGTGACTCGAGCGTAGACTTCATCAGTATTCCAGGGACTAAATGATATAGATAATGTAAGCAAAACAGAGAATAAATCGATCGGAAGGAAAAATAGAACGAACCGTTTCTTCCGTTCTATCACCAAGCTTGAGTCTGCATTGTACTTGACATCGGCATAAAACTCTGCAATGAATTCAATCCCCAGGTCCCTCGCAGCCAGCTCCATGCAGGTACCCGCCAGGCCAAATATGGGCACACCCTTTGGAATCCCAAGAAACACTGCCTTGGCCGTTTCATAATCCTTGCAGCACATCCCATAGAGCATGCCATGGGGTTTGACGTGATGCAACGGTGCGCCCTCGCGGTCCAAGAACCCCTTCAATGCGCCAACTTGGTAAACGATCATAGCGGTGAGCTCGTCTGGAGTGAGTTTCATCTCTCGCCTTCCAAAACCCTGCAGGTCTGGGAAGCCAGGGTGTGCACCAATTTTGACTCCATGCTTGATGCAATTTTGGACAGTCTCCATCATAATCAGAGGATCTCTAGAACGACCGAATTGGGTTACAATCAGTGTATAGGGAATTAAAGATGCGAAATGACGAAAGATATACGACAAGCAGGGTAAAAGACGCTACTCACGACGCATGAAAACCGCAGGCAATATTTGCGTGGTCGACTAGAGGAAGCAAATCTGCGTCAGGACCAATGCTCCAATTCCCGTATCCTTCACCCATATCAACATTTATTAGGGCCTTGTGTTTGATCGGGCCTTCCATCTTGTCCTCACGCGCCGTAATGACCCTAACAAATATGTAAAGTTCTCATACGTGTGGGAGAAATGTGGAGGAAAGAGTGTTCAAGATCCCCAATAACCTCCTAGCTGACGGAGTACAGGTCTAGTTATAATTGAGATACTGATCCGGATAACAGAAACCCACTCACTACCACTTCCAATAATAGAGCTTCTCCGAGGCAGTGGATGCAAGTCGGCTCTATGCAAGCTGCAACCGGCTGCTGGGTAAGTCTTCCGATCCGAAACAGATGCCATATCCACCCTGTTACACAGGTATAGTGGGGCTCTTCTTCTTAAGATTTCGGCTTATCTACACTCTTGGTTGCAATTACGGTGCACGCTTTTACAGTCTTCCATTGTTTCCCAACCCCTGTCGCCAAGGGACACTAAACCATGTTAGGTTATTCCGAAGCCCCCTGCCTCAGGTTCAGTAAGAATGTGGCACGGTATATTTCATAACTAAGCGTATTTGATTATCTGTATTCGTAATACAAGCCTCTTCTAGTACACCACGTAGGCCGGCTGTCCGTTGGAAGATACTCCCAGAAAATCACATAGATCATCCTTTAGTGATAAAGCATTACTACTCAGACGAGAGCTTACCTTTGATAAAATTGTAAGTAACAAAACCACCACCTCCCAGGTAGCGGGAGCTGCCGCCAAGTGCCATCCAAGTACAATCACAAGACATCACTCCAACTTACGTCTGTATAGAAGCGTGACCGCTCTTCCAATAAAATGAGATGTCCACGGAGTCATATACCTATGATGATTAAGGATCTTAGTTATCGTCTTCTGGAAACACCTCATTTGTATATACAGTAATAGTGTTGATCAGCTATGTTGAAGGAAATGTTGTCAATTGCCCCGAGGATGCCACTCCGTTATCTGCTGAAGTTACTACCTAGTAATGTACCATCACATTTTGCCGAGAATTCTTGTAAAAATTCCGCCTTTCCTACGTCTGATAAGTATTGATCTTAGCAGCGGGTTGCTGCTAGCAACTGGATTATTGGATTGACTTGGCGATCGTGCTTCTGTCTGAATACTTATTAGAGGACTTTGACTTTCTAGCCGACTAACGATTTCTGAAGAGCTGTTGGATAAAGTGGTATCAACTGCTTGCCACTTGCTGAGAATTATTTTTGACGAGATGGTGTCTGGATGGTTAGGCCCCAAGCGCTTCATGCGTAATTGGACACAAGATTTCATTAAAGCAGCAGCATCTTGACGCTTGCCTAAATCCTTCCAAGTCAAGGCCAAATTAGCCATGCTGTTCAGTGTCTTGGGATGTTCCGTGCCTAGCACTGTCTTTCTCATCTCCAACACTTGCATGTATAGCTCCTCGGCCGCCTTCCATTGGCCTTGCATTCTGTATATTGAGGCCAGGTTAGAGATGCTGCTCAGTGTGTCGGGATGCTCTGTGCCTAGCACTGTCTTTTTCGTTTCCAGTGCTTGCATCTGCAACTCCTCGGCCTCCTCCCATCGGCCTTGCTGATAGTATATTGTAGCCAGGTTTCCCATGCTGGTCAGTGTGTTGGGATGGTCTATGCCTAACACTGTCTTGCTCGTCTCCAATTCTTGCATGTATAGCTCCTCGGCCACCTTCCATTGACCTTGCCTGTAGTATATCGAGGCCAGGTTGCCCATGCTGCTCAGTGTGTCGGGATGTTCTATGCCTAGCACTGTCTCACACGTCATTAATACTTGCACCTCCAACTTCTCAGCTTCCTTCCATCGGCCTTGCTTCCGGTATATCGAGGCCAGGTTGCTCATGCTGCTCAGTGTGTCGGGATGTTCTATTCCCAACGCTATCTTTCTTGTCTTTAAGACTTGCATCCCCAACTCCTCGGCCTCCTTCCATCGGCCTTGCTTCCGGTATATCGAGGCCAGATTACCCATACTGCTCAGCGTGTTGGGATGTTCTGTGCCTAGCACTGTCTTTTTCCTTTCCAATGCTTGCATCTGCAACTCCTCGGCCTCCTCCCATCGACCTTGCTGATAGTATATTGTGGCCAGATTGCCCATGCTACTCAATGTGTCGGGATGTTCTATGCCCAGCACTGTCTTACATGTCTTTAATACTTGCACCTCCAACTCCTCGGCCTCATTCCATCGGCCTTGCTTCTGGTATATCGAGGCCAGGTTGCCTATGCTGCTCAGCGTGTTGGGATGGTTTCTGTCATACCTTTTTTGCTGGACGTGCAACGCATCACGAAAGAAGATCTCAGCTTCGTTATATCTCCCATCACTATCAAGACAGCCTCCAATCCTTTCTAGTAAGTGCACGTAACAACTCTTATCATCATTGAAACTATGTTTCCCTATAAGAAATAGAGCGTGGGGAAGATATTCACGCCATAAAGATCGATTTTTATGATTATTATCAGGGAAAACCTCTTTAAAGCGATCTGCTGTTTTGCATGCGGAAGGATAAAGTAGATTATTTTGTCTCATCCAATTGCGAGTGGCGAGATGGACCAGCTGGTGAAGACTTAGCAAGCCGTCTTTGTGCATAGTCGTAAAGTTATATGCTTTCAGAAGACCAAGTGCATCAATTTTCTTTTTTTGAGATGCTGCTTGAGGAAGAAGCGATAGTGGAATATTACGTGGATCGATGCAAGCCATGAATGATAGATACTCTGCTGCTAGCGAGTTTAAGCGCTGGATCTGGTTAAAAGAGACTAACCACGTGGTAGCGACTGGATTTTGAGTTTCCACATAGCGTCCTTCATCTTCAAAGTCTTCGCTTAAGAGCTCAATGATATCATGCTCTTGTTCCTGAAGGATTCCCACGTAGTCAGCAATTCCAATGTCATTGGCGTTGATATATGCTGCTGCCTGCGTGATGGCCAGCGGAAGAAATGTTAGCTGCTGAAGAAGAGTGGTAGTTATAGTGGGTTCATTAAGAAGATCTGATCGAAACAGTGATTTCTTAAGAAGTTCCTTGGCGGTTGGTTCATCGATCTCAGGGAGAGAGATAATATGGGATGGTGCTAATCTCTGGGCTAGCTTTCGATTTCGCGTGGTAAAGAGAAGGCAGCCATGGTCACTTTGTGGAAGATATTCGTTCAGAGATGGGGTAATACGATTTCGGGAGACCCACATTTCCATGTCGTCTGCATTATCACAGATAAGAAGCCACCGCCCCGCTGTCTCATGGCTTAAATATGACTTCACTCGCACTTTGACATCTGCTTGGCCGACATCTCGCAGCCTGAGGTGTTGAGCAATCCTTATATATGCCTGTTCCACGCTCTCTGGGCTCACTGACGAGATCCAAAAGACTGAACACTGGTGGTCTCGATGTCTCATTCGGTATGCAAGCTCTAATGCAATCTGAGTTTTGCCTGCGCCTCCTAATCCCGTAAGAGCGATTTTCATGGGTCCACTAGACATCGAAATGAGATTCTGTAGTCTAGTGATCTCATCGTGACGGCCCACAAAACGAGGATTCCGTGGAAATGGAACCATCCAAAGTCGTTTCCTAGCTTCCACATCACCATTCGACGCATTGATGGGAATAACAGATAAAAGATTTCGAGCATATGCCGCAGCCGTTAAAGCGGCATAGCCTTGCCATTGCTTGTTTTTATGAGAATCGCAGTAATCACAAATCCCTCGGATGACCAGGCAGGGAAGCTGATCCATCAGCCCTGCGGCCTCCATCTCAAAGCAAAGGATCCCTTCCATTGCTGCAATCCGATCTCGTGTCTGCCCATCCTTCATAACTTGATTTCCGGATGCAATCAAACCGTAATGAATGTCAGGACCGTCAATAGCTCTGGCTGCACGCAGTATTAACTGATTCCGATCGCATGCTTCACATTCGGAGTCGCTGCCTTCATGGCAATATGTTGCAAGAAAAAGCCAGTCATTCTCGGGTTGACGAAATCTGTTTTGAATTTCCTTATCAGTATTCAATACGTCATGTACAATGCTTGTTATTGTTTTCTTTCCCAATATACGGTTGCTCTCAACCTGCGCTATAGCAGTTAATAAGATCGGGTGTGGTTTGTTAAGCGACCCAGTCCGCACAATCCGTCCGCCATGAATGGTCTTGCCGTAGTCGTACTGTATCACACCACCAAAGATATCAGACGGTTTGCTTACCACCACATCGCCAAGTCGAATATCGGCATGCTTGCTGGGTACCCCACCTCCGATACCGACCATCAACCCAAATTGAAGACATGGAAACGTTGCTCGCATCTCCGCCAGTACAGTGGCTGCAGCAGTCGTGCCGTACACGCCGTATGGGAGGCAGGCCATCACCATCGCATGGCCATTCAGGCTGCCGAGAGTATACGTGTTGTGATCGGTCGGTGGCTGGGGCAGAGGAGAATGAGTCTCGTCCAGCATGGCCTTCGCAGTCGCCATTTCCAACGGCAAGGCACAGACCCACGCAACCGAGTAGTCCTTGTGAGAGCGTTTGGGGGATGCCATTGTTGCATGATAATTTTTCTAGACAATTAGAAGCAGAGATGATGAATTATTCCTTACTGAGAAGATGTAGCGTTAGATGAAGCCAGCATGATGTTGTAGAAGAGCACCAGGCTGAGCGCAAGGCTATCCTAGATTAGAATAAGCCAATCATCTTCGCGAGACTTTCTAAGACACCATGTAAATAGTATGGCGCTTCTGAATCCATATCAACACAAGCTTAAGGGTGGAATTACAACCCATAAATTCGGAAAAGAAGACTTCTATAGGTTAATAGGAATGGTTTGAGGGATTTGCATTGGTTCCAGTGAACCACGGACTGCTTAAACAGGCTGTATGGTAGTTTCAAGTGACGTCATGTTATTTTACGGCAAATTACAATCATATAATAATCTGGGACAATGGTTACTCTGGTGCTGTGCCTGACAGATTAGGGTGAAAATCGAGGTGAGTAAAAGCGTGCACCGTTTTTGCAATCAGCTGTACTGCGAGATCAGCCTTTTAAGCTGTCTTTTGAAGTGGTTTATTAAGATATCGTCACAGTTTTGTGATACTATTTCAAGTACTAATATCCCAAGGATTCCTACAAACACGGTTTCCCAACTTTACCATATTTCATATTATGGACATATCCTATGGCTAATACGAATACCCTGAAGACCCCAGTGGTGCCCCGAGCCCTGCTTCTCCATATACACCATCACGAAACATGGGATCATTACCGTCTGCCTCCCACATGGACTGATGGGAGGACATATAATTGACAGCCATCGACTGAGGAAGCCAGCAATCCCACCACATAGAAAATGCCTCGAAACTGTATCCTTCTGTATCAACATTACTAGTCCAGGGGCTGAAAACTTGCGGGTTATCACTATTTTCGAATTCCTGGGGCTGTCGGACTCGTGTTTCTTCAACTTCAGTGGGCATATTCTGGGGCAAATCTAGGACGGTAGAACCAGAAACATGAGTATTGCTGGAAGGATCTATGGACATGGTGTTGTCTGAAGGCATCAGCGTTGCGCCATGCATGTAATTCTTCGTTGTAGCAGTGTCTGTTTGAATTGTATGGGGCTCTATCCGTCGCGAGAGCCTTTCAAGAAGATCCCCCCAACGAGGGCATAGGTGGGTGTCGTCAACATAAACGGACCGTAGACCACTAACAAGGTGCTTTATAAGTGAAAGCGCGACTGATCTGTCTACCTCCCTTATCCGCGCCGCACAGCACTTTTAATCAAAATCAGATATCTATCTTTGCAGAGAAAATGCGAAAAGCAACATGAAGGAACTAGACAAACCTTGAGGAGAAACAATGCTGCACCGAGTACTCGGGAGAAGGAGCGGACGGGAAGGTATCTCAAAGTCCCATCCGACACAAAATCATCTATTACTGTGCGTAGAATTATCTGAGCACCCTTTACGGTCGCAATGAGATGTCCTTCCTCCTGTTTAGAGACGCGTGGAGGGGTCGGGTATGGCTCGCCAGCTGCTTCATTATAGTGGTAGCGTCGATCTATCACAGCCTGAAGCGCCACACTGAAAATACATAGCTGGACATGGGCGTACTCGAAAGATAAAATTGATCTCATCTGCCTCGTCACTTTTCCCGGTTTTAGCCTGACGTATCTTGCCATTTCTGCTAAGAGTGTAGGTGCTAACTTACATTTAGATGAATCAAACTCAGAAAGAGAATTCTGAAGAAGAGGTTGCAGTGTCTGGAGACATTTTACATACTCGCCGTTCCGAATAATCTCATTCGTGTGCTTTTGTGAAGGGAAGAGCAGCTCATTGGCATGTCTCATGATGGTGGCCACTCCTACCCAACACCTTATCGTGTCATCATTGACTGGGGGACATAGGCGAGAGGGGGCAGGGGTCAGAATCCTCCATCCTATATCAGGTTAGGTCAGAAAACTCCAGTCTGGAAGATATTCACTTCGAGAAGATCAAGTGAGAATGGCCGTACCTGGTCTTCCGGGTTGTTGGGTGGCGTAAACCCAAATCAGATATCGTACTCGGTAGAATCTCTGCTGATCAATACGTACTCCTTGCGCTCCCGGCCGAGTGCCATCCTCTTCATCAAAGACACCCATTTCGGTAGCCAGCATCGAAACAGTGGACAGCATGGAACGACAAAGTCGATCCGACCGTGCTAGCCAGTTATGTCCAGAACCTGGTCCGCGCTGCCAGTGGCTTTCGGCAACCCGACAGCGGCTCTTAGGCTCCCAAACAATGGATGAGGCGGTATCTTCATATGGCGATGGAAAATGAAGTCCTTGGGGATGCCAGTCCAGTAATAGCAGAAGGGCCTCACAAGTTCCGATAGTACGAAACCCATTCGACCTGGGATTCGGGCATGGAAGCGATGAACCTCGTGAGTCATCGACAGGATCCATTACCGAAGTAAGCTCCCCTACAAGGATGTCTTCAGACCAGAACAAGCGTGTTATCATTCCTTGGAGATACCTCCAAAGCCGGTCATGAACGAGAAACGAACGCGACAGAGCACCTGGACCCGTCCATCGCCGATACCGAGAGCCAATCATCAGTAGGGTGATTGTCAGAATCGGCTCCTCCTCGATCAGTGTTGGGTGCTCTGCATGGTTTCGAAAACAGTCTGGAACGACGGCTGTCAATGGGGCATGGTATTTGTAAAAGTGGTCAACCATGTCCAGCGCTTCCTCTGGAGTGAAGAGCCCGCCGCAGACAAAGCGCAAGCCAGACCATGCCCGTAGAGCTTCTCGGGTTCCTGGACTGGTCGAATTTGAAATAGGATTCGTTGATGTAATGTTGGTATTTCTCTGCAAGGGTTGGGAATAATTAACGTCGGTCAACAGTGAAGAGTCCAACCTACGTTGCTCGTCATTCGCACAGGCTACGGATAACACTGTCAGGGCGTCATGATATGTACGAGGATGGCCCTGGAGTAAGACCGTGGCCGCACGACCATTGTCTGGTAACGAGTAGTTTTGCTGTTGGCTTTGTTCTCGGTCTGCTGGCTCGGTATTACTGATACGAGGGTTCGATGACGAAATTGAAGGAAAGACACTCTGTGAGCTTGATGCTACAGCCGAGGAAACTTGTCGACATACTCGATTAGTTTCGCGGGACTTTGCTGGGTTTCTGACCCTCGTAGCTGCAAAATAGCATTTTCTCGACTCTCGTTGACAGCGTGCACACGACAGCTTATCCACGGGGTCTGACTCGCAGCGAACCTTTTTCTCACGGCAAGGCTCGCATGCCTTTGGGCAAGCAGTTAGTTATCGCCTGATATAATGAAGATAATGACCCGGATACTTTGATAGCAAGAATCCGCTAAACGTAAGGAACTAGAGTAGTAGTGACGCACCTGGTAAACTCGCTTATACTCGCGACGCAAGGCGGATGCCATGATAATTCAATTCAGGCGAGGTTACTGTTCATCAGAACATCGATTCGTACATCCGATCCGACCAAGTCTTATCTCATACGGAGAATCTCCGTATTCACGGATCCGCTAATATCCGAGCCAGTCGGATGCCGCTATTTTCTCCAGTTCTGGATAGAATTCATGGTGGGGGGGGGGACCGTGGAATGCTGGAAGATAAGTACATATATCCATTTACAAGGTGCCATATTTGCCTTCGTCCATATGACTAACGTTGGATTATACTTTTCCAACATCCATCTTTCACGTTGACCACTGATGCACATCTTGGGCAAGTATGGAGAAGTTGCGAACATTGTTGATCGCAAATCGCGGCGAGATCGCCGTCCGTATCACAAGAACTGCGAGGTGAGAATTAATTACCTCAAAAGGCCATGTTGGATCAATCACCTTTTAAGAATGAGATACACTAACGCAGTACTTGGGAAACGTAGGGAGCTTGGAATACGCACTATTGCGATATATACATCAGCCGATGCGACCTCACGACATGTCGCGGTCGTAGATGAAGCAGTCTTGCTACCGGGTAAAGATGCCACGGCATATACTGATGGGTTTGTCTCCTCACACAGAGATGGGTTCTATCTCTCTGTACGCTGGGGTATATGGCAAGGCTGACGAGAAATGCGAAGGGACGCAATCATCCAGATCGCCCTTTCTCGACAAGTAGACGCCATAATTCCTGGGTATGGGTTTCTTTCAGAAAACGCAGAGTTTGCACAAGCCGTCGCCAAGGCAGGCATGATCTTCGTGGGTCCTAAACATGATGCTATTGAAGCCTTTGGCTTGAAGCATCGAGCTCGTGAGATGGCGGTAGAAGCAGGGGTTCCAATTGTTCCTGGATCCCGAGGACTGCTTGCGACGGAGGAAGAAGCTATTAGCGCTGCCGAAGATATGGGCTATCCGGTATGCCCCTCCTGATGCTTCTGTATGGGATGGTGAATGATAATCTCGTGCTCCTAGGTAATGTTAAAAGCCACAGGAGGAGGAGGCGGAATGGGTTTAGTCATCTGCCACTCACCCAGCGAGGTCCGCCAGTCGCTAGCCCAGGTTCGTTCTCGCGGAGCGACGTTGTTCAAAAACGCTGGTGTATTTCTGGAGCGATACTACCCTAAGAGCCATCACATTGAGGTGCAAGTCTTTGGCAACGGCCTCGGGGATGCCGTCCACTTTGGAGAGCGCGAGTGCTCAATCCAACGCCGCCATCAAAAGGTCGTGGAAGAATGCCCCAGCCCTTTCGTTGAGAAGCATCTAGGTAAGTTCTAGATCTAATAAAATCGCTGCAAGTCTGACTGGAGAAAGGTTTGCGTGAAAGATTAGCTTCAGCAGCAGTAGCCTTAGCAGAGTCCGTCAATTATGCATCCGCTGGAACGGTTGAATATCTTGTGGACGATATTTCTGGAGAGTTCTTTTTCTTAGAAATGAACACCCGTCTTCAGGTTGAACATGGCATTACGGAGCTCTGCTATGGAGTTGACTTGGTACATCTTATGCTGGAACAGGCTAACCGAGAATTGGGTGGCCACGGAGGCATTGATAAAAAGTATTTAAAATCGTTGCAGCCGGTGACTCCATCAGGAGCCGCCATTGAAGTGCGTGTCTACGCTGAGAATCCTGCTCGCAATTATGCACCTTCCCCTGGATTGCTACAATCTGTTGAATGGCACGAACTTGATGGAACTCGTATTGACACATGGGTGGAGACTGGCACCAAGATCTCACCATTCTACGGTTAGTGACGATAACCCCTATTCGAATAAGTTTCTAGCTAAATTCTGTAGATCCAATGATTTCCAAAGTAATGGTACATGCCTCCGGGCGTGACCAGGCAATTGAGAAGATGTGTGATATTATCTCGCAATCTGTCATATGTGGCCCCCCTACAAACCTCGACTTCTTACATGCAATTGTGCAATCTAGCACATTCAGAGGCGGGCACACTTTGACAAATTTTCTAGAAAGCTTTGAATTTCGCCCCAGTGCAATTGATGTTATCTCCCCAGGGGTTTACACCACAGTCCAGGACTCGGGACGCCCCAAAGCAGGGCAAGGAATTCCTCACGCAGGGCCTATGGTCAGTTAAGTTTTACAATAATAACAACACACACAATACCTTCTTATCATACGACTTCTTTTTCATAATATGACTCACAAGCTAATGCTGAAGAAACAGGATCCGCTTGCATTTCAAAGTATCTTTCCCTTGGCGAAATTTCAAGTTTGAGAACTCTTGTAACTAACAAATGGATAGTTGCAAATATCCTGGTAGGCAATTCCCGAGACGTAGAAAGCTTAGAGATTACTCTCAAAGGCCCCGAACTGCTCTTTTCAGCACCGGCAGTTGTCTCGGTATGTGGCGCTCCGATAGCCTTAAGCCTTGATGGTGTAGATGTCCCTATGTGGACACGATTGTATATAAAACGTGGCCAAGTCTTGTCTATCGGCAATTTGCTTGAATCTGGAGGTTGCAGAGGTTTGTTTCACTCCCTTTTTTTCACTGGCCGACCTTTCTAATCTAGTTGAAGCATATTTTGCTATTGCTGGAGGATTTCCTGCCATGTGAGTTTTTGGATGATTCCTTGCTTATTAAACGCATGTTTAACAAGTGATATAGTGCCAAATATTTTGGCTCCAAGTCTACAACACCGCTTCTTGGGATTGGTGGCTACCAAGGTCGAGCGCTGGCTCCAGGTGATCTTTTGACTATTCAGAAAATCGATGATTTTGATGAGGCCGCGCCTATTATTTCCCTCCCTGAGAACCTCCGTCCACAATATACCAATCATTGGGACTTATATGCCATGGTTGGGCCATATGATGAGGGATACTTGTTAGCTGATGATATTGAGATGATCTATAACACCACCTGGTACTAGAGGCTTAGTCCACAACGAATACAGGATTAGGAGTGCTAAATTTTAGATTATAGGAAGGTCTCGCACAATGCAACCCGTGGTGGTATTCGTCTCATTGGGCCGGCACCTACAGAATGGGCTAGGAAAGATGGAGGCGAGGGTGGACAACATCCTAGTAATGTCATCGAGTACGGGTATCCGATAGGCACCTTGAATTGGACGGGAGAGAGGTTCGTCTTTCCATTCTTCCCTCGGCTTCTTCATTGGACGTCATGCAAATGATTTATATTTTGTTAGCCCTTGCATCTTCCCTGTTGACGCCCCTGATCTCGGAGGATTTGTTTCTTCGACTACGATTGTTAAAGGAAGTCTCTGGCGACTCGGCCAAGTAAAGTCCGGTGATACCGTCCAATATCGCCGAGTATCCCTGCATGATGCACTGCAAATGATCAGTCAACTAGAGAAATTTTTAGATGATGTTGCCTCTCTTGTTGCGGGAGCGTGTCGTCTAGATAGCATCGAGCCCGTTCATCAACAATCCTTGCCCGAGTCAACGCTTTCTGGTAGTTGGGGTACAGCAGTGGTTTTCGAGAAAGTCTTGGAGGAATCCAACCTTAAGATAACGTTCCGACAGGTAATTTCCTTCTCTGCATCTTTCCTTTCTAAACTAATGGCTTATGATAGGGCGGTGACGATTTCCTTCTCATTGAGTATGGCGATGGAAGTTTCAACCTCAACAACCGTTGTCTTGTAACAAACTTAGAGAAGCTGGTTCACAAGTCATGCAAAGCAGATAAAATTTTGAAAAATGGTATATATAAGATGACAGGATGCTGCAATTGTGAGTTTCTCTCATGCTCCCTCTTCTCTTTCGACAAAACCATTCTAATATTTCATCAACTTACAGCCCTTTTGATCCACTACGACGGCTTGAAGCTTCCACGTGAGAAACTGATAAACCATTTAATATCTTTGCAGACCGAAATGGGTGACATTGGTCAGTCTATGGTCCCCAGCCGACGATTCCATCTTCCGATCTGCTTTGAGAGTCCGGCCCAGGAGGAAGCCATTCAGCGGTATATGAAGACTCAGCGACCATATGCTCCCTTCTTACCCGACAATATGGACTTTGTGGCGAAAATCAATGGGATTACCTACGATGAACTCATCAATATATTCCTAACTACGCAGTTTATGGCTATTTGCGTGGGGTTTTTCTGTGCCGATACTATCTGTCTACCTATAGATCCTCGTTATCGGTTAACATGTCCTAAACAGAATCCAAGTCGAGTTTACACGCCCGAGGGGAGTGTGAGTTGGGGTGGTTCCTGTATGAAGTAAGCTCTCCCCTCCTTCTCCGAAAAAATAAAACCTCCGAGCTAACACCGATTGATAGTATCTACCCAGTAGACTCCCCTGGAGGCTACCAACTCACCGGCCAAACCATCCCATGCTTTGACCAACTCGGCACAAAACCGGGTTTTGGACCGGGCCAGCCTGGCCTATTTCGGGACTTTGATCAAATCAGTTTTTATCGCGTGAGCCGGGAAGAGTTCGAGCGCGATATGGCGCTCTTCCGTTCAAAGCGGTATAGGTTTCGAGTCGAACAAAATGTTCTGTTTGATATGAGCGCGCATAATAGATTACTCCGGGAGACGCGGCAAGAAGTTTCGGCGTTTAAGTCCCGGCAGATGGTGGCACAGGTGAAAATGCTGGCTCTGGAAAAGGCGTCCATGGAGCGATGGATGGCGGATAAAGCGAAGAATGTAATTCCGGCTGATGAAGTAGAGACATTGAAACAAGGTGCGCCCTCTCTCTTCTTTTTTTTTCAATTATTCATCTTCGTTCAACGTTTGGATGGGTGATGGCTAATATTGAAAATTACATACAGACCCCCATATCTTGACCCTTAACGCCCCTCTCGATGCCGACGTGTGGAAGGTCAATAAATCCGAAGGGGAAATTCTCAGTGGCAACCACGTCGCGGTTATACTCGAAGCGATGAAGATGGAGATCGCGGTCTCGTATGCTATGAATAAGAAGGAAATGGACAACAGAAAATTCAAGATAGTTAAGGTGCTCGTCCAGTCTGGAGATATTGTCAAGGCTGGGGATGTGTTGATGTTCATGAAAGGATATTCTGATTGATTATATAATTGATGTGATGTATCAACGGCAGGTTTTATTATATTCGTGTTTTGAGTAGGTAGGTGGCTGGGATATCCGGGTCTTGTTATATCCGGCTACACGTGGGAAGTTTATCCGTTGAACATTTGAGGTGATGTATCAATTGATATAGTGGCGATGCTTATGAAGGGCTTTGTGCTACATGATTGAGTGCCTTAAAAAATAACCATTGATATCAATTGATGTATTGTATATATGTAGCTATCCACCAGACCTTCTATATGTAATATTGCTTAATGGAACATTGAACTACAGTCGATTTCAAATGTTATATATATATATGTGTATATCAATAGTTATATAGATAAATACTCCCAAATTCCCATAACATCGAAAACCCAACATTATCAATGATGGATAATACCTGAAAGTTGATGCTGCTGATGTTTCTATTATTTACTAACGACAGAACGGCCTACACAATAGCCATTAAGTTGATAGGTGAACACCCAAATTGATGATTAAATGCTAGCGTATATATAATTGCTGACCTCCGTATGTATCATCATCATAGATATATAAAACAATGGACTAAATAAGATCTACTTGGAACTCGCTGCAAAAGAAGCAAGTGCCAATGGGGACTCTGTCAACGGCCAGAGCAAAAAGTAGAAGCCAACTGCACCCGCGACGAGAAGCTCATAGTACGCTATCGTCCACCCGACAGGTACTCTACCATCTGTGACCTGAGCCGGGCTGACCTCCGTATCGTCCTTGCCGCGGACGACAGGCGGGCTGATGCGGACTCCCGCTTCGATACGCCCCCAGACCCGAGGCAGTCCACACCAGTTACAGAAACTGTGCACGAGAATCACCGCCGGCAAAGACCCTGTGCGCAGATACACAAATGCGGCGAACCAGCCGAAAACGGTGGTGAATGCAAATTGGAAGAGTGAGCGGAGTACGGCTGCGATGACGGGGGTGTCTGGATGGGTGAGGCGGAATTCGTAAAAGTGATGCACATGTGCAATGCCAAAGTAGAGCGGCGAAATAAAGACGATGCGCGTTGGAGTCATTTTCGCTAGTAGGTGAAGTGAAATGATGATGGATCGGAAGATGACTTCCTCGGTAATCGGGCCCTGATGGAAATGTTAGATATTATGTTTAAACAACATGACATGGCGGAACATACGGCGACAAAGTTACGAAATCCGATCCAGCTGCGTAGGGACTCGGCGATGGCCGCTCCACGGATGCCTAGCATCCAGTCTCTCTCGACGATTCCTCGCTCGAAAAGAGGGCCGCTGAATAGAATGGCAGTGAGAAGAAAGCTCTTTAGGATCTCGAGGAAGCCAATGGGCCAGTAGCCAAGAAGCTTGAGGGCTTCAGGAAGCGATGCACTGGCCTTGAGGGTGATGATGGCTAACATGAAAAAGGTGCTTCCGATGCATGCCAGGGTCACGGCTCGCACCCTACTGCGAATCACTGATGGTGCATCTCGGCTGAGAGATGCGGACGGCCGCGTTTGTTTCGAGATATAGAACGGCACCACATATGCAAGAGTGACGAGAATCTTTTCCAGTCAGTAAAAATTAAATGAGAAAAGTAATCAGGTTGTAGACAGGAGATTTACTGACTGAGAGAAAGGCGGCAGTGCTGACTGATAGGACGGGTGGAAGGTCGCCTGCGTATGTGAGCATGAGCATCCCGTTGTCAACCATGCCAGTGCGAATAATTACCACTTTGCTTGGCATACAGCTTCCTGAGACGATCCACGAAGCCCACTGGAGCCATGCCGACGGTGATCGATGTTTAGTCCGTTCCACAAAATCGAGACAAAATCGAGAAAGTGCGATCGACGGTCGCTGCGATGAATATCCTGTGTTGAAGCCGGTGCAGGAGGAGCTGACGCCGACAGGTTCTCTAGTCTAGCACAATTGATTGATTCAGATTTATTCTTCGACCTCTAGGCTCGATGGCAACGCGTTGCTAGTTGACCAGTGATGGATGTAGAGATGTAGATGGAAATAGTTAGATAACAATCTGTACTCATTATTCTCATTATCATTATCGATGCTATTCTTGGGCCTGTCGGACAAAGAAAAATTTCCCGCCAAGCCTTGTTGGGTGATCATCCGTCTCGGACCTCAACAGGTGTCCAGACTCTGCGCTCTCAGAAACTGCTCCAGGTGTTGATAAAACTGTTCTTGTTTCATTGTGATGAGTGTATGCATGTATTTCTCTTGCCTGCATGGCTGCGAATACAAGCAACAGAGGATTCGACCAGGAACGAATTTTATGAAACACTGAACGATGATTGGCTACTCGGGCAGGAACGTACGATCAGACAGGCTTCTGATAGGCTGTAATAGAGTTACGCTTGTCCCGAAGTGGTTACATTTAATTTACTACAAATAAAACAGCCAATGGGAGAGCTGGGATTTGCCCTAAAGAGAAAATCCTAAAATGCGACCAAAAATTTAAAAAGAAAGACAAGACAGGATGAAACGCGCAATGACGCGGGTTTTAATTAGTTCTCGTCTATGAACGCACCTTGTACGAGAAGCGCTACGCTAGGATTGACGTGGCAGATTTTCTAATTAACATCACTGATTTGGCGCTCGCTCATTGGCGACGGCTGCTCCATGCGACGCGCCAATTTACGCAGGCGCCAACGGTTGGCCAACGTTGTCCGACAGACCAATAATCCCGAATAATAATTCAACTTATTAAGATTTCGACAGGAACTGTTCTCTCCACTACTACGGTAGTGCACAGAAGATGGATAAGTAAGATAACCACAGTAGACTAACCGACGAAGGGTGATTAGGCCAGGCAAGAATAGCCGCCCAGCTGAGCCAGAGGAAAGAGCAGGCTCAGCCGCCCAAAGGAGCAAAATGCAAACACGGCAGGCGCGACTTCTACTTTTGAATTAACTCCAAGTTTTCTCTGCTCTCCTGCTACTTCTATCTACAATCTCACACCCTCACCCTCACGCCGACAGAATAATTGCGATCAAGTCATCACAATTCTTATTATTACCCCCAGGCTAGAGTAAGCGGGGCCTGCAGTCTGCTGCAGCCAACACCCCCCCACAGCCAATTGTCAACGCAAACCCTGCAGTAGTCGCTCCGAGACGTGCAGGAACCTCCGTCGACTCGTCGCTGTACCTGGCGATCGCGCGCCCACACCGCCTCACACCCAAAGGATTCGAGGAATAATCCATCATTGTGCATTCCGCCCTCACCGCTGGCAACTCCATTCCGGAGCGAGGAGCCCGGCCCCTTGAGTCCGGGTCTCGAACGTGCAGTGCAGATTAAGTCCCGAGCGCTCATCCCATCCCACACCCCCTGCGCACTTTTGCCTCGTCTTCTTTCACTCAGTCTGTACTTGCTATTTTTGCCAGTCATTCTGGCCATTGTCGTTCTTTTTCTGACTGTCTTTGTCGCGCTCTTTACGCCCATTCTGTCGTTCCCTCCTATCTATATGTTAATGTAATATGTTTTCTACTCTTGTTTAACTATATAGTGTTGTCTGCTTTTGGAGTGCTTAACTTTTTGTTCGCCTCCCCACTCTCGTTATCACCACTGCTATCAATCGCTATCACTTACGCCCTCGCATTCCAGACACATTGAAGGCATTTACTGCGACTATCGTTTATTTATTGTTTGCCTAATCAATATTTTTCCATTGCAGCAAGATCATCGTGGAGTCCCCCGCTTTTCGTTACGATTTGTTTATGTCACGATCTAGACGCTTTCTATGTTGACGATATTTCAATATTTCAGCACATGATTTATTGAGCTACGACTCTGCTCTTTGAATTTTATTTTTGTTTTTTGTTTTGTCGCTTGGGGTGTCCGGGGTAATGAAATAATAAGCTTCAATTATGTCACCCCGGTCCTCGACAACTGCCTCTCCGAGACGGAGAGCACTGCATGAACGCACCTCATCTCACACAAATGAGGTATCACCGATCCGCTCGGTCAAGGAAACGGAGGACATAGACTTCTATTCGGCAACCCCATACCCAACCAAGCCAACCCAGGTTCTCTTACCGCGGCCCGGGATCGGCCAAAGCTATGGTATTCACGGCGCCTACGGTGTTTCAGATGTCTCATTAGCATCGGCTGAAACTGACCTCACAGCCACTGGTCCTGCGGACGAGAATAAAGACTTCGACACTAGTGTGAACAACCCTTACGAATTCTCTTCGTCTGTCGACCTTGGCCATTCATCCCAGGTCTGGGATCATGACCCCCAGTCCAGCCAGTCTTCGTTCCCGACCCCGCTGCTCCCTTCGGATGACAGTAATGACAGTGATTATGAGGCCACCTACGATAATAAAGCTACTTCTAATTTCCAACATCAAGATTCCAGCCCGCAACTAGAACAGCCTCACTACGAGAGGGAACTCCATGTCACAGATAGCGGAGAGGAAGAAGAGCCGGAAGACGACGACGACGTGATTACGCTCCCTCCGCCACCTAGGGCAACCGTCAAAGCTATCCCACCTGGGTACTCATCCCCAAGGACCGAGCCTCTTGGAGACCAGGCAGCTTCCGACAATTATGTGACCTATGATCACACCTCCAGTCCGAACGTGGTACCGATTGGCGCTCCTTCAAGCCCTAATTTTGTATCGCTTCAGAGCTCAAGCCCAAATTTGATTGCCTATGGAAGTTCGTCGCCTCAGATTATAGCAAATGACCGATCTGATTCGGACTCGTCATCTAACTCTATGGGAACGGTGATTCGTACATATAACGGCTCAACTGGCTGGCCGGGTCCCTCATTTGAAGGAAGCTCATCACAACCCGCCTCCTTTACTTCGAGCCCACCAGTGCAACTACTCCGAGAATACCAATCAGCTTCATCGTTGGCACTCTCAGCGGGCGAGACTCAGTTATCTCGATCTCGGACAATATCCACTGGGAGTGGTCCTTCCGAAGGCGATTCTCATTCACTGCCGGATAGTATATCTGCAATCCAGTATCCTCGGATACGTGCACCATCTTCCTCAGGTTCGTTTGCTGATGTCTCTGAGATAAGACGCCCAACGCGGACTGTGTCAGAGCGGTCGACCGGGCGTTGGAATCCGACCCTTTCCACTGTTCCTTCACGCGTGTCAGAAGATCAAGGGAAAACTGTTACACTTAGCAATATGATTGGTGGCACCGCTTCTGATGTCAAGCAGGGCCTGGGTCTAATGCCCACAAGAAGCAAGTCCAAGTCAACTATCTGGCCTATTGACCAAAATGATGAGCACCTGGATCGCGTGTCAAATCTTCCGCGATCAACTTTGCGACACATTCCATCCTCATTATTCAGCAGTACAGAATCTCGTCCAGGGTCCAGTTCTAGCAATAACATGATAATGAATGTGCTTCCAAACTGGGTCCGTCTGTACTACCGCGGCAATAATGGCCAGCTTGCTCAGCATCCCACGCTATCCATTCTTGAATCAAGTCGTCCGTCAACGGCGGCTTCTCGCCCAGCGTCTCCCATTAGATACGTCAGTCGGGCTCCGGCTTATCTTGCACGTCCACGAACGCGACCTCGGGAGGAGAAAGCGCATCCGACTCGCCTGCTGAGCGACCACCCGGCAGATCCTCGAAGTCATTGGAAGCAAGGGCAGCGTGAAGAGCATGATATAGCTGTTCCGCAGCCTGTTGCCAAAGCATGGTCACCGCATCTCCATCCCGACAAAGGCCAAACAAGTCCTCGACATACCTGGACTGCGCCATCGTTGGATTCGCGGGATGAGCCGGCTTTTGGGAGACGGAATGTGCAGATATACTCTTTCTGCCTAGGTTTTGTATTTCCTCTTGCTTGGGTTATTGCTGCATTTCTGCCTCTTCCGCAGCCGTTGGGTGATGAAGAAGATATGGTGGCAGGATCCGGCGCAAAGTATCGTATTCAGCAGCACGAGAAAAAAAGGATTCAGAGTGCACGATGGTGGAGAAATGTCAATCGAGTGATGATTCCCGTTGGCACCGCAATCATCGCGATAATTGTATGTCTTTCGTTCTTTAACCGAAGAGGTAATAATCATGTGCTGACTTTCCTAGGTTACTCTGGCTGTTGTTGGCACCACTGTGGGCTTCAGCTAAACACGTCCTGGATCTTCATCCTCATTCCTCTCATCAATTAGCGACATCGATATTACATTCATGCACAGCACCACATAGATTTATTTTCACCGACTATTGATTCGACATACGAACACGTTTACAAACGACTTTATTCTACGAAAAATATTTAGACCAGCGTCACCACATTCACTATCCGAGTATAATATTCCTTATCCGAGTATAACATTCCTTATCAGCAACATAACACTATGCTGTCTACCGATTTGTTTCCTTCTTGTATGATTACGACTTGAACAAATGACTTCATGTATATATGATCGACATGTCCGTCTATTTATGTTGATATTGCAAAACTGGACGCTTTTGAAGTTTGTTTCATTATTCAAAGTGTCAGTTGGAGTCTTTTTGCCCCTCATTTGATGTCTCAAATTTTATTACGATATTGGTTCTTTATATGTTTAATCGTATATATGTGTTATTTAGCCATTACCATAATTATCGACTATTTTTTATTTGCCTGAAATTGTTGGTTATAATTGTATTAATACATTGATACTCTGAAAACAGATTCTGAAAGAATTGAGGTCTTGAAGATTGCAAATATTATTGAAAAGTCTAAGTATTTGGAAAATTCGTGATTGTTCATTACCGAACAATGTAATAATAAAGTGCCATGACCAATGTGTAGACAGGCTAATAGCCAGATTCGACAACGTAATAGTAATAATCACAACCCATTAAACAACCCATCTCGCCAGTCTATCATTCAAAACAACAACAACCCACGGCTTCCGCAACAGCCTCCTACACACCCCTGATAACCTCATTTTCATCCCAACTTCTTTCCCGTATTCTGCTCAACCAACGCCCTCAACTCCTCCTTCGACGGAATCGTCACCGGCATGCCCTTCTTCCTCATATCCTCAATTTCCTCCGTAATCTCTTTGATCGCATCCTCAACCTCCTGGCCTGGATCGCTCGGGAGCCCGAGCATAGGCAGATGATCCGCGGTGATTGCGCGGGCGGCCAGTGGGGGGCGGTTGCGTTTCTTTAAGCGTGCGATTAGGTAGCCCTTTGCGGGACTCGCGAAGACCACCATGGAGCTCAAGACTGCGACGAAGCCGTAGAAGTATACCCGGCTCCAGACCTTGAGTGTGTCGTTGAAGGAGAGGATTATAAAGGGCGCGACGGTGAAGGACATTACAGATTGGGTGGCTAGCCAGGACGCGATGTCGTAGTATGGCTTTGCGCTGGTGGGCTTGCTGCCGTCCGGGGTGAGGAAGAAGGGGCGGACATAGCGGCGGAAGTCTATTGAGGTGTTAGTGAGAAGAGAGGGAAGAGGGAGAGGGAGAGGGAGGGCGAAGTACTCTTTGCAACTGTCTGGACGAGAGATGCCAGGACAAACGTGAGGTAGTACCCCGGATAAAAGCCATGCCAGAACGCACTAGTGCCAAAAGTCGCCAAGCTAGCACGGAATCCTGGTTTTTTGCCTTTCGGCGTCACTCGTAGATAGATGTAGTTTCGGAGCCAGTGGTTAGTGTTCTTGTTCCAGTTATCGATGTAGCCGCGTGTGTTCTGCGCTGTTTCGAGACCCCATGGGTTCACGTTTTCCAGCCGATCCCAATATACCTTGCCAGTCTTCGGGTCGAACCCGTTGTATCCGAGGCCGGAGAGGATACAGGCACCTTCGGTCAGAGCCCATGCGCCGTAGTATTTTAAGCGAGTTCCCAGGCCCATCAAATACAGTTGCCAGATACGCCGGGGTAGGGAGTATGTTAGATACTCATCGCTGAGAACCGTTTCCGAGGTGTACAAGGAGCCGAGTTTCAGAAAAGCGACAATCCATAACAGGCCCAGGACGAGCTTTTTGATGGCTGGACGCCCGCTGCGTGGGATTCTGCGCTTTTTCCTCGTCGGGGGAACTTTTGACGGGTCGGTGCCAGGCGGGACGTCGAAAAGCGTGGTGTCGATCCATCTCCGATAGTCGACGTAGTCAAAGGCCGGGCCGGCGAATAACGAGGGAAAGAAAAGAACGTAGCCGGCATAGTCGAGGACGCTTGGGAATTCCCTAATTGCAGCATACTTTTGTGCGTCCGACAGTTGGTCTTGGGGCTGACGGCCATCGTAAATGTTCCAGCAAAATGCCGACAGCTTCATGACCAGTACCATCTGCGGCCCGGTGATATCGACGACGGTCACATCGTCGGCAATTTGTCGGTAGATATGGCTGACGGACATGTGGCCCATCAGGAAAAAGAATCCAATCCATGGCATTAACGATCCATCGATGTAGTACGCAATCAGGTAGGTGGCCACCGAGCTGTAGAGAATTGTGCGTAACCCGTCCCAGAGCTCGTATAGCCCGATTATGTAGAATAGTGAGACGGCGATAATGAACACATTCTTCTTCCACGGCTGCGAGTCGGGGAGTCTCTTGAGAATAGCGGCTAGCGGGTAGGAGAGGAGGAAGGACCCAATGAGTTTCACTAGAGATAATTAACGGAAAATATCGTCTTTTTAAGATGGATACTGACAGTCATCAGTGCTAGCGCCTGTTTGCTTTGCGGCGAATTCGAAAGCTGTGGTGGGTATCAGCCATAGTCCGAGAATATGCAAGTATCGGTTACTGACGAGCGTCAATGTAGAAGCGCAGTGCAGCAGCCATAGCTACTGTTGGATCAAGCGTGTCGCTGGACTACCAACAACACGAGCTGCGGCGTAAAGGCATACAGGAGGCGATTGGAGGTGCGGTAGAACAGCGCAGGAAGAGTGTTGGGAGTTGTATTTGGGGGAAAAAATAAATAGTCGGCGCGGGACCACAGAGAAGGAGCTATGCCGTCATGTGCGCTGGTGGAGCGAAGGCTGCATTTTGTTGAGCGGCCAGTGACCTCCACGCCTGACCGGATCGGCGTTCAACATTTCGCCACGACAATCGTTAAACTAGCTTGCTAGCTGCCTGATCATGTAGTTGATAGATGTCTCCCACGAGAACGTAAAGTGTCGCTGTCCATAATGAGTGAGAATCATCAACAGTGCTGAGAGACCCACTGCGCCATGTGTGATTGGCGGAAATAGAGGTGCTTTGTTTTCTCCATATTTACTGGCACGGATGGCGATAATTATAAATACGTATAATTAATTACATGATGTATATAGTTGATATTTGTAGGGCACATATAGGCTTAGGCCATGTCTCCCAGATACCAACAGATTGTGTACAGGGTTGTTTACAGGATAAGTCTTGCCGGGCTACTCATATGACAAAAGTTGATTATCTCAGCAGTTCACAGCTTTTTGCAGTATTTGATGATCTGATTAGACCTGATATATCCGAGGTTTTCATTGTCACAGGTGGATTTGATAATTTTTACATATTCAAAACTGCAGCATGTGCAAATAAGTGATGGCACTTACAACACTACTTGAAAGACATAATTACGAACCGGAAATTAAAGAAGAATAATTATCATCATATTCTCAGACTATTCCAATGGTAGTACATGTGTGACACTGCGGAATGCACGTGCATTTTTATGCATGTGAATGCTCTCAAATCAGATGTATATGGGAGATCAAAAAGGAAGAAGAAGAAGAAGAAGAAGAAGAAGAAGAAGAAAGGAAGAAAGTTGAATAAATACATACAGTAAGAATAACAGTCAACTCAATCTATCATCGAAATCTAGTTTTGCCCCGCAAGAGCCAACAGCAACCCCAAAGCCTCGTGTGATCCGGGAGAAACACTGTCGGTATTGCTGCTGCTATCGGTACTACCAGCCTCATTATTGGTCTGACTGCCGAGACTACCGGTATCAGAATTAATGCCACCGACACAAGTGCCAGAACCCCAGGTGGCGTTGGCAGCCAGGGACCATGTCACGGAAGGGTCGTCGATGGTTTGCGCCGTGTAGAACAAGTGGCAGCTGGCAGGCTCGTAGATGAATTGGGTTGGGATATCTGTGTCATTCTTTGTGTATGTGTTGCGGTAGTTAAGGCCGCCAGTGCTCAAAGGCAGAGGAAAGTTCTTGAGAGGAATAGGCATGACTTCTTGGAAACGAGCCTGGCTTACGTTGCTGAGGATTGGCGCTCCGGCAGCAATGGACTGATTCAAGGCCGACCTGGCGAGTTGGGCAGCTTTATCGATATCACTAAGTTCCAGGGCCTGAGATCCCTTGACGCCACCAACAGCCTGCATGGCACCGGGATGTGGACGGCCGCCCATGGCAACCGTTCGCACCCCCTTGGAGATCATACGGTCCGTGAATAAGGAGCAGGTGGATGTGCAACGGCCGTCGGTCAAGATAACGATGTTTTCCGGCGCAAAGGGCGGTGTCTTGAAGTCTAGCTCACCTCCCAATCCGTCGGTATTGATCGGGTCCGTGGCTGGGTTGGCCTCATCGGCGAATTTGCTCTCGGCGGCGATTGCAGTGGATGGAATGCCTCCTCGAAGGTAAGGGCCGTAAAAACCGGACCAGCTGTTGTACGTGGACTCTTGGTCAGGCATGACAATGCTGTCAATCAGCAAGCCGCTAGTATCCATGACAGGATTTCTGGTCCCATTGGCATTGCCGGCGATAGCATTAAAAATGGTGCCAATGAAATCGAGTGCGTCGTGGGATCGCATACGCGTGGCTGAGTAGAGCGTCTCGTTGGGGAAAAAGACACTGTATAGGGCCATGCCCGAGTTCACCAGACCGCCGCCGTTGCTCTGCAAATCAACAATAATCTTGGTCTTTCCGTCCTTGGTGGCGTTTCCAACAAAGTACTGGGCCAACACGGCAAAGTTATATATTTCGGCCTCAGTAGTAGGCTGAAATGTGGGCACGCCGAGGACGGCGACGTCTTCGAGACCATGCTCGGTCGGATAGTAGCCCACTATGAGGTTGTGGTCTTCTCGCATGATCGGGGATGGGTAGCTAGATGGTGCTGGAGTGGTTGATGCAGCGCTCCTGCGCACGGCGGCCGCGGATTGCGAGGGGGAAGGTGTGGTCGATGGTGCTGGTGATGCTGGTGCTGTCTGGCCACATACAGCATTGTAGAGATCTTTGCCAGAGGTGTAGTTGAAGTTAAATTTGGTGCTCATAGCAGCCACGACCTTGTAATCCTTCGATGTCTGGTTGGCAAACTGAAATTTGTAGCTGTCGACTCCACGCCAGGCAGAGTCCAGTGCAAAAGCGTTCGAACCGACTTCGCCCTGTCCATTAATGTTGAGGTTGCTGACCGCCATGTTATACTGTGCATCTGGATCCTGCAACCACTGGCGGCGTGCTTGGGATTCCAACACCGAGGCTGCCCCGAAGCCGTTGATAAACGCTATCGGTGAGATGTTGGTTGCACCACTAGCATACGACCGAGCGTCCTCTATGAGTAATTCGGTTAGACATCCCACTGAGATGCCAGCACGCCAATAGTGACAAGGAAAGCAGGGGGCAAGCAAGAAAAGACTTACCTATAGTATATAGCTGCGGAGTAGCTACTCCGTCAGGGGAAATGGACACAACTAACAAATCATGCGCTGCAAACTGGAATATCGACATCGAACACAATTGAAAGTTCAGATGGCCATCGTTGGCTGAGTTGATCAAGTCTGAGATATCCGAGTCAAACTGAAACTGATTGGAATAGTCACCTCTAGCAGCTGCGGTCCGGATGGCTTGCAAGCCGCTGCGAAGGTCAACGGCGTTGGATAGGTATCCTGGAGGCGGTTTGGCGAGAATCTCGAGATCAGACTGGAATTCGAGATATTTCGAATACTCATCAATGAAAGCGACAGCCTTGTCGGTCTCGAAAGGCATCGTGGCCAAACACTCGGCAGCAAGTATGCCCGGCACTGTCACTTTTTCGGCTCCGCTCTTCACAGACTTTGTGTAGAGTCCACGGATCTCATCACAAGAGGCATCGTAGCTTGTGCCAGGGCTGGCAGTGCTGGTGCTTGCAGCCAGAGCGGTCACGAGCACATTGGCTGCCTTGTTAAAACTCGAACGCATTATGATGTATGATATGTTGATGTGTCGTTGAGTTGATCTTGGAAGAAGCTGTCAACTAACAACAACAGAGACGGATATCTGACTTCTTCCAAGAGGACGGCCAGTGCCTTTCTTAATTATTGCCGCGTTAATTCTATATAAATACTACACTAATAAGATTGCTCCATAGCGAATTACCTACAAGATCCTACGCAAGGAATACATGGTTACCGACGACATAATAATAGAAAGAAGTGGACTGAAGCCAAAAAGCAACACTAAGACCTGCCATAGCCTCATGTACCTGAACGAGCTGGTATCAACGCTAACCAGTAACTTGATTTAAATGACTGCTGTAGGTAAGCCATTCGTGGAAACGCGCTAGTGTAGAAAAATTTCCGATCCATCAGGGTGTCTAACCACGACGGAAGCCCTAAAACCTGCTTGAGATCGGCAAGCGGAGAGCGTAAGACGGGGAGCACAAGACGAAGTGCACACACCAACTCTTCCTTTTCATTTAAATTGCGCCTTGCCGTCTTCATTTCGAGGCACGTTCCACAAATACGCGCGGACTTAAGGACTATTTTCCTTTCCTGTGAAAGTGGTCAGGCACTAGCGGATATTAAGCTTCAAGTTCTTAAATAACTTTGGGGCTAAACTATATATAAGAGGTCTAACCTTGTTAAGGTAACCATTCATCAAATAAGCCAATCATGCTGCCAGGTATTTTACATGTCTAGCGTAGTATGCTACCGATGGGTTACCCAAATAGAAACACTACATACCAACCTATCAAACATGGCTACCGGGGATAATTATAGCAACCACGTACTAATTAGAATATACTAGAATAGAGCCGGGACAACGTATCGAATGTTGTCATTGTTACTTCCTAATCAGGCATAAACTGAGTTGTTGTTGTGATCTACTGTCTCAGAGTATATCCTATTAGCAAGGATATACGTAGTCAGGAACTCAAAATATCCTTGATCCCGCTCTCACTTGGTCTCTACGCCGTCGGCTTATTGAAACCCTGCATGCGCTTCGATGGCAAGTATCTGTGATTCGTATGTAGTAGCATCCGTATTGCCTCCACTTTGTGCAGTGTACCCGCTCTTGCATGCACTTTGTATGGATATGCTCGTGTCAGACATGAATGTGATTTGGAATTGCTGGAAGGTTCATGTCTGCAGAAGGAAAGATGATATTGGGTCAGCCCCACATTCAGCTCGTTTCAGCCATTGCACAATACCAAGATACAAGCGTATACATCACTTCTTTACATAGTGCATTCAACATAACAAGCATCCTAGCCGTGTTTCCCGGCCGCATTGCTCAGCCACAAAGCTTCGCTAGGGGAGCAGTACTATTCTTTTGGAAATTTATGTATATATGGTGGTACTAACGCACTACTAAAGTAGGTGTGGGGGGGTATCGAAGTTGGCGCTACGAAGGGGGAAACAAGTATAAATGTCTGGAGTCCACCGTATAGGATAGTACTAAAATCTTATATCAAAATAAATTTCCTTTGACTATAACGCTGTGGTGACTCAACAATTCATTCATTAGACGACTATCAACCTTCAGGCCAAAAAATCAAAAACATCTCTGGTCGTCTTCATAACAAAATGAGGTCTTTCACAAGCAACTTGGCCGTAGCCTTATTGATCGTTGGGTCTTTGGCTGCTGGTCTTGATGTAAGCTCAGTTTAATTCAGACTTTTCTCATCACTGCTAATAATTGGACGGTTTAGAGACGGCAAGATGCGAGTTCTACGGATCCCGACGCTGGAATCACCATCACAGGCAATAACCAAGGTAACTCGGGCAGTGCTACGGTAGTTATAGCGAATAGCATTGGGAACGGTGTAGGTGATACTACCATATCTGTATCGAATGGTGTCACACAAACTGCTTCCGCCGCTGGAACAACTATCACAGGCGATAACCAAGGCAACTCAGGGAGTGCTACGGTGGCTGTATCGAATGGCAGCAGTGCCACACAATCTGCTTCAGCACAAGCTACTTCAACAAGCCATGGAGCAGCCATGGGTATGGGGCTAGAGCCAACTACCCTGCCATTGTTAGCTGGCGGTGTTCTAGCAGCGGCTGCTAATGCAGTTTTCCTTCTATAAGGAATAAGGAAGTGATGGAGAGTAATGGGTATTTCTTTTGGTGTATTGAAAACTTCTGCAGCCTGTGTCTGTCAGGTGCAAGGTAATAGGTTGTACATTAGCTTAGGTAATCTTATGTTGCAAATATCGGTCAGGGGAAAGAATAGCAGGTATATCAATTGCATGGTCTTGTCTATCTACCTTGTCCTCCTACGGAATGTCTACCTTATAATATAGCTTCTTAATAGAGAGGAAACGTAGGCAGCAATATAGTCATCACTGTAAAGGTCACTTCTTCACATCCACCATCACCGGCCGCACGACACCCGATCCAGAGACGCCAAAGCTTGATTTATTAAGCGAGGATGGCGTTATATCAGACGGGGACTGGGCCAATGGCGACGGCTCCCTCGACAAAGTGGAGGAGACCCTTTTTGGTTCTACCACTGAGAGAATTGGAGAGCCGAACGATTCTGTGATGCGTGCTCCAGACACGAGATTTATTACGCAACCACAGTTCATTCATGACATTTATTATCTCATTGAGAAGATGAATCTCAAATGGTGTGGGTCGCGAGGTTATGCTGTATCAGTCCGTAGACGGTTTTCTTCAACGGTGTGATTGTCCATCCAGTAGCTAATTTCGTCGCTTCTCGAAAACACCGCTCAGTTGGATCTCATCGTTACTAACAACAGTCATAATCATGAGCCCGTTCTAGACCCCAGAGCCCTTCCAATCTTATGAAGGGTATATCGAAGCCATGGAATAAAACAGATTGTAGAGGAGAAGACCTTAGAAGGCCTGCCTTTGACTACACAGCCCTGCCCGGACCGTGTTACAGCTTCTCAACACAGCCAGTGACAACTATAGTGGATCTAGGTCCATGACAAGTGCGATGTTAACTAACAATGGTGGCTGGTAAGTCCTAGAGATGATCATATGATTATAAAACGGTAAAAGAAATGGGCATGGTGAGAAGGGACAGAAGTGTGGTAGAAAGAGAAGAACACATGATGATAGTCTTGGCGGTTAGCAAGACATCAAAAACGGCGTCAAGTGTAGCCATTTTTACGGCCTCGCTAACCGCATCAATGTATAATGGAGGAATAATTACTATATGATCATATAGATGTTATATTTTACATTGAATTTAATTGTTATAAATGACTATGTTATCCCCATCTAAGCCATCTTAGCCTTCGAGCTATAACAGGTACGTTCTAACTGGGCGTTGAGGGATAATAGAAATATTTGAGGTCTTATAAGCTGCAATAACTAGTATTACGTGATTATCTAAGAACAATAATTTTATTTTCAATATACCAGTATACAGTTGTCGAGAGTGTTTTACGCTTTCCCCATTTTCGGACTAGCGCCTCTCCGCTTTATAACTTCCGCTCCTCAGCTTGCTTTTAGTACGGGTTAATATTGCTACATCGCTGTGCTTGCCACATCAACAGACGCACCACCTCCAAATCACCATGGATGTCGTCGCAGCCGTGTCCGGGTACCTATCCCGGATGGTGACTGTCGGCGACTCATCCACAGCCGGCTCAGCGTCGGCCAAAATGAAGATCCTCCTTGTTGATAGTGAGACAGTGGGCATTCCTGTCTGTCCCGCCGCGGATCATGTACTGACTGCCCCATGCAGGTTTCCGTCGTTTCCACTGCCATCACCCAGTCTGCCCTGCTCAATCACGAAGTCTACCTTGTCGACCGATTAGATAACCCGTCGCGTGAGAAAATGCGACACCTGCGCTGTCTCTGTTTCCTGCGCCCCTCCCCAGAATCCATCCAACTGCTCATCGATGAACTCAGAGAGCCAAAGTACGGCGAATACCACCTCTTTTTCAGTAATATTATTCGCAAATCGTCCCTGGAAAGACTGGCCGAGGCGGATGACCACGAAGTCGTTCGCGTAGTCCAGGAACAGTTCGCCGACTTTATCGTGATCAACCCTGATTTATGCTCGCTCAATCTGGGGTTCCCATTGCATCGGATATGGAGTAATAGTCCGGATGCGTGGAATGCCGACGCATTGCGACGATCGACAGAGGGTGTGATTGCCATGCTTCTTGCGTTAAAGAAGAACCCATTAATCAGATACGAAAAGAACAGTTTGATGGCCAAGAAGCTAGCCACCGAAGTCCGATACCAGCTTACCCAAGAGGAACAATTATTTAACTTTCAAAAAAGCGACACCCCGCCAATTCTCCTAATTCTCGATCGCCGCGATGATCCTATCACGCCACTTTTAACACAATGGACTTATCAAGCTATGGTACATGAATTCATTGGCATTCAAAATGGACGTGTCAACTTACGCGATTTGCCTGATGTTCGGCCTGAGCTGCAAGAAATAGTACTTTCCCAAGATCAAGACCCTTTCTTCAAAAAGAATATGTACCAAAACTTTGGGGACTTGGGTGGGAATATCAAGGAGTACGTTGAGCAGTATCAGGTTAAAACGCAGAGCAACACGAGCATCGAATCCATCGCCGATATGAAACGCTTTGTGGAGGACTATCCTGAGTTCCGCAAGCTTTCAGGAAATGTCAGTAAGCATGTGGCGCTTGTGAGTGAGCTCAGTCGCCGGGTTGGAGAGGACAACTTGTTGGATGTGAGCGAATTAGAGCAAAGTCTAGCATGTAATGAAAACCATGCCAGCGACCTACGTGTAAGATCCTTCCCTCACTTTTCAAATTACATACTGACAGTCACTAGTCGTTACAAAGGATCATTCAACTACCTTCTGTCCCCCCCGAGAATAAAATTCGCTTGGTGGCACTATATGCTATCCGCTATGAGAAGCAACCAAATAACGCGTTTCCGGTTTTACTCGAATTACTCACTGCGGCTGGCAATGTTCCAGCTCATCAAGTCAGTATAATCTCGAAGCTTCTAACATATTACCATTCCCTCCAAGCTCCTCCAGTTGCCGGGGGCTTCTCAGACATTTTTGAATCCGCTTCATTCTTTTCTGGCGCTCGTGATCGATTTAAAGGGCTCAAGGGTGTAGAGAATGTCTACACACAACATTCACCCCGATTAGAGGCGACATTGCAAAATCTTATCAAAGGTAGACTGAAAGAGTTGCAATATCCCTTTTTAGAGGGTGGTGGACACACAAGGGACAAACCTCAGGATATCATTGTGTTCATGGTGGGCGGCGCGACGTATGAGGAAGCAAAAACAATAGCGCAAGTCAACGCCAGCTCTCTGGGAATTCGAGTGGTCCTTGGGGCCACCACTATTCATAACAGCACCACCTTTTTGGAAGAGGTTGACGATGCCGTCAGCAACTGGCCCGAGCCTGCGGCTGGCTCTGCCGCCGGACGATTAAGAAGGGAGCTTGGACGATAATGAATTAGGGTTATTTTCTTAATGATCAATCAGGCGTTGGGTGTGAATGTGCTGTGTGATGTTTTAGGGTAATTTAAATGCCCGTGTATATTCATCTTGCAGATTTAGACAATATTTCAATGCAGTTCTGTACGATTATTCCGGAATGGCTTAGCGTAGCTGCCCCAGGTTCATTGTCCCCACTTGTGCGGAGTAACTCTCCGACCTCTCCATTCTTTCTCTCGGAGCTTTTTCGTACGACTCGGAACAAAGCATTGGCATTGTTGCCATGGATATTTTCAGAAGCCCTCCAGCTCTGGCAAATGCGCTGTCTCCGTCATCTTCGTCCCGCGACTCTCGAGTCCAGCTTCCTTCGACGACCGACCCTCCTGGTCCGCAGAATCCACCCAGACAGCTGGTATGGCTGGTGAGTAGCCCCCCTTCCCACCCAATTTGCGTCGCTAATGATTAATGCTCGTAGATATTCGGCGCAACCGGGCATATGGGCCTCTCCCTCGCGAAAGCCGCTCTTCTTCACAACGATCTGGTGGTCGCCGTCGGCCGCACATTCGAAAACAGCTACGAATCGATGCAAAAAATGCAGGCCGAAAATGCGAACTGTTTGGGCTTACTCTGCGATGTCCGAGCAAGGGAGACAGTACGTGATGTTGTCAGGAAATCCATCTCCCATTTTGGCCGTATCGATATTGTCGCAAACTGTTCGGGATACGGTGTTATTGGCGCGTGTGAGGACCAGGACGATTACGATATTCGCAATCAATTCGAGACTAATTTCATGGGGACTCTTAATATCATTCAATGGACCTTACCGCACTTTCGCGAGCGAAGCTCGGGGAGATATGTGATTTTTAGCTCGACCTCGGGTACGTTGGGGGTTCCTGGTTTGGGACCCTATTGTGCTTCCAAGTATGCAGTGGAAGGGCTGATGGAAAGCATGTTATACGAGGTTGACAGCTTCAATATTAAGGGGACATTGATTGAGCCAGGCCATATCCGGCGAGACGATATTGTGAATCCCTTGACACCTCGTAGTCCGGAAAGCATGCCGGCGGCTAATCCATTGCCGGCTTATGGGCACTTCTCGATCAAACCAACGAGCGAGACATATCGAACGGGTACATCACCAGCCGCACATGCCAGACGCATGTTGCTCTGGCTTGGCGACAAGCAACCTGTCAGCGCAGTGAAAGCCGCAGAATTAGTATGGCAGCTTGGTCATTGCTCGTTTCCACCTTTGCGACTGATTCTTGGATCGTATGCAGTCGATACAATCCGTGATAGATTGAGATGCATTACTGAGGAAATTGAAGATTGGAAGCATCTAAGTTTTCCGCTTTCTGACCAGCCACCTGCCAACGAATATACAGCGGACAAGAGATCTGCGACGGAAAGAAGTGACGAAGAAGAAGAACACTATGCGGAATAATCTACAATCCATGGTTGTGGTTAGAAGAGACGTCACCGACGTTTTTAGGTTGCCTAAATCACTAATATACAGACTATGTCAGTGTTCATTGCGATTTCCGCTTGCATCTACCACTGTGGGCAAGTAGTAGATACTTGGAGAAGACGTCTTCTGCAAACTCGGCAAATGCATCGAAATCGTAAGTTGCGCTCAAACGATATGCAACGGTAATACCAGAAGCGCACGCAACTTCGTGCATGTTCTGAGCAACATTAGCTTGTGAAGAGTGGTACACAGGTTACGCAGGTTACTTACTACCACCGTCCAGCTTCCGCCAAAAACGGGTGGTTTTTGTCTTCAATGAACATTAACAAGGGGACTACATGGAGGTAGTGTTGCCATCGATGACCCCACTGGTGCCCCCATTTCCCACCAATTACTTTGTCTTCCTCGATTTGATCGATCGTCCACAGGCGCTTCTGTTGATCATTCAAAGAAATCGTCTGAAACACATGATGATCATGCCCCGCAAGTGACCTCTCTTCACCCACATATTCTCTGAATTGGTGTTGGTAATTGCTGCGGTCGAACCTCATTTCAATTTTGTCTGAATCTGATGGAAAAGAATGGATGAAATACATGGGTTGAAACCCAACTCAACCATCTTTCCGACATTGCAGCTCACTCGTCGCGAACGACATCTAATCCTTTCTTGTTTCTGTTGTCGCTTCCGCGCACAGGCCTCTTTTGAATATTTTTTCAAAGATGCTTTGGAAATATTCCGAGTCCGAATCGGTGACTGTGATGTCGTTGAAAATTTTCACTCCACCCAGGATAAACCGTTTTTCCAGGTGGCATGTTTGCCAGGAAGATTCTTTGCGTCGTCCGCTTGAGCATATAGCACCAGCTCGTCGAATGCTCTATTTCATCATGTAATTTAGACGCTAAGTTAGGTACATTGGATTTGTCTTGGGAAAGTTGGTCTTTGCTTTTGTTCGGATGGTGACCCCCTTCTTTCCTCTTAACTATTTCAGCATCACATGAAACTCTGAACTCGACCCCTTTGGACTGCAAATTTGCAGTCCAATCCCGGTAGAAATTACCCAGATTAAGTGTACATGGAGGGCAAATTTGGGAGAAGAGCGTCTGAAAGCGCATATTCTGGTCATCGAACAAGCGCTCAAGCAATGCGCTGGGGACATTCGGTGTCTGGTTTCCTGTTCCCAAAAACTGGGCCAATGGAGACAACACCATTTTGGTCTTGAAATCACTGCTGAAGCAGAACAAACTAAGTACTACTTTCACTGCCATGATCCCCGAGATTGGCAGGGCATATTTGATCCATTTCAAAACTGTCCCCAGTTTCTTAATCTCCTCTAGGTCTCCTTAATAGGAATTATATTCAGAGACTTAAAAGTACAAACACAAAATACCAGACCAACCCCTTATACACTTGTAATTATCCTTTGCATGACGTCGGCTACATTGCTCGCGGCCGCGCTTATCAGGCCCCGCCTGTCGATCGGTGCCTAACTCTAATACGAGCTAGCGCAACTCGATAGAGGCGGCTGATCTTCTGCATGGAGTGTTAAACATATCTTCATCAGTCGAGGCATGTTTGCTGCATGTTACCTTTTGAGTCTTGTGCAGCTGTACTAATGAGATAATTACTTGTGCTGCTCTCGCTGGAGATGAGCATGTGATCTTCCTTCTAATTTTCCTGAAGTAGGAGGATATCAACGGGCCAGTACGTCAAACGGCTGCTAGAGTAAACAATACCTTCGTTCGTCAAATTCTAACCCAAAATCTCCTGAAAGACTCAACTCATTTTATTTGGTCTGTTAATGAGTGTACTGTGTTTTGTCCGCTACTCTCTCACGGCCTCATCTATCACTCGTTTCCCAGTCAGAACTTTACATTCACTTGTTTCACGATACCACCACATACAACCCTTCAAAGAATATAGAACACCTCGCAAGATGGAGTATGATGAAAATGACGATCCGGAACTCGCAGCAGCCATCCGAGAGTCGATGAAATATCAACCAGGTGGACACCCGTTTGTCGATCATAGAAACCCATTGAATGATGTCGTCGACCTTACTGGTGATTCAGACGACGGGAACAACAGTGCTCATCAAAATGATCTAATTAACCTCGAGGAAGAATCTGACGACGAGGATCTCAAACGAGCTATCGCGTTATCAATGCAGCAGACGGGGATGTCCGAAGAGCCAGAAGAAATACCCGAATCGGTAGACGAAGTTGAGATTATTAATAACCCTATTCCCAAGAAGCCCATATCAGAGGAAAAGACGACAGCTACTCAGAACTCAAGTGCATTTGGACTTCTAGGACTCGATCGCAAAATACTTGAGGAAGAGCGTCTTGCCCGCGTTGCGAAGCGAAAGGCAGACCAGAGCATCTCTCCGCCGCCTTTGAGTCGGGAGCGGAAAGTTGCAAGGAAGACTGTCTCTCCCTCTCCGAGTGGTGCGCTTCAAACTGTACTACAGGCGTCGGACTCCAAAGCAGCCAGCAGAGAGGGCAATGGAGTAAATGCTGCACCATCCTCCCGTCCATCCATTCAATTCCCCAAAGGAGCGGTGAAAAAGACATGGGTATTTGGTTGTCCACGAAGTAGTGACGACATCAAGATCGAAGAGGTCTTACAATCCTCTGACCTTGAGTTGGCTATTCTCAGTGCATTTCAGTTTGATATGGAATGGCTTTTTACAAAATTTCGCACAAATACGACTAGGTTCTTGTTTATGATGCAGGCCAAGGATGAGGTCACTGTGAGTTTGAAATTCTTTTTACAAAGTATTAATGTTGACGCTCCTAGAAACAACAATATGAAAATGACATAGTCGGCAAACCCAGTATACGCTTATGCTTTCCTCCAATGGACGGACAAGTCAACTGTATGCATTCAAAGCTTATGTTATTATACCACCCTAACTACCTGAGAATTGTGGTTCCAAGTGCCAACTTGACTAATTATGACTGGGGAGAAATGGGCGGTATTATGGAAAATGTAAGAGTGCTAGATATAATTTATGTACTAAACTTCAGTCCTCACTAACCAAATTATACAGACTGTCTTCCTCATCGACTTGCCCAAAATATCAGGAACTAATAATGAGGCACCGAAGACGGCTTTCTATGAAGACCTCACTTATTTCCTGGAAGCTAGTACATTGCATCCAAGTCTGATTGAGAAAATATCTACATACGACTTTACAGAAACCGCGCGCTATGCGTTTGTCCATACTATGTGAGATGAACTCGTTCTTTGATTTGAAATATACTAACAATACACAGTGGGGGCTCCCATACTGGCGAAACTTGGAAGCGTACAGGGCATTGTGGTCTAGGCAGAGCTGTGGACGCTCTTGGTCTGAGAACACAATCGCCAATTAATATTGATTTTGTGGTATGCAGCCAACAACCATGTGCTCATATCCTAAGACTAATGAACAAAGACCTCCTCTGTTGGCTCACTGACCGCCGAATTTTTGCGATCGATATACCTCTCAGCTCAAGGTAAAGAACTTACTTATCTAAAAATAAGGACATTCAGCACTAACACTCACCTAGGAGACGATGGCTCAATTGAATACACCCTCCGAACATCAAAAACCTTCCCATCCAAAAGCATCGGCAACCCCACAAGAACAATCCAAAAGACGACAGGCTCAGATTGGAAAGACCATTTCCGTGTCTACTACCCATCTCAAGAGACAGTCCAGAACTCCAAAGGCGGTCCCGGGTGCGCAGGCACAATTTGTTTCCAGGAGAAATGGTACAATGGGCCTAAATTCCCGCAACATGTTTTGCACGACTGTATTAGTCGGAGGGAAAAACTCCTGATGCATAATAAAGTAATACCTTTTTTTTTTTTTCCTTTAGAGATACGACTGCTGATCTTGTACCGGGTTAGATGCTTCTTGCCCGTCCTGAAACACCAATTAATCTCCCTGATGGATCAACATGCGTCGCATGGGCGTATGTTGGCAGCGCAAACCTGTCCGAAAGCGCATGGTAAGGTCATCATTTTTTTTTGTGTGTGTGTAATTATATTTTAACAGTAAAAAATAGGGGAAGACTAGTCCAGGACCGCGCGACCAAAGAACCAAAACTGAACTGCCGAAACTGGGAATGCGGCGTTTTAGTCCCTATCACGAAGGTGTCGGAGTCAGCCGTCAATGACAAACAGGGGAAGAAAGAGAAAGAAGAGGAGAATGGTGATATTGAACAGATATTCAATCCTATCCCTGTGCCGATGCGTGTCCCAGCACCGTCGTTTTCAGCGAATCCTAATTTGAAACCATGGTACGGTGGGTGGTAGATATGATTCTAGGAAATCTATGTATTAAAACATGTCGGAGAATGAATCTCAAAGTAATATTGACTATTTATGATTAATATTTAGTATGTAGGTACCTTTCTAATTCCAAAATCTTATCCAAACCAATCCAATTTGGATGAAATCAAGGCCAAACAAAAAAACAAAACAAAACAAAAACGCTGTTCTAGATGCAAGCACGTAGATGTGCAAATCTCACTTTTAAAGAGTGACAGACAAGCTTAAGCTTTCGATTGTTTCCTCGAAAACGGCGCCATCACAGCCTGCTTCACACCTCCAATGACCATGCCAAACACACCAAAAACAAACCCCATGCCAAACGACCAGCCGCGAACACGCACGGTATAAATGAAGAAATACACCAGCGCCCAATTGATAATGACAAAGGCAAGGAAAATGCCAAAGCACTTCCACTTATCGTCATCCTGCACATTCAGCGTGTGCATGTACTCGCGCCCATCCTTGTACGGGCAGTAACTGCAGTCGGAGGTTGCGTCTGGGTTGGTCACGTAGCCCTGTATGGCGGTTGTGAAGTTTGCGTACGAGCCGCAGGTTTGGCCTGGTGGGGCGCTGAAATAGGTCGCTTCTTCGGGTTGGCATTTGATGGGCACCGAGGGCAGGATGGCTGAGAAGACGCCCCGTAGGAACCATGTTACCGGGTTCACGTAGTACATCCAGTATTTCCAGAATACAGGGAATGAAGCGTAGGGTCGGACGACACCGTTGAATAGATTACACATGACGAAGAAGAAGGGGAGGACCTAGAGATGAGTTGTTAGAGGGATTAATGTTTGGGGGAGGGGGTGGGGGGGTGGGATCTTACGTTGGAAATGACCGTGAATGATGGTGCAAAGGCACAGATCCATTGTCCCCAGCTAGCCTGGAAGAAGAAGAAAAGCAGGCTCATCAAGAATGTGTAACCGGCAGTGCTGGAGTCAGTGGGAAGACCGGCGGGGAAGTACCAGAGAACGAAGTATATGACAGCGGTTACGATGGCGATGGGGATTTCGCACACCACGCTGGCAGTGCTGAATGCCACCCAGCCGTAGATTCGACTAGGGTATTCACGTGCTTCCCATAGTGCTCGGTTCATGTAGAACTTTGGCAGGATGCTGTTCATGACAATGGGGGGGATCAGGATGATCAGGAAGGTTGAGAACATGCGGTCTTGCATGCTGGAAACGCTATTACCGAGCTTCCAGAAGGTGAAACCGTTGAAGATACCGATGATAACGCTGACAAAGATCTTGGAGTAGTAGTACGCCGGGTCTCGCCAATACTGCAGGAATAACCGTTTGGTAAGCATGTAAATCTGCAGCGTGACTGGGGCTGCGTATTCGGTCTGTTCACCAGATTCGACGAGAGCCGGGAGTTTGCTTCGTTCTTCCGAGATGCGTTGGATTTCCTGTTTCAGTTTCTCGTTCTCGGCGGACTGGCGCCATTCATCGTTCCAATCTATCCTCCGCCCGTTTCTGACAACTGGTTTTGCGGCTGTTTCTAAGATGAATTCGGCGACATTCTTGTGCTCGGGAGGAACAACGCCACGTTTGGAGAAGTAGTCAACCACGGAGTCAGGAGGTGCGAAGAAGAACGTGTTGCCGCCAGGGTTGAGGGCGAGGATCAGATCGAATTGTTGGATGAGCATGGACGAAGGCTGGTGGATTGTGCACACAATAGCACCCCCAGCGTCGCAGATTCTGCGCAAGAATCGAACAATCGAGTATGCTGCCTGGCTGTCGAGACCACTGGTAGGCTCGTCAAGGAAGAGCAGTAGGTTAGGCCTGGCCGCTAATTCAACGCCAATCGTGACACGCTTCCTCTGTTCCACGCCGAGAGAGTTGATAATTGCATCCTGGATTTCCTCCAATTCGAGCAAATTGATAATACGATTGACGTAGTCGATCTTTTCCTGGCGAGGGATATTGCGGTCTTGTCTGAGGATAGCAGAAAACTCCAAAGCCTCACGAATTGTGGACGTCCCATCATGCACGTCCATTTGCTCACAGAAACCTGTTTCGCGTTGGAATTCAGGGCCGAGCGTCTTTCCATCAACGAGCATATCTCCGCTAACCTGGCCAACTTTTTGTCGCTGCGCCAATGTGTTTAGCAATGTTGTCTTTCCTGCTCCAGACGCACCCATCAATGCAATCATTACGCCCGGTTTCGCATACCCAGTGACTCCATTAAGCAGTTTTCGCTGACCGCTGCCGTAGGGAACTGTATACTCGACATTTGACCAAGTGAAGATTCGGTCGCTGGTTGACAAGGCCCCAATGTCTCCATTCTCCTTCTCAGACTGTCCAGATCCATTGACAGGCGACTCGTTCCCAATAACCTTTGCACCCTCTTCGTCAGAAGTCTTCGTCTCGGCTTGGGCTAGTTGTTTACTGCGCTTCGACCTTTTAAAGACTAAAGCACCGCCACCTCCCTGTCCAAAGCCTAGCGTTTCGTTTGCAATCACCGTGATCAAAATGTAGAGCACGGTGAAGGCAATCAGAACACCAAAATTGCGCCAAAGGTGGTGTCGTGTAAACCCAAAAGAGGTTCCGAGATATGCCGCGCCTGTTACACTCTTCTCGTTCAGTGAGGAACCTGGCAGAGAGCAACTCTGGTAATTCGGGTCGACATCAGGCCCTTGTGGGACGAGCATGGAGGGGGCACATTCCATCACACGGTTGGAGAACTCATTGGTCAGGACCGCTTCGTAAGCATACGCGATCGGGTTAATGTAAAATAGCCAGCCGAACCAGATCGAGGAGTTGATCAATGTAGGTTTGGGAATAACGTAACCAACGAAAATAACCAGCAAGTTCAGCCCGATTCCGCTGAAACGTACTGCATCGTCAATCGTCGGAGATAGAGATGCGAACATCCGGTACATCGAGGTGATGCAAATAGTGGTGGTGTACACAAAGAGCAAAAAGATGAAAAATTTGGAAACATCAACATCTAAGCCCGACAAAAAATATGTGACCACGCCGAAGACCACTACCATGGCAAAAATGAATGGAAAGTCGACGACAACTCGAGCTATGGATACTGCAGACGGTCGGTAAAAGGCATAGTCTTTGTGGCGCTGGATCATCGTGCGTCCTGAAACAGCTGGCATCAATTCGGTTAATTGGAGCCAGCCAAGAAAAAGCACCGAGAAGAACAGAGTTGATCCTCTAGAAAATGCGCCACTGGTATCAAGGGATTGGCCGTAGAACAAAGAATTAACAATCAAGGCATTCGCAATAATGATGAAGAATTTGGTGTACAATGACGTCTTGTCTCCCCATAGCAGCCAAACCTCGCGTCTAACACAGGCTGCGACTTGCTTGGGAAATGACACCGTGTATGGGGATTTTTTAGAAACAGTTTTACTTTTGGACTGACCAACCGTGTGTTGGAAGCGCTTGGTGTCTGCTCGTTCGGTTGCATGCAATTGCTGTTCGTAATCGGCAACATCTTCGAGAATGCGTTTGTAAGAATTGCTTTTTCGGAAGACGGCTTCTAGCTCTTCGGCGGTCTTTGGTGTAGAAGCTTCCTTGCCTTCTTGGAATTCACGCGCATTGGGGTCACAAAGCGAGGTGAGGAAATCGGCAGTTGTAGACTGAGTTGGGCAGTAGAATCCAAGGTCAACGAAATACTGCTTGGCTTCACGAGCAGGACCCTGGTAAAGCATCCTTCCTTGGTCGATAACAAGAACCTTATCCATCAGCTCGAAAATTCCTTCACTAGCTTGATAGAGGGTGACAAAGGTAGTCCGTCTGCTGATATCGGTCATAATGCGCAGCGATTTCGCATAGTCCAACGCAGTGCTCGCATCCAAACCTCTGGTCGAGTTATCCCAGCAGACCACCGTCGATTTAGTTGCCAGAGTCTCCGCGATACTAACACGTTTGCGTTCACCTCCAGATACACCTCGAACATACTCGTTTCCAACCAGCGTGTTTCTGGTATGTGTAATGCCGAACATTTTCAGCAAAGAGTCAACAATAATCGGCACAGTCGAACGGTCCCGTTTCTTCGTCTTATTCATAAGTGAGAACTTCAGAGTCTGCTCGACAGTCAGTGTCGCAAAATGCTGGTCGTCCTCGGGGTTATAGATAGCTTCGCCGCGGAAATGCTTCGCCTGCTCTTCAGCAGAAATACCTCCGTAGCTGACTTCTCCTGATACGCCGGCGAAACTTGCACGATAGTTGGCCACTGCCTTGAGGAAAGTCGAGCATCCAGCTCCAGGTCGGCCCAGAACCATCATCATCTCTCCATCCCGAACAACACCAGTAAAGTCATTAATGAGATTCCTAGTCGGTGGGGCTCTACCAAATCGCAGACTTGGGATAAATCGCTGGACGAGGTGGTATAAATCGGGTCCAAAGGTGCCGATCACTGCATCAGGGAGTGTTTTGACAAACGAAGCCGAAGCCTGCACACCCTTGACCGTTAAACCCTTAAAAACAACTCCCACCTTCTTAGTCGGCTCTCCAGAGGTAGTCCTTCGCTCAAGCGTTCCACCCATCAGGAACTCTCCTAGATCGAATTCATTGTGGGCCGTGACATCTGAATCCGACAAAGATCCCTCTACGTCTCGCTCCCCGGGCCGGCTTCTCTGCGACACGGCAGAGATCAATCGACTGAGGGGACGGGTACGAGATCTGCGAGAGGCCTGTGAACGTGGCCTATCCAAACTGAGGCGAGTCAACTCCCTGCGCATCTCTTCGTAGTCCTCCATTGCGTTGTGGCGGGAGACGGGCTCTCCTTCCGTCTGTTCGCCCCATCTTCCCTCGAGGCTCAGCTGCGACGGACTGGCGATGGTTGTTCCTGGCGATTCTGGGCCGGTGATGGGCTCATGGCGGGTCTCGATCACGTCCTCTCCATGACCGACCGGTTGCTCTTTTGCGTCCTCGCTGTAAGATGCCATTTTGCTTTTACTTTTGTTGTGGTAGTTAAAAAAATTTCAAATAGAATATTAGATTTGAAGCCCCTCAATTTGTAAGCTTTGTGGTAGAAACCTTATACATGTAGAACAAAGGAAAGCACTGTGAAGGGTCAGCGAGAGATGAGATTTGACGACACTCGTGTAGCAGCCCCAAGATAGGGCTGGCGAGCGAGGATCAACGAGGGAAGTACAGAGGACAGAGAAAGGAAGAAAAGGTAAACAGCAAAGGCACCATAATTAAAGAAACCCAATCTCGGTCGGAGGATATAAGCCGGGCTATTGCCGTATGAATAATCATGATACACTATGACCACGATCCACAGTTACGAGTGGGAACGGTGGGAACCAAAGCATTCGGATTTGTCAGGCGGGGGAACTAATACATCAACACCCAACAGATAATCAGATAATAGCGTCAGATACGTCGGAAAGAAAATGAGGATGAAGCTAAGTAGTCGAGACTAACCAAATGTCGCATTTGATACGTCTTAGATTCGTCTTGATGTCAAGGCTAGTCTTGACCGCGTGGGATCAGCATCGAAGGCGCATCATTGGGCGTCATGATGCTGCATGCGGCTTGCCGAGCCCGACCCAAACTCAAAGCCAGTGATAATCCATAGCACAATTCAGTAGTTGTTTGGCTGGCCAGCGGAGTTTACGTGAAACCGTAAAAGGCAAAAAAGCGAGGGAAAAAAAGGCGGACTTAAGAGCGCCGATCCGGGCGCGACTGTCCTATCATGGCGCGGAGAGAGAGCATGGCACGGACAAAGAGCATGGCGTCCTCGAGACCAATTTTTTCCATTATTAATCCGACTGTTGACTCGGCTAGCCGAGATTTTGCTCTTTGCCTTATTCGTGCGAGCTCGACCGCCAGGCGCATTGGTATTTACAGGTGCAGCCACAAAGGCTCGAGCCATTTGGTGCTAACCTATCGCCTCGCTTAAAAGTAAATACCGTGAGCTCTGCATGACATTTCCTTGGCTACTGTTCTGCTTTGTTGTATTGCTCCTACTGCACTATCTACCTTGCCTACTCTGTACTCGAGGCTGGAATTGCAATTACCCGGCGTTAAGATTACTAATGCCGTATTTTCACATGGAAGAATGCAATCAATAATATCGCTCACTGCCTTGGCATACGCTCTTGTTATCTTGTATCTTATAAATCCCGGTGACATTGCAATAATGCGCGTTGTCTAGCTGCCAATCAGAAGCCAACAATGGAGGAAGGTTGGGCCGCGCAGGTCTGGAAAGTTTCCGATAAATCAGCTCCTTCATCCTAACAGGCAGTGTCAGCAATTTGCAGATTGTGGATACCATCCTGACTCAGAAGGGACCCGAAAAAAGAAATTTTTATGTCAACAGCAATTAATTCTATTGATAGGATTGGCTTCCCACTGTTTCGTTTCAATAATAATGTGGTGGAAAAAAAAACATGCCAAATTTCGGCTTCTCCCGAGACCGAAAAGGGGCAACATTCAATGTTGATCGGGCCTGTGCTTTGTATTTATATATGCCCATATTGCGACGCTTCGGCTTTAGGAATGTCAATGTTTTCGGGAACGTTGATCCCGCCCCAACCTTTTTCATACATCAATTGATATAGGATTACTTGGTACTTGCACCTAATTTTGATGGTTGCAAGAGTCAAACTCTCTTTATGGAAATTTAACCAGACTCAACTACTTTAATGGAGCATTCTAAAGACTAACCCTAAACCCTAGTTCATGATCTTCAAAGCTAATCCTTAGGACCCAAGTGACTAGTTGAGGTGAGGTTTAAGATTACAATTCAAGCCCAGTTAGCGATCAATTGATATAATGATCAATACTAATACTAAATACCAAGCAATCAATAGCATACTACATCAATTGGAGATATAATGCATACCCCAACACATCATCCCCAGATTCCCGAAAGCAATCGCCGTAGCTGGTAACATTAATTCGCATTCTATTCCAAATCAGTAGTTATGCGATAAGGCGCCAGTTTTCAGCATCGATTTCCGAACGAATCCGAACAGCGCACGCACCCGGACCCCATGTTTAGTGAAACCTGGAGGTCGTGGGTCATGCATGAACGATTCAGATTCTTCGTGGTGAAGAATGTTCCATGCATGAATCCTCGGTCAGCATGCACCATAATGGTAAGGAGGTTAGTAGTAGATCAGTGGGTTCGAGAGGTATTATTGCTGCTATCATTATCTGCTTGAATAATTGGTTAACTCGTATACGTATTGGGTATGTTAAGAAACGCATGGGTGCACAGATGGAGTAGTAGGATAAGTTCTTGACCATGTATCTACCTGCTTGTACCCAACATGTGAACAGAAGATCATCATTCTGTATTATTTCTTGACTAATCAAGTAATATGGTACAGGAGCTTTTCTAAACAAATGATACAGGAAAAAAAGAAATCCGCTTATATCCACCAAAGGCAAGGCTATGCTCGACTGTTATGAATTTAATTAAACATTTATCAATTGATATACATCAATTGACGTTTGTATCAAGGCTGACGAGGCTGCCGTGTCTTCAGCTTCTCTAGATCCGCTTTCGTGAGCACTTTGACTCCATGACCCATCATGTAGCTGATACTCGACGCGATGGTGGTGAAAGCGACCAGATATCTAGTTTGTTAGTTTGCAACTGAAAAATGGTAACAAAAATATCAAAAAAAAAAAAAAAAAAAAAAAACATACAACAGCTGGGATTCGCTGGTGGTCACCCACCCAACTACTAACCAGCCGGCGTGTGGCTTAAGTACGGCTGAGCGGACGGGAAGCCCTGTTTTCCACACCCTATGGTCGTATGTGGTAGACATACTCCATAACTTGGTTGAAATACCGGGCTTCCCCACGTACAATCCACAACTAAAACAAAACACAATGGAAGATGGGAAAGAAAAGGCAGCTTACTGCAATCCGACCATCCCATCATGCAACCCCCAAGTCCCAGCCAACCACGCCGGAACTACTGGCAGCGCCATCGAGGTCCCGACAAGCAGTAACTGCAGGGCTGTGTTGAGTTTTGAAATCCCCGTCGGCCTGACCTCGGCGGATGGCAGCGAGAAATCCCAGTACCGAGCCATAGTCTTTGGTGGCGGAAGCGAAACCCAACGGTAGTAAATCGCCGACAGACTGAGACCGACATCACGGCCAAGAATCAATGCGGCGAGCCACACTGGAGATGTAAGTGAGCATTCCACGTTGTGGTAGAGAAGGGGGCTTACTTGGCATTGATCCGTTCAATGCGAGACAGACCACGCTGATTGTCATCAAGAGCTTGTCAGCAGCCGGGTCGATGATCGTTCCGACTACTGTCTGCAGGTTGTATCGACGGGCGATGTACCCATCGATCAGATCGGTGATGCCAGCATATGCGAATAGAGATAATGCTGCGGCATGGTGGTTGTGAACAAGTAGATATCCGACAACCGGTGCTGCGATTAGTCGCGAGAATGTTAATAGGTTTGGAACGGTATAGATGTTCTCATGGACGCCCACTGGAAGCTTGGGTAGTAGTCGAGGTTTTGCTTTGGATTCGAGTTCCGTCCTAAATAAGTCAGTTCGAATTTCTAAGATATTCTAAGATGAATTTGTAGAACAGACCTTTCAGATGACTTCTCCTTTTCTGGCGAATTATTCGTTCCGCTCCATCGCTTCTGACCAAAAATCACAGTCTTCAATTGCAACGTGTTACTTTTTAGATTATTATTGATATCACACCTAGTGTCCAGTTAATCAATAAATTCAGTAAATGATGTAAGAATATAGACATACTTGTGAACCAACCTCCATGTGTTATGTGCATTGGAAATAAATCGACTCGAGTCAACTGGATAAATAGACTTGGACCCGAACGAGACAGTACCCGGACTAGACCTCGTGAGGAATCGCTGCTGCTTACACAGTAACGATGATACTCCACGGGACGATACATGGGACAGAGGACGAGAAAGTCTCGCGAGGGGTGTCATTGGAAATGTCTCTGCCTTCAGCAGTTTGCTGATGTCCCCAAAAATGACCTGAGTGAAATCGCCCGATGTAGCGAAGGCGGTCTGAAACGAGAAAAACAGGTAATAATAAAGATAATGCTTAAGCCATGAAAAATCTCGCTCTGGGAAGGTGGTTGCTAGCAAGAAACTTAGTGTGGATGTATATTTGATATCCACTGGTTATTCCTGCAGATGTTCGTGGAAGAGCAACAAAGCTGGCTCAGATGTTGACCGATTTCAACACCAACGCCGCCAGTCTCACCGTAATTAAAATATACATACAGTTTTCTCTCACTCAATGATACGACTTTTCCTGAGAGGGCGCCCTCTTTGACAGGAAAAGATAATTATCGACTCTGTCACGTTTCCCGTCTGATTGATATGGATTGCCAAGAATTGGTGTTCGGAGAAAATTAGCCGGGCCGGGGAGGCACGTGACCAGTTTTCAACAGGAATCAGAGATGCTGTGAACTTGGAGCTCATAGTAAAATGAAATTCTAGTAGAAATTCTGTATAGTTCTGGGCATCTAATGTTGATTCGTAATAAAGTAGACGTTTGCATTGTTGTGGACACATGTATCACATATACACAAGTGACGTCGCTGGATCGAGGTAGACTCATATACAAATGTAATAATTTAACAGACTTATTCATATCCATATTTATTTCATGGCTAACAATGAAATATCCACCCTATTCCAATAGTTACACCTGGGTAATACAACCCCGCACATGGTATGCGGCTGAACCAACCTTGCAATTCCTCCCCAAATAAAGATATCATACCGAGTTGCGCCAGTCTTCATAACATGCACGAAAAGTACCGCTCAGTAATCGTAGTGACAAGAATTAGGATATGGAAACAAATGTAAATCAGACAGCCACCCAACACAGACAAGCCTGACCAAGTCGCAGGTTCATAAACATATAATCTGACCGACGAATCGAAAAGCATAATAAAATAACACCAAGCCGAAACCAGAGTAACCACCCTCGAAAACACCTGAAAACCCTTGAAACCATTTCAATCATAACGGATTTCAACTGCCTCCCGATGCGTTTTATAAGCTCCCAGAGAGAAAAGAGAAAAAATACCACCGCAAAGCCAAAAGAAAAAAAGAAAAAAAAAAATAAGGCCGCGAAAAGAGTATAAAAGTGCATTCCAGCTCGATAATAAATTCATTTTAGGCCACCATTTCGTAAAAAGCCTTCCACTTCCATTAATTTTACCGTAAAGAGAGTCTCACATCTGGGGCTGCGCCGGTGCAGTCGTAGTCCAGGCAGACATCGGCTGAGCAGTTGGATAATTAGAATGAGCGACTCCAGGATAGTAGCTCTGCCGGTCAGTGCCGCCGGTATAGTATGAAGGAATTGTTGATGTATCCCGACGAGGGATTGTTGGGTCAAATGATGCGGAAACAAGGCTTCGTTGTTCGAGAGATTGTGACGAGGCGCCATCCAAATGTCCAGGTAAGGCAAAGCTACCACGGGAATACGAGTTAGCAGATGGGGGTGGGTCGCCTGGAGATGTAATATCCGTTGCTAGACTGCGAGACGAAATAGAGGAGTTTCTGTAGATGCTTGGGCTGCTGGTATGCTGGGATCGGTTTCGATCCAACGCATTCGGCAGACCCGCCGTGTTCAACGCAGGAGGTAAAGTATTATGCAGGTGATTCTGGCTCATAGAATCGAAAGATGTACCATAAGCATTGGTGCGGAATGAGGAGTGGTCTGTTTCCGACTTGAGTCCTAAATGTGAAGATGCAGGAGACGGTAAATAGGGATTTGAGGCTGATTGAGGAGGTAGAGGTCCGCTGGGATATGTTGAAATCGAGGCGGATTGAGTTGGATGCGACCCATACGCAGAACCATGCATGTAATAATCAGAGTGGGCATTGGGCATCCCATAGCCTGGCGGTGCGACGAGAGTTGGGCGATAGCCATAAATTGTTTGTGTAGGGTCATTAGGGTTCTCGAGTCCCGTGTCGACATCGTCAATAGGAGCCCGGAAGCTTTGTTTGGAAACCAGCTCGCCGCGGGGCCGAATGAAACGCAGCTCTTCATGCATGGTGGGCGGGCTCAAGATTCCTTTCAAAACATCCTCGACGCTATAGTAGGACACAAGATGATGTGTGATGCCGGATACAGTGACGCTCATCGTCTTCTTCACTAGCCCTGAATCTTTGAAGCCATAGGAATCGACGAGTGATCCCACCAATGCGCGTTCGACGTCCGATTGTTGTGGACGGTCGCCATACGTCGAGGACGGGGTGGTAGGGGAGTAGGATTGGCCATTGCTCTCTGGGCGAGCGTAGGGCTCCCCTGGACGGGTTGACTGACCAGGTCGCCGGGTACCTTTCTTCATTGCCCGTTTCTTCTCACCTGGTGGGAAAGGCTTGTCTAGCTCTCGGTAGACGAGGAAGTTCCCGAGAATGCGACTTGGACTCCAGGTCACCCCATCTGTCCATCGCTTGATTCCGGACGAATTCTCCTCGTAGATGAACACACTGCCGCTGCGTACCAGATGGCTACGCTCTCGATCATGAGGCCGTCGCGGAACATGATGCAAAACACCGGTGAGACAGGCCTCGAACAGAATCAAAGCGTCTTGTGTGGTCGCAACATAGCCATGATACGTCGGCTCCAGCACCGCAGCAGTCCCGTTGACCATTATCGACACTTACCCGAGGGTACGATGGGTACGCGCGACAGAGAAAGGAGAGAAAGGGATCACCCAAGGATTGTCAACACAAATAAAGCGTTGGTAGACTAACTATAATCCGAGCATAGATAGCAATAGAGAAGAGATATTGTTTTCCAAGCCTGCGAGCCGCTTGCGCTTGTTTGAGGATGTGCAAAACAAGATTGCGGGAGGATTGAAAATGCTGATCGACTTATATATCGGGGCGTAAGGTGAGGTGAGCTGTTCTTCGTAGAAAAGCTTATTTTTCGGCGTCGACGCGGGTTGGTAGAGCGTCGGTCCTTCCCTGTTTGGAAACGAGCAGACGCGGGTGGAGGAGTCGCAGGCTGCGCAATCACTAGGCGACAGTAGTAGTAACAGTAGCCTCGTTGCTGCAGCGGGGGAGATTGCAGGCAGGGGCAGTTCTGGTGTCGTGATACAAGATGAAGCCTTGCGCGGGCAGAGAGACAGAGAGAGGGAGAAAGAAGGGCTGGCCAACAGCGGTAACCAGTGCGTATAGCAAGCAACGACGAGCGGTCGCCTTAGGTCGGGTCGAGAGATGAAGGAAATGAGAGTCCTCCAGGCAGGGCCGGTGAAAGGTCGGGCCCCATGGATGATGGGCGCTGGTAAAGAGAGGGTGGAGGGGGAGATAGATCGATAGATCGATCGAGGCAGGAGGGGAGCAGGAATGATAAAGAATTAAGTAGTAAGCAGGAGCGCCGTGGCCAGAGCAAGCTACGACGACCTAATTAGCAGAGCCATGGCCGTGGGCCCATCGCTCTTGCCTGCTCGCTCTTGCACGGTGCACCTTCCTGCTTCCTGCTCCTGCCCTGCGCGCGCCCACAGCAACTGGCAACTGCACCGTCCGGATCGACAAGGCAAGCACGGGCCGTCTCAGGCTAGGCTAGACTAATTACATACTAACTTGCTCTGCCTCTCCCTCTCGCTCTCTCGCTTCTGGTTAGAGCTGACTGACTGGCTTCATTTTACTCTGGCCTAGCCTGACCAGATTCACCCCAAGCACCGAGCCACTAGTGCTGCTAGTCGCTGCCCACGACAAGACCTTGTCTGGCTTGAGCCTTGTCACTCCACTTGCTGCGCGATCTGGATCTGGCTCTGGAGAAGCCAACCAGCGTCGCCGCTGCCGAGGAACTCCAGTCTACTTCACGCCAGTCCCATGGATGTCTTGACGATAGCGCCGCTGGCCGCTTCAAAACCTCATTGTGGGAACCTGGGCGGCCCCTTCTGTGGCCGCAGCCAAGGATTGGTCGCTGTCTACCTGTGCCCGTGGGACATCATCGTGGCATCGCCAGTCTATCTCTGCTGCTCCTGTCTGACTCTGCCCCGTCAATACTCCGGTGTCGTCTGCTGCGATTTCCAATAGCTCTGCTCCTGTGCTAGGTGAGCAACTTCTATCGAGTGCTGATTGATCCGCTGCGCTGGGGGCGGCCGCCGCCTGCCAATCGCAAGGTTTTACTGTCTGCTATTTTTGCCACAGGCGATCAAATGGACTGATGTGCTGCTCATCGTCAGTATTGTTATGCGTATTATTATTGTTTTGATTACTACGTCTTACTAGCGACGATGCGTATCCGTACTAACAGTGGCTAACCGACTAATCCTCGTGTCACAGATCCTGTCTGGTTCCGGCACTGGAGGCAGCTGGGCCGACGGTCTCCCCTCTGCGACCCGCCGCAGACGCAAGACCGGCCCGACCACTAGAATGGCTTGATCGAACAACATCAGATATTCTCGATGAGTGATGCTGAGCATGGTGGAGATGAGGATAATGGAACAAGATAAAACACAGCGTAATACTGATCCAATCAGAGTCCTGGATAAGACCTCCTCTCGCCGCCAACAGCAACTCGCAGATATGTACCCAATTCCCCATAGTGACACACAGACAACATGACATGACAGATACATGGCTGAGCGGTCAGTCGCCGCGCTCCTTCACGAAAACGGCTCTCATCTGGCCATCTACGAGTCAACCACCGCCCACCGCAGGAGGGGTGTGCACTGTGCTGAGTGGCAGAGGCAGCCGACCCATCCCTAGCAGCCTATCACAATTTGCTGCCCGGCGCACCAGCGGCAATTTCTCATAGGACAGTCACGGCACCCTCATCCACCCGGCTCCCATCCATCCATTAACCATTCGCAGCTCCCTTAGACTGTTAGGCCCTGTGAGAACGAGCCCAGCAGCACGATAGTAGTGTTCTTAGTACGCAGCCAGGAATAGTGAGTGGAGAGTGCGGCCAGCCCTTCTTAGGCGCGAGTGGTCCCAAGGTCCCGGTGAAAAGGCCCCCGGGAAACTGGCGTGGTGGAGCCTTTTTAGCGCTTTCAACAGCCTGGTCTAGTCTCGTCGCGCGTCGCATGCGTCACCCGGCTTGAGTAGGCAGCCCCGGTCTCGCCGCTCAACGAACATTAGAGGAGTGATCAATCCTAGGCGGTATGGCATGGCGGAAATTCTCGTGTGGTCCAACGGGCCCATCTTCTTACATGGCTGATCCCTGAGGAGACGTCCGCGAGAGCGGGGGTGGAGGAGGAGAAGAGAAAACGACATCACCAACGTACTACACCGCGAGGTATGTGCTCATTAGTTCTACGAAATCGAAAGATGGTGTCTGTAATTTAATCGACATTCCGGATGTGCAGATCGACATCTCATGTAATACGAAAGAACGTCCATGGTGCATGGCACAACGTGCCCGCCACGGGACCAGCTGCAGCTGGTACTGTTTCGAACGAAACCATCGGTTTTGCATGCCAAGGACAATGGTTCTGTTGGGTAGAGACCTACATCATTCTGCATCACCCTACGACTACGTAGCACTCGACTCATTGCCGCGGAATAATAACAATTATGATGTCGCAAAATCTTAGAACTACAGCTGGTCGATAAGATACGAATCATTATTCTTGTTGTTATTCGAGCAGAAGCTAAACAAGGGACAGACGTTGTACATGCTTCAAAGTTACAGGCTAGCACAGGGGATGGCTAACTTAGATGTAGCAGTGAAAGTGTAATGGGAATAGGGAAGGGAGATCACGCTGCCCACCCCCGCTACCATGGCTATCAGAAGAGCCATGTGGAGTGACGAACACCACTTAGACTCCGTACTGCGTGCTACTCCATCCATACTATAACCATGTCCTACTAACGAACGGCATAACAGATAATGATACTGCTAGTATTTCAGTCTGAAGTCTTGAGACGACGCGCTGACATCCGACGCTCTGGGGCAAAACATGGATAGTTAAACTACTGGCGCTTGAAAACATCACGCCTGACAAGAAGCTTGAGCCAGCGATGCATCTCATCTCACGTCCAGTGGTCGGAGTGGGCCGCCTCAGGTGAGCACTGAACAGCCAGCATCACGCGCTAGTTCTCGTCCAGCCCCTTGCTACAGATGAGAAATGCGAGGGGAAAGAGAATATGCAGTTACTTGCTAGAATTCTTTTTCATGTTCCTACTCATATTCGTCTTTGCGTCTTTGATTTCTTGCTCCTTGATAGTTAACCATTCCACTTAACAGTGAAGCAAGAAGCAAGCTTCAATCCGCAGTGCAACGCGACTAAGCCGACTCCGGCTGCAGGCAAGACGGACCACGCTAGAGAAAGACGCGGGCTCCTTCGATCTTCGTGGCGCTGGTTGGGCAATCAACAAGACATCACAAGGGGGAACGGCTGAATACGGGCGTATCACAGAATGAATTGGTGGAGTGCCCCACGTCCACGCCCGACACGGAGGGTATTTACACAATGTACTAGCTACCAGACTAGGGATTTGACAGGAATCAACCAACCAAGTAATTTACACACGGACGAACAATCCAAATTACAGAGTGCGAATAAGGAATTTAGAAGCCTGAACGAAATACGAGAGACATGCAGGCACGGACCAGGCCGGATACAAGCACCGGGTCGCAACCCCTTTGCCCGTGGGCAGAGCTGAAGTCGCTATCCGACTTGGCCAGAATCAGACCTGATGGACCAAGGATGCAACGACGAGGAAGTCTCGAATTTCATCAGAATAATAACTACGTCCTCCGCCGGCCTGTTCCGTGAGAGTGCGTCAAGTATGACGACAGTCTGCTCATCGCTCTTCCGATGCAGCCGTCTGCTTATATTCTGCTTCCTCCTCCTTCTCCTCCTCCTCCTCCTCCTCTTCTTCTTTTCAAACAAAAACGAGCGATACACATGTCGCTGGTTCGTGACTATTATTATTGAGCATATTGTATAAGCAGAGCCCTGACTACTCAGATAGCGTAAACTTAGCTTGAGCTTCCGAACAGAGTTTTCGGCTAATGCTCCAGCAGGCCTCCACGGGACCGGCAACTATTTCCCTACTAAAATACCCTGAGTTTACTTGACAGGGCAGACAGCGAGGAGCAAGGTTTTGACGGGAGATCCTCCAGACCCTGAAACATTATCAAAATTCACACGGAGTATACTCAACCGGTTTGACGTGGCCCCAGACTCTCAAACTGCAGAGCCAAGGCTTCAGCACAAACGATGGCATCACTGGTTTACTGCCCAAGCAGACTCCGGGCTATCAGCAGAGATGAGATTTCAAATTACGGCTTGTCATCAGGCCGGCTCGACGAAACTCAGCTCGCGGCAGAGTGTGGGGCTACGGCTAATGGTGAAGAATTGCAGATGCGAAGAGCAGAAGAGGCTAACCGCATACGGACAACTAGTCGTAGTTTACGAGAGGGACCATCACTTTAGTGACCTACTGCGTTAGTTTCGAGTCGCTGACTGACTAGTGCGACGACTCGGACGCGACTAAGAAGACTACTGAGGACAAGTCGCTAGTGCATCCTGGCTAAAATAGTGAAAACAGGCGCAGCACATGGGATGGATCATGGCAGTCGGACGATCGTACCGAGCGTCCAAGACGCCAATCGCAGCGCGGCTGGCAGGGTTGGACAGTCCCGACGCTTTGGGTGGGAATCAGCGACGTTTTTGGTGAAACTCAATTCGCTTGTCTGCACCCAATCAGAGCGGTCTTTATGTTGTGCACTCCAATGCCTAGGAGTCTGCGCCGGGCTTGAGAGACGCCTCTCGCTGGTGCTATGTCAGATGACGGAGGGCAGGTGGCTGGCCAGGCGGTTTCTGGTTTCCGAAATGGAGCAGCAAAGCAAGAAAGACAGGATTCGTTCACTGACTGCTGACTAGTTCGTTATAAAGCGGGCTTCAAGGCTATCGCTGGCAAAGAAAGGAGGGGGTGGGGTTAGCCTGCGACTAGTTCGCTTCTTGTGCGCTGTGACTGGCCGGCCGTCTGGCCATCGTCGCAGGCCCGAGAGTCAGAGCCTTTGCTCTTCTCCGCCATGATCGAGATCCATCTCGCCAATGACCATTCGACGTGTTTTCGTGCTGAATGCGGAAAGATGGCGGGACTCCGAGAGAGCTACCAGGCATGACGAATCGACTCTCGCAGCTAAGATAATGACCCGGCGGCTGTTTGCTTGGCAAATCAAACACCGGAATGGGCTGATATGGCAATTAATTGCTGGGGTTTTAATCGCGGAGTCCTGACACTGACGTCTTCCGCTGCGATGATTTTGATTGATCAACCGTGGCCCACAAGAGAGACAAAGGGCTGCGTTTCGTCGTGCTGTCGTGCGAGCGCCGAGATCTGATCCCGCCGTTTTGAAATTTTCTTTGGGGGCCGGTTACACATTATTACCATCAATACTATTACAATATTATATCACATTGTCTTATTGTTATGGTGACGATGACTCTTAACCCTGTACGAAGCATAAATCTTTGATCCAACAGACATTTGTGCCGATCAACAGCAACCCCAGGATCATTCTCGTGATCTCTGATGGGACCCACGCAAATCATTTAACATGGAGTCATGGACGAAGGCTGAAGCAGGCCGATCGAATCCATATACCCCACTTGCGGATTTCTACTCGCCTGGTTATCGCCTCTAGCATTGTACGTATTGCTAGTGTTCATTCTTAACGTCTCGACTCCTGCAAGGGCGCAACTATGAGATATACACTGGTGCCTCACCAGCCAATTACAGCGCCCCTAACTTCCTCTTATTATTACCAGGCCCCGCAGTGCGCTTGGGCTTCATGTCTGTCCTCCGTAGTCTCGACTCGAAGAGAAGAGTGGGCTTGGACACCAACATGTATGGACGGATGACCTATTTCAGAGAAAGTCAGTGTCAAGTGATTCCTTTGGTCGTTGAAACGACGATCCAGCGCTGGCACAACATCTCGTCGCTGGTACGGGGTGCAGGACCAGCCCCATCACCCAATGATTCACAATCCAGTAAATAATGCTTCTAGTCGCCGACTCAACGGATGGGCCGCCGACTAGTAAGGATCCGGACGGAGAACATTTCCATCATTGTTTAGCTGCTGAGTCACAGTCCAAGCCGCGAGGCCGAGACGCTTGCTTACGTTGTACGAAGCTTGGTGCTTTGCGCCACGACCATGGTGTCGGTACTCTGATGATGCGATGCGATGCATGTCAACGGTCAATAAGTTAATAACTTTGATTGTCGGACAGTATCGATATCAATAAAACTAATAATGCCAGCGAATTCGAGCATAAGGTGACTAGCAGTCTTTGTTTGCGAGTGGAACTACCACCGCACGCTATTCTCTCTACGTGTGCCAAGTAATGCACTCCCTTCCTTAGCCAGTAAACTGTCTTTCCTGAAATGGAACGATTCGGACGCACTCTACCCCATACTTCGTAAGCTAATTAAACTACGCAGCTGTTGGTTACATACTTGCGTTTTACTATTTGCTTTTTGCTTCACTGCGCACGTACTAACTATTATCTGCGAATGCCCAGTGCTGAACAGTTCACCCTATTTCAGCTGGTTGGTCTATCGCGAACACGAGCGGTGTGCGAAGAGCAGTGCTCGACTGCTCGCAAATCGAATAGCACACTCTTGAGTCGTGACTCGTGACTCGTGACTCGTTGTGTAGCTGCAGCCACCCCACAGCTTGGTCTTATTATGATTATTATTGCGACGGCGCTGTTCAGCTTATCACGAACAAGTAAATAAAGAAAAAACAAAAACAACACTAATGTCGCACCTCCTGTCTCTCAACGAGCGAGTTGATGATGGCCGCCTTATTATTCGTCATCATTCGTCATCATTGGGCAGCTTTTTCATTTCTTTTCTTTGATCAGGATCTGCGGGTCTTTCCCTAGGATTATCGCTGCTCAGTTCTCACCCTTGTGCGCATCAGGCCATCGCTCCTATGGATCATTTATCATTGGTGTTTGGGAGAACTGGGATGTGTTGGGGGGGAGGCCCAAGCACCGCCGCTCCAGCCCGGGCGGATTCCTATCGGTATGGGAAGAAATCTTGATTGAGAAGATTATTCAGATAATCAGACGAAGATGAGATGGTTGAACAAGTCGATGTTTTCTTATATTTGTATAAATATATATATATATAAACTTTGATCATCTATCAAATCGCGGACTATGCAAAGTCTAATCACAACTTTATTCGAAGAACATGGGCATGAAATAGCCGCTCCACAACTCTGTAGATAACCCTGTTACAGTACCCTGTGTAACTGACAAGGATTAAGATCAATGAAACTCCGATCAGGGGTGTCTCTTATATCCCACCGTGCTACTGCAGGGCGAATTCTTACTATGAACTTAACAGTCTAACTAGTCTTAAGTTCCACTTTAATGGGAAGATAATGCGAGGATCTACTACCTACCATTCTGAGGCGACATCCCAACGGCTTTGATAAGTCACGTCGTACAGCTGCTACATATATACTTAGCAGCTACTACATAGTCCATGGTTAGATAAAAAATAATATACTACATGCACATGTACGTACATGTACATGTGCTTGGTCTTGGTGTGTAGGCGTCGGAGTACAGATGCCCGTTTAGCATGTGCTAGACGATCTAGTACCCACGGAGGGATTCGCACAAGGATTAAAAAAAACATAATTTTTTTTTACAGAGGACCTCGGGAGTGATCGCGACGGATCCACGCTCAAGGGGCCGAAATTGAAGAAATTGTTTTGTAATAATATTTTCTTACCTCGAGAACTATGCATAGTTCCTGTACTGATCTACCATCCACAAGAAGAAATTAATGATTCAGAGTGATATTATGACGATAAGAATTGATTCGAGTAAACAACAATAAGCATACTTCACCATCGGTATATAATAATCCACCATTTACTATTATTATTACCATCTTATTGCAGGGATCTCGTACTGGACGTTCCATCCTGCCCGGATCGACACATCACTTTCTTCCCTGCAATTAATTCCCTTTCTTTTCATATTTCCTCGATTTATAGACTATTAGCCAGCGAGACATCTCTCTGGAGAAAATATCACTGGCTAGACACATTTTTCATTATCCTCCCCTCCCCTCCTCTTCTAAATACTACCCGGACATTTCATTCATGGCTATACCTTCCTTGCTAGTATACCTACCTGCATTAGTCCTAATAATAATACATGACATTGCATTGCATTGCATCTCTCAATCCGATTCCATTCCAACTTCATTCGCACTGCATATCCTTTCTGTCATTCTGTCTCTTCTTTTTTCGGGGTTTCTTTTCTTTTCCTTTATCGCGCGTCTTGCCCTGATCTGTACATGTATTCATGTATGCACCACCGCCATTAATTGATTTGAGCGGGTAGCCAATTCTGCTCCAGCCGCCGATTGTGGTTGCCCACGCTGATATCCTCTGTGTAGCACTGCAGCTGCAACGCTGTGCAGCAAGATCGTGTGATGCGGTGTAGAGGTTCGGTAATTATTTGACTTGTTGAGGAGGCGAGGGTGTAGAAGGGATCAAGGATTTTATTTGTGCCAGGATGAATGGTCGTGTGATTATGGTTAGTGTTCGAGAAAGGCCTTTGGTGTAACAGTCCAGAGTGTGTGTTGTCTGATCGAGTGAGATGTAGAGCTGAATACTGTAATATGGACTTAGCATTGAATAGTAAGTAGATGTAAATGTTGATGTAAATGTCCATGTATGCAAAAGATCTATTATACAGGCTTGTAGACGAGGTTTATAATACATGTTAACCCAATTGTAATGGTATACCCCCAACTCCAACCAAGCATATCGCTATGCATCCGCCAAATAATCAATAAATAATGAGAGAATAAAACACAGTCCCTTTATATGCTACTCGTAAGTGTCGCCAGGTCTTGGTCAACAGTAGCAGCACGATCCAGTCTGCGGACGTGCATCATCAATCGCAGCGCTCCACTAGGCGTAATTCCTTCGATACGTCGTATCATCCCAATACTCTCTGGCCTGACTCTTTCTAGGATCTGTCGTTCCTCCGTGCTGATGCCATGCACGGCAGTGTAGTCTAGATCTGCTGGGAGCAGCATGTTCTCTTCGCGCTTGAATTTCTCGGCCATCTGATTCTGCCGCGTCACGTAAGGGGCATACTGTGCCTCGATCGTCACGCGCTTTCGGATATCGGCTGGGAATGAGGAGGTTGAGTAGGCCGTGCCGTTGGGAGAGACGATATGCGGGATTAGTTGATCGATGTACACGCCCTTCAGACATAGCATGTCGAGTGCGGAGCGGTAGGAGGTGTCGACGCGTGTTGGGAAGCCTAGACGAGACCATTGGTTGGATGTAAATTTGGTGTTGTCTAATAGTGATTGAAGCTCGTCGATTTGGCGTTTGGTCTCGGAGAAGTGAGTCCAGCGTTTGTCTGACACAACTGACGCTGCTCGACCCATAGCGGTCAGTCGAAGGTCGGCGTTGTCGGAGCGAGCTGAGATGCGGAATTCGCTGCGCGTTGTGAACATGCGGTATGGCTCGGAAACACCCTTGGTGATTAGGTCGTCTACCATGATGCCAATGTAGCCGTCTGCCCTGGTGAGAACCATAGGAGGGCGACCGAGAGCTGCAAGGCCGGCGTTTGTGCCTGCCAATACACCCTGTCCAGCGGCTTCCTCGTAGCCTGTAGTGCCGTTGATTTGTCCTGCCAGATACAGGCCGGAGATGAGTTTCGTTTCGAGCGTGGGCTTCAAGTTGCGCGGGTCGACGTAGTCATATTCCACTCCGTACCCGGGCTGTAGCATACGCACATTCTCCAGCCCGCGCACTGTCCGCAGCATTGCTTCTTGTGCGTCGGCGGGAACTGTCATTGAGATTCCATTAGGATAGATGACATCATTAGGAGCAAATCCTTCAGGTTCAAGCCAGATTTGATGGTGCGGCTTGTCTTTGAAACGGATAATCTTCGATTCCAGCGATGGACAGTATCGAGGCCCTTTGACGGTTTCTCGGATATGAATTGATTTATCCAAATTGGCTCTGATGATTTTATGAGATGCTTCGTTCGTGTGGGTCATCCAGCAGGTCAATTGGCCCTCATCACCAACCTGCACTGTATCATTCATGTAGGAAAATGGGTTAGGAGGGGAGTCTCCAGGCTGCACCTCCAAGGCCGAGAAATCGATCGATTTCTTATCCAAGCGCGGTGGTGTTCCTGTCTTCAAACGACCCAACTCGAAACCTGCTTCTCGTAAAGACTTGCTGAGACCAAACGTAGCCGCCTCTCCCATGCGTCCTGACGGGTATACCTCCAAACCGATATGTATCTCTCCGCCCAAAAACGTGCCGGTGGTGATGACAACACGGTTGGTAGGAATAACCTCTCCAGATTCCAGCCTCACTCCCACAATTTTCCCCTTTGAGCCGGGATAATTCTGCACATCATCTCGCGAAACTACGATATCCGCGACTTTCCCCTCGACGATATTCAAGTTCTGCGTCGACACTAATTCGTCCCGCATATATTGTCTGTACAAATCCCGGTCGATCTGTGCTCTCGGGCCCCAAACGGCAGGGCCTTTGGATTGATTCAACACGCGAAACATGATGCCAGCCTTATCTATTATGCGTCCAGCAACGCCGTCCAATGCGTCAATCTCTCTGATCATCGTACCCTTGCCGATTCCGCCGAAACTGGGGTTGCAGGAGCATACGCCGATGTTGGAGAGTGACGGCGTCACCAGAGCTGTCTGGGCACCAGAGCGGGCGGCTGCGGCACATGCTTCTGCGCCTGCATGGCCACCTCCGATGACAACGACGTCGTACGTGCTGCAAGTAAACGGGAGGTGGTTAGTATAGTTGGTCAATTATTTACGGGGTTGATGAAGTACCGCGTGTTAGAATGGGTCGCAAAACGCCGACGCGGGGTTGGTATTAGGGTATGGGAATTTGAGCACCGTCGGAAATAAGATGCCGAACGTACTCGCAGGGCCATGGTCGCAGCTAACGTGCATTGATTGATGTTGCTTGGTCTGGATGAGCGGCGGAAAGAATAAAAAAGTCCAGGTCGGAGATAAGGTCACATGACTTGTTATCTTCGGGCTGGTCAAATTTCCCATAAACTATAAGCTGACATCGGTATACCCAATTGATGGTCTTCATAGGTATGTTGGGGTATGGTCTAAACGTACAAAATGATCATGAAGTAATCCAAAGATGATTTCTATTCGCCACATAGAGCCCGGCATGTTAGTTCGATAGATGGGTGATTCAAAGAAAACAAACAAGTATCAAAATGTGACCTGTCAGTTAGAAGTCCATATTAATGTCAAACGTGATGGTGCCCAGTAAGGCACATATTTTACTGCAGGCGGATGTCTCTTCTCCATTGCTCGCATCCGTCCTTACCAATGCTTATAATCCTCCCTCGAAATACTAAATGATTCTATTGGGACCAATGTGTCGTGCATCTTATATTTGATGTGTTGCACAGTCTATGGTATTTGAAGAATGGGTTGTGTCAACGCCAGTTATCCAGTACTACACAACATTGAAGATATGACTAATAGATCCCCATTCAGATGCGAAACGATGTACATGTAGAAACGATATCACCCACTTCAAACTGCATATATACGAACAATCACTCTGGCTTCTGCGCGGTAATTACAATGAAATCGAATAACGGATGGGCATCCCTCCGTCGAATAGCGCTTCTCACATTCGCATTCAAAATCTGCACCTCCTCCTCTGACCAGCCCAAAATATCCTTAAAAGGTGCTGCCGTGAATGCCTCAACGCCTTCAACAAAATTTACACCTAACAGCGTGCCAATCTCCTTCAATCTGGGATCTTTGGGCCAACTACCAATAGGTAGTTTAAAGATCTCTTGTTTGACTTTTTCAAATCCAGCGTCCTGAACCCACTCTTTCATTGACGGCGCTGGGTCCATGGTACGGCCAATCTTTTCGCATGCTTCCATCAATCCATTCATCATCGTGACCATGGCATTGTCTGGTTTTAAACTGTTGTCCTCGGAATATAATGTATTCGCTGATTCCTGCAGCTCCAGCCATCCACCCGGTTTGAGGTTTTCATAACACTGCCGTATAAGCCGAGGCCAGTCCTTGATCGAGCCCGCCATATACCGACAGTGAATATAATCATATGGCTGGGACTCATTCCAGTCTAGCTCGATATCATCGATGATAAACTTGACATTTGGTGGCACCCACAATGGCTGAATAGGGCTGAGGTCAATCCCCATGATCAGACTTGCGCCGGGGTGCTGGTCGCCTAGATCAACGGACCATATTCCGGTGCCAGTACCGATATCCAGGACTCGTAGACCCTGGTCAGGGTCAATTGGCGCCAAGAAAAGACGGTCGTTCAGCACGCGGTAGTACACGTGGTGGATCATGTCTAGTCGGTCCTGTTCTTGCTCGTCGTTTGGGAAGTTATATGTACCGGCCTGGTAGGAGTGGTACCGGCGGCCATGTTTCCATTCGTAGCGCAGAATGCTGGATGTTATCGACGTGCTGGATGTCGACACCTCGTCGCCAAGGGAGGACTCAGCATCCGAGGGATCAACCTCCACCGTGCACGCCGGCCGTGCCGTTGCGTTCACCATGATTGTGGTCTATCTCATTGATATTGATATATACATATACATTCGATATGGGCTGATTTCTTCAGGCAAAGGGCGGCTCCACCCCCGCACAAGCGACCATGGGAAATTGTGTCGTTGGCATGTCCTCGGTAGGGAATAACTATATTCCACTAGTGTCTTGGTTGCAACAATACTTGCAGTGAAGGAGGATTTTCGAAATTTCTCGCTATGCGAAGATCAACCGCACCAATTTTTGATCTGATCGAATTACTGGCCCAGTTTTCTGGTGCATACGCAGGCTCCAGAGCCATGGTTGGTGGGTATTCGGGATTAGGCCCCCACCTCGAGCATGCCACGCAAATCAGAGACATCGCTGAGGCCTCCGCACTGAAGCCTCTCTCTTCACCTGGTCAAGGACGTGAGGGTTTAACTAAGAATTGACGGTGGCGGACCTCGTTGAGAGGGCTTCGATTATCATGAGAGACTGGAAGCTACCTGGGGATATATTAGTATCAATATGTGTCAGACAGGGAGTATACAAACAATAGCGTAGAGATATAACTTTATAGTACGCAGTCAGTAATTAATATAGTAAATATACTGCATAAGAGAGAAGACAGCCAATCCAGCGACGCGAATATCGCATCATAAGCCGAGAGTGGCATGTAATGCGCTAGTCCTGTTCTGGCCGGACATGTCTTGCGCTGCGCCTCTGATTGGCCAGCGCAGGAAATGGCTGTGGCGGCTGCTGCTAGCGGCCGCCGAGGCGCGGTGGAGGGGCATGTCCTTCTCGGCCTTAAGCACAAAACGACTTTACGTAGAGGTGGATTACTAAGGGTAAGAATATAATATACTTAACATCACGTCTTCCAGCTCTTTTTTCTACCCAGACATTGTACCCGCATCTTGCATATTACATCTGAGCGTTTCTGCGTGCTATACACAATGAAGGCCTATTACTACGACAACGCTCCTGTACGTCCACCCCTCACCACCCAAAACCAAGCCCTAACACCCCCTCCAGGGCGACCAACGCGAAGACCACGACTCCGGCCGTGAAGTCTCCCCGGTCTACCTCGAATCTCTAGGCGTAATCTACCACCACCTCCCGAAGGTCTCCGACGTCGACACTCTCGCGCAGACCCGCGGCTACAAGAACCGGGACGAAATCACAGTCTCGCCTGAGAAAATGGGCGCCATCTACGAAGAAAAAGTCAAATCATTTTTCCACGAGCATCTGCACGAAGATGAAGAAATACGGTACATTCTGGACGGAGAAGGGTTTTTTGACGTGCGGAGTGAGAACGATGATTGGGTCAGGATTCGTCTGGTTAAGGATGATTTGATTATTCTGCCGGCGGGGATTTATCATCGTTTCACGACTGATTCGAAGAATGTGAGGGGTTCCTCATACGTAATACCCTATTCTGATGGCATTTGGGTGCTGACGATTTCTAGTATATCAAGGCTATGCGACTATTCCAGGATGAACCGAAATGGACGCCGCTTAACAGAGGCCCTGAGGTCGATGTGAACCCTCATCGTCAAGCCTATCTGCAGACCAGAGAGTCTTAGTCCCTTATAGATTTGTTATAGCGCATGGAAAGGCCCTTACGTAAATTGCCTCGGCATGACACCAAGTGCATAGCTAGCTATCATGCAAATAAATTAATAATTATACATTTCCATCAGAATCTACCAAGCACAACATCAGGTTGTTTTTTAGAACACCATATTGGTCATAATGCACTACCCGGCAATGAGCCTGGTATTTCAAAGTCCTGCCCACCAGCCCTGGGGATAGCATCACCCCTAGCAGAGTCAAACTTCGACGGACCGCGAAACCTCAATCCCCCTGGCTGCTGTTCTTGCTCTGTGTCGCTTTCCAGAATAGCTTCCTCTGACCCAGGGGCCACAACGACCGGCCTAGCCTGCCCACCGCGGGACGAAGCAGAAGCAGAAGTCGCTGCATCTGCATCGTCACCAGCTCTCACCCCCGTCCTGCCCATCCTCGGCCAGAAGTCTGGTAGTCCGACAACCTGCACGCGAGGCTCGACTACCCGCTCTTCAAACCAGGCGTGGATGCGAGCCTCTACTAACTGCGCAACCTTTGGCACATCCTGCAATCTACTGCGAGAACCAATCAGCGACCTGACAGACAAATCCAACCGATAATCCGGCAAGAATGAAAATGCAAGATTGGTTTTCGGAACCCCCTTTTTCGGAGGATCCGGCGATGCAGGCCCAGTCGCGCCATCAGCATCGGTGGATAGATGCTGGAAGAACGAGCGGGCTCCCTGTTGAATTGGGTCTGGGGTTGGAGCAGCAGGAGGTGTTTGAGGGGTTGTCGACGTGCTAGCAGGGATAAGCGAAATGCACAGAGTGCCGGAAAACCGAACCACGGAGACCGACAGGGCAACAGGGAGCACTGCAGAGCGTGGCTTTGGATAGTTGAGTATCAATGATGTTTCAATGGCAAGCGATAGGTTGTCGTCGCTGAGGTCGACATCCATTAACGCTTGCAGCCTGCCACCGTCTAAATTCACATCATCCACGGCAATGACGCGGCAATTACTGAATATAGGGAATTCTTCGCCTATGGATATGTCTGTAACCTTTATTGTATCAATAAAAGACGGCTTTTTCACAGGATCATTAATCGCCGCAGAAAGAGAGTCTAGAATTGACGACGTCGGCGAGTCTTTGAGCAGGTATGCAGTCTGGCGGTACTGGGCGATAGTCTGCGCTATCAAAACATTGAACCAATCCAGCGACTCGGGTTGATGAGTGGAATGCTGTATTCGATTTCGCCCATGTTTATTCGAGTACTGTGTGGGGACGGCGTTGTAGTATGTCTTTCTCAGAATCGAGCGTGTGTTGGTCGCCGACGACGGCACGGGACGCAAGACGTTGGAAGTCGACGGCTTCTCGCGCAGCGTTTTCGGGCTGTTCCCATTTAGATCGGCCTGGTTAATGGAATATGAGCGACGGTGAGCGGCCGTGCGACTAGCAAGCCCGCGAGACGGTGGCGCTGGAGCTTCTCCGAAGATGAAAAACTTGATGAAAGCGCCAATCAAGAGCACGACGGAGAGCTGGCCTAGTAGGAAGCCCTGGGTGAATGACAACCTGAAGCCCGTCCAGTTAGTCTTGTTCTGCGAGAATTCGCGGGGAAGTCTTACGACGGCTGAACAGGGACACCAGCAGCGTCATCTAGGGATTGAGGACATTGTTAGTGAGATGAATAGATGCGACAAACTCGTTCGAGAACAACCCACGTTGCGAATGTTGAGACATGATAGACCGGATAGTCTACACCCATAGAGTGCCCACCATCCCTCGCCAGGACTGAGAATTTGTCGTGGATGGGGGAAGCAATCAGGATGTTTTTCGGATGTCCAGAGTTGTCGGTCCTAGTTAGCCGCAGCCATCGCCGCGCTGAGCTCCACTTTTCGAATCGATCAGTGAACTTGTGCTTCGACTACGACATCGTTGATTCAGATTGAAAATAGGCCGGACTTGGTAATTATTCTTAGTAGAAGCTGTTTTATTGATAATCGAGGCACAAGTTTTGTCAAAGCCATCTTTGTGATGGCTAAGTGACTTCCACAGTGATGTCATCGGCCTTGTTCTATCGACACAGTCCAGCATCACTAAAGCGTTTCACACCTCACTTATTCTGTATCGAGAATCGAGCACAGTAACGAACCTCAGTGCCGGATCAGGAACCATCTGAAACACCAATCAGGAACCGTGGCAAACCCAATCAAACAAAGAGGCCACGTTCACCCAGGCAGCAGCTTCTCGATCAACCGCTAGCTAAGCCTCATCTTGTAATACAACACACACACTTCCGAAAGTCTGGCTTTGAATACCGCATAGAAGATATTTTGATGAAAACTTGGAACATGAAAACAATAGCCCCCCACTTTCTTCCACTTCTACTCCCATTTCTACTTTCCCTAGTCATCGCTTCACCACCTGGCAAAAACGCCATTCTCCTTTCCAATGTCCAAACCCTAACTCTCCACGGCGACCGCATGACGTCTCACCGTCGCGTCTCGCCAATCCCACAACTAAAATGCACCGGCCCATCCAAAATCTGCAAACTCTACTCTATTGATACCATGCGATGCACAAACCAAGGGCACGATTACGACGAAGAAGACATCCAATGGACATGCACCGCCTCTCTGCCATCCGAATTCAAGCTCGGTTCCACCGACGTGATATGCGAAGGCTACCGAAATGCAGCCGACAAATGGATTCTTAAGGGAAGCTGTGGAGTTGAGTATCGGCTTCTATTAACTGAGGATGGAGAACGGCGCTATGGGTACCAGAATCCTAAATATGACACTTCTAAAACACAGAAGACGTCGAGTGACGTCAGTAGTGCCCTGGCTGTGATTGTGTTTGTGGGGATTTCTGTCATTATTTTGCTCGCTCTCTGTCGTGATTCATCCGGCAATGATAGTAACAGGCAGGGAGACAATCGTCGCCGGCGACCACGGGGATCGAATGGAGGATGGGGCGGTGGTGGTGGTGGTGGCGGTGGTGACGATGATGATCCTCCTCCGCCTTATGATTATAATCCTGGGACATATTCCAAGCCATCCGGTCGACAATCTTCGTTTGAGCCAGGGTTTTGGACTGGCGCTGCAGCTGGTGCTGCGGGTGGTTCGGCGGCTGGGTACATGATGGGTCGACGATCTGGTCAGGGTACACGGTCAAGACCATCGAACGCGTTTTATGATAACGCAGGGGAAGGGAGCTCAAGGCCGTCTTCGTCGTTCTCACCTTCGGGTCCAAGTACTGGATTTGGCTCTACAAGGCGACGATGATGCTGTACACTCGTCTGTATATTAATATGTGTTACTTCATGTCAAGCAGAGAGTCTATTATGGGCAAACAAGTTGAGTACTAGCAAGAAAAGTCCAATATATTGGTCTAATCATAGCTCAAAACGCCACTAATACTGTCTATAGACTATCCCAAGCCCACTACGCCGTTTATCATAATGAAACCAAACCATTCATTGCCACGTAATAATACAGTTCAGATGTTGAAAAAAATCATGGAAAATCATCAATAGTGCCAAGAATTTCTTCTGTCCCGACAGTGATATTCTTGGCTGCATTCTTCTTCGGGCGAGGACGGGTCCGTGAATCTGGGGTTTCAATACTTTGCACAACATCCGCGTCGCCAGATGAACCGCCAGGGTTACGAAGGAGTTCTTCCTGAGCAAGTTTCTCTCTGGCGTGTTGCTCCTCGATCCGCTTCTTATCCTCGTCCAATTCTTGCTGGATGAGTTGCGGGTCGTCATAGATAGTATTTGTCATTTCAGAATAGGCTTGAATATCAACGGCCTCTCGGGGTCCCAATAAAGTGGCTTTGATCCTTTCAGGATCCCGGCGTTCTTCGCTGTTGAATTTCAACTTGATTTGACGTCGAGATCTGCCTGGAAACATCTTACTGATCATCATAAAATCAGTGCCAAACATTCGTAAACCTCTGTAAAACAGATCCGTCAATTCTTCATCCCATGATTCTGCCTTGGTGCGTCGCCCATAGGTGGCTTGATTGATTTTCCTGCTGAGTCGACTTTCGTAAACTTCCTCCATATCTTCAGCGTCTCTGGCCGCCTCAGCCCGGCGATCCACTTGAAGTGACGCGTTGTCAATTACGATTTCGCCGTTGACAATTCTCATGCGCGGACCAGTCTGACTCTTTTGGGGGGTAGTTGCTTCGCCACTATTGGCTGTGCCGTCCCCATTCTCTATTTGCTGTTTGACTGTAGAAACGGAGTTGCGCGATTCATCTTTAGCTTTTTGTTTGCGTTCCGCTTCGGCTATTTCCAAATTACGCAGCTCTACCTCGCGTTTCGATTTTTTGCCCGTCCTAAGATCTTTGCACAATTCCGACATCCTTACTACAGTGGGGGCAATTTCAACGTGCTCTGACTCTTCAGGGGTTGGTTCGCGCTTTCTTTTAGCTCTCTGTTTTTTGGCCGGGGTCGCTTCCGTGGCAGTTGAACTCTTTCTTCTCTTCCGGGGAACCCGAGGTGTCTGGGCTCGTCCGGAAGTGCCAGTCGCCTTATCGCTTCCTTCTATGTGAGGTGTTTCTCTGACTTCTGAGACCGCTGAGGACCGATCGGAAGGTATGACATCTTGGGCTGACTCAGTTCTTTTCATAGACACAGAACTTTGAATTCTACCATCACGACCATCGGGTTTCTTCTCTTGCAAAGTCGTCTCTCGCGAAGTCTTCTCTTGGAAAGCCTTGTCTACCTGTGAAACGTCTGCTGGTGGGAGATGTGAGACATCCTGTGTTTTAGAAGGTGTAGCTTCGGTAGGCAAAGATGGCGTTGCGGAATAACGCAGTCTGGAAGTTGGAATAGGAATGGGAATTGGTGTCGATTCGTCACGAGCCTTAGATTTATCTCGAGACACAGGACGCTTGTTGGTAGCTTTAACAGTTGGCACAGACGACCCAGGTGTAGATTTTGGGGTTGGTAACAAAGGAGCAGGAGATGATTCGCTTATCGGCGACGTCTTTGATGGTTGCAACTGAGGCGCATCTAGGGTTTTCACTTGAGATTCTGAATCCAAGGCCCCAGGTAACCCCGACTCTGCGCGTTCTGGCTCGGGTTGGCGTGCATTTTGGATTTCGGCTTTTGGCTTGGATGCAGTTGCCGACCCTGCGCCAACTCGACGAGCAGGTGCCTTTGGCGCGAATTTCTTGCCAGACTTCTCTAAATGAAAGAAGGTCCGTAAGATAAAGTCGACATTAATGTATTAGTGCGGGGTGGGACGACTTACTAATAGTAGAGCTTGTGAATGAAAACATTTTGTTGGGAAGAGCGGAATCCTAGTTACATCATTGCAATAAAGTCAAGCATAATTGCAGCGTGTAATTTCTAAACCCGTAAAGGCTGGCTCTTGATGACTCGACGCAGCTTGATCTAGACTCTCCCAGGCGATGAACTTTGTCAGTCGCGGAGAAGTGGGTTGGGTCACGTGAGACGCTAAGCACAGACCCAGTCGAAAATCCTCCTGATCCTTGAAAAGTGGTGTCTTCTGCTTATCTTGACTACCTTTCACCACCCTTCCACCCAGTGCGCACCTGTCCACCTCTGTCTACAGGACGAGGGCTTTTATATACCACGCCGATCTGCCTGAATCGCAGCGACTTTTTGTGCCAAAAGTCATCTTAGCCACTGATGACGGCCGTTGAAGCAACCCCCGTTTCGTCTGAGTCCGGTCTCATCAAAATGGAAGACCGGAAGAGACCTGCTGGTCCTGAGCAGAATGACGCTGCTCCTCCATTGAAAAAACAGGCAACTTCTGTCAATGGAAACAAGCCTCATCCAGACGCAGACATGCCCTGGAAGGATGACCTGGAAGTAAGTGTAGTCTCGCAAAATGCAGCCTCGCATTAGAAATACCTTTTCGGAAGCGCCGAAAGACAGCGGAGCGATGTAAATATGCTAACATGTTAACCTCACAGCGTTTCACAAAAGATGCGATCTGGCGTCAAATGCAGGAATTCAAGCGGGAAAAGGTCACGTTGGAGGCCAAAGTCAAAGAAATGACCAAAGCCGCCACCTTCCATCAAGACCACCTTCGAATAATTGACGCATGGTTTAAACAAGTAAGTGAATCCCAAATTCTATAATTAATCGGATTCTGTCTAATATTGCGTTTTTCCAGTTGATCGATGAGGTCAAGATATTAGCCGGGGATTCGGATGTGGAAGCAAAAGGTATGCCAAACATGTTTAAACTGAAATTTGGCTGAATTCTGACACGGCTATAGATCACCCGCCATTTCGCACGTCGCTTCTATTCGATGATAATGAGAAGTTTAAGAAGCATTTAAAAGATCGGTCCGACGATATCAAGGAAACGATATCTAGATTACTTACTCATTCTCCAAAGGCGACTTCTGAAGTTTCAGAATTGCAGAGCAAATTGGCGAAGAAGTTGGCTGAAGAGAAAGTTTCCATAAGCGAGCTTGAGAAGGCTCTGTCTGAAAGACAGCAATTTGAGGAGCAACTAGAAGCAGCCTCTTTGCGATATATGATGGCCGAGAAGAAGCTGGACCGAGCAAAAAGTTTGACTGCCGCTAAGCTTGAAAAACAATATATTCTTGGTGCGCAGCGTCCCGGTGGAGACGGCCAGTCATCTGCAAGTCGCGAAGAGAGCACACCAGTGAATGGAACCGATTCTCCTGCTGAAAAGAGCACTGACTTGGAGGAAACCTACAATAAAGCGATAGCCACGTCTCAGAAACAACGGGAACAGCTGGATGCTCTTGAGGCGGAAAATGCGAAATTGATGAGCCAGGTGACGTCCTTATCCGTGAAGGTTAGTGAAACACGATTATGCGAACAGATTCATGATGAAAGAGCTGTCTAACGGATACAAATTTTAGAACTCAAAGCTCACAGATGAGGATTATGCCCATACCGATCTCTTCAAACAACTCAAATCTCAACATGAAGATGTGATTAAACGAATCAACCATTTAGAAGCGTTGAACGTCCAATTAAGGCAGGAAGCCGAGAAGTTCCAAGCGGAGCGAACTGCTTATCGGAATCGGGTGGATGCCGAGAAACAGAAAGAAATGGAAGAAAAGAATGCGCAATTACAAAAAGCCGAAACAGACCTCGCAAGAATCAGGAATGCCCGGGATGAGCTCCTTGCCGACCAACAAATGAGAAAAGCCGCGCAAGACCAGGACAAAATTGCCGTGGAAAAGGTTCGAGAATTGGCGGCTGCAAGAGAAGCGCAGATACAAGCCCTAGAATCTGAGTTAGAAAGATTGCGTATTCAAGTTGACGGTTTGAAGGAACCTTCGACAGAAGAGCTTTCGATGGAGGCATTGCGCACCAAATATTCAAACCTTGACCGGCAATACGCACTTCTCAACACAGAGCTTATCTCCATGCAAACTGCTTGCAAGAAGTACTCAATTCTTGCTTCGCAGAAGGTAGCGGAATTTGGCGCTCTGGAGGAAAAGGTTCAACGTTTAGTTGCAGAGAAATCGAAGGCCGATCAAAAGTACTTCGCCGCCATGAAGAGCAAAGAGGCCCGTGACGCTGAGGTTCGCACTTTAAGGTTACAGAACTCTAAGAGTTCTGATATCATTTCTCAGCTCAAGGATGCAGAGTCTGCCACACGTCTTCTTGTTGTGAATTTAGAAAAGCAAATTGCTGAAGGAAAAGAAGCTTTGAACTCGGTTTCAAACAAGTATCGTGCTTCGCAGCAGCAGAACAATGAAAACAATATCGCTATCGAGGGCCTTAAAGCGCAGGTTGCTGAACTCAAGACTGTGGCATCGACAAAGGACTCCTCGATATCTGCTACAGCCGCTGCTCATAGAAAAGCCGTGGCCGAAATTGAGGGTTTGAAGGCGTCACTTTCCGACACCAAGAAGAGCCTCGATAACTGGCGAACCAAATCTCTCGGAAATTCCTCTTCGGAGTATGAAATGTTGAGGGTAAGTTGTCGCTCCGTAACCATTCTGATTCAATTGCTAATATCAATATAGGCTCTTGCACTCTGTACAGTATGTCGGCGCAACTTCAAAAATACTGCCATCAAAACTTGTGGGCATGTCTTTTGCAAAGAATGTGTGGAAGAACGACAAGCCTCTCGGTCCCGAAAATGTCCAAATTGTAACAAGTCTTTTGGAAGCAACGATTATATGCATGTCACCCTTTCATGAAGTACATTGTGGCTACTTTCCCACACTGTGCTCTCTTTGGAATTGTACACTATCTTTTTAGCACTGGTTTGTAAAGGTTTATCGCACGGCGTACTTTATGGATCCTTCCTTAGCATGATGCCGCTTATGGACTTCAAGCGACTGGCGTTCGGAAAGTTGTTCTCATATTTGCTCATTCGATTTCGATTCACTCCGACGTCGTACTCCTGATGTGATGTCGTTCATGGGAGCCACAAAGTTTTTCAGGAGTTACCGGTATGGCTGGTAAATTGATTTGTATTTGACTGCGATGCACCATCGCAAAATGTAAGAATAGAATTGAATCAACGTTTAGCTTCTTTGATTGCATCACGATGCCAGCACTATCTTCTGGAGGTTTGAATGGTGGTGCTCGCTTAGATGTCGGGGGCCTTCATGAATTGAATATCCTGCTGTATAGTAATTCGTGCCTCCCCACCCATAAATCTAGTACTGGCGCAACCTGACCAGCGTCTTCAGTTTTGGTGTCGTATTCATACGCTATCCGCTCATTGATCAAATCACAGAGGTCTTCGCTGGCCAGAATGCTCTGCGCTTGATAAGGGCCCATGACAGATGCACGCACAGCAGCACTCATGACTGCTTTTGCATGATTCAGCATGAAAGTATAAGCAGCTAGATTAATCTCAATCCCCATTGCAGAGCACAAGACACCCCATAATGGAGCGAAATGTCCACTTAGGCCTAAGCTTTCGTCATCATTCTCGCCAAATTTCAGTGCTTCTGCAAACCCTTCAATAGCCGCCACAGCAGATGCAGGAGAGGAATCGACAGCATGACTGCGTTGCAAGTATGTACCGCGAAAAGACCTCTCCCATACGCCTAAAAGTGCTCTGCCCTGCGCTACACTTGCTCGCCGTGCTACTGTACAAGGCGTTGAAGCATCTAGATCATTGTCTAATCTTTCAAGCTCTGCTGGCGAACGATAGGCTTCGAAGAGGTAGGGTAAAGAAGTACTGGATACTGAGGTGATGGATAGCTTAAGAAATCTTTTAAATGATGCGGCATGCGCATTCTGGACCGGCAGAGCTTTGTTGTGCGCTATGAATGATTCTAGACCGCTTGAATAGGCGAAGGAACCGAGAGGCAACGCCGAGTCACATATCAGCAGAAGGGAATGCACGAATGATGGAAGCTGTGATTTCCTGTTAAATGCTTTAAAGGTTCAGAAAGTATTCTATTGAGCATGTATTCATATATTCCTTATTGGTTGTAACATACTACTTGTGATGGACGAGTCTGCTGAAGGATTCTTGCCAGGGAGCTTTGCGCCATTTTGCAACCGATTGCGAGTATTTTCCAATCGAAGCTCAAGTTCAACTATCTCTTTCTCGAGCTCCACACGGCTCATGTTGTCTAGATCGGCTTTTGAAGACATGTTGGTCATGTCGGTTTACAGGCGACTTGCATTTCGGGCAGCAGGTTACTTATCTTGGCTGGCAGCGAAGGAAGGCGGGAGACGGGGGCAGAAAATATTATATGGTTTGTCGGCACATGATTAAATGCGACATTATTGACAACCTCAAAAGTTCATTGAAAACCACATACCGCCCTTTCCAATATGTTATCGGCTTAGTCGCGGCATATATACATACGCAATGACGGGACGGCGTCTTTTAGACGCAACCCAATTCCTCCATGCCGCCAAATCCATCACCGGCAAACATATTGCCATCCGACGGCAACAATTAGATGTCTACACACGCACATCGTCGTTGACGGAGGGACTTCGAAACAAGACAAACGAAATTATAGTGACTGCTCAAGCAGCTTCCGAACTTATCCAGCGGTTCAACGAGAAATCGTCCCCTTCGTCCCCCCCATCTTCGGAGGCTTCTGGAATAAAACCAGACGATGCAACAAGTCAGAAAGCTCAAGAAGGCGGGATACAATGGGAACAAGAGGTTAAGGGATCTGGTATCAGTGTATCGGGGCTATTTAATAGCCAAACAATAGCCGAAAAGTCAAAAGGTTTAACCGCTGACCAAGCAAAGAAGTTGCAAAGACAGGCGGAGTACCAGGTTCCAGGGGAACAAGCATCCGATGAGGGAAATGCCAGGCCCGATAATCTAATCATCAGCCAAGCTCAGGACACTTTTTACAAGCCTGCAGCGGCATCAAAACCTGTACTTTCGAGTTTACCCAGGGTTAAGCTACCAAAGACCACGAGCACAACACAAGAAAGTGATCAACATATTGGTGATAAGCATATAAATTCGGATGTGTTTCATTCACAAAAGAATAAGCCCGAAGACCCATCCGAAGAGATTTTGCATGGCGTATTCCACAGCCCGAGGGTTGCGAATCTACTATTATCAAAACAGAGACGCCAACCGACAACGAACATTAGATCTCAACTGCCAGAGCACAGATCAGCTCGAAGCGCCGATAACTACAAAGCTAGCAGTGATCCGGAGAGTGGATCTCAATGGAAAGACAAAGACACAGAAGCTGCCCTTGTGGATGACCCAGCTTTAAAAAGCGAGATTAAGGATTTGGGAGAATTGGTCTCTCAATCATCTGAGCTTCTGTCCAAAAATTTCGAAGTTAGTCAATATTCATCACAATATTACTTAAAATCCCGCACTAATTATGAAAGAAGTCCGAAAGTATAAAAACACCGCCCGCTACTGATTCTACTTACCAAATGTTGGAATCTCGGGTACCTTCCACCCGTTTTGGCAGACTTTGGCAGTATGGAGGACTAGCCACGTCAATGGCTTTTGGTGCTTTTGGCGAAACTTTGCGAAGAGCTACTGGAAATGGCGATGGATCCAATGGGTCGGTCATGTTTAGTGCTAATAACATAGAGCGTCTAGTGGCGAAATTGTCCAGAATGAGAGGTGCTGCTTTAAAACTGGGACAGATGATGAGCCTTCAAGGTCTGTACAGCCTTATGCTGCTGATAAAGACATATCTAATAGGTTATAGATTCAAGGATGTTACCCGAGCCGATTGCAATTGTTCTGCAACGAGTTCAGGACCGTGCAGATTACATGCCAAGCTCTCAACGGGATAAAGTTCTCGTCGATAATCTTGGTAGCAACTGGAGAGATTTGTATGAGTCATTCGAGGAAACTCCCATGGCTGCCGCCTCGATAGGGCAGGTACACGGAGCAGTCCTCAAAGACGGACGAAGGGTGGCTGTGAAGATACAGTACCCCGGGGTTGCCGATTCTATAGACTCAGACTTAAACAACCTATCTATCCTTCTTACTGCATCTCGCTTGCTTCCGAAAGGGCTGTTTCTGGATAAGACCATTGCCAATGCCCGGGTTGAACTTGGTTGGGAGTGCGACTACTTACGAGAAGCCCAATGTGCAGATCGCTTCAGAGCCTTACTTGGTGAAAATGCATCTTTTGTCGTTCCAGAAGTCATCCATGAGGCTTCCGGGAAGCAGGTGTTGACTATGGAACGAATGGATGGGATAGCCGTCACAAAAATAAAAGATTTCACCCAGGAACAACGCGACTGGGTCGGAACCGAAATCCTTCGACTTTGCCTACGTGAAGTATGTGAATTCCGCTTTATGCAGACTGATCCTAACTGGACCAACTTCCTATATAACGCCGAAAAAAACCGGCTTGAATTGCTCGATTTTGGAGCCTCGCGTGAATATCCGCCGGAATTCGTCGACTCCTACATGCGGACACTTATTGCCGCTGCCAGGAATGATAGAGAACGTTGCCGAGAACTTTCTCTGAAATTAGGGTATCTCACCGGCTACGAGTCGCAGGCAATGGTGGACGCCCACATCGATTCAGTCATCACGCTGGCAGAACCGTACAGGGACTCTGCCCCTGATATCTACGATTTCCGTGACCAGACAATCACTGATCGTGTACGGGCACTTATTCCCGTCATGCTTCGTGAAAGACTGGCTCCTCCACCCGAAGAAACGTATAGTCTCCATCGGAAACTGAGTGGTGCTTTCCTTTTATGTGCCAAATTGGAGAGTCGGGTGCCCTGCAAAGAGTTGTTTTGGTCTATTGTAGAGGGAGTGGAGGCGAGGAAATCGGATTGAAATACTGAACAAATTTATGTATTATATATGTACCATATCATACGATATATCTGAGAGTAGAGAATTTAATGGAATCAAGCATAGCATAATCAATAGCCTTCTGTATCGGTTTTTCAGCGTTCGAAAGTAGAGGCTCCTACTATACACCCACCGTAGCTGTTTTGCCTAGCGAAGAGGAAATTATTGTCGCAGTTGGTGTTGTGGGGATGCTTGTTGTAGTACTCGTGCTGTTGCCAGCGAAGAACGATGGGTCATCCCACGAGTAATATGGCTGAACACAATAAGTAGTGTTGACCGCCAACGAAGATAACAGTCGGACAATGGTGCAAAACTGATTTGCGACAGCTTTGGGATGTTTATCAAATTTCGGGCGAGTTACGTAGATTCCTCCCATACCCTGATCCGCAAACCGGCGAAATCTTTTACTCAGGTAACTTTCCCCGAGGGCACACTGTTATACGTGATGGAAAGAGCTTGTGGATTGAAGAATGAAAGTTATAACACATCAATATTATAAATAGGTGGGTCTATTCTGGGTTTCTCAGAATTCAATGTTACACCAATTGGCTCTTATGGATTCCATATTCAGGGAGTTACAAGCAATTACGTATAGAAGACGCCCGAGATTCAATATAAATTATTAAGATTGGGAATTTTCAAGTATTCCTGAGTTTTCAAGATTGTCAGCTTCATAGAAAGGATAGGATTAATTACCATACGAAAGCCCTAGTAAAATATGCACCAGCAGCTGATACATATCTAGATAAGATCCTGTCATTTCCAATTTTGTATATTTCTAAATGAATAGCCCATATGCGACCACTTGAATTGATTGATTGACATTGTGGTTTAGAAAAGCGGACATTACTATACAAACTTACATATATCAATTATGTCGACAACATTGGAGTGGAGGTTTGAATTCTACTGTTACCGTTTCTTTTGTGGATAAAACGTGGTAGGTTTGGAGTAAAGTAGCACGTAGTTATCTTGATTGCATAAATTAGATAACAATAGGGGAGAAAATTTGACATAAAAATAAAAACTGTTTGCTCTGCACATGACCATACATGTAACGATCTAATGAAAGTGCGCATTCTGAATATAAATTGGAAAATATGATCTAGCAGTACATAGAAGACCTAAGGCTCTAAAATATAAGCCAAAGGTATACAGAGAAAATAAAAAACATCTATCTATAGCTAGAATGGTTTCACTATGGTCAAACTCTCAATATGAGAAATTGCTGAGTTCTGGATACCGCCCTGCAACCGTTGTGCAATGTTTCTGGTTTGAAACTTTTCGTAAAAAGTTATGCATGCCTAATTATTTCCAAATTGGCAATGTCTTTACTAATAACACGTTGCCAAATTTGACAGCGTTTTATAAATCTGGAAACGTCATAGTAATATTACAAGCGTCAATCAGCTATAGTAGGTGTTTAAAATGTTACCAGTTTTATTATTAAAGTTATTTGAATTATTTAATAAATATTTACTCACGCGTCTCACTACCTAATACATTCCTAAATATATTCCTAAATATGTTTCTAAGTGTTCCAAGAGATTAGCAGCGTATTGAATAATATAGTGAGTAGAAACACACTTACTATATACTTACATAGGCCTATCTCATCTGCCTAAACGTGTTCCTGAGGGCATTTAGGGGTTGGAAGCGCGTTGAATAAAAGTTTAAGTAGAAACACACCTAATCTACGTTTATATATATCTACCTCACCTATCTGAGAGCATTTCTGAGCATTCTTAGAGACTAGTGGCGTATTGAGTAGCATAGCAGGCAAATGCATATCTAGTTATATATTTATAAAGGGACATGAGAAGGAGTCTATCAACTAAGGGGTGCGTGCGTGTAGAAGTGAATAAAGGCTTGTTGGTGATTAATTAGGAAGGAATAAAGTTAATTAAAAAGATTTACGCCTATATAGTTATATAATGATGGAAATGTTGCGAGATTTGGAAACATTTCTTTCACAGCCATGTATTAAAATGGGATTGGTAGATTCCATGATCTTAAAACACCTACATACATGTATAATCTCTCCCTCGCTACACCAAGTGTTTCAACTCGAAACCTCTATCCAAGATGAAACCCCTATCCAAGATCATCGATCAAGCATTCGTATTCATGTATTCATTAATGTAAAATACACATAAAGCCGTCCACATCACAAATAACCAGAAGAAATGAATCCAACTCAATGAGACAAGAAAAAAAGTGCCTTGAAAAAAAAGCATTATCGCCGCCCAATCATAACATTCACTATCGTTCCTGTACTCAGTTCTAACCATTAGACCATTGAATCTTGGCCGGAAAAAAAAATCATGAGAATCTGGGGGTTCGAGGAATCCGCCCGCAAGATATAGGAGATAATGAAGAGAATAATTTTTGTCGTAAGCATCATGATGAAGAGCGGGGAGTTGTTGGGGTCTGTCGCATATTGACCATATGACTGTTTTGGCGATGTACGATAAGGTTCGGTTATTCTACTGCATCTGGTGTCGGTTTGTATAGAATAGTAGTGACATACTATGCATTGTTAGGAACAAGGCGGCTTCAATGGTTCAAAAATTATGATTACTTGCCTTTCGTTTGTATCGAGTAGTTACACTGGTGGCTAACACTCCGTTTTTTATGCTGCTCGTCGCAAGATGGTTCAAGACTGTGTGGTTCGGATAGTTCAAAACACTATTGTCGTCTTTCATAGGGGTCGTGCCGTTCAAAATCGACCGTCCCAAAAAGAGAGGAAGAGTTGGCGGCGTGGAGGTGTCGGCTATGACATTTGCGGCCCTTTGATACTCGGCCCCTTCATCTTCTCTGTCGATATCTACAAGGAACTGCGGAAGGGTATGACGGAAGTCGCCTACAGGGATCTCCTCCTCCGGCTCTTCCCCTTCCTCGTCTGAGGCATAAATGTTGTCTTGTGTTGACTTGCTTCTTATCGTATCGGGTAGCACCTGAGGTGGGTGGACGCCAGGGGGCACCAAGGCTTTCATAGCCCGGTCACTCTCGCGACGTGACCTCTGGCCCTGGGTTTCATCTGCAACGACTTCAATGTAATTGACAAGATGATTCGTGAAATCAACAGCGGTAGGGAGATTTTCCGACGCCCTCATGTCTCCATCAACGATGAACTTGAGATGGTGGGTTCCCGGTCGAAGATGCAAGGTGGTAGACATGATGCCCGGTTCCGTTTCACTACATCACATTAGCCTCTGCAGGAAGACCGCCGATTGTAATCATATCAGATGGTGTGGCGTGACTTTGACAAGCCGTGCTCCACGGGGAAGGATGGTATTCGACAGAAGCATACCTCTTGTGTAGCCTAAATTTCTTTTCCCAATTCACGAATGTGCCGGTCACATAGACCCGCTCTCCAGCTGCTTTCCATTCGATGATGGTTGGTACGGCTTTGCCGGGTCCGACCATGGCATATGACTGCAGCTCATCTTCTACTTCATCCTCATCTACATGGGGGTCATCTAATGAGATCGAAGCTCGAGGAACCTGGTTATCTAGGTCTTCATAAGGCACTGTGTCGGTCTGCAGGTCTACCGGAGCGATAATTGGCGAGCCCGGGGTGGCGGTTGCATCCCCAATAGGCAGAGGCAAACGAGGTGGGCGTTGAAGGTGAGACGATCCATAGTATGTGTTTAATGGATTAGCTGACGGGGCTGTTGGCGCATATCCAGCATCCCGCTTAGTAGTCGGCCGGCCGGATGTCGAAGGCACTTGTACGGGACTCGAGGTTTCGACAGCAGCCGAGGGATGATACCGGCCATCTGGTCTTCTTCCACTGGGTCTCTCTGGAAGCTCTTGGACGCGTTGAGCTGTGCTGGGCACGTTGCGCGACTGGAGACGCTGCTGCACTGGAGGCTGTCTGTGAGACGCGGACTGGCCCGTAGCGCTTTCCCTGGAAGCCGACGGGTCGGCAGCGGTTGCTTTTGTGCCGGAGAGCGCATTGATGGACCTCCGCCTGTTGACTTTTCGCTCATTGCCAGAGGAGTTGTGAGCGCCCGGTGTGGGAGTTGCCAGCTCTTCTGGCGGGCTTTTGGAGGGGTTGTTTCCCATCTGGAGCGGGGAGGGAACGCCGGTTTGCGGGGAGCACGGTTGAAAGGAGAGTTAGCGAGCCAGCAGTCGGCGCTGCTGGTCTGGGAGGGGGACCGGCAGGGGCGGCAGGGGTGACAGCAGAATAGCAGTACAGTAGCTGTGTTGTACCTTGATACCGCAGATTGCACGCCTGGAGGAGAGCGGGAAAACGACGCAGTGCAGGTGAATACTTAGGAAGGAATTATGTAGGGTGAGCAATCATCGCCGGCCGCCGATCTATGCGGGAGCCTCTTTCGCCTTGGCCCGTGCAGCTGCCAGCCCGCTTCGGGACTAGCAGCAGCCAATCCCACAACGTCACCTTATTGTTACTTCCCTGACGTCCATACTCTATTACAACATTGTTGGTGTTTTTTAGGCCTATGCTGTAGAAGAAGAGAGGCGATGGATGCCAGCGTGTGGCATGCCGTCTGGCAAGGCTTCCTGGTAGTATTGTACTACCTAACATACCCTGTTTGGCTACTCATCAACGCTCTCCGCGCGCTGTTAGGCACTCTCCTGCTGCCGTTTGTACACATGGCACAAGGCATGCTCTATCTGAGTCTTGCACCATTCAGATTATTGGCAAAGCTTCAGGTAGGACTACTCTGAAATAATTAAATATACAACTTTAGCTGACCTGCGGATTCATTTAGCCCCTGTTCCTGTTCCTAGGATGGGCGGTGTTGATTGGTGGTGCCACTGGCTTGCTGTTATTCGCAGTGTGGCATTGGGCTATTGGGGAGGATTTTCAAGCAGTGGAATCTCCCTCAATTCTCACTCGAAAGAGTAGTGAATCGTCAAAATACTCAGATTCGGAGTTTAACCTACGTTTGAACAAAGCGTATAGTAAACCAAGCGGAAGCCGGTCCCATCACGACCAGTTTGATAACACACATCATAGAATGTCAAAATTCGGCGATATCTACTCTAATTGGGCCAAATCAGCAGACTTGTCTTTTGGAAAACAAAGAGCGTTGATCTCGACCACGATATTAGAGGAAGAGGATGATAATTATGACTCTGAAGACTACGAATAATTATATACTTATCTTGATCCCTCACCAGACGGAAGGCTCGGTAATATAATTTGCTTTAACGACAATATTCTGTCTATTCTACTAAATATATAACAGAGAACTTGAAATAGATCTCGCAAATGTACATATGTACCCGCCGCACTCAAAATTCCAAAACACCGGTTATGCATTCAAGGGGGTGCAATAGAGGCCCTCCTTTACTATTCAATCTCTCCAAGTGACAAACACATCATCTGTCCGGAATCTTTGAGTGCACGTCGCGTCCTCGAGTTCCGTTCTGAAACCCTGCTTATAGGCCATCAGGCCTGCCTGGGCAATCATAATACCGTTATCAATACTATAGCGTTCGTCCGTGGCGAATACGTTGCCGCCTCGATCGCGCGCCATAATGCCCATCATTTCCTGCAATCGCTCATTGCTCGCAACGCCGCCAACAATAAGGACGTCTTTGGAACCAACGTGCGCCATGGCCCGCTCTGTAATCTCGACCAGCATAGCATATATAGTCTCCTGTAACGAGAAACATAAATCTGCCTGAGTAATTTTGCTTTTGCCATTAGACTGGCTGTTACCATCCAAGTCGTTTTGGGCAGCATCATCGCAAGCACCCCCTGAGACTCCGTTCAATCCTAAGGAATTTGCCAGGGTTTCTATATGTCCTAAGATACCTGAAAAGGAGCAGTCCATGCCTTTGACAGCATACGGTATTTCTACTAACTGCGCACCTTTTTTGGCGAGTTGTTCGATATTGTATCCCGGCGCAGGATCGTTGGATATACCTAGTACCCGGGCAAATCGATCTAAACAGTTTCCAACCGCGATATCAAGTGTCTCTCCAAATATGCGATAGCGGTGAGAGCTATACGCTATGACTTGTGTATTGCCACCAGAGACATATAGAACAATAGGATTAGACGCACCAGTTACTTGGCGCCCCATTTCAATATCTGTGTATATGTAAGCTTTTCTTTTCTTCTTCGAATATTCTATCCTTGAGGTTGCACTCTTCGAGGATGTGCAAAAGAAATAAAGATTCATAATAAAGAATAAACATACGTCCAACACAGTGATTTACACCAACCAAAGGTTTCCCCCAAAGAAGACTTAACATACGTGCTCCAACGGCGACGCTCTGAAGAGGGCCGCCCATGCCAGGTCCTTTGGTGTAGCAAATACAGTCGACATCTTCCACCCGCACGCCGGAATCTTTGAGGCTCTGCTTGACGAGTTTGACAAACCACGCACGGTGGTGCTGTGCCGTGTCCTTTGGTAAAAAGCCTTCACCCGGTGGAGGCACATAAGTGTGCCTGATATTCGACAGAATCTGGGCGGGGCTGCCATCTTTCGGGTGCAGCATGATGCCCACGCCGAGCTTGTTGGCGGACCCCTCTAGGCCGATAGCAATCATAGTGCTAGTATGACTAGGAGAGTAATTATTTCCGAGAAAGTCGCAAAGTCTGGAGTGCAAATGAATTCTGCGTGATGGGCGAGTAATGAGAGAGGGGAGAAGCTAATGCTTTTTCTGCCGTTTGTGACTTTATCTCCGGGCTTATCGATTGGTCGCTGGCGCACGCTTCCCACGAAAAAGGACGGCAGATCCGCCGGCACTGGCATTTATCCGAAGCGAGCACAGACTATACACAGAACGCCAGTAATTCCCCCAGCCAGGAATATTTTCTACCCCTCTGCGTGTGTCACGAGGTCTTGCAGTACTGTGGTGCCATCTGCTGTCCTTTCCTCTTATACTCGGGGAAGGAATATCACTGCCGATTCGCTCTGCTGCAGTCTCCTCCTCCGTCCCCGCCATGTCGACTAGAAGCCATTTCTCAGATGCTGACAGCTTCCAATATCAGAGCGACCAATTTAGCGAATGGCTCACACAACAGCCTGGCGTGACGGTCAGTCCTAAGATCTGGATCTCAGATCTCAGGTCTCATGGATCTGGCAGAGGCGTTGGTGAATTTTTCTTGCATCGACTTGTAAATAGATTTATGTTTTTGGAAATGACTAACCCATCTCGTTCCTAGTCGCCAACACCGACATCGAGGAGGGAGAAGAGTTATTCTGCATCCCGCGAGACATACTCTTAACCGTTCAGAACTCGCGTCTTAATAAACACATCCCCCAAGAGCTAGCAGAACTCGGACCATGGCTCTCGCTAATTCTAGTGATGATCCACGAGTACCTGCTAGGCGATCAGTCGCCCTGGAAACAATACTTTCAGGTCCTCCCAACAAGCTTTGACACATTGATGTTCTGGACCGATGAAGAACTCTCTCATCTCCAAGCTAGTGCTATTGTTGATAAAATCGGCAAGCAAGAAGCAGACCAGTCAATCCTCGAGACCGTACTCCCAATCGTCTATTCCAACCCCCACCTCTTCCCACCCGCCTCAGGGGTTGCATCTTACAACGACAATGCAGGTGCCCACTCACTACTCAAACTGGCACATAGAATGGGGTCGTTGATCATGGCGTATGCCTTTGATATTGAAAAGGGCGAGGATGAAGAGGGTGATGGACAGGATGGATACCTCACTGATGACGAGGAACAACTGCCAAAGGGCATGGTACCGTTGGCAGATCTTCTCAATGCTAATGCGGACAGGAATAACGTAAGATACCCCTTCTCCCTATATTTTCCCTTGCATAGAATGTTCCCTAACTATTTGCAGGCACGGCTTTTTCAAGAAGAGAAATCACTCGTTATGAGAACCATCAAGCCTGTCAAAGCCGGGGATGAGCTGTTCAATGATTATGGTGAGATACCACGAGCGGATCTCTTGAGAAGATATGGGTACATCACCGACAATTATGCTCAATATGATGTTGTCGAACTGCCTCTGACCCTGATATGCGATGCTGCTGGGTTTGAGGATGTCGAAAGCAAACCATATCCTCAGGTAGGTCATACTTATATAGTTCATGTTCTGATATACTAACGTCAATCATAGCTTGAATTCCTTGAAAACTTCGAGATCCTCGAAGATGGCTTCTGCATTCCACGTCCGCTGCCAGATGAGTCGTCGCTACTAGACATTCTACCAGATGAGCTCCTCATTCTCGTCAAAGTCTTGACTCTTAGCGCGGAAGAATTGCAGCAGCGACAATCAAAAAATAAGCCCCCGAAACCGGCTCTAGATAATCAAGAAGCACAAATTCTGCTTGATGCTGTGCGTGCCAAATTATCTCAATACGCAACTACACTTGAGCAGGACTACCAGATACTTCGAGATTTGCCTTCTACTAGCTTAGAAAGCTCTGCATGCCGTCACAAAATGGCCGTGAAAGTCCGTGCCGGAGAAAAGGAGATATTAAAACAACTCTCATCGATGCTTGCAGACTTCGTTTCGAGTGGAAGCAACAAGCGTTCCGCAGAGGATAGTCTTCATGGACTACAAAAGAAAGGGAAGAATTAATCTTCAAGCAGCTGTCGGGTCTATTCTATTGCTCAATGTAAGTATTTCTCTTTCTAGATTATGATCGTCCAATATGTGTGCATGAACGTTCAGATTCATTTGCTGATGTTTTCTCTAGTGGTACAAGCATCGAGTAATGCGCTATGGAATTTATGTACAAATTATCAAAACATGATATCCGAAATAGTACAACAAACAACTCGAAGAGATGATTTGTTGTGCCAGTTTCGGAGAATAGAATATATCTCGATGTGGAGAGAGAGAAGGGAATCAGTAAAGGCCAAAAGGGGATATAATGACACACGCTCAAACAGAACCGACGCCGACCATGCAAGAGGATATTGTTCAATCATTAAGCAGCAGGGCTTGCTGTGACAGCCCCGGGCCCAGGATTGGAGCCTTGTGTCCCGTTGCGCTCTCCCATCAATTGCCGGGCTGCATGGGCCGCTTGCGCTTGCGCCTGGACTTGAGCTGCTTGAGCTGCTTGAGCTGCTTGGGTGGCCATATCACGAGCTTTGGCTGCCATGACGACGCGATGTTGCATGACTCGCACGTCGTACTTGTCACGCACAAACACCATATCGTCATCATCGTCATCATTATCATACTTGAACCGATCCGAGGCGAGAGGGTCAATGTCTAGTTTATTTCGAGCCGCCAAATTCCGGCGATCAATCATGACGCGACCGCCTCGGCCTATACGCCGTCTGAAAGAAGGTATCTTATTGGTATCGTCGTCCACATTCATTGCCGCGAATTGCTCGCGGAAATATGGATGCATGGTATCTACAGCATTCTCATTCACATCTGAGTCTGACGATGGCGGAGTCGGCAGTTGAGTTGTAATAGCTGGGCGGAATGCGGCCTCGAAAGTTCGCTTTGGAGATGTACTCAATGGAGCCGTCGTCAGATCCACATATCCCTCGTTCCACTTGATATGTTTCTGCAAGTTCTGCTTGATATCGCGCAAGATCTCGTTTTCCTTATCAGCTTGCACCTCCTCCAACAATTGCAAGTCTTCGGCAGCCGGGCCGCCAGGTCGCTGAGAGACGCGGAGCTGTGGCGCGACAGGTCGTTGGATACTGGGAACTTCGATTTGCTTCTTCTTGGGCTGAACAATGTCAGTAACGTCGCCAAAAGTGCTGGTTAGAGGTCCTACCTTTTGATTGATGAGGTCTTCATCGTCGTCCTTGATGCCAAGCTTACGCTTCATATCCTTGACTTGGGCTCGTTGTTGGAAGACTTGCTTTTCGATGATAAGCATCTCTTTCCTGGCCAGTTCACGCTGTCGCACGAATGCGACCAGCTGGCGCGCTTCCTCCAGCTCTTTACGCAGTCTACGCAGCTTCTCGGCGCTCTGCGCATCTCTACCACGCGTCTTGCGAATCTGTCGAACCTCACGTCGGCGGAAACATACATATGGATCTCCATCGTCGGTTTCTTGGCCCGTTTCAAACTGCGGTCATTAGCATTATAGCTTTGAACATGATCGGACATTTTCTTACCTTGAGCGCTAGCTGTAATGGATGGTTGCCAGCTTCTACTCTTCGCGACTTCCAATGATCATATATATCCTTGGCGAACCTTTTTATATGTTCGTCTACGGCGGCATCGAAAGACTCCTCGATCTCTTCAAAGGAAAGCACAGGCGCATTGTCCACAGATGCGAATGGTTGTTTGGTTTGCGCAGTCTCTTCGAAGAAATACATCACTTCTTCGAACTGATCTTCAGTGCATCGAGGAGCAGAAGGGTCCTTCTTTTCGTTCCAGATCTTAAGGAAAACGTCATCTTCTTCGACCATGTTATATGGGCATCCGCAACAGTCCTCCACAGTCGAGGAGAACCTAATGTATGTCGCGGGCTGAGAGAAAGTAGGGGGATATAGCTCGTCATATCGAATGGTACTAAGGACGGTCTCCGGCGTGGGGATATTCGCCTCGCTGACTTTACCAAGGGCAACAGCATTTATGGCAGCTTGGAGATGGACTTCCTACAAAGAGAATAGAAAAAACACGGTTTAGCAGGTGTACTTCATCGGCGCATCGCTGGGGGTATGAATGGATGCAAATTCTGATATACAATCACGTGATCTATCGTGCATATGTGCTAGTGAAAGGGGGTGGTACGTACCGATTCTTCGGCCTTTTCGACACCAGTCTCGACTTGTTGGAGAGCGCCGGAGACATCTTCGTCGATATAATCGATTTGATCCTCCCGGACGATGGGGATGGACGCCTTGGAGGTGAGCTTCTTGGGGCGCGTCCTCCCCAGACCCCCGTACCTAGTCATCCGATTTTGAGGACGCGATGAGGGCGGTGACCATGGGAGAGGGGGGCTAAAATTAGTATTAAACGATAGCCTAGGTCATGTAATATACCGTAGTCGTATTTTCGTGATGGAAATCGATGGAGGGCAGGAGATAATGACGCTTGAAGTTCGGGAGTCGCACAGCGGTTTGTTGAGTTGACGTTGCCATCTCACGCCCTTGCCACCTATTTTGGCCGGGTGCACGGCCTCAGGGGTTCGCTTGGCTATCCCAATGCCGTTAGTGCGGGGACTCCGATATCAAGTTCTGTCTTCCGTCTCTCTCTGGCTTGGCGCATCCGTCCTAGTGCTGGACTCCCGCGCGACCATCTGCTATCTCCCAAACTCTCCAATCACTCACTACAACCACTCTCTAGCTTGACAAGAACAACTGTGAATTTTATTTTCTCTGCTACTGTTTATACTGTACAGATACGTTTAGGCTAGCAAACACGAAACCTCCCGCCGAACAGCCAACCCGGCTGTCTGACAGAATCAAGAATGGAACAACATGAACCCAACAACGCCGCGTTATATAACACTCGGAGACGACAAGGGTCTATTGGAGGCAACCAGGTTCTCGATAGCATCATCTCCGCATCGAATTGTGAGACAGCCGGACCTCTATAACGCCGTGTCTATAGATCTTGATGCTGACAAGCCGTGTACAGTTGACCGAGATGAGGTCGATCGCCTGCGCAAGCGATTTATGAAGTTGGATAAAGTGAGATCACAGAACCGTTTTCGGGAAGAAAAGAAAACTAACTTTGAAAGGACAACTCGGGGACTATCGAACGAGAAGAATTTCTGTCGCTTCCTCAGGTCTCTTCGAATCCTCTTGCCACACGGTATTGCTACTTGACATGCACATATCCCCACAAGCACACCGAACTTACTTTTTGTGTGTGTATAGAATGATCGCAATTTTCGATGAAGACGGCGGCGGAGACGTTGATTTCCAAGAATTCGTCTCCGGATTATCGGCATTTAGTTCCAAGGGCAACAAAGAAGAAAAGCTGCATTTCGCATTCAAAGTCTATGACATCGACCGCGACGGATACATTTCGAATGGAGAGTTGTTCATTGTGTTGAAGATGATGGTGGGCAGCAATCTGAAGGACGTGCAGTTGCAGCAGATCGTCGATAAGACCATCATGGAGGCCGACAAGGATCAGGACGGCAAGATCAGTTTTGCCGAGTTCAAGGACATGGTGGAAAATACCGATATAAGCATGAGCATGACATTGAGTAAGTTCTTTCTTCCTCTTGTGAAACAGAGGGTTGGAAATAGAGGGTTTGATGGTGATGACTAACGCGGTTTAGATCAAATATAAATGCACATACTATTCTTGCCGTTTATGATGTATCGGCTGTTATGAGTTATGATGAGTTTGAAGGCATTCGTACTATTAATGACGTACTTCCATGCACAAGACCGGCGTATTATCAAGTCTGTAGCACGCTTGATTGATGAAATCAATATATGCTAAGCAAATTCTATTGTGCAATCTGACTTATAACGTAATCGTTCTGGCTAGTATACGTATACATGTATTGTCGTGGGTGAGATATACTGAATCTGACTGTCTAGCTTGGAATTCTGTCGTAGGATAGCTATGACACCGTTATTAACAATAAATCCTTTACTACTAATCATAAAATGCCCTAGTATATATGGAGAAGGACTAACGAACAGATTCGATGAATAGTGAGTCATGTCTAAATAATGTAATAGTTAGGTACCAACTCTCCAAAAGCTCTATAATCGCGTTCTTTGTACTAGGCGGCAACAGCGGCTTGCATCTTACACAGTGGGGCTTAACCTAACCCGAGTCCTCGATTAGGTTGCATGGCATTAGCCTGGGATGATGACAGGCGGGCCCTAGATGATATCAAGTCAGTATCAAGATGTGGCTGTGTATTGATATTCGTGATATACACTTCCGAATCAGGCTAATTGGGTACAGCTATTTCTGTAATACTCCAGAGGACGATCCCAAAAATTGGGTTAGCACTCCCTCCTTTCGTCTTAGCAGTGCAGTACAGTATTACATATTAATTAGTTAAGTTCAGTAAAGCCTCTATCAGGCGATCACATCGCAAGATAAAATACATTTATATATATATATATACCAACTGCTGTATTACTAGCGTAGCGATCACTAACTTCGGTTCCCTTTTCGACTAACCAACAAAATCTTCCGTCGCTCTTTATCCAGGAGACGAATACCGAGTCTATTATTATGTAAAGAGTAACTACTAAAAGTAGAGTGAATTCGTTCCGAATTAATGGAACTCGCTGGTAGTGGTTGCGGCAAGCGGGAAGCCAGACTAGTTTGCTCCACTGCGGCCGGGCTATGCGCGAGTTATTTGCTGCATGCTGTGAGACTACTGCAGCCGTCAGTCAGTCACTTAAGTTTGTTACTCTATTTGGCGCTTAGTCTTGACTTTCAGCTCTCCGTAGCAACTAGTATTAGGCTAGCTGCATCCAATACTAGGACGCTGGGACGGAGTCGAATATTCAAAAATTGTTTGAGAGTATGTATAATCCTAGGCGTACTCGGATTCGACTAAACGGACACTAGGAAATGTCTGAATACACAATAATAGTAGGTATGTACGAGTCAGGCCTGATGGGCCCGACAATCCGGGTCAGCTCCACAATTTGATATGCGCCAATCTGGTAACTTCGGCGGGAGCGGGAAACTATAGTTAGGTTCCATCCCAACCCATTATTTGGTACGACTACGTATGTACGTACTCGTATTCCGCCTTCACGTCACCCTAGCCTATAAGACTGTATTCCATGTATTGTAATTATAATACAAGGATTGGCTATCTGCCTAGACCGAGGAGGACTCCGTAGAGGGAAGGAGTATATAATCCCGAATCATACAGTCCCCCGCCTTACTTTGCGCCCCGGCAAGGCGACAGGAATATTCAATATTGGCGTGTTAATTAGAAAGCAGACAAGGAGTGAAGATCATTGGGCTATTATTCGCTCGGCTGGTATTACCAGTTCTAGATGGCGATGGTTATTGGCTGGTTCGTTCCTAATTTTATGACCCCTAATTTTATGACCCTTAACTCCCCACCCCTTCCTGGCTGCGGCCGAGTGTGCCATAAGTTGTTAATACAAGAATTAATTAACTACCTCTTGGGCTGATTGGTTGCACTACCAGGTACGGTTGCAATGTGACAATGACAATGACGCGCACTGGACTACTACTGTAACAGAATTGGTTGACTCAATTTGTTCGTCCATTTATACGCTTGCCTTGTCGCGTTTCATGTTTCATCTGCGCAGTGTAACGTGATGCCTAGCCTTAGGAAACCATCAGAATCACCACATCATAACACCTTCTTGAGTTATGAATAATAATCACCAGATCGACGCTTAACCACGCTAACCGCCTGTGCCAGGCAAGCCAAGAAATCAAAGACCAAAACAGAGTGTCAGAATGAGGGGGTAATCTATAATGTCCACTTTCGGGTACTGCTCACCTCGAACGGGAAAGACCTCCAATTTTGGCTTTTGATCCACATGGCTGATCCGCAATACATGTACACATAATACTATAAACGCGAGAATAGTAAAATCGAATAATGTGATTATCAAGACTCGGTGCTGGGCCGTTGGGTGGCGTTAACCACCTGCGTAATGTCTGTTTTTGGTCTTAATCTTTTGTATTAGATGTATTCAGTTGATTTATCTCCTCACTTCCATCCTAGCTTGTCTAGCTATGGTTCAATGCCAGTTAGTGTTATCTATTCGTATAATACAAGTATCAGAGTTTATCATGATCCCCTCCCAAAGAAGTCGAAGAAAGAAAAGAAATAGGTATCCCGCATGCTGGTAACATCATCCGTCATTGTGTATCTATGTATCAAGTCCCCGCCCAGTGTAGATCGCCGTAAAAGGAAATAAAAAGAAACAAAAAGAAACATGTTTTCCGTTTTCTGCGCCATACGCCTCCTAACCACCAGTGTTCCATAAATTGTACACATAATTCCCGTTCTTTTGGGGGTGTCTGATTTTCTTTTCGGTCACTTTTCGATCGGCTGTTCGCGGAGTAATGAATTTGTCAACAGCGCGTACTTGTACGGGCTAGGCTGGTCGCGAGTCGCTGAGTAGATCGAGACATTGGCCTAAGACTAAAACACAGATCACGTCACTAATTAGTAAAATACTATAGTTCTTGATGAGCCTTTCTTACCACTAAGAATCTCCTCCTCCCACAGGCCAAGCTGGTAATCCACCAGTCCATGGGGCTCCAGCTTGTCACACAGTTTGATCAACGCCTGGCCCATATGCTCCATTATCTCGATCGTCAACATAGCCGCTGTATTCTGCGCACGCCCTGATTCGAGCACGGCGAGAGTGAGATCTTTCTGTTTTTGGCAGAGGGTAAGCCAACAGAGGTTCAGATTATTCCATAGTCGTGAGTGTTCTGCAAGACTATCGGCCTCGTCTCGAAAGAGACCTAATCAGAAACAAGAGGTTAGCCCGAATCTCCGTTTCTTGAAAGGTTAGATTTGCTCACCCAAATCTCGCCCATTACCCACCAGCCACTCTGAGAGTTCCAGTAGTAAACCGCTTGCATCCACCAGCCGCCCTGCTCGTGTGTAGTCAAATGTAGTGATTAGAGCCTGCTGGTACCATCTGTAGGAGTTACTCAGACTCCCTGCATCCTGAGCAGTGTCTCGTTGCTGTAGATCATCAATAGGGCCAATCGTATGATAACCAGTCATCGTATCTGGATAGGCGGCCGCCGTAGATCGATGCTGAGGGCTCTCCTGATGATACCCCTGTGAAGTTAAATATTGAGGGACGACCCCAGTCTCAGTAGACCCCGCGTGCACTACGGGTGAAAGATATTGTGGAACGCCAAACTGCGCCGACATAGACCCTACAGACTCTGTATGACGGGGCTGGAATGAGTCTGGAAGCGAGATGGGATAAGGCACATGTGACGGACCTGCCTGGCCAAGACCGTAGACCAGCCCGGGATCATACGAAACTTGTTGCTGCTGCTGCTGTCGATACATGGGATAGTCGACATGCGGGGGAGAATATTGCTGTCTCACCGAATCCGGCGACATGGGTGACTGGAATTGCATTGCCACGTTTTGCATGGCCTCTACCGGCAGTCCTTGGCTATGGGCTGGCTGGGCTACTGGGTAGGCATATGCCGCGTAGTCAGGCAGATGAGCGACTCTCTGCCCATGCGCTGGGGGTGGCATGTGCTCTCTGCGTGTGAATCGAGCGGTGGATCGAGCCGTTGGGCGTCGAGAGTGCTCTGCTGACTGGCGAGGAGGCATTTGTTGTTGCACGAGGCGCCGTGATAGACCAAGTCTAGACGGGACTGTCGAAGGGTCATACTGCTTTGTCGCATGGTCTTCGCCATCCATTCCACCCTGATAGTCCAACAACCCGCCTCGCAACGAATCGAATGTTCCGTTTCGATGCGCTGGAGGCGAGAAGGGAGGGCTTGGATACAGGTCCAGGGTTTCGGTTTGTGATCGTGTTGATATGCGTAAGTACAAAGAATAGCTAGTGGTTCCTGCCTTGAAATTTTTTTTTTGTACTCGCCTTCTACTGCCAAGCCTTGGTCAGCGAGGAGTATATCTGATAGCACAATTTGGCGACTGAGTTCAGCATAAGTCGACAAATGAGATATACCTAAGGAGCAGACCAGTCCACACCGTATCCTGAGGGCAAGAGTATAGGCAGAAACAACAATTCTTGCAGGGAACTCAGATCCGGCGACGAGCTCCAAACGTAACACCGCGTTGCTAACTATCCGCTTTTGGGGAAGGTGGGTAGGCTCATCCTAGTCGCCAGCGACCACAAGATCAGGAGTTGTTGTTTTTGAAGATCTAGAAGTGAAATTCTGTGTAGACGTGATAAAGAAGTGTGTGGGCTGTGTACGCTTTATAGCAGTTGAAGGCGGTATGTCGTTTATGGACTGAAATGGCCGGTGTTTGCAAATGAGGCGACCAGAAAAAGTATTGCCAGAATGCCAGAACCACTCCGGGCCTGCTAACGACAAATCTCCCACAAGTCAAAAAACTGGTGAAACCGTTCTATCCAGGTGTTTCACACTCATACACTGAAACTGCCGAAGCGATCAGTCAGGCTTAGATAAATAGTGCCTGACTATGACAGGAACGTGGCGCCAAAAAGGGAAAAAGATACAGGCTAGTCAAGACCACGCAAGGACCAACAAGGACTTCGCACTGCTGAGCCAAGAGAAGGCTGAAGACGCGGTGGTTTAGCCTGGAGCTGAAAGATGGTTGATTTCCGGTGCCTTAGCTAGTTCTGTTGCTGTTGTTGCTTGCAGCGAGTTACTTGTTTGGGTAGGGTTAGGTAGGGTTAGGCAGGGTCTGTCTTCCAATAGCAGCCACACATAGATAAAGTCTGGTGGCAAATAGCCAGACTATACAGTGCACAGCCGGCGGCGTCTGAATAAGATGTGTTATTATTATCGCAGTGGATCTTACTGTACATGTATATATGTATACAGCATGTGAGGCTGCGAGCGAACCGGAGAGGAAGATGTTTTCTATTCCCAGGCAGCGATAATCACTAGAGACTAGAGAGTAAGTAGTAAAATGAGGCGAGCAAACGCGTTTATAGCATTAACTGATTCTATTAACTCTGCTTTATAATTCCTTCGCATTATTGTTCGGGCCCACTGTACATCTACAGGGGGATCTGTGTCGGTTTTCAGCGGAGATACGGTAGTTGACGGTTACGCATGTTACTCCCTGAAAAAAAAAAAAAAAGAAAGCATACAGCGTTGTGACAATAATAGAAGGACTAACTTAGTACTCCAATATCCAGTATACTTACTATTTACTTACGGTACGAGCATTACGATTGTACTGTGCTGTGGGTCAACTAACACTTAGCCGTATTCTCGCTGTATTAATATTCAGTATTGAATCCTGTAATCATAAATCTGCGCTAAATCCGCTAACGAGTCTGGCTGAAGGAAAGGAAAGCCAAAAGACAATAATAATTCCCATTTTTATTCAATCCTATTTCGAGCTGACGGACTCAGCAGTCGTCCAGTCTGGTTGGGCGCCAACGTTGGACAAACACTGCGTTTCGTCCGGATGCCGTTGCCGTCGGGTCCGATCACAATTTTCCGACTCGTTGGACTGCGTTTGTCTTTTACTATCGTGTTGTGATGTTGGACACATCCGAGGCCAGCCTCGTTGGAAATAGTCAGTTGTTCAGAGGAAGGAAAGATAGTATCGTCAAACGCATTGGCTTAGTTCTCGGGGACCTGCAGCCTGCATCAGCAGCAGCGTTCCGAGCCCTGCAGTGCCCATTCGGTGCCGATCATGGCGATGTTTTTGGGATAGCTATTCCCGATGTGTCGGGCAGCAGTATAATAATATTATTATTATGTTATATATTATTATAGATGATGCTCGTTTAGTCTGAAATTGTCATCGATATCGTAAAAACCTAATTGTGAGCGGGTTGTCTCCGGCCCTGAAAAGGACACGAGTCGAGATGAAAAATTAGATCGGACCTTGATAATGTCCACCTGGTATCTACAAGACCATATTTTCGACTTTTCTGGATGTTCCACATTTAGCGACCGGTTTTATTAGGCAGACAGCCACTGTTCTGCTCCTTAGCTTAGGGCAGCGCCTAATTGGTCTTGCTATATCTACACATTCGCGCCCCGGCAGCATCGTGTTCGGGCGCTAGAAGGGAGATCGTTCTTATAGAGTGGCTGCATAGTTGCAAACCAGACAGAACTGGTTTCAGCTATGAAAAGAATGCTACTATCGCCTGCTACTCTAGCTGATCCGCCCAGAGTGCAAACTTCAGCTGTGGAAATATTCGAGACAGAGTATGTTAAATGTTTCAACTCAACAATCCTAGTGTATATGCGTAGTAATTACTGGATGTGTTTCCTGCACTGCCCTTATGACGTGCGTCAGCTAAGTGCGTTACAGATGGGTGGGGGGAGCAATCCTGAGGCGTAACAGGTCGGATATAGTAATAAATGAGTAAGCAGGGCTGTTTGGGCTTTAGAACGGGTCTGGAACTGTGTCTGCTAGAGCTGGTATTAGCCCAACCGGACAATTATGTATTGGGCTGCTACATACTTATGTAGATCTAGTATACTTCTTATGTCTGCAGAGGTATCAAAGTATCGATCTCAATTGGCGCTGTCTAGGTGCCTGACAAGAGAATAATGTGCTGCAAATTAACCTCTCGACGGCACTTTAAATGTACTTCTCCTAGGTACCGAGTGAATAATTACTATTATCGTGGCTGACAAAATCCAAAAGCCAACTGACTTCTACCTCTCCTAGCCATATCTTCTCGGCATACAAGTCTAGATCACGCGGAGTGAAAAGTGAAATGAAAAAAAGCCATGTTTCGCCTTCGCTGAAATAACCTTTACTCCTGAAATTACGTTGCAGCCAAGCCTCACGGTGCTCGCCACTCGGCATAATTTAAGATTTGAACCAATATAATTGCGTTATATTATTTATTCTTACTATCATTCTTACATGGCAGTTCTATGTAAAAGTTAAACCTCTAACAAAGAACTTCTATCGGTTTTCCAGGAGCCGCTAGGTCAGGGGTTTGGTTTGGGGATGGTTAGATGCAACCAAGCCCCAACGGTAATGGCTGTTTCCGCGCCGAGCCCTAATCCACCGCACTTACTTTCCTAATCGAGAAACTGTAAGTTGGTCATACCATACCACAGCGCTAGGCGCCTTGCGCGGTTGTCGGGAATGTGATAATGATAGTTCGGATTTCGGTGTGAGTATTGATCGCCAGCTGTTTCATAAAATGCGGGGTAATATATAGCTGGCAAATAGTCAACTGGTGTCTATGTATGCTGATTCCTAGACCGAGACTGCGTACGTTTCATTGATTGATACATATGTATTTGATGTTAGGTACGTAGGTCATGTAGCACGACTGGCCGGAGTCCGATGTGTCTGGTGCTACTGCGCTGCTTTACTCATGATCAAGTCTGGTGTACATGTAGGTGGAATGCATACCCTCGTATTCTTGACCGTGATTGTATCTTCAATATCTGTCAATTGATAAATGCACTGCCGTTTGTCACGATGGAATGGTAACGCGAGTTTTCGGCCTCATGTTCGAAATTCCGTGTTGTACAAGAACAACGCATATAAAGAAGGTTGAAAGGGAGATTGGAATAGTTCATGCTTGTCTTGAGTAGGTGCCGTTCTCAGTTCTTGATTGAATCCGAGAGATTTGTCCGAAGCACTTTAATGGCCAACAGCGCGCATGAACTATTACATAGGTAAACGAATGCAGTGAATTTTACATTATCGACGTACAAAAAATTTATGGCACTACGATGATGTAAAGACATCTAATGTAAGACCGCTGAATTCGATAGTCTCAAGCAATTTATACCTGAGCATGCAAGTATACAATACAACCGTCATACCAACGAGATTTGTAGCATGTGTCAAATAATACAGAATAGAAGAAAATAGTGCGCAGATCACCGCTTGACCCAGGTGGGCATCTTTCTGGCCTTGACATGACCGGGCTTCTTCCTCTCTACACGACGTGCATCGACTGTGATAACACCGGCTGCAGACAGAGTTAGCAACGCAAATCATATAACGCCAAAAAATTAACTCACCCTGACGCAAGAACGGCCTCAATGCAGGCTCATGAACCACCAACGCACGAGCAAGAGCGAGTGTAATCGCCTCTGCCTGGCCAGTAACACCACCGCCCGATACCTTGGCCCAGACATTGTATTTATCAAGCCTCTGTGTACACCTTAACGCCCACAATGCGCTTTCTCGATCATGAACCCGAGGAAAAATATCCACAAGATTTCTGTCATTGACTTTAACCTGTCCGTCTCCTTCAACCAGAAGAACTACAGCCGATGACTCTTTTCTTTTCCCTTTTCCTCTGGCGCGGCCAAACTCGTCTACTTCGGGTGGAGCAGGTTTATTGGCATACGGGTTACCAGGGCGGACGTATTCGTTCAGCGTCTCACGAACTTCTGCGGGAACAACATCCTGTCTGATCCTATTCAGACGCTGGAGGACCTTTTGGAAGTTTTTATATTTTTTGGCAGGAATGGGCTCGCCGAGAAAGTCACGGAATTGGGCCAGTTTGAACCAGGCCATTCGAGGCGCATCGCCGGCTGATGATGTCGGCAGAAGCGAGTATTTTTCCAAGAGATGCTCTAGTTTGATTTGATGGTCGATGAATTTCGGGCTACCGGAGAAGTATGCCGGCGAAACAGGAATGATGCGTGAAGGAATGGTGTTGAATTTGTTGAAGTCGATTTCGGGAGCTGCTTTAATAACGTCCAGGTCTCGCCTTCGAGACGATGAGGAGAATTGGCTCACTTGCTGTTTCCCCCGGCACGTTCTCCATGGTAGAAGAGAGAGCGATCTGGTGGCGGTCGGGGTGGATGCCTTCCTCAGGACAGCTTCGCAGACGCCTCGCACGAGGCCGCTCGATCGCTGCAGAGCCATTGTGCTCTGGCGCCTCAGCTGCTGCAGACAGTGTCAAGCAAGCCGGCAATTGGGTGTCGAAATGGGTGCAGGGATGTGTCAAAATTGTGCCATCTGCGTAGAGAATAGCAGGGCTGGCCCGAAATTTGGTGTTGACCGCTTCCATCACGTGACTACCGCCCAGAAGAATGAAAGATTCTCCGGCCCGATGCTACGCCTGATTCGCACAAGCTTAGTTGATGCAAGCAAATACTTTTTTTTTTCTTCCCGCCTCCCCTTTCTGAGTTTCTTCCCCCTCCATCCGCCCTGCTTTGCTCTCCCAGTCGAAGATCCTTCGCACCCACACACGCAATGTCTTTCGGCAAGATTTACGGCCAAGCTGTAAGTGCATAGTTACAGTGCTTTGGCACTGCTCTGCAGTGCAAAACCTCCAAGCTGGAATTCTTATTGACTTGTAACCTGCAGGCCAACCCCCGCACCATCGCTACTCGGGTGGCAGCCAAGGCCAACGACCTGGATATCGAGTTTGTTGACTTCGAGGTTCCTGCCAATGCCGAATTCAAGGCCTCTGCCGAGTACCGCAAGCTGAACCCCCAGGGAAAGTTCCCTACTTTTGTTGGCGCCAATGGATTCGTCTTGACTGAGGCCATCGCCATCGCTATTTACCGTACGTGTTCTCTTTTTATGTATCTGTCACAGCGCATCCTGTCATAGCATGATGAATAATTGTTATCCCTGGCTGAAAATAAAACTGTTTGTTTAACAAACCAATGTTGATAACCCACCAACTCTGATTGACACGTTGACACTTTGTTGAAATTTGACACTATCGATGTTGAAATTTTTATGATTGTGATTCACAAGCTAATCATGAACAGTCACCTCCCAAAACGAGAAGACCACCCTCTTGGGCAAGACCAAGCAGGACTACGCTTCCATCCTTCGCTGGATGTCCTTTGCCAACTCCGAGATCATTCCCCGCTTCGGTCCATGGTATCGCCCTCTTCTTGGTCTCGAACCATACAACAAGAAGGCTGTTGATGAGGCCGCCAAGGTCGCTCTGGCCACTGTAGCTGTTTTTGAGACCCACCTTGCTACTCGCACATACCTCGTTGGTGAGCGCCTGACTCTTGCCGACATCTTCGCTGCCACTCTTCTCTCCCGCGCTTTCGCCACTGTTCTTGACAAGGAATGGCGCTCTAGCAACGTAGCTGTTACTCGTTGGTACACCACAGTTGTTAACCAGCCCATCTATAAGGCTGTCGTTGAGAACCCCGTTTTCGTCCAGGAAGCCATCAAATATACTCCCCCTAAGAAGGAGGAGAAGCCGAAGAAGGCCGCTCCCAAGGCCGCTCCCGAGGCCGAGGATGACGGTGAGGAGGCCAAGCCTGCTCCCAAACCCAAGCACCCTCTCGAGGCTCTTGGAAAGCCCACTCTTGTCTTGGACGAGTGGAAACGCCAGTACTCTAATGAAGATACCCGCCCTGTTGCTCTTCCTTGGTTCTGGAAAAACTACAAGCCTGATGAGTACTCCCTGTGGCTCGTCGACTACAAATACAACAACGAGCTTAAGCTCACTTTCATGGCCAACAACTTGATTGGTGGTTTCTTTGCTCGTCTTGAGGCTTCCCGCAAATTCCTTTTCGGTGCTGCTTCCGTGTATGGAGAGAACTACAACTGCCTGATCCGCGGTGTCTTCTTGGTCCGTGGCCAAGAGCACATCCCTGCTTTCGACGTCGCTCCTGACTGGGAGAGCTACGAGTTCAAGAAGCTCGATCACACCAACGAGGCTGACCGCAAGCTGGTCGAGGATCTCTGGGCCTGGGACGTTCCTGTCGTCCGTGACGGCAAGGAGAACGCCTGGGTCGATGGTCACGTTTTCAAATAAACGATCCCATATTCTCTCCTTTCGTTCTCCCTCCATTCTCCCTCCTTTCCTCCCTCCTTAGCAGATCTTTCTGTTCATGTCAAAATTGTGCCATTTCTCTAGAGTTGAGATGGTAGCTTTTATTGATCGCCTTTTCTTTTGTCTGACGAAAACAGCTTATGCGTGATGGTTATGCTAGCTTATGAATAACATGTCATAAAGATGATCCATGTCACTTGATCAACAATTCTTCTGTCCTAAGCGCAGTCCGTATAATTCTCTGTACATGTACTGGGTTCAATTATCCTAGACAAGGTCCTCTATTATATTTCAAGTTCCTTTGACTACATATGTCGAAGAGAACACGAAACGTAATATGTACTATAAACATCCGCTCTACCAAGTCTTAAAAAAATCCTGTAGATCACACTGTACCTTGCCCTTCTTCTCTAGTCTTCAGTATAGAATCCTGACTAGCAGAGTCCTGTGGCGGAGTAGACGATTTTGTAGCAGCAGCTTTAGGATCAGTCTTTCTCGGCCAATTCTTAATCTTCTTCTTTTTCGCCTTCTCCTCCCGTCTATTCACCAACATGGCCTTCTTCCTCGCCACACGCCGCACCTTTTCAATCACCGCTTGCTCAGGGCTCAACCCATCCAGGCTTTGCCGCCTACTCAAGCCCGGCTCTTTGCACTGCCCCGACGACGCGATCGACTCCGTCTCGCTCTCGGCAGCAGATATAATCTCGTCGCGGTCCAGCTTGATCCCTTCCTCGCCCCATGCGTGCAGCCGGCGGCTCACATCATTCGTCTTTGCCAGCATCTTAATCCTGACCAGCGCAGACCGCAACACCATTTCATCACCCTCATCCGGCTCGTTCGTGAACTCCGGGATCTCGAGGATATTATACGGATTACCCGCGGCTTTAACTAGACTATCGTCAATCAATATCGTATTTGACTGGTCCCACCGCAGCTCCCGTGCGCCCGTCATCTCCTTCTCTATCGCCGTGTCTGGATGGTACTTGAGGACATGATGCAACGGCGCGCCCGCGCGATCCTTGTTGCCGGGAAACGAAGCTTGGATTTTCGCGTCTTCCCATACCTTCTCGAGTCTCTTGTACACCTGCACTTTACTTTTGTATTGCGCTGGCGTGAGGCCCAGCTGCTCGCGGCTCCAGATTGCGACTAGTTTGCGGTATTGTGTGGCTGAAAAGATATCCTTGCAGATTTTCTGCACGGTGTCGTTGCGCGCGCTCGACCATACCATTACTAGATGCCGGGCTGTGAGCCGCTCGAGGAAATGGTTCAGGGCTGGCCGGCGCGTGTAGGTTAGTGTCTTTCGCCCCTTTTTGCGGAGAAGTAGTGTCCCGTTTAAGTCGAGGATTACCAGGAGTGGTTGGATGAAGTCGAGGTCGAGGGGCGGTTCGGTTGCTTGGGAGAGGTATTCTGGTGTTGGGATGGGGGTTGCAGGGGGTTTGACTTTCTCTTCGTGGTCTGCTTCAAGGAACGGGTCCGTAGAAGCGGGGAGTGGTCGTGCTTGTTTATTTTCTTCCTTTGGAGGGTCCGTCCATCCCCGCGATATGTGATCTAATGCCTCACGCTTCCTCAACCGGCGCGACCTGCGAGGCGGTTGTGTCGACGCTGGGGGCGTCTGTTGCGGGAGGTCCACCATGGACGTCGGAACTGGGAGTGGTCTTTGCGGGAGATTATGAGGATGCATTGACTCATTGGTGCCATACATGTACTTTGTAATAACAAAATCCGACTTTTGATCCGGCTTTAGCGGAATCGCGCCGTTTTCAGGAACAGGTGTAGCGGTGGTCTTCGACGAGTCGTCATTCGACCGGTATAGAGAGTCTTTTCGAGGCATTGGTGCGGACGAGTAATGACGCTGAGATTATATTAAATAAATTTCAAGTTTAGAAGAGGAACAAGTAAATACCTTCTCGTCGTTCCCCGTTCGTATAAGACATCTATGCTGCCCCGGTCCTGATATTCGTAGCAAATCGAATGTGAAAGCGACAGGAATCGACGAGCGTAATTGCCGTCTCAACATCTATCCTTGTACCTAATATTAATACCGCATCGAATAATAATAACGAAGCATGAATGCATAAGCATGTGAAAGAAAGAAAGAATGAATGAAATAGCTGGAGAAAAGGCCGGTATAATGCCCAAACTAGAAGGCGGCGGCAGATTAAGTTGCATTTTCCTCACCGCCTTTGATATCGGCGGCAGAAATAAAAAATACCGATATCCCGCTTTTACTTTACTTTGTACTTTGTTTGCTTTTGTGGTAGGTCGAAATGGGTATTTCGGAGTCGATGAATAGACATGTTCGTGCGCGCTACGAAGATGATGATGAGCAAGAGGAGTTTAGCTCCGAGGGAGACGAGGATGTCGACGGGGGGTTGAGTGATGCGGACGATGCATCTGGCGACGAAATTGACAACGAGAGCGAGAATGACAGTGAAAGCCAAAGCGAGAGTGACAAAGAAGACATACAGTCGCAAATCCGCCAAGTATCATTCGGTGCCCTCGCCAAAGCGCAGGCCTCATTAGGCAAACGCAAGCGCGACCATACCACCACCACAAGCTCTTCGCAAGATGCGAGCAGCAGTACTACACTAGACTCCATCCGCGAACAACTCCGAAAAGCGCGGGAGCAGAAAGAGCAGGGATCCTCTCACAAACACAACAGCAAACCCGCAGCACGCTCGTCAAAGCACGCGCCGACGGTGCAATCATCTAAATACGCGGTATCTCGCAAACGCATTGTCGTCGAGCCGCCGAATTCCGTCAAAGCACGCGACCCAAGGTTCGATCCCACAGTGATGAGCACCAGCAGCGCACAGCGCAACAGCAATGCGGAGGCGACGAATCGTGCATATTCGTTTCTGGACGAGTACCGCAGCGCGGAACTTAAGCAGCTTAGGGAAGAAATGGTGCGGACGAAGGATGCTGCGCAGAAGGAGAAACTGAAAAGGGCGATTACGTCTGCGACGGATAGGCAGCGGACGATGCAGAATCGGAAGAGGGAGAGGGAGGTGCTGAGTGAGCATCGGAAGCGCGAGCGGCAGTTGTTGCGTGAGGGGAAGAAGAGTCAGCCGTATTATCTGAAGAAGTCTGAGTTGAAGAGGGAAGTGTTGAAGAAGAAGTATGAGGGTATGAAGTCCAAGGAGCGCGCTAAGGCGTTGGAGAGGCGTAGGAAGAAGGTTGCTGGGAAGGAGAAGAAGGAGTTACCTTGGAGTAGGAGAGGCTTGGAATCGAGTTCATGAGCGTATATCCTCTGTTTATGTTTGGCGTATTTATTCAATCAACTACAACGCACTGTCAACAATGCAAAAGTTCAGGCTATAGTATAGTAATGTAGGTATCAAGTATGTCCTGTAATCGAAATCCGTACTAAATACACTCATTGATCTCTTTGTTTCAAGAAACATTGAAAAACAGTCATTCCCCAACCAGGGGGATCATATTAACCATGAGTCGAGTCCAACAAGTCTTCCAAGGTTAGAAGAAAAAGAATTTTCACGAGACAAGATTCAAACGCACAATATCCAATGTATACAAAAAGAAATGATGTGTATATGGATAGGCGCTGAAGAGGGGGAATCAACGGGAATCAACAATTGAAATATGAAATCAAAAGAGATAAAGGAGAAACGCCACGTAGAAAATAGAAAGAGTCATGTTCAACAAGCGGTGGATAATAGGCCTCACAAAAGAGACAATGCGATGGCGTTAGGAAGAAAGATCAACACCAAGTTCACCATCCCAATCGCATCATTTCGCTAGATCATTGCCATTGCATATTCAAGCCATCGACACCAGAAACGGGTCAACTAAGTGCTCTTCGTTAAGTTTAAAACACGAACTGTCGATTATGTTAATTTCGCGCAAGTCAAAAGGTAAGTTTGCGCTGTTTATATAGACGAGAAGCAAGCCGTGATAATGTCATCAGGCTATGAGTGGAAAAGGTCCCAGGCTCGGTCACAAAGTTGCAGGAATTCTTCCTTCTTCCTCTTTTGCGTCTCTGGAGAGTCGCGGCCGGCTCCAAACGGTCCAAACGAGGGCACGGCCGGAGCGGGCCCATTTCGGTATCTTGGGTCAGGGCCTGTACCCAGTGGAGGACTTCCATTGTCTTGTTCGTATTCGTTTCTTGTGCGACGCCGAGATGTGCCCTGCGAGGGAGCAGGGATGTGGGACTGCGTGCTCGACGCAGCACCCAGGTTTCCGTTTGTGTAGGGTGAAGGTGGAGTGGCCGGCTGACCATTATAATGTACAATCCGGGGTATAAGTTCCTCTCGACCTCCCGAAAGTTCATGTACAGCCTCCTCAGCCGATCGATACTCCCGAGATCGTTGCTGCGAAGTATTGCCAGGAGAAGACGAAAATGGTGGGATATTTGAAGACTGTGAATTGCTCGTTCCCACACCAGGTAAATGGCCGCTGCGGTCCCTTTCTCTTTCCCTCGACGACAGGTCCGATCCAAACACATCCGAGATCGGTGGCAGGCGGTTATTGGTTTGCATTGCCGGCATATGATGAATGTGAGAGGGAGATGGAAGATTTCCTGTCTGGTTGAGCACATGGCGGGTCAGCGGTGGAGGATCATGGCGACCTGTGAAAGTCTGGTGCAGAGGAGCAGACTGAACGACTCGTTCATTTGCGAATTGAGAAGCAGAAGGCGGAACGATGGAAAGGCCAGGGGGTGGTCGTTTCTTGCTACGTAGTGAACCAAAAGGATTTGAATCAGGGCCTTTGAAATCAGGACCATCGCCTTTGGCAGACTTTTGCAGTCTCGACTCGATTATCGATCGCTGCTGTTCGCGCACTGTCATGCTTCGTTGCAGTTGCTCTTGTCGGACGGGGTCGTCGGTTTGGAACCCCGGCGACAAACAGGCCAGCCCAACTTCTTGCATGCCCCGTCCTTCTCGGGCGGTCATAGGACCAGCTGGGCCACGGACGGATAATGTGCTTGCGGAAAGGTCTAGTTTGCGAGGCCGTGGCCGGGGTTGGGAGCTCATGCTGGGCGATGAGGGTGGTTCTTTCTTGATGACGATCTGGTGGGCGACACTGCTGTGGTGAATTAGCGACCGAGGAGCACATCTATATAGTATATACGGTATAGAGACAAAGACCGAGACTTACGAGGGAGACGTCTTCTTCCCTTCCGGGGTTGATTTCCCTCCAGCGCCGTCATGAGATCCCGACGTCAATCGAGAGGGCGTCGAGGCCGAAGCGGCGGATGAGTTCGAAGGAGCCAAGGTAGGATAGGCCTTGGGACTTGCAGGCCTATCTCCAAGAGAAGATGCCAGAGGAGCAGCGGTGGCAGGCGCAACGGCGGTCGACATGATGCCGCGGTGGAGAAATTGTAATTGTGGATATCACAGCGAAATATTAATAATGACTGGCGGTTGTATCCGGCCGAGCGGAGGCTGGATATGTTGTTGGCGTCCCAGACAGATGTTGCCCATATATACCTGGTTATCAAGGCGATGTTGAGGGGTCAAGCGAGCGACGTCTGGCGAACAGACCTGTGCAAGGCGTACTCTACTCGAGATCGACGGCTTCCAGAATGCGATGACAAGCACGAACGAGTTGAGGAAGTGTTAGACGCCGTCCAGGCACTGCTTGTGCAGAGAGCAGCAAGCACTCGACAGAAGCGTCTCTTCGCAGCAGTGGGAGAGGCGAGGTGGCACTTGTGTCGAACAACAGGTCAGCACGTCCTGAGTCTGAAAGTGGTTCGAGATGGCGGCGCTTGGAGCGATGCACACTTGGTACAGAGCAGTTAGGCCTGGGTACTGCAGGTCAGTCTCAGGGAGGTGGAGCTGCGAATCAAGAGCACTGGACTGGCGCACGCTAAGAGGTGCATTAAGGACCCAGCCAGTGCAGCAGAAGAGTTTTAATTTCTAGTGATAGTGATGGGGTGTCTCAGCGCTCGGAGCGACGGGGCGATTGGACGAGGGCGGATTGGACACAGTCAGAAGAGCTGGGCGGGCGGTTGGGGCCAGGCCGAGCGGTTATTCACATCCCCTTTCTACAGACTAGGCTCCCAGTCCCACCAGTTCTACACTTAGACGACGTACTTGCGACTTATGCTCGTGCCATATAGTTATGATTCTCGATATTCCTCGATATGCGTACTGCAGTGAACTGAGATGTTATCAGAATACGGATCGATGGCAGTCAATAACTCTAAGAGCAGTAAGCGCTGGCGTGTCCCGTCGGCCAATTCTGAGACGCCCAGCCAGATAATGTTCAACTAGTCTGCAGCCTGAAACCTGGCCTGACGCCATGAGGGTCCAGCGATCTGGTCGGTGTCGTAGCGGACATTCTTCTTCGATGTCATATCGCTTGCCTCTTACCACCCGGGGGACAGAATCGCCAAACCCATGGCATGGAATGCTACATAGGTACGGAGTCGAGCAGTGTGGATACGGATATAAGGATATGGATATGGATAAATATTAATACATAGCCAGAGCAAGTCAATACCCCTCAGAGACCGATCTGAGACTGTCGCATGCGAGTGGATCGAAAAATTCAATAGTTCTGCGTGCGACCCACTGTTCTGTCCATCACTGATTCGCGTCTGTCTATCCGTACTATCTCCATTGTTATTATTTATCATCATCAGGTTCAGTTAATCGTGCTTGTATGGCGCATCCGCCAATCCCTGCTCGAATCCGAGTCCCTCTGAAACTTGGCTAATCATCTCACTAATTTTATTTCAATATTAACGATTAACCCGGCCAACTAGTTTAAATAATAGAAATAGAGGATGATACTGTCTGGTCGCATCAGAACATACTTGGGCTGTTACAGTGACATCTGCCAGCCCTATCGATACTGATGGTATGCAGGGTCGCCATTCTTGCAAAGTCTTTGCCACTTATACGCCAGGACTTGATTATCTGGTTACGTATGTATATGTAGTCAATATACATATCGTAGAAATTATTATGATGGTGGTTGATGCCACTAATGCCATTAATTTGCTTAAGTTAGCACCCATAGCCAGGCCTAGACCACGCACTTGACCTGCATGATTATGTACTCTCTCAATAATTAATATTCACCTATTAACTGAAGCCTGACACTCGACAAAAACCATCAATCATTAATGGTCCGAATTCGAATATTAATCAAATAGACATTCGCAATTAAATATTAATATTAATATATAGGGGCATATGTGGAGAAACGCCACGCAAACAAAGACAGCGTGTTTCATCTGCAGATCGCTGACTTCTAACGGCAAACCTGTTGGTTTTATTATCTATTACTGACAGTCGCCGACCAGCGACTGGAGCCCGATACTTAAGGACTATTTTTTATTTTCTTTTTATTATTTATTAGTCTTTGCTACCCCGCCAAAACTTGAATTATGCTACTAATTGCCGATCTGCTGTCCTCCTGACCTCAAGTGCTGTGTCGGCGTGCTATTTGTCATTGTGAAACAGGCCAGTCATTATTAACATTATTCCTGTTGCAGATGTCAACTGGTTGTGCTAGTTAAGAGCTAGCTAGATGGAGGATGTGCTTGGTTCCTCAATCTCGATTTTATATACAAATAACTGTGTATGTTGAACGCACGGTAGTACGAGGTGTCAATTATTGTTTAAACCCGACCCAAACTACTGCCAAACCTTGTCCTGAAATAGAAAACTCTTAAAGATTAATTTTAATATTAATTCGTTTATCAACTACTTATATTTTAAAAAAAGTCAATATTTCCCAACTCACTGGCCAATCACAAGCCCGCCGCATCCCCCACACCTGCTATCGATAACTTTTTTTTGCCTTTTCTCAAGTCACGACTCATAATACAACCAACCACCTTCTCAATCCACCCACGCCGAATCCGACCCCCATCCTCGATTACATTTACCGAAAGATTAACACTACCATGCCTTCTTCCATCCCCGACCAACCACCGCACGACCAATCCATGGCGGACGCCGACATGGACACCGCCGGACAGCAAGACCTTGACCAAGAAACCGGTGACGCAGAAGAGGAGATTGAAATCGGCGAGAACAGGGTTTCTGTCGTATGCCTGCATCCGTACCCTCAAATTTGTGTGAGACAAAGCTGATTGAGTAAAGCTCTCCGGTGGAACGGATACCGCGGCATCATTCCAATTTAAAGACGAGGGGCATACGCTCGGAAACGCGCTTCGATATGTCATCATGAAAAAGTGAGCAGACCACGAAGGAAGTTTTTAAGGGTAGTGCTGATTGGCTGATTGTGATAGCCCTGCTGTCGAGTTCTGTGGTTACACGATCCCGCATCCATCAGAAGCGAAAATGAATCTGAGGATTCAGACATACGGTACTTCTCTCTCTCTCTCTCTCTCTCTCTCTCTCGTGGACTTTTCTGGATTTGTGTTGATGATGTTTAGAGAATACTACGGCCGTCGAAGCGCTTGAGAAAGGATTGGATGATTTGATGGATCTGTGTGATGTTGTCACGGACAAGTTCACTGCTGCGCGCGACGGGTTTGATGCTGTGCAGGCTGATAAGATGATTTCATGAAATGGATTTAGTGTTTATTTTGTTATTGAAAGATAGTGCATTATCAACGGCGTTTGGTTGGATAGATTCTGCTTTTAGTAATAATGATTCAATTCTAGCATTACTCTCACTTGTCTAGAGTTACAATACCGGTAAGATAGTTTAATAAAATGGATAGACCACAAATGAAATTGAATCAACTGTTTCTAGTATATACACATTCTTGTCGCTGCGCCATAAGCATTACGAAAGATTCTATTTTATCACAGCGAGCGATTGTTCAGTTGCGTCCCTACAAAAGTCAGCCCAAATCCTAGAAAATATGCTAGTTAGGGAATAGTCACCTCCAAGAAACCAGAGATAAAGTTGGGCGGCAGTCTGGCCGCTGGCTCTTCCTCCGGTCTGAAGTATTTCATCACATGCGAGAGCTGTTTCCAGTAATTGAGGGTTTCCTTTAACACAAGTCAGCACAAGCTCTCATATACCATTAAGTACTAGGTGTATAGAAATGAATGGATGATTCTACCTGAAACTCCGCATGGCTCTGGAAGAGCAGCACGTCCACTACACTCAGTTGGCTGACATAGCGGTGTTTCTCAAACTGCTGCCGAACTTTGGTGCGGATGACGGAGACGGGGATGTTTAGGGAGTACATTGTCTGGATCTCGGGGGACTGTTGCAAGTAAGTATTAGCATAGTCGTATCAGCTAATGCTTCAACTAGCGCACGATGGCCGACAACGAGGGCCGAGGACTCAAGGCCAGGTTCAAGGATAGTAAACGCACCGCTCGCAGCCATTCTCGATACGACATGCGCACTCTCGCCGACGCATCCGCCCAATTGACAGCTAATTCCAAGACCTTGTCAGTTCTGGTTCGTCAAGAACGCACGCAAGGATTAGGGTGGAACTCGTACATTGGCGCGTGCGTTGCGCGAGATATGTCGGGTTGATGGTCATTATTCTCTCGTTCGTCTTCGGTCTGAGCCTTTGAGGGAAGACCAAATTCAATTGTGTCGGCGTAGGAGGTGAACGTGACGGTGAAGTCTTGCTTGTCCTGGAGTCTTGGTGGAGGTGCGGGTTGGAGAATCCGCCAGGCCTGGATGGGTTTAGTGGCTTGTGGGCATTCTTACCGCCTGCCATTTAGGAAATTTTTTCTATCGGACTTGGAATCAGGAAGCAGCGAATTTATTGTTGATCAAGCATACACAACGCCTATTATTATTCATCCACTATAATTAATTTGTAGGTATCTACTGATACTTCTACAATGGCGCCCACGAAGTTCCCTGCAAAAGGAAAGCCCTCCTCCAAAGGCAAAGTGCTCTCCTCCGGCTCGAAAATCAGCAAATCCACAGCAAAGAAGAACGCGAAACGTCCGCCTCCCAAGGAAGTCAAATCGAAGTCCCGCAGTGCGCCGGACCAACAGAAGAAGACTAAGAAGAGGGAATATACTGAAAAGGAACTGGGGCTGCCGACTCTGAATATGATTACGCCGGTTGGGGTGCAGACGCCGAGGGGGAAAAAGAAGGGGAAGATTTTTGTGGATGATCAGGTGGATACTATTTTTTTAAAAAATGTTGATACGTGATGGCTGACGCTGGTTAGGAGAGTATGATGACGCTGGTCGCTATTGTCAATGCAGAGCGGGAAGGTAAAATAGAGTCGAAACTGATCAAGGCTCGACAAATGGAAGAAATCCGAGAAGCAAAGAAGAAAGAAGCAGAGGCTAGAGCTGAAAAGAAGAAATCGAAGCTGGTACGACATGTTTTATTTCTTTTTCTATGAATAAAGGCTAATCGATATTCTGTTTATAGGAGGATATCAAAGACGAGTTGCGCAATAAGAAAAAGAAGAATGCATTTGCTGAGCCGAAAAAACCAGAGTCTGCTTCAAAGTCGTCTAAAGGGAAGTGGTCATCTCAAGGGAAACGGAAGAGCGTTTCTTTTGCATGAGGCGTTCTATGTATTTGTATGGGTTTTGCTGATGAGCGGATTTGAACGGGCTTATCTTAAAAAGAACTCTAGTTCTTGTCGGAATAGGAGTTCGGGTGACATTGCATGGCTGGATAGGGTGCACAGCTGGATGGTCATTGTTGATGGGTATCCCAGAATAATTTACGACGCATGGGATGGAAGTTGGGTTGATCGACTTCTTTATGGCCATTACCGTTGGCAACGGGTTTCTCGGGTTGCTTGCTTTGAACTGGAGCAACTGTCAGGTCGACTTGCGTCGCTAGCAAGTCGAGAAAATCTGCTGCCTGTGCACCGCTGCATTAGCAATCTCCAGCAGACGTTAATCCAGCGAAGACTTGGATGACGACATACCGGTTTAACAAACCATCGCGACCCTCCAACTTCAAACCATCCCAGATGGCCTCCCCAGGACGTGGTCAGCAGGACCCCGTATGGCGTTTGCTGGAACTCATTGTACGGTATTGCTTCTTTGACGGAGATCTGTCTTGATTAGCCGTGTACTTAAAACAACAATTTAATACAACTCACCGGGTCATCCTCGGCATTGATGGATAGGAACGGGATTTTAATTGCCAGAAGAGAATCTGTAGAAGAGGCATCCCGGTGGTAAGCGCCTTCAGTTGGGTATCCCCATAAGGCGCATTGCACGACCCTAGACATACAATTAATTACTTCTCTCAACCAGTTTCCAGCAATCTCGAGAACCATACCTATCAAACTCGTAAATGTATCTGACCTTCTGCACATCTGCTACTTTCAGGAGCGGATGATCTGATAGTTCGTCGGCATGTCTGGAATCAGGGCTACCAGTCAGCATTGAACGAACAGTAGATAAGCAGCTTTACGCACTCGTTGAAAAGGCGGACGAGATTAGCGCCCAATGCAGAAGAGTATACCTCCGTCCCTATCCAGCTCTGTTTCAAGACGCTGTTTGACAGGTCCAGATTCCACGGGTTGGAACAGACCACAGCGCCCTTGAGCTCACAATTCTCACCTTCTTCACCGAGATACTACAATATCATAGATTAGCCTTTCAATCCCATTTTATCGAGCTTAGCAGCTTACATTAGACAAAATATTAGCTCCGAGGGAGAACCCGATGCCGAACAAAGGACGGTTCGGAAAAGATTTGCGCAACCATTTAACCAACTGTCGAACATCCCATGTTGCGCGCGCATTGAATAGCACTGGAGTGCTAATCTTTGTTTGCGCGCAACCTCGCCCATTGATAACACATGCCTCCCAGCCCCGATCCTGCAGGACGAGAGGAGCCAGCACGGATCTGAGATAGACCTCGTGAGATCCGCCTGTTAAGCCGTGCAGGGCAATAAGCATCGGTCTGCTGTCATCGGACGGCAACGACTCCAATTCATCTTTAGAGAAAAGGGCCGTTCGTGATGGAAGGCCCGATGGGAGAGTATATTTTCGTGCTGCGTCAGTGGCTTCCTCGTCCACCGGCTGTTCGTACGGCGGCACAACGAAATCAACTGCAAACTGTCCTGCAAATAAAGCGTCCTCCTGCTCGAAAATCTTGCGCTTGTAGTACACCGGGATTTCTACACTCTCCTTGAGCGTGGTCCAGGCGGTCTGCAAGTGGCCGTTGAATAGCAATGGGTTGAGGTTGCATGTTGATGGTGTGGCTTGTCGGCAGACGTCTACAAGGCTGATTTGTTCTTTCCCCTGACCATCGTCGCCTGAAGCCTTTTTGGTTAGCAGCAGTGGGTTACTTTCGCAGTGGAATAGAGATATCTTTGCATTCGGCTTGAGCCATGATAATGCGCTCATCTTCAACTGATGGGGCGTGGGAGCTAAAATTAGCGGCTAATGATCTGTCATGAGACGACACGGTATGGATTAGCGAGACGAAGACAGGCACAACAGTGTATCCGGAGTGAACGTTACTCTGGCGTGAAAAAACGAGAGCACAAAGCGGCCGAAACAAGTATGTGTCACAAACCTCGGCTTATCAATGGTCGAATCAGGCATCGGCGTGGCCGGCAGTGGGCCGTCTTGGCGCTGATCAGATTAGAGCTGTGGGGCCGCATTGCTGCCTGGGCGATTAGGCATCAACCAGGTGTTCACGAGGGGTTTACATGTGACGCTCACCCTGACATTGGCAGACACCAACAGAAGCTCCAGACCTCCAGACCTCCAGACACTCGCAGACACTATCCACTAGAATCAAATGCTGAGATAATATTAGATGAACTAACTTAACGCATGCTTGCTATTTCGTTTATACTTGTCGCCAGGGTTGGTCCCTGCTCCATACCGCATGCGGAAATGGCGAGCTCCATCGCGTTGCAAGTCACATTGCAGCGGCGGCCAGCATGGTGTCGTCAGGTGTCGCTTGCAACTGACCCGTTTCCGTAGACAGAAGAAGCCGCTGTCAACGAGAGGAGACGGACTAGTCTCCTGACATGCTTTCTGATTAGAGTTCCGTTTCCTGAACACTGCCGACCTGATTTAGCCTGACGAACATGTAACCGGCCAAATAGCCATCCGCTTGCGTCAAGATGCTCAGACTTATATCGACTATCCCTCGTGCAATACACGCATGACTCTGCTTTTATATGGGTGGACGCGCTCGTGTCGCTACCGGCCGCCATATCAATGGTACCTCGCGCTTGTTCACCATGCAGTCATAATGACAAGATCCTACCCGCCTAATGTTATTCACCCTTCAACCTGGAGCAAACCGCGTATATCATACATACAGAAAGGCTTTGAATGAAATGCAAATAATGCGGCCACGGACATTGAACCTGTTCGCGAGATTGAGGGTTTCGAGAAAACCAACTGAGAAGGGGAAAGAAATGGAGAAGGGCGAAGAAAAGAGCTCCAACAGATGCTTCATCATGGAGCTTCCGACAGAGTTGCTCGCCATGGTATCTGACCATCTAGACCCTCTTTCGGGAGCATGTCTAGCTATGGCCTGTAAACGACTGCTCCTAATTTCCGGGGCGTCGCTGGTCTCAGATTGTCTCCAATTCAAAAAGGATTTTGCTCCTCTATTTCACCATTATAGGAGTAACCAAAGCTTCCAAACAGATCGTTGGCAATTGTTAGAAAGATTAGAAGACGAAAGGTGGCTGGCCTGCTCGAAATGCCTCAAACTTCACCCCCACGTCGCCTTCACTTCGAAAGAACTTCGGCGAGAGTCGTATCTACGAGCGTGCAACCTCGGCGAGCTGGCAGGAGTTGTAGATCTCTGCCCATGTAGGAAGTTGACTTTCCAGGACAAAGTCAACCTGGTACAGCATCTGAAGGATCGCGAGGCATTCACGAAGATGCCGTCGAGTATACTGGGCAGTCACAGCTACGACGATAGGTATCTGTGGCATTCATGCAAGGCCATATACGGAAATACCGAAGTCTCCATCGAGATTTACCCTGAAATTGATGACGATGAAAGGCTCATGATCCGCACCGAGTACCGCTTGTACGTGGAGCCCAACCGGCTGGGCAAACATCAGTATATCACACCGCGTTTTGGTTGCGCACATCGGTCGATGGATCTGTGGCTATCGAGTGTGTGTCAGACACTGTACTGCCACAGATACAACTCATTCTGCTCCGCGTGCAAGCGGATCAATGTATGCAGCACATGCGACACGACGCTCAAATGTCCCAAGAAGAGGCCTTTTCATTGCCAAGAAACCAACAAGATGGCTTACTTCTTCTGGACCCAGCGGTGTCTGGGGCGATCAACAGATATTCCGGACAAAGAATGGGCCGTACAAAGAATACACCCAGTCGAGTCACACGTCACTTGGAATAACTGCCGAGAGCTCTGTCCTTGGACCATACGGATGCACCCACCACCAAACCATGCGCCTTCGCTGGGTAACGATATCCTGGACCCGGCTTTGGAAGAGAGCAGCGAGGATTTTGCGAGCCAAGTCTATACATCGCTCCACCTTGAATAGATAGCCTGAATTTGATGTATAATAAGTTATGGATTCGTCAATCAATAATAAGTTAGCCATTTCTTACCGTTGTGAACACAGAGATATTAACATAAACACCACAAACATGAAACAACAAGACGTATGAAATAGAATGTTGACATGAATGTAGAAGTAAGGAAGGAAGGCGTATGATGGAGCATGGTTTCTCCGCCCCGACGCGAGTTGCGACTGCCGCCTAACTTTAGGTTAAGCGGGCGATCAAGAAAGGGAACGACAGACTTCTGCATGTATAGCAAATACGACAAGCCCTGGGGCCACTCCCTCGCCCTTTCTCTTTATATATTCTTTACCCTTCCCAAAGGCAATGAGTTACCCACCGCCCTATAATAACGCGCAGTTTCCGTCCCAGTATCCTCCACAGTATCTGCAGCAAATCCCTCAGAATCCATCCCACGCTCCGCATCCTCCGCATTCTGCGTCCGTCCCTCAGCAGCAGTACAATGTCAATCCCAATGTGCAATACCACCAATATACAGCCTCGTATGGCTATCCCCAGGTCATACTACCCCAGTATGTCCCTCAATATGCACAGCACCCGCAACAACTGCCGCAGCAGCAGCTACCGCAACACCAACACCAACACCAACAGCAACAACAATTCCACTCGCCGATAGTACAGCAACAGCAAGGACTAGCGCATACACTGCCACCTCAATCTCCACAGCTGCAACAGCACCAGCAGCAATACCATTCCCCAGTAATCCAGCAGCGGCAACAGCAACAAATACTGGCTCCTCAGTCGCCGCAACCACTACAACAGCAACCTACGCAACATCAGTACCAGCAAGTGCAGCAACAGCCGCAACACCCTGAACCACCTTTACAATTCGTCAACCCTGCCGAAACCACCTTATCAGCACTTCCAATCCAACGCTCCATCTCGAGTTCCGGCTCTCCTACCCAATTCACCCATGGGCTTCCCACGGCGCCCCCAGCCGTTCCTCAATATGCATATTCTGCAGCCTCGCCGTCCGCCCCGGCAGTGCAGAGCATTGCGCTGTACCACAATACTTCCAATGAAACAAAGGAAAATCGTCGTGGACAATACACTCCAATTGTAAAATCACCCGCAATACCTCCACCGCCTCTTAGCAACACCCCAGCTACGTCATCTGCACCAGTCAGTCAAACGCAGAAAACACCAAAAGCGTCCCCTTCGCCCTTCAGCCTGGTCCCCCAGGTTGTGATGCCATCGCCGTCTAGTTACCAGAAGGTGACTCCTAAGGTAGTCGTCCCGCCAGCTCCTCAGGTCACACCCAAACGTCCCCCAGATGAGGATGTAGACTATCAAACATTGCTGCTAGCCTTGGCAGACGAGTATTTGAATACAGCTCATAGGAAGGGGACTAATCTGGCATTGACAAAAAATAGCGACGATCTGGCAGATTATTACAAGTTGGTTGCGACGGGGCTAGGCTGTTTGGAAGCTGCGCAAACCGTTCGTATCTTCGCATGATTTCTCTGAACTGCTCTAATATGTAATATTGCAGAATTTTCGTTTACCACCACGCACTGAAGCATTAACGCGATTGCGATACGCTCGCATACTCATCGAAGAAACCGATAACGATGTAGAAGCTGAAACAGCCCTGAGTAAAGGAGTAAGTCGTTTCCTTCCTGTGCTTGAATTGATGTTCATTTCTAATACGACAATAGATTGAAGTTTGTGAAAGAGTAAGCTCTGTATACTGAAATAATTTGATAATGCCCTAACTTGGTGGTAGAACAAGCTCGTGGATCTTAAATACACCATGCAGCAGCTTTTGGCGCGGATGCTTCACAAATCCAACCCCAAGGCAGCCGTAAAGGCTGTTGACAATATGATTCAAGAAGTTGAAACGTGCGTCTTCCAATATACTTTTCGGCGAAAAATGCTTACAATGACCCTTAGATATCGTCACGTTCCATGGGAGTATGCCTTTCGCTTGCTTAGAGTGAGTCTTGCACTGTCCTCTAGATCCCACCAAGAGTTTGTTGCGGCCATTCATAATCTACAAAAACTATCCAATCTCGCAAGCCGAAATGGCGATAAGACCGTGTCCGTCATAGCTGCTTTGATTGAAGCATTAACACATTTACAACTGTCGACAAATTCGGATTCTGTTGAACAGGCCCAGAATGCCGTGGCAGTAGCACGCAGCCACCAACTGGACCCGAGTGTGGGCGACATCCCTCAAATTGCCTCTATGGTTCAGATGGTAGACATATCTTGCAGCTTGCTAGAATACGACTTGAACCATGCATCTCAAAAACTACAGATAATGCAGACATTGATGGACCAGCGTATTAATGACTCCCGATGGCGCGATGACGGGACGTTCACCATTCCACTAAATAGCAAATCCTCGTCTACTCAGAGTGAATTAGGGGATATACTCCGCGTAGAGGACGGGAAGCTGTGCTTGACTTTGAACTGGCTGCCCCAGCATGACCTTTATGCCCTCTGTTACTTCTTGAGCTCTGTCACGTTAGGTGCCAAGAATTCGCACGACGGCCGGAAAGCAGAGAAGTATTTGCAGGAGGGCTTGCGGATGGTTCGTGGTATGTTTGAAGCTCTAAGTTTGCAAAACCAATTGTTAACACGTCGTAGGTAATTTCAAGGCACCTGAAGAGATAAAAGAATCGTTTGTCGCTGCAGGCAAACGACTTGAATGGCGACGGATTTTACACTGCAATATTCTGTTGCATCAAACGTTTCTGGCCTGCGCCAGAACCGACTGGGACACAGCTAATCAAATCCTCAAAGACCTGCGTCTCGCTGCGGATGAGCTAGGAAATACACTACCAGAGACGATTTCGTGCCTCATACAGTACGCTACTGGCGTGATCGCTCAAAGTACTGGCGATCTTAATGCAGCATTATCTGCCTTTCAGTCCCCAATCTTCTCACTTTCATCTTCTAGTAGAACCACACGCAATGATCCTTGCCGGGATACATCAATTCTCGCGGCCCTCAACAGCATCCTGATCCTCCGACAACCCTCTCATCCATCGCATTCTCGCCTTGACGATGTACTATCCACAGTCGAGCCACTATGTCTCAGTAGCTGCAACCGATACATCCAAGCCGCTTATTATCTGGTATGCGCGATTGTCCACACTGATTCCACCATTCAAACAAAACAATATCTCCAACAAGCCCTACAATCCGCCACTGCGATCAGCAACAGTCAAATCACATGCATCACCCTGACATTCATGAGCTGGAAATACTTTCGTGGGGTTATTGGAGAGCAAGCGGAGAAGAGCGCGCGTGCAGGTCGAGCCATGGCGAAAAAGGCCAACGATCGTCTTTGGGTCAGCGTCACTGATGAGCTTTTGGCTGAGATGCTGGATCGACAGGGGAAGGCTGACGAGGCGCATGCCGTGCGTGAAGAGGCTGACCGGGTGTTGATGGGACTGCCGTCGGCGGTGAAATCGACAGAGTATCGATGAGAGGTACTCTCGCAAAAATTGAATATATATGTCGACGTTATTTTCCTTTTCATTTCTTTTCGGACATGGGGTCGGTACATTTGATCTTCTAAAAGATAGTTTGGGTGCAGGCGTCACGGATCTAAGATACCACATGCGATTTTCATTTACTTCTTGTCATACTGCTCGCAACTTCTCATTTGATTCAACCATGATAAACGACAATAAGATTTGCATCAACGTCATGGCTTAGCAATAACTTGATAGATGACAATGCCATTTCAAACAGGGGATAACCAGACCCCTCAGACATGAGCAAGAATAAAAAGATAGCAATCCCCCGACTAAACAGAACACTAGGAGTGGAAAGAAGTAATGTAAATGATATGTCGACGCTCGAAATAAAACTCCAACTCCACTAACTCCAGCAAATCCTACCCGTACATGCTTCCCTAACTCAGACCATACATGCGAAAAATCGACCAAAGTGCTCAGCCCAAACCACCCCACATCCCCCTGATCCGTCTCGCAAGCTGTATATCCTTCTGCATAATCGTTACTCTCTTAGCATGTATAGCGCACAGATTCGTATCCTCGAATAAATGCACCAGGAACGCCTCCGCTGCCTCTTGCAATGCTTGAATCGCGTGCGACTGCCACCGGAGCTCCGCGCCGACCTCAGCCGGCAACAAATCCAGCGCGACTTCGCGCACAAGTCGCGCAAAGGGCATTTTAAGGAGTAGCAGGTCGAATGAGCGCTGATACTTGCGGATTTCTTTGAGGGCCACCGTGCCTGGTTTGTATCGACGGCGGCGGCCGGTGGGGGTTGGGTCGCCGGCTGTTAGAATGGCTGTTAGAATACGCAAAAACACTCCATTTTATCTGATAAAAGTGAGGGGCAACTCACGTTGTATATTAGAAGCGCGAGGCTTTTTCCCCGCTGGTCGCTTTCCCACTGCCCCCGTGGATTTGCGCTTGGCTGGCGAATTGGCTTGTTTGGCACCGGCGCCGCTGGCTTTACTGCTAGCTGCGGTCTTTGTAGCCTTGCTGGGCGATGTTGTTGTTGCTGTCGTTGATGGGCCAGCTTCGCTTTCAGCTGCTCTTTGCGTCTCTGTGCTGGCCTTTGGCCGTCCTCGACCGGTCTTTGGCGGCATTTTTGGAGATGGTATTAGGGTGGTTTGAGATGGAAATAGCAGTTTCTGATCTTTGCGCAAGCTGTATGAATGGGTTACTAGCTTGGCGCCCAAAGGGGGCGGTCGCGATTGATTTCCTAGTAGCTTCAATTTGCGATTATTCCTTCAGGGGTGTTGTCACTGAGGTAATGTTTGACTGCTGAAGCGCAATCTCGATAGTCGCAGAACTGAACGCTTCACAATCTCAAATAGTATCGCAATGTGAGTAGGAGCGAAGTGAAGAGAGCCCGATTGGCATCCTTTTCAAAGTCAAAAGTCGAAACTCCTGCCCCCTCCAGAAGAGGAACGTATATTAGTAGCTTCCCAGCCACCGATTTTCTCCCGCGTAAAGTATTTTCGTAGCGCGTCTCCGGCTTTCCGCTGTGGCGCATGGCAGCGGTGTGCGGCGGCAGAAAGCATGTGCGGCGCTGATAACACGCCGCTTTACTGCTTTGGGCAACCGATTACTGGAAGCTACGTTGTCTGCATAGTGACTGTCATACATTATATTATATGTGGCATGGACCAGAGAGGCCACCTAAGCCAGTGAATATCCCTGCATACACACACGCAACAGCATCTCTCGACATTACCCTAGAGAAAGGTCCCTTAGGCTCCAGTTGCACAATTGCCATTCGTGACCTTTCTTCCACGTCATCATTTCTCGAGAGCCCTCGCGGCTTAGTCTCATAATCCGCCGTCAATCACATCTCAACAGCGGCAACACATATCTACAACATGGCTGCTGTGTGGGGAAATGGGGCCCAGGGAGGACAGTTCCCTCTCGAGCAGTGGTTCTACGAAATGCCGCCTTGCACGCGCTGGTGGACGACTGCGACAGTGGCTACCTCGGTGTTAGTTCAATGCGGCGCTTTATCTCAGTATCAGCTCTTTTACAGCCTGCCTGCAGTATATTTAAGATCACAGGTTGGTGATATTTTGAGGGACTAATTTTGGATGTTTCATGAAGCTAACAGGTCGATGAGTAGTACTGGCGTTTGATCACAACCTTTTTATACTTCGGTCCGCTGAACCTGGACCTTCTTTTCCACGTCTTTTTCCTTCAACGATACTCGCGTCTGCTCGAAGAATCATCCGGCCGATCCCCCGCGGACTTTTCATGGCTGCTCTTCTACGCCATGAGTTCGCTCCTGATCATCTCCCCATTCCTCAAATTGCCGTATCTGGGCGGCTCGCTCTCAGCCAGCTTGGTTTATATCTGGAGTCGCCGGAACCCGGATACGCGGTTGAGCTTCCTCGGGCTTCTTGTATTCACTGCGCCGTATCTGCCGTGGGTGTTGATGGCGTTTAGTTTCATCGTTCATCGGACGGTGCCCAAGGATGACATTTGCGGGGTTATCGTGGGTCATATCTGGTACTTTTTCTCTGACGTGTACCCGTCTCTGCACGGCGGCCACCGTCCCTTAGACCCTCCCGCATGGTGGAGGAGGTTATTCGAGGGCCGGGCTCCAGCGGCCTCGCGCGACGAGGATGAAGCTGAGGACCTACAAACAGCGAATATCAACCCGGACATTGCCGCGGCCGCAGCGGCGCCGGAAGTTTTGTGATCGACCCTCAAGTTGTCACGGATTGAAGTCACATGACTCTGGCTCTGTTAGAATATGGTATGATACCAAGAGTTAGACGTAATCAAGGAGTTTGGATTTGGATTGGGATTCTTTTTCTTTCTGTTCTTTTATTACTATCTACAGGTTCATCTATATCAGTCTTGGCGAGAGTATCGAGGAGCATTGAGGTGTTTGGCATGCATTTCTTGCGTTTTAGCGAGTGTCTATATCTGTCTCGTATATCTCATATCTAGCCGTCTTGCTATGAATAAAATCACTACCATTCAATGACAAGTACACCAATGCGTACCCGAGGTTAATAATAGCAACCCCATAATTACTTGCAAAAATCCAACGCCAAGCGAATCCAAAGCCACAAGTGCCGAGTCCCAAGACATGCCAAGCGCCTTTGAATACAATTCTTCCAACGATCAACCCGTTACATAGCGTGCCCTGAAGGAACCCAACACACACCACGATTAATCACGTGACAAGATAACCTCAGAGAAGCTCAGACCCTGTATAGGTAGTATTAGTACGTGGGGTTTATTCTTGCCCTGTCTTATGTGGTATTGTTGGGAGGCCGCGTGGCATACCCTTTTGCGGAAACCATCGCGAGCCCTAGCCTGGCATAGCGTCTCCACCCAGCGGCGCCGGTCTACAAGTGGAGCAATAAATGTGAATACGGGAAAATACGCGTATTCCAATGTGCGGTGTATTTACTTGCCCTGTGCAGATATGAACTTGGCAACTTAACAACCGTTGCGCGGAGCTTGCTAGTTCTTCCGCTCGTTCACCCATTGCTCCGTAGTAACTATTAATTATTACTCCTTGTTTTTGGCTGTTCAAGCTTCAATCTAGGTTTTCTTTCAGTTACTGCGGATTTGGTTGGGGACAGGATCGAGGTTAAAATTTGTATCCTCATCGCCACTGTTCTCTGGGTACTCTCTCGCATCATGTGCCGGTTTGACCGTGGTGACCGTGGTCGTCGGTGTCGATTAACCATAAAGTAAATCGAGTCCGTACCACACAAATTTGCGCAGTCCCCGTGCTAATTAATTACATCGACTCCATACTCTATACTCATAGAGCCAATTGGCGCTCGTTCCACGTATTCACATTCCCACCATAACATTAAATCATGTTTTTGGCATTGAAAAGACAAACTTGAGTGCCTTGTATACTGCGAGATGCCATCATTATTGCTAGTTAGCGCCACCTCCGACGCGTCAATGCCGTCCAAGCCACACGGCCACGCTTGGCCGGCTGTGCGGACCATTGGTTCGGACATAATGTTCTGTTGCACTTGCACAACTAGAATCTGGCCGTGCGAGTGATAGCGTTGTTACCGACTCGCCGACTCGCCGACCCGCCGATGGTTCGAATCGTGCGACAGTACTAAATAGTCTATCTTTCCTTCGCCCCACGGTGGTGACCTCAGAGGTGCGCCTCGTCGTAATCTGGGTGGCTCGTGCTGATGGCGGCGATCATCGTAATACATAATCCTGTAGTTGACAGAAAAAGTAATAGCAATAGCAATAGCAGTAGGAATAGGAATAGTAAAGAATAAAAAGTAGAGTACAGAGCAAAGAGCAAGAATGAATAGTAAGTAGGAATACAGTGAACGAGAGTACTATGAAGAGCAGTGCTCTATGGCAGAAAATCCCCGCCGTTGCGTTACCGCTAGCGTCACGTACCGTATCGGCCGTATCTCGATACCGCCCTGCGCGGCCGAATTTTTGATCCTGACTGGACCCCCTGGGCAGTACAACCGCCGTTGCTCGATTAATCAAGACCTACCATCTCCCTCTTTTCAACCCTTAAGTGAAGGGCCTGACCACGCTCCTTGTCCTTGTTCTAGTCTGTCCCTAAGTAACACTGTTAATAACTGGTCCAGCCTGAAGATATCTTCCTTGCCTTTCGTGGCGCTCTCTAATTCTCGTCACTCGCCATCTCGTCATCCGACTCTAAGCTCCTACACCTCGCCGCGTTGAGGAGCGCTTCGACTTTGATCCAATCCAATAAAAGAAGCGACGCCGCTCGTTGAATAATAGTCCCCGACAGTGACTACCCGATCCATTTTCTTGTTAATGCCATTAATCGCTGCGTCTCGACGTTGATCTGCTTCGATTCCCTCGACGCTGGGCACTTGCGACTGTCATTATTTCATGCCCACCAATTCCAATCTGTCGTGAAACTCAACCTGACCAGGATAACAAAGGTGTCGGGCTCCCGTTAATACACTGCCACGGCACCGGCTGCCTTCCCCCGTTACCACGATGCGGCGCGGCGTGCTTATCTTCATTATCGTCAATCTCCTCATCATCACCTTTCTCGTTCGCAATGTCTTCACCTTGTTGTCACTACTCGTCGAGGATGCGTCCGCCGACGCCATACACCGAGCCGACATCCCCTCGCCCGTCTCCAGCCTGCTCGAAACTCGCCCGCAGATTATTCCCAAGATTATTCACCAGACGTATATAAACGAGTCCATCCCAGCGCATTGGGTGGAACCCCAACAGTCCTGCATAAACCTTCATCCAGATTATGAGTATATGGTGGGTTGTACACGAACCGTGTTTTGAATTAACTCTAAAGCTAACTTTGGTATGTAGCTCTGGACGAATGAGAAATCGAGGGAATTCATTGCAACTGAATACCCCTGGTTTTTGGAGACCTACGATGGCTACAAATATCCAATTCAGCGGGCGGATTCCATTCGCTACTTCGTCCTGGCTTATTACGGTGGCACATACATTGATCTAGATGACGTATGTGATTCATATGCCGTGTCTGGCTCCCGACTGACTGTTTACTGCTATAGGGCTGCCAACGACGCCTTGACCCTCTTCTTTCGTATCCAGCGTGGGTTCGCAGAACGAAACCTACCGGAATATCGAACGACGCCATGGGTGCAATCCCGCAGCATCCGTTTTTCCTGCGAGTAGTCGAGTCTCTCCAGTCATACGATAAGCATTGGTTCTTGCCGTACATTACGGTTATGTACTCCACCGGCCCGTTGTTTTTGTCTGTCGTTTGGAAAGAGTACATGAGGGAGGGCAATTTCGACCGCGTTCGAATATTGATGCCTGATGAATATAACCGGTTCTCCTGGAGTTTCTTCACACACCATACGGGCAACAGTTGGCACGGCGCTGATGCCCAGCTGATTTTCTGGGTATGTTACACCACTATTCACTAATTCCATTCTAACCATTATCTAGATGCTCCGTTATTGGGTGCTGCTTACTGCCGTCGGCTTTATCCTTGCCGGTGTCGTGGGTTTTTGTATGTGGTGGGTGTATGGCCGTTTGTTGCTTATCGGCCAGTACCGGTATCGCTACGGCAGAGGTTCATCTCCGTCACGGCGTCGACCGTTACTCGTCATGCCGAGTTTCCTTCGACGAATAAGTTCTAAATCATCCATCTCCTCGGACGAAGAACTGGGCCGAAAAGCAGAAGCCTACTTCGACTAGCCGTGCGAAATACACTGAACATAACGACATAACGGCTTTTTCCTTATAATTTTGTGCACTATAGAAGACTTTGCTTGCATTTGCATATCAATGACTGACATAAACACTGCAGATACTGCATTCTAGTGTTTTGTCATTGCGAGGCGCCTTTTGAATCATTAAACCATTGAATGGTTGTGGGATTGTATCAAACAGATGGCTATTGGCGTACATTCTTCGACAGTGGAGTGCGGATTGCTTTCGCAAGCCCAGTCTTGTTTCTTGCACAGCATGACTTGACGGTTTTCACAGTGTCCTCTTTGTAACTTTTAGTATGCCTATTATCGATATTAATATATCCTGGCCAACCGACATGATTCGGTAGCATTAAAATTTCTATCAAAATCCATTCATCAATTCTGTTATAGTATCATTGGAATATTCAAGGTAACATCAGAAGGTAGAATTAAAGTTAGAGTTAGGGTTACGTCGTGCTCTCACTTAGTCAATCTAACAGCGCACGCATACTTAAGCCGAGGTCACTCCAATATGAAAAGGCGCAATTATTAAATACATGTAGTTGTTCAAATCTTCTTATAGTTATAACTACTACTTGATGTCGCGTTGATTCTAATTTATTAATCCAGCTATTTGACCGCCTATGACTATGACAGGACAGTCATTTGTAACCCGGTCGAAGAACGTTGCGCTCGCTGTCTAATCGCGCTGTTGCATTCCGACTGAAACTGTGCATGTAGCTGCTTGTGTGTGGTTGGCAACATTCCTGGCTAGCTATGATAGATAGGTTGATAGCGCGCATCCTTCCATAACTATGTTTCTACTGGGTCTAGCTTCTACTGACGTTACATATGTACTTCTGTCGGGAATCAGAATCATTTTCTTCAAAATGTCGTGCAACTCGTCATATTTAAGGGTCACTCACAAATAAGGGTCATAAAGAGGCATCGCCTATTAATTCAGCGATTCTTTCTCAAAGAACCCATCTCTCCCTACCATTCTACAACATTACCCTCAATTCAGACTATTCTTTCTTCCCGAATAATCAATCCATCTCTCAAATAATCAATGCATTTACATATCATCACCCTCACCTCCCTCGCCTTACTGGCCAATGCTAGTCCCATCCCAGGAACCCAGCGTCACTCAACTACCCTTCATCCCTACCATCCGCCATCCAGCCATCACCACCCCATACGCGACCTATTAATAACCCCCGGCCAACTCATCGCCATCGCACCCACCTCAACCACATGCGACAACCCGCCTGCGCCAGGCGAATGCGCCACGGCCTTCCACGCCGCGCCGCGCATCAACGAGGCATTCTTCACCTACGCCGTCTTCTCACCGGCTGAACAGGCCGCTCTAATCAGCCTGATGGCGTTTGAGACTCTCGATTTCAAGTATAACCGTAACCATTTCCCCGGCGTCCCCGGACAAGGCAGTACGCTTTTCTCCTTTCGCTCCCTTCTCTTTCCCTTTTTTATATATATATATATGTATAATGTACCTGATAATGTGTAGCACGCAACATGCAATCACCAGCATTCAACAAACAATACGCCTTATCAATCCCTGAAATCAGGGGTAAAGTCTCCGACGACGTCGCCGCCAATCTCGATCTGTTGCTGTCCAACGAGAGGTGGGATTTTGGGTCTGCCGCGTGGTTTCTGGTGTCGCAGTGCACCGAGGACCAGCGCAGGGACTTGCAGTCCGGCTCGGAGCAGGGCTGGGAGGCGTATATTTCGGGTTGTGTAGGCACGACTGTGACAGATGCGAGGAGGGAGTATTGGACGAGGGCGATTGAGGTGTTGGATGTTAACTCCTAACTTTATATGTACATACGAGAATGGCATCTGGAACTACTAGGCCTAACTACCAGGCCTAACTACTAGACTTGTGTGTGTTGGTCCGAAGTCGTAATTCTATTCTAACTGAATATCTCATCAAACGTACATGGACATAATATATGCGAATTATGCAAAAACAAGCATTCTATCCCCCTCAATCGGCTTATACTCCTTCACTCTATCCGGTCCTCCGACCGGTTGCCCAAAGACCAGCTGCCCCTTGAGCTTCCAGTTCCTCGGCACATTCCATAACTCATGCACACTCTCGACAAACTTGGCACTGAAATTGTAGTGCTGCAGATTGCATCCTAGGCCTTCCTTGCTAAAGGCAGTCCAGTTGATAAACTGGTGTATTCCGCTGGAGTGCGAGGACCCTACATGATCATTAAGCGACTAATTGATAAAGTATGATGTGCGGGTGGAAGGTTGACTTACATTCAGGCAAAAGCCGCTGAATGGCCGGATTCTTCTGCTTGAGGATATCGATGGCGTCTTCATCTTCGAACCAGAGCACCTACACGAATCAGCCTCTCCCTAAAACATACTAATATATTTATGGACTTATAAAATAAATATTAACTTACAGTTCCATACGCCCCCCTAAACCCCACAACTCTCTTCGTCAGAAACGCCTGCGCCGCAGGCGGCATCTCCTCCTGCACAACCTTCAGACCAATATCCCATAATTTCTCGTGCTGTTCGCGCAGCAGGATGACCGCGCGTGCGGACTGGACATTGAATGCGCTGGGTGCGTGTTTGAGGGAAAGGCTGACGATTTCTTTGATGCGGGCGTCTGGGATCGGGCTGGTGTTGGTGAGTTGGTAGAGAGAGCGGCGGGATTCGACTGTTTCGAGGAAGGGGGTTGACATTTTAAATATAATCAGATCAAAGTTTATATTGATGGTATGGTGGAAATATTGTTTGGTTAGGGCCGGCTGGGTTTGGGGTTGGATTGGTTGTGTTGATGTTGATGTGATTTCGAATGAGAAATCGGCTGTTTATATACTTTTTGTAGGCTATAGAAATATCCTGCAAGTCCTATCTCCGTACTTTCTCTTGTATACAGATCTTCCGAATTTGATGTGATATTTCCTCGTTTGGTTAGGGCGACGGCCCGATTTGGTAGGGACTGCGAGAGTTCGGGGAGTCGGCGAGTTGAGTTGCCGCCAGTACTTGCACCCCCACACAGCCCTGTACATTTAAAACTACCATCATTATTTACTCCTAATTAAACATGGCGTCAAACCCTTGCGCAGCGTGTAGCTGAACTACTGATCATTAAAAGTATTATCACTATAAAAGCCGTGTCAAACTATTCTATGAGATAAGTGACTGAGGTATAATCACTTAGTTTAAACTTTATTCGTAAAGATTGAGGTGCTAGTCTTCAAAAGTATCTAATATTCAGTTTGTGCAGCAAGAGACATCCTTCCTGTTCCAAACATTATTAATTCTTGGGAAAAAAGTGGACGTACACTTTTCTTAAAAAACGTGTTCCTGGCGAACCCCTTGGTAGCGTTTAGTCAAAGTTCTCTCCAAATGAGAAAAGGCATATAGTAAGACAGATCGCTCAATATCTTTCACAGCTTCACGAACTCTAGTCCAATAATATACAAGCACTTGATAGTCGTCCAATTTATTTATTTTCCTGTGATTTATATAGCACAGTGAGTGATAAGCACTACCTGCTAACTTTTAAGACCCCCCGCAAAAACGTACATGTAAACACCGTCAGTGCATTGCGGAAGCGTTCTTAGTGGCTAGTTACTGTATGGCGGGTCTTCCCTTGCCATCAATTCATTTGAAGGCTGGAAACATTTCCTGTTCCAAATCCACTTCTTGCATTACTCCAGTACAGCCAAGCTGTGTATATTGGGTATTAGTTATGCGATCCATTTATGTTGATTAATTATCCAGATCCAGAATAAATATGAATACCTCGCCGATCCGGAAGGGTCGGGGTGAGGCATCAACAAAATGCGCCACCCGCGCCTGTGATCCATGCAGGTTGCGCAAGACAAGGGTGAAGTCGACTCATTGGGATACATTGGCGCATTATTACTGATAGAAGTGAGTCATAGTGTAGTATATCCCGGCCATGTGAACTATGCGCTCTGAATGGATTTGAGTGTACTTTTCTCAATCCTCAGAAGAAGCGAGGGCCTCCTGCACAGTACGTTCTTGCCAGAAGAACTGACTATTAACTATTTCGTACCAAGACGAGCTGATGTTGTGAAGCCGCGTGGCGCAAATCAGGCAGCAAAAAAGCCAATCCAGACAGTCGTCTGGTGGTGCGAATAACTTTGGTCTGGCTAACAGTCATGAGACGAGCCTTTCGACCACCGTATCTGGAGATCTGTCTAGTTTCGATTCCTCACAAATTCCACCAGACCTGATACCAGACATCGTACCAGTACAGATTTCTACATCGCCTTCAGAAGATCAGCATCGATTAAGTTCCCTTGATAATCCACGTGAGCAAGGTTACGATCTTAGCCTAATTCTCAACAACACTACTACTGAACCTACGGCTTGGAACAGTTCTCCCCATTTAGAGTCCTTGCTTCCAGACAGTTTCAACTCACAGACAGGTTCGCTCTTTGGTTTCCCTGGAGCAAATTTATTCGTCAAACAGACACTTCCTCCTATTATTGACGATCTCAATGTCGATTTCGACGATCCTGTTCCCTTTATGAGCGGAGGTATCAACGTGCATAACATACAAAGTGAAAATCCGATTGACACACCACATGGCGGGGTCGGCACATTGAAACCAGACTTCTGGCCACCTTATATTCATGAAGAAAACCTTATTCCCTGGATCGATGTTTTTTTCGACCGCCTCCATCCGACTTTACCAGTACTGGACAGATCTTCCCTATTTACTAGAATGTTCCAACGAGAGCATCGCCAGAACCGTCAATTTGGCTCCATGATTCTGTCTCTCTGCGCCTTTTCACTTACACAACCAATCGACATTAGCGAACGACCTTCCTCCTCTTCCCGTGCAGACCATGCGAGAATGATGATGACTGAAGCAACAAAAATGCGCAGTTCATCTGATTTCGGCGAAAATCCGACTGTAGAAGCTGTGTTGACAAGTTTTTTCTTATTTGGATTTTTGTTCGGAAGTAATCAGCACAATGCCGCGAGGCTTCGGCTTCGTGAGGCTGTGGATTTGGCATCAATATTGGGATTAAACGATCCACGGACGTATGCCAATTGCTCTTCTGAAGATAAGGGGCAGTTTTTGAGAATCTACTTGGTTCTCTCAGTTACAGAAAGGTATTTTCGCATTTTCCTCCTCGTTTTTCTCTTTCGATCATTGCTGACGAATCGATCAGAGCATATGCCCTCCAGCGCCGACTTCCAATCAGCTTTATTGGTCCACCGTTAAATCCAGTACGCTCGGTGGACGAAATGAACAACACTACCCAGCGCCTCGTATCTGGAATCATCGTCCACAACGACATGGATGCCGCTGCCATGATGGGGCTTACTTTGCTGATGGAAATATTCGACGCCATCGATGAGGAAATACTTGTTTGTTGGAATTCGCGCTGCAGTATAACCACTACTGGGAAGTGCCAAAACCTTACTGAATCAAAAGTATTGAATATATACCACAATATTGCGGGAGTCAGCAATGTCAGTCGATACATGTATCACAGGAAGAATGACCACTTTGACGTGAACAACAATACCTTTTTGCCGGACCAGAATCGTGGTGAGAATCGGCAGCAAGTTTCGGAAGAACTTGACGAAATAAGGATTCTGAGAGATTTTCTTTCAGAAACACAATGTGCTGATGTACTTGTGACACAGAAGTGGGTGCAGGACCGACTGTGGAATTTGTGTTTTAGCCATGGTCTCCTACGGCTGCATTCAGAGCAAAAGGAGCTTTGTTTCCGCTACGCCTTTGACAATGCTGTAAAAACGCTGGAGTTATGTCGGTCGTTAAGGATTAGTGCGATGGAGGCACATGGGGTTGGGATGGTGAGTAGTATTAGCTATCGATTTTTTTGTTTGGTATGTTTAGACTGATAACGGCAGATCGAGAAATTGTACAATATTGCGACGAGCGCTCTCATAAACCTGGGTGGTGTGAGTAATGAAGCGAGTGAAATGCAGATATTCGACTCAGCAATGCATGAGCTTGCGAGAAATTATTTGAGACTTATGCAGACTCTCCGCGGTGGCCATCATCCATATATGGGGCAGTACAATGCTTATCTCAAGTCTCTGGGTTTTATTGGGCCGAATGACGAATGGAAGGCATAGATTCTTGTTCTGATATGAATATTATCTATTTCCTTTGCTCTATATAACGATTCACGCTTCCAGACCATCCCAAACTTGCGCTTCCAATAGCACAGCAGCAGGACTCGAAAGAAATCCCTTATCCCCATTCAATCCCCCTTCCGCAAAAAAGCCTAATTGGGAACAACGGTCCTCATCCAGGTAAATGCGTGTGGAGAGTGCAGTACGCTCATTAATAAAGACTTCTAATATACTTTTGTCAAATATTGCGCGAATTCGGAGTGTTTCTTCCACCTCGTTGTCGTGGACGTCGCGAAATGTGAATAACGTATGCGGTGCGGACTCGACACCGTGGTTGATGCCTGGGTATGTGGGATGTGGTCGTTCCACAGTGAAATTTTCAGTGAGTGGTTCCCAAGTAAGAACGGTGGAGGTTTTCAATTCTGTACATATGATGGAAAAGATTAGTATGGACATGGTCACTTCACGTTCGGGGGAACAATATTGGCATACTAGCGCTGTGTGTGATCTGAATACCTGCACGAGTACATTGCTTATGAACGGCAAATCTCGCTTCCACCTCCCACCTTGATGTCTTCAGCGTCATAATAGAATCTGCAGAGCAAGAAGAATGAAGGGTCAGGTTCTGCAATGTAAAACTAGACGCCTTGGCCCGGAGCTTCTTGAGTCTATCATCCGGCTGGGTTCCTAATGTTCGGACGGTGTATGTGCCTCGGGAATCGGCTTCTGTTTCAATGGATGTGATTGTTTGGAGCTTTGAACTGCGCGCTCTGACAATATTATGTAGGACCTGGAGCTGCACCGTCCGTGGAAGAGAGATCAGCCCACTCCACCCCTGCGCATGGCGCAGGTTATCGGGAAGATCTTCTTCTGTGACCCAACCGTAAAATACATGCCGACCAGTTACCGGGTCGTAGAAAGAATTTGCTGCGTAGTAGCAGCCATGATCGAAGATACCGGCAAATGAGTACGTGGCTAGTGCGGAATTGGACGATGCATCATCTGACGACTTGGCCTTCAGCGCCATCCACAACTGTTGTCGCGGTGTTCTTGCGGTTTGAGCCTTGATTCTACTTCCAGTAACATCATCTTTGGACTGGAGACATCCCTCTGCGCCCACTATGACGAAAGTCCTGGAAATCCCATCTTCCTCGCTACTGAGTTCCAGAACATTGGCCACCTCCCAATTTACTCCAAAGTCTCCTGACCAGCGAGAAGGTCGAAAGTTCAATCCGACATCTACTAGACATCCAATAAACTTCCAATCCCGCAGATCATTCGGGTTAATGATGTAGACAAATACGGTAGGGGTTTCTCCAACGACGCCCCCTGATAGGAAACCATAGAGGTGATCGCCTGTTTCAGACTGACTTAGCTGCATCGATGACCCTCTCCAAAAACAGACAAACGGATCCCGCCAGCCGGTGACTTGGAGATGGCACGGCGGGCCTGAAAGAATTGGGTTGCAGCTCAATCGTCGCCATGTCAGCCCGCTGTCATGCGAGACAGCTAAGCTGAGTGACTCGCATCCCTGAACATAGGGAAGTGTATAATGGATTGGCAGATGCTTCACTGAGGTATAAATACACGTCAAGGCGCCAGGACTTCCATCAATATCAGTAGGCCGGAGGCAACCAGTAAAGATGCCGTAACAGTCATAGTCGGTTGAAGGGGTGAGATATGGATCTGGTGATGTCTTCCAAGACACCATATCATAGGATGTCGAGTTGCCCCATGACACGTTTCCCCAGTCATTTCCTCTCGGATTCCATTGAAATGCGACGTGGTATAGTCTGGTCGAGGGGTCATACCCCAAACCACAGGGGTCGTTCAGCCATCCACTTGGCGCATTGAGGTGGAACGTAGGTCGCCACTTTGAAGAAGTTGTTGTCATCTCTTTGCAACTGTAGTTATCAACAGGTGTATGATTGACATGGTCATTTTGCAGATGTAGAACATGGAGCTCCTCATGTTTGGATGCGACTGTGGAGAGCGACATGGCTCTCAGGTACTAGAAAACTAACAAACTGACTGATGAGCTGTAACGAATGGTCTGGTTAATGGAGATGTATGTAAATAAAATCTAATAATGCGTCACAAAGTCTAAACCCTTATTCAAAGAATTGATCAAAGGCGCCCCCACTATTGACTTCGACTTTTTTTAGGGAATAATCATCTCCGGAACTGGCCTGCGGACAAATACCGGAGTTATGTTATCCTATTGATGGAAGAGCATAAGACACATTCCCAAAAATATTCTCCACAGAGTATCGGTTATCGAAACATGTCGTAGGGAAAATATGGGCTTGGTTCCCTCGAATCATTACAGGTTAGACTAAACTAGACGTTCTCGGAGATGTGTCGGGGCCTCCTAGAGTTGATAGCACCAATATACACACAACTCTCGCAATATTAATCTCCAGAAATTATACCTGTAGGAAAGAAAACCTTATTGCTGCTGTGCTGAAAGCTAGTTCATGTGGCTGGGGTAAACTGGGGTATTTCTCCGACAATTCTCCACGGCCCTCTGCTCATACACCCGATTGACATACCAAGGAAACAAGTAAGATAAATCCGCAAGGATATTGCGTATTACAGAGCAACATGCCACAGCAGTCAATACGGTAAGACCGTATTATAGGGATAAAGAATTGCCAAACACTTCCTTCTATACATCCTCTGTCCTCCCTTCATTTGATCAATTCCAACTCCGCCTGAAACCTTGAACGCAACATGGCAGCACAACACACAGAAAGACAACCATGGAAAGAAGCAGTTGTTTATCAAATATACCCTGCCAGTTTTGCAGACACAAATGGCGATGGCTGGGGCGATCTGCCTGGTATCATAAGTAAGATCGACTATATTAAATCTGTCGGGGCGGATGTTATCTGGTTGTCCCCGATCTACGCCTCTCCTCAGAATGACATGGGGTATGATGTATCTGATTATCGGTCTATACATGCCCCATACGGGACCCTTGCCGATGTTGACCGTCTAATTTCGGAGTTGCGTGCTCGCGGTATGAAGCTGTGGATGGACTTGGTAGTCAACCATACCTCGGACGAACACAAATGGTTCAAAGAGTCACGCCGCTCCAAGGACAACCCCAAGAGAGACTGGTACTTTTGGAGGGATCCCAAGTACGACGCACAAGGAGTGATGAAGCCCCCGAATAATTGGAAAGGAATATTCGGTGGCAGTGCGTGGACCTACGACGAGCCCACTGGCCAATATTATCTTTCCCTCTTTCTGCCTACTCAGCCAGATCTGAACTGGACAAACAGTGAGCTACGACAAGCCGTACATGATGACATTCGGTTTTGGCTTGACCGCGGTGTGGATGGATTTAGAATAGACTCAATGAACTTGATGTCCAAACATCCAGACCTTCCAGATGGCGAGATTACTTCTCCGGACGAAGAGTACCAATCTGGAGCGAAATGGTTTGCCTCGGGGCCTCGGATGCATGAGTATCTTCGTGAACTTCGCACCAAGGTATTTGATGCATATAATGCAGTCACGGTTGGAGAGTTGGGCTTCACTAAGGACGTGGAATCTGTTTCGAAATACGTCGCAAAATCCAGACAGGAAATCAACATGCTCTTTACCGGGGATATTATTGATATGGACTTTGGTGTCACGGGGAAGTACGTCCCTGGTGGCGGCTTCCACCCTCGACACATTCGAACGCTCACCGAGAAATGGCAGACTGCCATGCCTCAATTCGATGGCTGGAATACTCTTTACCTCGACAATCATGACAGCGGCCGCTCAGTGACACGCTATGGTTCTGATGACCCGCGTTATCGTATATATGCCGCCAAATTGCTTTCCACATATCTCACGACCCTCAGTGGAACCCTGTTTCTCCTTGCTGGACAGGAGATTGGGATGGCCAACATGCCTAGGGACATGGGAATCGAGCATTACATCGACGTGGAAGGCCGAAATTATTACATGCAAGTCCTTCAGTCTCGCGGTGGTGATCACGGCAAAATGGGAGACGTCATGCAGGAGCTGCAGCTCAAAGCAAGAGACCATGGCCGGCTGCCGATGCAATGGACGGCTGGGCCGAATGCTGGATTCACTGATCCAGAGACTCGTCCCTGGATGACTGTGAACCCCGACCACAAGATGGGCTGGAATGTTGGGGCCCAACGGGATGACCCCAACAGTGTCCTCTCATTCTGGAAACAATCCTTGGTTCTTAGAAAGAAGTTTGCCGACATATTCATTTACGGCGCCTTTGAGATAATCCCTGAGTCTGCCTCGCACGAGAGAGTGCTGGCATACAGGAGAAAGGATTACAGCACAGACAAAGAGGCATTAGTCCTGTTAAACTTTTCGGATCAAGATAGCACAATCACGGCCCCTTGGATTATCGGGTGGACATTTCTGAGAGGAAATTACTCAACTCCGCCAGTTCATGGCGAGACAGTTGTGCTGCGACCCTATGAAGCGGTGGTTTATAGCTCGGGTTTCACTCTCTAATGTAGGCATAGAAATCTCACTGTTATTAGCACATTTTCTTGCTGTTGCTTATTTCCACATCGCAAATAAGTGATATATTACCATACATCCAGCCTATGTACTCGTAAAGATGGATTACTAAATACATACAATGTACACACAAAGAATACCCTTGGGGTTTGATACAAGAACAAAATATAGGCAATTCTTGTCCTAAGAAATTTGTCGCTTTGCCATTCAACACTGCATAACGTTTATTAGATATTTTTGCCAAATCCGGAGCCTCGTACACATAATGTAATATGTATAAGCTCCAGAGTTTCTCCGAATTTTCCCCATTGTCGACGTACTAAGCCCGTTTGAGGAAAGGCCATCATTCAGTTTCTGTGGGGCTGGCGATTTCTCCATTTGCACTGATGTAGTGTACTGGGGACAGGAGAGATGCATGATAAGAACAGCTACAGGGTTTGCTTTCGAAACTACCCAGAGTAATGTTTCGCTGTGCACGTGGGCAACATTTCCCCATTTCCCCATTTCCCCAACCTTGCCCTCCACACCTTGATGGGATATAAAATGGAAGACGTCAGCCAGGCTCTGGGTAACTACCAACATTGAAAATCTCTCTAGTTTCAGACATCACCATCTAGCAGTTCTTGCGTGGCAGTAACCTTTGGGTACTGTTCTTTCCTCCTCAAGCGGCTTGTGTCGTGGATATCAATTGACAATATACAGTCATGGAAGCAACCATAGCCAGCTGTGACAATGCACGCACTGACGATGCCGCATGTCTCAAGTCAGATGCCCGCGATGCAACTGAGACGGAGCACCATATGAGCATCATACAGGCAATCAAGATCTATCCCAAGGCTGTGGGGTGGTCAATCCTTCTGTCCACAGCGATCGTCATGGAAGGATATGATGTTTCCCTGCTCTCCAACTTCTACGCTCTCCCCCAATTCAACCAAAAGTACGGCGAATTACAACCTGACGGCAGTTATGTTGTCCCTGCTCCATGGAAATCGGCACTTTCAAATGGTGTGATTGTCGGAGAGATCCTGGGGCTCTACATTACAGGTATCATACAGGATAGATTCGGCTATCGGAAGACTATCCTCGGTGCCTTGGTGCTAGTTACCTGCTTTATCTTTATCGTGTTCTTTGCGCAGAATGTGCGTATGCTTCTTGCTGGAGAAATCCTCTGTGGTATTCCCTGGGGCGTGTTTCAGACTTTGACAACTGCATATGCGTCAGAAGTCTGCCCTGTCGCTCTTCGAGCGTATTTGACAACCTATGTCAATCTGTGCTGGGTGATTGGAGGCTTCATTGCCTCGGGGGTCCTTCGTGGGTTATTAGAGATGCCTAGCTCCTGGGCTTATCGAATTCCTTTTGCTATCCAGTGGTTCTGGCCAGTTCCTCTAATCATTGGATGCCTGTTTGCCCCCGAGTCTCCCTGGTGGTACGTCCAACACGGACGGATCGATGAGGCAAAACGGAGTCTCCTCCGCCTGACAAGTCGCTCGGATACAACTTTTGATGTGGACAAGACAATCTCTATGATGCAGCACACTAACGAACTGGAAAAAGAGATCAGTGCTGGCACAACCTACTGGGACTGTTTCAAAGGCGTCAATCTTCGCCGGACAGAGATCGTGTGCGTCGCATGGCTCGTCCAGAACCTATGTGGGTCAACCTTTATGGGATACTCGACCGTATTTTACATTGCTGCAGGGCTCTCCGAAAGCAGCTCATTCGATATGACCTTGGTGCAATATGCTGTTGGCGCAGCCGGGACTATCGGCTCTTGGTTCCTTATGTCCCGATTCGGCCGACGTACCTTGTACCAATATGGAATCTTAGGTCTCTTCTGCCTTCTTATGATCATCGGGTTCACATCCCTTGCTCCACGGACTGACGCAGCAGCAAACTGGGCCATTGGCAGCATGCTTCTTGTCTTTGCTGTCGTCTACGACAGCACTGTCGGCCCAGTGTGCTATTCGCTCGTCTCTGAGTTCTCTTCCACACGCCTACGCGCCAAGTCCATTGTCCTCGCTCGAAATTTATACAATATCGCGGGCATCGTGGCGAACATCCTTACAAACTACCAATTGACCAGCACTGCCTGGAACTGGGGTGCTAAAGCTGCGTTCTTCTGGGCTGGATGTTGTTTTATTTGCCTGCTTTGGGTGTTTTTCCGCCTTCCAGAACCGAAAGGAAGGACTTACGCTGAGCTGGATATCTTGTTTGCACAGGGAATACCTGCTCGCAAGTTCAAGTCGACACAGGTTGATCTTTTCCACCCTATCGGTCCAGCTGTTGTTGATAATACGAGTGCTAGTAATGAGGATGACAAACCGGAGGTGGTATTTAAAGAGACCTGCTAGCTTGAGTTGAGGATATCTGCGAGACGTATCATATGTTGTTGCTGCATAATATTGTCTCTGGGAGAAACATTTCGGGGAGGGCTAAATCTACAATAATTACAAAATGTCATTTTCTTTAAGCCAGAGCTTAATATACCCATGGCTCCTCGCCATTTGTAGGTGCTGATATTACACACATTTTCATGTCGGCACACTAAATCGATTTGATTCTTCATAAATTTTGCATTCTTTGTTTTGGACAACAGTCGAGCAAAAAATTGTTTTTATCACAGGGTGGGTTCTTTGGTGGATATTAAAGTTTCCCTACCTGCCAGGTGGATCAAGATGACGGATGTCAGCGCTAAATTAAGACAAGCAGTGGATGCAAACTTATTGACTGGTCCTGATCGCTCATTGGTGTCCTCCGTTTAGAAAAACATAAGCTTTGATTGATGATTACGTGAACATGGCTCTATTCAAGGACAATTGAATCTAGGGATCACCACGCGGATGGGGGTGGGGGAGGAAAAAAAGGCGGAACCTTGGTTTAGCAAATAATTGACGTGTCCTAGATGCTCTTAAATCTTGCAGAATCCGAGACTCCCATTGTCGAGAGCCCCGGTGACAACAACACTCGTGACAAAGAAACAAAGACAGCTTGACCGCAAACAGCGTAGAAATGAGAGGATCAGAGAAACACCCCACGACTGAATTAGGAGGGTCGACATTTCGTAATCTGCGTTAAGACTTCATTAAAAACTAGTCATATGGCCATCACACGTCATCGTCCACTTCCAGGGTCGATTAAGCTCAGGTATGCGACCTCAGTCGATGAACAGAATCCGTTTCATCCGGAACACACTCGCCCATAAACGTCGATTGTCAGCTGTCTCGCGTGGGAAGAGGGGCTGGCCGGATGCTCTTCATCGATCGATCTAGCCCAGAATACCAAGAGGTCACGATGAGATGGTTATGCAATCGTTCAGCTTCCAACCGTGAGAATAGCAATTGTGTCCAGGATGAGATTTGCTGTGGTGCTCAACTAAGGAGGCGAGAGCACCAAAGCCGTGTCCAGCTCACTGCGCTCCCAGCCAAGCTCTATATCAAGGCTATCACGAAAAGCCACCAAACCGATCTAAACTTGCGGGTTGGATGGGACGGGTCAGTTATCGTCCTAGGACATAAACTGTAGAGACTGTAATTGCCATGACCTCATACCCATCGTGTATCATGGATAGCTATCGCTACCTGCTGCTATAAGATTATCTAACGTTCACAGATTGAAAATTCGGAACCAAGGACAGATTGTGATGGTTATAGGTATATAAGCCTATAATCTTCGTATTGGCACAGCGAGAAATAGAATGCAGCTCAACTTATCCTTTACGTGAGCTGTAACATCACAGTACTGTCTACACCATTGTACTACATTAGAAAGGGAGAATTGTGGATCAAGTGATGACGTGGGTAGGAAATAGAACAATCTGTTAGAATATCATCCAGTACTTATGCAGGAGATGCCGCGGATGCATAGAATTAACGCGTAGGATAACAAGTACGCGCCCAGTTCACCATCCTCAGGGACGCCTTAGATATATTAGTCAGAATAGATCCATAAGCTTAGAAGAATTAAGGACTTATATTAATTTCCTAGTGTACAGGGCTTCTAATTCAACTAGTCATATTCCTCCCAGATACTATATTCCTTTACAAGTCTCATTTTCTGTGCCACAATTAAATTTATGCTAAAATAACTGAACAATAGCAGCGTGGTGAAGAGTTGCACAACATCCAGCTTGATTATGGACCCTAATCCAGTATTTAGAATGCTGTATATAATCAATTGAAGTTATCATCAAGTTATTAAGTTGTGTTGTGACATTAATACAATGAACATGTGATTGCTTGGACCATACGGATCGTAGGGTTGTTGAATACATTACGTCCCTCAGAAGATCTGTTATGGAAGAGAATTAACTTTTATTGACAATCTGACAGTTCTTAGTTGTAGTTTTCTTCGATTAAGCACAAGATTTGTATCAAACCAATCAGAAAAATACATAGAACATGGCTGATTCAACTTAGCTCACAAAGCCCATTCTGGCTGATCTCCGTGTAAAAATGGGGCGCTTTTTTCTCAAAAGTCCCTAGTGATTGACAGTAGAGACTGGTTGGGTCTTAGCGTCAAAAATTACCACTTTATATGGAATCCTCAAAACGAAATTTTGAACCGTTCCCATCACGAAGACCACGACCTCTGTAACGCCAATCTTCACTGGATCAAAGGTCCAAACAATGTCACTCCCTTGAATGGAAGCATTCTTCAACAACACATATTGATCATCGTAATTGACAGAGATGTCTCCAAGTTGCGAACTGCCAATATTCTTGGATTGTTTAACCTTGAAGGGGGTTCTAATCCTGGCAGTTATGGTCTCGGTTTCAGGGACCACAATGTTTGTATCAGACGGTCCAGCGGTGCTGCGGCCTTCTTTGGAGACTAATGCGACGCCGGTGCCTGAAGGGGTGATTTCAACAGGCACAAGCTTACCGTTGGGATAGTTGGCAGTGACGATAACCACCTCCTTTGGGATAGGAGGTGCAATGTCAAATCCTTGGGTCTTGTTGTAGGTGGACGTTTTGCCGTTCAAAGGCCCAACCCAGCCTTCAAGGTTAAATTTGAGCCCACCTGGGAAGGGCTGACGAATGAATGTAATGCCAGTGGTGAAATCTTGAGTTTTTCCCTCTGCATTCAGGACTAGCTGTCCTTCATTGACGTGGTATACTGCAGATAGTTCATCTGCGGAAATCATTTGCAAAAATCCCATTTTTAATGGCAATGATGAAGAATCATCTAGTAACTAGAGTTAAAGATAACACTTTTGAGGTTCTACTTCGGGACGAACATTTCCAGTTCTAGGGAAGGGATTGCAAGGAGCTAAATAACCCCTGTACGGCTCACTGTCCCATGAGAGCTAGCAATGAAAGTGCTGCACACAGCAGCAGTCTGATAATCGCATCACTCTCTCGTCATCACCACCTGTTATATTGGTTGAAGGTCTAGAGCAATTGATGAAAACAGAGCAGTAAAAAGACTTATCCAAACAAACAGAGGCGGCTGAATCGAAGTTCATTCTCGAGTTGATCCTAACCCAAGAATGAGCTATAATATTGGTTCTTAGACCTATAATGGCCGTATTTATCTCAAGCCACAGAGTCACATTCTCGTAATACATGTCAGCAGAAATTTGAGGGCACTGCAAGGAGGCAACGCACCAAGGTAGTTCCTGCACCACCCCCTTCATCACTCAACACAACATGGGAACCATGTCTGCTGCGGGGCTACAGGACTGTGACCATCGTTCTGTACCACGGAAGCAAGTATCCTGTAGTCAAGACGAGTCGTGGTCATCTTCGAAAGGAGGTGAGAAGCGGCCTCGGGTGTTCCCGAGACATCGCTGACCAGAGCGAGGACGCTGCCTCATCCCGATCAACACTTAACATGGAATGGTCCAGGCGCCTCCACAAACTCTGGACACGTATTCCCGGACGGAGTATAAAAATTGCATGACTGACACGACGCTAGGGTGACTTATGCTTTATCAGTGGTGTGATGGGGATCTGAGATAGCTTATGGCAATCCGCACTATAGCCGAAAACGGACCTCACACATGGCTACGCCACATGCATTGTGCACAAGTCCGGCGAAGTCGGGGATTGTTGCAAACGGAGATTCCCGGGGTAATCGATTTGGGGTGTGAGAGAGACGTTGTGAATCAGTGGAACGATGGTTCCGTGGCGGCTCTGGTAACCTGTATATATGAGAGAGTAGTGGGTAGAATCCATGGTGACGCCCGTTCTTTTTTAGCACGGCGGCTTAGTGGCCGAGTACTTCCATATGTTAATGCCATCCACACCCGAGTTGACCATATAATTCAACTCGTCAATATTCCACCTTCCACCACTTTGCAATAAACCCAAAGAAATTTCGGAGGAACAAGAGGGAAGAACCGTCTAAAATTTTTTTTTTAAAAAAAACGCTCTGCATGGCAAGCAGCAGAGACTTATCACGTCTTCCATTCGACTCTACAAAACAGAAAAAGCATAGAGTATCGAGCTGAAACATGCGCTAATAGACATAAATTGTCAGAATTAGAAGAGAGATCTAGTACAAACAGTGTTGCTAGGACGTAGAGGAATATAATATAACCAAAACACGAGAAAAACCTATGACTTTAATAAGAAAGCCGCCACCATTCGGTTGCATTTGAATTCAGGCTACTGTGTATATCTAGCACGTTTATCGGTTTCAAATTATCAAATAGAAGTCTGAGTCACATTCAACGCTGGAATCTATCGCCTCTCTTTTTTTTTTTTTTTTAAAAAAAAGGATCCCTTTTTATATCAAAACCTTTGCTGATATTTTAAGCAGCTCTAGTAGACTGAGCTTCGTTAGTTATTCCCCGTACAGATGTATGATAGAACAACCTGTACAAAGTTAATTTTATCGCTTATAGCTTCATCATGGTCATCATGACTGGGTTGTCAAAATTATTGTAATAGATTTTGGTCTAGTTTAAGGCTCTGATAGATTTATGGTCCTTTAACCCTAATTGCTTCGCAGATACATCAATATTAATATTAATATCAATGATGGACGGTTACTCTTAATACTGGCCCGAATAGAAGCTTCCAATTTATACCTTATTTATACATTGTTAGCGTCATATTTTATAGTAGACAATCCATATCTAGTCGTTTTTGATTATTACAAAACCCCCTTCGTGCTCACAATATCCCCCGCCCCAACCTCCCCAGCCACCCTCCTCGCACACGCCGTCCTCACCGCCACAGCCAAAGCCTTAAACGCACTCTCGGCACGATGATGATCATTCGAGCCATACGAACAGCCCACATGCAGGGTCACGCCAGCCGCCTGCGCAAAACTCTCTAGCCCATGCGTAATCATCTCCGTGCTCAAATCGCCAATCTTCTCGCGCTTGAATCCCAAATCGATCACGGCGTACGGCCGGTTTGAGAGATCGATGACAGCCCACGAAAGGGCTTCGTCAAGAGGCGCATCGCCGCGGCCAAAGCGGGCCAGGGAGGCGCGCGCCCCAAGGGCGTTTGTGAATGCCGTGCCGAGTGCGAGGAAGGTGTCTTCGGTGGTGTGGTGATCGTCAACTAGACAGTCAATTAGTTTAGCTAGGCCAACATCTCGAGATTGTGGTGGGCTCGTACTGTACAAATCCCCCCGCGCCCGAACCGCCAAACTCCACCCCGAATGCTTCGCCAGCGCATGCAGCATGTGGTCCAAGAATCCAATGCCCGTGCTTATCGTTATCTGCTGAGTGGCTGTGAACTGGGTAGCGTGCGGGGCGTTCTTGATGGGCAAGACGCCTCTTTTTGCGGCGGCTGCATCTTCGCCAGACTCTGCGGTGAAATGGTCACTTTCTTCGAAGGGGAGAAGCGCGCCACCGTCTAGGGACAGCGAGACTTGGATTTTGGTCTCGTTGGTGATGCGGGAGATGGAGACTGTGCGGCGGGAGAGGGTGGTCATTTTGGATGATGGTGTGCCGCTATTGCGGTTTTAATTGAGCGTCAGTTTGATTGAGGTCGTTGTGATGATGATGATGATGGCCTAGGTTTTTCCAGGGTCCGGTGGACGGTATCGGCGGATCTCCCATTGGCTGATTGCGGCGGAGCTCAACTCTGTTTTTACCATCAACCGTCATCCCATCTCCATTCTCGATCTTCATTCACGTGGTTGACTGCTGGCTGGTCCAGATATTATTCAATAGCCATTTGCCAAGATAATTGTTCGAATACTGTCTAAATATTGTCTAAATACAGTACTCGATACTGTCGTGGCAACTTGCGAATCCTCACGTCATCGCTTGACCGCCCCTCTATATCCTCCCTTCCTCCCTCCGATCTATCACATACGAAAAAATAAACTGAATAATAGGCCGCGCTTAGCTTCTACCAGATGCACTGCTAGTTGCAGCAGCTTGTCTTGGCATCTGCAAAGCAGCCGTCATTTGTCCAGATGCCGCCGCCATCCAGTCAACGTGCTCATGTTGAACCGCCTGAGCAGATCACCACCGAGGCGGTCAAAGGATTTGCTACGGGAGCTCTACGGGTACATCTCAGTTTTCTTAATATGAATAGACTTTTACTAACCTGACAAGTTCGGCTCCATGTCCATCCTTGCACATATGATCCTCTCCCTGCCGCATCCCTTCACTTTTGACCACGCCGCTCCTCCCACCGCCACCCAGCAGCAACAACCAAAATCACCCTTCTCAGCAGCACGTGCATGCAAAACACTATTCTATCGCCCGCTCGCGTCGCTGTCCGAAAGCCTCGCGCCGGCGTCGCGCGTTTATCGCGGCCTGACGCTGCAATGGAAGTGCTTCCTCCAGGTCGCAGCGATGACCCTGGGCGGATGCATTTGGGCCGAGAGACGGGTGACGGAATACATGGATGTGCTGCGGAGGGTGCGCAGGGCAGAGAGGAGGAATGTAAGTGAGTGAGCAAGCATTTCCGTTGGGAAATGCGAGAGCCGCAAATATTTGAGCCTGGAGCTGGCGGGGGTTAATAGTGAATGTGTCGATGGACAGGACAGGATTGAGGTGCATGCATTGCAAGCGTGTACACTCTGTGTACAAGAGTATGGTGTTGTATATAGAGTTCCAGCGGGATGTACTAGTGTCCTATCATTGCTATATGCTGTGCGTGCTGCTGTAGATCGACCGAGAGTGCAGGCAATAGTTCGGCGCCAGCTCAGCAAAGATGAAATCATCAATATTCGATATTCAACAATCACTTAATTAACAATAATGTTGTATATTCCATGCCAATCAAAAATAAGAATACAAACATGCGATAAAAATATTAACTGGTGTAGACGAATATACATCAATTGCTAAGTATGTATGAGAGATCGGATCGCACGCTACGGCATAGCGCATCGTGGCTGGGCCACGCTAGCCTGCTCCGGCCATAACATCAAACATTCCCTATATTTTCAATTATAGAGTAGTTTTTTGTTCCTATCAGAAATGTTATTTATTATCTATTATTTATTATACTGTAGTAGGAATATTATTATGATGTCATGTCCATACCCCTGTGATGTTCATGTAATGATTCATGCATGTCGTCATTCGGGCTCGCGATCTCCTGTTAGTCCAGCATTGACCAATGATCGTCGCGACAACCAAGAAAGAAAGATAACAAACGAAACAAAACAAAAGAAAAATAACAAAGACATGTGGAGGATGTGATTACTCAATTAGTGTGGGCTGCTGATCATGTCTCTGATTGCCGGCCCACCATGTCTCTGCTTCGTCATCGTCTGGAGCTAGTTAGTAACCAGCACTCCCTTCTTGCTTAGTATCCTACAACTACGATCCTATGTTAATCTCTGTAGCACCGCAGGTCGGATGAGAATATTAATATTGGGTTGATGGGATACTTCTCTATTTAATTTACTATTTACATCAATCTTTCAATAATTTTGAATATTGAATATAGAATATTAAACATTAATAATAATATTAATGTTAAATTAATATGTTTCATATTTCCTACCAATAACAAGGGTGACCCATGGAGATCACGTGCGTTGCGCTCGCGTATCAGCCCTCATTACGCAACCAGCTGCCCGTATTCGTCTCTCCTATACTTTTTATTATCACTCCTTTTCTACCCTCCATTAACTGCTCTCCTCTCCAGAGCTGCTGCTCGTATCGCAGCATTTCCAATTCCTAAGTACTATATGCGATTGACTGATTGACTGATCACTGATTGCCTTTCTTCATTTCCCTTCTCTGCTTATCTCCGCCTATCCCCTCCCGGTAAGCTCCCACCGCCGCAATCTTCGACTCCTTATTACTACTACTGCAACTCTCCTGTGTACTGCGTGCTTCCGTTTTCAACACCGCACATTATGTCATGAGTCAGGAAGATCAAGAATAACAGATCAGCAGACCACCACCTGTCACGCCCCTGTGCAGCCGCATTCGGGTCCCTGCCAAGAACACCCGGTCGCTCTGGCTGCAAACAAGCCAGCTCTGTCCAGGAACATCGCCGTCACTTCTGTCTCCATGCCGCGCATGTGCTTTTGACGTGTCCATTTCCTCATTTTGCCTTTGCATTTTATATACATTTTCTCGCATTCATCTACATCTACATCTACATCTACATCTACATACATGTATATTCGATAATTCTGCTGCGGCTCCATGTGGCTGCTCATCCTGCGGCCTTCTTTTTTCCTTACCTGTCATACCCATCCATCATATGCTTAGCCTTATACCCTTATAGCCCCTGTGAGAATTGCTTGAAAATTGTTTATTTCATGTTTTAGTTTTGCATTGACATTATATTCCTGGCTTCCTAGTATTCCTGGCCCTGGTTGGCTGGTGTGTGCGCTGGGGCTGTGGCTGTTGCCGTTAATCCTGCCTTTGTAGCAACATATTCTCTATCGTGACTGCTTTCACACTCACCCCAGGCAGGGCCGCTGGGTCACCATGGCAGACACCCTGGTAGAAAAGCGGCAGAGAAGAAAGAGCTTCACTTTCTTCCACGCCCCTCAGCTTTCTTCCTCATCCACCTCCTCCCAGACTACTGCTACGTTCACAGCCCATGATCGCTCCTCCTCAGATGGCCTATCCACAATGAAGAAGCGAACTCGCCGCAATTCTTCTTTCTTTGGCAGTCGCGATCCAAGCCCCGGATACGCTGTTAGATCGACTCCCAATGTTTTGCGCCGTCCGCAGACGTCTGGGCCTGAAGCCGCATCCACACTGACCCTTGCCGCCGCAGAGACTCACAAGCCGAGCCGCAAATCGCTTCAGCGGTCCAAGCGATCCTCCATGCTGGGCTCACTACGTTCTCTGCAGTCACTGGAAGACGATGAAAAAGGCTTAATCGACGACGATGACTCGAATGCCCCGTCGTCTCCCAACGCCAGGAGAGTGCTCGGCCATGTTGTCTTACACCATGGTGAAGTCCAGACGGCAGGAACCATGTGGCGGAAGAGAACTCACTATCTTGTCTTGACCGACACCCACCTCATTCGCTTCAAGAGCCAAGGTAAAGCATCCGACGTCTTCTCGACCATTTCTGCCCCCTCCGGCCGTACCACCCCTGTTAATCGTCAGTCGGTTGTCTCGATCACTTCTTTGCAAGACCATGCGGTCACGTCCTACAACGGCGATATTGCCGCCATCGCTTTGAATAGTATTGTGTCTGTGCATCGCGTTGACGACATGCGAAATCAGCCTGCTATTGAGCTGTCCTACCTGGACGATCGAACGAACAAGCCTGCTCTTATGGCCATTCAGCTGACCGACCCGGAAGAACAGAATCTGTGGCTGATTGGGATTCGCTCAGCTGCCCACTCGATCCGTCAGGTCGAGCCACTGTCCTTTGAGAACAAGGTCATTGACTATGCAGTGAGGGTTCTCGAACAAGATCGAGACTACGACCCCGAGAATTTCAATATCTTTCGCGTTGTGCAGCGGTCTTCCAACAAACAGGCCAACCGGTCATCCACCGATGATATTGCAAAACTGTCGGGAACAATGTGTTACCTCGCTATCGGACTCCACAAGCTCCACCTCATTCCTCTTCAGAAAGCGTCGAGCCGGTCCTCCTTTATATCTATGAATGATCTCGACTTGGGAGCATCCTTTGGTCTGATGGCTCTAACTTTGTTGTCTATGCATTCGGGGGATGATAGGTTTCAACTGACTTTCCGGTAGCCTACCACTGCTTTCTTTTGTGATTCCTATTTAAGTGCTGACTCTTTAAAGATCTCCCCTACGAAACTCGTGCACCTTGCACCTGGCATCGGTTCATTCAATGGATATCGCGTTGTGGGTCCGCCAGCGAACCGAGTTTTTGCGTCCGCTCTGGATACGCCAGCCGTATGAACTGGTGGCTCCTTCTGAAGTTGAAGACCTTGTTCCTGCACCAGAACTTGATGAGGATTTCGCCTGTTTCGACCGCACCCTCATCGCCTACTCGGCCAGCTATGATATTGATACCTCAAATATCTGCTACACCATCGACCTGGAATGCGAGGATGCACCCTGCTTCAGGCTTCTTCCCCCGGCAGCTCGTCGACGTCAAAAATACACCGTTCTAGAATTACTGGCTGTGATGCGGGCACTACGATATAATGAATCTTTTGTTTCCATTTCTTTCAGTGGCATCAGTCTCGACGCTTTACAGAATTGTCGTGATCAATATGGTATCGACCCCGATGCTTTTGTTGCCAGATCTGGAGCGCCAGTCAATATTGCAGGTCAAGATCGCTTGTCGTTGTTGTCGCAGGAAATTCGGGCCTTGGCGCTGAAAAGTAAAAGGCTAAGAAGACTCGACTTCTCGTTTTGTCTATCACGAACTCCAATTTCTGACAGTGGTGCTCGGGATCCCGGCTGTGGTATACCTGAAGCGATCTTTCCACTTTGTCGTCGCCAATATACAAATGTCGATTGGATTGTGCTAAATGGTATCAAGCTAGGTGATTCAGACCTTGATTATTTGGTTGATGCTGCCTCTCAACGGACTAGTCACTTGCGGGCACTCGAAGTAGGTGACTGTGGTCTTTCAGTTCACGACCTAGATCTCATCTTGTCCACCCTCACTGCCCAAGAAACGACATTGGAAGCAGTGAACATCTCCGGCGTGCAAGGCCGCCTCAGTCCCGAGCTTTTCCAACAACAGATTGGATACTTTGGTCAGATACGCAAGATAAACCTCACTCGTGTAGCCAGGACCTCGGGGCCAGGGCCATTGATAGCTCCTGAGACATTACTAAATTGGCATCTAGAGGAGCTGTCTCTAAGCCAGACCGCGATGAATGAGGAGACTGTCGATTCTATTGCTGCTTACTTGGCCAGTAACCAGTCGTCATCTCTTCGAACTCTGCGATTTGACCAATGTGGATTGACCGGGGCAGATGTCGCTACCTTTCTTCGTTGCATGACTCGGGAACCTGGAACAGTCCGTGACCTGCATCTGCATGTTAATGAAAACAACCTGGATACCGATTATACGCTGTTATTTCAATCTATTGCAGAGAATCATACCCCGACCCACCTTTCCATGCGCATGATCGACTTCAAAAAAGAAGACCATTTTCGAGAACTGATCGGGGCTATGAGGAAAAATACGTCATTGAAATATCTGGACATTTCAAAAGCATCGCTCCCTTACGACGCAGGACCGGATACTTGTGAGACGCTTCAACTGATGTTTGAAGAGAATGAAACTCTACAAGAGCTGGATATTAGTGGCGAATACGCTCATTTGGATGTTGCCCGCTTCGGTATCGGATTGAACCAAGCTCTTACCGGGCTGAAAAAGAACAAGTCGCTAAAAGTGCTTCGAATTGAACATCAGAAACTCGGCCTCCAAGGCGCTAATACCTTGGCCTCAGTCTTAGAAGAGAATACAAGTCTCCGAGAGATCTATTGTGAAAACAATGACATGAATCTTCAGTCGTTTACTGTTCTTGTGAATGGTTTGCAATTGAACAAGTCGGTTATCGTTCTTCCTACCATGAATTCTGATCGCCATAATTCTTTGGAGAAAGTCCGCCGAGAGATTGAGAATGTTAAATGCGAAACAGCGGCACATCCCCCTAGTTCGGCTGCAAGCTCTCTTCGTCGTTCGCTCCATGCTGCTATGGCGATCGGCCAACCATCGGGCGGCCATAAACTCGCAAAACATCATAACCCGTCTCAATCGTCGAGAAACAGCTTCACCGGCTCTTATCCTTCAGCTCAATCCCCGCCAGAATCCTCGTCTTCAGATCCATTGAGACAGGAGGTTGAAAGCACGCTATCATCGCTGAATAGGAGATGGGACGCTGAAGTTGATCGGCTTCGTCAGTATCTGTATAGGAATTATTGTGTTCTGCACGATATTCCTTTCGACGTCGCTGATTACAAAGAAAGTGGTCTTGATAGACCGACGACGGTTGATGAATCGCGACCAACTACATCTGCCAGTCTTCTGGCAATGGTGGGAGATATGCAGCAGCTAGGTTTGGATCTAGCCAAAGACGCACTTGCTCCTCATCTAGAGAACCCGGAAGATACACCCCAAGCGGATATTCCAGACAGTGAAGATATCCTAGACGACAGCTCTGCAAACGAGTCGCCAGTGATGATGTCGGGCAATTTCTCAATACCTGCGAATGAGTCTGTAAGAATGACTGACGCAACACACCAACTCTCGCCATTTTCATCTTCCTCGGACAAGCTAGTCGGCATCACCATGAAGGAGTATTTCCCCTCTGCTAGCTCGTCACCCCAACTGGCTATTCCTGTTCCCGCCATTAGAATCCCGAACACTGCCGAGAGCATCCGAAGCAACTGCAGTTCCAGCAATCTTTCCACCAGCACGGGCACAGGAGCCAGAAGCTTTCGAAGCACCAGCGGCCTCGCAGCATCTTCACTGCGCAAATTTCTTTCGAATCGTCCGTCTGCTATGAAAGGAATGCGCCAGTTTAGCAGCTTTGGAGAGCCAACTGATGAACTGCTGACTGTGAAGATGTCTGATGAACCGCCGCGTATTATATGGTCACCTCCACATATGGATCTTTAACTACTTCTTACCTCGACCTTGACTTTTAAAGCATTGCCACCGCTTCATCCGCTAATTGTTTAAAATGCCACCCCGCTGGACGGCGAACAACCCTCATCCAACCCTGTCTAGCAGATAACGATCATTCTCTAGACCTGCATCCATTATTCGATACCCTCAGACTCGATAGTCGATACTCGATCTGAACCTTTGTGAAGTTTCTCATGATCAAAAGTTGCAACTAGACGTTGTCCAGTTTCATTGACTTGCGCACGATACCAATTTCCTTTCCTCTTTCCTCTTTCCTCTCGTTTCATTTCAAGCTCTTCATACCACCGCATTGATCAGTTGTGATTTTATTTGTTTTCTTCTTTTCGTCCATGTTAGTCGTATATAAGGGGTTGGGTGTTTGTATGTGTTTGAGTATTTAGCGTTCGTTAAGCTTATGATGGTGAATACGTTCACTGTACATTAAAACATTGAGAATTTAATGCTTCTTATACGAAACAGATCCCACGTTTATCCTTCTCGCATCGTATTTATTACTTGGGCAGGGAGTAGCCTGTAAACTTTCAATATTGAAGTTTGTCGGACCCGAATGAATGAAATGAAGAAGGCTTGAGGTCAAGTCGGTTGAAAGATAGAAAGGAAAGCGGGCTATTTCATGGGATCGTGGTATGTTTTCGGATCATGGAGAAAGGCCCTAGTCGAATCTAGTGAGAAATAAGAAAAGATGGGCGACAGCATATAACGTGGCAGAGGACCACGTTATCACCAATTCCTCTTCATTACTTAGATTTCCCCGTTGCAGCAACTGGCAGACATATGAAGACTTATCAATTCCGTACTTCATCTGGTGTTTGACAAATGTATATGGTTTATCAGCAAGATCCATGAAAAGTCGCCGCCGCATCTTTACCTGACGTTTGAAGCCAGCACCGGGAAACCACTCAGGCATATATTTCACTATGAGTATTATCAGGAAAAAGGATTTTTCATCCAGAGAAACAAGAAGAATAAACGGCTGAAACTAAAAGAAATTGAAGCACCGGACGCACGGTGACTACTAGATATGCCCCGGGTCTCGCTGCGCGTATAAACACCTCGTCTGCTATATCAATAAGAACGTCTTTCCGATAGGGCTCAACTGTATAGTTGTAGGCTAACTTCAACAGAAAGGATCCAGTAACCCTAAATTTTGTGCTGAATATTTATCTTAAACGTAAGGAGTTACCAGACAAATGAAGGAACGTACTTTCGAATATGGGTAATGAACTCTCTTAGATGATGTAGCAGACGGAACACAAACCGATGGGTCTCAATCTCCTGCAGATCAGCATAACGCGATATAGCTGCTGCAGTTCCGATTATTTTGCCCATTTACGTGCGATACTCCCGTAGCCGCTTTGAATACACATGGAAACCGACAAAATTACAAGTGCCAAGCCTAAGTATACTGGATTAGTTGTAATTATCCTACAAGATAAATCAGCGAAAAGCTCACATTTCTCCAGAAAAAATTAGTTGTGGTCTCGAAGAATGTTTTATTGCTCGTTTCTCTAGCAGCTCCAGTGTTAGCTTCATGTCATTAATGATAATGAAGGTTTGGCCAAAAACCGTCACTGAACTGATTGGGCCTGTTCGGAAGGATTTTAGATTTCCACACTTATTTTCAGAGAAGATGCTTGCAGCAAACTCCTGGTAAATATTCAAATAGCGGTGCCAATGAAGCCACTCTAGACTCTCTTTAGGTAAGAGATCTGAGAGGTTGCCTAGTATCGTCCATGCTTCCCTTTGGTCACACAGGCCACTCAGTTTTCCAAAGCAACTGTGGCGGGTGCTTGGCTTGTGGGTAATCTACCATTCTGTACGTGGTAAATCATTTAGACGATGTGATGTTTCATATGTGATGGCTCATTTATTGTGTTCAATGAAATATGTTCCTGACTGGGTTCCAGGTGCGGGCTTTAAGAGTGTTGCTCGACAATATGAAAGTGCCTCCAGGATTTGGCAGAAAAACCATACGGATTTGTCAAGGACCAAATGGCCTCCGGAAAAGCTAACCGTCATACACCTCTAAATTATTGGGAGACGGGATTCTCAGCGCTGAAGATGACTACGTTGCCAAATGGTCAGCGGCATCCCTCTATCTGAGCGGGGGTGGACTCAGTAAGCAGATCTCTCAAGAGGATGCACCCGGAATACTAACAAGGAGAGTATGACAGACAGACTATACTTTAGAGTGTTTCTTTCTAGCTATTACTATGTATCCCAAGGACCAACGTAGAGCACTGCACGGAACTGATCGAATTAGCCCTGACAGACTTCGACAATTCAAAAGACCGGGACAAATTACCGTACATCGAGGCAATAATCCAGGAGGCCCATCGTTGGTATCCCGTTAGGCCAATGGGATTTCCACACACAACCACTGACGAGGATATGTGTGGAGGGTATCGAATCCCTCGAGGATCTATCCTCATGCCGAACGTCTGGTAAGCTAAAATCCCAAGCGACGGTTTCGTATTTCATCCGTCCCGGGAAATTGGTCTGTAAACATGGCTAATTATTTTTCCTCAAGGGCGTTCACTCATGGCCAAATGGTGTATCATGATCCAATGCATTTTACCCCTGAACGATTCCTAAACACCGAAAAGCTTTCAGTGGAACCTGACCTCACCTCTATGTTGTTTGGATGGGGGCGTCGCGCTTGTCCCGGACGACTCGTTGCCGAGTCCGCCATGTATCTGACTATTGCTCTATTTCTCAAGATCTTCGACATCAGAAAGCCTGTAGAAAATGGCCGTGAGATTAATCCGGTGGTTAATATTAAACCTGGAGTGGTCGTGCATCCGGAGCCTTTTCAGATCGTGATCGAGACACGCAGTCCAAAACACAGGGCTCTTCTCAGCACCTACGCCGATCAATTTAACTGGGATCAAAGTGATTCAGTAAAAAATAAAGGGAATGGAGAGTTGAGGTACATTCTAGAGCCATGATAATTTAACATCACTAAAACATGATACAAACTAAGAGTCAGGTCTGGTATTCTTAAGTAACTGATATAGGTTATAAGAACACTTTCATACTAGTAGTATAGAATATGTTACTGTAAATGGAGACAGGCAGTTCAATTCGCTGAAGACGGTGAAATTCCAAATATATTTGCTGGAATACTTCGCTACCAAGCTTCAGCCAATTGTAGGCATGGATGGAAGATATCTTTGGTTGGTGAGTGCAAACTCTCTTAATTATGGCCAGGAAAAAATCTTTACTTCAATGCGAACGAACTGATAGCGGCTCTGGGGCACACAAGATTACAAAGTATGTTTATCTTATATGAATCTCCAAATAGTATTGTGAATTGAGGCTCGACCTAACCAAAAAGAGTTTGGTATCAGAATGAATTCCATCTAAAATCAGATCGAGTACAAGTAGTGTGATGCTCATCTTGTGTATATAAACCCCCAATCTTTCTATTCCGAACACAATATGTAACGAGAACCTAAAAGCTATTACTACTAATAAGTTTTGAAAACTTATCATTCCATAGCCCCTATCCTACAGCTTCAGACTGATAAAGAAGCATTCCAGCATGGAGGAATGTTTACCATATAAGCGATAGCCCCCGCGAACAATTTAATAGTTAAATTGCCCTAGAAAATTCTTCATTATTTACAACTACTCGGATGTCAAATAAATACCATGACTCGTTTCTTTGTGACGATGGCCACTGGCGCTCAAGGCGGTGCTGTAGCGCGATTGCTGTGCCATGAAGACTACGAGGCTAACGCTTTAGTTCGCAATCGCGATACCCCTGCGGCATTGGCTTTGACAGAAATTGGAGCGAAAGTCTACAACGGATCTTTAGATAACCTTAACGTTCTCCGGATGGCTGCAGCTAATACCTAAGGGGTGTTCTTGAATCTGCCACCAATCCATCAGGATTTCGAGACTCACTGGCTTTGCATCACGAATACTGTGCTACAAGCGACTCGGGAGACAGGATCAGTTACAACTATTGTGCTTTCGACCGCGTTCCACACAGGAAGATATCAGAGCTGGGCTGGTGACATCGAAACCTCTGTTCTAGAACGCTACTATCGATCTAAGGCTCAATGTGAGCATGCCGTCCTAACGTCGGGGTTTCCGCACATGATAATCCTACGTCCAGCTTGGCTTATGCCCAATTACCTCCCTCCATTCTTCCATCTTGCTATTCCGAGATGTGCACAGAGAAGGTTTTAGCCACTGCATATAGTGCCGAGGCTCGAATGCCACATGTGGCACCCTTTGAAGTGGGTAAATTTTCTGTTGCAGCCCCTTTAAATCCAGAAAAGTTCTCCGGAAAACAGATTGAGCTGGGACATGAGAACCTCACGATCAAGGAGGTTGCGACAATAATCAGTAGCGCTGTAGGTGTCGATCTGAAAATTCGTTATCGAAACGCGGTAGAGATCAAAGAAAAATGAGCATTTCATCGTCGAACTGTTCTCTGTGGCTAGTTGTAGTTGACGGTGCAAAATCCAGTTACATTTCAATCTCAAGCCCTGCCACCCGATACAATTCAAGACACAAATATACTTGACAAGGCATCCAAAGCTCCGTAGATGAAGTTACGGTACAGACTGATGCGACTTATATGAAGCCACCCATTTTCATTTCATTCTCTGTCCACTCCCACAAATCTTTAGCTAACTGCGTATTTTCGGCAAGCTTGCTTGGTTTCGCCACCTGTGCAATTGGTTCTAGATACGCTCCATTCATATCTCGAGTGAAGTCCTGGCTTGCCACTGCAAATAGTTGGGTATATGCCGCCTTTTCTGGGGAGAGGCCTATCAGAGAAGTTTTGCTTAGTGCTGAAAGAAGACCAGCCGCGATTCTCACAAACAAAGAACCCGTGGCTCCCGAGAGAAGATTCCTTTTCCCAAGGATTAGCAATTACAGAGCCAAGCATGTTTGACATCACGGATTTGGACATACGTCTTCGCCATTCCAGGATGTAAGCTCGCCATCCAAATTTCACCATTTACATGATTCCCAACTGAAATTGCATTGTCAATAGATCGAGCAGTAGGTGTACCATATCTTTTGACTAATTCATTCGTATGCAGAATATTTGCTAGTTTTGAAGATCCATATCGTGAGACAGGACCGCCGCTAACTTGGTCTATGTCTTGAAAATCGATACCAAATGAAGGGACATTCATGTGGGCGTTGGATGCAACATTAACAATTCGAACTACTCCTGGGGATGTATCTGTAGCCGTTTCAATCATGGTGGGCAGGAGATGATAGGTCAAAAGCCAATGTGAGATGTAATTTATCTATAATCAAGACAAATCAGTCTTGTAGATTTTTGATTAGACAAGGGAAATTCAAATTCATCTCACCTGGAATTGCGACTCGTATCCATCTGCTGTCTTTTCAAACGGAGTTGCCATGACACCTGCATTATTCACAAGGCCGTGAAGATGTTTTTCTTGCCTATCATCAATTGATATCTTGGGTTATAGAAAAGGGCAGGAAATAATTTAGAACAAAAGAAAGACAGTTATTACTTGCAAAAATACTCTGCAGCTGCCACAACACTCCTCAGTTTCGTCATGTCCATTTCTAGAAGATATACCTCCGCATCCGGCTGCTGGTTCTTTATTTGCTGGATAGCAGCTTCACCTTTCACTTTAGATCTTGTACCGAGGTAGACTTTCGCATGGTGAGCAGCGAGCTGTAATGCCGTGTGGAAACCACTTTGGTAATATAAGCCTGACTGACAATAAACCATTAAGTTTCAGTGATTACTTAGTAGATCATACATTCCTGCATTTCCTCCAGTCACGAGGTACACCATGCCTTCAAGGTTAGGAAGTGATTCAGGTGTGAACACCATGATGGAACACAATTTATACAGAAGCCAAGGATTGAAAGATTATCCGATACAGTAACATTCAATAGATGTGTGTATAACCCGGGAGAGTTCATGTGTCAATATTTAACTTATTTAACCAGTCTTACGTTATGTTTCCTAGTTTAATCTCATCATATGAGAAGGAGTGGGTGGTGGATCAATGTTTGAATTCCCCCCCTGTTTCGTCCGTGATTTGTCCGTGATTCGTCCGTTCTTGGTTACTGTGATCATCCGACACGTTATCTGAAGATCAAAAATGAGAGCTCTGTTGGAGCATTCTGTGGCGCAAAGACCTCTGGATATATCACGGCCAATCATGGTTAAGTGTACCGGAAGTTAGAGTTCGATTGCTTGCCGAAACTCGTTTCATAACCCAATGTGGTAATACCAAAACCATCGTGCCTCAGCATGGTAAGAGTTTGCAGGTGGACTCCCTATATATTTCATTTCCTATGTTGCATTATGTCAGTGGGATATATAAATATATTTAGAAATACAGTGGTTCTGATTTAACGATATCGACTGTACAGGCAGATCAGTAGGTGGCCGATCAAAGTGCCTATACCAGTAGGTTACAACTTCGTCAGACCGTGGGTAAATCGCGAAGATGTCATATTCTCATGAATTAGTAATCTGGGCTCTGGAGAGACTCAAAAACTTGCCGAAAAATTTGCCGATAAATTAAACGAGGACAATACGTTGCTAGTTGGTGATGACGTTGGTGATGGAGAGACGAAATCGTCGGGGGTTTCCCAAATATAAAAGGTTAGCGGTGAAAAAAGAAGGCTTCGATTTGTAATTCTGACCAATTACGACGAACAGAAAATGATGGACATGGCCACCATGTGGGAAAAGCTACTCTACGTAGTAGGCATTCTGGCATCCATGGCATACGGAACAGTATTGCTTTTAATGACTCTAATTTTCGGCAACTTCGTGTCTGTATTTACGGATTTTGCTTTGGACCGAATTCCCAGTGATAACTTCCGGCGAAAAGTAAACCATTACAGGTAAGATATGCGGTTGGACCAAGGTGACCTAAAATCTAAACTGCATCTAGGTTGTACTTCATCTATATGTTTGTTGCGAAGGCTGCCTGCATGTATATCTACATGCTTTTCTTTACAGTTGTCGCTACGAACTATTCAAAAAAAATACTTCAATATCGTCCTCCATCAACGAATTGCTTACCATGAAACCAAACTCACATCGGGGGCTGTCTCTCTCGCTCTCTCCACTCACTCAAATTCCACCCGTTCTGGTTTGGCTAAGAAATTTGGTCTCTCACTAAAAAGCGCCTCTACTGTCGTGGCAACTTTCATCGTGGCACTCCATTCCCAGTGGAAGCTAGCTTTAGTCACGGCCACAATAATTCCAGCAGTCATTGTAGCTGTTGGAGCTACTTGTGTTTTCGACGAGAAGAAAGAAGAGAGCCTTAATACTATTAAAGCGGAGGCCACAAAGCTTGCAGATGAGGTAATAAGTTCCATCCGAACCGTCAGAGCGCGTGGAGCTGAAAAGGCTTTGGGTAATAAGTACGACACGATGATAAAACGTGCCGTCGCGATTGGACTCTCTAAAGCCCCCGTCAAAGGCGTTTAAGCCGGTGTGTATATATTTATGCTCTATGGAGGATACGCCCTCGCCTTTTGATATGGCCTAATACTCTACGTCAGCGGCGAAGCGGCAAACTCTGGTACTCGACACAAACACAGTATAATGGAAGACGTTAATCCACCATTGGCGCTACCTATCTGGGCACCACCTATCTGGGCTCCGACACACTCAAATACAGAAAATTCTTCAATGCGTCCGTCTAAGGAGACATCCAAACAATACAAAAGGCTCCGGGTACTGGGAAAAATTAATGTAAATACGTGCCCCAAATAGAACAACTAGGAAGGTAAAACTGCCTTACGTCGAGCAGCTAACGGGGGCCATTTCAGAATTATTCAATTACTGATCTCTCATAACACCGATGTCGATCGGAGAGATGTGTCGCCAGTGGGACCAAAAACAGCTCTACACATCGCCGCTCACAATAAACACGTCGCGATTGTCCAGAAGCTATTACAGAATGGGGCCGACATGACCACTCGTGGTAAGGTGAGAGGCCCTCTTTTGAATTTTGTATTATGGCTTAAACGGAGCATTTCTAATAAGAATTATGAGATAATCGACTTGATACTCAATCAAAAGGGTTATTATATTTATTCATAGCTCATGGAAATGGGTGGTACTATAGTAAGTCTGACTTTAGGCTTCTATGCATAATCAAATGTTCTAATCTAATAGGGTAAGTAAAGCTCCATCAGGCAGCTGAGATCAAGGATCTCAAGCTCATCCGATTTTTAGTAGACCATGGAGCCGACTGTAACTACATCATCCCGACCAATAAGAACTGCACTGTGTTACGCAATACTGTGATATTTAATCAAATTGATGCATGCCAACTGGTTATTAAGGTAAAGGCTCAGGTCAGTCCAAGCGCATTCGCCCAAAACTCTTCTATAGATATGGTTAAGCTTCTAAATACGCACCTCAGCCAGTCAGATATATCGACCAGTGGTATTTTAAATTATGCTTCCGAGCCTAGCTTCGTTCATGATCTATTGGCAAGCTAGATAGTAAATGTGAATGATCTAGATTTAAAAAGGGAACCGGCGCTTTTAAAAGCATGAACTCAACCTAAATCTACAGAGATACTTGAAGCCTTATTAGAATTCAACGCTGATGCTCATGTTCGCGGTTCTCAGGTAGTATCTGGCTTAAAATTCAATAGTGACACACCATGTATGTTAAGTTCTATTTGATTATTTCATTTACCAGGACGCTAATTATCCCCTCTGTCTAGTGCATCGGGCAGTAGTGTTTACTTCTTCTAAAATCGTCACTCTCCTCATTCAAGCTGGGGCTGATCTGGAAGCTAGAAATGAACAAGGGCAGCCCCATTGATTCGGCTTGCATTATACGACGGGAACAAACCTGACACAGAAATCTTCAAGGTTCTTGTGAAAATAGGGGTAGATGTAAACACAATCAATTCCAAACACAACACAGCTCTACATCATTTTGCAATGCAGAACATGCATATCAGAAGTCCACGGGAAACCCTTACAACCTTCCAATTACTCATGAAAGCGGGTACATTGACCAACTTGATTAACTCACAAGGCAAATCCTGCTTGGAATTGTTTAGTTCAAGTGCAAAGTTTCGAGAAACTGTAGACGAGGTACTTCTAACCACGGTCTAGTAGTGAAGCTAAAGTCGAATCTTTTACTTGGCAGTCACATTGGATTCAAGTTTCGATTAATTCGATTAGTTTTATTTCACTTTATTGGGAGAGGTCATAAAAATTGGGTTTAAAATAGAGATTTGCCTGATTAATGAACAATTCTTTATCTGGCCACCATGTGCGCACCTCCAGCTGGAGTTACAGGAAATCCTGATAATATTTGTTGATTTTATTCCTCCACTAATCCTAGCTCTCTAGCGCAGTTCGATAATAATTAGTTCCCAAAATAGATCAGGAACACAATTGCTTAGGTGCCTTTTGGATATCAAATTTGGAAGCCCATTGAGCGCCATCAGTGCCATCAGGTTTCGTCTGCCTGGCAGCCCAATTTGAATTTTCGAATTCAGAAATGAACTTATAGCAGCCGTAATTACTACCTTGGTCTGAGCAAGGGTACAAATACTCTTCTTCTCCAAGCAGCGACCAAGTGCCCCAAGCTGCCATTCGACTACTACTACCATAAGAAGGGTCAACTTGGCCACTATGCATTGCCACGTCAATTATATTTGGTTCCCCACATGCCACATTGGTTTTGTGGATTGAGTTACTAAGGTGTTGAAAATTGAATAGATACTGTTTAACCTCAGAACTTTTGCTGTTATAGTATAGCTAGTAACTGTATTTTATTGATGAGCCAAAGAATATAGCTTGGTGGATGGCTAGAGCTGCTATAGCTCTAGGATGGTGATAAGAAGGCAGAAGAGTTGATTGATGAAATTTCGCTAGGATGCAGAAGACCAGAATATATACTCTCGTAGTATTAAACCAGAAAGGGGAGAGCGGTGGTGAGCAGGATGACACGGTTAATTATCATTATAGTGTCTATAATACTGATTGCCCCTTGCTATGACGCAGCCATGGGAGAAAATGCTATTCGACGAGAACTGCCTAGATTGGAGATGTATCGGAGCCATAGGTCACATTCGCAATGCTACACCCACTCGCATACGGAACGACTTCACCTTCTGTGGTGCCTTGCAGCACCCATGTCAAAAACTGCCTGCTTCGGTCAACCCCATTGTAATACTCGGCGAGATGTCCGCCAACGGTATTCCTCTCATACCGCACATCTAGTCCCACCTCGCACCATCGATCCACCATGGCATCCGTGTACTGCACATACACAAGCTCATCATGAATAGCCTTGTACACAAACAACGGAACCTGCGGGATCCCGTGCCACCCAATCTCCCAATTGTTCTTGGTCAGTTGGTGGATTTCCGGGTGCAGAAGAAAAGCAGTCAAGTTGATGAAATATGAAGATATGTTTTGGTTTTGGTAGTAGGTGAGATCCTGATAGTAGCTCATATTTTCGGCAGCTAGAAATTCAGACGCGTTGTTGGGATGCAGAGAGGAGAGGAGGAATTGTCGCGCGCTGCTGGACTGCGATGTTAGACCTAGATAGATTGCTGGCAAGTTTCCAGCAAACCCTGTCCCGTCGAGCGCGGGATTAGCGCTGATGAAGCTGGTGAGAAGGCCGCCGAGCGCGGCGCCGTGAAGAGTCAGCTCTGGTGCGTAGGTGGGTTGGAATTCAAGTGCGAATGTGGTTGCGATAGAGCCCCCCGAGTAGCCCCAGAGGGCAGTGCGGGTTGTTTTGGGCGAGAGGTGGAATGGCTGATAAGAGAGCACAGACCGGATCGAGTCTACCACGGCGAGGCCTTCTGTGATAGACAGGCTAAGAGAGGCGAGCGGTCCTTCAAAGTCAGGTACATTGACGATCCATCCCTGGCCCAGGGCGACGGGGATGTCCGGGTAGCCGCCGGCGGAAAGGGTGTAGGAGGGAGAAGCGTCCAGATCTGCGGTACTATAGGGAATTTGATAGGAGAGAAGCGGCGTCGTATAGTTGATTTTGGCAATGTTCATGTTCGGAATGAAGACAGTCGTCACTGCGAAGGCCGGCTGAAGGTAGCTATTCGTCGTGCGGTAGAGGATATTGTACGCTGCCGAGCAGTTACTACCTATAACGGCGGTGAGATTGCCAGGCGCAGGACGAATACGCAGGATACTACCCGGGGAAGCTTCTTCGTAGCCGTGAGGAGCCGTATACCAAGGATCTTTGCTCGGAACGATGGGCTGAGGGAGATGATCATTATCTCGCGCTGTGGCCGGTGAGGCATTGGACGTAGGAGATAGGCAGAGTCCAGCCAATAGTGAGAAAAGAAATATGGAAGGCATGTTTGCAAATTTTAGAATTTAACTTTTCCTATAAATTTTCCAAGTTTCTAGATCCTGGTACTGCAAGAGAAAGGACAGTACATCAATTGATGTAGATGGACCTTTATATAGTTCTTTCACTGGGTAAGCTATTCCCTAACTCGTATTAAAGAATATTACATGATATTAGTATATTATAGCCATGTAAATAAAAAATCATAAATCAGTGGTGAAGAAGCCAGCACTGACCAAGTCTACAGTCTAGGGCGATCAAGAATCCGAGCAGAGGTTAGCGTTAGTTCTTGTCAGCATTGAAGAAATTGAGACACATTATTGGCTATGCATCCTAGTCTTATATACAACCAGATCTATAAGAGTATCATTCCTACCTGCATGTATAATAAAACCAGCATTGAATTCTATCAAGCTGTTATTTAATATAAGTACAGAATTCAGCACAAAGTTATAATATGCTGAATCGTCTAATACGTTAAACTAATCCTCTACATCTCATCTTATCAATATAGTATCGCTCACCAGTAGCCGTACAGGGCTTTGGCTAGATGGAAAGCAACATAATCCATGATTGATCAAGTTTCTGCTCGTCAAGATCCTTTGAAATATTCCTTTAGAAGATTCTTTCTTAAAAATGCAATTTTCAAACCCCACGAATTTTCGGATATAATTAAATTTTATAAAGTTCAGATCTATTTTATTCATATATTATATACAATTTTGTCAAAATGTCAAGAATTGAGTGAGACACTAGCAAATTGCGATAAGGTGCAAAATTGATTGGATTGGAATAAAAGGCCGAGTTTCTGATAACTCTCATGTTGTCATCAGGGGTAGGTAATAGAATTCCTGAATAAGAATAATGTTACGTTTTGCCAATTTGGTTCTCACGTTTAAGATAAATACGAGCGCGGGTTAGCGCTTCTCGGGGTTAAGAATCTTATGCCGAACTATACGCCTATTCATTCTCCAGGTGTCAGACAGATTTGCCCTTGAGCTGTCATCTTGTTCATTCCTCCTTTCTGCAGCCGTACTTTTTATGCATGCATTAAATTTATCACTCTACTCAGTCCTAATGCTAGTAAATCGTCTGCAATCGATAAAATTTGAGTACCTTGGAACTAATTCTATTTAAAATATGGCCGCCCAGAAAGAATTATCTGACGCTGACAAAAACGTCCGCGGGCGAAGAGGGCACCGGAAATCACGATCGGGATGTGCCAACTGCAAGCTTCGCAGTGTGAAGGTATCTAACTCTTCGTCTCTCAGCGAAGATTGATTCAAATACTGATCGCTCGTCTAGTGTGACGAAGGATTCCCAGAGTGCGGTAAATGCTTGTCTTTTGGTGTCCGCTGCAACTATGACTTGAGAATTCCTGACCTCCAGCCTCGATTCAACATGGCGACTCGGAAACTTAATGGCAAAACCCAGACTTGCAATGCCCTCACATCTGCGGAGGGATCGAGATTGGAATTGACTGAGCAAGATCTCATCCGCTTAGAGAGATTCAAGATAAGGACTGCGCTGTCGCTTGGGCCTCCTGAGTTGAGGCAAATTTATGACAACGAGATATATCGATTGATATTAAGGGTAAGCGAGGCCACTTATCTGCTGTCTTTTCTAGAGACTGCTATGCTAATACTTGCGTTCTCCCAGCACCCGTTTCTAATGCATATCGCGCACACGCTCACTTTAATTCATGATAGATATAGTTTATCAATACCTGGCCAGCGGACAGTAGAGGAAATTCGTCACTGGAGTAAGGGTATCGGTCTCTTTAACAAGAAGCTTTCCGTACCACTCCACCCAGCTGATCGCGATGCCATTTGGGCTGGAACCTCTATGCTAGGCGTAATAACTTTTGCCTCAATTGATTTCCCTACTAGAACTGACGAAACCTGGCCTCTTACTTCGCTTCCAAAGGCCGAGCCGGAATGGCTCAAAATGGTACAAGGCAAAGCGTCATTACGGCAACTCATCAAGCCCGATAGACCAGATAGCATGTTCTATAGCCTATCTTCTGCTATCCCGACAGTTAAGCTCGCACCGGAGAATATACCTTTAGCATTTATAAAATTATATCAACTCGATGGGAGTTTTGCAAACAACAATCCATATGCTATTCCTGTAAGAGTCATATTCGCCGCAAAAACCATCGAAGAATATCCATCATCATCAGCAACAGCACTATTCTACGAGTTTATCTATTGTATACAGAATGAATTCAGCCATCTGGTATTGAATAAGGATCCCCGTGCTCTCTTGATTATGGTGTACTGGTACTCGAAAATCTGTACTGGACAGTGGTGGCTCAGAAGGCGCGCTTTGATAGAAGGTCGTGCAACATGCACCTTTTTGGAGAAATATTACGCCCATGACGCTGCAATCCAGGATCTTTTGAGGCGCCCTCGGAACTATTTGTTCCAGATTACTTTCTTAATTTAATTTTTATCTAGATTAAAGGAGACAACTCGGTCATTCGATGTCAGGTAATCTCTCCAGGGATATCGACAGCGCACTCGTTTGTCAATTCCTCATCTTCTTCTGTCCCCCCTTTCTTGATATTTTCCTACATAGCTACCTACGTGGATAGAATTGCAGTCATTGAGTTGATCGTATTTATTTTTATATCTAGACTGAAAAATTGCCACATGAATCAATCATGTAAACGTGAAACCAAAAATCGTCAGTTTCAGCCTGTGCGCAATGCCATCACCAAAGTAGGTAGAAGAACTAAGACAGAATGGCGAGACAGCTGCACTGAAGGTTCAGATATGCGGTCTATTTCCCCTATCCCTTAGGAGATCAAATGTTAATGTACCAGGCTGAATCCTCCTCGAGTTTCCATAGTTTGTTCTTGTGTCTTTCTGGGAATCTTAAATCGCGGGGACAGAAAATAGAGAGAACAGGCGGCCCGAGCTCAGCTGTTGATGGCCGAGACAGCCTAGCAGTCAAGATCTAGCGATGTACACACCGTGATGTGCTATTTAACCCATGTAGATGGTGACCGCTTGGTGGTGACGTAGGTTGATGGTACCAGAAGGCTTTGGAACTTGAGTAGAGGCTATACATAGCTTTGCCAGACAGAATTCACCAACCATCAAGCCGCATTACCCGCTGAGAGGAGGGGCATGCAATAAGGCTGAGCGCTGGGCTGTCATCTTGAAACCGCCAACTGTGGGCGTCGAGAGCCTTGTAATATTCCATTTATTAAGCATTTATCATGACAAATGGTATTCAAAAAGTCCGTAAATGCGGTGAATGAGAACATCACCATCGCAAGAAATGAACCGTGGGTTCCCTATGTGCCAGAGACGTGTGGAACCTATCAACCAAGTCATGAGAATGCTTCAACTGCACAAACAGCTACTTGGGTTCTTTGACAGTTGTATCCTGGTACGATGCCACAGAGTGTAGTGAGCCCATCATTTTGCAACCATATGCAACACATAAGAAATCCTTGCGTGAAGTCCACTCAGGGAAAACTGATGTTAAGGGCACGCACTATTCAGGGATAGGAAATGAAGATAGCCATTGACGTGGCATTATTGTCATCAATACCAGTTGACTTGTTTAAATCTCTCAACCAAACATTTCGTAAATGGATATGCGTTATAGCATCTCTATAATAGAACGAGAGCAGTACATATACCAAAACATTGGATACTCCATATAGATACGTTATTGATACATTCGCCATGCGAAGGGGAGGATTTGCCCCAACACGTATTCTATTGAATAGATATGATGTCGTATGCTGTTGCAATAGTATAAAGTACAAAGTAGTGGATGTGTATGACTATAGTACATGAGAATCCCAAAAGCCAAGTTCCTCAATTGGATTCGACTTGGCATGCTGCTCGACTCCTCCCAGGGTATCACTATACATCCTCTATCCAAATTCCCACTTCACTGCGCGTCCTCCCTCTCTCCACCACCACTTTCATTTTTATTACTGTTGATGCGCTTATTCACATTCTCAATGGAATCATAAACAAAAACCCCCTCCTCTTCATCAATCCGATCCTGCTCTGCTCTCCACTCTCTGCCCTCCTGTGCCAAACTGTGCATTTTTCGAATATAAAAACTCTCGTCTTCGCCTCGGAACTCGAGCGTGGCTTTTCGTCGTCTTTTGATCGCGTCGTAAAGTTGGCGGAGGTGGCTGTTATTCTTTAGTTCGCTGAGTTCGTAGTCGACGTTCCAGTCGTCATCGGCGCTGAGGTTGCGGGGACGGGGCACAGCTTTGTCGTTGATATTGTTTCTTATTGTGAGGACCATACCGAGGAGATTGGTGGAGGGGTCGGGGGTGGTAGCAGGAGGTTTGGAAGAGGAGGAGGTGGCGGTGGTGTCGTCTGCTTTGACACTTCCTGATTCGACAGAGGTGATATTGTCATCAGTCGATTCAACAGCTTCGAAAGTATCTTCAACATCCTCCACTGCATCGAGGGACGCGTTTTCGTCTTCCTTTTGGTGATTATTTTCCTCTTCTGCAGCCACAAGTTCCGGGTGCAGTATTCGTCGCTGATACTCCTCAATGGCAGCCTTGTTTTTCTCCTGAATCGCCTTGATATCTTCATTCGTCACGGGTTCCGCAAAAATATACATGTACGGCACCTTTGCGTCACGCGTCTCGAAATGAAGACGTAGTGACTGGTCCGGGAATTTCGCGGTGGCTTTATCAAGGATGTTGTTCCAGAGTTTGATACTCAACGCAAACTCCTTGTCACCCAAGGTCGGGTCTGTCTGCCCATGCAACGCCAAGTCCATTTCTGACAGGGGGATGTACTGGAATCCAAAGATGCGCTCGATGTTATGGAACGCAACAAAGATACCGTCCATACGACCGACTCGGACTTGAAGAGAGTATTTTAGAAACGCCGCGCGGATCATGTCGTAGTATTCTCGTTCATATGATTCCCACATACCAAAGCGGCCTTTGATCTCGTATCCCATCGACTTCTCAAAATTCTTCACGTCCATGCGGATGGATACTACGGCGCGGGTTTTCAGATCAAACATTCCGGTTCCTGGAAGTCGGGGGTCGTAGGCATCCAATTGAGACCGCATTACAAAGTCGCCTAAGGTAGAGTAATGAAATGATTCTGGGATGGATCTTTCCTCTTCTGCAGTTATTTTGTTCTCACTAGACTTTCGATAACGCTCAAACTCGTCCTTGGAGACTGTGAGAAGCTTTTCCATGGATTTTCCAAGATTCATTAGAATGTTTGCGTTATCATACTCCTTATCGGCATCGATAGCATACACGCCATCTTTGTAATGAAGGAACATTGCAGCCGGAGCTCGCAAAAGTCGTGTGAAGCTACGCAGGGATTCTGGAAATCCCAACGAGACAGTGTCGCGGTTGATTGGTCGCCATTGAGAGAGCAGATAGTGGAAATGAGCAAGAACTGTCGTCATGCTAGACGAAGAGCCAACATATTTCCTTTTCTGATCTCGAGCAAGCTGAATGAGGGCTTCGTCCTTAGAAGACGTAATGTATTCTTTGAGGGCTTCGAAATCGAACTCCGAAACGGGCATTATATTCCCTAAATATGGGTCGAAATTGTAGATTCGTGACCGGGGATCGCGAAGGTGATAAACACCAGGACTGGGATGACATATTAGCTTTCGTTCTGTTCTCCGTTCACTAGCGGCGCCTTACTTAAAAAGAACCCGATCCAGCCCGTATGCTAGATTCGGGACAGGTGTTGTTTCGATATCAAGAGCTGTTTCGTAAAGTTAATAGGGCGTATATCTTATTGGTTTTGAATGTTAAACACTCACGAGTAAGTGTAAACTCATTCGAAGCTAGAGTCCCCGAATGTTTCTCTTCAATATGTTTCACTAAGCCGTGGATTTTCGTGGCCTCATCCGGCGACACTGATGTGGGTGGATTCTTTTTGGACGCTGGAGCAGGAGGAGGAGGAGGAGGAGGTGGTGGTGGTGCTTTCGCGCGCTTCTTCGGCTGTCGCTTCGTCTTTTCCTTTGCCTGCAACTTTGCACCTTTCTTCCCTCGCCCCTTGTTCTCGCCTAATTGGAGGCCCTTATGAGGTGGGTTAGGGGATGGTGGCACTGGAACCTTTTGTATCTCGAAGGATGTATTGGCATTGTCATTGTCTAAAGAAATATCTTTCTGAAACGAGTTAGTTTTTGTTCAAACTTCACCATCAGCGCAATTATCGAGAGAAGACCCTGCTTACCGGCGCATTGACTCGGGTTATATTTTCATTTCCATTATCTGGATTAGGGGCTGGAACAGGCTTTTGCTCCTCTTGATCTGGCGGATTCGATGAGTAATGGCGTCTGCTTGGGTGTGGCCGCTGAGTAGCTAGAAAACAAGAACACCGAGCATTGCCGTGAACAGGCCTTGAAAAAGACCGCAATGCCGTTCTTAACATCCGGACGGAATGGATCCGGCGGGTAAGGGATAGACAGCAATATGTAAACAGCAGGCAACAAACAGACGAAGAAAAAATGGAAGCAAATCGCAACGCAACCCTTGGCAGCAGGCTGGAGGTCAAACAAGCAGCTGCCATTCAACTTTCTTCGTGTCGCGTTTATTTCTCTGGCCTCACCGCCTTCCTGATTGGGCTACTGGGCTAGATATGGGTCTACTACGAGGATCTGATTGGCCTCTACCTCGTGCGACTTGTCTCGATAAGCACTAGGCTGCTTCACTATCCGCCAATCAGAATGATGCTTTCTACTCTTGCGAAAGATTCTTTCCTATCGCTCAGAGCGCAGCTATAGAGTCAATGGGAATAATGGACATTAATAAGCGAATTTTCATATTGCAATTAGAATAATTATACACATATAACTTTGTAACCGGTCAATTGCAGTTGATGGCCGAGTAGAACTGCTGTAAATTAAACTTCTTTGCGGGATATGTCGCGGGGTCGGAGAAACGCAGTTGCCGTCCGAGGAAAAAAAGTTTCCAGGTGCACGCAAACCAGCGAACGTTTCTCTCTTCGTCAAGCGATCCATTGGTTGTTCTCTGTTCATAAAGTAAGTGTCGGGCTATTTGAAATCGATTCTCTATGATGTACTGCCCGTCTTTTTGAGAGTGTTTGCTTGGCTTGCAATTGCTTTTAGGGTTCCTACCCCGCCAAAAGATTGTACTGAAATCTTCTGGGTGATTTTCCTGTGATTACTTTGAAATATGTTGCTTTCTGCTATTCACATCAATTCTATGTCTCTCAAATGGCCTTTCTTCATTTCCGCGCAGGATCCCGCTTCTGACTCGCTAACATAGTCTAAACAGGCACGGCCAAGATCAACGTCGAGATGCTCCAAGAGAGGTTGCGCGTGCTCGTTGTGGGCAACGGTGGTCGCGAGCATGCCTTTGCCTGGAAATTGAGCCAATCGCCTTTGGTCGATATCGTCCATGTTGCTCCTGGAAACGGTGGTACTGGAAAGGCGGCATCCCATAAGATCGTTAACACCAACGTCAAATCCGATGATTACCCAGGCCTCGTCGCGTTCGCTCAGCAGAACAATGTCAACCTAGTCGTCCCAGGTCCCGAAGCGCCTCTGGTAGATGGAATTCAGGAATATTTCAAGGCTGGTAGGGTCTTAGAACGACTTCATACGAGTCACACATCTGCTCACTTTTGCATTGTTTAGTCGGTATTAGGTGCTTTGGCCCGTCGAAAGCTGCCGCAAGAATGGAAGGCTCGAAAGCGTTCTCGAAAGATTTCATGAAGCAACATCAGATTCCAACCGCCGAGTACGAGAATTTCACCGATTACGAAGCCGCTCGCAAATACCTTGACTCGGTGAATCACAATGTAGTCATCAAAGCTAGCGGTTTGGCTGCTGGAAAAGGCGTCATTCTACCCACGACCAAGGAGGAGGCACATACTGCGCTCCGAGAGATCATGCTAGACCATCAATTCGGCGACGCCGGCAATGAGGTTGTGATTGAAGAATACCTCGATGGAGACGAAGTCAGTATTTTGACATTCAGTGACGGTTATACCATCAAATCCCTTCCACCAGCACAGGACCACAAGCGTATTTTCGATGGAGATCAAGGACCAAACACGGGAGGTATGGGCTGTTACGCCCCTACCCGCATCGCTTCGAAGCATGATCTCGAACACATCGACCGAACCATCATCCAGCCTACAATCGATGGAATGAGAAGAGAAGGTTTGTACATTCACGTAAATTGATTGGTCATATGATGCTAATTTGGAACTCTAGGATATCCATTTGTCGGAATCCTCTTTACGGGTTTGATGATAACCAAGAACGGCCCTAAAGTGCTCGAGTACAACGTTCGCGGAGGTGACCCCGAAACACAGACTATTCTCCCCCTTCTCAGTGCCAACACAGATTTGGCAGAGATCATGGTTGCATGCACAGAGCACTGGCTAGATGGAGTGTCAATTGTCATCGAACCCAAATTCTCAACGACAGTGGTTGCAGTAGCGGAAGGCTACCCAGGATCGTACGCAAAGGGCCGTACAATCACACTGGATCCTACACCAAATGACACCGTGATATTCCATGCTGGAACTTCCCTCATCGACAACGAACTCAAGACATCTGGTGGCCGCGTGATTGCAGCGACATCTGTAGCATCCTCCCTCGAAGATGCTGTTCGCAAGAGCTATGAAGGCATCGCTACGATCCACTTCCAAGGCATGCACTATAGAAAAGACATTGCCCACCGCGCCTTCCGTACTGCTCCAAAGCAAAACGAGAGTCTCACATACGCCAGCGCCGGAGTCTCTATCGATGCTGGAAACGCACTCGTCAACAAGATCAAAGCCTCGGTGGCTCGCACTCGCCGGCCTGGCTCTGATGCAGTCATCGGTGGGTTTGGCGGCACCTTTTCTCTGCCAGCAGCCAACTCTGCCTACCACCCAAATTCCCCAACCCTGATCGGAGCCATCGATGGTGTTGGGACAAAGCTCAAGATCGCCCACGCTGTCGGAATCCATGACACCGTCGGAATCGACCTGGTAGCCATGAATGTCAACGACCTGGTCGTCCAAGGCGCCGAGCCCCTATTCTTCCTCGACTGCTATTCCTGCGGCAAACTTGAAGTCGAGGTAGCTGCAGACTTTGTGACTGGTGTCGCTGAAGGCTGTGTCCAAGCTGGATGCGCGCTAATCGGTGGCGAAACCGCCGAAATGCCAGGCCTTTTCCTCGACGGTGCATACGACGCCGTTGGTGCCGCAGTGGGAGCCATCAACACGAACGGTCCAAACAGCCGCACCATTCTCCCTAACACCACAGCCATGAAACCAGGCGACATCCTACTCGCTCTGGCCTCCGCCGGCGTCCACTCCAACGGATTCTCTCTCGTGCGCAAAATCGTCGAGAAGTCCGGTGTGGGATACAACGACGCCGTGCCATTCTCCTTCACATCGCAACACCACAAGCCAAGCACCCTCGGGACAGCCCTCCTCACGCCAACACGCATCTACGTTAAACCGCTCCTTAAAGCGCTCACCATCCCTTCCTCCCAACACACCTCCTCGCCGGCGGCCATCAAGGGCATGGCACACATCACCGGCGGCGGGCTGATCGAAAACGTACCGCGCATGCTTCCACCCACGCTCTCCGCGCACATCGACGTCTCGACATGGACCCTACCACCCGTTTTCCAATGGCTCAAGAAAATCGGCAACGTGTCGTCGCAGGAAATGTCGCGCGCGTTCAACTGCGGCGTGGGCATGGTGCTTGTTGTAGACCGGGACTGTGCTGAGACTGTCCAGCAGTTGCTTAGCAGTGAAGGGGAGACTGTGTATCGGGTCGGGGAGTTGAAGGTTCGACAAGATAGTGATGACGGATGTGTATTGGCTGGGTTGGAGAAATGGGATTAAGGGGATTTAAATTCTTTCTTTGGTTGGTTCGGTGCCGCTTGTTTGAGTTCTATTTATAAAGAAAATTCGCATGTTGATTGTTAACTTGGTATATAATGACGTAAAATGAGGTTAATCATCTATATATCTAGACTGAAATGATATTGCGTGTCTAGAGCAAGAGTGTCCATCTCAATCTAGTACATATAGTAAACAATCAATTATGCACATATACCAAGTTACATGGATCATACCAGTACTGGTATATCTCGATATATCAATTAGATAAGAAACGACTACTGATGATCCGAATAAGGTCTTTCACGACCATACGAGAAACGGTTAACTGAAATGATCGTTCCACTTTCGCCTAGTTGACAAACAATACAACTAAAGCTAACCTGCCCCTGAACTTTTTTGATTTCCACAAGAGAAAACAAAAAACCGACAAAAAAAAATAAGGGGAAAAAAAATTGAATAATCAATTAAGTTGCTCGGTATAGAACAAACAAGTCCTTACAACATCTGAGAGGGAAAATAATAAAAGGGATGAGGGGATTTCGTCCGTTAAACCTTCTCTATTTCCAGTATTTGTTTGTTTGTTTGTCACACCCACGAGTCTCATCTCATTATCACGCACATAAACCGAAATACGACGGGTCTACCAGCATACCAATCGGATTCCGTGTTACATTTTCGTACACCAAGCTAAGGAAGAACAGACAAAAGGCAGCAGCCAAGCAACCAGTTGACGAAAAGCGCTGAAGTCGAAAAAAGACAAAGTTAGAATCGCAACCAATAATCAACCGCATGTCCACAATGTGTGTGCGCCATACCTTAGAAGCACTTGCGGTGGACGATGGAAGGACCGCTCTCGTCGTACTCCTGCTTGGAGATCCACATCTGTTGGAAGGTCGACAGGGAGGCAAGAATGGAACCACCGATCCAGACAGAGTATTTACGCTCGGGAGGAGCGATGATCTTGATCTTCATGGAGGATGGAGCAAGGGCAGTGATTTCCTTCTGCATACGGTCGGAGATACCTGGGTACATGGTAGTACCACCAGACTAGACGTAAAAGCGGTTAATATAGTTCGAAATAGAAGTGCTTGTTTCGCAACTCACCATGACAATGTTTCCGTACAGATCCTTACGAACGTCGACATCGCACTTGATGATAGAGTTGTAGGTGGTGACGTGGATACCGCCACTTTCGAGGCCGATAACGCTGGGCTGGAAGAGAGCTTCGGGAGCACGGAATCGCTCGTTACCAATGGTGATGACTTGACCGTCGGGCAATTCGTAGGACTTCTCCAAGCTGGAGCTCTGGGAAGCGGTCTGGATTTCCTGCTCGAAGTCGAGAGCGACGTAGCAAAGCTTCTCCTTGATGTCACGGACAATTTCACGCTCGGCAGTGGTGGAGAAAGAGTAACCGCGCTCAGCGAGAATCTTCATGAGGTAGTCGGTCAAGTCACGACCAGCCATATCAACACGAGAGATGGCGTGGGGAAGGGCGAAACCCTCGTAGATGGGGACAACGTGAGTGACACCGTCACCGGAGTCCAGAACGATACCAGTGGTACGACCAGAGGCGTACAGAGACAAAACGGCCTGGATGGAGACGTAGAAGGCAGGAGCATTGAAAGTCTCGAAGACGATCTGAGTCATCTTCTCTCGGTTAGACTTGGGGTTGATGGGAGCCTCGGTCAAGAGAACCGGGTGCTCCTCAGGGGCGACACGCAGTTCGTTGTAGAAGGTGTGGTGCCAGATCTTCTCCATGTCATCCCAGTTGGTGACAACACCGTGCTCAATGGGGTATCTGAGAGTCAAGATACCACGCTTGGACTGTGCCTCATCACCGACATACGAGTCCTTCTGACCCATACCAATCATAATACTGCGAAGAAAAATCATCAGCGGAAACGTTCATCAGTACCCGGAGAATTCGGTTTCCCCAGAACCGCGGCCCTCCCATGTATCTCACACAAGCAAGGCGCAGCCATAAGTCAGAACTTACCCATGATGACGGGGGCGGCCGACAATGGAAGCTAAAGAGCTGTTAGTATGCCACGTTTTACAACGCATTCGCACGAGGAGTGCGATTGCCCGCATGTAAGGGCGACCGGCGCCGGCGCTATCGCTGGAGCACTCGGAAGAGGATCAAGAGGGATGGACTTACGGAAGACAGCTCGGGGTGCGTCATCACCGGCGAAACCGGCCTTGCACATACCCGAACTAAACGATACCAGTCAGTCACTTATTCCATCGAGTTTGTGATAAAAACAATCCAAAAACAATGGTTGCCCGCAGCAAATGATCGGTACGGTGATCCAACTGTCTGGCCACCGACCCATTCGGCGTGTGCAGAATAAGACAACGGAATTGCGAGAGCGACATACCCATTGTCGATAACGAGGGCGGCAACTTCCTCTGTTCAGCAAAAAGAAGAGTTAGCAGGATCCAGAGCGAAACTGATTTGCGCAAGGAGGTGGCGCTGGAGATGTGTGGGCAGAAGCCGCTGAGGTGTCATGAACGGGGGGGAGGGGGTTGGTGCTGGGGATAAAATTGGACAAAACACACGTACCTTCCATGGCGACGATTGAGTCTTCGAGAAAAGTGAGGAGAGAAGAGAAAAATATACGACGAGGATGAGGGAGGGATGGAAGATGGTGAAGGTGGATATAGAGAGTTGGGTGAGGAGAGCGACGACAAGTCTTGGTTTGGAGTGGATGGATGATAAGGGAAGGCAGGAAGCGAGACGCAGCAGCCAGTGGAGGCGGTTGACTGTGTTTGCACCTGCTGGCTGGGCTAGGCGGGCCCCTCCACAACAAAACACACCTCAGCTCACCACTCGACACGACACTACACCACAGCACAACACGGCACCATTGATGCGCACTGCAGGCAGATGGCTTTTATTGTTATTACTCTATCCTATCCGTACATACTGACTACAGCATCAAATCCAGTCGGTCGTCCTCGAATGGCTACGATGTGTCAAGCGGCACAGACCATGAATCTCCAAAGGCCCTGCACAGCCCGCGCGGTGGGACTGGTTCATCTCACTAGTGGGTTGCTGAGTGGCCACCAAAGGCTTCCTGGTTCTTGCTCGTTCTTGCTCTTGGCACGATGATATATACTAAAAAAAGCTGGAGGTAGATGCGAATCTTAGCAGAGCCGCGTCATTCAGCTAGGCATAAGCATACTTGAAACGGTTCGTGAGCGACATCAGATGGTTGATGACGGGAGATGGGTAGTCACCAGCCAAAGCGACATTCGTCAGTGGCAATGGCAAATAATGACGACAATAGCGCTTTGTACCAGGAACAATGGAGCATCATCTCCCAGATATGAAGCTGCCTGCTGCCGGCCGCGTACTACCACCGCCGGGCAATGGGACATTAGCAACGTCTCAGGCAGCTAGATATATATATTGCCTTCTGACAATCCATCCAGTGCTGAATATGTACCAGCGTCTTAGCGAGCCGTTTTGTGGGTGATGCGGTGGCTGGTCTGCTTACCGCCATTTGGCCAGTTTAGACGCAATTAACTCTGTCCCCTTCGTTCTTAGTAGTTAACTGACTAATTAAACCAAGTTAGTATTTCAGCTGAAGGCTAACTTAGTCGTGCGTCATGTGACCAGCCGGCTTGGCGCGGGGTTGACACTAGCTCCGGATCGCAAGCCCTAAGCATATTTTTACTACTACCACGGTTCGTGTTAAAAGTTCCCTATATATTATGTTATAATTTCATTGAAATACTACTTATTACAATGAATGCGTCCTGATTTCATCCAATCCGGTGTGGCCGTCATGGGACTAGCGTTGCCAGTTTGGGAATAGCGTCCTTTTATTCAGCCATGATTGTTTATAGAGACGTCGACCCCTCTGGATCTTTCACATTCAAATTTTATGAGAGTTATAATAAAAGTCCAAGGTGGTCTCAGTTGTCCTGAAAATGCATAGCAAGAGTGGACACCCTATATTTTCACGGCATCAATGTGTACTACAGGTAAATGAGAATGCTTGATGTTAAGGCTCAAGTTTGCCTGAGGTATTGATTCACCAAGTATCAACAATGAAAGCCCACCCCGTGCAACCTAATTGATCTCTATGTCGCCGTAGAATAAACATCGTTCCTCGACTCTCGGCCTCAGACAGACACGGTAGATCAGACACGGTAGACCTCTGAAGAGCTAGACAACCTGGTTGACACATTTGTAGAACCTGATCGTACACGGCATTATCATTGTTGTTGGTGTAGCTGAGCTGTTTCAGACCGAAGATCAACTATTATTATTTCGATTACGTACATATTGCTTGCAGGTAACATGGTCTATGTCACCTTTGATCTCTCAGAAGATGCGGCTGAAAGACGGCCCACCAGTCAGAACGCCAGTTTAAGAAAGGCTGAAGGAACTCAACGGTCAACCCGGGTTGCTGACGGTTTATAAGTACGGTGCCAGCACTCAATTTACAAGAGACATGATTGCTATCTGGCGGTACAGCTTCCTTGAAGCCAATGAGCGACGAAGTCCCAGCAACGACCCATATTGCTTTGTTATCCAACGGGAGTCCAAGAATCTCCTTTTTCAAGTTATGGTGATTCTGGAAGTCTTGTTTACGCAAAACATCAAGGTCACATAATACCCCTGGGTATTCTGTATGGCTCATCCGACAATTTGATCTATGCCTTTCCGGTATGTTATTGGTGTCGAGGATAGGAAGACCAACTTGATGTTGATCTTATGTTCTGTCGACACGTTTGCACTATCGACTAGTGTCTTCATATTGAATTTGATGACTCCTAGCTTCCTCACTAACATGCTGCATCCAATCGTCCAAACGGTGGTATGAAACTCTAGTGTGGCCTCGTCTCCTGCCGTTTAACTCGTAGTGGTGTCCTCTTAGTCCTGATATTAGTAAACCTTTTTCATTCTGTCAATCTACGATAGGATGACAAAAGTTTAAATATAGTATCAAAATTTTCTACGTTACATTTATTTTTATACTAATTAGTACTAGATTAAATGCTTCTCAGGATCCCGCCCATAGATAATACATAATATTCAAATTTATTGGTATCAATTTGGGAAGGGCTTCTATACCATTCCACTTTTCAAATGTTGTGGCGCTGTATCCAAACGTTTTCACCGTAATGTATGTCGTAATTTTCAAGAAAGGCATTGTAAACTCTGCATACAGATAGATTCGCAACTTCCTTCACCTATCCACTCTCTATTCAATACCTTCTGTCCTCCTGCGAAGATACTACTTCCCAAGAGTAGTCAACCTATAGTTAAGCGGTACTTGTCAGCACTGCCATCAACTCAACATCACATTGCAAAAACTCTGAAAATATTTCCCCCTATTTCTGATAAAATCATCAGAAGCAAACAGGCTCAATTTCAAAGACATACTACACACTGCAAAAAACAAAGATCCTCTCAATTCTCAACTAAGCAGAAGCCAGCCATGAAACCGCTTCCACATCGCATCAAATGCAAGGTGATCAAGCCAAATTCCTCTTCCTTTGCTTCCTCGAGAAATCCGTGATTACATCTACTATCTCGTACTTGCACGTCCTCCCTATCCGCACATTTGGCTTAGATATATTATCCATCGGAGGAAATAGTTGGATGCGACAAAGTTCTACAAGAGATGTGAAGGGTTTGAGTGCCGCTTCCTGTTTTGGCCTAACAAGGAATCGACTGTTCTTGGTCATAGTGGAAGTAATTCGAGGAGAGCAAATATGGATAGTAAAGTTAGTGATGTTTTCCCTTTTTAAGTAGTCAGGGATTTTATTTCTAGGCAACTACCGTGTACTAATAAATCACGTGCTTCACAGGTCATATTGAGAAGTTCTTATCTTACTAATTAAAAGTTCAAAAAGGATTAATTAGAATATACGAATTCTTATTGCATGATTTCTATTTAACAGAACGAATTACTTAGATCGTACCAGTTGAACGATCCTCTGCAGGTTCTAGTGGGAAAAATTATTCCTTTTTGACCACAAGTTTGTTGTTGTATTATGTATCTAGTTTCAAAGTTTGAGGTCTTCCAGAAAATACTTGTTTGCAAGGGCGAAATGATAGTATAAATTTATATTTTGCTTAGCAAACTACCAATTAGCTATTGTTCCATTAAAGGAATAGTTGAGGCCAAAGGTAGTTTAGTTTACTTATTCAATCAATGCGTTGTAGCTAGAATTATATGATAATTCTTTTCAACTATATTCGATTCAAATCTCAACTGGTTGTTCTTCGATTCTAGCCTACAGTACACGATAAGATAGAATAACATAAACCCCAAATATATTTGCTGAGCACCGTTGAAGAGCTCAGCCCAGACCTTGCTGATCATCTTATACACACTGTTATTGTATCCCTAGCAAATATAACTATTAAAGCCATACAGCGACAATCACTGACCCGTAATACTAGATGCTAACCATGGGTCCGGGAGAAACGTGAATCGAGGACGTATCAACATTATGCATTTCGGGAAGTAGTTTGCAACGTTTGTCCGTACAGGAGCAATTATGTCCAAAATAACAATTGGGGTCTCGACACTGTAACCCATTATAGCATCTCTCGAGCCTCAGCTCGTGCCGAAAGACTAATTTTTCTTCCTCTGATAGAGGTCCATGGCTATAACAGGTATTCTTATCACAAGAGCCGGGAATTAGATGGAATGTTCGGCAATATCTCATATTTGCCTTTTTGGTCTTCTGATGCCAACTGTTCACTGCGTTCTGAGATCGCGAAGGCAGTTCGGTGTCGATACGTTGCTCAGCAGAGTTCAAAAGGACGGATCCGGAGGGTAAATCCTTGGATTTTTTGGAGACAGAAAAACCATTGGTGTCTCCTGTAGCGCTCAAAAGATTAGCCCAGGTTGACCCAGTCGCGGAATTGGCATTCTCCAGTGTCTGTCGCAGGGCCGGAGGTTCGTGATAACTGACGGGTTTGGTACGGAATATTTTCTCCATCTGAATGTAAGGAAACTTCAGACCAGTAAACTCTTTCCCTGTATCGAAAGATCGAAGGAGAGTCACACGGTTTGCAAATACTTTCTGCTCATACTCTTCCAACACTCGAACGTACCCATTGTCATGACATGCTCCAAATATAACATGACTGCAGGTAGGATTTCTAACAAACTGTTCAAAAAACCCTTGCTGCAGTTAGAGTGTTTGAAAAATTTTAGAGAGAAATGGAAATAAATTTACCTTTGATCTTCACATCAGCTCGATCCTTCCCACTGCCAACTAGAACAAAGTCACATGTGTCGTAGGCTTGCGAAAATCCCTTCGCAAAGTCTGTCAGTGACGAGGGTGACTTGATAATATTTCCCTTCACAAGCAACTTAGATAATCCATCTCCATTCGCAAACGCCTTCACCATGACCGGCAAGTTAGACATGTCTGGTTGCTCTTTTTTAAGGTATTCTCGTATCAACTCCCGGAAGTCCAAAGCTGCCTTTCGACCTCCGTCAACGGTTTGGTAATATTTATCTTTGAACTGTAACAAGTTAATTGTGAATGCTGTAATATAATGAACTTCTTACTATATATCCATCACCATCGGCGTCAATGAGAACTAAAACAAATGAACTGGCTTCCTAAGGGTTGTTTTTTTAGTAATTAATATTTCATCAAAGCGCCAGAATTTTGTCCTGGGTAGTACCTACGACAGACTTTTGTAACTCCTCCAAACGACGTTTCAAAGTCTCTGCTTCATCTTGTGTAGCACGGGCGGCAACACGTTCTCTTTTGAGATCTTTAGAAACATCCTGAAATTCTTGGTTCAACTTTTCAATCTGGGCTGAGAACATCTTTGTTGACAAAAGTCAATACAAGACAATGAAATATTTTGTTAGGAACGCCTCACCTTGATCTCTTCGCATCTTTTCTCGTCAGCAGCCTGTGACTTCCTAACCCAGTTTGTAAACTCTTTAGCAACATCAACCTCCATATCGTTCTGACTTCTCCTCTTTATGGGTATTGAAGTGAGAATCTTGAGCGATGCAACCAGGATGCAACCGATAATTGATTCAAATGTAAAATGGGAGAAATATGCTCGACCCAAGCCTACCGCCGCTTGGTTGCTTGACTTATATAATTAGTTGTTTCCTATGTACTGTTACACAACATAAGGCAGACTTCCAGTCAAAATACTCGATCTAAATACTATTCTTTATGTTTCATATTACTGGTAATGGATAGCCAATCGATAAGATAAGGTAAGTAAGGTGAATGTGTGCGTATGAGGCTGAGTAACCGCCATCGGAATTGATTGGCACTAAATGCATACACGTCAACAACCAATTAATTAGGTACACTTCTAATGTTATTGGGACTTTTTATTGGTGCATGAGCCCAGAATACAGCGGGAATTTAATCTTAGAGGAAACTGAATGGTCGAGAAACAAATACTTGAAGGCCGGCGTACTTTCAAGCAGGACACGCGTAATTATCACAATAGCCCTTAAGTTAATTGTATATCAATAGATGGTCTAGCTTAGCCTAGGGTATGGTATATTTTATCAATATTGAAGTTAAATTGCGTTCACTTAAATATATAGAAGAACAATAATCGTATAAATTAAGATATCGTACAGCTTTACATATGTAGTGGCTAGTTTCTTACTATGTAGTAAGAAGTATGATTTATAACGCAGCTTGATCTGTATGAGGAACTCTGACCAAAGCTGGGAAAATCGGGCAATGATGCTTTTCAATATTGGCGTGGCTATGTCATGGACAAGGCTGTAGGAATGATTGGCCAAGATGTAATGCTGAAGCGCCGTGTCGAAAGGATAGAATCAGCCTTGCCAATAGTGTTCTGTGTTCTACCTTTCGACGTCCACTCCTCAAGGCGGGATTTAATAGTAATAATTATTCTAAAGCCTGATTCCGATACAGTTTCTTAGATTTTATCCTATAGGACGAGCCACATAGCCATATGAATAAACAAGTCGGATACGATAGCAAACTAGGGCTTGCTCCAATGCCAATACATGCAATAGATAGTTTATTAGCTAGTCGAAAAATAATTAGTATTAAAGGTTTTTATTGGCTCAAAATGGTCTTGCACGGTATTTGTTACCTTTTATTGTGGGATCAAACAAGGTTTAGTTGTCTAAAAGGCAAGTATACTTGTCATCAGTCTTGTCAACTCCCCGGTTTAAAAATATGACAAGTTCTCAATACTATCGGCCCTTTCCGAGTTACAAAGATTTTATTTACTTCTACTTTAATGATGGCTATTTCGGCTCCTGCAGAGGATAAACAGCTTTTCCTGGACACAAAATGGATGACACTAATATGAGAAGCCTTACGTTTCCTGTGTTGGAAATTTCTAGGCATTAGGACGCTTCTCGCGACTCCTGTAATAGAGGAATCCCCAGCAGGTGAAGCGCAGAAGACAGTTGGCTGGTGGCAAGAGGCTTGCGAGCTAAAAATGCATTAATTCATGATCGCATGCGTGTATCGATGCTTCCTGATCATCGGCACAGAAGCGTTGAGTCTTCAATACTTGCAATTTGAATCCAAGAAACGCAAATTAGAATATATTATACCCGAAGAAGTTGAAATTGAGATGTCTACAATGTTCACGCGCATAAGACGTATTTTCAATTTCAGCCTGATGATGAAGAATATGCCAATTACCCAGGTAGATTTCACACACCATTCTTGATGATCGTCTCGCTACAATGGACAAGTTAAGTGATGCGTTGAATCATGGATATCTAACCGAAAAGCTTATGAAAGATTATTATGGCCGGGCTGCCCAGCTCGCTACTGTGTAGCAACTTAACTAGGAAATCGACGAACCAACTCTACTAGTTCGGTGGTCGTTCTGGATCCAGAGAGCTGGAATTGTTATGGAGCGCCATAATTCGGACATGCTGGCTGAGGCAAGGCGACAAATGAGAATCACATCTGGGCCACTTCAGTATTATTCATCTGATACATATCACTCCACTTTGACCGCGACACCGTCTAAGGCCATGCATTCTTTGGAGTCTGTGGAGGCTTAAATTCACATTAACCAAACATTTTTGGGAAATTTTCACGGCATTCAAACTTCATAAAATGAGAGACTGTATGAATTACAGGAGACAGTCTAGATCAGAAATTTCCTATTTATTGGGATAAGTCAATTGTACTTTTCTACATAGGGAAACAGAAAGCATTTAACTACATAGATTTAGAGTGCCATAAGGGAGAATTTACTATATAGATGAAGCTTCAACTGCTCTTCTATGTACTGTGTTGTATACCTATTGAAATACATTTGATGTTTAATAAGTAAGTATCAATCGATATTATAAACATGTACGGCCTCATACCATACCGCATCATTCCACTTTACATGTATACTTAGCATAGATCAAGGGGTACTCATTAAACAGCATCTACTAGCTCTAAGAACAACTACGGAGACTTAGTAAGTCTATACATCAGATAATCACTCGGATTTGATTTATTTTGTTAAAACAAAATAGGTAAATAGAGTTATATAACATGTGATTACTGGGATGGTTACTAAAATATTGACTAGCTATTCATACATTGAATCTAACTGGGTATAGCAGTGATGCAGGTATTTGGTATGTCTAGGTGGAGCTGGGTCACCAGACATAATAATTACAGGGGACATATGTAGTAACCAACCAATTGAAGCAGTGTTGGTCTGGTAACTATAAAGACAAGTTTTCGCACTCCTATATCTGATGCTGTTTAAAAACCCTTGGTTTATTATTTTACGACATTGTAACTGAGTCTCACTAGCCAAACTATATACTACATAAGCCAGTGTCGATTGACAATTACATACTGTTGGCACACTTTTGATCACCCAGCATGGCCGTTTCTCAGGAAGCCTCCGACATTATCCAGCGCAAAAAGCTGCAATACTGTCGCTACATCGACACTAATCAACTGCAACAACTCGACACCGTCATTATTCCCGACGCAAAGCTTTTATTTCTCCAATCGGATGGCTCCGTCATGAATGCAGGAGGAACCGATTTTAGCTTTTCGTCGAGGCAGGAATTTGTATCGTACTACGGCTCCGCTTTCGAGGGCCAACAGACGATGCACCACATCGGAGCGGGAGACTTTGAGCAGTTGAGCCTGAACGAAATCAAAGCAATCTGGGGAGTCATCTATTATTCTAGCACGAAGGAGGCGGTGGGGGGCTTGATGGCCTCAGGGGGAGGATATTACTACGAGACTTGGACGCGGAAGGATGGTGATTGGTTCATGAGCAAAATGAGGTTTGAGCGGGCGTTTTGGAAGATAACGAGGTCGGAGTGAATTTTGGGCTTCTGCTAGGCTTTGTTGTATGGTGCTGAATCAATGGTCAGCAATCCCAAGCGGCTTGTAGTACGTTGGACTATAACTTAGTTTCTTGGAAATGTAAGTATGAAATTCTATCATTTATTGCACCATATAAAGTAATTGTAAGTGTTGATTAATTTTAATATAAATTAATTATTAGATACTGAGGGGTACTAGTCCAGGCAACCCTTTGATGTTGCTTTCTCCATTGCCCCGAGGATCCCCCCCCCCGCATGAATGCGCATCAAAATGAGACAATCCTGTTAATTTCATTTCGTTATCATGCTATAATTTGTCATAAAACAAATTGTATATTAAGATAATGGCATAGCATTTTCCTGTCTACCAGGTTTAATTTTGAAATTGGCCAATGTCTTAATAATTCGTAGTACACTAGCATATCCTGGCACAGCATTACATGATATCAACCTAGTTTCTAATTAATTAATTAGGCCTCTATCTGGGTACATATAGACTAATACTCTGATATAGTTGTCTTTCACAAAATCTTACTACAAAATACTCCAAAGTACCTTCAAATGTTGGCCAGTCTCGAAAGAAAGAGAAAAGTTAAACAGAAAACGCTAATTAGGCAAGGTGAGAGTATCCCCAGCTTCGACACCTCTATACTCAAAATATTTCTTCCACTCAGGATCCTCAATCAGAGTCTGGGCAAGCTCCTTCTCATACGTAATGGAGAACTCGGAACCTTCGTCGGGACCGGCGCCAGCGCGCGGTGGGTAGACGATGAAGACTCCCTCCGTCACATCCCCCATAGGGTGGCGGTAAAGCAGTGGCCTTCCAAAGCCAAAATCAGCGGCTGTGATGTTTGCTTCTCTGTGATCTGTCTGCAGGATAGACATGGGCGGGTGCGCGTTGATGCGGATGTTCATGGCTGTTTTGTCCCGAACCGTGGCCACTACGCTGAGCGCCTGGTCGAGATTTTCTTGTGTAACACTGTTGGTAAGCTTCCGGATATAGGAAGCCAGCTGGGATAAAGACCACTCTGATATTACCTCGGCGGCTGTAGGTTGTGGAACTGGTGCGGTCGGGGACAGGGCCGCAAACATGACGTTCTGCTGAATGCGTGGTGCAACTTTAGGACTATGCATGCGCCTCCGCATGTCAACGGCCTCTGACCAGAATAGGGGCTGGGATAGATCAGGCTTGAAGATGGGAGCCCGGAGCCGCGAGACTGTCCGCCAGATAAAGGCTGAAAAGGCATCGTAGGTGGAAATCCAGGTGTCATCAGTTGGACTGGCAAGCCGTTTCAACTCGGCTGCTTTGCTTTTAGGCAAATGGAAGAGAAGTGCGACCGTACCCCTATGGTCTGGGTGACGCTCAGGGGTTGGAGGGCCATCGATCTTTTTTCCCTCAGGAACTTCAGCCTTGATCAAGCGCGAGAGATCGAGACATGATGGGTCCCAGGTGGGGAAAGCAGTGTTGTTGAAAATGGCTTTGCAATTCTCGGCGAGCTGATGCGTTAGCCCAGACCAACCCATCACATCGTTGGCATAATGATGTTGGTGTATAATCAGTACTAGTCCGCCCCTGATCAAATTAACCATGAAGGCTGCCGTCACCGGGCTGTTATCGGGATGGGCTTCTTCTTTCTCGCCATAGGCCATTGGCGGTATGCTCCAAAGGTCTAGATTGCCGAGCCTTGTGCTGCGAAAGTGCGCCTCTTCCAGATCATCAATGGAGGGATAGCTACTTTTATCTTCAGGAGCATCAAGCCATTGGACAACGAATTGAACTGTTCCATCCTTTTTCTTCACGAACGAATGCCCGCCGGCTGGATCCTTTTCAATTGTTCCGCAGAGGTGTCGTGTCTGGCTCAGGGTTCGCTCGAGGCCTGCCTTCAAGACGTCTATCGCCTTCGGCTTGTCGGCATCATCTAACCTGAAGAAAATAGTATAATGTGTGTAAGTGCATGCGGTAAGGTAATCAAGGGTCGTAACTTTGTATCTCTCTTCCTCCGGATCGGTTTCCCAACCAAATGGATGAATGTGCAAGACTTCTTTCTTTGGCATGGTTGAATATGACAGTCTCTGAATGTGGAAAAAGTGGATGTAGTTGCTAGTAATATGAGTCTATGGGGTGAGAGAAAGCCAGATGAAAAGGATCGGGGTTCTGGTTACAGACAGACTCTAGAGCTTTATCGCCTAAGGGAATTCGCAAATGTGGAATGAGAATAATGGAAACGAGGGGAAGCGAAGTCAAGCGGTGAATGACACTAGGAAGTTCAGAACTCCTTCCTGGTCCCCCACCGGACCGTATGTTTGAATATGAAAGATATTGGTTCTTGCTAGGCCTAATTGGAGAACATTTATCTATGCGAGGTTGAGACCGTGAGGCCAGGTGGTTAGGGGCATGTCACATCAGGCATGGAACAAGTGGGCTAAGTAATAGTCCCAACTTCCAAAAATGCGTAGTCGAGGCATTTTTGTTAATAATATTATTATAATCGTAGTAATAATGGCAGACAACGGCCAAACTGCAGCCCCTACTAGCCTTTGGATACTAGTATCGAAATTATTTACCTCATTATAAGTTGCATAAGCACTACCAGGTGGTAAATTTTCGTTTTCGGAATAGTGCTTGCGTTGTCCATGTCGTCGCCAAGGCCATGTCCTTCGCATCCAATTTTGCTATTGTTGGGCCATGAAATTTAACGGTCATATCCAGTGGAGGCTATGACGGATTCATTATTATTAATATCGGTTATCTGACCAAGTTTTGCTCTTGTACAGAGCACAAAAATCACTATCACTGATGTGTAGCGAGACTAGTGGCCTTAATAATGACCGTCATAAGGATTACCAGGGACGGCGGTGGTTGTCGTCGGCAATTTCGCCAGGTGCAGATCTGTTCTATGTCCGAATTAGGAGAGAAATCCCAAACACAGCGGCCTCCCTAGTCCTGACTGGCTACAAATGCGGACATCGGTAGCATATGACAGCAGGAAAAGGACAGGATAACAGTGGCAACTTATAGTAGTCGAGTGTTCTATAACACCCAAGAGGCCGTTGGATTGGTCGGGGACCCTTGCAAAACTACCCGGGTGCATAGCGCCGGCACCAAGGAAGCTGGCACTAACTAATAATTCTAGCTGCCGTCTTGGCAGCGCGCCACAACAAGATCTAGGCGGAAATACAACCTGTATACCAATTCAGGAGTTGAAATGTGAAGTACAGTGAGTGGGGTGTAAGCCGTTGCTCCGTGTCGATCAGTCTCCAGGTCCCCCCACTTAGTTCTGCTCCCCCCAGCACTCCGGCTTCCGTCTATAGGCTCTTTCCCCGTCTGTCTGGCCCTAAGGCACCTAACATAAAGCCATCCACCAATCTCACAATGCCCCCGCATCATCTGGTTAGTTTTTACGCGTAGGTACTGGACTCAACGAACTAAATAGACACGAAGGAATCCGGTCCTTCGGACGGGAAACACGCTAAAAAACTGTTCTCGCTAGGAGTCTAACCCCTGTTCACCCGAAGCCGCTAATGACACTGACAGGTCGATGGTGTCGTACCTCGAGTTTATGTCTTAAAGTACCCAGAACTAACGGATCTTTGCCGATCTATGACCCAAGATTGGGAAAAAAAAGAAAAAGTAGTCGAAGAGAGGCAAATAAGCTATAACAACCAACTTAAACTCATGGTATCGAACGCATTTTCAAAAGCCTGCGTCGCCCACATGCTGTCAGAACAGCAGCATTTGGTCTTTTAACCTCAAACCCAGCTCGTCATGGACCTTAATGGACCTGCCCTCCAGCCTCCTGAAGGGGTGACTCCGAACTTTGACAACCCGCCCAACAATAACAGACTTGCCTATATAGTGCTGACTCTGTGTGCTGTTGTTGCTACTATTTGCCTTTTGTTGCGTCTCTATGCGCGAGTAATTTTGCTGCGGAAAATTCAGATTGAAGAAGGTATGTTCTCGACACTTGTGTCAAATTTCACATTTGCTTTTTCAATATATTTTTCAGTATAATGGAGCCCTCCTCAAATTTGAATATCCTGCTAATTTTCTACTACGAAATTACAGTTCTTATTACTCTTGCTTATGTTTGTTTTCCCCTTTCCAGCTTCTTTACACAATTCTAATGGTATATTAGGGACCATACTGGGGTGCAGTGTGGTCTGCATATCGTATGATCGAGACACCAGGATATTTTGTTCATCAATGGGATCTCCGCCTGAAAGACCTTATACCAGCTAACTATGTGAGCTTTTAAATTACTCCACTTCCCAGCAACAGCTCGCTAATTGAACTTAGTATACGCTTGTTTTTGGTGTCTGCTACTCAATCATATTACCGCTCCTCAAAGTATCTATCTTGGTAGAATGGCTACGTGTTTTTTCTCCTCGAGGTTCCCGATACAAAGGTCTTTTCTGGTGGGGTTGTATCATTGTGATATTTGTTCAGTCCGCCTCTGGTGTTGCCATTGCTATTGCATTGAATTTCCAGTGTACCCCACACAAGAAGATCTATGATTTCAGCGTGCATGGTACGTGTTGGGAATTGTACAAGGTGCAGGTGTCATCGGCAAGCATCCAGCTGGCGTCTGATGTGGCCATTATGTTGCTACCACAACATGTCATCTGGAAATTGAAAATGTCGTGGCAGAAACGGCTTGGTGTTTCTATTGTTTTTGGTTTCGGTTTAACGTGAGTTACAGTCCGAACTACTTTTTTAACACCAATACTGACGTGGAGGGGTATTATCTAGTGCATGCGTTTCAGCAGCCTTCCGGCTGGAAACAACTGTTGCCCATGCCCACACGTCCGATGCCATCTACAGTCTGGCGCCCTTGGTTTTCTGGGCCACTGCTGAAATCACATGCGGGTTTTTCATCGTCTGCTTACCTTGTATCCCCAAGACACTCAAGGAAACCGGGATGATGGACAAGATCAAGCGAGCATTTGGCTACAAGGCAAGTTCACAGTATAATCACAACGAGAATTATTATCCTGGCAGTGGGCGTCCATCACATCACGCCAAGCTGTCGACTACGGGCTCAGATTCTTACCATAAGCTTGCTGAAGAGGGAGTGGTGATGAACAATATAAAAGGGTTTGCATCGACAGAGCGTCTGCATGATGGAGTACCGGGCGATGGCATCACGCGAACGACCAGAATCACTGTCTCGCAAAACCCTCGCCTCGATGTTGATGACGTCGACCGCAGAGTCTATCCATGAGTTATACAAATGCTTACGGCTACTTTTTTTTGAATGGAACAGCAACGAAAAGGGAAAAGTGAAAGTATAAAATAGGAAGGAATATGAAGAAGAGGCGGAAGAATCCGATAGTTTCAAGGCGGGGCGCGGGCTACGGTGTAGGAAGAGAACAAAAAGGAAATCCCGAAAACGGCTATGTTAGGGCTATTTTTTAGTCAGGCGTCCCCTGGTTGCAAGGAATATGTATTATACTTAATGAAACCATTCTGCGCATGCGAATGCATTCTTTTTATTATTCGTTAAATCAACATTCTACCACTTTAAGTTGGCCTAGGAACCAGAATTTTGCAAAGCATGCGATTTCTGTGTCTGCATGGGAGGGGGGCGTGCGCCAAGGTATGTCGCGTGTTCAGTTGTATTATTATTACGATCCTTTTCATATGTAATTTCGCGAAGAGAATTTCCATTAAACTAAACTGGAGGGCAAGATATTCGAAATGCAGACTGGTAATGTGCTTAAATATGGGTTGATGGAAATCATTGTTAAAGGGAAGGTATTATAGCAAGCCTCAGAGAGCACCTGGGTCAGCACGAGTTTGTTTTCGTGAATGGCGCCGTTTCAACCGAGCCAAGCAACGGTATACCTGTTTCTACCTGGCATAGCAGCCTTCCGAAGCCAACTCTAACTAACTACTAGTAGATACCATCCGCCACTTGACCGACGAGTTTTATGGGTACCTAGCGAACGAGCTGGATTTCACTCAGTGCCGGGGTCTCGTGCTCGACTTGGTGGATTTTGTCCAGAGCCATGGTCCCTTTCACGGCGTAATGGGGTTCTCTGAAGGGGGAATTGTAGCAGCGATGCTGCTGATAGAGGACAGCAGACATGTCTTTGCGGACTTCCAGTGTGGCATCTTCTTCAGCTCGGCGTTGCCACTAGACATGGATGTGCTCCACACGACCGGGCTCCTCCAATGCGTGGACCCAGCCATGACAATTGATGGGTCTGGCCTGCTCAAATTACCCACGGCTCATATTCTCGAGTCAAACAATTGTTGGGATGACCAACTGTTTCTGCGTTCTCCTTTAGCCCCGCTTTGGCAGCGGGCAGGGATCAAGGATCCTGGCAAGTCGCTGCTCCAGCTGTGTGATGAAAAGCTGCGCGAGGTCTATCTTCATGAATTGGGCCATCAAATTCCCGACGCGACATCTGGCGATGTCTTGTTGAAGACTCTCCGGGCAATTGAACGAACCATTGAGCGAGCCAAACGTTAGACGGAAGCAGCAAAATACTAAGTATCAAAGGTATTCTAGTCTGAGAGATATTTTTTTAGCTGCAGACTAAAACTGACACTAAAAAGCCGATTGTCTCAAAGACCTAATTAGATTATTAAGGAGTGCTTCTCCTTCTTATGCGCTCTAGCATACACTTGTTGGTTTTTAATGGTGGAATGATCCTAGTTTACTTTGCATGTCAATTGAAGGCGCCGGTCGAAAACAGTGCCATGGTGTTGGTAAAATAGAACCGCCTAGCTCATATATTTTAGGACCCTACACGAACTGTAAAATCTTAGCTGCGAGGGGCCGATTAGTATGCGAGTCCTACTATAAATGTTGGCGATTCTTGATAAACCGCAGCGGGTAGTATATAGATCAAATATTTGCAAATACCGGAGAAATTCCAGGGAAAAGAAGCAGGCAATCATCCGAATAGAAAACCTGAATTCTTCCTATAGACTGTAGTGATGTCATACTCAAGAAAAAGACGATTGATGGCTTATGACATCGTCCCATGTGAGTATTCGAATATAACGCAATATGAAAATCAAAATAGTATCAAGATCTGAATAGGTCACTCTACCAGATGTTTGTTTCCCGTGGGAGTCCTGTTGAAGTCAATAGGTATTGAGTTATGTAGGATGTGGATTGAATCCTCGGGTTAGGCTCTTAGATCTCTCATGTCACTCATGCATGCAGTCAGAAATTACTAGTGTTTCAGAAGGAGCTAAAAGTTGAAAATTTCAACGGTAGTTACGTCAAGCGTAGATACGAGCCAATTTGGGCATGAATAAATCGGCGAAGGATCCGATAACCGTGCGAGATAATCCGCAGGAATAAAAGGATAACCCGAATAGAACAAGCCCGTTTGTTCCTTCTATCCTTTACCAGTGCTATCAGCCAACGTCTGTGTAGAAAAGTAATATACAACCAATTCATTCCTATGCAGATTCCAGAATGGCTCAGGTAGAAGACATCGCCATTGTGGGATACTCGTTCAAGCTTCCCCAAAACATAAATGACAATGATAGCTTCTGGGAGGTGCTTCAGACGGGACGGAATCTAAGGACGGAATGGCCAGAATCTCGGATGAACGTGGACGCTTTCAGGCGCACCAGGGACAATAAAGAGGTATGAGTTTATATCCAGAATTATAACCAAAAAAAAAATGGAACACTATATCAATCGTCTCCTGATCGCGGTAGTTGCGTGGCCTAGGAGGACATTTCATGAATGAACATGTCGGCGCTTTCGATGCTCCATTTTTCTCAGTCACGGCCAAGGAGGCGGCGGCCATGGACCCAACACAGCGTATGAGTCTAGAAGTGTCATATCATGCTATAGAGAATGGTAAGGACAAAAGACTCGATAAAGAAACAGTCCCATACGAAAAGTGGGAAGCCAGCCGAAGAAAATGCTAACCATCATGTTTCATTATTCCAGCGGGGATCCCAATCGAGAGCCTCAAGGGCTCGCGAACTGCAGTATTCTCCGCTTCCATGCTGGAAGACTATCCAAGAATCACAGCGATAGATCCGGAAAATGCAGAGCGGACGGCCGTCACTGGTAGCACTGTTGCGTCCGTCATTCCCAATCGGATTAGCTGGTATTTTGATCTGCGAGGACCAAGCATACATGTCAATACTGCTTGCTCGAGCAGCTTGGCCGCAGTCGATATGGCCTGTAAAACGTTGAAAAGTGGCGATGCCTCATGTGTGAGTCCTGTTTTATATCTCGGTAGACAGTTTATCTTCGTTTGAAGCTCATCTTACTGAAGGCAATCGTAACCGGAGCCAATTTGATCCTCGACCCAGCCATTTTCCAAGTGCTGTCGAGCCAGAACTTCTTGTCCCCGGACAGCGTTTGCTATAGCTTTGATCATCGAGCAAACGGATATGGTAGAGGTGAGGGTATTGTTGCTCTTGTTCTAAAACCTGTATCTGCAGCCTTACAGAACGGCGACATGATCCGGGCTGTAATCCGCTCGACTGGCTCCAACCAGGATGGACATACTCCGGTTATGACACAGCCAAGCCCCCAAGCACAAGAAGATTTGATACACCATGTCTATAAGCAAGCTAACCTGTCTTTTGACGAAACTCGTTACGTTGAGGCTCATGGTAAGTATATGCACCGTCTTGCATATATGCATATATTTTTTTCATTGACTAAAAGGGTCACTAGGAACTGGAACCCCAGTAGGTGACCCAATCGAAATGAAAGCTATTGGTCTTGTCTTTCGAAAATATCGATCGGCTGTAGAACCTCTTTATGTGTAAGTCATACTCTCTCCGGTATCTAGGTCATATTGTGTCAGCCAAGGGTATGGAGCTTTCCTTTAATGAAACTGTCTAATAGAATGATCGCAGAGGTTCGGTCAAATCAAGTGTTGGGCACCTTGAGGGAGCTAGTGCACTGGCTAGCATAGTCAAGTCTATTCGTAAGATCCATCCCATACATTTTTTCTCTATTCTCTTAGATATTATCCACATTCCTTCCGATACTGACATCTGTGACAGTCATGCTCGAAAAAGGCATCATACCAACAAACGCACTGTTTGAAAAACTTAATCCGTCTATTGATGCAGACTTTTATCATACCGTGGTATGTGGCTATAATGCGTCGACTCGTGAATTTTTTGCCTTTCATTAACTTGACGTTCTTCTGTAGGTTCCGACTCAAAATATAACGTGGCCAAGCGCCGCTTTGCGTCGCATATCAGTCAACTCGTTTGGATTTGGAGGCTCCAACAGCCATATTGTTCTCGACGATGCGTTGCATTACCTGAAGGATCGCAGCCTGGTCGGAAATCACTGCACGATATCACCTCCTAGTGTCTCAATGGCTAACTCTAGTGCCACTGCTATTGATGGAACGGCCAATGGCAATGGGACAGTCCATCTAGAGAATGGTATGAATAGAAGTAGCACTGCTCATGGAACATCCCATCTCCTGAACGGCTCCGTCAAAGCCAATACGCCCCTTAACCTATTACCAAAGTTACTTGTCTGGACTTCAGCAGATGAAAATGCGGTCAAGCGCACTATTCAGACTCACATGGCTTTTTACGAAGAAAAGGTATCCGGTAACCCAGCGATGGTCGACCGACTGGCTTTCACCCTAGCCTCCCGACGAAGCCACATGTTGTGGAGAACATTTGCCGTTATCATGAACTCACCTGAAGTCGACCAGAAAATTTCTCCAGCTAAACCTGTTCGTAGCTCCGCCGAGTCTGGGCTCGGATTTGTGTTTACAGGCCAGGGAGCACAGTACGTGAGCATGGGCTGGGACCTTATTCAGTATCCTATATTTGCCGAAACATTGAGCAAGATTGAAGATATATATAGGAGTATTGGGTGTCAATGGTCCATATTTGGTGAGAAAGGAAAGGTCCTAGCTTAGTCATCATCTGAATAGACTAACCATCGTCCTTTAGATGAGTTGCGTCGCAATAAAAACATCGACAAGCCTGAATATAGCCAGCCATTATCAACAGCTGTGCAGATTGCTTTGCTAGAATTGTTACGGACTTTTGGTATCACTCCCAAAGCCATTGTTGGGCATTCATCTGGCGAGATTGCTGCTGCGTATGTCAAAATCCTTTCCCGATTTAAATTACTTGATTTGCATATCCGTAGGTAAGCAGAAAGGAATGTAGTTTACTAACTCTTTGAATAAAATAGATATGCTATTGGTGCCTTATCATTGGTCTCGGCTTGCAAGGTCTCGTTCTACCGAGGTCTCCTGGCGGGAAAGCTTCGAGTAGAGAGCGCTGATTCACCAGGAGCCATGATATCGGTGAATCTCCCAGAGACCTCGGCGTCTGAATACTTGAAGAGCATCAAGAACGCAGATACCTGCTCAGTCGGTGTAGCCTGTATCAACAGTCCCCTCAACTGCACGCTGTCGGGCCCTGAACAGGCGATCGATGCAATCAAAATTCAAGCTGATACGGATGGCATCTTTGCGCAGAAAATAAAGACAGGGGTTGCATATCACTCCTCTTCAATGAATGCCATTGCTGACGAATATTTGTCGTTGATGGGAAGTCTCGAGGACGTGGAGAGCGGAAGCCCCAAAGCTAAAAACCGGATTCCAATGGTCTCGTCCCTTACTGGAAAGGTCGTGACGCCATCCACATTGGCTACGGCAGAGTACTGGGTTGAGAACCTGGTATCTCCAGTTCGCTTTGCCGACGCTGTTCAGATACTGACGCAGGAAACATCAACTCTAAAAGTTGGGATGGGAACTATCACGGACCTGGTTGAGATTGGGCCGCACCCAGTTCTAAAACGATTCGTGCAAGACACAATACGTCAGCCACAGAACCGGAAAAAGCAGATACGTTACTTGGGTGTGCTTCATAGGTTGCAACCGCCTATAAAATCCATGCTAGAGCTCGTAGGAAATTTGTTCTGTCTGGGACACACAGTTCGAATTCAGGTTGTCAACCAACAGTCGACGAAGGACCTCTCTCCCTTCCTAGTTGACTGCCCAGAATATCCCTTTGATCGATCACAGATATCTTTGGCCGAGTCGCGTATAAGCCGAGATTTCAGACTGCGAGGGACCACAAAGGGAGAGACACTTGGTGTGCGAGTATCGGATTGGAACCCGTTAGAGCCGAGATGGAGGAACTTTTTAAGTATCGAATCTACACCGTGGATCAGGGACCATGTGGTAGGTTACCCTTCAAATATTATGCATGAAAATTTAATTTTATGGAAGAATGCTTACTTTATTGGATGACCAAAGGTCAGCAACACAGTCCTCTACCCCGCCGCAGGCATGTTGGTCATGGCCATCGAAGCAGTGCAGCAAATGATGCCACCCGACAGTCTTGTCACCGGATATCTCGTTAGAAAAGCCGAGTTCACTAATCCGATTCTCGTACTTGAAACTTGGGAAGACCGAACTGAAACGCAAGTACGACTACGACCAGTGAAACAACAGCAGAGCAACGAGCTGGCGTCGTTTGACGTTGTTATATTCTCGTACTTGCATGGCGTTTGGACAGAGTGTTTCCACGCTAACGTTGATATCGATTACGAGTCACCACTTGCAACACGTCATGAAGATCTACAGAGGCGATATCGACAAGCAGCAGAATTGTGCGAGATTCCGATTGATTCAACCTTTTTCTACCGTAGTGCCGCCGATAATGGTCTCCAGTATGGGGACTGGTTCCAGCTTCTGCGAGACATACACTGGGATGGAAAAGCTAATGCGCTGGGTCGTGTTGATGTGACGAAGGCAAGATTCCAGACAAGTAGTCTGGTGCATCCTGCTGTCTTGGACCAGGCCTTCCATGTGCTGCGGGCATCCGCAGGGCAGCAGAATGCAACCAATGTTCCTGTGCGCGTCTCAGACGCTTGGTTCGCGTCATCCGGATGGCAAGGGGGGCCCGGAATCACAACCATCACCTGGTTGGCGACATCGGTCTCGCCAATAAGTGAGAACTACCATGGTGAAAAAGGCAGCCTTTATGCGCTGGCTGATGATGGGACTGTATTGTGCACTATTGGACAGGCTGCCACCGCGACTATATCGGGAGACACGCAAGAAACGAAAAAGGAGAAAGATTTGCTTTACAGTATTGATTGGAAGCCACAGCTTAGCCTGCTCAAGCCAGAGCAATTAAAACAATACACAATTGCCAACAGTGTAGCCAGGGATGAGTCTACTATTGTCACCAACCACGCGAAATTGTGTGCTACATTGAACCGTGTCGCCGTTCGAACACTACGACAAATTGATCGTTCCAAGTTGCAGGGAGCATTGCACCATTACGTCGCATGGATGGAGAGATATGTGAGTAAACTACCCCCTGCACAACAAGCGGAGTCCATCTGCAATACGGAACTTGAAGCCCAGTTGTGCGACATTGAGACCACAGTCCCGGCATGGAAGCTATATACGACCTGTGCACGGAAGCTACCAGAAATGCTGGCCGGCGAGGTCGACCCCCTACAAGTAGTTTTCGGGTCTAACCTGGCCGATATCTTTTACGCATATATGTTCCAAACATTGTGTACCGATGGGCGCTTCACTACTATTCTCGACCTTGCATCCCATGAAAACCCGAATCTCCGGGTTTTGGAAGTCGGCGCTGGCACAGGTGGAATGACGGGGCATGTTCTCGAGGCATTTCAGAGGCGTGAAAAGGGTACGGGGGCATCCAGCTTCGCGGAATACACATATACTGATATCTCACCCGTATTCTTCGAGCGAGGTAGCAGCCGGTGGGAGAAATGGTACAAAGAGGGTCGTATGAGTTTCAAGACGCTAGATCTCAACACGGCTATTGAGACTCAAGGGTTTGAACCGGGTTCTTATGACCTCGTGGTTGCCGCCAGCGTTTTGCACGCAACTCCTGATCTTCAGGTAACCCTCCGTAACGTTCGCCGGGCTCTGAAACCGGGAGGCCAGCTTGTGCTAGTTGAGATCACCAATCCGGACGATGTTGCAGTCACGATGATGGCCGGCCTTTTACCAGGTTGGTGGATTGGTCGCGAGGAGTGGCGGAAGAACTCGGCAGTGGTCCCTGACCACTTGTGGGATGAGTGTTTGCGTGCTAGCGGCTTCTCGGGCAATGATGTAGTGATCCGCGACTATCAGAGCGAAATGTGCCACTTTATGAGCATCATAATCTCTACAGCCATGGATGAGACAGCCGGGACAATATCAAAGCCAAAACAGAGTCTGGGCCGACTCATCTTGGTCGTCGATCAACAGTCAAACGAGCAACACGAACAGCAAATACGTCTGGCAGACTTGGTGCGAGATTGCATCGACCCGGAAAGCAGACTCTCAACAACTACTTGTGTGTTTTCCCTAAACGAGCTATCCAATGCTCTTGCGAACTTGTACCAGGATGACATCGTGATTGTCCTGGCAGAAGTAAATAACAGACCACTACTTTCCAGGCTATCGGCAAAAACATTTGCATACTTGCAACACCTAATCAAGCATGCACCAAAGCTTCTGTGGGCGACTGCGACAAGCATCAATGATGCACAGTATGCTGATTACAGCGCAGTCCAAGGCTTCCTGCGCTCTATCCGAGCCGAGCAGTCTGACAAACACATCGTTAGTATTGCTATTGAGGATGAGAAAGACACGGCAACATGTGCTCAGTTCATTGCAAATGCTTTCAGGGCTGCCTTTGGTTCTTCATCGTCATCAAAGGAAGTGGAGTACATTGTTCGTGATGGACTCATTATGACAGGCCGCGTAGTTAAGAATGAAAATGGAAATCACGCTCTCAAATCTCTGCTTTATGAAAGCTTGCAATACAAACCATGGGCGGAGGGCAATGGTTTAAGGCTCTCGGAGGGTACCCATGGAGCTCTTGAGTCTCTGCGATTCGTACAAGATCCTATATATGACAACGATATCGACCCTCATGAAGTGGAGATCGAGGCTCAGACTTGGGGTCTGAGTGATCGCGACGTTCAGACGGCTTTAGGTCGCGTGAATGTCGAATACCAATCACTGGGAAGCGGTTTTGTCGGTTTGGTCAGTAAAATCGGCCGAGACTGCAAGCTATCAATCCAGCCAGGCGACCGGGTTTGCGTGATAGCTCCAGGTGCTATACGCAAATATCCTCGAGTACATGAGTCGGCAATCTTCGAAATTCCTGACACACTGTCGAACGAGGCTGTTGCATCAATCATTATCCCCGGCATGACTGCATATCACTCCCTGGTCGATGTAGCCCGGCTACGGAAAGGAGACAAGGTCCTGATTCACTTAGCTGCCAGCGGTATAGGCCAGGTAGCTGTCTGGATTGCAAAAATGCAAGACGCTGTCATTTTTGCTACGGTCTCGTCCTCGGAGCAAAAGGAGTTCCTTATCGAGAATTTGGCTATCGACGAGAGCAGCATTTTTGACAGTCACGGTACGTTTCCCCAGGATGTGCTAAATGCTACACAGAGATATGGCGTCGATGTCATCTTGAACACACTTTCAGGAGAGAATGCACTCCAGGCTTCGTGTGAATGTTTGGCGCCTGGTGGACGATTTATCGAGGTCGGTCATGTCAACGTAAATGCCAACACGAAGCTGCCTATGGAGTTATTTGCCAGAAATCTCACATTTTCCGTCGTCGACTTGGCACAGCTAAGTCCTGAAATCATCTCAGGCTTACTCCAAAATACCATACAGCTTTTCAGCGAGGAGACGATTCTACCTCCTCAGCCACTACATATCTTCAACTCATCCGAGATCCAGCAAGCATTTGGACAAGTTCAAAATGGCCAAACCATTGGTTGCACGGCAATTACTCTCAGACCTGAAGACCTTGTTCCGGTAAGTTGGAAAACTACTTACACCATCTTGGTTCGCCTTGGTAAGCTAACACGTGAGTTGCAGCACTTCATTCGGGAGCGTCGATCCTGGAAATTTGATAAAGATGTATCGTACTTGATTGCTGGAGGATCTGGTGGCCTAGGCCGTGCAATTATGCAATGGATGGCTGATCGAGGAGCGAAACATCTAATCACATTGTCTCGATCGGGAGCAACGTCAAAGGCTGGTGCCCAGAAGATCGCCGAACTGACAGCTTCTGGCGTGAAAGTTTTTTCTGCTAAGTGCGACGTGTCCTCAGAGAAAGATCTTGCTAGCACTTTGGCCGAACTTTCGCGCACAATGCCACCTATCAAAGGCTGCATTAATGCAGCTGTGGTCCTCCAGGATGCAATCTTCCAAGAGAGCATGACATTCGAAAAGTGGGAACTTGCAATGCTGGCAAAAGTACAAACTTCGTGGAATTTACATTCCCTCTTACCAGAAAATCTTGACTTTTTCATACTACTATCTTCTCTTGCCGGTGTCATTGGTCAGATGGCTAGCTCCAACTACACCGCTGGTTGCACTTTTCAGGATGCCCTGACTCGATACCGCGTTAGTCGGGGCCAAAAGTCGGTCTCAATTAACATTGGGTGGATGCGTAATATAGGCCTCATCGCTGAGACAGGAGAGTATCAGCGGCAGCGTCAGAAATTAGACGACATGCAGCCTATCAACGACAGCGAGCTGCTTGCTTTGCTGACTCTATGTTGTGATCCCACGAACCCCCTCCCAGTAGCAGCACAAGGCCAAGGGCAGGTTGTCTTCGGCTTACGTACGCCAGCCGAAATCCTGTCAGAAGGACGAGCCGTCCCAGCACATTTGGAACGCCCTTTGTTTGCTGGCTTCTCTCGCGATGCCCAATCGACTGCATCAGCTAAGGAGGTCGCTCAACTCGACCGAGAAGTAGCCATGGCTGCCACTCTGTTCCGTAAGGCTACCACGTCAGAAGAGCGAATTCATGTTGTCCTGCGTGCCCTTGCAGCAAAACTGGCGCGCGCGATGTCAATCTCGCCGGATGATGTCGAGCATAACAAGCCACTGTCGTCGTACGGTGTCGACTCGCTTATGGCAGTCGAGCTGAGGAACTGGATTGGCAGAGAGTTCGAGGCTACTGTGTCCGTATTTGATATTATGGGCGGTATATCTATTGGAGGCATCGCAGATTTGGTAGCATCAAGGAGCACGGTTGGCCAGAATTTTGATTAGGTCTGAGGCAGGATGTTAGTCCAAAAGTATAGGCATTTTATCCATAAAAACACCATCGTGATAACCGTCTCAGAATTCCCTGTTGGAGATAATTTTTTCGCCCGTAGGTTTCGCTACCGTGGCACGGTATGTAGCCATCGCCTTTGCAAGTATATGCATATTCTGCTTCAAGTAGACAAACTTTTGGGCTGGGAGGAAATTTCTTAACCAACAGCCACAACAATCAAAATGAACAGCCGACCAAGCCTGTCCGTTGGGCTGATTCCAGGTCCTAATATAGCACACTATATAAATATCAAATGAAAGAACGACATATCGGAATGACAAAATAACGGCTCCAGCCACAACGGGGGATGCTTCAGCCACAGAGTCCACAGCATTTCACCTCCCGCACCCGATTGGTCCCAGTCATGGAAGGTGGGCGGCGCGTCCAGAAGGTGCTAGTGACAACAAGATGACATAACCAGCCGATCTTTTAATTTACCCTGGATATTTGATTTTCGATTGCGAAATATTTCACGCTTTTCTCAAAGTGATAGGCGCAATATAAATATACTTTTACATATTTCAGATAATACATAGGATTTTGCACCATACAACTTTTCTTCGCCATGGATCGCGGGTTGAACGAACTCCTCAAATGGGGCGTGGAGAACTCAGCGGCCTCCCGACAGCCAGCTGATCCCAATGACCCATCGACAGTGCCACCGCCAACGACTCGCGGTCTGAATGAAGAGGCATTGAAGGCCTTGATGGGTGGCCCATCAGACGCCGATATGATGAAGGAGTCTATGGCCGCGTTGCTCTCAGATGAAGTCGATCTAGAGAATAAGATGATTGCCTTTGACAATTTCGAACAACTCGTCGAGACCATTGATAATGCCAATAATATGGAACCGCTTGGTTTATGGACACCGCTTGTTGGACTGCTTCAACATAAAGAACCTGATATGAGGCGGATGGCTGCCTGGTGCTTGGGGACAGCAGTGCAAAACAACGAGAAGGCCCAAGACAAGGTAAGCGGTTGCTGTACCTCTTTTACCAGCTCATCATGACGCTAACATTGTTTTCTCTAGCTACTTGTGCTCAATGCCCTCCCTACCCTAGTGTCGCTCGCGACGACAGATTCAGACGTCAAAGTCCGCCGGAAGGCCATTTACGCCCTCTCGTCCGGAGTTCGCAATTACCAACCTAACATGGAAGAAGTCATGCTACATCTTCCCACAGAATTTAAACCGGCGCAGCACGTCGATGCTGGAGATATGGATGCTATCGACTCGATTATGAACAAGCTGCGAGAAGCACCCGTCTGAAGTAATGCACAAGTCTAGGATGATGAAATACTCGAACCGGCGCCAACAGCACATCGTTAAATGCAGCGTACTGTTGGAAGATGACGACCCTAGTCCAATTGAAGTTAGATGATGCATGCCTTGTGCGCATCGTCTTCAAGAGTGTCTAGTATGTCCTCAACTATGTTGCGCGGCAGCAACCTATAGCTTCAAGAAGAGCGCATAGAAAAGCTGCATTGACTCCAATATATTGGTACAGATATAAGACCAATTTTATAATCAAATAAAATATCTGTATGTCTTAATAGATTTTCTGATGTTTTTAGATCGTTGTAGATATAGTAACCTACACCGTGATTGGCCGGGTCGGCTTATGTAACATACCTAGGCTAGCTAGTAGGCTGCGACATCATCACTTCGACTGAAGCAGTCATTATTCAAGCCAGTTTATGCGCACACCTGATATCTACATTTTTCCCGACATACCAACTGTATAATACACTAGTCGAGACACCATGGAATCCGAGAACCGTTTATGGCGATTTACCAAACCAGACTGGCTCAACAACTCAGCTATCCGGACCACCGGCGTCTACACATCCGGCGCACTGGTATGAATTTCAACCCTCTGACGAATGTAAATAAAGCGTAAAAGGCTAACTTCTTGTCTCAATGAAATATAGTTCTCACTTGGTTTCTTCTTCCTCATCGATGCCGCCGCGTTCTCAGCCAGTCCGAAAAACGGCTCCGACGTGCACGTGAAGTTTGTTGACTGGGTCCCCGGTATCTGCTCTGCACTAGGGATGCTTGTGATCAACTCCATCGAGAAGTCACGATTGAGCGCGGATAGTTTTAGTTATAGCGGTAGCGGTGTAGCCTGGAAAGCGCGCTTTGTGTTGTTCCTCGGCTTTGCGTTGCTTGCCGGTGGTTTGGCTGGGAGTGTAGTGAGTATTTCTGAACTAATTTCAACAGTTGAGTATTCGGAATGGCAAGGGAAATGGCTGACAAGGTTTTGTTAGACGGTCATGGTCCTCAAATATGTCTTGAAGCAGTACCCATTACAAACGATGTACTTTGGCATCGCCAACGTCATTGCAAACAGTTTAGTTATGCTCAGGTTCGTTCTTCTATTATCTCTTCCATCGATGGGTGCTGATATTGGGTATTCAGCTCGGTTGTACTCTGGATATCTCAGAACATGGAGGATGATTATACCTACAATCTGGCTCTTTAATTGAATCTCAACTACAGCTTGATCAATACATCCACAGAAAATCATCCTAGGCGCGTCTTCCATTGTGTTCTGTTTGGCTTCGCCTTGACTTTGCGCCGATACCTATATTTTTATGAGCTTGACGTTGGGAATTTAGTTTGCATCGAAATCAGTAGGACTATTAAATATCATGCTATTCTTAATTGTAATATCAGGCCTATTTCATGACTTTACGTACGAATACAACAAATTATTGATGTGAGTGGGCAAATTATTCAATTATTTCTCGGTATAATGATGCCTCAGAACTCGCGAGGACTTTCCTAGCTTGTCATAGTAATTATGCCAGCATTGTAAACCGCCTCGCCTCATTCCTATATACAAGAGATTCATATGGATGTATACACAATATCATCCACCATAACTCATAAAAGTAACGTCATTCAACCATGTTCGATAGAATCACGTCGAAATGGTCATTCACATCGGCGATGTAAGGTGAGCATCGCAGAACAATCCGAGAATCTCGTCAATCACATTCGTCGCCTTATCCTTGGCGAGAACAGCAGGATTTGAGCTCTGTTTCGTCATTTCACTGGTACTGGTATCACCATTAATCTTCAAATAACGCCGAAGCGCAAAAGTCGCTGCTTTATATGTCGCATGATACATTGCTTTGAAGTCGTCTTCGTCTACAGTAGCGTCTGGTATACCCCCAGTGGCGCTCAGCTGTCTTTGGTCTTCGGTGGAATTGCCTATTCCTGTGATATTGCTCTCTTCGCCAATTCCGTCCGTTTCATGATTTAGGTTGGCGATTGAGGACCTTGCTGGACGGCTTGTTTTCCGATTGTATCCATATAATCGCATGCCAGTCAATATTGTGCGGGTAATCAGATCTTTGTTCGTCGCAATGACCGCTTCGCTAGTTTTGGGAGGTGAGGATAGCTGAGAATGGTCTAATATTGTCTGATCAGGGTCAGGGGTTGGCGCAATAGAACGGCTGCGGTCGAATTCATGAAACGATTGTGACGCGTCTCGCTTGCCAAGTGACCGACGAGTAACCTGTGTCCCTCTTGATGAGCTCGGCCTGGTTTCCTCACCACTGATACGTGCATTTTCGCCAAGTCTAGCGAGTTGGCTACCGCCAACAGATAGGGATCTTGCTCTGCGCAGTCTATCGACCACGGGTTTGTTGGATTCTTCTGGTTCACCTTTAATTTTGATAGTCTGTGGGGGTATTTGTTGCTGCTGCGGCTTATTCACGCTTCTGGTGATTAGCTGGGACACGGCTGAACCGCCGTATTGTCGTACACGCCGATGATGTTGTGCGGCTTCTTCAAATATCGACAACATTCGTTTTCGTTTTGGCGTTGGAGACCGCAAATCTGGAAGGAATTGTGTGAATCCGTCCTTCAACACATCGTCGTCGCCGCCCTCAGCAGGACTCGACGGGGGCGATGGTAGATCTTGCGCCTTTTGAACATAAGATGTTGATAACGGGGCGGCATATATTCGCAAGTCGCGTTTGTACCTTGGGCTTGTCTCATCATCGAGATGCGAATCGGGGGGAGAAGGTAGTCGTCTTTCTTGATTCCCTGTTGACAGAATGCCGTATACCAGAAGTTCTGAAATATTATTATTGCTCGCCCTCGGATAAACGTCGTTGCTTGTTTGTTGCTCCTCCACATTTAGGAGTAGAGCCGTAGGACACTGAGTCTCAACAGGTCCACGCTCCTCATCCAAATCATCCAGCCAGAGATTCCCCAATAACCTTGTTTTTAACCATTCCACACTTTGACCATCAGCAGTATGAACCTCGAAGCTGGGCCCAGCGCGCGCATAAAGAGGGACCAAGGAAGGATTGACGAAGCTCGATATAGAGAGAGTCGATTTGCCGAGTGTGATGCCATCCCGTTTTGAAGATGAATTGACAAGTTTTATTCCTGGTGAATCTTTATCAGCCTCAGCCGAGGAAGAGTACCGCAGCTACACGTCTTCAATGTCACTCACTTAGGCTAAGAGAGGCGGTATTGATACTGCCAGACCAAACTTCCATGATCCGTCTTTTTAAAATGATGATGTTTAATGCCCATTCCAAGGTCAATCTGTTATAAAACTTCCATTGGCGATTCTATGCAATTATGACACATGTGCTCCGTGTTTAGGTTGCTTCCGCGCTGCTATAAAAGACGCGTCGCCGTATACGCCATATCACGTGATCAATTAACATCTCTTTTCTTATCAACTGAGCCTTCGTCCTGCATAGTTTACACGCTATTATTATTGTTGTTGTTATTGTTATTACTTTTTAAACGTAATATTAAACTTATTACCGTAAACTAGCTTGAGGGTTTCATCAGAACACCCCGCTTCTGATTGCTAAAAATACAATATGTATTATCCGCCGTACATCACGTGTGGGCTATGCCATTTCCCATATAGGTAATATTAGGCGACTTTAATAGGGCATCATTCACCATCAACTTCCCTCTTCACGCCTTGAACGTAACTTCCTTCTTAATTGACATTTTCCATACCACCTTGCCTCATCTAACTACATAATATCACGAAAGAACACCGTGTACCCATCAAACAATGGCCGATGCAGTCTTTGCCTCCGACGGCATCTGGGATACATACTCTTCAAAAAATCAACAAGATCGGAAAACCTGGCGCTCCATTGCCGCCCAGCTTGGCCGACAACTCCTCGCCACCCCAACGCATTTATCCCGAGTTTTATACATTCCCCACCACGATGAACAAACAGCTGACCTGAGTTTGTATGATGTCAGCGATTCATATGCTCGTACGGTGGCCGACGTTCCAATGGGTTCGAGCATGTATACAGTAAAGTTGGGAATGATGAAGGTACCGAAAGGTGAGGTGGACACTGATGGTCTTGTTTACAAGGCAGGATTCGATGGGGATAAGGGGTTTGTACAGGGGATGGACAGCAGTGCTGCTGAGATTAAAGTGTAAGAAAGCTTCCATGAGTCTAGGGTTTTCGAGATAGGAAACCAATAACCCAAACAGGAATATCAAGTCTATGAGTGAAAAAGAAGCTAGCATGTTTATGCTCGAGAATCAAAACACTATCACTAGCAGTGGGGTTGCAAACGTTACCGTACTAGAGCAATTAGAAAAAACGCCAATACCAATGAATATGACATATCCAATCCCACCGTCCAAAACGCGTTACGGGGAAATTAAACATCCGTACTTCGATTTCGAAATACCAAGCCAAACTGAAACAGGAGAAACATCAACGATAGAATTTGAATGGCAGATTCACCCCGTCGAGAACGGGAGCTTGCGGTATACGCTTATCCGCATTCCGGCAACATTAGATACAAAGCCTAGTATCGAAGCTATATATCATCACAAAGGAGTAGCTACTTCTTTGTCACTACCATATAGTGAGGGCGTCCTTTTCTTACGCCCTACCTCTTCTGTCAATCCCAGTATGGATATTTTGGTGGTGGGAAGCGTATTGGGAATGCTTTGGCGGCTGCGAGAGTTGAACGGAGATGGGAAAAAAAGTCGATTTGCAGGGCTTAAGAGCTTGATGAAAGGAAAGTGATAAAACCGGCTGCAGTTGAACTAACGGTAGTCGGATACGCCTGAACCCTGCAGGGTATGTCAAATCTTGCAATGTTACCAGACCGGCATGAAGAAGAAATATTTTCTCTTTTCTAATTTGAGACACGGCATTTTGTATGCAGACTTCCATAACATATTTGTTTTGACCATCGCAAGGGAAATTATGGCTAGTTCTAAGGAAAATAAATAGCTGCGTTCATTGTATCTTCCTGTATTAGTATTACATGCATAGTAGCACTTTGGCAGATCATAACGGTATTTCATCTTCGGCAAGCACAATTATGATCACGAGTGGTGATGCGGAACGAAACGTCGTCAACATCGTTTACCGTTGCTGGATCTCTTTTCCAGGGCACACTGATTTCGAATACCCTCGGCTACCGGATCTGCAACGGTGACTGAAATGCTTGATAATATTAATCTGCATAATGCCTTCACTTATTGGTAAACCTTTAAGATGAAGATATAGTTCCTTGAGGTGAGGAAGACTTGCTAGAACACCTACAATACTGTGTTATATGGGGGAATTATCCCAGGATTCTTGGCGCAATATCTTCCTATGATTGATGTATATACGGATATATCAACACTGGAAATGATTATTGTAGGTGCGTACCTCGAATATTGTCTAATATAGGTTTGATTACGGTCTGTGAGAGGTTGATGATTATGTCTAAATTGTCAAAGTCGAACATATTTTCTGCGTAAAGGAGATTGGTTGTTTCTGAATATCAGTTGAATGTGCTGATTAGAAGTAGTAGAATCTTCAATAAGAGGCTTCTTTATTTTAATTGATAGGCCTTTGAGACAGGAAGAAGGTGGGCAAAGTCACAATCTGTGTTGTCCCCTTGATAATAACTGGCTATACGCGTAGAATAGTATGTGGATCCTCTGGTATATTCTTAGCACTTGTCTCGACAATTATCAATGTCTGGAGACAGACTGAGCTGTCCACTTTAAGGGATTGCTAAAGGTTATTTACAGCCCTGTATAATGTGTAAATGGTGATTACCGAGAAAGAACTGTCAGATAATCGCCTTACTTTAGGCGGCAGCTAAGTAAGAAGAGGGGATTCTTGTGGATTTGATATATGTCAAGGTTTTAGTCTTTTTTAATGATTTTATGGAATTTGTATTTGGTTTGTTCAATCAGTGTATTCTGTAGGGGTAAGGTCAATGCTCGGGGCTGTTGTTGGGGAATGGGTTGTACACCGAATGCCTTCCTCTCCTTAGCAATGTGAGCATCTGTTGGGCGTCCATTCCATAAACCGCAACCTCTCCTTCGCATATTGATATGGAGGTTAACAGGCCAGCTTTCTCAGTGTCAAATGATGAGGGTCATTGTGTGAATAGAAGCACTTAAAAATTTTGGAAGTGATAATTATCTCCGATAGTGCCAAGACCAGACCGTCAAACACCATCAATGGATTGTTGCATTGATGAAAGCAAGATGCAGTGATTAAATTCCTCAAAGTGTTGAGTTGATGGTTGTTTAACGTGTCATACACAACAAGCCCCGCCCTTGCCTGGAGTCAGTAGATGACTTGTCTCACTATTTACAAGGTCGTTTCCTTGAAAGTATTCGCCAACTGCTCTCTAGCAGGAAGAACAACCAGCAAATTTTAGGGGGGGGATGAAAAAGGAAAAAGAGAACAAAAGTGTGAAACGTGGTGATTTTATTGTTTCTTCTACTTTGCACGTATTGCTCTAGTATGATTTATTTTGTTTTGCGAAAGACATGCGATGCGACGAGATAAACAAGACGTTTCCCATCTTCCGAGGCGATTTTAATATCATAGTAAAATTCACCTAAGAATCTAGAGAAATCTTTTTCCAAAAGATACATTTATTTCACTTCATCCATGACTTTTTCCCGATACGTTATTGGTATCTATCTCATCCGAGTCCGTCTCCCTAATAGCGGCTAGATGAACCTAGTACATCCATCATTCTCTCAATAGATCTGGTATACACTTCGACTGCTTCCGTCTTGAGGGTTGTTAATTCTAGAGAACCGGATTTCTCGGCTACAAATCGAGTATATTCGTCCCGCACAGTGCGATTCAAATTGACTTTCCGTACTCCACACCGGACAGCTTTCAAGAAGAGCTCATCAGAGACGGCATGTGTTCCATGAAGAACCAAAGGAATATTAGTAGTCGACATTTTTGCAATGGAAGACAGCCTAGATATCTCATAAGCGCTAAAAGAACCTTTCCATAGTAACTTATGGCGTTACAGAGTTGATGATATACCGAGAAAGATCCCATGACTTCTTTGCCCCTCCAGGGGGGTAACCACCATGAATGTTTCCGAATGAAGGTGCCAGGTAGTGAACCCCGGTACGACGAACAAATTCTCCTGCCTCGTCAGGCCGGGTCAATACTGTATCCATATCGATATGGGGGAGACCATCCTCGCCACCCTCAATGCGGCCTAGTTCGGCCTCGATCGTGATGTTCCGTGATTTTGCCCTTTCTATGATATCCTTACAGAAGCGGATATTAGCTTCTTGGTCCTGCTTTGAAGCATCCACCATGATCGAGTCAAAAGGAAGCCCAAGAGCTAGCTCTACATCCTCTAGTTTAATGCAGTGATCCAAATGGACGGCAACCGGTACGGAGGCTACATGAGCAGCCCTAACTACATAACGAACAAACTCTGGCCCTTGAAAATGCATTGACCATGGGAAAAGTTGAATGATTGCTGCTGAGTGTTTTCTTTCAGCTGCTCGAATAACTGCTATAACGCCATCGTCGTTGTAGCTAGGATATCAAGGCTCAGTTAATATATATTTTTCAGCCATAAACATTGGAATATGTGAATAGAAACTATAATACTAATCACGTACCAATTGTACGCACCAATGGCATAATTGTGCTTATTAGCGTGATTGAGAATCTGCCATGTTAAGTTGCTTTCAGGGTATTGGCTGTTGTTCATCTGGAAAGTCATAAGGAATGGCGAAGCGCTAATGGTAGGGTGTCGATTTTTTTGGTTTTTGATTTAGTTTTCCTTGTAAATTATTTCTTTTCTTAACATATTTGGTCCATAAACTATTTTTCTTTTTCAATTTCCCATTCACTTTGGTGATTAAGATAATAGCTCAAGTAATCTAGAACCTCTCGGCAACGGCCCGAAGCCGATTACCACCAAAACCATTGGATGGATAACAATTTGGAACTGGTTAAAAAAATTTGAATAGAGCTTAGAAAATGGGTATTATGGTGCCTCTTACATAGCTTGGAGAGAAATGCTTATACTTATTATATGGCAAAACAGTTAGACCAGACTGCGTATTGATAAAAAAAAATAATATGCAATTTAGTATGACCTACATACGGACTACCAAGGGCCTGTACGGCGAGTGCTCCGATGGGGCCCCTTATTAAGTCTCGGCGTCGCGGATCCGTTGCGTGCTCTTCAGCGGGTACCCGCTAAGTACGAATTCCATTTCATCTGAACTGAAAGGCAATAAAATGGCAATGCCAAGCATTAGGTTTTGCAGCGTTCGTAAGATACAGCGGATCTCATTGGACTCCGTATTGCTAAGACAGCAGCGGAGTCATTATTCAAGCAGCTCTGCCCAAGCTCCTTGTGTCGCAGTCTTGTTTCAAGCAATCGGCCCGCCTATCATTAACGGCGTCCGCAAACCTCGCAAACCAGGAGGTAAGCATAGGCCTAAATAGAACGACTACCATGGTATCTTTCGGGAAACTCTATGGGTTGATTTGACGCGAAATTTGTCATGTTTCTTCTCCCTTTAACTCAATCATCAAAGAGTATATCTAATTAATTGCTCATTGGCTATCGCTAGGTTACCAGGATCCCGGGGCCGACGTCGCCTACACTTTACAGCAAAAGGGTATCAAGGTTATAACACGCAGCAAATCGCCATCTGTATCAGCCGACGAAGGCTGGGTTTTTCCTGATACCGAAGAAGGTATCTTTTCTGCAGTACAACAAGGAGCAACACATCTGTGGGCAAATACAATCTTATTTGGTTCACATCCACTTCAAACCTCAAGCAAGCTCGACCCTCTAGCATCAAAAATTTATGTGGTTGGACAACCACCTAGCTTGGTGGAAAATTTCGATGACAAATCATATCTAAATAATAAATTACGTGAACTTGGCAGCCTTATTTTCCCATCCTCATGGATGGTGACATCCGAGAATCTGCCCGAGGTCATTCAGAAAATTCACAAATATCCGATTGTCGGAAAACCGGTGCGAGGTCGCGGTAGTCATGGCGTGAAAGTATGCCATAACCCACTTCAATTACAAAATCACGTTGAGAGTCTTCTCTCTGAATCTCCTGTCGTTATGCTCGAAGAGTTTCTAGCTGGAGAAGAGGCAACAATCACTGTCATGCCTCCAACCCCAACTCTACCTCTATATTGGAGTATGGTTCCGGTAAGGAGACTCAATCACGATAATGGGATCGCCCCATATAATGGAGTGGTTGCGGTGGCTGCAAACTCCAGGGTCGTATCAGACGACGAGTTCAAGGATCCTGCTTACGAGAACATCATGCGTCAGTGTGAAGCTGTGGCTGAAATAATCAGGGCCACAGCACCGATACGAGTGGATGTGCGTCGATTCAAGGAAGGTTCGGAGTTTGCTCTTTTTGATATCAACATGAAACCTGTAAGCTCCGTTACTCTGTTCACGGGAATAGAAGAGTCTTTATTAACATTATTATAGAACATGACAGGCCCCGGACGCCCAGGACGTGATGATCAGGCCAGCCTTACTGCTATTGCAGCGGCTGCAATGGGCTGGGACTATGGCACTCTCCTACAGAATATTCTTGAAGGAGCTCAGCCACTAAACGCCTTTAGAAGCTATCGTACTCCATTTTAAAGCATTCACTAGCGATTTTAAATGCATCAATAGATAGATATTATTCAGTGCACTTGGATTATGACCAATATCTTTATTAAAAGGTACTCTTGTTGATTTACGATAACTAATCAATGCTTTCAATCACAAACTGGTGCAAATTCAGAACCAGAAGTTGATGTAGAATATGGCTATTATAGAGGAAAGTATGAAGAATTTGGGAGGGCCCCGTTACCACATCTTAGTAACGAGCAATAGCCAAGTAATCAAGTGATAAGGTCTATGCAATTAACATTAATCTAATCTTTTAAAATTTCATTGACAGGGAGGAACTTCCACATATATTCATCTTCTGATGCGACCTTAAAGTCGAAGCGTATAAGATCTTCTTTGTAAGGGAACATATACGTGTTTGTGACCCTATTATATCTTAAGTATTTGCATCCGACCGTTCACCAATACCATAAACTGTAATTGTTGACTTACCAGTGATGCTCTTTGCTGGCCTGATAATTTTCCAATTCTTGTAAGTTCTCGTGAAAGCTGAGTAAAGCAATTTCAAACCCTTTGCTTCTTTCGATAGGATCTGTAACCGACGGGCCCCCAACTACTAGACGATGGTCTTTGACACATTCCAGTTCTTTCAACTTTTTCAGCTCTTCCACAAACTTTTCTTTATGCTCCTTGGTTACTTCCGGTCGAAATTTAAACATAACTATTTCCAAGGGTGTAGGAGTTAGCTGTAGCTCTGTATAACAGTGACGAAGCGACCAGTTTCTGATAAAAACTCACCCATATGCACAATAGTCATTTTTTTAGACACGAAACTTGGGAGACCAAAGTTTGAGTATGACGTTCAGGTGACAATAGTACTTAAATCTCGCAGAAGTATTGTTATAGAGGCGTGGCGATAAGAGTGTCTTGGCTAATCAATAATACCAGCTTCAACACTTCTAATCTTCTCCAATTCTGAGACTGTGGATCTAAAAGCTCCCAACGAAGGGTATAAATTGGGTTGCTTCCGATGAGCATCGGCCTATTGCCGCTTCGGCATCCGACCCGATATTCTTCCATCATGGAGGTGACTGGGCCATGTGGAGGATCATGAGTTTCGATTCCAAAATCTTCTAGTATTAAGAACTTAAGAACTGACTGTGATAACTAAATCTGTCTTCATCTACGTTTCTCGGTATTTTCTTTTTTATTTATTAGAACATGATGCGGTCCGCGAGCGAACCCAAAAGCACAAAATAACCCTAATGTTTCGGGAGCCCTCCGTAGGCAATCGGATATCCCGTGTTAAGTTTCCCCCGTATATCAACGCAGGCTTCCAAGAAATTATTAATCTAGCCCAAGTATTACTAGTGACCACCAAATTGAAAATATGACTTGATGAAGAATTCACCAAGTTGATCGCTGAGAAATAGACATCTCTTCCAGAAAGATTCAGACGATTAGGGTCTCGGATCATTCGCGGAATCAAAAAGAGGCCGATCTTTCGACACTTTCTTAGAGGTGCAGTTTTTGTTCCTCTACTTTCTTCGTTGTTTGTGACGGATATACCATACGGATGCTTTTTCCATGGTCGATTGTGAAAGCCACCTTGAGTCATTGAAAAACTACAAGAACCTTTCAATTTCCCATAACACCGTTAAATACTACAATCGAGAGACTTATATACTGTATATTACAGTTTGTACCGAAGCATTTCATGTATTTGGTAGTTTCTTTTCCCTTGATCAGTAGTCACAGCGTTGCTTCAGTTGATTTTTTCAACAAGGAATGAGAATAAACCATGAGGCAAAAGTCCTTTAGCTTTAAATCTCTGTATAATGAGCATTGCGGGATACTAGTATCTTGCCAATTGATTGGTCACTGTGATATATCCGGAAAATCCATCGGGTACGGGATACGGACCGCGTGAGGAGAAGGTTAATAACTTTTCAGTGATCAGTAAAATATAACTCTAGGTCGTAATTTTTGCGTAAAAGTAATTCTTCATGCATAATTGTTTGCTAGTGAAGAACTATTAGAAATAATACTGCATCTACAGCGTTCTATATACGTACTCTACATGTAACTTTCGATCATAACTCATATTACTTTACTTTCATACCAATTAGTACTATGGTTCCATACAATCAATGTAAGGGGCATTGGTAAAATCGTCGCCTACTCTATGTAATATTTTAAGTCTAGGTATCACAGTATTGGATTGAAATATACAAGAGACTATTTATCGGTAGTAAAAGAATAATTATTATTTGACAAATATCTTGAACCTTGAAGGATAGAGGTAAAGTTATGAAGAATGTTGCGATGGTCATGTCTTGAAATCTATGAAGAGTGTAACAGTAAAAATACCGAATTAATTGAGGGTATTTTTTTCTGAAAATTTAAGAAATACTAAATTCTAATCCTCAACTAGCCAATCTTCGAAGACATCAATTGATATAATGATTTTTAACATATCTTCGCTTTCAACTTTGGCTGCAAACAATAAAAAGGTAAGACACGGCAGTCAAATACTGCCCTATCAATGTACCAAACATCTCACACCTGAGTAAACTGAGAGGCTTCAGGTATATTTCATGCCTTCAACACCAGCCAGTTCTGCTTCTTTATTCATAGAAGCAATTTCCGCTTCAGTGAAAGGAATGCCTTCTGCAAGCCGCTTTTCCTTGTTGATAAGTTCAATCTCACCAGGGAAGTAGATTTGATCCACCCCCGCCATCTTTTCACTTGTCACCACGCGTTGATATAAATACTCCATCCGCGACTTGAAGTCAGAAAGAGTCATGAAAAGATCAGGCTTGATAGCCACAAAAAAATGTCCGACGTCCGCGGGTTTCGTAAAATCGTAAGGCCCTCCAACATGACCTGCAAAGGCAGAGCCAGAAAACACGCCGGAAAAAACATCCATCATAATAGAAAGAGCAGAGCCCTTAGGTCCTCCCATTGGAAGCATGACGCCTTCAAGTGCGCTTGAGGGATCCGTGGTTGGCTTCCCCTCTCCATCGAGAGCCCAATCACCAGGGATCTTTTCCCCGCGGCGGAGTGCCTTATAAATTTTTCCACGAGCGGCTATAGATGGAGCCATATCGAGGATAAAAGGCCGCGAATCGTTTTGAGCAGGTGCACCACAAGCCAATGGCGAAACTCCCATGCGCTTCTCACGACCACCCCATACTGGCTGAGCCGCCGACGAATTGGTGAATACCAGAGCCATCATCCCCGAATCAATAGCTTGTTGTACGATCCAGGCTGCCATTCCATAGTGATTAGAGTGCTTCACCGAGACAAGGCCAATACCAAACTCCTTTGCCATTTCAACTGCTTTAGTCATTCCCAAGTGCGCAGCAACAAACCCAAACCCATTTTTTGCATCCACAGAAGCAGCAACCGGGGTCACCTGGGTGAGCTCGGGCGTTGCTGTAGGATCAAGAATTTTGTGGCGGATGCGCTCGATGTAGGATGGAATGCGGTTGGCACCGTGGGTGTCCACTCCGCGTAGATCGGCTTGAAGTAGGCAATTAGAGATTATTACTGCATTTTCTCTTGGCACTCCATTTGCAACAAGTACATCTTGGACGTATTTCTGATGGTCCGCGGGGAAACACGATGCACTTGAGGAGTTGATTCAGTGGTAGCCATCACGGAACGTTTAGACAGTAGTTTGTTTGGTAAGGATTAGAGGTGGTTTGAAGCAACTTTATCGGGTCAGAATTAGGATGCAATTTAAATTTGCGATTTTTTGTTCTTTATTTAACTGTCATTTCTAGATGACGTTTAGGATGACGGATTCGGCCCGAGACCGAGATAAGTCACAAAAGTACTCTCGAAATCACCCTTCGCAGTATCAAAACTGCAGAGCCATATTATCCTAAATATTGATAACAAATTAACTCATGAAATGCAAGACTACCTCTCTAGCTCATAAGGGAACGCTGTATTAGGAATTACCTAAGGCATATCCCGCATGTTTACCTTCCGGCGTTCAACTTATTTGGAAAATTTCTGCGCTCATCCTACTTACTTTCGTAAATAAAGACGAAGCATATTTCAATAAGTCTCAGGATTTGCTATTGTTGCGGTACCGAGAGCGTGATCTAGTTATGTAGCCTGAAGACATCAATCTTCAACAAGGGAAGTAAAAATGGTGCTACCACAGTCAACTAGAAAAGCCTAGCAATCAATATAATAAATATAATAGATATTTTAGTGATTTAATGGGTTTATCTTGAAAAATGCTTAACACCCGGAGCTACTTGTGGACTTCAGTGGTCTCCTTCCTGCTTTCATCGAAACTCCTTAAAAACATCTTGCACGCTTCGGCCATTCTTGATTCCCTCAGCACACTTTTCATCTGCGGCCATCTTGGCTGGTATTACGTCCAAAACTTTGCTTGCCAATTCTTGTGGGAGACAAACAACTCCATTCTGATCCGCAACAATATAGTCGCCTGGCTTTACCACGACATTTTGGTATTTAGACTGGATAGTAAGCGGTACATTCACCTCTGATGCACGACAAACTCCATTTGCCGCTGTTGTGCCGACTGACCTGCAAAAAAGCTATGTCGATTTTTATTGTCATTCAGTATTGGCCAAAATAATTATTCGGTTAGGTCCGTTGAAACTTACGGGAATACCGAGTTTACGGTGCTCTCCCAGATCTCTTACTATACCATCAACAATAACCCCATTCACCCCAAAGCCAGGGCTCTGAGGCTCATTAAACCGCCAAATATAGCATTGAGATGTGGTGTTGGTTGGGACATGAACAATACGCTCTTACGAGGCACCATGTCAATCTATAATAAGTTCAATATATCATATTCCATAATCCACTGACTAGGGACCCTTACATAATTTCCAGGTAATTTAGGAAGCTCAGTCTCCCTACTTGACACAAACTTTACAGTAAAGGCGCGACCAACAACTTTGGTATCTCCGCCTTGAAATTCCGGTGAGTACATAATGATACCTTCAAGGTAGCCTCCGTGTTCATGATTGATTTGAGAAAGCCCATCCGCAACCTGAGCAAGAAAAGTAGATTAGGCTCAGTGATACAAAACATAGACAGGATCTCGTTACATCGCACGCTCCTACACTTTCCAGAAACTCCAAGATCTCGTGTTCTTCGCGAGCCATCCTTGTTTTAACGTTTTTTAGAGCTCGGTTTGTAACTTATTCGTTTTGTATGACTTGGTGGATGTTTGAATAAACAGTAGACTCCCTTGGAGGATGAAATTAGTCAATAATAAATGCGCATTTTATGAGACTCCAGTGTATTGGTAGATATCCTAGTCGGGCAAAAGCCTAATTCGCACTAGAAACAATCAATTGCTTCTCTGTTATATTTTGCTCGGCTAGTATGGTAAATTTTAATCCTGATTCAACATTTCGATGTTATCATTTGCTGAACCACCTAGACCGCGTTGTATTGGGTCGCTCGCCCTTCATCGGAGACTTTACCGAAACGGCAATTCTCGGTCTCGGTCCGAAGCAGCTGGATGTCTTCGCAAATCTAAATCTTAAGAGCCTATTTTAATACTAATTATCATTATTATTATATTAAGGTACGTATCAAGAACAGTATTTCTTCAATTTCACCGTGGGAGTTTCATGTTGTTCCCTCCATGAAGGTACCGAATTAATGCTAGAATTCTAGTCGGATTCATTCATAGTTTCGCAAAACATGTAATTATCTTTATACACTACACTAATCATCATATCGGGTATTCAATGCATTTCAAAGAATGTATGAGTAAACACCATATTTAATCATTCATTATAATCATACATAATCTATTGTATTAATACGTGACTAGCCTAGCCGGGCGTCATCAGTTGTTTCAAGATCGTCCATGAACTGACTATAGTCCCAGATAGGGGGCTGTGCACTGTTAAGGTTGAAATCACTCATCCAGCCTAGATCAAAAAGGTCCCGTAAAACTCCTAATTCATCTATAAGAAGTGATTTACCTTCTTGGGATACCTCAAATCTGTCTTCTTCGACAGTTGGGGCTGAAGTCCCAACTTGATCAGCGTCCTGATTATTTGGGATTGTGATATTCGTTGCTATGGAATTGGTGCCCTCTCGTGTCAGGGCGATCAAACGTGATAATTTTTGATCCGGCTCATGTGCAACAGTCCACCATTTCCCAAGGAAGGATAAAAGCTGTAGTGCTGTTTCGGCTCGAACCAAACACACTTCTTTTGAAGATATTCCCGGCATGGTGGGATGTGTCCATACACAATATAAAACAGTTATTGCTGCCACGAAAATCGAATGCGCTGTCAGCCAAGTGCATTCCATGTTTGAAAATCGTCTCAACTCCGCATATATCCGAATTATTTCCATAGCGCTGGTCAGACAGGCTTGGGTTGCGCTCAAACTGGGAGATGGTATTTGTGGACTGGGGCGGAAAAGAAGCATTATACATTGATGATATTTTAACTCTAGTAGCTGAACTGTCGTTGCAGGTAGCGAATGAGTACCGGATAAGGAACGTCCTCGTTGACGATTTTGAATTTCTCGAAAGAGTGAAGTACAGGAATTTTCAGTTTCTTGCTGCCAAGCCGTCAAATCTTCCGGCCAGGGGAAACGGCGTGGAGATCGGGACACCCGATATATCATCAACTTGATTTCTGCAACAATTCGATCAAAGCGAAGGGAGTATATGCATCCCAGGTATGCCGCTGGTACTTCATCTAAGAAGGTTTGATTTGTTTCATTCCACTGGGTAGCTGATCCCTCCACTTCATCACTGCTTTCCATTCCAGGAAACGCCTGGTCAATGGCTTCATCTCGAAGGGTAAGCGGACGGCCAAGTATTGTCGTAAGAGTACGATCCATAGAATATGCAGACCAAAATATAGCACATCGCAGATAGCGCATTTTTCGGATATTTTCTGACTCAGGCTTTCGAGTATTCAAGACATTAGGACCATTATCACGTCGTTGTAGCCCCAGGTCCAGACAACTTGCAATTATTGTATGTAATAAATACCATGCATTAAGACCTTCTGGGCTGTAAAAGCTGTGAAGGACCATCAACAAAAGAATCTGGACCCCTTCAATACTATCATGAAGGTTAACATTATTACAGCACGCCATACCCGATAGAAACAGGGCACGGGATGAGAAATCGCCATCAAGCTTAGTCTCGAGAAGGTATGCTCCCAGTGATAGGACGAGAAAAACCTGAGCCGACGCCAACCTTACTGGAAGTCGAAAATTCCAAGTTGATGTCTCCGCAAATAGCTGAACATGATTGAGAACCGCATAAAATGCCTCTTCCAAAATAAAAGGATATAATGACATGGCAGAAAAGTAGGCTTCTGCATATTGCTGACATTCAGCTCCTGACGGAAGATTGATTGTAGGAATCTCGTAAGGAAGTGTGCTTCGTATCCCCCTGCCTATCGAGGACTCCGGCTCTCGTTGATTCTCCCGTTCGCGGATATATGACAATGGTAGACCCTGTGACTGAGGTGCGCTCTCATAAATCAAGCGGGCAAACGAAACTCCAGATGAAGGCCCCAAATACTTAGGATCGCTTGCATTAGATAATGACAGCATGCCTACTTCATGTGCGAGGGGTTGGTCACGCGTAATTCGGCTGGACGCCGAAAAAGCAGGAGACTCAATAGGACCATGATTACCATAATCGTTATTATTTTTTGAGTCGTATGTGACAATAGAGGGCAATTGTTCGTTTGATGAACGGTTTGATCTTGTTTGATTGCCATGTGTATCATCTACTTGGGCCTCCTGCTGGTTATTGTTGGCTTCAAGTTCACGCACGCGTTGTTCTAGATAGTGTAGTCGGCTGGGAAATTAATTGGTCAGAATATACTCAAAAAGTCTTATCAGTGTAGAAATTTGTGCATGATTCTTTTGACCACCATACCAGTCGGCAGTCTTAATACCTCGAAAGCTACTTACCTACGAGAAACTGCTGACAATGAATGGCCTTCTAAACACTCAACGCCAACTTTCGCACAATTAGAACAAGCTGGGAGAGCCCCGTCACAGCGAACTTTTCGCTGACGACAGCGGAGGCATGCCAATGGACGGCGTCGGACAGGGACATCCAAGACAGGCGCTGTCGGCGAATAGTTGGCCATTCTTGCAGGCGCCTTGATCACAAATAATATGCAATATATATAGGTGAGTGAAGATGTTGTCTTCGCGCTAATTACATATCGAAGTAGGTGCGTATTAAGAAGGTGCTCTCAGCCCCAGAATCCGGCAAAAAGCCGAGACCCACAAAATAATAGCAGCCAATAATGCGGAACCTGGGGGTAGCCTCTAATAATATAGAAAATGGTAGCTGGAAACAGAAGATATAAGTGAAGAGATATGTAGTAGTCATAGGTGACTCCAAAATGAAGTTTTTGACTTCAAATTAGTCAATCTTAACCAGCGCTTGCTTAAAAAGGCGTTAATCATTATAGCCCTAACCCTAACCCTAAATGGAGCGAGAAAGGCTTCAGAGCCATGCATTGAAAGATTAAGATTTGAATTACGAGGTACGGCGTAAATTCGACATATATCGACACATTGACCGTGCTTCCGTGGAAAAGATGCCCAGAGTAGTATCTGAGTGAAATGCGACACCTCACGTGGGGTTTCCAGACAAATCATCCGCAATCTGGAAGTGAGTAACCAAGCGGGTCGTCCAGATGTGGGCATGGTGGGGTGGGCTAGCCTGCAAGTCGTTGAGGTGATCATCCAGCTGGAATAATAATCTCTGTTCCACACCCCAAGACAGCGCCCAGACAAGGGGCTTTGCCGAACAAGCCGGCCACTTGGTGATCTGCATGGGCATTGTTCGTTAAGATGACGGTGTGTACAGTCAACTGGTATGTCTTCAGCGTCAATCAACTCCCAAAGCATTGTCAATTAGGGACATGACTGGAAGTCGGACTTACATAGATGTCCCTTTTGTATAGATATCGGGGTTTGACATGGGGCATTATGAAAGGCATTATGAAAGGTTCTACCTAGCTTGGTGTCAAATGTGCGGCTAGTTGGTAACTTGTTCGCCAGCCATCGTCCCTTTCAAAATTTTGTATCTTTAGTCGACGGAGACATACAATAACGTATAGAAATCGTTTAACATTGAAATTTACGATTCCTACTTTTTTATATATTACCTAATATCAGAGCTCGACTAATGAATTATTAAGTCCATATGCGCCGATCAATTAAGCTGCGGGATAATCTCTGATGCTAAAGTCCGTTAATAAGCCGATAGATACTAGGACCTCTCGCGTCATGCAGCCTGCCAATGCAGCAGCTGCATGGAACTACGAACCAAAAAAGAAAAAAGGATTCCGGTCACATTATTCTGCTCAGTGAATTTTGATTATATAGCCTGCATGTTTGCTTATACCCCAGCCACTGTCCCATGCAAATCAACCGCGAATCCACGGTACAGCCGGCATCATATTTGCCCCTATCTGCGTTCTGAACCTCCGATGTCTATGCCGAATATCCGAATATCAAATCAAGAACGTGTTTAAATCTTGTGTTCCTGAACATTTTATCACTCAAGTTGCCTGGTGCATATTTGTACGTCATTCTATACCGGACTCCCCGCCTGCCGAGCGACGTGTTAGACGAAGTTAACTAATTCAACCGAAATCCGTGAAGAACTTTGTTCGTCATCGTGGTCCAAAATTCAGTTAACTATCTGCTTAATTTTACGTCGTGGTCGTGAAGTAGACCATTTGCAAGCCATTCGTACTACTCGCCTCTCTCTGAGTCGAGAATATAAAAGGTCTCTGGTTCCCAAGTCTATTCTCTTGTTGCATTCAGAGCTTCATCTATCCTTTCCCAGATTTTATTTTGAAATTTTTTGAACCAAATATCCCAAAGATACAAGTATATCTATAAATATAAACCATGGTCATCACGCAAACTGAACTTGCAATCAAAGAGCTGCCTTACGGGCGTCGAGTTTTCACCAACGTCATCGACGACGTGGCTTGCATAGATCCTTCTCGTCATTGTCTCTCTATACCACGCTCGTCAAATCCAAAGGATGGCTGGAAACACATTTCGTTCAGTCAATATGCCAATGCTATCAATCGCCTTTCACACTGGATTGTTGACCGAGCTGGACCCTCTCCGGAAGGCCAATTTCCTACTTTTGCCTACATAGGACCAAATGATATTCGCTATTTGGTTGTTGTTGCTGCTGCTGCTAAATGTCAATTCAAGGTGAGCTCTCTGCTGTTATTTGGGTAGATCGGTCAATACAACTGAGCGCGTCGCTTTGTAGCATTACTTCGATTCAATTCAAAGCTAACCTTTGGATATATTTAGGTTCTATTAATTTCTCCTCGTAATCATAAGGAGGCTCAATTGTCTCTTTTTGATGCTACTGACTGCAAATGGCTCTTCTATACTCCGGAATTCAGTGATTTGGTACAGCCGTGGCTACAGGAGCGTGACCTCAAATCTGCCATTGTTGAAGAGATAGGTGCAATGCTCTCAGATGAAATAGCACCTCACTTTTCTTACAGCAAAGATTTTGAAGAAGCTTGTTGGGATCCTTATATGGTTTTACATACCAGCGGTAGTACTGGTACTCCCAAACCAATCATTTGTAGGCATGGGATGATAGCTCAAAGTGATGCTTATCACCAACAAGCTACTTGGCTAAATTACACCCATATGGCGAAAGCTTTTTCTGAGCGTGCCAATACAATGCTTTGCACCAGTGCGTATTAAGATATTTCGAAATGATTTACAATATCTGAAGATCTAACCAAAATTCGCAGTGCCACTTTACCATGCACTTGGGATTTATATGTTTCTCTCCTTTACGGTGTATTGGAATACGCCCATGGCTCTCGTCTGTCCCGAAAAACCACTCACACCTGAAACAGCTGTGGAATTTATTCATTATTCCTTGGCCGATGCTACTGTCCTGCCACCCTCGACTCTCGCAGAAATGAGCCATAATGCCGATTATCTTGAGACCCTTAAAAATTTATCATTTGTGACAACTGGTGGGGGTAAGTTGTACCTATCTCCCATCTTAAAGCATTTACTGACAATCCCTAGGTGCTTTGGAACCAGAAGCCGGTGATCGATTGGTAGAGGCTGGTGTGGAGTTACAAGCTGTTATATCATCGACAGAGTTAGTTACTACTTATCCCACAGGACATTGAAGGCGCTTGACTGATTCTTGTAGGTATGGCTTTTATCCATTATATTGGCAACCCCGGAAAGACCTTTGGCGTTTCTTCATATTGAACAATGATCTGTTTGGATGCGATTATCGAAAAACAGGCGACGGTGTCTATGAGCAGGTAATTGTGCGGAATAGCCAACCTTCCAAATTGCAGGGAATTTTCTACACGTTTCCCGAGTCCAAGGAATTCGAAACCAAAGATCTTTATCAGGCCCACCCAACCCTGAAAAACCACTGGTTACACTTAGGTCGTATTGACGATGTAATTGTCTTCTCAAATGGCGAAAAACTAAATCCAGTCTCCCTAGAGACGATAGTTGGTAGCCATCCCGAAATTCACAGAGCTGTTGTGATTGGGCAGGGTAGATTTCAGGCTGGAATGATCTTGGAACCCATTCAATATCCAAAAGACGAGAATGAACGCCGAGAACTGCTAGGGCGAGTTTGGCCAGTTATACAAAGTGCTAATAAAGAAACCGTTGCCCATGGCCGAATAGCACGACATATGGTCATTATAGCAGATCCTAGCATGCCATTTCCCTATTCTTCAAAGGGTTCGCTTCAGCGAGGGGCTATGTTGAAACTTTACAGCGACAAGATAGAATCACTCTATAACGATAGTGGTATTCTTGAGGCGCCAACATTGGACATCGCATCATCAGCAACTTTGATGCAGTCTATAATAGACATGTTCCAGAACTCGATCGGCTTGTTGAGTCTCGAGCCAGACATGGATCTTTTCCAAAACGGGTTCGATTCATTACAGGCCATGAATGCCTCGAAGAATTTGAACGCAGGCTTACAAAACTTGAAGCCCAGCTGCGAGTTGAAGATAGCACCTCGTGATATTTATAGCAACCCGACCCCGAGGTTGCTCTCTGAGTACATTTACCTACGTCTCAACGATGGCGATTATAAAAACTTTGCCGAAAACGAAACCCTAGATTTGGAAGCTATGCTAGAGAAGCAACTCAAAATTCTTCCCAAAGCCCCAGGCAACAAAAGGCCCGCTCCTTTCGATCAAGAACAGACAGTTCTCCTTACTGGATCTACCGGAAGCTTGGGCTCATATATGTTGGATCAAATGGAATCTTGTAATTCTGTGAAGAAGATTTTTTGCCTCAATCGGGGTGAAGATGGCGGGATGTCGAGACAGCCAGTGGTGAGCAAAGAGAGGGGACTGCGTACTAGCTATCCAAAGACAGAGTTCTTCCATGCCGACCTTTCTAGGCCCTATTTGGGACTTGAAAAGACTGTGTATGATCGATTACTGGATTTGGCAGATTGTATCATTCACTCCGCTTGGACCATTAACTTTAACCACGCCGCCAAAACGTTCGAGCCGCAAATCCAAGGGACAACTCAATTGCTTAATTTCGCAATTCAAGCCAAGAAGCAAGTACCCATCGTATTCTTGTCTTCTATTGGTACTGTTGACAACTGGAAGGAACCTAGACCTATCCCTGAGACCCATCTGCCCGACTATGGCCTCGCATCAAACGGATATGGCCAATCTAAGCTAATTGGCAGTTCGATACTACACTACGGTATGGAACAGTTAAACGTACCTTCCAAGATTCTCCGCGTTGGTCAGATTGCGGGGCCTCTCAGCGAACTTGGACAATGGAACCCGTCGGAATGGCTCCCAATCATTATCGCTTCTTCAATTCAGCTAGGCATACTACCAAGGGACCTCGGTTCGCTAGATGTGGTTGAATGGATGCCTGTGGAGGATGTTGCTTCAACTGTCCTCGAAATATCTGGAGTAACTTCACAACAACCAGCGTTAGATATGACTGGCTATTTCAATGTCGTCAATCCATCCCCCGTCCATTGGGCTGAGTTGACTCCAGCTGTGCGAGAGTTCTACGGTCAAAAGGGGTTAGATCTCAAGCTCGTGAGCCTCGCTGAGTGGGTGAAGGTAGTAGAGGAAAGCGCAGAGATTGGAAACAGAAACCCAGCCATTAAGCTGCTTGAGACATTCAAATCCATGATAGGCAAAGCCGGGTCAGCAAGTCCACAATTCGCTTTGGATAGGGCAAGGATGGCCAGCAGTACATTCACGCAAATGGATCCAATTACGCCCGAGATGGTGCAGAGATGGTGCCGACAATGGAATTTTGAATCTAATTTGCAGCATGTTGCACCGTAAATTTATCATGGTAATATTCATTCTTCTTGCTACTGTTAAAAAAGTGAATGGGATGCTCATGATATTTGTTTTTGCTCTGTTTCCAGGTATCCCCAGATGTCAAATGTCTTCGTAACTAGTTTTAGAATTGAAAATCCATAATGCAAATTTAACCAAATGGTGTTAGTGCGATATAGTAGAACACTTTCCAGTCCCAAAAATAAGGGTATGAGAGCAAAATATGTTTGTTAGGCCACTTTTCAAATTCACGAGCCAAGGAGTCATCGATAACGGCCCCGGCGGGAAGGGTGACAGCTCAGGGTGGCCTTTCATTGGCAGGCGGAACCCGCACCTTCGGCCTCCAGGGGGATGGCCGGGGCCCTGCCAGCCTCTACTAGAACCCCGAATTGCCCAGCGCATATAAGCGGCGTGGGGTGAGGAGTTCGTTTGATCCTTCTAACTCTAGGCACCATTTTGGGGCAGGAAGTGGGACTAGTTAGGGGCTTAGGTCCCTATAGGGCTCCTGAGCGCCTACGGAAACGAGACCGTAGCTTAAAGCTAGACAAGGTCGTTAAAATTGATTATAATAATAAATGCATAATAATAATAAAATCATCGATAATACATGCACGAAATGCATTGATTACTCAACATTGCTTAATTAGACTTTGGCCTGTACTTTATGAAATCTTTAATTGGATAATTAATACAACCTTACTTCTGCTTATTATGCATGATGAGTTGGACCATGGCGCTAAAATCCTTTCATAGCCCGCCCTTCGAAGCAGGCATCGAAGGCCAATTATTAGCATGCAATGTAAGAAAATTTCATACATAATAAATCATATGACAGGTTATAACACTAGTTAAATAGCGTTGGTGATCTCCAATGTCTGAAAATTGAAAAAATTTGTGATTGGTGTCTAGAAATCGTGGGTTATATTGATGCAAGTCAACAAAATCGAGGAGTAGGAAAAATTAAGAATAAATTAGAAAAAAATATGGAGTAATTTTAATAGAGCAAAATTTTCCGTAGAAGAATAAATTGGTATTTAGTCCTTACTAGTTGCTTTAAATACCCCAGTGTATGAAAATGCTTATAATAGTTATAAAAGCGAAATTGATAAAATTAGTCTGAAATTCGCCGGCTAGATTCCAATAGATTCAAGCTCAAATACAACACGACACCGACACTTATTAGCTTGCCTGCATATCGTTTAGGAGAGTCACATAAACCTCTAAGTAAAGAGTCATTAATTTCAATCATTCCACAAAAATAAAAGAATAAGCCATACCAGTAAGTTTCCATCTTTTGCCCAAAATTTCGAACGCTTTCTCAAGATCTTTTAATACCTGAAGGCTTTCACTGTGCCCTTCTTGACGATATATAGCGTAGAAATATTGATAAACATGAAATCCCCAATGCGTTAAAAAAGGAGATGGTTTGAATATATCTCTAAGATTTCCTTCAAAGAAAAGTCGCGCCCGACTGAGGAATATGGCAGCTGAAGACTTTCTTGCGGGTTCAAAATACTCAACATTAGACTGGTCACCACCACAAGCAGAAATTGAATATAGTAAAAATACGGCACTATCTAAAGTCAGCATGTTGCGTGATGGAAATTAGAATATCTCACCTATTCAACACACCACGTGGTACGCTAACTGGAATAATCGCAGATCTAGTTTCATTATCTAGAACAGTCATTAGTGCACAGATCGTGCGGTAAATTTGTGCACCTTTTTCGTTATAGGCTTGAAGCGGTAGGTGGTCGTCGGAAGCATGCTGAAGCACGCGTCCAATAAGATAAGCTGCATGAACTAGAAGCCGGAAACTGCTCATTTCAGACTTCGCCGGTGATAGCAATGTCAAGTAGGCTTCTGGTGACGGATACTTCATTCATCAGCACTTAGACTTTTCAGACCACAAGCCTCCAGAGCCCCTACTGCTTGATCCCAGGACACATCATCCGAAGGCAAATTCTCGTTTTTATCTGGTTCTTTCAGTAACAGAGTCCCCTTTGGATAACCAAGCATCATGATACTATAAATTATATTGATCTCGTTAATATTTCAATTACCAAATGGGGAGCAGGTTTGTCTACTGACCGTTCCATAGAATACACGGCCCACCATAGCCGTCTCCGTGTCTCCGCCTCAATCCAATTATTGGTGTCTTCAAAAGATAAACTGCCTCCGTTGATTCCTAAAGCAGCTAGGTATCGCGTGCAAGTGCCAAGAGTTATGAATGCTGAAGGGTAGATACCATGGCTGAACTCATAGAAGAGAAGCAATAGAAGTGCTTGCAAAAGACGCACAGTAAGAAAACCGTTGACCTCAGCACTGACGAAGCCCGTTTTTATTACTAAATATTGTGGATTGGACCGGGGGTCATCCTGTACTTGCTGGCCTAAAATTTTGATGCATGCAAGGAGCAGAATCGCCGCGCCATTTAGCTGCCTGATTTGGCTTAACAACTTGACTTCTAGATCTTGACGAGGAATAAACGGCATACAGAAAAGATCCGTTTCTTCGAGAAAGTCTGTTATATGCTGTCTCAAATTGTCGTCACCAATTACAAAGCTCTGTAAATCACTAGGAATTGGTATGTTGCTAGTGCTGTCACCTATAAATTTATCTGGGAAAAACGGGTACCCCAGAAACTTCCCCTCGAAGCCAGTTGGCCGAGATACTTGATCTGAATCTGGTGTCTGGGTCAAGGGTAGTCGGATTGGAGGCTTATTTGATGAGCTGCTGACGCGATATTCGCATCGATCGTGGGTTCTCCCGATTTCTCAGCATTCATCTTTGCGTGGAACAGTCGCTAAACAAACCTTAGGCAGGAAGAACATATGGGGTACGCTCGGTCACATTTTTTCTTGCGTAGTCTGCACTTTACGCAAGCAAGCGGTGGCTTCATCAGTTTAAATAGAATATTATTCAGTATATTGACGCTCAAATTATTTAGAAGGACGTTGGAAACTGGCTGCGGGAAACATATGTGACGTTTGGTGGAAACCAGAAGGCCACTTTCGACCCGATCAGCAGCCAATCAGAACCCTGTTTAGTTAGCATGGGTGACATCTATCAATAGTAGTATAAAAAACATTTTAATTATTTATATGTTTTCTACTTGGTTGTATTATGCTATCTGAGGCTTTAACGACGAAGTCGAACGAAAGGCAGGAATACGAAAAGATATACGTTAGGATCGACGAAAAGGTCTTGCGAATGAAGAATTTTAAGTTATCAACCTTATCAATTCATGCAACCCACTCACTATTGACGGACATATTTTGTGTGAGAGCCCTGGACGACGATGGTTCTCTTCCCTTCCGTCTCTTTTGAAATAGTAACCGTTGTGAATGCAAGCGTTTTCCCAACTTTTCCCGTTCGCCCTTCAATCTCCACAATGTCTCCCTCCTTCGCTGTCGAGAGGAAGGAAACGGACATATCCGTACTGACTCCGGTACTGGTAGCACCATGAGAAGCAATGGCCATACCGGATGCCCAGTCAACTACGCACGCTGACAGTGTGCCGTGCAAAGTGCCTTTAGAGTTGACATGGAGACTTTTGACAAGTAATCTTGCTTTGATGAGGCCCGTTTCGGCATGATAAACCTCAATGTCTTCCAATAGCAGAGCATAGATGGGGCTGTTTTTGCGCTGTCTATCCCACACTTCCTTAACGTTTACTAGACAGGAGGCCATCGTGATTTATCTGGCAAGTGGGGGACTCTTAGTTTTGTTCATTAATCATTTTCTATTTCCCCAATGGGCCTTACCAAAATCCAGTAAATTTTAGAGAATCGAAGTGTATATTTGAGTAACAGAGGAAAGAGAGGAGCATTGACTAGTCAAGTAAGCTGTAGAACTTTGTGTAGAGGAGAGCTGATCATTCAAAAATAGCACATGAAAGTTGAAGATACAGCGGGACAAATCAAATTCGGTTTCGGCTCCAGGGCCACCCTCCGATAGAATCTCCACAATACGGACATCCGAAAGTGACTAGTAAAGTATAGGAATACCTCGAGATACGTCAAAGTGCTGAGATTTCCATAAAATAATGCATTTTCTATATTCAAATAGATTTAAAGGATTTGTTTCCATGTGTGAGGAATAAGCGCGATCTCAATGCAATTTCACCGTGCCTTGCCAGATGTAGATTCATGAATTAAAAGCCCCAGAGGCTTATAAAGACCGAGGGAAGAAACCTTCTTTGGGTTAGGTATAGTGATGTATTGAGTTATTGTCAATTTAATTGCGTAGAATTTGGCACCAAATCAAGAGATTTCGCAGATGCAAACCTACTTGCAAACGTGTCCATCTATCATGTTAGGGTTAGGGTTATGGCGATGTCTGATTGTTAACCCTCGTCTTCCTCAGAACGGGTACCATCCGAGGTTGGCGCAGTCGCGGACAACGCCCGATTGTATTAGAATGTAAGCACAGATAGGCCGGCCTCCTTCGGATGAACAGGTTAGGCTAATGCAAAGCTCAGAGCCCGGTTGTTGTGAATACATTTATAGAAGATCAATTTTACAAATGCTTGCTGTAGATTGAATATCCTTAGGTATGTCACCTGGGATAATTCTGGCGTCAACAAAACAAATCACGGGTATCCTCCGAGAAACATCCGTTGGGCCCAGCTACAACGTCATCTGTGAACTTCAACCCCTAGATTCCATAGGCATCTAGCTTCGCATTGAACTACTTTCAAGACAAAAAAAGCACTTATAACTCTCGAAATAATTATTCGACTTAACAGTACCAGATAAGATGGCTACGGCTTCCAAAGCCCTTCAAGGGCTACGCAAATTCACTACTTGCGATGTACGTTGATTTCGCGACTTGAACGCCAATTTAAACAATGTGCTTTCATATATTCAGTCCTCTTTTCAATGCTCCAAATTTTTATATTCAGCCCTTCTCTACGAAATTGCTAATAGTCCATGCTAGATTGGCGACGCCCTCGTCAAACTCAAGTACCCTTATGGAGGCTTCCTCGACGGGCTTCAAATGTTCTCACCCGGCCAGACGGGGACTCGTATCTTTGGGCCTGCAATCACTGTCAAGATGGTGGAAACTCGCAGTCCGGGCCCTAACCCTCCCACACATTTTGCCGACACAAATGAAGAAGGCCATATCATGTACATTCAACAACCCAAAGGCCTACCGTCAGCATGTTGGGGTGGACTTATGTCTACAAGAGCAAAAAAACTTGGAGGTTTAGGGGTGATTGTTGATGGTCGGATAAGAGATGTTCAAGAGCACAAGGATATGCAATTTCCAGTAAGTGATAAAACCACCATTCCTTATTTACTTCATTTTGAATTCAACAGAGTAGCTATTGACGATATATTTATTTAGGTGTTTGCTCGTGGGACTTCAGTTCTGGGGTCTAACACCTTCACCAGGGCATCTGAAATCAACGTTCCACTTCAATTCAAAGGAGATTTGTGGGTGTATCCTAAGGATATTTTAGTTGGAGATGAGAATGGAGTTGTTGTAGTACCTCCTTCCCTGATAGAGCAAGCTGTTGATCTGTGTCAGGAACGCTGGGAAATTGATGAAAAGACATTTGCCGCGTTGTATGCCGGAGAGCCAATGGGGCCTACAATCAAGAAATTACGGAAGTAAAATTGGTCATCGTGGTGGTTCTTAAGGGAGTATATATCTATTTCTCTAAGATAGAAGTTGTTCAGAGCCGTGTATGATAGCAGATAACTAGTCAACTCATGGACTACTTACTTGCAGACATAATAGTCTAGGGGTGAATGATCATCAATGCCATATAGAACTTGAGAGAGGCCTAGTGCGGGGACCATTCATCATATAGTACATCAATTGGTCATAGTAAGAATCACATTTTAAGACATGAAAACGTCATGACTTACAAGGGCGAATCCCAAGGATTATTAGACACGTTTAGAATAATCAGCAACATAGAAAAAGGAAATCAGTTAAACATGCTCCATGAATTCGGCTGCCAGACGCTATCAATTTGACCCTGCCAATAACTCAAAGACAATTATAATGACCACGTGTTCAGCCCAATACTCTGCATTATCACCTCTCCTCTCTTCAAAACTCCTCTTGCTCCCTGAAAAACATGCTGAAACTGATGATGGTGCCGTAAATAAGAAGACCACCAAGGATTGACATGATCATTGCAGGCACCTCGATAGCACCACTATGCGCGAGTGCCGTTGGAAGAGCTGCCAAAAAAGAATATCAGCAAGTATGTTATTAGAAGCGAGAGTCTCTGAATATCTGGTGTAATCCACGATGAAGATAGTGTTATAGATTCCTATATCCGACGTACCTATTCCCATAAGCACCAAGAACCCAGTCAGGAAGCGTCCAAAGTCCACGATCGCGCTTCCCGAGCTTTCCATAAAATCATCAGGATTGCCACATTGGCTACAAATCCAGTTTGGTAGTGGTGCAATTATATACGTCGCAACGACTGTGAGCGGAAGGAAGTTGTGCCATAGAGCCGCTGATAGAATAACGAGGAGAAAGCCGATAGCTAGGATCTATCCCGGAAAATTAGCTTCTCGGCCCTTTTGGAATATCACTGCAGCATAAAGGTAGACGCAAACATACAAATGAAAGCGCGATTATCGTTCGCAAGCCTTGCGTCGCCATGTTTAGGCTATAAGCTTCGAGGTAATGCGGAGGTGTGAGGGTTAAGCACAGCGCCGAGGTTGGCGGCAGGCTATCTTATCGAAGCTTTAGAGAGCAGTAGAGCTGCATATACGACGTTCGCGGCGATTAGGCTTTCAGGAATATTCGCCAAATTAAGAAAAGTATCTTGAGGTGTTGGGCTTGTATGCGATGGAATGATGCCTACGCATTTCGGCGGATTACGTTCCAGAGGCTTGGCAGGTTGCAGTATCTCGGCCGCTGCAAACAAGACAAACATCCGCTGCCTCTCATTGTATGCCAGCTGCTGCACTATCTTTTACTCAAATCACTTATACTTTGCTCTATTATAAGACGACGCGAATTATCTGTCAATGTGAATCGCTAACAAGATTTTTCGGCGAAATGGATCAGTCTCCAGATGTCAATTTGGAGGAAGTGTTCTGGCGATCACCCCAACATGTGCAAATGATGGGAGGATTCCTCCATTCAAATAACAGTAAGGAAGCAGATCGCCTACGTCGAGGATTGTATGCCAGGTCAGAAGCTAACCAGTTACATTGAAAAGTATTATTCTACTTCGCAGAGTCGCCTTTTTTTGACGCAACCTCCAATAATGCCTCCCTCGCTATCCAGGCCAACTACAATGAAGCCTTTCGACATTTTCTCGAGACGCGCGAAGTCTTTGAAGGCAGATTAAAAACGATGCAAGGGTTAGAATTCATGGTGACATATGATCCGTTGCAAGATGCGGCCCAGTCAGATACAGAATTCGCCCATCCGCCATCGAATATATGGGTGATTCGAAAGCAGCAAAGGCAGAAGCGGCCAGGGATGGAAGATGATGTCGTCGTGCTCTCGACGTATTATATTGTCGGTGATTCTGTCTACATGGCCCCTTCTGTGTCCAGTATTGTGGGCAATCGAATAGTAAGCCAAGAACTTTTGTACTAATTGTTTAGGATCACATACTGACCTTTAAAACAGCTTTCCGCCGTGACATCGCTTACGAAACTTCTCACTGTCGCCTCTCCTCTTCCTATTTTCACACCATCGTACGGCCATATGTACATGCCCCCTGGCCCAAAGGCACTAGACGGATCCCAAACATCATCGCAATCGCAATCACAATCTCAGCTACAAAGCAAGGAATTCACACCAGTACCAGATTCTCAAGGCTCCACAAAGCCGCCGTTAACCAGTGCTACAAACGTCAAAGATACATCCTATCAAGACACCCGAAACTTAATGGAGGCCATGAACCTCCTTTCTAAATACGGTGATGAGTTCATGGATGAAACTCCTCTATCAGGGGAGCCAGGCTCTTTCATTTTAACCAAAGCCAACGAACCTGCGGGAAGCACTCGGCAGCCCCCTAAGACGAATATGCACGCGCCTGCGCTTCCCAGGAAGACTGGGATTCCGAGTATCACGGAAGCCTCTACTCCGGTAAGAGGTGCGGAATAGCATGTTTGGAGAGTGATGATTATGAATGCATTTTTTACAACAACAGCCATTGCAACGCCGTTATGATACCCATGATTTCTCAGGTTTTCATTTTCCTTTTAAACAAGATGAAATCGCCTATCATTCTCTTGTGTAATATAATAGAATTCCAAAAGCACGGGCCTGCCTCTTTCAAAACTCGGATTGATATCTGCAACTTTACAGATTCCGTCTCAGCACTGTGACTAATGAATATTGCCCTTTGCTTAGGAAAAAATAGTACCATACACGTTTCTAGAGTTGAAAAATCCATCTATATCAGTGATTAGATCATACATTGGCTGAGCCTCCTTGACTATCTAACTAAACAAAGTACGCCTTCATTAGTCGAAATATATGCATTGCTTGTTTCACATTTTAACAAGGCTTTTCAAATGCTGAGAAAAAGAATAAATATAACTACGCATTCAAATGTTGAAATAAGATTGTCAAATCGAGAACGAATGAAATATTTAGTTGAGACTCCACATCAATCCTCTAATAATACTCACATCAACAATCCAATAACTGCGACCAATGCTGCCGGCATAAACGACAACTTATCCATCTGCGTAGATGACGCAGCAGAGGACCCCGAAGCAGAAGGAGACGAGGTCGAGCCCGTTGCAGTCCCTGATGCAGTGCCCGTTGCACTCGTAGCTTGACCAAGACCGCCCGTCAATGTCGCCGTAGCACTGGCTGGGAGCGAGAATGACGGAGCACCAGTTTCAACCTCCTCCAACAAGCCCCGTGGCTGTCTGATGAACGGTTACAGTCTGAGCTACCGAAGTACCGGCAATGGAGATGGTGGTGCTGCTACCCTTTCCACCCCGATTTCTACCATATTCGACGACGTGCTGTTGTACTTGGTTCGAGCAAGCCATATCTTCTCCTCATCTAAATCATAAACAACGTAAGCGGATCGCAAAAATGTATCCCCTAGAATCCATTCATCTCCTTCTTGGACGCCAAACTTGCAGCCTTTGTTCCCATTGAGCATGGTTACTTCTGCGCTATATACTGGGAGTGCAAATTCAGAAAAGGGGACTTTAATGATGGGCCCATTGTTGCCGCCAAATCCAAAAATTCAAATTTCCATTGGCATTGGCTGCCAGCTCGCAGTCGACAATGTCAATGCCAGAAGCGGAGTCCTGGGAGACGCCAGCCCAAGAATACAATTCTTCAAACACGTCCGAGGGCACTTGGAGTAACGTCGTACCAGAGTCTAGCAAGACTGGAACAGCATTGTTACCGCTTAGTGAGAGATACTGAACTTCGTGTGACGTCTCAAGGCCGAGAGAAGTCAGAGCGACGGTCATGGTGCTGATAGTGTTTGTATTTGCGTCGGGCTGGATGTCGAGGCCGTAGAGCTCGCCGGTGTATTTGTCGGTGTCGTAGCCACCAAAGAGGATCTGACCGGAACTTGCTTCTATTGACATCAAACACATGCAATTAGTGATATGAATAACTTGGCCATAGGTTATATATGGTAGATGAAATCGTACCAAGGTCATCCAAGTACAAACTGTATGCTCACGTATTGATAACTTTTTCGGATACAAGCAGATCAATGAAATTGGCGTACGGCTTCTCATGTTGGTTGGTCACCAAAGCCTCGTTCACGTCGAAACCGACACCCAAGATGCCAGTCCGTTCATTCTTGGCCGAATACGCGACTGCCATGTTCATCTTCTTGACAGTGATATCTTGCAGCTGAATAGTGTCTGAGATATAGTCGCCCTTGACAAACGACCCTGCAGTACCGTACTGTATGTTAAAGCCATTCGCGTCTTGAACATAGGCTGTAGACGAATCATTCACGTTGACTAGGACAATATTAGATGACTCTGTGACTTTTAGGGAGTCTTGCGCATACAGGAGCCGCCCTGACAGCCAGCCTCTTTGCATCCTTCTGGGCTATACACCCAGAAGTCAGTGCTGCCCGTGTCAAGCTGGACTGCAACCTGCTGGCCAGGCGTGCCAATCGTAACATTGATGCCATATAAAGAGAGTTGCACGTAGTTGCCGAGCTGTTCAACGGGGGTTCCTGCTCGGGGGGTCAACGAGCGCTGGTGGACCTCTGCATTTCGCTGAATAGGGAGTGATAAGACTTTCGGTGCTTGTTCATCGGCCCAGCCCAGGCCGAGCAGGAAAAATATATGGGAAGAGTCCTTAATTTCATGGTTACAGATAAATACGAGGCAGTATCTTTTCATTGAATTCAATTGGGGGTTTTAATAACAAGAGACGATTTTATAGAAATGAAACGGCGCTTTATATTGTTGTAGATTAATGTGTACAACCTCATAAGGCTAATTCCCCCAAACATCCCTGTTCGTTCCATACAGGTTATCCTTGACGCTCAGACAAATACAATACCGAAGCGTCTAATGAATCGACTCTAATCATCGTCCTGATCGTGCTATATCTGCAAACCCACCCAATCATCAGACTAAATCTCGGCCCCAAAAGTACTATAATCTTTTATTTCAAGGCACGTTACAATAAGTGTCATAGGTATCGAAAATAAGACCTCTAAGAGCCGACCACGGGGTTTAGTGTAACAGGGGCCAACCAAACATATAAGTTGTTATAAATGGATATATTGAACAACAGCTCGTATAGTTAACAAGATCGGCGACCCTTTGACTTTATTTTGACTCGACAAAATGTAAGCCCTAATACATGTAAACGGATCCATCCGGAGATTATGGATGTATGCATCCGCCACGAAGGTTGTCCAGCTGATTGGCCATTGCATGACAGATAAACAAGCCTTTCATATTCAGCCTTATCTTCGTAAATGAATCCAGTTATGAACAAATTTGTGAATGACCGACCACATACTAACGATTCAGTTACAGCTTCCTACAATCATTCCCAGTAAACAAAGTCAAGAGTATCACCTTATCAATTAATATACACCAAATAAATTAATGTAAACTGACAAAATGCCCGTCAATTGATCATATTTGTGGTCGAAAACTCTCTAATACAGTACGCCAATTCTGATTTCCGACCAGAATTTATTTATGAGATGTATCACACCATAAGGGTCCATAATAACTAGAGACCTACTCTTCTCCTCTTTTGACCCCATCTTGAATGAATAATAATTCAGCCGCAAACCACTAACTAGACAAGATCATCTAGATTAGTTTATCGCGCATTAAGTCGTTGGTTGACGTGTTTTACACTAACAGGGTATCTCTATTAGTGCTACCAAAAAGGGGCATCTAGAGCGAGATTGCTTACCATTACTAACAGAAATTTCAAAGAGATGGGCTATTCCACTTCTCGTTATGCTCGTGCAGTTCCGTCTGTTCTGTTATGGTGCTACTCAGGAAGCCCGAAAGATAAACTTTTAGCTGGAATTGCAATGCCCAAGTCTTTGATTCTAGAGACGCACGGCTCTGGTCGAAAGTAAAATGACTGTAAATTCACATAATGTCAGACACTGAGGTTTCATGTCCTTTCTATACCTATCAATTGACGGAGATGGCCACTGAAATTCCAAGTTGCCAACATGCAAGGCCCTCATATGAGTGGGTGAGAGCAGCTCAACAGGTTGTAAAATCTCCGGAACAGCTTGAGAATGTTCAATTTAGGCCAGCACATCAATTGATACGCTACGCTCGAAGATTGTTATGCTAACATAATAATATCATGGCTTCCACGGCCATGCATTGTAGACTGTCTCGCCCGTCTAGTTCTTTCAAGTGTTTTTCTTTTTTCTTGCCGCTCTTGTTCAATCTGCTGACTAGAAACCAGTCATTTACAGACTTTCAGCCCATCTCCTTGTGTACTCTTCCTGCTGGGCTTCCGGAACTCGAAGGACGAGCGCCTAAAGACTGGGTACCTTCACGAAACAGAATTTTCAATCCCCGGAAAGGATCAGCTCTTTCGCAGCTCGTTCGAAAACTGCTGAGCATTGAAACCAGTCTCAATCGAGGTTCGGCATTTAAAGATATCTCTCACCTCTCCTTCTTCCTCTAAGCAAGATTATGGTCATCCGTTTCAAGTACTGTCTTTGACAAAGAATTGAGACGTTCGTCTTTGATCACACCGACCTCTCGAGCCACTTCATCCAGCTACCTGTAGCAACAATTCTATAGCCAAGACGAAGCATACACAACCAGGCATACACTTACAGTGACGTATCGCAGCTTATCAGAAGGTGGGGTCTCCGATTCCAAGCGCAAAGAACCCCACCATCCCAATTATTTCTTCACCTCTTATCCCTTTCTCGAGTACCGGACCGAGTACCGGAACGAGATGTGCTGCGAATGATATGCCACGTTCGCGGTAGAACGGGCCATGCTCGGATCGCATTGGCAGGTCATAAAGATGGGCAATGCGGGTGTTTCTGCTGCCTGCAATAGTGGCATCAGTACGAGTTGCCTGGAGTAGACTAGACAATACTAATGCAATACTAAATGATAATAAATACTGTTCTTTGTCGCGGATGGGTCTGCCGCTTTTCCCCTCATCCAACCGGATTCGGAGTTGTGTTGGTGTGAGTCAGCTTCACTCTACTTTTTGGATAGTCTGAACCATTCGCTTTGTTCTGGTTGTACGTATTTTCACTTGTCTGGACAAGTTGAAAAAGTCTGACTATTCAAAAGCACTGTTGAATTCATACATAAACCTGGCTGCATAATAAATCACCATATTCTATCCTTGACTTTTCAAGCACCGTCAACTATATCAAACAACATCGAGTGCGTGCAACTATGGCTACTACAGAACAAGACAAACCAGTAGTTGTCTGCGTATTGTATGCCAATCCCTCCTCCCTCCTCTCATTCACCACGTCAGCTCCATTCTAACTTCTCTCTCCTCCAGCTGCGGCTCCGTCGCAGGGGAAAACCCGGCGCACATCCAAGCCGCCAAAGCACTGGCACGCGCCTTCCACGAGAACAATGTCCAACTCGTCTACGGCGGGGGCACCAATGGCCTAATGGGGGCGATAGCCAGAGAACTAGTCACACTATCCGGACCGCAAGCAGTACATGGTATAATCCCACAAGCGCTCGTCAAAGTCGAACCGGGATATCAAGAACTAAACTCGAAAGAAAAAGAAGAGGGGGGAAAAGTGCAAGAAGGAGCTGGAAAAACCCACGAACGGACGGTTCGTCTCGACAAGCGTACGGAAATAAACGAGACAGAGTATGGCATGACATCCATCGTGCCGGACATGCACACTCGCAAGCGCATGATGGCTACGAAGGTGTTGGAAGGGGGACCGGGGTCAGGATTTGTAGCGCTGGCAGGCGGGTTTGGCACAATCGAAGAGGTGATGGAGATAACGACGTGGAATCAGCTGGGGATTCACAAGGCGGGGGTTGTGTTGTTGAATATCGGGGGTTATTGGGATGGGTTGATTGATTGGATTCGGAATGCGGTCGCCGAAGGATTTGTGAGTAAAGCGAATGGCGAGATTCTGGTTACCGTCACAGATGTGAATCAGGTGCTGCCCAAGCTCAAAGAGTATAAGACGAGTGTGGATAGGTATCAACTGAAATGGGGACAGGAGTAAACTCGGCTACATCACACCCTCTCGATGTTATTCCCTGCTATACTAGAATAGATCGTGTCCATAATTGAAGCGTAAATTGAAACTTATGACATTTCATATTTGAAGCTTTTATGAATCTATGCAAGAGAAACCCCCTACTGCGTGTCAACCTCCATTTCTCCACTCTGCTCACCACCCTCTGCAGCACCGTCCAAAGCCTCCAACAGGGGTGCCACAATCTGACCATCATAAAGCTTGAAAGACTCAATCTTGCTCTTCGCGCCCTGGGCCGCCAATCCCACCACGCCAACAGTAGTATTATCCACCGTCAACTCCTTGTCCTGCGACAACGTCTCCCTTAACGCCTTGAGGCCATGGCTAATAAGCTCATCCCTGCTAGAATCCGCAAACTCATCCAGATTCCTCTCTAAATACGTGCGTGCCATCTGCGACCTCGCCCCAATAGCGCACGCCAGCATCTCCTGCGTGAGTCCCGAGGGCTGGAATTCGTATAGATGAGGGCCGGAATCGTCGACGCCTGCAGCGAGCAGACCAACACCGTATGGCCGTTTGCCGTAGTGCTGCGTGTTTGTCTGTGCCCGATCGCCAATTTGCGCCACAATCCGATCTAGTGGGATGGCCCGTCCGTAGCTCATTCGTGATCCGAGGGATTGCTGTTTCATAAAGTTGGACAGGACGCGGGCGTCGGACGAGAGGCCGGCGATGGCGATGCCCATGTGCGAATCGATCTCGATGACTTTCTTCTGGTACGAGGAGAGTTCTTCTGCATTGCGCTGTATAACTGCGTTAGCCATGTCGATGCAACAAGAGAATCAACGTATTGAGAATCACCTTCAGTCCGACAAGGACCGCATGTGTTTTGCTAACTAGGCCCACGACAACAGAACCTTGCTTGACAGCTTCCTGTGCATATTCGACTTGAAAGATGCGACCTTGCGGTGAGCTACAAAAAAACAAAATTTTCAGTACCAACAACAAAGGACAAAATCAAGCTAAATGAGCGGATTGGAAGCTCTGCGGAAAGCTGCAATCAAGAGAGCTAGCTGCTTACAAGGTCACTGAATCGTTGTCGTAGTTGTTTCTAAACATTGTAGAGGCGCCTAATTAAGTAACGGTGGAGAAGAACTGTACTGGAAAGAAGTAGGCGAAATGAATGGGAAGAAAAGCAAGATGGTGAAGGTGAAGCGTGTGGTATGAGATAACAATGAGAGATCCCGGAGAGCAGGCAGTGAGGACGACGCGGTTCGGGAAGCTTCAGTCCTGTTTGGGCAAAAGTGTGGCTTGAGCTGGACATTAGCCACAGTCACGTGTTATCCTAGAACCTGAGGCTGAACATCAACGTTTACTTTTATTCCTGGAATCGTTTCATATTAACGACGTGTATTCATGAACTCGTGACAATTTAACTACGCTCTCCTAACCGTACATGCAATGCAAAATCATCATCACACCCCATCTCGCAACTACCGAATCAAACTTCCCCACATCTACCCACAGCTCCTAATCAATAAGGCATCCTCCGCTGAAACTTGTCAATCTCCTGAAGACAAGCAATAGCCGCAATCCACGGATAACTACGGAGTTTAATCGTGCCCGACGATGACTTGTGCTTATCAACAGTGGTAGTAGAACTGCTCATAGCAACCCAGAAACACGCGACGGATCGTTCCAGTGACTCCTGTTCTTCGGACGTTCCCTGGCCTGTTATCAGTCCCATGACCCAGGTAACCAGACTATCGTATTCTAGCGCCATTTGTTAGATAAAGCATTAGAAGAATGAGGTAGGGAGAAAGTTACCCTCTCGCATCGTCTTGGAAGCTTCTTTTTGCTGTACCGTCTGTTTGTGGTTCTTCCCCATGATATTGCCGATGAAAACTTCGACCTCGGTCAAAGCGGTTTTCCATGGCGTTTCTGAGTACCGATACATCATATCCTCCAGGTTTTCTTCATAGCTATTCGCAAAAATATCAGCAACCCACTCCAGAACAAAGGAGAGAGGAATCTTACATATCCCTCACAACAAAACCCTGCTCTTTATGATGCTCCCAAATAAAGCCCACTGTTTCCCGTTGAATATAATCCCACAAATAATGCAGCAAATTCACTGACTGCTTTGGCTTCGAAGCGGTTTGTAGGTCAACAAGGAATTTTCGTTCATCGATCTTACGAAATAGATATCCCAGAACGCGCTGGCTTTTGTAATACCGTCGCCCGGGCCGCATGTCATCGTCGTCGTCGTCGGCTTCATTGACGTCGTCATCCCAGGTGTGTTTTTCTTCGGCTTCGAGAACTTCGATGCTCTCAGCGACTCGCACGCGAGGTCCCGGGGCCATAAAATCGGGGCGGTAGTGGGGATATCTTGGGATCTTCGTAACGTCGACCTTTCATAATAAAAATCAAATTAGTAACACCTCATCGAACGAGATACGTTTAGATTAGGATGACTGACCGGTGTGCCTGTCTTCGAAAAATCCACAGCCGTAGAATGCAGTTCCGCCAGCGTCAAGCAGTCAGGATGAAACGTGCCGCCTTCACGACAATCTGCGAGGATTTTGTGGGTAGTAGCAATCCGGCCTAGCTGGTCTTGCTGCATGAACGTGATGAAGAAATCCTTGATATCATCTAGAGTCACCGCTCTATCAAGGACCACGCCAGGAACACGCGGGTAATCTGCCGGTACTGCCGTCTTGCGCAATTTGAATCGGTCATCATAAATAATATTGAAAAGATCACCATCAAGATCACCGCCGCTAAGCTGACTGGGTAGGTCCCTCATACCCTTTTGGCTGAAAACAACGCAGTTGTGCAAATTTCGAAGTGGAGAGTCCTCTGGTACGTCAACTGCGCTGACAAGTTGGACGTCGCCAGGATGGAAGGCGGGAGAACGGGTTATGATCACGGCATCATGAACTAAAATCTCTCGCTGTTTCCTTTCATTCATAACAGGCACGAATATCTCATGTTCGTTCAGAACCCCCGTCTCGTCCATAATTCCATACAGCGTAACAGCCTTGGGGATACGGATTCGGGCCTTATACTTGAGATCCCGCAGCTTCGTGAGGATTGTGAGTTCCACGGCCTGTTTGAGGAAACTATCATGTACGTAGGACAGGTCCATTGATTTCAATACCAAGATCAGCCATGGTAGACGTATCGATTTAGAGATATGTGATTGTTCAAGAAAAGACGCCGCTTGCTGGGGGGAGTGAACGATTTGGCTGAGAGATTCTATTTCTTGTCTTTGGAGCTCAAGAAATACATCGCGGGCGACACCCAGATCTTCTAGAATTTTGATTAGCGGTGCATTTAGGTAGCAGGGGAGCTTCTCAATGCCAGATCCGCAGATTTCAATGTTTGATTCATCTTCAGCGTGGAACTTAATCATGGAGTCCCGTAGTCTGATAGATGGGCCTTTTAATGTGCTGTCTAGCGACAACATGCCTTTAGCTCCTGGATAGGGAGTGGTGAAGTCAGTGATATATTCCCCTGCCCGTCAGTATATGATTGAGTCTTCTTACCAGAGAAACGAATCTGAAAAACCGTCGGATTCACCACTGCATGACGAGGATAATCACGATAAATCCTCCACAGAATCTCTTTCGAAATCGTTCCGCAGCCATCACTGAATACCCTGCCATTCCGTTCCACATCTGGCACCCTCCCGACTACATGCTTCTCAATGGGAATCGAAGTCAAAGTATCCGAAAACGTCTGACCCAGTCTCGCCGCGAATTTCGCCGGCGACCTGATGAGCAGAAAGTCGCCTAATCTGGGAATCAAAGTGTCCACGCTGACCCGGTCCCCAAGGTTATCCTCAAACGGTGCCATGAACCAGCAGGTGCGTGATCTGAGTGACGAATTCGAGAATCCGAGAAAGTTGTAGAGGCGGTCTGCAATAACAATACCGTCGCGGAGGACCTCTCGAAATCGTCCACGGAAAATCTCGTCCAAGTCCGTGCCAATGTCGTACATCATGGGATCCCCGGACTCTTCGATAAACCGCACGCGAAGGAAAGAGTCGCTGTAGGCGAAGTATCGACGTAATACGCGGTTTTTGATTTCGGGGTTGGGTCCGTCGAGGTATATGCCGGTGGGAGTGACGCTGGCGCGGTGGATGGCGATTTGGTTGTGGTTCATATACCCCGGTTGGCCTGGCCTTGCCTCGTCAATGGCATGCGAATTTTCAAGATCGGTGATGATATGTTTGATGCTTTCTAGGCTCACGTCGTTACTATCTGCGTGCGGCGTAGGATAATGAAGTTTCCTTGGTAGCTCTCTGAGAACTCTGGCCACAGTCACGTCTTTGTGTCGTGTAAGCAGCTGTTTTACATGCGGAGTGAGACGGTTTATTTTGTACATCGGCAATTCTCCATTCAAAGCCAGCATCTGAAGCTGGAACATGATGGCGAATGGAAGGCCTTGACGGACCAGTCCAACAAGAAAGTCACGAAGCTGGTTCACGTACGATTGGTTGTGATAGCTCAATCGATCTTTCCATCTTTCTACCTGCGGGATGTTGCGGTCGTTGGAGAGGCCGCGGACGAGGGACACATCAGCAGGACTGGCCAGTAAAATACGATATCCAAAGCATGCAGAAACGATATGCTTGTGGTCGTTGTTGAGGAAACGAAGTCTTATCTTCTTCTCTTCTTGTTCCAGTCGTGCTACCAAACGAGCAGCTCGAGGATAAATCTGCAGTGTCTTTTTTGGGGGAACCCGAAACAGATACGGAGGAGCCACTCCAGAGAAAGTTATCGATCCACCGCCATAGTCCACGAATATCGAATCAAATAGGTTCCGATACTGGAAATCAAGTCTCAGCATCTCCAGTGGGTTTTCGGGGCTCTGGATGACAACGGTCAGTTTATTCGAGTTAAACTTGATATTACCTGGCTGTCTCAAATTCCAGTACTCGACGAATATGGGAGTGATCCCTGCGAAGTCGAAGACACCACACGACAAGGCACGGATTAAGAATTTTCTTGGCCTCTGAGCTGCGTCCCCAGTAAGTGAAGAAGGAGGACGGCGAGGTCGACTTCGACGTTCAATTTCTTCCTCGCGGAGAGATAACAGCATGTATTGGTCTGGTTTGTTCCTTCCTTCCTCAATGAAAATGATCGTCCCCAAAACCTTCAGCTGCTGATGGGCTGGAATCCTCGACCCTCTTTGAGCCTGTGGATATCTGCTCAAAAACCGTTTGGCCTTGTCAACATCTGCAATCGTGATGGTGGCATGTCCGCAGGCGTGTACTCGACATTCAAATGCAATGATGTCTAATGTTGCCAGGATGGGCCTGAGCTCTCTCTTCAGGTGGTGTACCTTCAGATTGGTAGGCACGTTACGGCAGAAGACTTCCATGTTGGAGATCTAGACGTCTTAGCTATGCTGTTAGTGGAAGAGCATCTCGTTCAAGTAAGGTGCTAGTGAGCCAAAGTAGACGAGCCTAGTCTGGGAGAACTGCGTATTGTGGAAGAAGTCAGGATATCGCAAAGCAGGTGGTTGCTGAGTACGAAATGATCAAAGTCAGTTTCATCAACGAAAATAAACCTTCGTCCGTTTGTCTGAAGCAAAACACTTCAAATGTTGTCAACTAGTCGATGGCTGGTACAAGATGCCAGGCAACCTTCATACGAAATAGGGACCGTTTGTTAGCGGAAGCCTCGTAGCTCTACGGAAGTGCAAACCATATCAATTGATATGTACAAGAAAGAGGGAAGAAGCGTGGCAAATATGTCTATTCCTGTCGTAAGGGGACACTGATTCAAGTACATATGTAGGGTGCGCCAGCATTGTCAACAAAAATAGCTGTGAATATGAGATAACAAAGCCCAACTCAACTCTACATTCGAACGTTAGGCAGCCTTGCACGTGATTTGACGATATCACAGGGCAGTTTGCATGTGGGTAGAGTGACGACTCCTGTGAGTGACTAAATGTGAACAATTGGAGTTAGATGAAATAATCATCTAAATAACTTGAATGATAGTGAATTGGCGAAAAGCGTCGAACACCAGTTGACCAATTTATACATCCAATTCGCATGTGCCCAAGTATGCAAGATATACAAGATATATATATATATGAAAACCAAGCGACCCGCAGAAACAAGGTATATACAATCAGAAACCTGGGACTCCGCTCCAGCTTGAAGACATGTTAATTCCTGCAGGAGAAGGACGAATGATATAGATATAGGTAGTCATACATCACGGTCATAATAATAACAGTAGTATAGGGAGCTGTCTGAAAGGGTTGACCCCATGCCCGCCTGCCCACGGTAGCACAATCTGCGTGGCAAGAGCCACACTCGGGCTGGCCAATAGGAAAACACTGTGGCCTACCACTAACCTTGTTCACCGAAGAGCTCTGTCCCTGGCCAATGGACGGCTGACAAGACTATCGAGTGGGGCAGAAGTGGGACACCCGGGGCCGTGCAGCTTATCCGGATTCAAGCATATCGCCATATTGGAATTGCGCGGGCGCTGATTGGCGGGTTGCGCACCAGCCAGGCAGGTTCTTTGACCTCCGTAATTGCCCGTGATCTCCGTGTTCGGTGACTCAACTATGAAGTGCTACCATGCAGTCGTCGTGCTCTGGATGATTTTATCTGGCCAGTGCGTGCACCTTCATTATTTTCATTATTAGCAGTCACAGTGGCAACCAGAGTGAGTCATTCTGCCCCGAATCCACAGAAAATGGATGAAAAAGGAGGGGCTTTTGTGTCGGCTGATTTCAGACCAGATTTTACGCTGAAGGCTGGCGGCGAGTCAAGACCAGGCGCAATGACATCGTTAGCGCAGTAGCATTAGGATGGTGCTGGCATCATCATCTGGCCTGACAATCGCAATACGAAGAATATTGGGTCATTTTGATGGCATTATTTAATGCACGCTGCTATTATTGTCGCTGCCGCTGTGATTGGTCTGGGCCTGGGCGGTGTGCTTGACTACTGCCCGTTTTAGTGCGTGGCGCCAGAGACTGGCCGCCTTGATTGGCTCCCGGCAGCCGGCGGGACTCCACCAGCAGCACAACTCTGTCAGGCTTCCACTTATCCCACGCCCGTCTTGGTGCTGGTGCCGCTGCACAACATCCCCAGCCTTTGTGCTGCATCCAGAAGGCCTGGCTAATAATTAGTTAGTTGGATGCAATTGGAAGCTGCCTGCAGAGGCAGTAATGCTAACCCGTAGTGATGAGTTGTAAGTTATGGTGTAGTCTGTGTAGAAGGGCTATCTATTATTATGCAGCGATCCCCGTTTGCAGACTCGCGCTCTCTCGTTCTCTACGCTCGCGATGGAGGACCTGGCTATGGCATAGACACTGCGTCAGCAGCATCTAATCATCATCAAACTGTATACCAAACCTTCGGGCCTGCTCCTCCACTGCCCAGTGTTACTTGTCTGTCTCACCCTCTCGTGACCTGAAATCTCTTCATCTTCGCCCCCTTTGCTGCCTATGCCAGTCAGCCACTGTTGCTCCTCGACTGGACGACCGCGACGCTGATTGCTATAATTATTCTTCGTCGTATTCATCCTATTTAATCTACTCGATTTTCTTGTTCATTCTTGACTAGTATTTTTCGATATTATTGTTGAGTGAGTCATCGGTATGTCCAGCGTCTTTCATCTGTGAAAAATTCTCCCTTTTGCCACAGCCAGCCCCAGCCTGGCCAGTTTGCGTGCGCCGTGCGCCCCTTCCTGCCTGGAGGCCCTCGGTCACTGCCCTGCCCTGCCCGACCCAGCCCTCCCCTCACCCGCTACCGGCTGCAGACAGCCTCCACCTCGCCTCTGCTCCGACCTCTTCTGCCCTGCCCCCGATCCGTCCATCAGTCATTGACTGGTCCTATCTTGGGCCCTGAAGACTCACACTCATCCTAGTTGCAGTCATACCCGCGACCCGCCCACGGTCTATATTACTATCATCGTCTCCTTCCTCATCCTGACTCCACTCCCTTCTCATCTCGCTTCTCTATTTGAATCCGCCTCGCCTCTCCTCTCCTCTCCTCTCTCCACTGTCGACAGCCATTTCTTGCCGCCTCATCCTGTCCGTCATCCTATCCGTCCTTTTCCCTCTCCTCCGGGGCCCCGTTTTAGGCACCACGCCACTCGCCACTCAGCCCTCACCTGCAGTTGGTTAAATACAAGGTACGTGACTCGCACCGCCAGAGTGAATCATCCTCGTTCTGTTTTTAGTCATCGTTGCCTGTTGCGATCGGCTCCCTGTTGCTACGCGCTACCGCCGAGCCCTGTGACTCGATTCTTCCTGCTAGCCGCCGTAACGCCGTCGTACCTGGCAGCAGCAGCACATAGTTAACCGCCTGTGACCTCGTGTTTTCTCACCAGTTGCCTGCACCATTTATTTGCCATCGATTATTGCCTGCTATCGTAGCATTTATTTGCTGACTCACACCTCTTCCAGCTCACGCTGCCTCCATCTTCCCAGCTAGTAGATCTTGACTACCTTGACAAGCGCCAGCTGTCCGCGTGGGATGCTGCCTGTTTGCTAAACGGTCACTGTCTACCTCGTTCCTATATATCCTCGATTGCTCAACTTCAAAATGTCCTTTGCTGCTGAACGCTTCGCTGTACCGATCGTCCGTATCACCAAATCTTACTCGTCAGATCTCCGCAACTCTAGCAAGACTGCAGTCTGCTTTTAACATCCCTAGTTGTGTCAAGAGTAACCGCAGCGTGTCTGATTCACACAGACCCGCGATACTATCTACCCAAGGTGTATATACGGCGATCGGTCCTGTGCATATTTGATCGATCTATCTCCGCTTAGGATCCTTCTACCTTACCCGATACCTCAAACTGAGCTCCTACCAGCACAAGCTACGAAACGCTGGAGAAATACATTGCTCAAGGCCCACCGTCGCCTTAGTCGAAAAGACGGCTGTCTCTCGGTTCCCTAACTGGTCATTTGCGAAACGGTTTTGTTGCTACTCACGGTTCCACTTTGTCTAATTCCCAATTTCAATATTCTTACGCTAGGCTTTGATTAGTCTGTGGAAGTATTTGCAAATTTGCTTATATATTGAATATGACGGGAATGGACGTCTTGAGTTTGAATACTTCAGACTCAGGTCAACACAAGACGGCCATCGCCCACCCATACTCATCCGCGGGGTCGTCAGCCTCATCTTCCTCTTCTTCTATCTTCTCTTTGGATAGCTTGTCATCACAGACTTCTATTTCATCATCAACTACTGCTGCAGACGTGATCTGGGAAAATGAAGCCTCGGGAGAATTATCCAGTCGAGGTTTGTCCCATTCTGAAAATGTCTCTCACTATGTGCGGGCTAGTCTGAAAGGTTGCCCTACCAAAGCCTCTGATGCTCCGGTACACCCAGAGATGCGAAAGCACCCTAGACGTACTGGCGGCTCAGCGGTCTTGTCGAATGGCACCTCCGCATGCCATCGCGCTCCACCTCACCTTGTGCGGCAATGTGACCGCAAAAACTCTTTTGTCGACAATCTTGTCGGTAAGTCTTGGCTCACGTCCTCTCATGCGGAACCCCATCGCTGAATATTTTCCTTCTTTGCAAGACTCTGCTTCCCAGATTGTAGAGACAATATGGCCACTATCCGTGGTTGCTCTTCGGAGTGAATCTTCACTCAGCTGTAAGGGTGTCTTGCCTCTCCGTAATTTCATTCAAGAAACTTTGCGGAGATCTCGTACTAGCTATAGTACTTTACAGGTCGCTCTATACTACCTGATCAAGATTCGGCCCCACGTACCCAATCATGATTTCACTATGGAGCAACCTCGTGATAAACCTTGTCCTCGAGCAATGCAATGCGGTCGACGAATGTTCCTCGCCGCACTAATCCTTGCCTCGAAATACTTGCAAGATCGAAACTATTCTGCTCGTGCTTGGAGCAAGATTTCCGGTCTCAAGATCTGCGAAATTAACCAGAACGAGATGATGTTTCTGCAAGCCGTGAACTGGAAACTCCACGTTCCAGAAGCCACCTACCATCGGTGGACAGATATTGTTCTTAAGTATACTCCTACCCCAGCAACTTCTCACTGCCCTGAAGAGTGCTGGCGGACTGTAATACCAAAATTAACCCCAGAGCTTGACACAATCGACGTCGATCCTTCTAGTCCGCGCGACCGCCTGGGCTCGTTGGTTGATGTTCCATCACCTGGCCGCTCAGCGTGGGAAGGTAGTGTCTCTTCAGGCACGCCTAACGAGCCGACTTCGTGTCCCCGAAGCATTCCTCTGGCTCTTGAACCTACTCGTATGGACAATCCGAACCCAACTCTGCCGACTCTCCACAAGCTCGGCCTTCTCCCGACACCGCAGTTGACGCCTCAGTCCAGCGCTGCTTCCACTCCTGCTGTGAGTGCTAGTGGTTTCTGTTCTAGGCGGCCTTCAATCGGTACCGCAATGTCTCACGCACAGAGTATGTGCATGGCACGTTTTGCTCTTGACCCGCGTCCGTGTAACAAGCCTACAAACGTGGATGGATTTCCTACCTTAACACGCCGTTCTTCCCTCGCACGATCTACATCGTCTACTTCATCACCGGAGTCAATGATCTCTGACATCTCAACATTCTCGTCGCGTTCTTCCCGGTCTTCTTCGATCTCGTCATGCGCATCTGCGACCTGCGCGCCTGTTCGGCCTAGAATGGCCGTTACGGCGACTCGACGCTGCGCAGCGAAGTCATTGAAGGACAACCGGAAGAACCTGTCGATTCAGTCGCCAATCGATGAGATCTCTATGGCCGGTGTCTATCAGTCTCCTGAACCGGATACTGACAATGGATGCGGATCAGTCCCCGATTTTTCTAATTTCAGTCTTCATACGCCTGTTGATATGACTGCTCATGAAGCTGCACAAGGACTTTGCGAGCTTTCTGGCGCTATGCCACTACAACAGACTACGCCGCAGAAGATGGAAGAGGGCAAACGCTGCAGAAAACGAGGCCGAACCACCTCTGAGGATCAAATGCTCCAGAACAATGTCCGCGAGCTGATTAACACTGACCATGCCCAACGCAAGGTCCTTCCAGATAGTCAGATTGCAAATTCTTTCTTGCTCCCCGGAGCACAGAATCTGCACGGTACTGTGGATTGTCCACTGGGCTCTATTAAGCTTCCAGTCCCGATCGGCGGCATCAAGCGAGCATGCTGCAGCGCTGAAGCTCGCAGCCGAGCAGTGCCTACTCCCAAGGGAGTATACATGGAACAATAACTACAATTACGCATCATGTTAGCATGTTTTGATATGCGTATTATATTCGCCTACGATGACTCGTGGCGTTTTTCAGTCAACGCCTGCATATATACCTACTGGTTTTGAAGTCATGAGTCATAGTTACGGCGTTGTTGACTTTTACTGTCGCTAGCTTCTGCTAGTGTGTATTTTCGATGCAGAGAACTGACGTGCTCGCATCTTGTATGATGTATGCTATTTCCACATCTGCGTGACACCCGTTTTGTTTGTTTCCTTGTGTTTAATCTTACTCGGAGTGCGGTTGGCACGGATGGGCTTTTGTATTTGTTTGGAAATGCTGGTAAGGCAGGAAAGAGCAGGCATTTCGAGGAGTACATACAATCTACGTTTATTTTTCTATTTAATTTTCTTATCGTTTGATTTTCCAACGGCTCCTTTTACCCGTCACCTTCCATCATCATCAACATCATCCATCATCCAACCTGGACAAAAGTGGGCGAGATCACAGTCTTTGCATTGCACAAAGTTCGAATATGTACATAGTATAGTCAGCTAGGCAGTGACGCTACGTTCACAATAATATGGAGTATCTAGGGTCATCACTCATCCAATGATCATATTGATTGCAGCTCGTGTTGGCGCCACCTTCGGGCATACACAACGCACCTATCCTAGGCCTACTCCCTACTTGTACTGTTAGGCACTCACCCGATATCGGTACAGGCTCAGCAGATGGAGCATATGATTAGGCTGCCTCTCACCGTTATTTCTGTCACCACGTGATGGGTCTGATGACAGTTCCCAATATGGAATAGCACGATCAGATAAGATCAGATAATGACTTGCCTTTACAGCATTATGTTAGGTGAACCACAACATAAATACTCTCTCTTGTTCACAGCTGTACATACCTCTCTTGAAACTATCGGACACTTACTGCCACTCTAGCCATCATGGCGAAATTCCCCCGATACCTTTACGGATTCCTCACCGCCGGTGCTCTCTTCTCAACCTGCACCTCGGCTATCCCGTTCGTCATCGGAGCGTCGCAACAAGCAGCACTGACAGACAACGCCGTGAACAATGGTGATCCATTAAAAGACTTCATTTCCGATGTCGCCAATGACAAAAAACCCACCTCACCCCCCACCACCTCTCCATCAATCCTTCGCCTCGCATTCGACATCCCCAACAGCAACAACATCCACACCACCAGCGATGCAGCCATAGACAACCCCGCCGACGTCAACCACAATGACAATGACAATCTCGCTGTCCTCGCCCGCCCCTCGTGGTTCACATCCGTCCTCCTTGCCCGCCGTCTCCTCGCCCTCTCAACCACCGCCACTGTATCAACCGTCTACCAACAATCCTCCCGGCATTCCCCCGCCGGCCTGCAAGGCACCCCCATCACTCTCCCCGAATACATCGCCGACTGCAACTCCCTCGGGGGGGCGGGCAACCCTATCTTGCTTGGCCTGTACGTCTCCACGACCTTCCAGAACGTCGCCTCTGGCTCCAACGTCAGCCTGGCGATTGACTGGTGGTCGCATCTCGACAAAACCAGCCCATTATACCCTGGTTTCCCGCCCAGCGCGGCTGGTCTTCCGCGCGTTTCGCTACTGGGCTACATCGAGCGGGTTTCCGCCGATACTGAAGAAAACAAAAACCAGAAAGGCGCGGTAGAGGAATTCGAGCGCTGCTTCCTCGCCGCCCATCCCGATTCTAAGGCCTGGCTCCCAGGGAATAAGGATAGTCCGCACTCGGGCTTCTGGGCGCGGCTTGTCGTTACGCAGGCGTATTGGATTGGCGGCTTTGGTGATATACAGCAGATTGGCTGGATTAATATGACGGAGTGGAAGGGGATAAGGGAGGAGAGTAGTCTGCCGGGGATTGGCGATGGGCGGGGATGGGCGAGCGTGAGGCTGCCGGGGGAGGAGGCGTAGATTGAGCTCTGGACTGAGAATAGTATATACGTTTGGATGGGTTTGGATGGGTTTGGGAAGGTATGAGGTGTATATATTAGTGCTCATCGCTCTTTGATGCATTCATGCTCATATATTATTTTCACTTCAGTAATGAAGTTTAGCATTGAGGTATAATATTAGAGTTAATATCGTATTCTAACCAGATATTCTTCAGCTGGTTTCTACTAGATTTACACTACATGTATAAATGTACTATCTCGTCAGAGTAAGAACTCGTATCCCTAACCACCAGACGGGGGCTTTACCAGGTATGATCGCTTAAACAAAGCCGAGAAGTCAATTTGTTGACGAGTACGGCAGGGACCTAGGTATCAGATGATAGTTCTACGCGTAATAGTATCGAGCATCACAGAAAATAATATAAATTAAAACCATAATTTTTATAGTCAATGTTCCCTCCCTGCCTCTGCACCACCAACATCAACGCGGCACGTGCTCCCGCATTTCAATAACGGCACAGCAATAGGGTCGAGTGCTGGTATACATACTTGTCAAGCATGACTGATACATGCTGTCCTTTTTGATTCGAATTGTATATTAGCACCAATTCAATGTATATAGTAATGTCGCACTATGTGAGAACGATGACGTGCGCGTTGAGGTACGACTGTACTCGATCAAACTGTTAGTTATCAATTATCAATAATGTTGATGCAGATCATAAGAACATTGCGACAGGTATATTCCGGTCACGTGCGCGATCAAAGCTCAAAAGCCGAGTAAATCTCAAGTAATAATAAAGTTATGATTCGCCCGAATCATAATTAGAGTCTTGACGACATAAATATGTGGTAATAGGAACTCCGAGGAGAAGCGTGACTGCCAATAGCAGGCCATGGCGCCATTCTCGATTGCGTTGCATCATGAAAAGCGAGGGCGAGACGTATATAAAGCAATAATCCGCCGGATTTTTTCAATCACCCACAGTTCGCTATCTAAAAAGACTAACATAGTGAGTGCTGCGCTCATGAATATGGCGTGCTCAGGGATACAAGATAAGCAGTTACTCCGTCGGTCTATCTAGATTCGCAACAGCCAACCATATCCTCCTTCCCCTTCTTATCTGAGACGCAAATCATCGCCGTGACGAACGGGAGATCATCCTTGCTTCCGCTGATAACATTTACTGATTACCAGGTAACTACGGTCCATGCTTACTGCTAAATCCAGTTAATAGGGCCCCTTTATCTCTCTGATCTCTATCTGAAGCGTTTTATAGGGCCAGTATAGCCACCGCCAGCCCGCCGGAAACAGCGCACAAACCAAGTTTCCTAGATAAGCCATTCTGCAAGGATGGCCTTGGTTGTTGGGTTTGGCTGCTGATTTGTTGTGCTTATCGCGCGCAGATTCTGCGCTGTATACTTAAATAGCCGCCATGTCTGCTCGTCCCGGGGACGATTTGTTTGTTCTTGTTCGTTCAAGACGTTCGCTACTTGATCGCACTGGAATGCAACAGCATTGAGGGCCTGAATGATTGAACTGTCTACGGTTGGACACGCACATATGTCACACACATATATATATGTGTGTGACATATGTGTGTGTTCACTCACGTGACATGTTGGAAACCTGAGGCATTGAGCCTTGACGGGGACTCTGGTCAAGGGTCAACATGAATAATGGCATCGACAGTTCCTGCTACCGACTCGACGTCACCTCCCTTCCTTGCAAGTACGCCTACCGCCCTTACTCTCGACTCTCGACTACGTTACAGTGTACGCCCGGCATGTGGATACAAAGGATCAGATTCGCCACTCCGTCGGCCATCCCCCGTCACTAACGCCGAGAATGATATACATGATACTAGGGAGAGGGCTGAGCACACGACACTGGCTAGGGCAGGGCAAGGGCAGGTTGTTGTAACTTGTGGCGGGGAAGAAAAAAGCCTTTGTCCCGCTGCAAGGTTCACTTCGCTAGAACCGCGACCGCGGCATTGAGGATTCAGGCCGATCACATCGTCGTGACTCGAATAGGACTTGCCGGTATACAACAGAACAGTATAGTTTACAACTTACCAGACCGTTATGTCATTTGCACAGCAGCGTCAGAAGTTCAGAACCACCGGGTGCGATTTGTTTGGCGGATCTGATTTGAAATTCGGATTGGATCTATGGACTCGGGAAATTTTTGAGTCTACGCGGTCCACTGCGACCCTCGGCGGCGGGGCGGATAAATGCATCCCATCCGTCGAGAGGGATGAATCATGAATACCAATATTATTATGTTGTGTATTATATATTGTCAGCGCGATGATATATAATATACAATATAATAATATAATACGTCCTAGGCTATGGATCTCCTGATCGGCTCGCCTGTATGGGAAATTCGTGCTTAGCTGCAAGCCACGGCCAGGGTCGAATCCCGGGTGGACCTAATGACGCATTCATTTAAAGGGCGGTTACCGCGCATAAATCAATAGGTGAGGCGAGGGGTGGATTGAGTGTGAGTGGATATTTTTTGCTTATTATTCCATTTTCTGTTTTCTGTTTATTCGATTATTTTATTATTTTATTATTTATTATTTATTCTGGCAGATCACATCTCAAAAGTCTAGGTTTTCTAGGCTTGTCTCTCACATGCTAATATTTGGTGGGGGACCGTTACATACCTCGTTTACGATACGGTAAGTTTCACCGCCAAACACCGCGATACGCACCATCAGCTCGTTGCAAAGTCTGGTACCGCATCGGAGCATACCGGGAGCGCGACAGTCGCAGTTAATGCTTCGCGTTTAAGGTCTATGCTAGATCTCGCTAGGCAAGCTAAGTCAGCCCAGGCGGGACGAACGTCGCAATGCCCGCCTGTGACTTGCTGGCGGCCTGGCTAAATGGACGGAGGACGCCGTATTCGGTAGAATTGGGCCCGGAGATGAGGGGCCCGGAATTTCTCCTAGAGTCAGCACTCAGCACTCAGCACTCACCAGTTGACAGTACAGCGAGTACACACTACGTAGAATGTAGAAAATGCCAGATTTAGACATCGTTGATATATATCGTTCTACATTAGTTACAATGTCATTGTATGGAATATAATTCTCATTGTTTGATCTGGTTATTGATATCCTGTTATAATGGTATTGTGTCCCTGGAACTTCCAAGCTTAAAAAGAGATATGGTGCTAGTTATCCAGTTATTTAGGTAGCTAAGCACGAGACTCTTAACTCCTCCACTCCGTTGAACGGAGCATCCGTGCAGTGGAGTGGGTGTGGTCTGTCATGCAGTTAGATCCACCATCTACTCCTACACTATGTATATGTATGTACAACGATTTCTAGAAGAAATCCTCTCACAACATTGACCTCAATTTTGATCTTGCCGCCACTGTTAATATTAATAATTATGACAATTACATATGTAATACGGAGCACAAGTACACCTCGGCTAAAGACACTAATCGTGCCTCCCAATACGGAATACACATGTACTAAATTCGTTTAAAAGCCTACCGAGTAAGTTCAAATGTTATACGGCCCACATCGCCACTGCAATTACTCATCCAATAGGGCCAATACTAGGACCCAGTTGGGAAACTTAGTGTGCCCTAGTGGCGAACAGCCCACGAGGTTGGCGTGGACAGCGGATCCGTTGAGCTGGTGAACAGATGCCGAAGATTGGCCGTGTTGAATAATAATACTGTGCTTCGATTTGTGTTGATGTTGAGATGGGTATAGTACCCGGTATACTGTTATAAAATTATTAATGTTTGAGAGTAGTATATAGAGTAATTGCAGTATGTAGTACATCATATGTACTCGGGAATACTGTTATTATTATTAGTCGAGTGACACAGCAGCCACCAATCGGCAGCACGGAAGCTGAAGGGATAATTGTATTTCCGTGAACTACATGTATTTAATATTGAATACAGAGTATTCATTGAGGAATCCTGCTCTACCACGGTGAATGGTCACACTACTGATTTATAGTGTGTAGATGTAATTGTATACCCTGTCAGACACTCGAGTACAGATGTGACTGATGCCTTGAAGAACCAACCGAGCGATCTAGACCACGACCTAGAAACATCCCTGAATATTGAATTTATGTTTGCCGCGAAAACATCGATTTAATAGCATCAATACATTACCAGGCCTTCACAGCCTTTCCCTGAATATAAGCACGCAGCTAGTGGACAGTTTGGTTGCATGCAGGCTGCGCTAGGGGTTGCAGAGCTAGTCCTTGCATGTCTGCAAATCACAGGCCACCTATATATAAAACCCATGCAACACACAAATCAGCTGCTTTCCCGCATCCCTACATACGGTAGTAAGCCAATAGCCTGTGCTGGAGAATATCTTGCAGGATACAGCGGTTATGCCGAATTTTTGTTTTGGCAGGGAATAGTATTTAGGTGTGCAAGAACATTTTGAATAATGAGGAGGATATTGTCGTTCTTGGTATGGGTTGGGGTATACTAGTATCGCTCATATCATATTGACAAATCCATAGTACCTAATAGTCCGACATCTGGAGAGTGTAGATCTATTTGCTGGCTGTGGCAATCTAGATCTTGACGCAGGCAGCGAATAACGACCGCGTCAGTTCCGTACATATGCAATGGCCACTGAGTTGGTACAAGTATGAGTTTACATGCCAACATGTATATAATCATAATAATAATATACGATAAATCGAGCGTACAGTACACTGACGGATAGACAAAAAATTAATAATATCGGCCTGTCATCGCAGGTACCAGCTCGATCTAGCGCGGACTTCGGAAGGCCGGGCGGGTCGGCGGTAAGAATGGAAATACGCATACGCCGTAAGTGACGCACCACGCCCGGGCTGCACCAATGGGCGGGCGGAAGTCGCTCTATCCAGTCAGCGCCTCTTGCCTCGACTCAGCGCGGCTTGCACTTGCCTTGGGTCAGACGGCGATCTCTTTCATCTTCGCCTGCCTGCCCTGCACTGGACTGATTGTTTCTCTTCTCTGGCCAGGTTGAGACAAGAGAATAGCTTCATCTCACACCCGTCGCTCTTGATCCTCCCTCGCATGGGCTTGCGCCATTGCCCCTCTCATTCCTCAGGAAATCAGTTCCCGTTGGCCGTGTGTCGGCATCCCGCCAGCCCGAACAAAAAATAGTTTGGCATAGCATAGCAAAAGGAACGACAAGCTGGATCTGCAATCTCAGTCCAGCGTCGCCGACAAGGCGATGCTGCGCGAGTCCATCTTCCCTGACTGGGGAGATGGCACCCCCCAGGACTCGGTCGAGAGCCCCGACGAAATGCAGAGGAAAGATCCCCTCGCAACGCAGATCTGGAAATTGTACTCGCGCACCAAGTCCCAGCTCCCCAACCAGGAGCGCATGGAGAACCTGACCTGGCGCATGATGGCCATGAGTCTGAGGCGCCAGGAGCGCGAGCGAGCGGAACAAGCCCTGTAAGTGCAACAATTTAAATAAAAATCTATCGACATGTTGTGTTTGGAATCCTACACATGTAATATACCCCAGGTGGCAGCTGCAGCTTACAGCGCTAGCCCTGCCTGTTATCATGATGACCTGGTTCCTTATCTCTGGGGCCGCCGCACGCTCAACTCCCAATCTCCAACCATTCCTGCACACTGCTCGTCTTGTCTCGTCTCGCCTTTTGAAATGGAATTTAAACACTGACTGGAATTTTTTATATAGCCGTGCGGCTCAAAAGGATAAGTCTGCTCCCAGCGGTATTGCTCGGCTCCGTCAGTCCATCGACCAGCGAGCCCCCGCCACCACAACTACCACCACCACATCGTCCTCGGCCTCGCTGGCTCCAGTCTCGGCTGATCTCATGAACCTGGACGATTTTATCATCCCTTCATCAATCGGTTCTCCTGCTGGCATTGGGTCATCGCCCGCCGCCCAGCTGGACCCTGCCGTCCCGTCCGCCATTCCGATCAAGGGTCGTAAGGAGCCTGACCTATCGCACAATAATATTGCGCCAGCGTCTCTCCCTTACCCTTTGCAAGAGCTTCATCGCTCCGACGAGTTTGGCTACGTACAGCGCCGGGTCCGCAAAACAAGCGTTGACGAGCGCAAGGTAGGCTGTCCTCTTCGTCTGTTTGAAGCATCCCACCTGCTAACCCTAGCTGTCCTGGCAGGCTCCCCGCAAGCGCCCTGCCGAATTTTCTCCCCAAGTAATTCCAACTACGAATCTAATGATTTCCAATGACAATGACTTGGACAATGGCATGATGCCTGACTACAACCTGGATCATCCGCACTCCGCCTTCCCCACCAACCATACCTCTCCCAATGTGCCTTTCAACCTAGACACCTTCCACCTGCATGATGACCCCATTCTCACTTCCGCTGGTCCCTTCCAGCAGAACTTCACATTCTCTCCTACGGAGTCGCCCATGGTCTCATCAGGGCCCTTTGGTCATATCTACTCCCAAACCCCAATCGGCTCTTCCCTCAACTCCAACGACTTCTACTCGCCGCCGGCTTCTGGGTATCAGTCCACTGCCTCAACACCCCAGCCAACATATGATGGAGAGCATTCTGTGTACTTTGACCAGAACTCTATGGATGCCCGCACTCAACGTAGAGTGCCTGCTTATGCAGCTCAGCGCACGTCGAATTTGACAGCCTCGTTGCAACCTAGATATATGTTCAATGCTAACAATGAAGCTGCTGCTTTCAATGCTATGAGCGGGCCACCCTCGAGCATCCCATCACCTGGCTTTGCTATGGGTCAGCAGCATGTTGATCCGACTCGTGTCTTGAATCAAAGCGACTTTGCTGCCCCCGCTCCTCACCGCAACATGAACATGACAAATAGAGAGAACATGTTCACCTTTGGCGCTGACTCGGACAATGAAGATGACGATGGAGGTACCTTCCCTGATCGCAACCTTGCTATGCAGGCTGATTTCCACGGCCTCGACGATGTTTCTGGTGATATCAACTCGAATCTGCAGTGGGATGCCCAACTATCCGGACATTTCGGCTCTTTGCCAAACTTCTCTGGTATCCATAACGCGCGGATGGGAGATCCCATGGATCAATCCCATGACTGGGAGGGTGGTAGCCTCGGCCGTGTTCATGGATCTGCCATTTCTGTTAGCGATATGCGTAGCCAACACGATCCTAGAAGACCCAAGTTGGCCCGTGCAATATCGACGCCTAATACCAACCACCTTGCTCATCAGGGTATGCAGTCCCATACCTCGCCAAATACCCCGCCTGAATCCGGCCTCAGCAGTGCTGTTCCGTCTCGTCCAGCAAGCCCTGGTGGCACAAAAGCCGGCGACCAAGGTGGTGCCCCAACCACATGCACGAATTGCTTCACTCAGACAACTCCTCTTTGGCGCCGCAACCCAGAGGGACAGCCGCTTTGCAACGCTTGTGGACTTTTCCTTAAGCTTCATGGTGTCGTCCGGCCTCTTTCTCTGAAAACCGACGTTATCAAGAAGCGCAACCGAGGTGGTGGAAACACCTTGTCTATTGGAGTATCTTCTTCGCGATCGAAGAAGAGCACGAGGAAGAACTCTGTTCAGCAAACACCCGTTGTGACTCCTCCAAGCTCAAGCAAGCCACAGAGTGTCAATGCCTCCGAATCCCCACCGTCAATCTCTGGTTCTACTGGATCTGTTTCCGGCAACACGGGTAGCGGCATCTCTGTCTCAGGTAAAAGCGGAGTTGTCCCGATTGCAGCTGCACCTCCGAAATCTACACCCTCTGCTGGAGCTCAAGCACGAAACGTCGCAGTGGCACCGAAGCGTCAGCGACGGCTCGATAGGGGCTCCATTGGCTCTCTTGCCAGTATTCAAGCCAGTCTGTCTCAGGATAGTCCTGAAGGTGAAGATAACAGCAAAACTGGTCCTTCTACATCACGGTCCAAGGTTGTTCCGTTAGCACCCGCGATGCCCCCGGCGGCCACGAATCCTGCTCATCACAGTCTTGCCGCGGGCTCTGGCCAGACTGCTAGTCAAGAGTGGGAGTGGTTGACGATGAGTTTGTAACGGCCGATCAATCGCATTCAATAATCATCCTACGGTTCGGTACCTAATGTGCTGTGCTTCGTTTTGTTTTCTGCGCTCTGTTAATAGACATGATGTGGCGCGGACAGGATGACTCGTTCTGATCATGATCTCGTTTCTGATTCGTTGGTTCGCTGATTCGTTTCATATGTTGTGCTCATTCGAGCTTTCGCTATAATCCGGTCCTACTATGTCGATGACATCGAGTTTTATGTCTAGTCGATTTTCGCTCTTGGGTTTACATTGACGCTTATTTGGGGAGAGGGGTCTGGTACCTCATACTATCAACGTATGACATGACATGGAATGGATTACCAGAGGATACTACTAGGCTTTATTAGACGGCTTTTTCGTTTTCTTTTCCTTTTCTATGGGTTTGATTTGATTTGGTTTGATTGTGCTTTTCTTGCTTGATACAATCGCGTCTGTACCGGTTGCCCAGATTTCCCGACGATTTCCCTTTTATCATTTTTTTTTACCTCTTTCTCCCTTAATTCCGATATTTGTCCTTGGATTCTGGGCACCGGGCAGAAGTGCGCACTGCTTTGATATTTTTTCTTTCTGTTATCGAATTACGAATTCGTCGTATTGATAATAGTTTTCATCTCGGTGGATTCATGTACTGCATCGGGATTGTCGTCTGATAGAGTAATGAATGGCCGACGCGGGATAGCTGTCGATATGACATGAATACGAATGAATATGATATGATGTCGAATTCATATTAGTAGAATACTATACATTAATTAGTATGGCTGAACATTGCACATTGACAGACCAGCCATCACAACCACAGCATTCCGTAAGTCTATTTAGCATTCACCTACCAGAAAGAGCTTGCATGTAACGTATCTCCGTTCCAACTCCTTCACAATTGAGGTCAGACCTATGTAGTAGGAATACGCTCATACCATCGTCATCGTCATCCCGACACTTCCCACTTCCTCATATCGTCGTCATTTCCACCCTCGATTATAACACGCAAATTGGAAAGTAACCTGAAGCTTCAGCTCCTCGTATCATTCACTGACTGGTCCGCCCGATGAGCTGCGTCTACACCTGATCGCCTACAATTACCTACTCAATTCAATTGACCATCAGCCAGTGCACTGCTAGCACTGCTTTCAGTTGTCGATTATGTCAGATAGGGTACGTCGAGCATACCATACCAATTGACATGTCATCGAAGCTCCATGATGCATTGATACATCAACTGATACTGCTCTTAGAACCCCCAATCCGCCGAGAGATCAGCCTCTGCAATGGAAGCCATTAAAGCCCGTGTCGCGGAGTCCATGCAGCCAGGTAACCGCCTTATCCCCCCTCCCCCCCCTTGTCTATTCTACCGGGTCATGCGGGGATACTGGAAGTATCAAAATGTGTTTGGGTGGTGCTGATATGATATGGATAGGAGACTCCAAATCTACTGCGCACAGCCTCCCGCCCGACGAGCGCGAGAGTATCCTGGGGCTGGATAATGAAGAGCATGGGTATAACGGTGCGAGAGCGAAGGAGAAGGAGGAGTCGGAGGAGGGTGAGGGGAGCGGGCAGAGACAGGGGATGGGGATGGCGGAGATGATGGGGGGAGTGGTGGATAGAGTGGCCAAGGCGATGGGGAGGAAGTGAATATTTTATTTACCCCTCCTGTAGCAATACATGTAAGGTTTAGGATGAATGAATTCTATTAGTACAATACAGAACATCTAGATGCAAGTAAGATCTATGCATAACAAACAGACCGGTAGTGATAATCATAATCCAACGCCGTCAACGTGCCTACTAAATGCATTCCCACCCCTAAAACAACGAAAACATGCCAGATTGTATGCGAATGCCACCAGATATCGAATCTACCGGGGAAAAGACGTTCGGGGAGGCGGCGCTGCAATTCTTAGTATTTTTTTTTTTGAAGAATAGGTATAGGGATGGCTACCTCGTAGAAAAAACACCCGATTAGAATGCACAGTATCTCCAATAAATAATATCGAACGCCCGTCTTTCGAACGAATTCTCGACCCCATCGTATCGTCCCGTGCACCATTGGCGCGGAGGCGAAGAAGCCCGTCAGTAAAAAGCAGTTCATCCGGAACCGTCGCCATTTGGGGCCGTGGAAGCGCCGGTTTAGCATTACGACGCCTGTCGCGAGGCTCATTGATGTGACCTAGAATTGACTTCTTGTCAGGGTTGTTGTCATTTGAGATGGAGTGGTGTTGTCTCTTGAGATGGGGAGAATACCAAAATCCAATATGTCAGCCGCAGGCGCGGTTCACAGTAAAAACCAAAATATATCCCCGATATAAAATTGCCCAACATGACGGCAAGAATCCCAACGTAATCGTACATGAGACAATTATGCTTCACTTTTGGCGAATGGCAGATCATTGTATGGTACATGGTGGACGTCGACATACAAGCCAACGCAGCCCACAATTGCAGTGAGATAATCGTCCAGTCCTTGTCCCTGAGATTCGCATACTCAGTACGCAAATAATTGTATAGCAAACGATGGCCGAAGATCGCCGCGACGGCGGGGATCAAGTGCGAGTAGATATTCCCGGACTCATTGTGTAGGTACGTCCAGCTGGCGAGGCAGCCGAGCAGCGAGTTGGTCTGGTGTCGATACCCCGTTAGGATGAATGGATTGATGTCGTACCATTTGGGTACTTCTTCGAGCGTCAGCAGCACGCGCTGCGGTATCGAGTCGTGGGTTTTGCGGTGTTGTTTGACATCGACCGAGGCCACGCGCTGTTGGCGAGCGATCGGGTCTTGTCTGCGAATGCGGAATTTGGAGACGTCGAACGTGTCGAGTATATCGAGGAGCATTTTCTTATCCCTTTTGATCCTTCTTGTACGATTTCACCCACTTGGGTAGAGTGAATAGAGTGAATAGGTAATTCGCGAACGAAACGGCGATTGATGCTCAGTTGATCTGCACAGAGTCATGAGAGGAGGAAGGCTGGATTGTCAAGTATGGTACATGAATTATCAAGTAGACGGTCTATTATTAAAGCTGAAGTGTTGTCAGGACAGTTCTATACGTCTATCAACTCCAGGCAGAAATGAAGTCTATCGTGTCATACACTTGACGATGACGGCGGAAGGCACGGACAAAACGGAGTGTTATCAACAGCGCTGATATCAGGCCATGAGTCGAAGAGAGTCAAGACAGCTGAATGGCTGGTGAGTCAAGAATAATATAGAGAAAAGACGCATCCCCTGATTCGCATTAGACTTTGATTTTTGCTAAGCCGCTTATGTCATCAGGAACCAGCGCCGAACTCCGTCATTGTTGTAAACAGCCAGCCAGTCACATGCCTTGCGATACAACAGTGCGATCAGAATAAATCTATTGCATGCCAGACTCCGGCCACTGTCTGGATAAGCTGTCACGAACACGGCCATGGCACAGTCACTGGTGAGTAGTACGCAGAGTGCAGCAAGTTTAAACGCAGAGCTGATCGATCCAGCCCCCGCAGATTCCCCAGCATGTCGCGGCGCTACTTTCGCATTTGACCTCGCGACCGGGCGTCCAATCGACGCTGATTCTCTCTCGCAAAGATGGCTCAATTATACAAAGTACCGGCCTGCTCGCCTCGAGCGCGAGCCCGGCGTCTCCTGCTGGAACAAACGCGCCGCGATCGGGCAGCAATAATAACGGTGTTTCGACAATAGAAAACACGGGCACAAACACAACAACTACAACAACCTCCCCAGATACCTCCTCACATCAAGACCCCCCTCCCTATACCCCATTAGACACATTGTCTACAAAAAACCAGAACCAGCCATACAAACCGACCCAAGCGGAAGCAGTGGCAGCACACATCCATGCATTTATGTCGACTGCGTCTGGCCTGACATTATCACTATCGGGGTCTACTAGTAGCGCAGAGGCTGCACCTGAATCGCGGCCGAAAGTGAATGGATCGGAGGGAGACGAACTAGACAGGGATAACGAGCGAGAAGATGACGATGAAATAAAGCTGTTGCGGTTGCGTATGAAGAAACACGAGATTGTTGTCGTGCCGGACCGCAAGTATTTACTGTGCGTTGTGCATGATGCTTCTGGGGCTACCTCTGCTACTACTGGGGGCAGTGGGACCTCGAGGTGAACGACAAGCTGATGATGGCTGGTGTTTTGCCTTGGCTTGGATATGTGTTTGTAGTATACCCATAATGAAATGATTCGAATATTGATGACATTAACTTTTCATATACTATACAAGCATGTTAAGCAAGTGCTATATCAAATTGGAGGAACGACATTAAACATTCTATCTTAAAATCGAGATCGTAAGTTGCATCTCACTATTATCACGCTCTATACAGCATACCAAACAGAATATAAGCTCAATCAGGTTAAAATCCATGATTTCTGGCATATTGGGCGTGATTTATTCAAAAACATGCTCCAATTACTAACTTGATACTCTTATCACAGATCATAGGAGATAGACAACAAAGCCCAAGCTAATGCTTTAGTGACTATTTCATCAATTATCAAGTCTATATAGGATCGTCGTTGATGCCTTCGTTTTAAGGCAGAAGTCGGGTGGACGAGTCACGTGGCGATAAGAAATACTTGGCATCAAAAGTTGCTATCAAGAATCAAGTCAAATATTCGACAACCTGTCAAGCGTTCAGCGACTTGGCAAACTAACAATATTGAGGGCGTAGTTTTGTTATTTCTGGTATAATTTTGGTGTCAAATTCGCTATCAACCTAATCAGTCTCCAACATGGGATCTAGTCAGAAGAAGAAAAAGGAAAAGCAAAAAGATTTCCAGGTATGAAGAGTACTACATAATGCAGAATCTGAATCCAGCTGACTGGCGTAGAAACCAAAACTCAAGGTTGGCAAGGCAAAGGCCAAACCCACAAACTTCACCGACACAAGCTTCAAATCGAAGGGTATGCTCAACTCTACACCATGCATATACATCTACTAATTGAACTAGGAATTGTCCTGAGCCAACAATCGCTATCTACTAATGCACCCTCATCATCATCCCAATTCTCCCATCATCTCTCCCTTCTCTCCTCCAAATCCGACACACAGCGCAAGGAATCACTTGCACACCTCACAACATCCATCCTCTCAAGACCCATCGACACTGCACTTCCGCAACCAGTAAGCGCAATCTTACCAAAACTAGTCCCTCTACTCCTCGACGCCAGCAACAGCGTACGAGCCCAACTATTGAAATTCCTAAAGAGCCTACCCCCTGCTGATATCGATGCCCATGCTGCCCAACTGCTACCCTATATTCGCGCTGGAATGACCCATCTAGCAGCCGACATCCGCTTGTCTGCGGTTGAAGTACTAGGCTGGCTGGTCGATACCGCTGGATCAGAGATCGTCGCGTGTGCTGGCGGCTGGATCAAAACTCTAAACTGCTTTTTGTCGCTTCTCGGCTGGCATACGGAGGAATCTGCCAAGTGGTCGTCGAATCGAAGCTCCTTTGGGAAGGCTGGTAGCGAAGGGAGACCGATGGTAAAAGCATTGCAGGTCCTGGCTGAGTTCCTACGTGCTGGAATCGGTAAAGAAGAGGAAGAAACAGATACAGACGAACTACAAAATAATCATATACTGTCAGATCAGTTATATTTCCCGCTTGATCTCTCTGTTCAGCAGAATATGATCCCCAACAGACCTGCGCCATACGCATATCTGAATCTCTTTGGACAGCCGCGTGACGCCGAGAGCGAAATGTACGAGAGTCGTGAAGATCGACTCCGAGTTTTCGCCGATAAGTTCCGAAGAGCTGTTGAGCGTGGAGTTGAGAATGCACGCAAAGAAGGTGGCGAAGTTGGACGCGCATCAGCGGGTGTATCCAAGGTTCTTCGAGATGCTGGGCCAGTTAGTGTGATGGCTTGACCGATCGATCTTCTTGCCATGCTTGTACGCCATATGGATGGCGGTGAGATCGGTGATGCAGTTCTGATTAGAATCGACCTGTCACATTTCTGCAGATGTGGCTGAACATGTGTGGTCTGCTGCATGGCTGCCTTGGTAATGCGGATAGTCATAGCACACCGATTGGCTTTTTTTTCTTAGACTTTGACTCTGAGGCCGCAGCACCAGGTTGAATCTATTCATCCCTTACAGATGTACAGTGAGTACAGATACGATGATCTAAGTGACGCTGGCATTGCCGGAACATGATATCAATCGACGCACATCTCTACATCCATCGGCGAAATTGATCGTCGATCATCTGGGTCATTTGACGATGTCAGGAGTATAATATTTTACTACATGTATATAGATTAATCCGAGTTACATACCCTCCTTATTCTTTTTGTTGCACCAAATAATTGGCTCAAGGAGTCAATTTATCCTTAATTATTCTTGTTATAAAGTTAATTAACATACTAACATGTCTCATACATGGACGTGGCACGAGACAGATGACCAGATCAGAAACATTGAACACATTGATCGTGCAAGTGGCGTATGGCTGCTACACCTGCCCCTTGCATGATCCACCGATACGTTGCTCAAATACATTAGATGTCGTTTCTGTCCTACTTACCAGACCGAACACGAGCTATTCATCGATACAACATAAGAGTATATGCTTTTCTTGATACCTGTCAAAAAGTCATTGGCGAGTGTCGCTACACGTATGTATACGTCAATATTGAAATAGTCTATATGAAACAAGTAATTGTTTCTAGCACCATACCCATGTCTGTACAACCTATGTCCATATGCAGGGATTCACCGATACCTTTAGAAATAATCCACAGTTTTGAAGATTGTCAAATAGGAGCATCACATCAGCAAACAACACATCAATAGCGGCAACAAATTTAATTGGTCCTGCGGTCTCTTTAATATTACTATTACTATAATTGTTATTGATGACCAACGTAATCGGATGTAACTGGTATGCCCAACACTACAACATATGACCACCAAAGGAAGATGTCTCAGGCGGCAATTTATGTATCAAATAAACATTGAAGGTTTGAGATATACGCAGCTGGGCATATTCTAAATTCACCTTGCAACAGAAAAAAGAAAAAAAAAAAACCCTTATAAGCTGTAGCTACATTTCGTATTCAATGTAGCGGTCAGCATAATTGATGGCACCGGATTGGCCATTTGCTGAAAGCGCAAGCGGATGTATGCAGGCGGCTTAGAAGAGATACGATTTCTGTTAATCTATGTCCATATTTTTTGCGAGACGCATGCACCTCTCTAAAGAAATCTCGTGCCAGGTTCTCGTCTGAATGCACAGTCCATCAGCAATTATGATAGGCCGGCGAAATTCGGTACCAAAGTATCTCGAAAGTATCAGGAACGAATGAACCAATCAACTGGGGAAGCGAAAACATCGGGGTGAAAAAATAGCGGCCGGATAATCCTGCAGACAAGTCCATAACTCCATATTCTGCCCAGTTTAGGACTCTAGGATGCTCAATGTTGGAGAGGAACTGACGTCAACCACCAGAAGATTGGCAGCAGAGGGACCCGGGTGGATAAAGATTTATACAGAATATCGAATATTCAAGAAAAATAAATAAAATAATAAGAGTGTTAAGAGAATCTCGCCGTCAGATGACAACAGCCTCGGAGCAAGCTTACCGGATTCGGCCAATGCTGCTGGACAGGACGCTGATTGGCAGAGCTGGTCACCTCATCAGAGGAAGAGCCAACGTCATATCTAGTAGTTAATATAATTTATATAATATAATATACGGAGAACGGAGTAGTGGCTAATAATAATATGGCGCTCCTAGAGAACCTACGGTTAGACCGAGAAATAATCGCGATAGTAATATTATCGAAACACACGCCGGTGTTTCAGCTGCGTCTCCGCCCGTATTTGGCAGCCAATGGCCGCGCCGTCCACCAGAGTCGCTTTCGAGCACACGTAAGTTTCGCCTTGTTGCGGAGTCTCCGTGTCAATGGATGGCTTGGCGAAGACTCGGAAGTGTGCAGTTCTTCTGTTCTTCCTCTGCGTGAATAAGAGCAGCACCCAGGTACTACTGGTATTAGAGTGGTAGGGTAGACCGCCACGAGGTTATAAAGAGTGCTTTGTTCTAATAATACTTTTACTAGAATATTATCCTTGAGGAAGCAAGACAAATAGTATTTTATTTAGAAATTAGAATTATTGTTATACTGCGTCTGATTGCGCACCACAAATCGCTCGATCCGGCCTTGCCATTTCCGGCAGCGAATAGGGCACGGGGGAAAGCCCGCGTTGGTCTTTGTTGTACCATCATGAACCTTACGCGGAAAGACTATTGTTATTATACTAATAAAGTACGGGGGTGTTCGGCTAGATATGTACGGAGTACGGATACTCGAATATTAGATATCATCCAAAATGCGAAGGGTAGATAACAGGGACAGCAAGTTAGAAGTAGAAGTAGAGTAGAAGTAAACTGCAGGCGAGATGAAACGCCGATCAGCCCAGTCGCTGTGAAGCACGCCTGAAGCAGAGCACAGGCTGACGCTACGGCGGAGATTTGACCCTTAATTAAACCTTCTGGGCTGACCCCACCATCAAATTACTTCAACTGGCTGGAGCAAATCACTTCACTCACTGACTGGAGCGGTGGAGGAGACTATCAACACAGCCTCAATGTGCCTTGAATGGCGTGTGGTATTCCTGATTCCTGCGTGTCGATCGTCTTTGTGCTGCAATCAGAACAACCGTGGAAACGAGATTGCGAGATGGAGATTGCGTTATGGCATGCATGGCTAGTCGTCTCCTTTCTTCTCTCGTTTCCTTTTTCATCTTTCACTTTTGACTTTTTGTACGGAGTTGAGTACTAGATTAGAATTAATTTCCATCTCTTCTTCTTCTTAGCGAGCATGCAGATGTGGATTGGATTGTTCGGCCTTCCCGGGTCTGAGCTGAGGCTATCGCAAACCATGTGAACCACGCGAGGGAGAAAAAAAAAAGCATGGAATAGTCCGTGATTAATATTAATTCCGACGGATATCCTGATCCAGTAATTATGATTGCTCACGCAAGGATGTAGCCGATCGACCCAATTTCTTCATTCCAATTTATTCGTTCCAATCTGCCAAAAAAAAAGAGATCTATATGTTGGAGTATTAGTATGAGGAATACGGATAAGCAGGATTCACGATACTACTACTACTATCATACTAGAGTTGACGACAGCGACAGCCAATCAGACATGCACTGCTCTTTGAACTTGCGATGATTTCCAGCCTCAGCTGATAGTATTAGATTTATTAATATGAGAATGCTACCCAAACAGAAACCAACCATCGCGGACACCCAGATAAGCTCATCACTACCGACTAGCGGCCATGGATCAGGATTGCTATATTTGAAACAGCGCAAGAATGTGTGACGAACACTGTATGCGATGCTACGACTCGGTTAGTAACATCCAGCATCCCGGCTCGACCAGTTATCAACCACGGAATATAATTAGCAGGGAAAATAGCAGCCGGTGGGGTAAAAGACCTGGCAAGTCCGCCCGTACTGTAAGGATTGATTGACAGGTAACCTAGCCTAGCCCAAATAGGAAGCCTACAGAGAAAGAAACTAGGCCAGGAACCATGGAGACCTCGGCCAGAATAAGATTAATCGTCCACGAAGTATGAATACGGACCTATCCTCCGCCAGCGCACTGGCTTATCCGTGGCTCCTTCATTCGCAGCAATCGATTATTAATATTAGTTAATAAAAGTCTAGCCTAGAATAGTAGAAAGTTGTTAGGAAAGACGAACGCTGGCGATTCGACTACGTGGGTGGCGCCTAGTATCACTGCAGGTGATTTAGATGCAGAGCTTATTATTGCATGGCTTGCTTATTTCGGCGGTGTAATCATTGTCGTAGCGTCTGGGATTACTACTGTATTAGTTATGGCGTAACCCCTGAAGGAGTCGGACAGTAACAGATACGTGGTCGTCGTCGTACTCAAAGTAGTTTGACCAGTAGACCGAATCGTGTAGTTCGTACTTTACCTCCGATTCATCGGAAGATTGAATCTTTCTACGACCGGAGTATTAAATGAGCAATCCAATCTTCTGCTGGCCCACAACGTCGACCATGGCCATGTAATCGATGCGTACATCTATCTGTTATTTGCCATTGGCTGGCAGCCCCTGAAGTTTATTTATGCGTGAAATTTATGAGAATAACCCTTAGCGATCGCCCCTTTCCTCTTCCGGTCGGTGACTCTGCAGACAACTGACCCAGTCTCGTCAGACGCAGACCATAGACCGTCAGGGTAGGGTAGTGTAGGGTAATAGTGTAGTAGTGGTAGTGTCAAGCACAAGATCCATCTGGAACGCAACCGAAGTAGTAAAGCCTAGTGTTTCACCCCACGATTAGTTTGAATGACATCCTTTCTTTTTTTATTAGCATTATTATTATTTTATTTTACTTCACCCTTTACTTTTTTTTTTTTGCTGCTTTACCCTTTACTCATTACCCTTTACGCGTCCTGATTCGCAATTGCCAGCACCAATACCCGAGACTGGCTCGCATAATACAAAAGAAATAATAATAACCACATGAGAGATCAACCTCCTTCCTGTTGCGTACCCTGACGTTCCTTTTTGACGCTCGCGCCTCCCTAAATTTATCCAAAATTATCCAAAATTATCCCATAATTTTTAATCCTTTGTTACTTTTGCTCGCCGTGCGTTTTTCTTTGGACGGGCGCAATTCTCTCGATCCTGCAGCACTCGGAGAAAATACAATCAGTCATAAGGGTGGCGCATTCATTGCCTAACTAGTCGCAAATTGAGTTAGTAATCGGCTTCGCCCAAGTGATGATCTGCTATTTCTGGCTTTGAATCTGAATCTATCATTCGGAGATAAAAAAGAAGAAGAAGAAGAAGAAGAAGAAGAAAAAGAAAAGATCAGCCCCAAGACGAGTATAATTTGTCCTGCTGAGTGAAGGAAAGATCATCATTATCATCATTATCACACGTGACGCACACTTGTACACAAATTACACATCGTATCGCACAGCATATTACCTGGATACTGGATACTGGACCCTGCATACCGAACTTGGTTGATGCTTTCTCTACCCTGAGTTCGTAGCGGCATGCCTGCAGTTCTCGTCCAGACAGCGTGTCCGATACAGAATATACCGAGTGTGGCCGTGGCCATGGAGCACCCCGGCGCATCAGGCGCCGATAAGAAGCGCAACAAGCTGGGATACCACCGCACATCCGTCGCATGTGGTAAGCCTCTTGTATCCTTTTCCTTGTAAGACTGACAGCTGAAATTTCCCAGTCCACTGTCGCCGACGCAAGATCCGATGCCTGGTATCGGCCGACGACAGCCAGGGCCGCTGCGAAAACTGCATTCGGCTGAGGAAAGAATGCCAGTTCTACCCGGTCGACCAACAGCCGCCGACAGAGAAAAAGACCCGACCTGGCGCAAAGCTCGAGGCGTCGGGGGTCGACCCGTCGGTAGCATCGTCGTCGCCGCCAGCAGCATTGGGGACGGGGTCGATGGATCCCAACGACATGTACGCCTACTCGATTCCCATGCACTCGACGCCTGAAATGGGGGGTTTCACCCCTCGGGATTCCCTACTGCTCCAATGGCACATTTTACTCCAGGTAGGCTGCCACTCCTCTCTATCCCCCCGACGGCATTAGGATTAGGAATTGTGTGTGTGCACGCACCGCTAACTCGGCTATGAAATATGAAACAGATGGCGTCGCGCATCCGGATCTGGTGGCTAGTCAAACAATCGACCCGAACGCATCATGGGACGCATCGGGCGGGCATCATCGCATGGGTAATCCGTCGCCGGTGATCTGGACAACACAGGGCGGAATACCAGGACAAGCAGCACAGATAATACCCACGGGCGCAGGCGCGTACGCAACAGTGCAGCCGGACGGCACGATATGGCCGGGGCCTCCGCAGCGGTCGATGACGGTGCCCACGCAGGCAGATATGGGCGGCGGCGGCGGAGGAGGAGGACAGTTTGCTGCCGGCGCACCATTCCCACAGAATTCCAGTATTCCGCCAGAACTGAAACGGCGAATGACAAGTCCTGCGCAGGCTATGGCCGGCTCGCCCATGCAGAGCCCGTCGCCGGCGAATATGAATCTGCAAGTGCCTGTGCCAGTACCCGTGCCAGTATCCTATGCGGCGCAACCGATTGCGTATAGGCAGTGGAATGGCATGGCCCCGATGCCCATGGACGGAGGAGCGGGCTACGCCATGTTCTCGCCAGGACCGGTCCCGAGCAATTATCCCATGGGCGGCCACCCGGGCCAGCATCCTTCGTCGGGCCCATAGGCATAGACCAGCGTCAGGTCAGGTATATGAAGCGTGTCTCATCTATTAGCATTAATACCCAGCATTACGGCGCACGGTTGGCAGTTCTCTTCTTACATACTTCATCTTCATATCTTCATCTTCATCTTCATATCTTACGATTCTCATCGTTTTCGCATCTTTGACGACTTCTCGCCATTGCCGTTCGTTATCTTGTTTTCCTGGCAGGAACTTCTGTTAGCCTGGTGCATACGACTGACTGGTGGTGTGGCGTGGTACGAGCATACCTAGAGTTCTTTTCTCTTCTCTTCGCTTTTCTACCTGGTATTCTCCAATACCCCTTCTCATCTTCTCTTCTCTTGTCTTCTCTTCACGCAAAATTCCTGCTGCGAGATGCTCATGTTCATGTTCATGTTTCTCATGTTTCTCATGCTTTTTTCTAGTGTCTATTATATTAATTAGATACCGGGGTTGTATATAGCCTATAGATTCGCATTACCATCAAATTATTGATACGTTCACCAACCGGGTTTCATTCCCCTCCTCCAACAGTACTGCCCGGATTCCTCGTAGTTGTGCTTGTTCTAATAACAACCCCAACATCCACCGCCCTCGCCTCCCTCACACAGCACGCCAAACACGTCCTTCCAACGCGCCCAATCAACGCATCTGCGCCCGTCGCCGCGCACCACGCCCGCGCCAGAACCTCGTGCGCATGGCTCGATCGAGCGTCAATCACCAAGACGGGCTGTTTCCGCTCTCGTTTATCATGTTCGCTAAGCTCCGGTTTGCTGCTTTGTCCTACAAGGAAAGGCGCCGGGGTGTCGGCGCGGAGAGAGGTGACGGGGATGTATTTATAGGAGTATGAGTTGTGAAGCGGATGGCCGGGGAGGTGAGAGTGATGTTTGTGGCGATTTTGCATACTCTTGTTTTCGCCCGATGGCTCTGCCGGTGATGAGGAAGATGGTGAGGAGACTGAGAAATGGCGATGATGCGTAATCGACCCCCGCGGCGGCCGGCACGTATACGACGATATAAAGCAGACGTTATACGTGAGCGGCATCAACAAAGAAGACGAATCCAGAGTAAACCGGACCGACGCATTCTGCGCCGCGACAACACGCTTGACTCTCTCTTCTCGCGTCGACAGGACAAGGCTATCGACACTGACCACAGCTCTCGCTCCATCTGTAGTGGTAGTGTCGTGGTCCTCGTCGACGGGAATACTGAATTTTTCCCCCGATATCTCCTCCTCGCCCCCCGGTCCCAACGGATGCGACTCGAGCGCCAGTTTCGTGCCTTGTCGAATCCGTGTGTTTTTGGATACTTCCTCGACATCGACCTCAAACCAGGTATCCTGCAGGGCCGACGGCGGATTCTGATTTACAGTGTCCTGGTCGGTGCTGAGAGTCAGGGTGAGACTGGTTCGCACCCAGCCCATGCACACCCTCGAGTCGGCGAGGGCAGCGAGAACGCGGCCAACCACGGATTTTGTGCTCCACCATGTTGATCCGCTGTAATTGAACCCGCCGAAGAGGTTCGCCACGGGACCGAGGGTGGAGAGAGCGCGAGGGTCGTTTTCCAGAAGACTGGTTATGAGCAGGTGGTTGATCGCGTCGCCTGGCAGGACGAGCCCCGTGAGCCAGGTGCGGGATAGCCAGCCGCCGATATTATTAGATTCAGATTCAGGAGAGGGAGTGTGTAGGACAACGTATCGCCGTGATGGGTGTCGGGTATACGTGTCTTTCCTACCGAAGAGTCTCTTTGACAGGGAAGTGATTGGCGTGTTATAGAGGGAACTGGAGTTGATAGGGCCGCCAGGCGTAGCAATATGTTTCTGCAACTTCGACCGGATATTTCTCTCGACACCCTCGTATTCCGGCCAGCCGATGGCCTTGGCGAAAACAGAGAGGCCTTGTAGCTGTCTCTCCGGATGAAGTGGGGTGACAATGCAGTCCCATGCAGAGTCTTTAACATCTGCCGCTTGTTGTTGCTGCTGCTGCTGGTTGTTTATCCTAAGGCTACCGAGTTTAGAAAACAGACTCTGCTTCCTCTGAAGCGGCGCCGAGGTTTCACTCGCCGTCGCCGGACAACATCGTACTATCAAATTATCCGAGAACCGCTGTGCAAAGAGCACGTCCCAGTTGACCTTGCCATGTCTGAGCTTATCAAGATCCCGCACATCATGCGACGTCACTGATACCTGGGTCTTCGATGAGGCGGGTCGCAGAACGGCTAATCGGACGATAGCATCGAGTCTGACGAGCAGTTCAGCCGCCAGGAGGAGCTGCAGTAATAACCACTTCCTTTCCAGGCCAGCACGAATCGCGGCATTTACCTTGCTGGTATCGGGATCATTCTTGCTACTGCTCGTTTCAACCGCATCCAGACAATCACCATCCGCATGCGGTGGCGTCTCCCACAACAGCTGGCCAACCCTCAACCTCGCCTCGGGCAGACTGAAATCAAACCACGCGCCCTTGACCGCGAGGACTCGGGTGAGCACCTCAATCTGGCCCTTGAGATTCTCGCGCTGCTGGCGATAATTCCACTTCTTGGGCGGCGGGAGCAAGAACGTTGAATAAAGCTTATTGTACAGCGTCTCAGTAGACTCCTTGTCGAGGATAGTAATCTGTTTATTCTTTCTCAACGCCTCCACGCGAAACTCCGATAGCAACGCTATCCGCTCCACAATATCCCTTGTGCGAATATCTCCACGCACCCCGATCCGTTTCCACGCCGCGCTGCCCTCGCGCAGGAGTTTGTGGCGGTCCAGCTCGATATCTGGATCCTCACACGCCGCGTACGCGTCGTGCATGTGCTCTAGCGCCTCGAAGGCCTGCGGGAGTGGTAATTTCGCAATACTCCGTCGCCGCCCGAGGTCTCCAGCATTCCCACCATCACCACCATTCACGGGTATAGGATGATACCGCACTGCATCGGCGGTCGCCAGCTCCAGATAATGACGAACCCCTACAGCGCCCGGCTCCTTCCCGTTCATCGATAGCATATTCGGAACCTCGAAAATGCCGAGATCAAAAGTAGCGCGGGTCACGCCGTCGGCGTCAGTGTCAGATGCAGGCTGGCGCTGGGAGGGGACTGGCAAATGGGCGTGCAGCGTGGATAGCGTAAAAGACTCGTGGCGTAGCGGCTCGCGGTCCCAGAAGTCCTGGATGCTTTGCACGCCGGTGTCCCAGGGGAAAAGCGCGTGCGGGTACCAGTGATTATGGCGGCCCTTTTCGAGCATAAAGTGTGGGGCGCCGGAGAAGAGGTATTTGACGTCTTTGCTTGTGAGCACGGAGGGGGTATATCCATTGTCGGGTTTCTTATTTGGTGGGTGTTGCGCGGAGGTGTCGTGGTCGATGGATTGGAGCGCGTGGTCGAGGGCGTTGAGGATGTTGGAGGGTTGTTTTGGCTCGTCGTCTATAGAATTTGTTCGTTCGAGGGGTTGACATGGCTCCTTGTTGGAGGCTGTTTGGGGCTCATGTTGATTCTGTTTTCATTAGTCGTCTTCTCTTCTCATACTGAAATTATTAGAGTCGCACCACAGATTCCATGCCTCCTGCCTCGCGACTGTGCCGCGTCAATTCTTTTATCTGAACCAGAACTGAACAAGAACTCAGGTTGCAGGGAAGCAAGCAAGTTTAGTATTTATAATCTATCATAAATGGCGAATTGGGCACCTCTATATAAGCAGAAGCAGTGAAGTTGATGAAAAAGAGGAATCGCGGCCAGCGATGATGTAGTCGTCTCGGCCTCGGCGCTGCGGCGGAAGATCGGCAGTGGGGCACATCCACTACATGACCATGCTATGTAGTATTATTATTGTACGTGCGTAGTTGTACATCAAGACAATGTGAATATGATTGCATAGCATATTTACGGAATAATGATAATTGTAACTAATGGGTAAAGCTAGGTCACAGACTCGGCCGACTTTTCTCGTTTCTAATCACGTCACATCAACACCATTCACATCGGGAAAAAAAATTGCAAGCCTACAAGTGCTGATGGAAAAAGTCCAAGACCGTTTTATATCCACGCTCGTACTCCTTGCGCACCTCAGGATCATCGAGATTCGCGCGCGCCGCCATCCAGCCATGGATCTGAGTTGGGAAAGTCTCGACAAGCTTCGCAACGGTTAGGTTCTGCTCATACCCTTTGACCGCCTCGGGATCCTCGTCCTTGGACGCTAGTAGCGCGATGGGCACATGCACATTCTTCGCATCGGCCGGGTCGAGCATGGCCGGATGGGCCTGCGCACCAGCCTTGAATACGCTGTTCTCCTTGCCCAGCGTCAGATTTGCGACTTTGCCGCCCCAGCAGTAGCCTAAAATGCCCCATGCGCTGTATCCGCCGCCCGTGGTGGCCGTCTTGTTGGCGTCGGCGACCACACCTGGGATCTTGGAGAGTGTTGCTGGGGGCCCGGCTTTGGTGGCGAAGAAGTTGCCGAGTTTCTGCTTGTGCTCGTCCGTGGTGGGAGGATACCACGAAATATCGGCAGGTTCGCCCTCGAAGAAGTCTGGGATGAACACGCGGTATTTCTGGTCTGGGTCCGACGTGGCTAGAATATCGGCGCCTTGGAGGGTTTGCGGCCAGTAGCCGAAGATGTCGTATATAACCAGAATAGCACGCGTCGCATCCGCCGGACCAGTGACGTCTGCAAATTAGCCAACTCAAAGCACAAAATTAAATGGGAAAATAGGGAATACGAACACGTCTTCAGACCGCCAATGGTCTTATACTCCCCTTTCTCCTGGTATCCCTTGGAGACAACGGGGGGGATACTATATCGCATCAGCATACCCCTATACACTGATTTTGATTTTAGGATGCTCACGAGCAACAAGCCTTGCTAACACCAGCCATAGTCGCAGACGAGGATGAGGACGAGCAATGCACGAATCTACACCACGCGTGAGATGATTGACAATAGACTCGCGAAACAGGTAGCCGACGGCAACCATAACCATACCCCGCGGCAACGGGATTGGAGAGGAGATGGAAGCGCATGGATGCTTACTTTTATGGATAGAATGGATTGGAGATGATATTAACTCAAATGAGGAGAGTGTTATGAGTGAAGGGATGTAGAAGGATGTACTGTCGAGGAGGGAAGAGGATGGCCGAAGTAGGCCGAGGGACCCCGCAGCCGACAACAGACGTCATAGCGACATCGCGGCATCGGTAAGCTACTGTAGATAAGCTGAAGATGTAGATTACGATTCAGCGCAATTAAGAAGATGGAATTAATGTTTATACATGTTACTAAATAATACATATAATATACATTGTTCTAGTCCGATAATAAGTATATATTATATATTATATATTCATGTACATGTATATGTTGACGCTGATCATTACCTACTTCGATTGTCTGCAGTCACTGGACTGTCTTGCCCTAGTCCAGTTGACGAAATAGGAAGGACTGATTCTAATACCAACAATTGAAGAGATCAGGCTTGAACAATAAAAATATAAAATATAAATATTTTTGGGTACTATGTATGCAAAGCGTATGTAGATAGACATCAAACATCACAAAGTCGCGACCAGACTCCATGACAGACAGAGACACGCACTCCGAATACATAACATTAACCAAAACCAATCCAGGAGAAAAAACCCTAATCTCATACATAACATAATCAAATGCTGGAGTTAAACACATCCACGTCGCCTCGAGTTCAATCAAACATGCAATACATACAGTGCAACTCGATACCCATTTCAATTCAAACAGACAAAACGATACAAACCATCCCGACACCTTGCTTAAATGACCTGACGAGGAACCGACTAACCGACTAACTGTTGAATACTGAATATAATACTGACATTGAATGACAAATGTCAAGCGCCATTTGACAATGGGCTCGCCCGATCGCTGTGCGAGTCGGTCTTGGTAAGGGCTTCGTCGTCCTTGACGGCTGAGCCACCATCCGTGTTTTTTCCGCATCCTTTGACGAGCAAATGTCGCTGATAAGGTTAGAGTGAGCAGAGTTACATAAAATTAAGGAATAAAGAAGAGGTACCTTCAGAGCATCTTTTCGTGAAAAACTCTTGTCGCAATGCGTGCACGGAAACGGTTTTACCGACAAATGGATCCTTTTGTGTCGTTTGAGATCGTGATTTCGATTGAAACTTTGCGGACATTGGTCGCATTTGAATGGTCGGTCGTTTGGTGGCGCAGGCTGGCCATGTCCCTGGTGATGTGACGGGTGTCCGCCGTACATATGCTGCATGCTCGCCAGATGGCCACTGGTGAAGCCCGGCATCAGCCCCGTCTGCATATTCCCCATCAGGGACATTTGACCACTGGGATTGTGCACGTTGGTCATCACCGGCCCCGTCATCGCGGGGAGCGAATATGACGGCCACGGTGGCCGACTATAGCCTAGCTGTGGCGGTTGCATGGGCGGCGACTGGGCCGGTGCAGATGGCATTCGCGAGGCATGAATTCCCAATCCGCTTTGTGCTCCATACGAGACAGGCGGATAGCCGTGCGCGACCGACTGCGATGGACTGAATAACGGCGCTCCGGGAGTTTTGGGTCCGTACGGATCACCGGCCACCATGGGATGGGATGGCGCGGTCGATGTTGAGGGTAAGGTGTTGGCGATCATCGTGTGAGCAATCGCGTGCTGGGGGTGTTGCGTAGGGGGTGATGAAGAGGGGAGCTGTTGTTGGAAAGGGGGCAGGTGATTGAGATCGTACTGCGACATGCCTTCTGTGGACGAGGGCAGCGACGCGCTGTTCCGACCCAACGGCCCGACTGAGGGTGAAATGCCGCCTCGCGGGGGTGGGTAAAGACCAGATGAGCTGGGGCCCCAGGACGGGTGAGCAGGAGGCGCGTAGCTATAGGAATTCTGGTTTTGCCACAGCGCAGAGTAGGATGGTACATCCGCGCTCGACCCTGGGGGGATAGACGCGGAGTGTTCAGCAGAGGAGTTGGGGGGAGGAGTAAGCAGATTGCTGACGTTGGAGGAAATGGCATTTACTGGTGACAACAAGGGCAATTTTGAAGTCGCATGCACCTGGCCAAAGTTGGTGGGCGGGGGAAGCTCAAAGGCAGGCAGATTCGAGGCGGCAGGACGACGAGCCGTCAGCGGCTGCTGAGCTGTGTTCAGCGCGTCCAGCGCAGTGCCCATCCCGGGTGGGGGAACTGCGAGAGCCGCCAGGTTGCCTGACTGTCGACTGAAGTCTGGGAGCGGGCGAAGATACTCGGCGTCGAGCGACGGCGCAGGAGCAAGCGTAACAGGGTTTCCTCCCAAGTTGACGTTGACGTTCACGTTCGCGTGGACGTTGCCGCCCGTTTCTAAAGACCAGAACCGGCCGCCGAGCCCGGCTGAAGGATCCAGGAGGAAGGACTGGGGAGAGATTCCCTCGTGGTCGGATGGTGAGGGATGGAAGCGGCGAGCGAGGCCTGTGGTTCACTGAGCGGGAGTGAAGGCAGTACGCAGGAGGGACCGTGGGTCCAGTCAAGTTAAAGAAGGAGGCGAGCGCCAAATTGCATGGTAGATGGCGGGGAGGGCCCGGTGCGATCTTCGAAGGCGAGTGTCGGTGTCGTTATGCAAACGAGAGAGTGAAGCAGAGTGAAGAGGCAAGCGCGGCGAGAGATCGCATAGGCTGGAGGCGTATTCACGGGCGATAAGAACGGGCGAACCCCAAGCACACAATAATATATCGCAAGATATCGAAGACGAATCGAAAAATCGACAACCAGCGCTGGGGGACCGTACTGTGGCGCGGCGGCGGATGTTTGTTTCTTGGTGGTGTGGTGGTGGTAGGTGGAGAGCGCGAGCGACCGACAACAATAGCGCGGGAGGTGTATTTTTTAGTGCTGGCTGGCTGGCGGGCGCCGCTGTCAGTTGAGACAGTTATCAGAGATGATCGAGGGCGAGGAGAAGAGAGAAGAGAAGGAAGCGAGGGAGAGCGCGAGAGAGCGAGAGGGAAGAGAGAATAGACGAGGAGCGAGCGAGAGAGCGAGAGAGAGAGAGAGAGAGATCCGGCTCGACGGGCGTGGTGGCTCCACGATCGTGCAGGCCGGCCACACAGCGACGGCGACGGGGGGCGATAGCGGCCGGTCTGGGTCTGGGTCTGGGCCTGGGCCAGCGCGGGGGACACTTTATTCATACACTTATTTTATATATACATGTACATATACTTGTACATATGTATGTATGCATGGGTACGTATCTATCTCCTGATAAATAATTATATACCCTATAATAAAAAGACCACAGAGGACCATATCCAACCTGTGCATAGACGTACACATGTCATTTCATTCACAACGATCTTGACCTCGCTAAGCATGACTCCGTTAGGCTGGCCGGTATTTAGCAATAATACCGCCACGTACCATGCATACCGTACCGTCGCCCGAGGCAGAACCTAATACCGCATTAAGTTCGCTGTCGAATGAGTGCCGACTATCGCTGAGACAGCCGGATCAGCGCAACGTGGTTGACAGCTCGCTTATTTTCGCTGTCTCTCGTATCAGTATAATTAATTATTAATTAGCGATGCGCTATCGAATATCGTCGCGTTTATTAGTTAACGTGGCCTGGTAGTTCGTGGGACGGTATTGTTCTTATCTATACGCGGTATGGTTACACATAGTTATGTAGTTGTTGTGTCGTTCGATGGACGGACGGACTAATGATGGGTGCGAAACTGGAAATAGAGCCCAGATGGCAGACACGAATCGAAATACCGAGAGAGCCTCATCGCACGCCGATCTGCAAGCCTAGACCGCTATACTCTCATACACCATGATGATCATGCTGAATAGGTCAAGGATTGACATGTGGAGCAGCTGGCTGTGATCCGCGCCGCGTTCCTGGGATGGTCGTTGCTAAATGCTCCGTTGGTTTAAGCTTAATAGCCATGGCAATTGTCATTGAGGAAGCGACAGGCATACTGTAATAATATTATGATAGTATTGATGGCGATGTCGATGTCGACGTCTCATGATTCACTGCCCTCGACATCTTACCATGTACCATACCACGGTACGCTTAATATTAATAATATCATCACATGCGTGCTAGTCGCTCGATTAGTCTCCCGGCCCAGCCGCTGTCGCTGGACACCAAGATCAGCTAGAAGATAGTAGTAATAGACAACAGCCAGCACGGCAAAAGAAACGTGACTGCAAATTATTAAATCGAACCAAACAAACAAAATAAATAAAATATAAAAAAATAAATAAAATACCATACGTACCCGTACTGGTACAGCCATGGTTGCGCGCGCCCGATCCAGGAAACCCGATACGCCAGCCAATCAGCAGCGGCGGCAGGGCCTCGCGCGGTTCTAGGCTTGCTTAGGCTCGCGATTGCGATGATACTGCTCGTACTACTCACTACTAAATAACGAACTAACTTGGCTAGTTAGTTAATACTAATAGAATGCTGGTAGAATGCTACCGTGGAATTCTTCTTTTTCTTCATTCTTGTGAATCTCTTATTCTCCTTGCCCGGCTATTTGGTATGCGCTGTATTGATAATAATTAACACTATTTAATAAAGATAATGATAATAATCATAATCATACTCGTAATATTAATAATGTACGCAGACTATCTATTATCATAGTACTACTATTATCCGGAGTCAGAGCAAACCCCGTCGTAGCATTCGGTAACATCCGTGACCCTCGAAAAACTGTGCATTCCTTCGGCCCAATCGGTACAAAAAGAAACCAATAGAATACGACGACTAGTAATACTACCATCTACCACTAGTTCCTCCCTCTACACTGCACTCTGCACCTGCACTGTGCACCTGCGCTCTGCCGGGCGATGCATGATTGCCCGTACCGGCTAGTCACAACCTACAGAGTTACTACTAACAAATATCGAATAATGGACCAAGGATTATGGGCTATGGATTAGGATTATGATAGAGAATACGGTTAGAAGAATGCTGGATGGGGGCGGCTGCAGAGCAGAGTCAGCCCGCACATGGCCCAGCGCCAGCCGCCAGGGTCCAGTGTGGCCACCATCGCCGTCCAACGCGAGGGATGATCGTGTCACTTGTCTAATTTTCCAATTCCGCAGGTAACGGTCTGCAGACTGAAGAATGAGGGCCTAATTAATACAATACACGTAGTAATAAAATAAATTAAGATATAAGTTAATAATGTGTACATTGGATTCAGTAAATGCCATCCCTGCCACCATGCGTTCCTCCCGACCAGACAGTGCAGTAGTGGGCAGGCAAGGGGTATTCAATAAATATTGATATTATTACGATGCCGGGCCAAGATCGAGGCAATTATTAAGTAGTATTCCAACCCAACATCACATGAGCGGTGGGTACAGACTCCTCAGAGTAGCTAGCACGTCCGTATAGTCATGTACTAAAGTAGCATGCACACACTGTAGTCTAGTACTAGCCTATCGGAGTATTAATTTGTCGCCCCTCTTATTCGCTGCTGTTGCTGATGTCGGCTTAGTGCCGCCTGCAGGGCTCGGCATTGTCGTGGTCAGCTGCTGAATAATTTATTTTTAATTTACGGAGGAACATTTATGTAAATTTTTAAATGAGACATACTTGGTCAACTTAGTTGATCTGCTAGTTATTTAGGATTTATCTTTGAGGAATAAGTGGTTGAAAGGATTTTGCGTAAGATGTTGTTACGTGAAGTGATAAAATTGGGTTTCGATGGTTGAAATAATAACCCCCTGTCGTGAATCAACGGCACAAGTTTATTGAGATGAGAGTGCTGAAAGTATAGAATATTATTAGCAGCCTTCTACGCGCTTCAGAATTGTTTGATTTGATATACATTTGAACATTATTGATCGATATATCAACGTACATCTGTGTAAGATATATTGATATATACTCGTATTAAGATTTGAATTGATCACTCAAATGAGAATCATAAAACCCCCGTATCCTCCGCCACAGATCAATCAGATGCCCTCTTTCACGAATCTGGCCACTCTCGCGCGGATACAGCACCAGCTCAACCGGCTGATTCGACCGCTGCGCGTCCCGCCAGTACGCCCTTGCGGACGACACACGCTCGTCCTCGATTCCGTGTAGGATCAAAGTCGGCGTTTTGGCAATCTTCGAGGTCTGGACTGACCTCCTCGTGCCAAAAACATCAGGCAGCGTGCCTGTGCCTTGCGAGGATGAGATGATACTCCCCACTCCTTCAGCACTAGTTGAGTTACCAGGACCGCTCAATGCAGCCCTGAATTTGAATTCGTTTCTCGACAGAACAGGCGAGGCAAAAAACGACCCGCTGATTGCGAGCCGCCCGCCGTCTACGAGCCCCTTCGCAATAGCTTTCCTAAGAACAGCAGCGATGTCGGCGTAATCAGCATGACTGCTGATGCCACGATAATTGGGAAATAGGACTGCGTATCCCGCTGCCGTTAACAGGGGGACTTCTAGATGTTGCGATACGGAAAAGGATCGGAGCACCTGGTAGAATGAGCCGCCGTGCAAGTGAACGACAGTCGGGAGGGGGGTGGATGAGTTTGAAGACGAGGGTTTTGGTTTGAATAGCCACCCTCCACGCTCCTGCCCGTCGGATGACCGGGTAGAAATGTATTCGGCTTCGGTGAGATTGGATGTATGCGGGGAGGATGAATTGTGGGAGGAAAGCTGAGTGAAACTGTTGTCCTCGATATTAGGGTTGTTTACAGACCAGACTTCGCTGGGCTGCTCAGGGCTGCTACGCGTAATGGCAAGAGTGAAATCGTCCGCTTCAGGAAGCCTGAATGCGTCGAAGCCGGTGATTTCGAACGCCGACTTGAAGAAACTCTCATACGGCCATCGAATAGCGGCAATTCCCAAGACATGGGCTGCGTCGTGATCTGTGTTTTTAACGCGCGCGATGACCGAGTCTCTCGTAATGTGCAACGCAATCGCGTCGCCCTCCCAGCCAAAATAACTGCCCCATTGGCGTTTTCGCACCCGCGCTTCATAGACTGAATTCGGTCTTGCTTCATTCCGTGAAGTGGCAGAACCAATGAAATAGATTGTGTCTTGCAGCGGCCATGCAAGGGCGCTGATCAGTCCTCGAAAGTCGATAAAATGCCTTGCGCTTCGACTCTGCAAATTGACAATCTCGACCCTGCTCGACGACGTATCAACCCCCGGAATCGACTGGACGGTGTACACGATTTCCACCGAATCCCGACTCCACGAGAACTGCTCGACGTGTTGATTTCCATGAATCAGAGTAGTCACTTTTCTACTCGCAACGTCGACAAGACGTAGTCTTTGGTAATCCAACCCAAACACTCTGGCATCGCTATCATCCGCACCACCTTCAGCCTCGTCTTCGCTCAGGAAAGCAATGTAAGCACCATCCGGGCTCCACTCGAACGAGGCAATTCTTTTCCCATTGTCTGGATTTGTGATCGCGTACGCCTCCCCTCCCAATCCAGTGATTGGCAAGAGGTAAATCGCCGACGATCTGCCCTTTCGCGCACGATCTGAAATAAACGCAACGAATTTCCCATCCGGAGACCATCGAGGCGCTTCGTCCTTGAAGACCCCCGAAGTAATCTGCCGAGAGGAATTGCTCACACCGATTTCGGCTACCCAGAGGGATGACACTGGGTGTTCCTCTTTTCTGGAGAATGACTCCAGCGTATAAATCACTCGTTGGCCATCGGGCGATATACGCAGATCCCGGGGGATTTGCAAATCGGCTAGGGCTTCGAGCGATAACTCCGGCATTCTGGTAGCTGCCAGCGCGCCTTTTTTGGGGGGGGGATTATTTCAAATAAAATGAATTGAAATATCAACCAAAAAAAAAACTTTTGAAGCTTTCAACTTTTGCTCGTGATCGTAAACCTACAGCTCATGCGGGGGAAATTGCGTGATCTTGCATCATTCAAACTAGCTCTCCTAGGGCTAGCTGCTTTCCGAATTAGGCAACTTTTAACTTCTACCGATAAGGCCAGGATAGGACTCAGCCCTTGAAAATCCAATGCTGGGATAGCATACTATAAGTTATTTATTTAGTCAAGTTTAGCGGCGTAGCAAGCCTCGCTGTATAATCTACCTAACTGCCTAGCGAATACCCTTCGATAATGTTGTTGGGTGTAGATGAGTTAACTGTTCTATATCCTCACTATCATTCAATAAAGAAAGAAAGTAATCAATGTGTTATTTTCGCTGCACGTCTGTGTAAACAAAATCAACCAAATTCATCTCGAAAAAGTCCTCCGATGATTGGAATATGCTAGCCCAGTTTTGAATACGCAATACGTACATGTATTCCTCAGCAGTTTGATTCATCAGCATCTGAGGCGATCTCTGAGTACGCAAGTAGGAAGGCTACACTGGTATGATAAATGTTTAAATGTGGGATTACCATATAAGTGACGCATTAAAACGCACGCATATTAGAGGCTTATAAATACTAGCATCAATTGAATATCTGTGGGCGTATCTAGATAGACCGTTATAAGCAATGCATCTATGTGTATTAATATTAGAAGCTTACTCATACTAACTGGCGTGTGTTCAGAGCGTGATGCAGGGCGGTGTCCAGGACCACGACTTCCCATATTAATATATCGCCTTGTGGGAGATATATATCAATTGATAATGCTAGATGGGATATCAATATATCGCTTTGCCGCGTTCTCAATTAGGAAGGAATGCGGTTTTGTATATTATAAGACGTTTTATAGATAAATAGGTACTATATTTGAAGTAATAGAATTGATCTATATGATATACTGCCAAAGCCTGTTATGTATACAAGTTGCCATTTAGTATTACAGTATTATGGTAGTAAATCGCTCTAACAGTATTCAAGAACCCCATCTCCCGCTGTTGTAACTTCACGGCGCTTCAACCTTGACCGGCCAAGTCACTTCTCCGCCGGTCATCGCCTCGACCTCCTTCTTAACAGCTTCGAATGGTATGAAATAGGCAAGTTCAGCGTCAAGGCTTCTCGCAAATAGCAATCCAAGCACGATTAAATCTCTTGGCCGGTTTCTAATTTTCGGAAGTGGGATTTTAAGCACGTCCTTGAAGCCCGGTACCTTCCAATATTCCCTAGTAAAAATAAACGAACCTGAGTCACCGGAAAGCAAAAAGGACCCTCGAGTAGGAAATGAGCGCACTGCCCACGCCGAAACTATTTGCTCCTGCTCATTATGCGCCAATGAAAGATTGATATCGACTTTTATGCCATCTAGCATGCCCTGGGTGAAGCCGGCACCTCGACCAAATTTGGTGACTATTTGGGTTACATCTGCCTGATGAGCATTGGCAAAGAGGGCTTCCACGTCTGCCCAAGTCTTCAGTGTCTCTAGAGACACGAGTTTATAATCCGGCACACACACGTTGTCAGGGTGTGGAACTACATCCGTGGCATCAACGAGTGCGATGTCCATTGCGAGACGACAGCGAAATTTTTCTGGTTGATAATGACTCCTACCCCAAAGGGGCGGCTTTTAAATAGCCCAATTGTGAGTTCTGATTGCGAACCGTGTTGATCCGATCCACGAGCTGTTGAACCTTCGCCTTTTTCTCGATTTGTTTCTTTCTGAGCTCTGGGTCTGTAGTACCCTCCTCTTCAAAGGTCGTCTCACTCCCAAGAGATTTTAGTTCAATGTCAGATTGAAGGGCATGATCCACAAGATATTCCAACTCCATGATAAGTTCGACACGGTCTTCTTCGAAAGGAGACTGAATAGGAATTTCAAGCCTACCTATTGCGCGAGGCAGTTCCTCCTGCGACTCAAGAAGTCCTCGCAATATTGAAGGATGGTTCCCTAAAGCCACATGTGCATTTGTAATGCCATAGGTAAAATTCTGAGACAACGAATTGCCGTCATCGCCGATTTTAGGGGGTCCTTTCACTCGCACATAGCCTCCCAATGTACCTCCTAGATCTTTGTCACCAACAACTCCAATACTTGTTCCCGGCCTTGGGGGCCTCTCAAAACACTTTTTCTCCGTATCTGCGTTTAGATCGTTCGAGAGGAAAGAATGAGGGTGTAGCGGTATTCTCATATTGAGAAGCCAATAGGAAAGTACCAGTTGCCTGCCAGATCTCGACTGCCACCCCTTGTGGGAGTAATAATGATATAATCTCCTCTTCGATCCAGGGCCATAGCCAAGTATTGTGATTATGAGGAATTCTTACTTACAATAAGTTTTCCCAAACTTAAGTTGTCAATCCGTTTGATGATTTATGGATATCAACAAAGATTGATAGAAGAATTACGGACAACAGAATGATTAAAATCTGGACTTGCTACTTGTCTTATATAGGTTCCGTTCATAAAGAAGCAGGCCGATTTGTACCGCCTCGCTCAATCCGTGTTTGTGGTAGCGGAGCGCTCCCCGTATCAATACTAAGAAATTTAAGCCTTTTGTACTGTCTATGGAAGGGACACAAAGAAGTATATATTCATGATCCATAAAGAGAATAAAGTCTAGAGTGTCATTAGATGTGATTTTGTCCAGTCTTTGCCCGCGTTTTGTCACGGTTTGGCAGGAAGATACCGGCAAAGTGCATATAGTTTTATCGACCTGCTCCCAGTCTCGGGCTAACAAAGGAATGGAACCTGAAACTGGTATCACAATACCTCTGACATGAGCGGAATTATATGCGCCGCCTTGTACAGTCACGCCCGAAATTGCCTTGAATGTTCTTTATATAGTAGGTGATGTCACGTGCAACCAGATCATTGGTGCCAAGACCAGCGACAAGCTGAAACTATATCGTGAACAATAATCTCAACGACCCGGTAAGAGTAATAACTTCGAAAGATTGTCAACTTCTACCACTTTTGTTTATTGACAAACTGCATCCGCAATTAGGATGGAGAACACCGCAAAGTCAAAGTGTGGACAGAAAACAAGAACGAAAACAGGTTGTCGAACATGCCGGTTTGTCTCTCTTACTCCGTCAAAAGTATTACCGTATTAACACCCGGATAGTATCAGACGGGTCAAATGCGACGAGACGCCTGGCGCATGTCTAAAATGCACCTCTACTGGCCGCAAATGTGAAAGCTACGACCTCAACCGACTTCCAGCTCGTCGAGGAGGAAGTACCTCTGTGCTAGTCAACCGATACCGGCCGCGCTCAAATTGGGCCGGGAAAACATCAGATGAAAGGCGATGTTTATCCTATTTTCAGTCACTGACTGTCCCCATGATGAATTACTGGTTTGACCACTCCCTCTGGGATAGATTAATTCTTCAGTTGGTTCAAGCCGAGCCGGCGGTTTGTCATGCCGTCGTCGCTTTCAGCGCTTTGCATGAAGCAGCCGAGAATGCAAATGGGGGAGGTAGAAGAGATACGCCGATTGTGCTGCTAGAAGATATGACGAATCGCCACCAACGATTTGCTCTGGAGCAGTATAATCGGTCAATTAGTCATCTTAATTCGCGCATTCGATCGAATGACCCAGCTGTCAAGAATACGGCGTTGATCTGCTGTTTTTTGTACATTTTCTTCGAGCTTTTCCGAGGGAAATATGATCGAGCATTCAATCATCTCAAGAAGGGAGTTAATATTTTAAAAGAACATCAGTCTGCTCCTCCGTATGCACCTCGCAGTTCGTCGGACCGACCAATAGAAGACTCGCTGGCTGCCGCTATAATGCATCTAGATCTACAAGGATCGCATTTTGGGGTCTCTCAAATCCATGATCGTTGGGAGTTATACAAATTAACGGCAGAACAGGAACAACACGATTATGGTTGGGGCAGTCAAATTGATTTCGATACCTTTACAGAGGCTTGGATTATGCGAGACAAGCTCTTTCATGACTTTTGTGTATATGGCACTATCTGCGAGAAACTGACCACAGAGGATATCAAAGAAAATTATACATTACTTTTTGCAAAGCAAAAAAGACAGCAAATCCGACTTGCACAATTCGAACAGGCACTAGATAGACTCCAAGCGACAACGCAACTTCACGGTTCTATTACAAAAAAGAATCAACGAGCTCTCGACCTCATCCGCTTCCACCATTTCGCAGTTTCAACCGTCACAGACACGCTTCTCATCAAATCACCGAAATTAATACTCGAAAAACAGAGGGAAAGGTTTTCACGAGTTGTGGATTTGGCTGAGCAGATTGTGGCCGATTTTCGGGAAGATAGTCGTGATGACGAGAATGATGGTAACAGTCCACAATACCGCCCCCGATTCCTGATGGATATAGGAATTATTACTCCTTTGTACTTTGCGAGCGAGAGATCTGGAGACCCATTGGTTACGAAGAGGGCAATGAAAGTGCTTCAGTCCTGGCCACATCGAGAGGGCTTGTGGGATTCGGAACTTGCCTTAACTTTGGTTCGTGGAATGGATCAGGCGTAGCGTATTTGCTGGCCCTAAATTCCTTGAACATTCAATATTTACCCCCTTTTCTTAGAAAATATAGTCTAAAAATGACATATAATATATTCTTAGCTTTATTAATAACTATCAATAATTATTTCTACAGCCAGGGAATGGATCCTTCAAAGAAAAGAATTTTATCAAAAGATAAGTGACTATTGATATTCAACATGTATAATGACTACACTAAACTCTACAAGGGTTGACCTGGACGAATATATAATATGTATAGAAGTTATACTGGGAAAATGCTGGGTCCCGGATATCACCATGCGCGTAGGTAAATAAGGCAGTACTTAGGAAGGCGTACATCTATATAGGGTTGCGCAATGGTTGCGGAGCTGGAAATGTTGCAAGATTTGGAAACATTTCTCTTAATGCCACGTATCGAAAAAGGCTTTAGTTGCGCTCATCGAAACGCTGCTATAAAAGTCACGTTTCTAAAATCTTGACGTTGTAGTAATCAATTGTTGCTTACAGCTGTTCTGCAACGATTTCTAAATTCAAAATGTTACACGGCTGTTTTTGGGATTCAGCGTTTTCGCGTACTGAAGTACCCGCCGGAAACAGAATTCCATACATTATTCAAAACCATCAATCCCAGCAGCAATACTATCTTCTAACTTTGTCCATCCTTTCCCGTAGAATCTCTCCAAGAGCTGCTCTGCCCGTTTAGCGGGTAAGATCTTACTCAAATCATGGCCTTCATTTTCTGGTGTAGCCGGAATCTTATCGTTCGATGGTCTGAGTCTTCGAAGAATGCCTAGGATCTCGGTCCAGGTATAAGTAGCAGCAAATGCAAAGATACGTTCGGATGAGACTTCGGGGTCCAGAAGCGCGATTGTATGGATTTTAGCAGTGTCCTCGACGTCAACAAACCATTCTTGTGTCAGGGTTATTAGTTTGAAATTCTAGAAATGATATGTTATATCACCAGACTTACGTGCAATGAGCAGCTTCGCAACCCTTGCTTCCCCCTTCAACAGTTCACGGACTCCACCCATTGAGGAGCCTCTGATTTCAGGGTGAAGAATACGTCCAAACTGTATAAACACACTGTAAGTGCCAAAATATGTTGTTTGACAGAAAAATGCTCTTACATTCACATTTGGTATAACTGAGTTGAAGGTAAAATTGGGTTTTTTCTCCTCCATAAACTTCCATGCCGTCCGCTCCGCTTCAACTTTGGATGCACAATATACCAAGGCTCCCCTGAAATCTTCTGGAGAATTTGGATCCCATGCACCTTGAACTGCAAAATCGTTCCAGGTATCTACACCTAATAAGTTTCCTCACAATGGCATACTTGAGGCGAGTTTCCATTCATCACTTACCGACATCAACAATAATTTCCTCATTGGGCCTTGGGATCAGAACGGCTCCAGCTGAAGATGTAAAAACCACCCGTCTGACAGACTCTTCCGCGGCTGCGGTGTTGAGAATGTTCTCCATAGCCACTTTCATTTGCGGAATGACATGTTGAGGGTCTGGGTTAAAGGAAACCTCTGTGGCCTAACACGATGAGAATCAAATAAAGCAGGATTAAATAATATTATGTACGTACAACGTGAACCACTCCGCTTATGCCCTGCATTGGACCCTTAAAAGCATCTTCGGCATCAAGCATCGGAACGACGACGGATTCGAATTTTCCGTCCCCATACTTTTCAGTAAAGTATGAGTCTAGCCATGGTTTCGGAGTACGAACAGTGCCACGCACGCGGTAGCCAAGAGCAAGGAAGCTGTTGACTATTTGCGAGCCAATGTACCCATTGGCACCTGTCACAAGAATCCAGGAGCCAGAAGGGAGGACGAGATGCTGCGGGGGCATTTTTGTAAATGATAATCGCGCGAGAAAGTCGGAAGGAGGTAGAGATTGGTTTCAAACATCTATTGAGATGCTAAACCCCTTCTTTTATAATCGAATGGCCTAGTACATATTGTATTGATTACGTTGACATGTTGGTATGACAAATGCTGCCCCTTCAGGTAATTGGCTGCAGGGATGCGGAGGCATGGACTATAAGCGAACGGGCCAATCAGAAGACATATGTGGGACATATGTAGTGACCAGCATTAAAGGGTAAGTAAAGTCCTAGTTGCATCAGATGACGTTTAACTCAGATACGTACGTATGATAAATCACTAGCTCAGCCTGACATACGGAGGGAAAATCAATAAAAAAAGCATAATGACTTGGTTGGTTAATTGATTAGTTGGTTGGTTGGTTATTTCGATTATAGTATCACAGCCCTTGAAGTTACTTTTGAGTGTTATACAGAGTTCCCCACAGATTAATTACATAGATAATGCCTATCATAGTATCACTAGTATCCATTTATTTCTTTAGTTATTTAATTATTAGAGCTATACCCCACATAGAGACATTTTTTAATATCACTAAATCAATCTAATAACTAAAATAAAACCCCTACTAATACTACATGATAACATTCCGAAGTTAATGCTCTACTTTAATAAATTAGCAATCAAATATATAGATATTTAGTACATCTATATTATCTATACAAAAACATCCTCATATATTATTGTATCTATTCATTTTAATAAATTTTTAAAATAAGGACTATTCTTCTTATTATCTTTACACTTTTTAGTACCACCATTACTACACTAATTCAGCTACAGAGTATCAACAGTAACAAACATTCTAAAGCTAAAAGCATTAATATTTTGTACAACAATAGAGTTAGTTAGGGGAAGCGTTCTGAGGCTGAAAGCCCTGATATGTATATGCTACAGCAGCTCTTGGTAGCTGAACTGGTACTTCCATGAGCTTCAATATGTTTCTATATAATATAAAAGTGTATGGAGTGTGACATAAACTTTGAACTATCTAAAAGCTAAGGAACATGAGAACCATCCCTTTTCCGCCATCCAATCCGTAGTGTACTCGCACGTGGCCGAGGGGGTTGATACTGTCAAACTGGGCAACAACTCGTCACTGAGATCGATGACAACAGATAATATTTTGTAACACTCGAGGATTTTTTTTGTAAGTCAAGTATAGAAAAGGGGTATTCATTGCAATGATAATAGTAAAAGAAGTTTGTTGAATACTAAAAGTAGTATACTATTTGATATGAAAGATAATACGATAAACTAGATACATGATGGTAAATGAGGGTCTATATATACTGAAGTTCATTCATAGCACATTATAGCGCTGCTATGATCTGCTATGCCCATACGTCACGCGCCCCTAGCTAGTGGAAGTGTGAAAATATCAGAGAAATATATAACTAATATATAACTAATATATAAGCATACGCACAGTTTCATACTCTACAATAGAGCTTAAAGAAGAAAACGGTTCTCTATGCCGAACATCTCCGTACAAACGTCTCAATAATACTGGCCCTTGAGATGGACTGTGAGTAAGTACAGCGAATGGTATGCACCTTAGTCCCTCTGCTCTAGACTGAGCTTTCTCGAGGGGGCACAATAGACAGGAGCTCTTTTGCAAAAAGCAGCTGCCGTCCAGCTGCGTAGGGTTGCCACCTCTTAACCTTATGGGAGTCAGCATAATCAGATATTCCTCTTATAACAAGGCATGGGAATTGGTCCATTAGACCAGCTGGCCCATGTAACGCCGCGCATGCAAGGTGCTGTATCTCATTCTCCAGGCCTAGTAAGTTGGACAATGTCCCTTTGGCGGAACTGTCTGAGAGATTTGTGTTAATTTTATTAATATTAAGATAGGCTATAAAGTATTTTAGATTTTTGGTTATCGTATTTGATATATGAAGGCTCTAAAATAAAATAAATTTTTCTACAAGCTATAAATCTTATTAAGAGATTTTAATTAATACTAGAATTGTTTATTTTAATTAACAATATTCATATCTCATAACCTTCCAAAACTATCAAAGGAAAGAGCTAGGGCAACCTAGGTCACGTATACGCAAAATGTTACTATGGCTAAGATCTTTCATCCACCATGACAGTGGCAGGGGCCCAAATTTTGGAGCGGTCATAATTTTCGGCGTCCTCGTTTCCAAAAGCTACGACGGCTGGCTGAACAAACAGAAGTACATCCTTTCCATCCAGTCGTGTATCATCTTCATCTAGATGGTGCAGGCTATGTGCCTCCGTCTTGGGATTTGATATATAGAACTTGGGTAACTCGTGCTGGCTGTAGAGCTTTATGAACGTTCGTTGAGTCCACAATAACAAGGCAAATTCTGCTACCTCATGATATAGCTTCTGTACGTCTTGAGTACATTTATCTCCGCTTCCGGGCTTTGAAGCCTGTCGAAGTAGCAGGCTAGCTGGGCTGGTAAGAAAGCCGGCTGCTTTCTGACTTGACAATAAACGAATGCGTCTAGCGAGATGAGACTCTGTGCTCGGGTTTGTAACTGTGGATAGAATCCGCAGTGTTTGTGACCGCCAGATATGTGCTTCGGGCTCATCAACTATATATGTATCAAAAGCATCAGTTAGTAGCCGACAGCATCTATCAACTGTTCACAACTAGATTTTACCTTTTATCATTTCCCTATAAACATGCTTCCATTCCTTGGAATTTGGTAAACTAGATGTGTTGTCGATCTCAGCAAAAGAAAAAAAAGGATCACCGAACACCCATTCAAAGACATCCTTCGCCAATAGTGACTGGAGAAGTATAGCCGGAATCTTATTTCGTGGGATCGAAGCTTTTGTGATTAATGTCTTCCAATCTGTTTCAAAGGAGTATCCATCCAACAACCCAATAATACGATCCTTTTCTGCCGCCGGAACTTCCTCTATATCTTCAAAAGCCAGGACGCCATAGTTTCTCGCCCATTGCCGCAGCTTCATATGTATCTTAGAGAATTCATCTCGTACCCTGGGATCCTCTTTAGGAGACCATCCGGATTTTTTCAACATGTTATTAAGTGCATTTTCCTGTGCATTGGCAATTAGTAGCCCAAGATCTTTGTTTTCCTGTCTCAACTTGGCAAGACTGATTTTTAAATTCTTGATATTCTCGTCACGCCTGTTCAACTCCCTGGCATAATCCTCATCTTTCTTTGAATCATGTGCGTTGTAGTCATTCAATTTCTGCTTTAAACGAGAGACATAAGCTTCGTGATCGCGCGAACGTTCTTCAGCTTCCGTCTGCCTTTGAATTATATATGCATCTTTCTGGTCTATTTTCGGTGCTAATTCCATCTCTTTCTGTGATATTAAATCTTGAGTATGTTTCCTCTTCGTTGTGATTGTGTCTTCTTTTCTAAGTGGCGGATCTTCTCGATTCGATCGGTTGTTTTTTATGTAATCTGCGTGAGCTTCACGCGTACGAGGTGGTCTGCCCACGTCTTCCGATCCTTTGCGAAAGCCAAGAACCTGATAATTTATTAGTATTTTCTTGAAGAGCTTCGAACATTCGGCAACGAGAGAGACGCGTGGAAGAACCTTAGCAAAGGTGTTCCTGTTTCTTGAGGACTGAACTGTCTTGCTTGTCCAGTGATGAGATATTTTTCTTCTGTGACTCTCTACTTCATTATCTCTATCATTGACGGATATGTTTTGTGGAATTTTTGACGTAGTGTCATTGTAAGCTGATGTGGTGTTGTCGCTCTTTCCACTAGTTTGTTCGTGAAGCCTCGGGTTCTGGGATACAGTAATATTCTGTTTTTCCATGGTGACGATAAGAATATTCTAGTTAACGTGTTTTAAGCGAACCTTGTAATTCCTGTGATCCTTCTTTAGTTAGATAAAAAGGGTGTGAAAACATTTGAGGGATGAATCACAGCGTTCTACTTGAGATGGGGTTGCTCCGAATTTCCGAGCAACCCCTCATATAGCGGACTTGGATACTAATCAAGTAGGGCCTGTTACGTTCGTAAAAGTAGGCTGACCTATGAGAGTTGTCGTTCTGGCTCTAAGTTGGTGGCTATTGGCCACCGTCGATTGTGGTGGTTGGGCTATCTAGATTTAGTTTCATAGATCCCTGTCTATTTTTTGCGGCGCAGACGCTCATCGCGGGACTGGCAAACCCCTCACCACCAGGGAGATGATTAAATTTGGGGCCATTTCACAATGTGAGGAGTTTAGACGCTGGAGTTCACCAAAGACTTTTACATTAGCATCACATTTGCTAGGACAATCTTAACCACCAGAATACTGCGCAACACCATGGCCTCTGAACCGGAGAAACAAATCGTCATAAGCCAATTCAGTTCACTGGCTTTGAACCCCAATAACAAGATTATTGTGGGTGTGGACTACGGCACTACATTCACTGGTTCTTCCCCCTATCATGACTTCGATCTTTGACGGTAGTCGCTAACATCGCCGCGTGAAGGGGCTAGCTTCGTTAGTTCAAAAGGAAATGGCTTAAGCGACATCACGGTAATTGAAACATGGCCAGGTATTTCGAGAGACTCCAATACAGTAACGAAAGTACCGTCCCGTATCTCATATCCCGATGGTTTACCCAACCAATGGGGATACCAGGTGCAGCCTGGTGCGAATGCATACTCGTGGACAAAGTTACTTCTGGATCAGAGTGCTCCTTTGACTAGATATGATGACGAGGGACTTGAGAAGGCCTCTGAGATGGGTATCCTGAGATTACCAGAGGGTAAAACGGCAAGTGATGTCGTAAGGGATTATTTATCAGAGGTCTACCAGCATATTCTTGGAAGGATCGCCAAGCAGATTACAGAGGAGACATTGAAAACCACACCCTTGGAGTTCTGGTTTACTGTGCCAGCCATTTGGTCAGATCAGGCACAGAATGCAACTATTAACGCTGCTCGGAAGGCAGGGTTTGGGAATAGAGCCTCCCGGCCAGACGATGAAATATACCTGATTAGTGAGCCGGAAGCGGCGGCCATCACTTCATTGAAAAAGTACACCACCAAAGGAATCGGTAATTTCATTAAGGCGAGTCTTTCGCAAAACTTTTGTGTTGCTGTCTAATTATTGACTACTCAGCCCGGGGATGGAGTTTTAATCTGCGACTGTGGAGGGGGTACCGTGGTAAGCATAAACATTGGCTATTTTCTTCTCATATAACTTCCCAATCTTACATCTTAGGACATGACAACCTACCTCGTTCTTCAAACATTACCTTACTTGACATTTGAAGAGCTATGCACGGGTAACGGTAAGTTATTGAAGTAACTACCCTGGTAAAAATATTTTAGAGATCTGAACAATACCAGGAGGTAAATGCGGGTCGACCGCAGTGGACCGCAATTTCTATCAACTTATGTCGGATCGATTTGGCGATGCATTTGACAAGCTACCAATGAAAAAAAAGAGCCCCGGTAGCGAGTTCATGAGTAAGTTTGAAGTTATTAAACAGGACTTTGGATATCCGAATCAGCCAAAAATATTTGAAATTCATCTCAACATGAATGCACCGAACGCGGATCCTAAGTATTTCGATGAGGAAGAGCGCATGGTGTTTCTGTCCAGGTTAGGGCGCCCAAAAGGCTAGTAAATGGAACTGACTCTTAGCAACTCTCTCAGTGAAGATTTGCGCTCAATCTTCGACCCAGTGGTGGAAAGGATCCTCGCCATGGTACGGCAACAAATTCAGGATTCACAGGAAGAGACAGGAAATCGCATAAATGTACGTTCTACACTTGTCTGAATTGCAACTTCCAGTTCGACTGTATGGTTTCTTCTATATTTTCTGGCTTGCTAACCGTCATTCCTGATAAATAAGAGAATCATCCTGGTCGGCGGATTCGGCGACTCCGAGTACCTTCGTAAAGCGTTCCGAGAATCATTTGAGCCAATGGACATAAATATCACCGTCCCTGATAAGCCGTAAGTGCAGTTTAGTTGGATATTAAGAAATATGTAGGTAGGCAGGCTTACCAAAACGAATAGCCAAGCTGCAATCGTCCAAGGGGCCGCTCTTCGTGGACTCGAAGGGCTGAGATCCTCGACAAAGCGGTGCCGCCGACACTACGGCTTTAGCTGGTCTACTGATTTCCGAGAAGGCGTAGATATTGAGTCTGAATCCTATATCGATAGTTTTACGGGTCTAAAGATGTCTTCTAATATGATGAAATGGATGATTGCAAAAGTGAGCCCTCACCGCATCTTTTAAAGACAGTCTTTAATGGATATCTGCCCAACAGGGAGAAAAGTACTCGGAGAATCATACATACGAAACTTGGGTCAGGCGAACACACTATGAGTCATATAGCTTAAAGAAGAAAACGGTCCTCTACGCTTGCGATCTTTCGGATGCCCCGGAGCGGCGAGGCTCGAGTTTGTCCAAGAAATACCCTCTTCAATTGGTTTCATGCCTAACAGAAGTGTAGATATTTATCATGTGGGTGACATCGAGGTCGACTTCTCCCATACCGATTTGAATGGATTCTCAAGCAAGTACATCGACGGGCAGAAGGCATATCTTCTTACTTATAAGTTGAAAGTCATATTTGGGGCACAGGAAGGAGTCCTTAAGTTCGAAGCTACTAGCCAAGGGGAAACAATTGGACGGACTAGCATAAAGTTTAACACTATCCGATATTATTGAGTAGTCTTTCGATTCAGCGAAAGATGTCACTTTTTACATGTACAGAGCAATGAAACTGGACGTGATTTGCGAACGTGGAGATGGTGCGTAATAAGTTGTCCTTTTTTCTCTTGAAGTTATCATCCTAAAATGTGAGGACGTGGTCACCTACCCCATTCTTCAGGCATTGCCTTATTCTTAGCAACTACATGTATGAACAGACATCAGTCAGCCATTGAATAGTTGGACAGGACGTAATTCAGTTCTTCGGGTTTTTCAGAACAAGCAATATAAGAATTATATTTGTATGGCTAGATTAGGACGTTTGAGGCATCTCCATTCAAACAAGAAAATAAAAGAAAGTGAATTATAACAGTTAATGCTCCGCCTTAATAGTCGTTGACAGATGATTCTTCTCCGCAATCTCCAGCTCATCCACATCCTCCAATAACGCGACTCCCAAAGCCATTGCCTCCTGCGCATCAAACGTACCATAATAATCAACATCATCATACTCGCCCAGCCCCAACGGTGGCGAAATCTTATTCAGAGCGATATACAAAACAAAACTAATCGTAAACCCCAAAGGAAACGCCAAATAATACAGACGTGTGCAACCTACGGGGACAACGACACTGGTGTTCACGGATGCAATGAATCCCGGTAATTGCGGCGTAAACCCTACCACCCAGGCAATAAACGCCCGCCAGTTTATTCCCTTCCAATAGTAGTATATACCTCCTGGGCGGGCGTGGTATAAATCGCTTAGTTTGATTTTGCGTGAGCGGATAATCCAGTACTCGCCTACCATCAGGCCGCACATGGGACCCAGGAATACCGAATACGCGGACATGACGCTGAGGAATGTACCGGCGCTGGCAAGTAGCTCCCAGGGACACAGGGCGATGGAAATAACCAGACCGATGTATGCGCCGCGCCGGATATTGATGAACCGGGGGAAGAGACCACTCAGATCCATTCCTGCAGAAAACGAGTTGTCGACTGTATTAATCGCCAGTTGGCAGATAACAAGGCCAACACCGGCGAAGAAAGCTGCTGCTCTTGACTTGGCGTTGTAGTCCGTGTCCATCCATTTCAGAGCTAGGTTCGGTGGATTCCATATCGCTTCTCCGTATATCTGGAGAGAGGCAGAGGATGTCAGACATCCAAACACGGGGAGAAGTACGCCGAGGAAAATGATCGAAAACCATTGTCCAAACACCTGATCGCCCGGTTTTCGCGCAAATCGAGAGTAGTCTGGCTGATTGGTCAGGCCGACTGCGATATTACCGATGACTGTGGTAACGCCTTGGACAATCGCCCACCCCAGCTGGCTGGATGTCATTGGGGTTGCAGCCTGAGAGAGTAGTGGGCCGCCACCGTGTGCTTGGGATAGAGCCCAGATCATTATACTCAGGAGTGTGACGAAGGAAATTACATTCATGACAACGAGTGGCTTGTTCGCCTTTTCTGGAGGCACCCATAGAATGGGGATGGTGATGAGGTTGTAAATAACCCAGCCAATGAAGTCCTTCGTCGTAAGATGGGACGATGCTGGAAACGTGTTTTCAAGATGTTGAAACCCCGAGAAAATGGCACTCAACACAGCTGTGACGCAAAGACCACCGGTCCATGCCTGTGTGGCCTGCCAGAGAACTGAAAGAAAGACCCTCTGAATAAGAGCCACATACGATCCGTATATACCCCATACAACACGAGACCAGACTGGGAAACCTATGTGCCATGTAGCCCCAACATAGCCGTTGAAGATAGCGACCAGAGCGACGATAATCTTGCCGAGAATGATGGCGATGACGGCCTGCCAGACAGAAAGGCCGATGGCAACGAGAGACGAACCGATTTGGAAGTTCGACAAGCAGATTTGATTGATTGCCCAGAAGGAAATGTAGGAGAATCTGTCCCAGGACCGTCGCGAGGGTGGCAGGGGACGGATATCATTGTTAATCCAGACAGATGACTTTGTTTCTGCCGTGGGAGAGACGGCTAGTGCGTCGACTAGGGAACGCAGCATTTTGATCTGCTATTACACGTTCGGAATATGTGTTCCTATTACATGTGTGAAATGTATAGATATGGATAAATCACTGCGGTTACAGAGATGACTGGTTCTTTAAGATAGTCTGGTAATTATCATTTGATATCCCTACTTCCAATGACTGATTTTACGCACGGCCAGTATGATAAGGACTACCTTGCCCTAACCAACATTCCCGATGGTTATCTTGCGTGGGTCATGAACTCGTCAACCACAACTTAGACTGACTCAGGAGTTTCGAGGTAAATAATGAAAACACGATAAATGTGGATCTCCGCCCAGCTTATATAGGCAAAACCCAGCAAATAGTCCAACATTTACAGGACCTGGGAATCCCAAATCCCGCCAAGCTGGTTATCTGCGGGGAAAAACACAACGCGATTCATGGGCGGAAGACGGATTGATGGACAAAATCCCGCGGAAAAAGCGGAGTGCGAATCGACGATAATGGCTATGTTGATCATGATACGCCTAGTTGATAATAAGCTGCTATATATCAGTTTGAGCGGAGGGCTACCTGCCTTTCTCAGAGTAGTGCACTCTGTCCTTGGATAGAAGCCTAGTACTGTTGTTGTGTTATTCTTATTGTCAGATTTAGTGCGAAAATTATAAAAATTAACCTTTTTACTATTTTTAATTTTTTATTAATTACCTATACTTATTTTTTTCAATAAATTTGTATTATATATAATATATCAATTTAATTTTTATTAAAATCTTTTATTTTATTTAATAATTCTAATTTATAAATATCAACATAATAAAGGTTAATTTTAAAATATGTATTTTTTAATATTATTAATTAAATGATTTATTATTATAATTAATTTAATTTTATATTAATTTAATTAAATAATTAAGTTTTGAGGTTTTTAAAAAGGCATGGGCGATCCGGGGGAAAGAGTGACAGCTCTAGGCAGCCTGTCATTGGCAGGCTCCGCCCGCAAGTTTGGCCTCTAAGAGGGTAGCCAGGGCCCTACTAGCCCCTATAAGGGCCCCGAATCTCCTACGCTGTTAAGCGGCTTGAGACAATGAATTCATTTATACATTCTAACACTGAGCACCAGTTCAAGACAGGCAGCAAGATAAATTAGAGGCATCAGGCCCCTAGCGCTCACTAAAACAAAACCTTCGTAACTTAAAGCTAGGCAGGGTCATTAAAATTGGTAATAATTATAATAAAATAAGATAAATTTAGTTTGAATGGCACAAGATGACAGTTAATCAGAATGAGTACGCAGCTTGCGCGTATCTTTGATGCTACTATATGTATAACACAAAAACTCGCCAGATACCACAGGCCATAATCAAGTACTATTCCACTAGAAGTCTTTAAGGCTATGATTCAAAGATAGTTGGCGATCCGGCCGCTCCAAGCGTCCAGCCACGTTGTACATATAAAGGGGCGAGGGCATTTACCCAGGCACGCAGCCTGAGTACGTTTATCACATATGGCAGTAGAACGATCACCAGACTTATCTTCATCTGAATCTATCTGACTCTCAAGATTCGTCTCACGAGTCCATAGCGCTGCATCTATCGCCCCGCGATGCCCGCCTATATCTCAAAGAAGACTCTCTGGTCGGCTAGAGAACCGAAATGTCTCAAGTTCAGCGGAGTTGGCATGGTTCCCACAGAAATCCCAAGAGTAGCAGAGAATGTGCTGCTCAGGGAGTTCGCCAGTATGAGATCGTGGGGTGGCTGTCACCCGAAAGCGGTCCGCCACCGTTGATGGAGCAGTAACTCCAAGCGGAACAGACGGTAGCCCACAAAGCTCGTGAAAACGTTCTCCACTGACTGCGACCACGGCGGCAAAAGTAACGACTGGATCAGGAGATGCGACACGGCAGTTGACTACTGGAAGCTTATTTGGAAGACACGGTCGGATGAGAGGTGGCGATTAGGAATAACTTGGGCTATTGTTTCGTTATTTGGGGCAGGCTCTTCGTTAGCTGTTGTTATCTTTTCCAGCTCGATATTCGCTATTACAGACGTCTAATATAGTGTATTTACCCGGGTGAAAGAGGCACCGCCACTGTGTCAATTCAACTAGAATTAGTTTTCTCGGTCTTGTGCGTCGTGGAGCGATGGGTGCTGGATGGTAATGGCACCAATGGCAGCACAATTAGGTATGGATCACTCGCTAGGTCTTTCTGTGTGCATAAATAGTCGGCCATCACCTGTCAATAAATTGCGACACGACAAGAGATCAAGATAAGATGGGACCATCCATACCAAATACGTACTCTCCGTGGCGGGTGGTGACAGGCAGCCAATCAAATTAGCAGCACTCGATCATATTGGTGGTTAAAAACTCCGGCTTTAGCGGCCTTCGCCTGTTCCGGTCATCACATGGTTGGAATCACATCAACATATGATGAAAAGAGAAACAGGCTTAGATTCAGAGCCGCAGACGGCGAAAATTATTTAAAGTATAAAACGAAATGGCATCGCGTGAGAAATACAAGTTCTTCGCACTGAACCACATTCATCTCTAAAACAACAATGTACTACAGTAGCGGCAATTACGAGGCCTTTGCTAGGCCACTCAAACCCGAAGGCATTGACAATAAACATGCCTGGATTGTTGGTTCTGGCTTAGCTGGACTTTCTGCGGCTGCGTTTCTTGTCCGGGATGCTCAGATGCCTGGAAAAAATGTCACCATTCTAGAGGAGCTACACCTCCCTGGTGGTGCGCTGGACGGGTTTAAAGTTCCTGAAAAAGGATTCGTGATTCGCGGCGGTCGTGAAATGGAAGCTCACTTTGAGTGTCTTTGGGATCTATTTCGCTCTGTGCCATCTATTGAAGAGGAAGGAGCCAGTGTTCTGGACGAGTTCTACTGGTTAAATAAGCGTGATCCAAACTATTCGCTGCAGCGCGCAACCATTGAACGCGGCCAAGATGCCCAGACAGGCAAGCTCTTCACTTTGAGCGACGCTGCACAGAAGCAAATGGTCAAACTCTTCTTGGCGTCGAGGCAAGACGTTGAGAATAAGAGAATTGACGAGGTATTTGGCCAAGACTTCTTCAAAAGCAACTTTTGGCTCTATTGGCAGACGATGTTTGCATTCCAGACTTGGCACTCTGCGCTGGAGATGAAACTCTATCTACACCGGTTTGTCAATCATATTCACGGTATGCCTGATTTCTCTACACTCAAATTTACAAAGTACAACCAGTACGAATCGTTGGTGCTCCCATTGAAAAAATGGCTCGAGGATCAGGGTGTCAAGTTTCAATTCAACACCACAGTGCATGATGTCGATTTCGACATTACTGGTGATACAAAGCAGGCCACCTATATCCACTGGGTCCAAGACGAAAAAAAAGGCGGCAAAGACCTTGGCGTCGACGATCTAGTCTTCTTGACAATAGGTTCTTTGACGGAGAATTCTCACCTTGGAGACCAACATACACCCGCTACTATCCAAGACGGCCCTGCACCTGCATGGGATCTCTGGCGACGTATTGCGGCTAAGGGGAAAGATTTTGGTCGTCCAGAGGTATTCTGTGGCGACATTCCCTCTACAAAGTGGCAGTCTGCAACTGTGACGACCTTAGATAAACGCATTCCCTCGTACATCCAGAAGATTTGCAAGCGAGACCCTTTCAGTGGCAAGGTGGTAACAGGGGGCATCGTCACCGTACGAGACTCTAACTGGCTTATGAGCTGGACTGTAAATCGACAGCCTCATTTTAAGAGCCAACCTGCAGATCAAATTGTCGTTTGGGTTTACAGCTTGTCCACAGAAAAACCTGGCAACTATGTCAAAAAGGGCATGCAAGACTGTACTGGGGAAGAGATTACCCAAGAGTGGCTGTATCATATGGGTGTTCCAGAAGCCGACATACCAGTTCTTGCTGCTGAAGGTGCAAAGTGCGTTCCCGTCATGATGCCGTATGTTACATCATTCTTTATGCCCCGGCAGGCGGGAGATCGTCCTGACGTTGTGCCTACCGGGTCAAAAAATTTCGCATTCATCGGCCAATTCGCAGAAACCACGCGCGATACAATCTTCACTACAGAGTATTCTGTTCGAACAGGCATGGAATCCGTGTATCAGCTTACTGGGGTCGACCGCGGAGTACCAGAGGTTTTTGCTTCAACATATGACGTGAGGCACTTGTTGAGTGCGTCGTGTCAACTGAGAGATGGAAAGGAGCTTTTAACATGGATGCCAGAAAGGATACGAAAACTTTTGTTTGAGAAGTTAGAGGCGACGCAAATTGGGCAGCTATTGCACGAATATCATCTGATATAAGTTATAGAGTAGATAAATCTATATAGATATAGATATAGAGTAGGTTAATAATTATTAACTAAATTCATTTACTGATTAACTAGATTACGGTGCTAATTTCCTCGGACAAAAATTTGAGTGTAGATATCACAGATGGAGACGGCGCAATTAGTGATTATATCGAATTCGCAGTCTTCTTTGCACTTCATCATGCTTCTGGTTTCCGCGAATACAAAGTATGTCCGAACCAACGCCGAGAGTTTTCTTGTCTGTATTGTTGTAGTCCGACCAATCAATTCAATTTAATATCGCCCCTCTAAAATTTCTAATTTGCGGATTTAGCGTGGCCTAGTAGAGAGGCTCTCGATTCCGGCCGAGTTATCTCCTATCTTGGTTGACTTCCGAAGTATACCCGATATCATCGATTTGACGAAACGGCCGATGATTTCATTTCCGACCTCACTATTGGTTTTGGAACTGGGCATTCGAAGTCCGACAGTCCTTGTCGAGGCGAGCAAGTGGCCAAGTATAATCGGTTGGTGGATATTGAAGACGAACTAAGATTTTCAAGGTTGAGTAACAGTCAGTACGCAGGGTCAGAATTCGTTTAGAATGTCCATCCGCGTGTTTAGATGCCATATATAATACTAGTTGGATCCAGCAATACTATGCTACAATAGGAATCTCCCATTGGCAATAAGTGTGCAGAGTCTGGAGAAATTTGATTCGGACGT